GTCCGCATGGCGTGGCAAGCCAAAGGGATAACGAGGGGATGCGCGAAGGGATGAGCCCACATAGCCTGGCTACGGTAGCCAGTGATGCCCCGAGGGGCTTGTGAGAAGGGAACTGCCCGCATGGCGTGGCAAGCCAAAGGGATTACGAGGAGATGCGCGAAGGGATGAGCCCTGGCTACGGTAGCCAGTGATGCCCCGAGGGGTTTGTGAGAAGGGAACTGCCCGCATGGCGTGGCAAGCAAAAGGGATAACGAGGAGATGCGCGAAGGGATGAGCCCTGGCTACGGTAGCCAGTGATGCCCCGAGGGGTTTGTGAGAAGGGAACTGCCCGCATGGCGTGGCAAGCCAAAGGGATTACGAGGAGATGCGCGAAGGGATGAGCCCTCATGCATGGCCTGGCTACGGTAGCCAATGATGCCCCGAGCGGGTTATGAGAAGGGAGCTGCCCGCATGGCGTGGCGAGCAAAAGGGATAACGAGGAGATGCGCGAAGGGATGAGCCCACATGGCCTGGCTACGGTAGCCAGTGATGCCCCGAGGGGGTTGTGAGAAGGGAACTGCCCGCATGGCGTGGCAAGCAAAAGGGATAACGAGGAGATGCGCGAAGGGATGAGCCCTGGCTACGGTAGCCAGTGATGCCCCGAGGGGTTTGTGAGAAGGGAACTGCCCGCATGGCGTGGCAAGCCAAAGGGATTACGAGGAGATGCGCGAAGGGATGAGCCCTCATGCATGGCCTGGCTACGGTAGCCTATGATGCCCCGAGGGGGTTGTGAGAAGGGATCCACCCGCATGGCGTGGCAAGCCAAAGGGATAACGAGGAGATGCGCGAAGGGATGAGCCCACATAGCCTGGCTACGGTAGCCAGTGATGCCCCGAGGGGCTTGTGAGAAGGGAACTGCCCGCATGGCGTGGCAAGCCAAAGGGATTACGAGGAGATGCGCGAAGGGATTAGCCCACATGGCCTGGCTACGGTAGCCAATGATGCCCCGAGGGGGTTGTGAGAAGGGAGCTGCCCGCATGGCGTGGCAAGCCAAAGGGATAACGAGGGGATGCGCGAAGGGATGAGCCCACATGGCCTGGCTACGGTAGCCAGTGATGCCCCGAGGGGCTTGTGAGAAGGGAACTGCCCGCATGGCGTGGCAAGCCAAAGGGATAACGAGGGGATGCGCGAAGGGATGAGCCCACATGGCCTGGCTACGGTAGCCAGTGATGCCCCGAGGGGGTTGTGAGAAGGGAACTGCCCGAATAGAGTGGCAAGCCAAAGGGATAACGAGGAGATGCGCGAAGGGATGAGCCCACATGGCCTGGCTACGGTAGCCTATGATGCCCCGAGGGGGTTGTGAGAAGGGAACTGCCCGCATGGCGTGGCAAGCCAAAGGGATAACGAGGAGATGCGCGAAGGGATGAGCCCACATGGCCTGGCTACGGTAGCCAGTGATGCCCCGACGGGGTTATGAGAAGGGAACTGCCCGCATGGCGTGGCAAGCAAAAGGGATAATGAGGAGATGCGCGAAGGGATGAGCCCTGGCTACGGTAGCCAGTGATGCCCCGAGGGGCTTGTGAGAAGGGAACTGCCCGCATGGCGTGGCAAGCCAAAGGGATTACGAGGAGATGCGCGAAGGGATTAGCCCACATGGCCTGGCTACGGTAGCCAATGATGCCCCGAGGGGGTTGTGAGAAGGATACTGTCCGCATGGCGTGGCAAGCCAAAGGGATAACGAGGGGATGCGCGAAGGGATGAGCCCACATGGCCTGGCTACGGTAGCCAGTGATGCCCCGAGGGGGTTGTGAGAAGGGAACTGCCCGCATGGCGTGGCGAGCCAAAGGGATAACGAGGAGACGCGCGAAGGGATGAGCCCACATGGCCTGGCTACGGTAGCCAATGATGCCCCGAGCGGGTTATGAGAAGGGAGCTGCCCGCATGGCGTGGCGAGCAAAAGGGATAACGAGGAGATGCGCGAAGGGATGAGCCCACATGGCCTGGCTACGGTAGCCAGTGATGCCCCGAGGGGGTTGTGAGAAGGGAACTGCCCGCATGGCGTGGCAAGCAAAAGGGATAACGAGGAGATGCGCGAAGGGATGAGCCCTGGCTACGGTAGCCAGTGATGCCCCGAGGGGTTTGTGAGAAGGGAACTGCCCGCATGGCGTGGCAAGCCAAAGGGATTACGAGGAGATGCGCGAAGGGATGAGCCCTCATGCATGGCCTGGCTACGGTAGCCAATGATGCCCCGAGCGGGTTATGAGAAGGGAGCTGCCCGCATGGCGTGGCGAGCAAAAGGGATAACGAGGAGATGCGCGAAGGGATGAGCCCACATGGCCTGGCTACGGTAGCCAGTGATGCCCCGAGGGGGTTGTGAGAAGGGAACTGCCCGCATGGCGTGGCAAGCAAAAGGGATAACGAGGAGATGCGCGAAGGGATGAGCCCTGGCTACGGTAGCCAGTGATGCCCCGAGGGGCTTGTGAGAAGGGAACTGCCCGCATGGCGTGGCAAGCCAAAGGGATTACGAGGAGATGCGCGAAGGGATTAGCCCACATGGCCTGGCTACGGTAGCCAATGATGCCCCGAGGGGGTTGTGAGAAGGATACTGTCCGCATGGCGTGGCAAGCCAAAGGGATAACGAGGGGATGCGCGAAGGGATGAGCCCACATAGCCTGGCTACGGTAGCCAGTGATGCCCCGAGGGGCTTGTGAGAAGGGAACTGCCCGCATGGCGTGGCAAGCCAAAGGGATTACGAGGAGATGCGCGAAGGGATGAGCCCTGGCTACGGTAGCCAGTGATGCCCCGAGGGGTTTGTGAGAAGGGAACTGCCCGCATGGCGTGGCAAGCAAAAGGGATAACGAGGAGATGCGCGAAGGGATGAGCCCTGGCTACGGTAGCCAGTGATGCCCCGAGGGGTTTGTGAGAAGGGAACTGCCCGCATGGCGTGGCAAGCCAAAGGGATTACGAGGAGATGCGCGAAGGGATGAGCCCTCATGCATGGCCTGGCTACGGTAGCCAATGATGCCCCGAGCGGGTTATGAGAAGGGAGCTGCCCGCATGGCGTGGCGAGCAAAAGGGATAACGAGGAGATGCGCGAAGGGATGAGCCCACATGGCCTGGCTACGGTAGCCAGTGATGCCCCGAGGGGGTTGTGAGAAGGGAACTGCCCGCATGGCGTGGCAAGCAAAAGGGATAACGAGGAGATGCGCGAAGGGATGAGCCCTGGCTACGGTAGCCAGTGATGCCCCGAGGGGTTTGTGAGAAGGGAACTGCCCGCATGGCGTGGCAAGCCAAAGGGATTACGAGGAGATGCGCGAAGGGATGAGCCCTCATGCATGGCCTGGCTACGGTAGCCTATGATGCCCCGAGGGGGTTGTGAGAAGGGATCCACCCGCATGGCGTGGCAAGCCAAAGGGATAACGAGGAGATGCGCGAAGGGATGAGCCCACATAGCCTGGCTACGGTAGCCAGTGATGCCCCGAGGGGCTTGTGAGAAGGGAACTGCCCGCATGGCGTGGCAAGCCAAAGGGATTACGAGGAGATGCGCGAAGGGATTAGCCCACATGGCCTGGCTACGGTAGCCAATGATGCCCCGAGGGGGTTGTGAGAAGGGAGCTGCCCGCATGGCGTGGCAAGCCAAAGGGATAACGAGGGGATGCGCGAAGGGATGAGCCCACATGGCCTGGCTACGGTAGCCAGTGATGCCCCGAGGGGCTTGTGAGAAGGGAACTGCCCGCATGGCGTGGCAAGCCAAAGGGATAACGAGGAGATGCGCGAAGGGATGAGCCCACATGGCCTGGCTACGGTAGCCAGTGATGCCCCGACGGGGTTATGAGAAGGGAACTGCCCGCATGGCGTGGCAAGCAAAAGGGATAACGAGGAGATGGGCGAAGGGATGAGCCCACATGGCCTGGCTACGGTAGCCAGTGATGCCCCGACGGGGTTATGAGAAGGGAACTGCCCGCATGGCGTGGCAAGCAAAAGGGATAACGAGGAGATGCGCGAAGGGATGAGCCCTGGCTACGGTAGCCAGTGATGCCCCGAGGGGCTTGTGAGAAGGGAACTGCCCGCATGGCGTGGCAAGCCAAAGGGATTACGAGGAGATGCGCGAAGGGATTAGCCCACATGGCCTGGCTACGGTAGCCAATGATGCCCCGAGGGGGTTGTGAGAAGGATACTGTCCGCATGGCGTGGCAAGCCAAAGGGATAACGAGGGGATGCGCGAAGGGATGAGCCCACATAGCCTGGCTACGGTAGCCAGTGATGCCCCGAGGGGCTTGTGAGAAGGGAACTGCCCGCATGGCGTGGCAAGCCAAAGGGATTACGAGGAGATGCGCGAAGGGATGAGCCCACATGGCCTGGCTACGGTAGCCAATGATGCCCCGAGCGGGTTATGAGAAGGGAGCTGCCCGCATGGCGTGGCGAGCAAAAGGGATAACGAGGAGATGCGCGAAGGGATGAGCCCACATGGCCTGGCTACGGTAGCCAGTGATGCCCCGAGGGGGTTGTGAGAAGGGAACTGCCCGCATGGCGTGGCGAGCCAAAGGGATAACGAGGAGATGCGCGAAGGGATGAGCCCACATGGCCTGGCTACGGTAGCCAATGATGCCCCGAGGGGGTTGTGAGAAGGGAACTGCCCGCATGGCGTGGAAAGCCACATTCAGGGCGAGTGTCGCTTGCGGGCAAGCTTGTGAGTCAGAAGCCAAACAATTGGCATCGTTTCATAACGAGGTAGTTTTTCGTAGGGACACTTCACAACACAAACGTATTTTTTATGTTGGAGAAACAACATCCTGGAGAGATTGTTCCTTTGATGCAGGCTACTGCGCATGCCGGTAGCCACGTGCCTTACATAAAAGTAACAGACAGGAGATTTCACAGTTGTGAGCTGTGGGTTCTCCTATATCAATCAGTCTACATGACTCTGAATGCATGGTAGTAGGGAGAATGCATTCGCTAGGAAGTCGTACGACGGAAATGCGCTCCAATGCTCCGACTGATACCGCATATGCCGTCTCGGACTTCCTTATTGCTTGCTGCTAGCTGTAAAGAAATCTAAATTTTCTACATATGCACTGATTACCTTAGGCTGAGACGATAGGTTTTCGCTTATCGATGCTGAAGCAGTTAGAGCGACATCTCACCGTGCAGCACAGCGTGAAGATGACTCTAAACCGCGACACTAAGCGCGTTATTCAGATGCTGGCCCCTGGGATGCCGGCCCCCGTCCTGGTAGGCCGTCGCATGATTGCGCGCACGCAGCATCGTGTTTTCGCGATCACGTCTGCCTCAACGCCCAGCTTGCAGCTAAACGCCTACATGTATGTCATTTATTTGTGACAGGACTATGTGTTTGCCGGCATGTCCAAGGCGAACGCTAACCGAACTGCCCATCCTTCAAGTGGGCCGCCTCCACCTCGATACGCGCTTCGCCAGTGCGACGCTGGGCCACGCGGTGAACTGTCGCTTCTAGAAGTGGCGACAGTAGCAAGTAACACAACTGCAATTGAAAGGTTTGGGAACCCGGAGGTTCTCCAATTCCACTACGTCCCTCGCCCCTGAACTCATCACAAAACGCAACAACGGTGGCGGTGACTGGAGAACATTGGAAGCAAGGGTCTGAGAATGGAGTGTGGAGTGTAAAGATGACGCGCGTCTTGTGGGTGGGTGTTAGCATTGCGCTCGCTGTGAGTGTCATGTGGCGGCATCAGCCCTTCCGAGGGAACGATAGAGCGCTGTGCAAAACTTCAATTGACCTGCAGTAGTTGCATCACTGTGAACAAGTACTACATTAGTTGAAGCAGGCGCTGAAACAAGCCCATGCGTGTTGCTGTGTATTCTTTCTCTTAGGACATCTGCACTTCTCCCTGACTCGAGGGGGCTTGCTAATAGCCGTACTCCCGCAGCAGTATTCGCTGCGGGCTGTGTTGTGGTGCTTCTTAGGTTTTACGCCCCATGTAGATGAACTGCCCGCCTGCCATGTATCATAGCTGTACGGCGTCGGCAACTAGTGGCTTTGATTTAATTCCCTTCGGGTTCTTGCATGTCTTCATCATTGGTGCGTTACTGCTTCTGCGAGAAGTTGAGCGGTTGAGGGTTTGCAATGGTGTGTGGCGAATTCGTCTTGCCAACCTTTGCGGAACGCCGAACTCTTGCGGAACGCTGCAAGCATGGCGGGTGTGTTTGTGTGCGGCGCATGAGTAACCAGATGCGCGCTGCTGCTGGTCTGCCTCGAAGTGGCTGTCCGGCTAGGCCGTGGTGCTTGCCTGCTTTAACCCCGGGCCAAATCGAATGGTATTTGGTATGGATGCCCCTGTAAAGGGCGTACGCGGTTCCCGTTCGTTGCATACCAAGTTGATACCGTAGACGAACGTGCTAATGCTGCTGAGTTGGTTAGGACGGTTGCTCCATGCTGGCAGTGTTACGTACCGGTATTTTTGTTCCGGTGTCTTGTTACCGTACTCGCCGCATGGGATGTGGGGCTTGCTGGAAACCTACCGCAGGATCACCTCGTTGATTTTGCAACTACAGTGCCCGTGTACGGTGTTTGGAGCTTCCTGGTCTGTGCTTTGCTGTTGTGCTTTGGCTTTAGACGTCTCTTTGCCTGGAGGAGCACCTTGTGTAAAGCTCCTGTTACCAGTCACGACTTCAACTGTTGTATAACGGGCAAGCAGCAGGAGTCTTAGTGTATTAAGAAAACTTGTCTCAGTGTATATACGCTGCAAAGCAGGTTGGGAAGCTTGTCGGCGCGACGACGTATTATGTGCAGGTGCGGTGACGTGATGCTACCGTGTTACGTGTGTTTCAAGCGTGCAAGCGACTGGGAAACGACCCATGGGACATGCAAACAGCCCCACCACCCGGTGTAACTGGAACTTTGTGCTTGAAGTATTCAGCCTGCGCAGAAGAGAACCTACAAGCATGTCTTATGTAACATGCTCTTACTGTGTCTTTGTGGACCATGATGAGATCACAGGCAAGTTAACGCAATGTGTCCAGTGGGGAGGTCTGAACAGCCTCTTAACAGGCTGGAACTGCAACCGTAGCATGGAGGGGAAGCAGCCTACCAGCTGAACGCCGTGAAGGGTAACGCTCTCGGCAGCTCCCCGGCGCTTGGACGTTCGCACCTGCCGCGCCCAAGTTGCAGTAATGACCATCTCTATATGCACACCCACAGTGCATCCCCCGGGGACTCCACGCCATTGCCAGTAAGTGTGTAGCCTAGTAATACGTATGCCACCTCCCGGTGTGGGGTCTCGTGAGAAGCCGTATCCGACTGTACCCGCCACTGGCCATATCCTGTCCAGTCAGGGACTCCAGCGGCCGCAAAACCAGAGGCCTTGGAAAGGTGAGCTATAAACGTCATAATTAGTCTGTCCCTTTGACGACTTTGACTGTTACAAAGTTCCAAAGTAAAGGCTTTGCATTAGCTGGAGCTTATGGCAGCTGACGGCGCACATGCACACGTTAGCGTGATCTTGCAGAGCTTGTGTTTTTCTTGCAGATCTTCCATGCGTATCACAGGATGTTGCAGGAAACATACCATTGGCCGACAAGGACGTAACACTAGCCTGTTGGCTTCGGTACATGCAAAGAACGGCAGGATATGGCATTACTTCAAGCAATTGCTACAGAAGATAGATACTTAATAACATGTTTGGAATTATCCTATATCGTAATTGGATGGTATAGAATGAGACGTTGATCACAGTTCACAGACTTTGGTGCATAAGGCCCTCGCCATCCCAGTCTCGAGTCACCTCAAGTTATGCAGCATTTCCCAATTCCCTTTCGGTTTGGATAGGGAGGTAGTAGAACTTTTAGGAGTCTCTAGGCTGTGGCCATCTTACGTGGGCCACCACAATCTTATGGCTGCTAGCGTCTGCTGCGGCTCTCAAAGCTCAGCCACCATGGCCTGCGCCAACACGCTGAATTACGTTGGTCGATGCCCATCCGCGGTCCTCCGGTCGGCGGTAGTGGTGCGTGCGGTAGCAGCTCCTACGCGACCAGCCAAATCTGCCGTCCCCGAATTGCTCGACGGCCGACTGGCAGAGCAGGCGACTATGAATTTCCACGAATACACGCAAGCAACACAGATGCTTAACAGGCTCAAGGGTCAGGCTTCCGACTTGGAGGTGCTGTTGGACCAGTTAAATGCACTTGAAGCTAGCCTGGACGATAACCTGCTGGTGAGCAATCCTTTGTCAGCTTTATAGTTCACTTCCGGATGTATTCATCGAATAAAACAGGCAAGGGTTTGCAGCTGCGTCCCTTCGGTGACACTTTTTCCAACTCCTCCAGGCACCGCCCCCTTTGGACGAGGCCGCAGAGCGGGCAGCCCGGCAGGCCAAACGCGCGGCAAAGCGAGCCGAGCGAAAGGCCAAAGCCACCACCGCTGCAGTTTCTGGCTCTGCAGCAGCAGCAGCAGCACCACCATCCACAAGCAGCACTTTGCTGCCTGCTGCCCCCGAGCCCAGCGTGAAGCCACGCCTCCAGCCCACCAGCAGCCGCACCATCAGCACCTCCTCCTCAGCTTCCTCTTCCCTGTCCACATCGCTACCCTCAAGCGCTAGCAACAGCAGCAGCGGCTCCAGCAACAGCAGCAGCGCAGCCGCAGACGTCATGCAGCTCGAGGAGCTGTTCAAGCTGACCTACGACGAGGAGCCCCCCGCGCTACCAGCACCCAAGTCCCCAACCAGCCCCATGGCGACACTCCCAACCATATTGAAGCCTGCGGCAGCAGCAGCGACAGGCTCCTCATCCCTGCTCCGCCCGCGCAAGGCCGTTAGGAAGCCCTCCGCTGCCCCTCCACCGCCTCCAGATGCCGCTGCTGCTCCTCCCGCAACAACAGAGGCAGCAGCAACAACATTGGCTCCGACCCAAATGGATTCTCTGTCTCTGGATGACCTGGAGATGCTGCTGCCGCCGCTACAGACACAACAACAGCAGACCGCACCGCTCCAACCCGAGTCTGAGCAGCAACAGCAGCAGCAGCGGAAACGCCCATCCCGGCCGGAAGCGCAGGTACAGGCGGTGCTGGCGCCGCCGCAGCCAGCGGCCACGCCCACGCGCCAGGCGCCTGCAGCGGGGCGGCAGCTCCTCCGGGACGACACTCACACCGATACCGACACCCATGCCCTGCAACAACAGCAGCAGCTGCTGCCGCAGCAGCAGCAGCGGTCGCACCAGTCAGGGCAACAACAACAGCAGCGGCAACCGGAGGAGCAGCGGGAGCGGCAACAGGAGGAAGCGGCAGCGCTGGGTATGCTGGAGTCGCTGGTATCCGCGGACCAAGAGGAGGATGCCTACGAGGACGTGCATGCTGCGGGGCCGTCAGACGAGGACCTGCGACAGCTGGAGTTCGACCTCCAACTAGCCGACGACTCCTGGGCAGGTGGTAGTACGCTGCTCGAGGCGGCTGCCATGGCTCCCCGCGGCGCCCGACAGCTCTCCCAGCCCTCCTCATCCGCATCCTCCTCATCCGCATCCCCTGCATCCGCACCCCTTTTGCCTGCCGGGCCGTCCCTCCTCAGTCTGGTTCCCGCATCCGCGGCGCCCGGCCGCAGCGCCAAGGTGCGTCAGGCTCGCCGCAGCGCGCGGTACAGCCACAGCAGCGCGGGCGCGCAGGGCGGCAGTGGCGCGGCGGGTGGGGCGGAGGCGGCGGGCGCGGGGCGCAGCAGCCGCTCCAAGGACTCCACCACTCAGTTCCTGACCTCCTCCACATCCGTGGACTTCCTGGATGTGGAGGCGGAGCGGGAGGTGATCGAGGTGTGTCGGGACTACCTGTTTCTGGAGAAGGTGAAGCGGCAGTGCCGGAAGACGCTGCATCGGAAGCCCACGCAGGAGGAGATTGCGGCGGCTGTGGGCATGGACGCAAGGTGGGCGGCCTTCGTGTGTGTGGTGAAAACTGGCAGTGTGGAGGAGCGCACTGTGGTTGCCAGAAGATGTGTATGTGCGACGACGGCTCGGTGCATATGACTTGACTTTTTCTGTTGTGAACAAACCGTAACACCTTCCGCGTGCATGCAACCCACCCATGCTACCCTCATACACCGCCCCCCCTCCAGGTCCTACCTTCACCGCTACGACGCGGGCCTGCGCGCCAAGGAGGTGCTGCTCAAGTCCAACTACCGGCTGGTGATGACGGTGTGCCGCAAGCACCTGCGGCCCGGCATGCAGCTGCAGGACCTGGTGTCGGAGGGGGTGCGCGGGCTGCTGCGCGGCGTGGAGATGTTTGACGTGAGCAAGGGCTTCCGGTTCGGCACGTACGCGCACTGGTGGATCCGGCAGGCCATCACACGGTCCATGGCGGTCACGGGGCGGGCAGTCAGGTGGGTGCAGGGGGGGAGGAGGGGGCTGCAAGGGAGCAGGTGGTTTGGTACGGGGAAAGGAGGCAAGTAGGCAAGGGAATGCGGTGTGGGGGGTTCGGATACGGGGTAGTTGGCAAGGTGTGGATAGGTATCCCGTCTGTCTTTCTCTCTCTCGCTCTCCCTTCTCCCACGTCCTCACTCCCACTTCTAACCCTCCCTCCTCCTCCTCCTCGCACCCCCCCAGGCTGCCCGTCCACATGATCGAGCAGCTCAGCAAGGTGCGCACCGTGTCGGCCCGCCTGGCCGCGGAGCTGCTGCGCGAGCCCACCGCCGCCGAGATCTCCGCCGAGCTGGGGCTGCCGGTGCCGCGCATCCAGCTTCTGCTGGAGGCCGCGCGTGCCGCCTCCTCCATGGACACTGCCATCAACGGCGACGAGAGCGGCGGCACGTTCAAGGACACCGTGCAGGACGACCGACGCGCCGCGGATGAGGAGTTTGGGGCGGACAGCTTGCGGGGCGACATGGAGGCGTTGCTGGGGGGAATTCCGGAGCGGGAGGCGCGGGTGCTGAGGTTGCGGTTTGGGCTGGATGATGGGAAGGAGTGGACGTTGGAGGAGGTGGGGGATGTGCTGGGGGTGACGCGGGAGCGGATTCGGCAGCTGGAGGCGAAGGCGTTGCGGAGGTTGAAGGTGGCGTCGATTGACGAGTGCGGCAAGCTGCGGGAGTACAGCGAGAATCTGCGGCAGCTGGAGGAGCATGAGGTGACGGCGCGCACCTCGTCCGGCACGCGCAAGTCGAAGTAGGGATGAGGAGGAGGGAGAGCTGAGGGGGGGGTGAGAAGGGGGAAGGACAGGTACAAGGAGGGAGGTGTGGGGGGAGGAGATTGGGCCTCGTCGCGGTTGGGTGGTTGGTGCCTTGTGCGCACCGCCTTGCTGGACCTGTCGTTAGCCGCAACGCATAAGCCGCTGTACGTTTGTACGGCACACAGCATGTCTTCGGTTGGACCTGCTGGTAGCGGCAGGGGCGGGTGGGCGCTTATACTGGAGACGGAGGGTGCGCTTGGCAGCGGTGCCTCACCGGCGATCCGGGCGTTCCTATTCGCTTTTTGCCACGCAAAGGTGTAGGCTCTTTGGCAAGCTGTTAGCATAACGGTATGCTGTTGCTGCTGATGTTTCTGTCCTTTATAGGCGATAGCAGCCGCGGCAGCAAGAGTTGGAGTGTCGGGGAGTTCAGGAGGTAGGGACAGAAAGGGATTCGTGGGGCTTGGTTTCAGACCCAGACCCCCTTTCAGAGCGAGTATGTGAAGGCAGTTGATGGATGAGGGAGTGGGAGAGCGAGAACAGCAGCAGCAGCAGCACGGATGCACATGTGGCTCCTGACGCGTGCCGCAAAGCTTTTTTTTACGGCATTTCAAGGACTCAAGAAGGACTCGCGTTTTCGTCGTGCTTTAACGTCACATTGCGTTATTGCGCCGACATCGTGAGCAGTTTATGCGTCTGTTGTTGTTTGTTGTTTTCTTTGAGAATGCTGCACTACTGGTACAGCAGTATAGAAGTACCGCAGCCGTGGCGCGACGCTACTGCACCATCACAAAAAGATGACGAATGGGCCTGGAGAGGTTTGCAAAGGATGGAGGAGAGAGACGCGGGTGGTTTGCGTGATACCGCGATAGAGAGAAAGAGAGAGAGGCCGAGGTTTATCTGCGGCGCTTTGGCCATGACTGGGTGTCCTAGACCCCGCGTGTCATGCTGCTTTGTATACTCTGTTTATTGTTCGCTGGATGGGGAAATTGGTTGACGCCCATGTGCGGTTTCCGTTTCCCGGTTTTCCGCTTCCCGGTTTCTTGTTAGGGGTTTCTGCTAGGCTGGGAGGGTTGCGTAGGTGACTGAGGCTGAGTGTGGCGTGTGGCAGGAAGTTGCCAACCACGAGGGAGGGAATGATGGTGGTAGTAGAGGTTATGTGTGTTGGGATTTCCGTGTGTGGCGTGGCAGCGGCTACATCCCTGCCGGAAAGCAAGAGATCAAGGGCAGCATGTAGATGCATTCGGGGTTGAAGTCGCGTAGTCCTTTTCGAGAAGCCCCTTATAGTCGTAGTGCTGATGGCGAGGCTGTGAGCACGTAACCTGTACCGTAATAGAACAGAGGAGGGGCACCGCCCTTTTCCAGCTTTTAGGAAGCTGAGCCCGCTTGTCGCTAGGGTAGTCCGTCCCTCCAAAGCTAGTCCGTTGACTGAGTTGTCTGGATGCTGCATGATTGCTGCCTGTTGAGGGGCAGGCGTTGTAAAGTGTTATGGAAGAGCATGGATCAAGGGCAACAACTGCAGTCCCCACACCCGCAGAGCTGTCCCGCTCTTGTCGGTAGGCAAGGGTTGTTTCGGCTCTAGCCTTTAAGAGCTCTTCAGGAGCGCATGACATGACGTCAAAAGCCCCCCCAAGCACCCGCAAGAAGCCAGGTCACGCTAGCAAACACATCCCAGTTCCCACGCCTGCTCCATCCCAGCCGTCCCGTGCAGCCCGCCTCAACAGATCAGCCGGCCAGCAACACACAGGTACGCAGCACGTGGCCTTTGCAGGGGAGGACGGGAGCAGAACCCGCTTTGGCGATGACACGCCTCGTACTGCACTGTTGTGCTCTGTGTCTCGGGTGGAGCTCGTCTGGCGGGTCCTGGGGCGCAGACGTGCGCGGTGTAGCTGGCTGGTGGGTAAAATTTGTCGTTCCGATCTCTTTCTTTCATGGGTTCGATACCGCCTTCCTGGCAAGCACGACAAGCGTCGTCATTTTCACGAGGCTTCCTTTCCCACCGTACAGGGATACTGTACGTGGAGTTGCAGTAGACATCTGTTGTAAGGTGCCCATGCGCACCCTCGCAATGTCATTCATCATATAAGTCGTATCAGTCTCCCTTAGTCGTGTCGTGTCGGCCCTGTCAGTCACATGGACTGCATGGCATTGAGGTCTAGCCACTGGCACAAATGGACTACATGTGGGACCTTATATGGGACTTTGTATAGCCTGCACTTGCTCAGTTCAGAACACTATTTTTGACATGTGCTGCACGTGTAGCCAGACAACTCTAGAAAGTAGCAGCTTAGTTTTCCTCCACGTAAGCTGCCATACTAATAAGCCTTACACTCCAAACGTCTAAGCGTCAGAAGAATGAGCGTGTCAGACGTTTGTAACATGGTTGCTTGGTTGGCGACCCTGTGCCGGTTCCGGTTACGCCGTACGTCAACTGCCAAACTTAATTTGGGAGCAAATGTTGCGCTTTAGACGGTTGCTCTTCTCGCGTATAGATATGGACTATGTAGCGCCATTGGTGCTTATTATGGGAATGGAAAACAACACAACTAAGCTGCTGTAGAAAACATGTGGTCCCCTTTTGTGCACTTGAGCGACAGGGAAGTGAAATGAAGTACTTAATATTCCTTCTTCTTACAGTAGCACAAACTACATGCATACTTGCAGCTTGCAATGATACAGACGTCTGTACTGCCGGGCTTGTTAGGGATGTCTTAGCCGCCTTCTCTGCGAGGTAAAAGCACCTGTGCTTGTAAACGCTTTCAAACTACGGTTAATGACAATTTGCTTGCTATTGCGTTCAGCGGGATCGAGGTCGCAGATGCCTCGGCAGTAGGCAGCGCGCTGGCCACGGTGGTAACCAACTTCAGTTCCTCTTGCCTGGGAATCACTCAGAGCGCTTTAAGAGTATGTATAATTTACCTGTTGCATAAAGTATATAGGAGTAGGCTTCTAACCGGTTTGCGCCTTCCGGTACCACCAGTGTCTGGGTTTGGGCACGCAACGGTCCACGCAGTGTTTTCCGCGTTGACCGCCTCGACTTTGCTGTCCATTACCAAACCCGAATCCCCTCGCCTTTTCCTCCGCCTCTTACATCCACAACAGGCGGTCCGATTGCTGTCACCCAGCGGCAATGAGGACAACCTGGCACAGCTCGCCGGAAATTACACCATCGCCACGGGTTACCGCATTGAGGTCACATCCATGGACCAGGATCGCATCGCGGAAGAGGTCAACTTTCAGATGGACACCAACGGTAAGCCGTCAGACCTACCCACCAGCAGATGCGATCATGTCCAACCCTGGTCAAACAATGTACTCTTTCCCTTCATACCCAACCCGCTGCAAGTAATCCTTGTACACAATCCCCATTCCTTGCCATTACTGTAATGCCATTACCACAACGCCGCTACAACGCCCCGCGGTATGCAGTGTCCCTATACGACGCTTGGATCCTGGACGTTCCCTCCTCCGAAACCGCGTTGCGGGCTGGCGGCGTTGCGCTTCTGGGCGAGCTGGCAGCGCGAGACGCGGCGGGCCCGGGCTGGCTTGCGCAGAGCGGAGTGCACCCGTAAGCAACTGTTTTGGTTTGGTGGGCTTCCTGTCCTCCCTCTGTGACGGTCCACATCGGAAAAAACAATGCCTGCCTGCGGTGCTGTGTAGTGCCTGCATGCCATCCTTGACACGTGTCCACTTGTTGTGTTGTGCTTCAACAACTGCCACGCAACTCCCGTACTTACACGTTTGCGTCCACGCATCGCTACTCCCCACCACGCTCCCTATTACCACCACCAGGGGGCAGGGGGGTTCAGAGATATACCAGAACCACAGGTTAGGGCAAAGCAGTTGAGACAGGGGGAAGCAGTTTGTTACGAAACAGAAAAATTAGTTGCCCCTACCGATACCAAGGGCGGGGAGGGGGCGGGAGACGGACACTCGGACAGGTCAGAAAGAAAGCAAACCAAAAACTGGAGTCCACAAGTTAGCGCAGAGGAATGTGGACAGGTGGCAGTGGGAATGGAAGGGAGGAGGTGGTGGGCTGGGGGTTAACGAGTGCAGGAGGGTAGTAGTCCCTGTCACTCTGACGGAGTGCGACTAGTCACGGCAGCTGAGCTGATTCAATACATCCTCGTGTCTTTTAAAGTGCCCAAGCCCCGCTTTATAATTGTAAGTACTTCACGTACACACCCAGAACCTACCCTACCAAGCCACCTGTCCCATGACCCACACCCGACCCATGGGTCACATGCATGCATACATGCCCTCCCCACCTCCACCTCCACCCTGCACAGCTTCCTCCAAACCTACGCCGCCTCCTACAACGGCTCCCTCACCAGCGTCGTGCTCAGCGGCCAGGTGCCGCTGCTGTACTGGCGCCGCGACATCTTCGCAGCGCACCTGGGCCCCGCCGCCGGGCCGCCTGCCACCTGGGAGCAGCTGCTGCAGGCCGCCGCCTGGCTGCATGGACGCGACCTGGACGGGGACGGCCAGCCGGACTCCGCGCTGTGCTGCCAGGCGGAGGGGTGCTTCACGTCGGGGGTGCTGCTGGGGGCGATGCTGGCGAGCATGACGCAGCACCAGGTGTGTTAAGAAAGCTGGCCGCGAATCGGAACGTACTGTGATTGTCGGAAGATGAAGGTGTGGGTGTGTGGGTGTTGAGAAAACTGGTCGTGAGTCGGAACGTACTGTGATTGCTGGAAAACGATGTCCCCACCAAAACGCCACGGGAGCCGAGGAATAGGTGCGTCGGTGATCAGGAGGATTGTCCGCGGGTGTGGGCGGGTGTAGATAGGGATGCGCCTGCTTGCGCGCTTTGGCTTGCATCGGTTGCATATCCGTGTCCCTTCGCCGCACTCCCTGCCCCTGCCCCTTGCGCGCCCTGATGCCCGTCTTCATACCCATTCAATCATCATCGCACCTGAGAGGTATCGCCTTTAACCCGCCTGCCTGCATCCGCCGCCCACATCACCCCAACCCGCCGCCCCCCCCTGGTGTGTGGTGTGCCAACCGACCCAAGGGTCTGTCCACCGGCTGGCTCATCCATCCCGACACCATGGCCCCGCTCGCCTCGGGTCCCCCGCTGCTGCGGGCGCTGGGGCTGCTGCGCAACCTGTCGCGCTACGAGTGCAGCGGCAGCAGCGGCTGCAGCTACGTGCACACGGCGTTCTTCGAGGGCACGTGCGCCATGACAATCAACTGGGCGCAGCAGTTCAAGGTAGGGATCCAGAAGTAGGAGGAGGAGGAAAAGGGGGCGGCTTGGGTGGTAGGTGTAGGAAAAGGAGGGGGCGGTAGGAGTCCCAACATGGGATGGAGGAGGGGTGTGGGAGACCACGAAGGCCCATGAGGGAGAACCAAGGTAGCCTAGATAGGATGCTTAGATACCGGTAGGATGTAGCCGGGGGGGGGGCGGGTCATGCAGCAGCAAGGCTCAGCATGCGACCGTCCTGTCGTCTTGTACGTACGTCTTATTGCCGCAGGTCGCTGAGCTCAAGTATCCCGAACTCCGGGGCAACGTGGGCGTGGCTGCCCTGCCGGGATCTGCCGAGGTCTGGGATCGTACGACGAATACCTGGGTGTCGTGCGATGACGTGGCTACAGCCTGTCCGTACGCGACGACCGAGGCGCCCTTACAGCTGGCCTCGCCACCGCCGCCACCGTCGCCGACGCCGCCGCGGCCCTCCCCGAGAGGGGGTGAATCTAATTGGGTCGCCGCTATTCCTCCACAGCCGCCGACACCACCGCCGGCGCCACCGCTACCGCCGCGGCCCCCGCCGTTACCGCCATCGCCGCCGCGGCCGCCGCTGTTACCGCCGGCGCCTCCGCGGCCGCCTCCGCGCCCGTCGCCGCCGCCGCGTCCACCACCTAAGCCCTCGCCGCCCTCGCCACCACTGCCTCCCACACCCCTTCCGTTGCCGTCCCTACCACCAGCACCACCACTGCCTCCTACCCTGCCGCCGCTGCCGTCCCTACTACCAACACCACTGCCTCCCACACCACCACGGTCACCCGATGCTGCTGCTGCTCCTCCCGCCCTCCGTTCCCTGCTGGCTAGCAGCGGCAGCTCTTCCAGCTACAACAGCAGCAGTGACAGCAGTACCGGCAGCAGCGGCAGCAGTGTACGAGTCAACCGTGCGCCGTACTCGGGCATGGCCGCGCTGCTGGGAGGTATCGATGCACGAACACCCCCAGAGTACCAGTCCGTCGCCTTCGCCTTCTTCGCTCAGGTGTGTTGTAATGGGTAGTAGCTTGACAGCGGCACTGGCTGCTTGCACGCTCTGCCTTACATCCCCCCAACCGTCTTCCTCTCCCTCCCTCCTGCGGAGCTTTCACACCCTGTTGTCCCCCCCTCCCTCCCGCCCCCCTTTTCCGCCCCCGCCCCCCAGTCCGCCTCCCCCAACCGCTCCTGGGATCAGGTGCTCAGTGTGGATTCGGTGGTGGGGCCCTTCCGGCTGGAGCACCTGCGGGAGGAGGGATGGGGGCGCTGGCGGGCAGCGGGGTTTGACATGAGGGATCTGGAGGTGGGTGAGGGGGGCCGGGCGCTGGTCTGGTTGCTTGCTGGCCCCCTGACTGACACCTCACCCATCCCTACCTCTGCGCTCCTTAACCCCTGCTTCCTCCAGTCTCCCACGCAATTCTAAAATCCAGCCTAATGCGGAAACATGTATTGCTACTCATCCCCTCCCCTCCGCAGCCCTTCCTGGCCGCCTGGACGGGCGCCCTGGAGCACCCCAATGCCGCTCTACCGCTGCGGCTGCCGGGAGCCGCGGCGCTGCGGGACGCCCTCACCTGGGCGGCGGAGGGGGCGCTGGGGGGGAGTGCGGAGCTGGAGGGGGTGGCAGCGGGGCTGCAGGAGCGGCTGCGGGCGGCGCTGGATGGGGCAGGACCGCTGGGGGAGGTGTGAGGGGCGCGGTGGTGGGGGAAAGGAGAATACCCATTGTGTTGTTTGATGATGGTAACCTAGGTGACAAGCGGTGGAGGGAGGGGTAAAGGGGGGCGGGGAGGGGGATAGTTGGAGATTGGAGTTTTAGGGGGAATCTCTGCCTCCTACCTCTACCCCTCTTCCTCCCCCCTGCAGGTTCAGAAGGTGTACTGGCAAACCATCGGCTACCAGCCACCCGCCACACCGCCGTCGGGGGGGTGAGTGCTCCAGCTCATACGTGGCCCTCATGGCATTGAAGTAATAGGTACTAATCGCCGGAATGACAAATAGTTAGTTCGTTGGTTAGTTCGTTAACCTGGGCCAGTCAGTCCTCGACGTGTTGGACCTGATGGGTGCATCAGTCGCCATGGGCCATGTTCTATAGCCCCCTGCAGCCAAATCTTTGTCCGTCCCCAACACAATCTGCAAGCGTCAACCGTCATACCCCGCATACGCTAACAAGCACCGCCGTGCGTGCGTGTGTGTGTTAAAATAACTGGCCGCGAGGCGAAACGTGTGTGTGTGTGTGCGTGTTTTCCTTCCCCCCCGTTTCCCCCCCTCCCCCGCAGCTCCCCCTCGTCCTCGCCGCATCCCACCCCCGCCAGCAGCGGCGCCCGGCTGGACGTGGGGGTGCCTGTGGCGGCGGTGGGCGGGGTGGCGGTGGTGCTGGCTGGGGTGCTGCTGCTGCACCACCGCCGGCAGCGGCGGCAGCGGAGGACGCTATGGGGTCGCGCGCTGGCGCCGGGGGCTGCACCGGGGACATCTTTGGTGGTGACGGTGAGGCAGGAGTGAGGGGGTCACAGACCACGTACCAAACCATAGGAAACCACATGTTAGGGCAAAGCAATGGGGATAGGAGTCGGCAGGGTGCCACAATACAGAGTGTTGGTTGGGTGGGAGGAGGGGGTGGGAGGAGGAGGGAGCGGAGGCAGGGGTGGTGAACGTGACATGGGGCGGGGTGAAGGAGGAGCTTGGGGAGCGTGCCGATACCGGTAACTAAAGAAGGGGAAAGTAAACGGCGCAAACAGCCATACACACATACACACACTCTTCATCTTCCGCAGCTGCCGTATCAATACAGCACGCGCCCAAACTACCGTATTTCGGCCCCAGTGTACTCCTCGACACGCACACGCACATGCTCCTCACTGCACCGCACTGCGGTTGCCCCCCCCCCCCACCCACACCCACCCTTTCCGCGGCTCAGCTTATCTAATCCCCCACCCAACCCACTTGCCGCAGGACATTGTGGACTCCACGCGGCTGTGGGAGACGGTGCCCTCCATCGCCATGTCCAGGTGGGGGGTGGGGAGGTCGGAGGGTAGGGAGGACAAGGGGCGGTAGGGGGGCGGCAGGAGTGGGGGGGGGAGGTGGTGCATATGACGCGGCAGAGGCCGTCGTGGCGCCTCTCGTGCCGCTGCTGTTGCTGCTGCTGCTGTGGGGCTCGCTATGTGGTACTGCTACGGGTGCTGCCGCCTCAACCTCTGGTGCAGTGATGCTGCCTCCGGGGCCCTGCCGCCTGTGTGTCTGGTGTTACGGGCGCTTCTGGCTGCTCTGCTCCCGGGCATGAGCTGATATACGGCCCCCGTTTGTGGCCGCGAGTAGGAACGTACTGGGATGTCGGAAGATGAAGTCCCCACAGAACCGCCGCAGAACCCCCGTGCGTGTGTGTGTTTGGAAGCAACAGAGCCGGGGAAATGTACGACGGACCATGCGGCTGATCGCGTGTATGGGTGTTCAGAAAACTGGCCATGAGTCGGAACGTGCTGGGTGTGCCTCCTGGTTGTTCCCCCCCCCTTTTCCCCACATTAGGGCTTGTCAGCTTGTTTTACCGGTATCACACCACACACTGGAATTTCGTTTTCCCCACACCTCCCCCCTCAGGGCTGTCCAGATGCACCATGACACGCTGCGCTCGCTGCTGGGGTCATACAACGGATACGAGTCGGCAACGGAGGGGGTGAGGAGGGCGGGCGGGAGGGCGGGAGGGCAGGAGGGGCAACTGAGGGAGCCGGGAGGGCTGCTGGGGTGTGGGTGTGGCGCCAGGCTGCTTTCCCTGTCTGTGATTAGGTCTCCTGTGCGTGTATTAGTCGAGAAAACTGGCCGCGATTAGGAATGACCCGTGTGTTCAGAAACGTGGCCGCGAGTCGGAACGTACTGTGATTGCCGGAAGATGAGGTCCGTGATGACCCCAACCCTCGAGGAGGTTAGCTTTCCTGTGTGCTTGCTGTATACCGCTACTACGGTATTTGTGGTACCATCCCTATGGTCGCCTTGATTACCTCTATCTCTACAGTGCTAACACCAACTACCAGGTCGAAGAAACCCAACTGCTTGCAAACGCTGCCGGCCCCTGCTCCCCCTCCTCCTCGTCTTGTGTCCGCGCCCCAGGACGCTTTCATCTTGTCGTTCTACACAACAGCCGATGCGGTGGCATATGCGCTGAAAGCCCAGGTGAGGGTGGGAGGAGGAGATAAGTGCGAGCCGCGAGGAAACACCGAGACCGTGGCCATAGAAGATCCGTGAGGCACCGGAGCGCACACGGCCGCTATATGCCCTGAATGTCCAGCAGAGTATGCCCTGACTTCCGGGGACGAAGGGGTGCCTCTGCACTCCCGTGGTGGGCTGCTTTCCCGCCCTCACCGTCTGCCTCTCTCGCAGCGTCTCCACCCAGTCGCCGCCCAGTCAAACCGCGCGGCTTCGTCCTTTGCAGCAGCATCTTCCAGCCCTCTGGGGCTACCGATACCTAATCCCCCCTCCCTCTCTCTGCTCCTCCTCCTCCTCCTCCTTCTCCTCCTGCGCTTCCTCCTCACCCCCCTGCCCTCAGGCCGCGCTGCTGCATCAGCCTTGGCCGCTGGAGCTGTGTGAGGAGGAGCCCTGCAGGCCGCTGTATGTGATGGTGGGTGGGGGGGGGGGGGGTGGGGGGGAAATTATATAATTGAAACAACGAATCTCAATCCCATATCCCGACTCATGCAGTGAGCGCATTCGGAGGCACTGGGTGGGAAAAAAGAAATTCCAAAGTGTGGTGTGATAATGATATAAGTTGCTGACAATCCCTGGTGGAATGAACCGTGAGTCGAGCCGAAATGGTGGTGAAAGCAAAGCGAGCTAAACTGGGTGGGGGTGGGGGGTCATGACGGCGACAAACACAGCACACATGGTGTACCCTATCCAGTGTCTGGACGGGCCTGGACGTGTCTATCCACCAACATGGGGGCAGGGTGCAAGGGGGGGGGCGACATGCCGACATGTGATGGGACATGCTGGGGTTGCTAGGGCCCAGCGGGGCACGGGGAGGTGAGGGAGCGCATGGCCCCCCTGGGGTATAAGCACTGTGTTTTTGCAGTCCCCCTGGGTCTTGACGCTCCCTATCCCCGTCAACCGCACCTTCGCCTCCCCAACTCCCCGACACCCGACACCGGTACCCTCCTGCCGGCCCCCTCCGCAGGCCCGGCCCCTCTGCGGCGTCTCCTCTGAGCGACCCCGCGGCTCAGGCCTACCCCGCAGCGGCCTCCTGCCGCTGCCGCTGCCCCTCCCCCTGCCCGGACCCCGCAGCCCGGGGGGACCCTCTCCCGGCCTGGGTCTGTTCAGGGGCGATCTCCCAGGTCCCCTGCAGCAGCTGGGGTTGGGCTTGACCAGCCTTGCAAGCGGCGGCGGAGGCAGCGGCGGCGGAGGGATGCTGGGCTCGCCGTTGCGTGGGGCGGCTAGCGGTGATGTCGGGCTGTCGTCGTCACAGCTGAACAGCGGTGGCGGCGGCGGCGGCGGTGTCAGCAGCAGGCATGCAAGGGTCCTGCGCGGAGGTTCGGCTTCGCCTGGATTGCACGCAGGAGCGGAGGAGCAGCAGTCCGCAGCGGCGGCGGCGGCGGCGGGGCAGTTGTACGGCGACAGCGGCAGTCGGCCGCCGTCGTCGCCGCTGCCGTCGCTGGCGCCGCCGCATTGGCTGTCGTCAGCGGTGTTGTCCGCCTCTTTCCGAAGCCTGCGGAGGAACACATCGAGCAGGACGCCTGACGGCGGCGGTGGCGGCGGTGGCGGCGGGCCGTTGACAACGCCGGCGGCGACGCTGCTGAGGCGTCAGCCGTCGACGTCGCTGCCGCAGGTGCCAGCTGTGCCGCTGCCGGCCCCGCCAGGGGCACTGCAGCTGCAGACCGCGATGTCCCTGCCGCATGGCTCCTCCCCGCTGGGCCGCAGGGCTCCGCAGGTTCAGAACTCAGCCCAGCCTCAGCCTCCTCCTCAGCCGCAACCACAGTCCTCGCAAATACAAAGTTCCCATTCAGCACCGATCCAGTTTCATGCACGACAGCAGCAGCAGACGGTACGTTCGTACATTAGGCATCCACGCACCTTCTTCCGTGATCGTACGGCATCCGCAGCGGCGGAGGCGGAGGCGGCGGCGACGCCACAGCAGCAGCAGCAACGGGAGGATCTTGTAGTTGTCGGCAATGAGAGCGATACTGTGAGTCTTAGCACCTGCTCTAGACAGGCGTACGGCAACAACGGCACGGAAGGGGAACAGCGGGACATATCTTCCTGCCTGCCACACGCATCCACGTCAGCAAATCCGGTGCTTGACGGCGGCGGCGGTGACGGTGGCGGCGGCGGCGTAGCTTCATCATCCGTACCGCTGTCCATCGCAATGCGCCATGCAACGGCGACAACCGCCCCAACAGCCGACCCTGTCCCGACCTCCTTGATTCCCCCGTCAACCGCTATCAGCCCCTGTACTAGCCCGAGATTCACAGCGCTGCTGACCGACACGGTTTCAAGTGGGGAGCCAGTGACAGTGGCGGAGGCGGCGGCACAGTTAGCGGCATCGAACGAGGCTGCACTCACGACAACGACCGTGTCTTTACCGGCCCCGCTGCCGCTACTGCACTCCACGGGCTCTCGGCTCCGGTTTGTAGACACCAATCCCGTACTGATGGGGTTAGACTCCTCTGACGTCAGCTTTTCGGGTACGGTCGTAACCGAAATAACGGTGGCAACCGCAACCGTAACGGCAGCGGGAACTGCTGTAGGGGCGACGGCGGCCGCCAGCAGCGGCAGCGGGGGCGGTACCAGCCCGCCGGCTAGCGGTAACGGTCTGTGGGGCTCACTGGCTCAACTGCAACGCCGACTGACCCCGCCGCTGAGTGCACTGGGCACCTCCCTGGGGGCAACCGGCGGCGCAGGAGCGACCGGTTCGCGTGTTAGTAGCGAGTGAGTCAGGCTGACGTTACGTGCCGTACTTTGACGCTTTTCAAATGCAGCGGTTACCGTAAAAGGTCGACACTGCCAGTTTGTGAGCGTGTTTGCGTTTGGTATGAGGCATCATCTCATTTAATCGTAGCCTGCTTTGCTCCTCGCTCAATCAGTAGCAGACCCAAACGCGTACGGCAATGTGTGTTGGACACACGTGTGTGTTGTGACCACTACCAACATTGCTTTCTGACTTTGGCGATACCCGCTGCAGGGCTCCCAACTCTGGTGGCGGCGGCGGCGGTACGGCATCTTCCGGCAATGGCGGCGGCTTCTTAACCTCCAGCGGAGGTGGCGGCGGCTACTACACCGCCGCCTCCGCCGCCGCTGCTGTCGCCGGCGCCGTACGCACCTTAACGCTTGGCGCCTACTTCCAACAGCTCTACCGTCCTTGCGCAGTGGGGGAGGAGCCGCCTCCAGGCTCGGTGCTGGTGTTTGGGGGCCTGCAAGTGCGCATGGGGTGAGAGAGGGAGCGCCGCGTCGGGTGCTGCTGCTGCTAGTGCTGCTGCTACTGCTGATTACCTGTTCAAGGTTGCACGCCTTGTATCGTTCTCGTCACTGCTCCAGACTAGCCTTGAAGGGAACTGAGCTGCAGCTGCCCAGCAGCTCAGCGCTCCTGCAGCCTTCCCTTCTGCTAAGTTGCTGCCACTGCTCGCCGTCACTCGCCCGCCCACCTCCATCTCCCACCTGCCTGCCCACCTCCCACCTGACCATGAAATCATGCCGTACCGTACCGTGTTTCCCCCCGTTTCAGGATCCACGCGGGCGTGGCGGCGGGGCAGGTGTCGTACAACAAGGTGGCTGGTCGTACGCAGTACAGCGGGGCGGTGCTGGAGGGGGCCAAGGCAGTGGGGGACGCCGCGCAGGTGTGTGTGTGTGTGTGTGTGTGTGTAGTTGAGTAGAAACAAGAGCAAGCAGTTGGGATAGGTTCGCATGTGAACCGCGAGTATAGTCAAAACAGAGGCAAAGCAGAGATTCACAAACCTGAAACGTAACTCAATAACTGCTTTAAACGCGGGTGCTGGATGTAAGAAGAGTGGCGGGTTGACGACGCATGTCGGTGATGCTGATGGTGTCGGGAAAAACTAATTACTGCTGAGTACCTAGCCCGCTGACCAACTCGACGCCGGGAGCCCCCGCTCTGGTCACGCAGACGAGACACCACAATGCTGTGCATGCGTGCGTGCAAACGCGCATTGCGTACCTGCGAGCAAAAGCGCCGTAGTCAGCACCAGTACCAGCAGCTGCAGTAATGCGAGTAATGCCATGCGCAGGAACATGAACCAGAGCGAGGAAAAGGGGGACAGAGTTAGAGACAAAATGGACCTAGATCGAAGTGCGAAATGTACGGCAAAGCAGGATGGCATGTGAGACAGGACGAACGCAAGCACAACACAACATGAATGCAAATGCAGAAAACAAAGACAACACAACCGGCGCGAGTGGTCGAGCAGGCACTGAGCTGTGGCTGCAGCGGTCAGCTGAACCGCACTGAGAAGTAGCGTTGTCTAAGAGCAAGACGACGTGTGACGACGTGTGTGTGTGTGTGTTAAGGAAACTGGCCGCGAGTCGGATCGTACTCGATTGTGTACCGTATGTGTTTCGGTTGCCCCCGCATTTACCCCGCATGTGTCGCATGTTGTTGTGCAACCCATTGTGAAGCCTCGTCATACAGTCCGTCAGTTTTCCTTATTCTTAACACCCTTACGTGTGTTGAGCCACTACGACATCTCATATCAACCATCTCACCGTTCCAACCGCCCCTGGTGGTCGAATCGCACGACTTACCCCCTACTGCAACCGCACCGTACTGCAGGGTGGCATGGTACTGCTCAGCGAGGCAGCATTCGATCAACTTGTACGGCCGACGGAGACCGCCGGCAGCCGCGGCCTCGGGGGCGGCTTGTTGCACTTGGGCGGAGGTGGCGGCGGGGGCGGCGGAGGCAGTCGTGATGCGCTGCAGGTGCTGCTGCTGCACATGGGGCGTCACCTGCTCAAGTCGGGGCCGGAGGCCGTGACGCTGTACATGGTAGGTGGGGGGTTAGGGGAAGGGAGGGATGCAGGAGGGGGGTGTTAAGGGGTGTGGGATGCGGGTTTAGGAGGGTCGGTATGGGTGGGCAGGAAGGGAGGGAGGGAGGCATGCCGTGTCTAATACTCTAATTAGTCCCTTCTCCGTCGCGTCACCTTCCTCCTCCTCCTTCTCTTCCCCATCTTCCACCCCCTCCCAGGCCCAGAGTCGCGACCTGCTCCCGCGCATGGCGCTCCTCTGCCCCTCCTCCTCCTCGGCTGCTGCCGCCGCCGCCGCCGCCACAACCGGAGCAACAAACGCCCCCGGACTACTGCCCGCATCGCCACCAGCAGCAGCGGACGTGTCCCCGGTCCGCAGCGTGTGTGAGTTGGAGCGGGGTGCGCTGCATGCGCCGCTGGGGGAGGTGGCGATGGCGGTGCTCATGGTGGTGGGGCTGCCCACCCTGCTGGCGTGGAACAAGGTAGGGGAGAGCTCGATGGGGGTGTTGGTGGAGGGGGTGTTGGGGGTGGTAGGGGCGTGAAGGGAGGGGGAGCGACCTGCTTCTGGCTGCCGCATTTGGTTGGTTGGTTGGCTGCCGCGAATTGGCATAGTGGTCCCGTAGGATGGACGGGTTGTGAACACGTGACTGTCTCGTGTGTGTTTTGCCCCTGTGCACACCCCTCCTGTCACCCCCGCCGTCAACCGTACCACCACCACCACCTCCCCACCTCCCTCACCCACACCTCCTTCCCTGCAGGAAGTCACGGAGGCCGCACTGGCCACCTTCCGCTCCGTGGTGGTGGCCACGGCGCTGCGGCAGCTGGGTGGGCATCTGGTGGAGGTGGAGGCGGGCAGGGTGGTGGCAGCGTTCAGACACCCCTACGAGGCGGTCAGGTGGGGACAAGAAGCACCTGATGTGTACGAACACCGTACGGTCGTACCGTATGTGTTGCATCAACTGTAGCGCCGCGCGGAAGTGTACTACAAACACGGTTAGAGCCGTACACGTGTGCATTTGGTTTGTACACATGCGTGCGCTCAGCTGTGACCTGTGTTGCATTGGTGAGCGTTGTGGAACGCCGTGTGGCTGCCCCCCTGGTGGGCTACCACCTTCCCCAGCCCTGGCCTCCCACCATTTTCTCCCAACCCCTTCACCAATCCCTTCTCCGCCCACCGCCCCCCTCCCCACCACCTCCCCCCCCCCGGCCCCCCAGGTGGGCTGCTGCCTGCGCGGCGCTGCTGAAGGAGGCGGAGTGGAGCGAGGCGCTGCTGAGTCACGAGCTGGCGGAGGAGGTGACGGGGTCGGTGATGATGGACTCACTCAGCATGGTGCCAGGTGCGGGGGGGGGGGGCGGGTGCTGGGGGGCGGGGGGGGGGGGTTGGGAGGGTGGTGGTGAGCTGGTGGAGCGCCTAACCCGTAGCCCCTCTCATCGTACTCACTGACATGAACCTAACCCCTTCCTTCTTCTCCCCCTGCCTCCCCCTGCCTGCCTCCCCCTGCTCCTCCCCAACAGAGCACGGCGGCCCCGCAGACGAGGGCGACGACAACGAGCCCACCCGGCTGCTCTTCCGCGGGCTGCGCGTCAAGGGCGCAGTGGACGTGGGCCCCACCCGCGCGGAGCTGCTGCCCGCCACCGGCCGCCCCGCGTACCGGGGACCGCTGGCAGCAAACGTGCAGCGCATCGCAGCATACGTTTCGACTGGGCAGGTGGGGGCAAAATTATATAAGAAATGCAAACAACTAAAGTCCCAATCCCATAACCCGACTGGACAGGTGGGGGTGGGGTGTTAAGGGGTAGGCTATGTGTTGAATGGAGTGAGGACCTTGGTCATAGTAGATCAGAGGACGGTGACGTCCCAGGCGTCTTAAGGGTGGGGCCGCGATAGGAGTGCTGAGGCGCATGCATGCATGCATGTGGGGTTTACTAGTCCTATCAAAGCATCCGGTCCGCGGCAGCATCGTACTGTTCAGTCGCTACAGCTGTTCATGACGGCTGGCGGCCTTGTGTGTGAAGCTGTGAACAGCCGCGAGAGTACTGTAACGTACTTTTCCACTTACGGGTGTGTGTTGCAGGTATTTGTTGCATAATTACACAGGGCTTGTCATCCACGGGCCTCATCCCCACCACCCCTGCCCCTGGTTAAGCCTTGCCCTACAGCTCGTTCCTTTCCTCGTCCGTTTCCTCCTTTCCACCCCGCCCCTGCTGCAGGTGGTGTGCACCAGCCCCGTCTGGCACGGCTACGAGTCCGCAGTGGCACTTGCAGCAGCGCTGGGCGCCCCCGGCTGCGAGGTGCTGGGTGCGGAGGAGGCGGCCACACCGCTGGTTGGGGCGCCGCTGGGTCCGCACTGCATCCGGGGTGTGGGTGACAAGGTGGAGCTGTGGAGCGTGCGGTTGGCGGAGGAGTTCGAGTGTGCGGCGGCGGCGGCGGCGGCGGTGGAAGCAGCAGAAGCAGCTGCTGCTATTGCAGGCGGCAGCGGTGGTGGCGGTGGTGGTGGTGGGGAGTCTGTTGTGGATGAGATTTCGTTTTACATGATGTCTGAACAGCAGCGGCAGCAGCGGCAAGGGGGGCAGCAGGGGCAGTGTGGTGAGGGAGGGGCAGCTGCTGGTGGTGGTGGTACTGTTGCGGAGCGGTTGGGCTGCAGTTTGGCGGAGTTGTTGCCGGGGGCTGCGAGGGTGTGGGAGATGAGTGGGGAGGAGCTACGGGGCTTGATAGCAGAGGTGGCGTGAGGTGGCGGGGTGGTGTGGGGCTGCTTGCGTATGACGGTGTGAGGAAGGAGGTGGGGAGGGAAGGGAGTTGAGGAGTGGAGTGAGGGTTGAGATGGGGTCCGGGGGGAGGAAGGGCGTGCGCTGTGGAGGGAGGGAGCGAACGGGGGCGAAGAAGGGAGGAATTGGGGCATCCAGAGGAGGTGCACGCAAACGGATATGTGGCATGTGGGACCGTACGCAGTATTGAAGTGATGTTATGCGATCCTAGTCACAACGAAACCGGTGCTGCATGACCAGCTTGACAGCTGACTTAAATCTACAATAACAAATTCCTAATCTTCTGGCTGGCGCTGAGTGCACAAGAAAAAAGAGCGCGTGAGTCCTTCTTATTAAGTTTGTTATTACGTACCGGTATGTGAACAAGGAGATATTGTGTTACGGTCATGTCAGAGCGTTTGTAATCTACCAGTTGGCGGTTGATCTCTTTTGGCGGTTGCGGTTGCCCTGAACCGACTGAAGTCTTGCGAAAGGGGGGAGCGTGAAGGGTCTTGGCCAGAAAACGTCGGTGGTGGGCCGAAAGGGTGTTTGGTGAGATGGTAGTGTTCATTTGCCCGAGCTGACCTCAGCTGTTGCAGGGTCGTCGGTTTCCGTGTGGAAAGTATTATTGCTGAAGAAGAGAGTTTAGATCGGCTTAACGATGATTACAATCCTCCGTGAACAAGGCCAATAAGAGCCGCGGAAACCATTTTGATGTTCCTGCTGTGCTGCTGCTGATCGTTGAGGGGGCTGTGGGGCGCTACAATGCCATGCGTGGAGCGCGCCCGCGGGAGGGGTGAACTCGTGTGTTTTGTCTGTGATTTCCTCCCGAATACGTCAGCTGCTTGCTTGGTTGCATGGTGAAGTGAGGCAATGCTGGGGTCTGTCGTGGAGTATCCAAATGAGATATGCTTCTTACCCTTCTGGAATCGTATCAAATGTTATTGACCCTTCTGTTCTAAACCGCATACCCCCGAGGCGTGTCGCTTAAAGAGTGCGTGTGTCGCTTAAAGAGTGCGTGCTGAATAAATAGCTACTGATCTTATTGCAGTCACGCACACATGCTAGGGGGGACTTCAGATCCGCGCCTTTCGTTCGTTCGTACACCATGTTTGATATATTCAACGTGTATACGTTTTGACCGTACGGAGTCGTTGCATGGTGCAAGTCACCGTTCGGGCTACCGTTCGCGGTGTGCGCATTCTCGACTATCCTTCATCTTAATTGGTAGAGAAAGGGCTCTGCGTCGTCGTGCTTAGAACGCGTGATTCCAAGTCTTCAACCCGCAATGCTTGTGCCGGGTTTTAAACAAGGCGCGCTGGTATTGTTGCTTGTTGCATATGCATACCTCTAGATTCTGTTGACGCATGCGTATGCCCTTGGGATTACTGTTGTCGCTGGGGCTGGGGCTGATTTGACAGTTGGTGTTGGTAAAGGGAAGTACGACGGGGCTAAAGTCTCTACATTCCATTACACGGACGACGGATACAGGCAGAGCGGCCTAGGGCTGATCAGACACGCACAGGAGGTGGATGTCCGTTACACTCTTGTTGTCACTCTTGTCAGCACTCCAGCCAACGTGACAACGAACAGAACCTGGGAAGGCTGCAAGTGGGCGGAAAAGGGCAAACAGGGGCATGGGTGGTAGCGTTGAGTATCTTTATGCAGGGGAGAATACCTGTAGTACGGAGAATGCAACTTGGCATGGCATGGAAATCGGCAGCCATAACCACATGCAGCAGCAGAGACAGCAGAAGTTAAGGCAATGGTGGAGCTCTTTCTTTCCGCCCCTCGGTTCCTTCTGTCCCTCGGTTCCCCCTCTGACCAGCCATTCCCCAACCCCCTCCCTGGCCTCCCGGGCTACTAAGCGCCCCTGTCAGTAACGTTCCCCTGCAGTCCTACCTTACGCCTGCCCAACATCTCTAGCCGGTAAGCCACCTCGCCGCCCCCCTCCTGCCCCGCCGCCAGCAGAGCCGCCAACTAACCAGCCGCTGCAGCGCCAGCCCTAGCAGCAGCCCCCGCCTCGGGAGCTGCTGCTGCTACCGCCGCAGCCGCACGCCTCCAAGCAGCCCCCTCGGGACCCCGTGGGACAGCCGCGACCCGGAGGGCGAGGTGCTGGGGCTGCTGCGGCGGCGGCGGCGGCACCAGGCAGCAGCTGGGGGGCGGCTGGGGATGAGCTAGCAGCAGCAGCAGTTGGGGCGCCACGAAGGGGCGCATGGTGTCCGGAAGCGCTCCGGTCATGAACAAGAGCAACTACGGCAGTAGTTGGCACCGCGGCCGTGACGGTTGCAGCTGGTGACGATACCGGTAACCGACATTGCGGGTTTGGTGGATACGGCGGCGGTAGTACGACAACCGTGGCAACGGCCGCGGTTGCAGCGGCTGAGGTGTGCGTCAGGGGCTCGTCATTCGTCGGCGTCGTTATGGACGAAGGTGTCGCCTCATCGGCCTCGTCACTCGCCGTCGTCGCGGTAACGGTAACGGCCGGTTGTTGTACGACTCGTCGTGGGCGGTTGACCGTTGACCCGCCGCTGCGCACCTCGCACGCCTCTGTAAGCACCACTGGCACCGTTGGGCCGTCGGAGGGCTGATCGAGGGCTCCCGGCAGCCGTAGCGCCGCTTGCTCGCGCTTCTGCTGCTGCTGCTGTTGCCGCATGCGCACCAGGTTGCGTTTGTTCACCCGGCCTGCATGGGGACAACGTCATGCCGGTAGAAAACGTCCGTCAGACAAGCAGGGAAACAGAGCAACGACCGAACCCTAGGATCTTTCCAATAGTTGAAAAATCGGCATGGGATTTTTGATTTCCCGTGTCAGGAAGCGAGTGGTGTAGGCGACTGGGGCAGGAGGTAAGCTACCGTGTTGACAAAAAAAGCCGTACAGAAAGAAGTCCCGGTGAAGGCAGTTCAGCCGCTGCAATCATGCCATACGATGCAACACTGAGTACTACGCAGTCCTTAACAAGCAATGACAAGGCGCCAACAACGTCTCCGCAACCCCTGCTTACCGCCCTGGCCCCCGGCTGCGGCGGCAGGGGTGCCGATGCCTCGAATGCGGTGCGTGCCGCGCCAGGGGTTGTCCGCACCCATCTGGTTCACCTTGTACCCCAGCCACCTCCGGAACGCCGGGAAGCGCTCATCAAACGCCGCCTGGCCGCCCTCCATCACCTCCTGCAGCGGCACCGCCCCCTCCTGCTGCGACTCCACCAGGTACTGCAGCCTCGCCCAGGCGCCCGGCAACGCCGCCACCAGCGCCGCCAACACACTGGGAGGCACCCGCCGTAACGCGCCATGGTAATACTGGTTCGCAAGCATCAACCGCCGCAACCACCTGCAACGGCCGTGCACCTCCTGCCAAGGCAGCAGCAACAGCCCGGGCCGCGACAGCAGCATGCGCAGCTTCGCGCGCTGCGGGATTGCCCAAATGGACAGTGCGCGGCATCCGCGGCTGAGCGCATGCAGGGAGCGACGCAGCAACCCAGGCTGCCGTGCAACCAGCAGGGCGACCGCGGCGGGGTGCTGGGCACAGCCCAGCAGCTCCTGGAGCAGTCGGAGCTTGGTGGCGAGGCGGGCGGGTTGCAATGCCAGCACCCCGGGCTCTGCGTGCAGAACTGCGGCCAGGCGTTGCGGCCCCAGCAGAGGCAGCAGCTGCTCGTGGTGCCGCTGCAGGACTGCGGTGCTGAAGGTGAGGAGGACCGGAGCGCGAAGAATGGCGGAGGCGAGGGTGGCGGCGGCAGCGCTGGCAGCAGCGGCGGTTATGCCAACGACGCCGGTTGCGGCGGGCGCGCCAGCAGGGGGTGCAGCGGCAGCGCTGCTGTTGCCTATGCCTCCATAACAGGTGAGGATGTATTTCAGCACGTCTAGCTTGGCTGCGAGGGTGGCGGGCGCCAGGGTGGCTAGGTGGGGCTGCTGGCGGAGGAAGGCGACGGCACGACGCGGCGGCAGCGCCGTCGCCGAGCTCAGCACCGCAAGGCACTCCTGGACTCGACTGATGGGCAGAAGCAGCAGCAACGGGGCGTCGAGGCAGATGCGTCTGAGGACCGCATCTGGCCCCTCCGCTGCTAGCCTGCTGTCTCCGTCGCCGCTCTCCTCTTGTACTACGTTCGCTCCTGCTGCTGCTGTTGGGGTTCCTGGTGCTGGTGCTGCTTGTGGTGCTCTGCGCGCTGCTGCTCTCTGCGCCTCAACATCCTTTGAAGTAGCTCCTGCTGCGGCTCCTCCTACGATCCCGCTCGCCGTCCCAGTCCCCGCTCCTTCTCTGACTCCTGAGGCCGCTGGCAAGGAGGCTGTCCCCGGCGCCGGCGCTGCCTCCATCGCCGCTGTCACCCCCGCCGCAGCAGCTACCTCACCCTGCGGAGGGGCGACGGCGGCGGCGGTCCTAGAAGCAGGCGGCGGGGCCAAGCGCAGCGCGTATCGCAGTCGCTGCATGCTTCGGGACAGCTCATGCGGCCGCGCCAGCAGCAGCCCGGGCACCCCCTTGCAGAGCTCCAACGCCGCGGCTTCCTTGACGTGCAAGAGCTGTGAGAGGTCGAGCAGGCGCGTCCGCAGGAGGGCGGGTTCCAGGTCTTGGAGGGCTGGCGTGCGGTGCCGTAGGAGCTCTAGGGAGAGAGGTGGCTGGGGGGAGGAAGCGGAAGAGGAGGAGCGGCGGGGAGGCCGGGAAGAGGAGGAAGGGCGTGGCGCGGGGCTGGAGGCATTGGCCGCTACAGGTGTGGGGTTGGTGGTGGATGCGGGAGGAGGCGAGGCGGTGGTGGTGGCGGTGGCTGCCTTAGGCGGGCGTATGGAAGGGTTTGGGGTCCTGGCGCTCCTGTTGGTGTTCTGGGGCGTGCTGCTACTGCTATTACTATTGCTCCTGCTGCGGTTGGCAGCGCTGCTCCTGCTGCTGTTATAGTTATGGTCAAGGGGAATGCCATCGCTGCGAGGTCTATTAGACCTAATGGGCAAGCTTGGTGCGCTATTGCCTGCAGGCATTGTTCTACTGATGCTCCTCGTGCTACTGCCACAGCTTCCGGATGCTACAGACGGGCGAGGAACTGTGTTGCCCGAATCGTTGCTGCTGCTGCGGTTGTTGTTGTTGTTCACTAACGCGGTCGCATGTTGTGATGTGCTCCCGAAGGGTGTTGTGCACGGAGTTGAAGCGCCGACAACTGTGTTTTCGCACGGCGCGTTGAGCGGAGTGGATATTGGTTTCTGCTCGGCAGCATGATGCGGTCTTCCCTGTCCGGTCGCAACGCTGCTGCCGCTCCTCCTGCCGCTGCTGCGATGGTGCAATGGAGCGTTTCCTTCAACCGCTCCTATTGGAAGAGGACCTGTGCACGAGGGCGCGTCAATCAAATCAAGTTTGGGCATGCTCGGAACTTACGTGCAGGATCGTTGCTCCCCGCGACAACCGAATCGTCCCTTAATTGCGAACGACCGCTTGCCACCGCTACCAAGCGACACTATGAATTTCAAGCCGCCCTCAATTCCCAAGCCAAGAAACTTGACAATACCTCCTTACCTTGGGGTTCCAGCGCCGGGGCGGCGATGCTGCTTGCTCGGACCACTTGGGTCCCTACTTGCATATGGAATGCTGCATGTGGACACCAAACCTGCGCAGAAGTGGCATAGTTTGAACCTGCTAATGCTGATGGGGCTAAGCTAAAGTCACGCGGCAAGAATCCAAGATGTTCGGCACCTGATAAGCCTGTAAAGGCGGCCATCTTAAGCTCGTCTTTGCTACACCAGGGCAGCTGAAGGCCCGGGCCATTGCCGGCAAGTGCGCTGTTTCTCGTGCCAGCATGCAAGCAGGTCCGGCCCTACAGGATTAGCCCAAGGCCGGCCCGCGCACGTGTTCCTAGAACGGTATTTAGATAACAAGATCTTGTGCAAAATTCTGTAGGAAGCAATGCCTTTTACTCGTGCCGACAGCGAGATCAAAGAGTCGTACAACATACCTGCCTCGCTGCCTGAGCGCGAGAGCATTAAAAACCTACGCAGTTGCGGTTTGTCATTGCGCTGAACTCACTGCCAATATGTGAGGCTGATCCGGATTGGTTTCGTGGAGCCGACAATTACTTTTTCCCTTTTACTGGAACCCTTCGTGGGCCCTTCTTGCTTGACGAATAAGGTTTCCGTCGAAGCCATTGCTCATTGATTCCATGGCCGTTTTTACGAATTACTGCATCTACGCTCGTTTCGCTGTCCATGGCCCCTGGGTCGCAGCTTGTTTCTGCATAGCGGCACGTTGTGCCTCAATGGCACCAGCTCTTTCCATCTTGTTGAAGTGGAAGGCACTCCCAAGGCACTTTTGCGGACAGGCGTTCTCATGCAACTGCCACAGCAAAGCTCTGCTCGCAAATTGCCAAAGCTGGCACGCCCCAAAAGGCCCCTTACCAGCCTTCCTAACGCTCAAGCCACACATGCCACACCGGAGCAAGCTTGCCTTCAAGCCGCAGGTCTTCTTACTAAGGCAACAGAGAGTCCTTCAAATCAGGAGCATGAAAGGGGGCCGAGAGGTACAACCAAGGTGTTCGCGAAACATCAACTATCTGACACTTCGGCATGCCCGAAGCCATTAGTCCCACGCGACCTCATATCGTACATGTCGGTGTCATACCATGTCAGCACGAAGCAGTTGATGGCCTCTTGTCGTGTAGTGCCGTACTATACAGCACATCACGAATGCCAGGGCCCCCACCCCATCCCTCCAACTAGAAGCACACCCGGTGCAACTGTGTTCGCATGTCGCATGTGCCAGCCATTCCGCTAGATGATCCAACTCCTACAACGCCCCTATGCGACAGGCAGCCGCCTCCATCAGTCCAGCGCAGGCTGCCCCTCGTCCTCCCCCTCGCTGCCGCTGCTAGAGCCCTCCGGCCCCCCCGCGCCGCCCTCCGCCCCAGCGCCCGGCCCCGCCTGAGGCCCCTTCTTCTGCTGCTTCTGCTTTTGCTTCTTCTTTTGCCGCTTGAGCCGCTTCTTGGCGGTCCGGTCCTCCGCTTGCTTCTTCAACTCCTCCATCTTGCGCTGTAGCAGGGAGGGTGAAGGGGCAGGAGGGAAGGAAAGGGAGAAGGGGGAAGGTTGTGCACAGCAGCGAAAGTGTGGCGGGAATCGCGACAGCAGCGAAAGTGTGGCGGGAATCGCGAGCGCCAAGCGGCGCTAAGCAGCTGAGGGAACTAAAGACAGCGTGTGTTGGCGTGTGTTGGCTCTTACGGATACACCGTACATGCGTACAGACTGTAGATGCTCCAGCTGCTGCGCATCTGGATAGGAGGCGCCGGGAGAGGGAGCATGCACAAAGGTAAGCATGTGGGTTTCCACAGCTCCTTACCTTGAACTCGTCTTCCTGCTGCTTCTTCTCCCAATCGGCCTCTATCTTTCGTACTCGGTCCTGCTCTGCACGCCGTACCTGCATAGTTGCATTGGGGGCGATGCGGCTCGTAAGGCGCAGTTATTTGCGAGGGCGGCAAAGCATAGCTACGCACAGCTGAGCGGTAGCACACGGGCCGGATACAAGCTGCAAGAGGGTTGGGCTGCAAGAAGGTTGGGTGGGTTTGGGTCGCCCTCACACAGGCAGCCTGCAGCTTCACGCGGGCTGTTGCCCAGGCGCTAACGAGTAATTGTCAGTACATGCTCTGATGTTCGTTAGGCAACACATGACCCCATCCGTGTAGGGATTGGTATGACACCCTGGACCAGGGCCCACGCAACCAACCAAACCCAGCCCCGCCCTACTCACTATTCGGTATTGGTGAAAATCACCGCTGCCTGCGCCCGCACTGCTACTTGACACATTGTACACCTTTGTTGGCACCGTCTCCTGAATGTATTTCAGCTTGGCCTCCAACTCTTGGGCCTGCAATGTCGCAGCGTGTTGGGAAACATAGACACGGAAAAAGCCGATCTGCTGCAAACGTTAGCTGACGTACGCTTTTAATGCGCTCCTCATACTGCTCCTGGGTCAGGGGTGCCGCTCCTAGGAGGGTCAGCGCCTGGCTGTTATCAGTTCCCTGCTTGCCGATGGGAACGATTTCGCCCATCCTTTCCTGTTGTTCGATATCCCTAAGACTTAGGAATTCATACTAAAGGAATTGTGTGTACTATGACTTGCTGAAAGTCGCTGAAAGGGACTCGCTGCGTCGTTGGGTACAATAGGTTGAAGCCTTGTGTACGAGCTTTCCCGGAACGACGGTACAGTGTTGGAGTTATGCAATGGAATCGGAACTGCTTCGCGGTTCGTTACCTGACGATGCCGTTCACAGGCCCATGGGCGGTATCACCAGCTGCGCAAGGTTTCCTTTTTAGCGTTATTACAGATAAGGAACAGACGTGTTATCCACTTTATACTAAAAAATAGGAGCCCACTCCTAGCTGGCGTTAATGGCATGACGTCCTTCCATGAGCAAAGCTTTCTTAGCAAACCGCTATGAAGATGACAGCCATACATGCCTAGCGGATTGGTACTCTAGGTCTTTGCCTTTTACGTCTCCTGGAGGGCAGGATGCGCAGTGGCACCGGGCATGGCGGGAGCCACAGCGTCCGCGTGTGGCCCGCTCTACAGGATGAACCCATAAGCCTATCAACTTTCAAACGCGCGCTTTTGGCGCGCCGCAAGACGCTCGACGTCCGTCAGCGTGAGGCAGCGGCAGCCGCGGCTGCTGCAGCGACAGCTGCCGCAGCAGCCGCTGCGGCGGCAGCCGCAAGCGCAGCTGCAGCCACAAGCAGCGGGGAGCACCTGACGGAGCTCGAAAGCGCAGAGGTCGCTCTAGAGGCACCCACCTCCACCGCTCCCGCTTCAGCACCTGGTAACCCGCAACAACAACAACAACCCCCGGGAGGCACCCGTGCCGCCACCAACCCCCCTTCCACTGCTCCTCCTGCCCCTGCGGACCCAGCGGCGGCTCAGGGCGCCCCCGCGGCTGCAAAGGGCAGCAACAAGGCCGCCGCTGCTGCGGCAGCAGCGGCTGCAAGCCGTGCGGCGCAGCGCAAGGAGCGTATGAGGGCTCGTCGTGCCGCTGCTCGCGCGCAGCTGGCTGCTGACAGGGACGCCAAGCTACGGCGCAAGGGGGAGTTGGAGCAGCGGCATGTGGCGGCGGCAGCTCAGATGGAGGAGCTGAAGTCGCGACTGGAGGCGGTGGAGGCGGAGAAGCACCGGTTGGTGGGGCAGCTACGGCAGGTAGGGCGGTGAGGGGGAGGCGGGGTCTGCATGCTGTTGTGGCTGGAGGGGTTCGACAAGCATGGGAGTGCCAGTGGTAGGGCCCCGTGGGCCATAATGGTAGGACATTAGCGGGGGAAAGGAGGGGGATTGGGGTCGCAGCTGGGCTGCCTGAACTGGCTCTCCCACATGCCACTCCACGCTAGCGTACCGGTATGCCCTTCCTACGCATGTGTCACTTGTCTGATGCATCTGCTAACCGCCCTCTGCTGGCTTTGCATCATGTCTTCATGTGCCCACCCCACCCCCCACAGGTCCTGCAGGCGGAGGGGCTGCAGCGGCGGCCCAGCGTCGCCACCCTCCCTGCAGGCGGCAGCGAGGCCTACCTGGGCGCCCACCCGCAGCCCTTTGGCTGGCTGCCGCCCACCCCCCACCCGCAGCACCTGCAGCAGCAGTACCCGCAGCAGCTGTCGCAAGGACCGCCGCCACTGCAACCACCGCCGCCGCAGCAGCCGCAAACCCTGGGGGCCTCACGAGTGGTCCTGGCAGCTGCTCCGCACCAACACACCCCTGCGGCGGCGGCTGCAGCGGCTGCAGCCATGGCCTCCTCTGTCCCCGTTCCTGGGAGCACAGGCATGGTCATGCCCGGTGTCGGCGTCAGCGGCAGCGTCAGCGGCGGCAACCATCACGAGCTTGAGCCCTCCGGCGTCGGCGCCCTAATGACGCCCATGTTGCCGGGGGCCGCCAGCGCGCATGTAGGCCCTGTGGGCGCCGGTCCGCCGCCGCTCCCGTACAGCAGCTCAGCGCCCGTTGCCGCGGGTGCTCCCGCTGCTGCTGCTGCTGCTGGTCTAGCAGGCACACCGGCGGAAGCTGCTGCTGCTGCTGCTGCGGCCAGGATGGCTCCAGGGGGATCTACCTCGGCTGCTGGTGCTGGCGGCGCCGCGGCGGTTGGAGGCGCTGCTGCTGCCGGTGGGGTTGGGGCCGCGGGCGCTGGGGGCGCCGCGGGTCGCTGGCCGGCACGTGCGACGCAGGATGAGGAGGACGAGGGGGAGATTCGGGAGGATGGGGAGTACGGCATCGGGATCTCGGGTGTGGGTGTGGGTGCAAGTACGGCACCGGCGGCGCCGGGCCCTGCATCGAGTGTGGGCCCTGGCTCATCCCATGCACCTATTCCCCACGGTGCGGGGCCTGCTGGTCCTAACCCCGGCGGCGTCACCAGCGGGCCCGCTGCTGGCCCAGGCTCCGCACCCGGGTCGAGCTTTGGCTCGGGAGCCGGCAGCGGCCCGGGACCTGGATTCAGTTCCGGGCCCAGCTTCGGCGGTGGTTTTGGAGCGGGCGGCCCGGGGCCTCAAGGGCCCTACTCGGAGCCTGTACGGCGAGGCGTGGGCGGGCCGTTCCTGGATGCCCGTCCGTCTGGGCCGCCTCAGCAGCCGCAGCCGCAGATGGGATTGGGATTGGCTGGGCCGGGGATGGTGGGTCCTGGTATGGGCCACGTGCCGCAGGCAGGCATACGGATGGGGCAAGGTGGACGTGGCGTGGGGGGGTGGCCGGGGCCCATGGCTACGCCGGCGTTCGTGGCGCCGGCTCCCATGCACCCGCACCATGGGCTGGGCCCGCCCATGGGACGTGGCGGTGGTGGGTTCGGGCGAATGTCGGGGGGTGGCTGGCGGGATGATGACATGATGGGGGATGGGATGGGGTATGGAGGTGGGGGATATGGCAGAGGACGCGGGATGGGTGGGTTTCCTTTGCAAGGCCCGCCACGGCGGAACTGGTAGAGGCTTTGCTGCGGATACGGGGCCGGAACAATGAACGAGACATGGATTCTTAGTGATTGTCCGTACGCATGACGCGCTATAGGCCATGCTTCCGGCAGGTCGTGTAGCTCCATAACCTACTGAGTAAGAAGGTGTTTGATACTGGTCTTGCATCGCCATCCTAGCATTGGGCATGTTTCAGGTTGCCGCAAACCAGACCCTTAACGCTTTTGCTCGTCGTGTTTACTTGACACACCGAGCATTTACTCCACTTTCCTTTTACCGTTGTAACTCTAAGCTTAGCAGAGCTGAAGCATATTCACCCAGAGCACACATTCGACAGCCAAATATCGCAAACGCGAAGGAGGAAGGGAAAGAAGCTATGAAGCGGCGAGGGAATGAAGATATGACTACACGTATAAGCAGGGACATGAGCCGATTACTGCGGCACAATCCTCCGCCAGGTGCAATGGATGCTGCCGGTTGGGTGAGCTTACCAGTACTCCTTCGGCACCTCCGGCATCACCCAACCGAGGATCAAGTGCGACAAGTAGTAGCATCTTGTCAGAAGGTAATTGAAAAAAGGAACAGTCTTGCTAACCTGTCCAACCACCACGGCATGCTTAAACGTAAGCGGCGTGCGCATCCGAACCACTGCAGAAGCGCTTTGTTCTTGACGATACGGTGTCGCCACCCCGTATCCGAGCTGCGCAAGGGCACACTGTGGAGCTGGCTGAGGCTATCCTAGAGCCCGTTGGGGAGGCAAGCTCGGTGCCTGTAGCCGTGCACATCACTAGCGTCTCCAGGTGCGCCCTACCTGGCCACGGATTGCCTCTCTAAAGGCCCTTTACGACTCCAGATGCATGTCGGACGGTCTGGGGCTGTGTGTGTCAGTTTGCCACCTTTGCATGGCTCCGCTGCCGTACATTCTTTAGACAATCCTTCCACCCGTCCCCAATATGCTGCTAGCTGGGAAGCCATCCAAGGCTCGGGGCAGCTGCTGCGCATGAAGCGCACGCACATCCACTTCGCCACACAGCCGCACCACCTTCGGAAGAACAAATGGGCGGAGGTGCTGCTGCGGCTAGACCTGGAGGTAAGCGACAGCTGTTGACGATGGCCTCCATCCACGAAGCACACAGGAACATAAGACCACCCCACCCTTCTGTAATTATCGCTGGGCAACTAAAATTTGAGCACGACGTTTTTGTTCCTTACACCTGTCACCACTACCCCTTTCATGCCACACAGGCTGCCATGGCGCAGGGGCTCAAGTTCTTCCTTTCCAGCAACGGAGTGCTCCTGTGCGAGGGACCTGTTCCTGTGGATGTGGTCCGGAAAGTGGAGTTGGAGGACCTCCCAGAAGACTGGCACCAAGACAAGGACACTCAGGCCAAGGCATGAGGAATGCAATGTGCCAGAACACAGCAACGGCTCAGAGCTTGTACAGCTGTCGTACGCGTGTTACTCTTTACATGGGATTCGCCCTCTTAAGTCTGCATGCGCACTACAGCACGAGCCGGCATGGTCGTGAACATGGGGTACGGAAAACCCGGCGTAAAGCCAGTTCAATCTTCTCCACGCTTTCCTTCACCGGGATCACCCCCTGATGTAAATCGCTTGCCCCGCCGCCTAAGCGCTTTCAGATACAACCAGAAATCAAACAGAACCCGCCTGTACCAATGGCCCAAGCTAGTGACGGGGGCCATCATACATTGCGGCCTCCACACCTCGACCAACCAACAAACAGCACAAAGTACAACTGCATCGGCAGTCACAGCTTTCGTTGCACCCCGCATGAGCACGTGCCGGCGAAATATAGACCTCTTCACAAATTGCGCCATTGCCTACAGCGCTAAGTCGTTGTCGCAAAACAGCTGCTATCCTATACCTCACCCAGCCACAAAACGAAAGCTGAAAACCAATTTTCGAAAAGAATAAAGCAACAACATATTAAAGGTCTTTTGTCGGCAATCAGGTAAAGACTAATGTACAGTGGATGCCTTGATGCAGCAGGCGCCGCGGCAAAAGAGTATGCAGACACCTTGCCATCAACGAAACAGCACGCCTAGTGGTACACATGCCGCCCTTACTCTTGCTCAAAAGCTCAAGAGCTTTGCAACGACAGACGGTTTGAAATTAACGGGATAAAACGGCACCGACCCATTGATATTTAGGTGCATTTGTTGCCAACCACAATACGAAGTATGCGCCAACCCAAGAAAGGCCATGCACCACCGGCGTGGTTAGGTGCGCTAGCCCACACACATATGCCACGCCTCTCGGACATCTTCTCAGGGTGCTGTTGCAATCTGCCCACCAGCTATGCATGGGCGGTTAACTGCGCATGCTCAAGCAAAACACTGTTACGCGCACGCCCTTCATGCTTTTCGTGTACCCTCAAGATCAACAACGAGTCATGTGCGACAACATCTCACATGCTCGCACAACACGTCTTCTCCTAGCTTACCCTAGGACGCTACCCCCACAAAGACCCACAATTCTCACCACCGCCCAAACCCGCCGCCCGACATGGGCAGGAAGCCCTCGTCGTCGTTATCCATGTAATCGTCCTCCTCCACATCGTCCAACTCCTCGCGCCCCCGCGCGTCCTCGTCGCCTAGCCGCGACTCCACGAGGCTCTCCTCCGCAAACAGGCGCTTCATGTTCATGAACGACAGCTGCGAGAGGTTGCGTACGACAAGGTCAGCTCCAGTGAAGTCGTACACTGGAGCGTTGCCCGTCACGACGACGCACTTCATGCCCAGCTCGTGCGCAGCCTCCACGCTGGTGTTTGACTCGCCCACAACAACGCATCGAAGCGGCGGCCGCTGGATTTTGCTAGCCGCGTAGGCGTAGTAGTACTCAATCTCAGCTGAGCCGCTGTCCTCGGCAGTAACCAGCGCGTCAAAGTAGGACTGCAGGTTGTGCCGCTGCAGGCCTTCCTGCACCTTAGCTTCATGCAAGGGCGTTGCGAGCGAGACGGGGATGCTGTTGCGTTTTAAAGTTTCAAGGAATGGCCGCGCTTCCAGCATCACCGCGGGCTGCCTGCCGCCAAGGACCTGGTCGTAGATTTGCCCTTTCCGCTGTGCTACTTGACGAGCGATGCTGGTGTTGTGCGTCCACCGGAATACGCGCGAGACGACGACCTCGTCGCGCGCGCCCTTGATGCGACGGAGCTCCTGTCCCAGCGGCCGCTTGTAGCCGAACTCGTCCGCCACCTGCAGCCAGGCTTGCCTGTGCGCCTCTTCAGAAGCCTCGACAACAACGCCCTCGTATTCCTGTCATGCGGACATCAGGGACGCGCCAACGGCAAAGTCAGTGTCAGAAAACCCTTCTAAGATGCGAACGGCCACTTCACAGCAACACAGATATAAGGGATTACACAGTAGCACATAATAACAAACACAAGCGTTCAGCGCCCGAAAGCACACGGTAGTGACACTTCTAGGATTCTTGGCGAGTGAAGGGTCTACGCAAAAGGTTCTTTACAACTCACCATTATAACACCGAACCAGCCCGTTGAAAGCCTTTCCATACGCTGAAGCGGGTTTGCCAGTGACGGGTCATCAACAGGTGACTCCAGGTTCCGTGGGAGTGGTAAGAGCTCCTTCTCCGACTCGACACGCTCAACAACGCCAGCATTGGCATAGCTAGGAGCATATTGAAGAGGAGGTGCGAGCGGCCGAGACCACGTTAGCAGAGTCCCGTCAGAGGCCAAGGGAAGGCGCTTTTCCACGGGCTGCGCCAACGGTGCACAACCGCGTCGTGCTCTCAAGGGGCACAGGACAGCTGGTTCTTTTGTAGACCTAGAAGAGGTGCGAGGCGTATGCCTGTGCCGAAGCATTGGCTGTGAGGTTGTAGGAAGCTACGTACTTCTTCGTTGCGGCTTCTTCGTTGTGTGATGATACTTTGAATACTTACAAAGATGCTTAGTCTTGAACGTAGGACGGTTTCCGTGGCGCTTTTATTCAAGGCAATGAGTACGACCTGGGCGGGCCTGAAACTGCAGGGTACCGCCTATGGGACTCGTCACACATTTCCATGTATGCAAGCATATCTCTGGATGCCTTAGGAACCTTGCTATTGGCCGCCAGCTTTTGAACGTACCAGCGGATGTCTACGGAGCCATCGTGGCATCCCTGTCAGGTGAGTTCGCCAAATGGCATCATCCCTTTACTCGTCTCCATCAGCTGAAGCTTGCACGCAGGCTACAGGCGTTGGCCTCAAACACCAACGCCTGTAGCCCCAATCAACGACTACCGGTGTGCTCGAAGTCACAATCCTGAAAACAGGAACACATCCCCCGGTGCCACGTGGACGGCACGTCGTCCACAAATACACACCACCAGAATGACCAGTAACATCTACTTCGTGCAGTGCAACCCCTAGTGAATACGCTCTTCTACAAATATCCAGTACCCCTCGCTGCATTCTTTTCTTTTCCCCGAAAGACCTATACCCCAAAGGCCCAGCATACTACCTCGTCCGCTTCATAACCCCCATCTCCACAAACGTTTTGCAGCCAGCACACATCACCAACCAACCAAACAAATCCCACAGTCGGCTTGCCAACCCACCAGTTCCCTCTACCCATCCTCCACCCTCCTGCTCAATCCCCTAACACTCACGCTCTCCCACCCACATGCAATACATGCTCCTCCCCAGTGCGTTCCCTTCACCCTCAGCCCCTAACCCCCCATCTCCATGTCATTTCCGCCCTCCGCGGCTTGCCGTACATTCGCCGCAAACGGGTTGCCGCCGCCTGCTTGCCCTCCTAGCTGCTGCTGTTGTTGCTGTTGCGGGGGCGCTACATCGGTGGCGCCACCTCCGAAACGGAAGCCCCCCGCGGGTGCCGCCGCGCCGGTCAGGCTCCAAGCGGGTTGCCCACCCTGAGCGCCTGGAGACCGGGAGAAGAGGGAAGAGAGGGAGGTGAGGGAGGTGGGGATGAGGAAAGAGAGGAGAGGTGGTAGGGGACCAGCTGGGCGACCACGAAGCAGCATTCACCGTTGGGCGCGCGAAACAGCAGCACGTGTTACGAACAACAACCCGTTATTCACCATGCCGGACGTCGGCCGTTCAATGTGCGTAAGTGGTAAGGTGCAGGGTTACAGTAAAGGCGCTGGAGCCGTATCGAGCAGCGCAGGAAACAGCAACACCCTGGCAGGCAGTCGCACGGAAACGACCTATGCGGGCACCAGACGGGAACCCGACCCATGGGTCTAGCCGGGTGGTGCGTCCTAGCCTAGCCAGCAGCGGTGCCACCGCGGCTCGTGCCTTACCGAATGTGGGTCCCGAGGAGGAGGGCCCGGCTGCGGGCTCGGGTGCCTGAGCGGGCGCCTGGCCCGCTTGCGGTTGCTGCCCGAAGGTGGAAGCTGCAGGGCGGCACAAGGCAGGGTGGGAAACACGCCTCAGCCGGGGACCGTTACCGTGCACTTACTCATGGTAGCAGGTAGCGCAAAAAAGAAAGTACCCTCCAAGACTCCCCTACCCTCTCCAGTGAGGCCATCCTCCCAGACTCCAAAAGGCCGCTGCTGGTCGTTGCTGCCCACCGCATCGCACAAACCCGTACGATAGCCCATGCCTGCCATGCACCCAAGCATCCACCCAAGCCCAACACTTCTAATATCTGTACACACCCTCGCGTTCTTATGCCCACAACTAGACCGGGATCGCGTTGGTCATGCACTGATTATGGGTTTCTCATCGACCATGCAGGGTACGTACAGTGTGTAGTTGAGTAGGACAAGAGCAAGCAATTGGGAGAGGTTCGCATGTGAACCGCGAGCACAGGCAAAACAGAGGTGACCAAACCTGAACCGTAATGCAAAACTATTGAAAAAGCTGTTGCTGGATGTAAGAAGAGTGACGGGTGACGAGTGACGGCGCATGTCGGTGATGCTGATGGTGTCGGAAAAACTAAAATACTAGTGAGAGCTGAAGCCCGCTGACCAACTCGACGCCGGGAGCCCCCGCTCTGGTCACGCAGACGAGACACCACAAGGCTGTGCATGCGTGCGTGCAAACGCGCATTGCGTACCTGCGAGCAAAGACGCCGTAGGGTACGTACAGTGTGTGTGTACCAGTGGGTGCCGGTGCCACAGCCAAGGCGCACAGCACCCACCCACCCCACCCACCCTACCGCTGCCCCCACCTCCCCTCCCTTACCGCTGTTCAGTGCCGCCAGCCCCAGCGGTGCCGAGCAGCTCCCGTGCAGCTGCACCTCGTACTCCATCAGCCGCTTGGCGTCCTCTGCGAGCAGCGGCAGCGGGGGCAGCAGGAAGAGGGGGTGGCGCGCAGCGGACATGCCATCAGTAGCTGCGCAGAAGTCGGTCAGCCCTGTCAGTCATTTAAAGCTTAATCTATAGCTTAGCAATGGTTTCATTGCAGTACAGACCGTCAGCACCACAGCACCGCCAGCCAGGCGCACATGAGTGAGGTTGCTGCTGCTGCTGTGTGCCTGATTGCCCTCACCCTCCTTGAGGTTGATGCTGGGCCGCTTGTCCTTGACCCACTTGTAGCTCTCCGCTAACCGCCAGCCCCGGTGCTTCATGAGGTACGCAATCACCACGGAGGGCGACCTGCGGAGGGAGGACACACAACCCGCCAGCCAGCAAGCCAGGCAACAGTGCAACCCGGGCCAACCGCTTACTAACGTTCCTGTACCTCGCTGTCGCATGCATGGCTCGAGTACCAGGACAAGGACAGGGACGCAACGGGTGGTGCGGGGGCATGAGGTGGGAGCGGCTGCAGAAGCCCCCTGGTGCCCCCTGCCTGCCTGCCACGCAGAGCCCCCTTACGCAGGCCTACTCCTGGTGTGATCCCTCTCGCTGTGATACCGGTTTCGGCATGTCACCGGTGTTATGCTGTCGTGCTCACCGTGACACGCCCGTCATGCAGTACACGAGCACCTTCTGGCTGGTGCTGACGACGCCATCTGTGCAGGGGTGGAAAGCAGGCCAGCGGGCAGGCAGGCAGAAGGCGGCGGAGCATTGGTGTTGTTGTGGGAAAACCGGGGTTAGGGAGGCAAGGGGATTAATAAAGGGGAGGGAAGCCTCGCCATGAGATGAACACCCGACCAGGGTGGACACCGGGAGGATAAGGGGGTGTTGCCCCCGCAAGGCGGCGGTTGCTCTAAGCTACGGTACTCAAGCAGGACAGCGAGATCGGGGGTTGCTGGCAAGGGTATAAGTCTTCGCACTGGCGAGAGCTTCAGCCGGTACCGGTGTGAGAGGCAACGCAGGGTCGAGAAGGTTGGTTTGGCGGTAGGTCTGCAGCCGCTGCTCTCGCAGTGGCAGAGGAGCGGCTGCGTGCTCAGCAGCACTTGCCTATGAACTCGTTGCACTCTGCAAAGTCGACTGGCGTGGAAGATACGGTGTGGTAGGTGAAGCTGGTTTTGAACAGGGCGGGGTTGTTGGGCCATGTCTGCGTGTGGAGGGTGCAGGGTGGGAGGGGGATGAAAGGGAAGGGTGAGGCTTCGAGCAACTTGCCCGAGGACACGTAAGTCAGCAAGGACAAAATGCTTAACTCGGGGGTTGCCGGGGTAGGGCGCGGAATGTATTTGAGGACAGGGGTATGCACTTCGCTAATTATTCAAGAGATGTACAGCGAGACGCGGCATGTGTGAAGTGTCTGGCACGGGCAGAAAGCACGGCAGCCGGTGCGAACGGTTGAAGCCGGATCACGACGTCAGGGCAAAACGCTTACGTTTAAGATGTGCGTGATGCCCATAGCCTTAAGCAGCTCTGATCGGGACGCCGTGTCATAGCTCCCCAAGTACAGGCTTCCCGGGATGACGGCCGTGGGGAGCACTGTATGCTCCAGTTGTCGCCGCTCCGCTTGGCTCATCACGTGCCCACAGATCGCGCATGGCTCCCCATTCTCATGCTGCGTATCCAGGGAATTTCGCTGAGATTAACGCCTATCTCAAACAAGAATAAGGTTGCAACGTGACTCCCGCCCAACGCACGTCGTGATAATGATTGCAGATGTAGCATGGCTCTTCTCTGTCACGTTTAACCTTCATTATCTAGGCTAAGGGGCGGGGAGTTAGGGTCTAGCACGGGAAGCACAAACTAACAGCTTAAGGATATATTGGAAGGAGTTACGCAAATCATGCTCTGATGTTAGAAATGGAAAACTTCACCCCCACCAGCTTCGGTGGATCACTCAGTTGGCTGTTCCGTACAACCGGGAGATATGAGACTTCCCCGCTCAACATGCCACACGACTCTTAGCATGCGAACAGGTAATGTAAGTTCGCATGCAAACCTTATTAGCTGTCCTCCTAGTTGAGCGTTAAGAAAGTCATTTCACTGCAGTTAGCTAAGGCCGCTTTGCGTTACCAACACGCTCGCGTTAGCTTCTGTCATGCCCACCCTTCCACAAGGAACGTTAAAGGGCTGCGGCTGCGCAGCATCGATAGCCAGCGCTCGCGCGTCCACAGCCTTGCCTTCTTGTCCACAGCCACAAAGGCATAGAAAGTCACCTACGGTAGTCAATGCAGCTCCCGCAGCACTTTTAGCATTACAGCCGGCGACACGGCCATCGCGCTCTGGCCCCGTGTCATTAGAACCTTGGCAGCCTGGCGACAATGACCCCGGCCAAGACTTCTTTTTGCTCCCTGATGGTATGGTGACTCCTCCCCCTCAAGGCATCTCTTCAGATGGCCACGGGGCAGAAATAGAAAGCCTTTCCTTGGAGCTGTCGCGGTTAATGGCGGAGGTGGAACAGGTGGGTAGTCATGCCCTCAACGCACGCCTCGCCGTCCAACCCCATACCGCCCTTACTCCTGCGGTGCATCCGACATCTACTCTTATGAGTTGCCCCAGTCCTAGTAGTCACGCACTTGCGCCGGCGTCTTGGCATTTACATTCGACCTCGCACCATCAGATCCCGATTAACGCCTCCAACCGCCTTGTTGCACCTGCACTGCGGGCCCATCACCAGCTCGTCCCTCCCTCATCCCCTCTCCCATCCCTCCTCCCCTCCATACCCTTACCCTGCCCCAACCCAAAACCCGCACAGGAGCTGGACCCCTACCTGGACTCCCTAGCCCCCTCACCCTCACCCCTCCTCTCCAGCCCACCCCAGCCCCCGTCTCCACCTCAGCACCCCCTCTCCCCAGCCTCCACATCCACCACCCCATCCCACCTCCCACCACACCTCCACCCTCAATCCCCGCACCCGGCACCTTCCTCCACCTCCTCGTCCACCTCCTTTCCGGGGCTGCCTCCAGAGCTAGAGCTCTCGGCAGCCAGCCCCCGGCTTCCCTCCGCATCAGGCCCTCCTGGCTCATCCGCATCAACCTCCGCGCCCTCCTCCTTGTCATCATCATCATCATCATCATCTTCACGGTTAGGGACAGGGTCAGGGACAGGCCTGGGACTGCGACTGACCTCAGCGCAGCCGCCCGCGGGGCTATCCCTGCTGTTGCCTACACCTAGCCACAGCAGCAACAGCAGCAGCAGCAGCGGTAAAGGCTCAGCGGCGGGGCGCAGCGCTGCCGGCGACGCGGGGCCCGCGGGAGGAGGAGTGGGGCTGGGGTTGGGTCTGGAGGCGGGTTCGGGTCGGCGGGTGGCGCAGCGGCGGCGGCAGAACTGGCGTCGCACGGCGGTGGCGGCGACGGAGGCGGCTGACGCGGCGGCGGCGGCGGAGCCCAAGTACAAAACGTCGGGTCGGGACTCCATGGCCATGTTGTTGGGGGTGAGCGGTGGGGGGGGGGGGGGGCTGAGCAGCCGGTCGTGCGGCTGACGCGTAAAAAAGATGGGCTACGTGGTTGGGCGGCAGGAGGTGGCTTGTACGGCTTGTGCAGTTTTGGTTGTGGTTGTCGTAGAACCGTAACAGCCCCCCTCGGGTCGCTAGTCGCCAAGCACCACCCCGAAGCAGCAGCAGCCCCCTGGGCTGGCATGAGGGAGCTGCCGTTGCTGCAACCGACCTTTCCCCAACACCCGCCTCACCCCGTCATGACCCCGTCATATGTTGCCAGACCTCCATACCGCCCCCCTCTCCCTCCCCCTCTTCCCTCCTCCACCCTCCCTCCCCCCTGCCCCCCCGCATCCTGCCCCCCAGACCTTCTCCAAGGACCGCATGCTGACCGCGGAGGAGGAGCAGCGCCTGGCGGCCGCCGCGCAGGACTTCATGCAGCTGCGCGAGCTGCGCAACGTGCTGCAGCGGCTGCTGCGGCGGCAGCCCACGCTGGGCGAGATGGCGGAGACGCTGCGCTGCGAGGAGGAAACCCTCAGCGCGCGGCTGGAGGCGGGGAATCACGCGCGCTCCGTCCTGGCTCAGAAGAACTACCGACTGGTGGTTGCACTGGCGCGACGTGCGGCTCGCGGGCTGCCGAGCTACCTGCAGAATAACTCTGGCGGAGGAGGAGGAGGGGGTGCAGGAGGAGGGGGAGCAGGAGGGGGAGCAGGAGGGGGAGGCAGCAGCGGGGCGGGTAACGTGGCGTTTGAGGACATGGTGTCTGCGGGCATGGAGGGGCTGATGCATGCGTTGCGCAAGTTCCGACCGGAAGCGGGGTTCCGGTTGTCTACGTACGCGACGTGGTGGATACGGCAGTACATTGCGCGGTTCGTGAAGTCGCAGATGGCGGTGTTCAAGTGAGTGGGGGTGGGGGTATCGGGGCGGGAGGGAGGGATACATTACTCGAGAAGTGCAGCAAGGGAGGGAGGGAGGGGTAGTGCCGTGCATGCATGTATGAGTGCCGGCACGGGCAGTAACCCTGTCCCTGGAGGGGTTGTGATGGGGTCCCCCGCACACACCCGGAGCACCCCACCACCCCGACCTCACTCCTCACCACACCACTCGTCCCACACCTGACATCGCACTCCCACCCACCCATCCCTCCCCTCCTCTTCCTCTTCCCCTCCTCCCCCCTTCCCTTTCCCCGCCCACCTCCCCCCAGCCTGCCCGTCTCCGTGCGTGAAGCCATCGAGCGCCTCAACCGCATCCGCGCCGGCCTGCGCGCGCGGCAGGGCGGCGTGGAGCCCTCCCCCGAGCAGCTGGCGGAGGCTGCGGGGCTGAGTGTTGGGCGGGTGGGGGAGCTGCAGGCGGCGGAGCGGCACTGCCGGGGCGCACGCAGCCTGGAGGCGCCGCTGGACGAGGAGGGGGGCAGCCGGGTGGATCTGCTGATGCAGGTGGGGGTGGGGGCAGGGAGGTGGCGGTGAGGCAGCGGTTTGGGCGGTGGCGAGCAGGAGGAGGAGAGCAGGAGGATGAGGAGAGGGACAGGGTTGCCGGCTTACCACCCGTGCCGGCATCCATGCACCCATGCATGCACCTCCCTCCCTCCCCCCCCTCCCCCCCCCCCCCCAGGACGCGGAGGAGGGTGGCTACCTGGAGGGCGCCTCGCAGCTGCTGGTGGACAGCGAGGAGCACTTTGCGCTGGCGTCCGACCTGGCGGCGGCGGTGGAGGGCGTGCTGGGCTCGCTGGAGCCGCGCGACGCGGACATACTGAGGGAGCGGTACGGGCTGAAGGGGGTGGGGGTGGCAGGTGGAGCGGGAGGGGGAGATGGAGGGGGAGAGGAGGCGGCAGGAGGGGCGGCAGCAGGAGGGGGAGCGGAGGGGTGGCGGCATGAGGCGGCGGCGGCGGTGGAGAGGGCGGCAGCGGCGGTGGTGGCGACTGGGGCGGCGGCGGCGGCGGGGGTGACGAGTGCGGTGGTGAAGGGGAAGAAGCGGAGGGAGAAGGAGAAGAAGGAGGAGGAGGGGAGTGGTGGGGGAGATGGCGTCAACAGCGGCAATGCGGTGCCGGGGGCGCAACGGCTGAAGGTGAGGGGTGGGGGATAAGGACGGGGAAAGGGGAAGGAGGAGGTCGGCATGTGGGGGTGTTTTATCAAGGGAAGAGAGTGGGTTCGATTGGGTTGGGTGATCAACGGCAAGTGCCCTTCACTACTCCCCGATACTTGAAGGAGGGTCCTGACCCTCTGGGTGGGGGAGCTGTTAGCTGTTAGCCATGCTGGGTGCTAAGGACGCGGCGGGGGCCTGGTGCCGTTCCCTACCATGTCACCCCGTTCTTCTTCACCTGTGTTGCCACCTGCGGGACACAGCGCGCGTGCAGCAGCGGCCTCGGACCTTGGTGCTCCTGCGATACCACTGCTCCGAAAGAGAACCCCACCCCCCCACCCCCCTGCCCACCCGCCCGCCCCCAGATCCACGACCGCACCATCCACAAGCGCATGGTGACTGCCAAGGCGCTCAACAAGCTGCGCGCCAAGTCGGCATCCGACCCCAAGATGGCCGAGTGGCGGGAGATGAGCCCGGGCGCCGGGGGCAGCGGGAGCGTAGGGGGCGGCCAGAAGAACATGGCGGCTCGGGTGCCGGGTTACACCAAGAAGTCGAACTGACAGAACAAACGGGTGTTGTGACCCCTTGTGTGGGAGAGAGGTGCCGGTAGTGGGATTGCGTTGGGTTGCCTTGGTTTGGCATGGTGGAGGGGGGCTGAGAGTGGTGTGTAGAGCTCTGCGTGCTAGGGCTGCATAAAGGGAAGGGGGCCCACTGGAGGAGGGAGGCCTACCACATGCGCGCCATGTTCGAAGGTACTTGCTACACCAGCATCTCGGTGTGGAGGAGGGGTGCGGTGGGGCAGGTTGCTGGCGAGGGAAGACAGAGAGCGGAGTGCGGTTTCGCGGATGGGTGTGGCTACATGAGGGGGGTCCGGCTGCCGGAGTGGCGATGGGGCGGGGGGGGTGGGCTGTCTGTTGCTACCAGCTGCTGCTAGCATATCTCTTAGGAATGAATGAATGGCCGTTTGAGTGGATTGCCAACACAGAGAACATACGGGTGTGTTGGTGTTTTGTGTGTTGTAGGAGTAGAGGCAGGAGGTGTCGCAAGCATTGCAGTCTTCAAAGAGTTAGCTGTTAGACGAGTTAGCTGTCGTTTACGTGAGACGCATTGCACACTGTTTGACGTTGCGCGCCTGCGGGTGGTTTGCCCAAAAGGCCCCGTATCGGTATGCTTTGCCAACGCGCCCGCATACCATGAAGTCATGTCAAAACCCCGTGTGGGCATACTGTATGGTGGTCTGTAGTAACCGAGGGGAGAGGCGTGGGCGTGAGACGTGAGGGAGCGGGAGTTGAGTGGCGAGAGGTGAGACACGGGTCGAGAAGAGGGACGTGAAGCATATGCAACAAAGAGTGCCACATGAGTGCTTTAAACAGAGAGTTTGCACATCAGCTATGGTGTGCTGCTAAGGAAAGTGGCCGCGAGTCCTGAAGCGTGCATGTTCTGACGTAGAGGTATTGCCGAGGGTGTTGCACAGACGTCACATTGCAACCACTGTCAGGCGGCAAGGACCTAGCCGACAGCTGGATGTTTGGATGGATGGCATTTTCGGGTTCAGCAGACGTTGCCGATGGGCTAAGGAGGAGGCGGCGGTAACGAACAAAGCAGCAGCTGATGCGAGGATGCCTTGATGCAGTTGGTATTGCTGTGTTGTGTTGTGCAGAATGGAAGCCAGCTAGGGAACAGCATTGCTAGAACTGTTGCGCATACAACTCCCCAAGCATAATGTAATGGACGACAACACACCTTACATGTGAAGTGTTCTAAGTGGGAGGCACCTAACGACCATTCTTGCCATGTCCAACTTCATGTTCCTTTGTAACAACACCTTTGCTATCGGTACCATACTCTGCTGTCCTTTTCAGTAGGGTCAGGACTACGCTACCGCACAACGAAACAACGCAGAAAGGGCCAACATGTCGTACAATACGGCAATTTGTCGTACACGCAAGCGGCTAGAAGGTAGGAGGCATGACGTGTCCGCCAATCCACATGAGCTAACACAGCTCTTCACTAGTTCAGCAAAAGCCTTTTCAGAACCCTTTCCAATTCGACACCCTCTTCAACAATACCCTAACCTGAGTTACCTTGAGCTAAGCAGACAAACCCCTGCACTATACACACCCTACTGGCGCCAAAGCACAATACACACACGTGCAGCGACGGCAAATGCACCAATATCCAATCACGATATGGATAGAACCGCAAATGGCAATGTCAAATAGTTAGTGGGTGAATCCCAGGAGCTGTAATGACGCGCCACATGTGATTGATTGCCACCCAGCACCACCACCACCACCACCACCACCCAATACAAACCACCGTCAAAGCCACAGCTCAGCCACAACAACAGAGCCGCGACATGGGAGGGGAGGACGCCTAGGGAACGGGAGCACAGCTGCTTTCGAGCCCTACGATACCCCACACGATGTGCACCCGACGTCAGTCAACGATTTGAGATTGATAAGTGTATAGGACATGAAACACAAAGATACAGAGGACATAGCAGACACCTTTCCAGGGCCAAACAGCAACATCCTCACCGTCCGCCCACACAACAACAACCGGCACTTTCGGCAGTCGCAACGGAGGCCACGCAGGGCAGGGCACGGGGCAGCCGGGTTGTGGCGGGCGGCTCTGTGTATCGCAATGCCGCGACATAACGCACAGAGGGCCACGGCAGAGGACCATGCCTGTGGCCTTGGGGAAACGGTGGCCGTTTAAACGAACTTCCATTAGACACATAATACACGCTCTCAACTGCACACATAAAACACTCTCACACTCCCGCTCTCACTCTCTTAATGCTCAGCTGTTCTTCTTTGTCCACGGCAGGTTGGCACGTGAGTGTTTCGGCAAGGAAATGCGGATTCCGGCTTCCAAGCCTGGGAGGAGCAACCCACACCGCACCCGTCCTCACACCGTGCACCTGGGGCGACAAAATACAACTTTGCAGCTACCGATAGCTAGCCACCACAATAGAGACTGTAAGCTTAGAACAAAGCACAAGAGGTACATGGTAACAATATTAGCAACTGCCATTCATATCTGCCAGGGGAAAACAAAAAGTAACAAAGCTAGCGCAGCCTTCATCCAGCCTGCCCTCACTCACGCCATGACCCTGTTTGCAGTTGTATGCACAACTCTTTTAGGAACCAACGCAACACGCCAAACCACGAAACGAACGCTACACAACGCTAACACCTAACTAACAACTCGCTAAGGAGCCAACTAACAAGCCAACCATCAACGAATGCAGTCTTCTCTCGGGGCGCGCTCAGTGAAACCAAAAAAAGAGCGCGCCCGCACGTTACATGCCACTCAATGCCAGTCAACAACTTAACATGCTTCTATAGCCTAAGCTGCGCCTAACAGCACTCTTGGTGGTTCCCATACGGGTAAAAATCCATGTTTAGTGTACATACACACGTCACCCCCGCCCGGCAGCATGGGGAAGAGGGGGAGAGGCGGTACGACAGCAGGGGGGAGAGGGAGAGGCGGTACGACAGCAGGGGGGAGAGGGAGAGGCGGTACGACAGCAGGGGGGAGAGGGAGAGGATAGCACACGACATGCCTGGACCCTTCCATGCGTGCCGGGGGGCTGGGGGAAGCCACAGGGTGCCCTCGGGGTTGCATCCGCCACACACAACACCCCGGGGGGGGCTCAAAAGAGTTCGCAGGACCAACCCACAGCACCATGAGCACCCACACCTCCCAACACACACTCAACAGGCTATAGCAACGTGGCTGCCACCGCCGATGCCACACAAACACCTGCCCGCCCCACCCCTCAACACCAAGAATGCACCTCCTCCAACCCCATCGTCGGCATCTGCCAATCCAACAAATCACTACCCTCCCAGCTGCACCCACCGCCCCCCTCCACCCGCCCACCCTGCCCCTCCTCCTCTTCCGCCGCCTCCAACGCCGCCGCCGCCGCAGCCATGGCGGCCAGATCAGGCAACAGCACCGAGCTGCTGCCTCCCCCGCCACCCTCACCCCCAACCTCCTCCAACCTCTTCAGGTGCTTCAGCCGGCCCAGGGCGCGCGTGTAGTTGTCCGGGTTGTGGTATCGCGAGATGGTGCCACTCGCCAGGTAGGCCCCCGGGTCCGCCAGCGTCTCCAGCGGGTGGGGACAGTCCATGAACTCCCACACCGCCTCCACCACATTGCGGGCCGCGGGGCGGGGAACCGATAGTGATGATGATGGTGGTGGTGGTGATGGTGATGCCGCCAAATCAATCGTACCGTTCGCGTGGTAGCCGCCGCCGCCGCCGCCGCCGCTGTTGCTGCATGTGGCGTTTGAGAGAGAAGCAGCAGCAGCGTTATCAGCTGCTGATGCAGCAGCAGCCGGGGATGTCACGAGCGCAGAAGCGCCCGCGGCGGCGGCAGCTGCGCTATCGGCGGTGGCGGCTTGAGTAGGAGCAGTCGTGGTGGTGGCATGGGGGGAGCAGCAGGAGGCGGCGGAGCTGTTGTTGTTGTTGTTGGGCGGCCAGGGGTGCGGCAGGTCGGTCAGGAAGTAGAGTTCGGGCCCGGGGGGCAGCATGGGGTGGTCCGCGTCGCTGCTCACGAAGGTGTGTCTGGAGTCGGGCTGCAGGATGCACATGCGGCCGACAAAGTAGTACAGGTGCTTTCGACCGTGCCTGTGGGTGGGAAAGAGGGTTTGCAAGCATGGTGGGTTGGGTTGGGATGGATTGGGTGAGGCGTAAATGTGTTCTAGGTCTTGTTGGAGTGCGTCATCACGAGGGATGTGTTCGCGTCTGTCTCCAGGGCGATATGCCGGTAGCATGCCGCATGCAGGGCACCTCACGAGGCTATACACGCCGTACAGCGCTGTCGGGAGGACGCTATGAGCCCCTTTCGCCCTATCGCCTGCCAGTGATTGTAAGCGAAAGCCAAGCCAGTGGTTGAAATCCCCTGTGTGTTAAGAAAACTGGCCGCGAGGCGAAACGTACTGTGTGTGTGCGTGCACCCAGTGCTCGCTCCCACCTGTTGAGGCAGCAGTGGTCGCGGAAGGAGCTGCCCCAGCCCTTGATGATGTCAGCCACGGGCCGGTAGTCGCAGGCAAAGGCGCGCGGCACCGCGTCCCGAGCCATCACCACGTTGCGTATGACGTGCGGCGGCAGCTGCAGCCGGGCGAGCAGCGTGTCCGCACCGCAGGCGCAGGCGCAGCTGGGGCTGTGGCTGCTGGTGGTGGGAGAGGAGGAGGGAGAGGTGGTGTGGGGCACAACCAAGGAGGCAGTGCCCGGGTCCTGCGGTGGGAGGTGGAGTAGGCAGACGGGGTGGCGCGTGTTGATATGTAGGGGTGGAAAGGCAGGGAGAAGAGTAAAGGCGGCATTCGGTTTAGCCCATCACAAAAGAAACGAACATACATTCTGTTGACTGGGTTAATTTGGAAACAGAATCCGCATTACGCTGGATAGTTAACTGGGTACGGGACCCTGCCTAAGAATCCACACGGCCACCGCGCTACCCCACGGAGCCCCCGCACCGCTCCCCACCTCGAAGCTGTTAACGCTGCTCGCACTTCCCAGACTCGCAACCGAAGCCGACAGCGATGCGGATACATCCCACCACGATCCAGATCCAGCGGAGGCAGTCGAAGAAGCGAGGGAGGTAGGTGAAACGTTGCCATTGCAAACCTTCACATCCACGGTGGCCCCCTCGGCGTCAACACCGCTGGTGCCATTCGGGTGGCTGCTACAGTGGTGGTGTACCGACGCGTGCGTCTGGCAAAACACCGCTGGGGAGCCAAAGGTGTAGACGGTTGCGATGCTGTGAGGCGGCAGCACCCCCCGGGTGCGGTAAATGAGCAGCAGCAGCGTGGCTAGACTGCCGCCGATGGAGTGGCCCTGAGGGGTGGGGGGCAGCAGCAGGGGCAGCAGAAAGAGGGGGAAATGAAGACAGCAAAGGGCGAGGAATGGAGACAAAAGGTGGGAAGAGGGGTGAAAGGGGTTACTCCTTTGCAGCAAATGCATGTCACCACAGATTGATGCGCGGAAGGAGTCGGTTGAACAGCCGGGAGAGTGAGCGGGAGGGTGCGATGCGACGGGCGGCCTCCACTCCCTTTCGAATCCTGGTGTCCTGCTGCTCACAGTTGACAGTAATCAACTGCAAGAGAAACACACTGCATTGCCCGCCCCTCGTCCCTCGGCCCCCGCCCCCACCGTGAATGTGATCTTGGAGAAGGGCGAGGCCTCCAGGTGCTCGTACACGAGCGGCAGGAACCTGTCGTACAGCGCCAGGGCCCCCTCGTACACCCCCCGGTGAACCTGGCGGGACAGGGCGGGACGCAAGACAGGGCAGGACAAAAACACACCATACACACGTGCACGCGTTCAGCTATGGTCGGTTACGCGGTTCAAATATACAAACGTGGGAGCGCTTCGACACGATCTGGGTCGGCGACATGACGCGACACACACAGAGAGCAGTCGTCTGTTTCCCCTTTTGACTCCCCGCATCCCACCACACATTGGAATTTTTATTTTTTTTCCCCTACCTTGACCCCCAGCGCGGGGTCCTCGAACACCACCGGGTCGAACGTGAGGTTGAGCTTCCAGTGGTCCAGCGTGTCGGAGCCCTGGATCACAAAGGTGCGAGTGTGGCTGGCGGGGTCGTCCACCACAAACCACTCGGAGGGGCAGGCAAACGTGGAGCTAGAGGCGAACGTCAAGGAGGAGGAGGAAGAGGTGGAGGCAGCGGCTTGTTGGCGGAGTTGGGAGGTCGCGACGGCCGCAATGCCCGCTGCGGTGGCCTTCACACGGCCACCGTCAAGCGACGTCGACGACGACGCGGCTGCTGATGAGGAGGCTGAAGAACTCATTGCCAGTCCCTGGGGCGACCAAGACGGGGCAGCTGTGGCAGGGCCCTCGCCGCCGCCACCACTGACAGCGGCTCCTCCGGCGCTCGCTGACTGCTGCTGTGACTGTGACTGCGATTGTGAGGGTGACGAAGGTGGTGGAGGGGGCACCACCGCGATGCTGGCCCGGTTGTTTGCACCCACAAGGGAGCCGCCGATGGGCAGCCACGCCAGGCTGGCACCGTGCTTGGCGGCTGCCGACGCCACCTCCGCCAGCTTGATGCCCTCCGCCAGCCGCATGGCCTCCAGCAGCTTCTCACGAACCACCGCGGAAGCCGCCTCAGCGGGGGAACGCAGCATGCGCACCAGCGCGGCCTGAGAGGAGGAGGAGGATGCAGCGGCTGCTGCGACGGCGGCAGCAGCGACGGCGGCTGCGCTGCCCGGGGGCTGAGGTTGGGGCGGCTGGGGTCCTGAGGCTGCCGCTGCTGCGGCGGCTGGGGGGAGAGGCCATGCGGGCCCGCCGCCGATGCCGCTTGGACCGTGGTAGGGCTGTGACTCAGAGTGCCGTTGTAGGTGCGACGGCGGGTGCGGTGAGGTCGATGACGGCGACGGCGTTGCGACCTGCGTCGAAGACGGCGGCGCCATGCCGATTGCCCCCGGCCAGCTGGGCCCTAACGACCACCCGCTTCCACCACCGCCAGCTGCTCCGTTCGCACTGCCTCCACCACCTCCCGTGGCCGCAGCCGTCGTCCCCGGGTGCGCTCCCGCCGTTCCCGCCGCTGCCACCGCCGGCGCAGCAGCAGCTGCTGCTGCTTCCGCCGCCACCGCTGCCGCGGCCGCAGCGACGTCCTCGCCGCCAACCCGTTCGTACACCTGCGCCACCTCCTGGAAGGAGACCGCCATGCCGTCGCCGTCAGCGCCCACCTCCTCCGCCGTCTTGGAGTGTTCGTACGGCCGGATCTGGCAGGCACGTGAGGTGGTGACGAGCTCCACGCGGTGCATGCGGTACAGCCGCCGGGGCTGTTGGGGGCAAAAGGGAAAGGCGGATTAGACGTGGGCAGAATGAGAAACGCAAGGCGGAGAAAATGTAGGACAGGACACAGCGGAGGATTTGGCCTGGACTACGGCTGCTGCGGCACAGGGCGGTAAGGGTGCTCAAAGACGTTGGATACGTTGGACGAATGGCTAGTTAGAGAGACCGGACTAGAAACATGGATTGGGTCCGTTTGCAGCAAGGCAGGTAACGGAAGGCTTTGTGAGGATGCCACAGAAGCCGGTCAGCGCCGGTAGGAGCAGCTGTAGTTGGCGTTTCACCTACCGTCACCAAATCCATGTAGTATGTAAGAGAGGTCAGAGATGACAGCTTCCGGATATGCTTAAGCTCCCAAATGCCCACAGGCGACAGGAATGCGCTGATGTCCACTAGCGGCTTCGCATTCTGCAGCTCTCGCTCCTTTGTCGAGGCCTCGCGCAGCACCTGTCAACAACAGGAACGAGCGTTGACAATTCGACAAAGATATATTACGTGTAAGGGTGCACAGGCGTGGCTTGCTGACCAAAATAGAACGTCTCGAAAGGCGTCCATGTCAGCATATGAATGCCGTTCATATGGTAAACTCACCACGTCCGGCGACGGAATAGGGAAAGTCGGCACCCGAAAGTGACTGAGTAACTGGGAGGCAAAGCTGGTTGTGCTGCTCCAGAAGTCTCCGGACGGAGTAGTTGGAGGCGGAGGTGCCGCAGCATCCACCGACCTGGGCCGCTTGCCAGGTGCCTCTGGGGGAGCCAGAACACGACATATCACGCTACGGTGTGCTCGTTCGCCAATGCCCAGGCGTGGTGCACGCGACCAAGCCTGACGCCGGTTGCAAACGCACGGATGTGTCGCTGGGTTCATACTGCATTACTTAGTAGAGTATGCCCTAACTGCTATAGAATGCCTTTTAGCCCTAATAGTATGTTACAAATCGCAGTTACGCCGAGTTACGCAACATGGGTTTATGGATGGTGCCTATTGCATCATGCGTTTGCCGGACAACAACACACATCAGACATAAGAAAAGTAAAGTTTATCCAAGCGATCGATGTGCGGCAGGAATTGCTTCCATCTTGTATTGCCGTGCGCTTGGATTCAAAGCAGTGTCATCTCTGTCCATAATGTTTACCAGGTTAGCAGCGAGACTGTTTTGCTCCTTTCCTTCTGACGTACCTCCCAATCTTGCTTGACGTTAAAAGCGTAAACTTTAAGACAAATGCCGTGGCAAGCTGACACCGGCGAACCGTGGGTGGCGTGCAGCCGTGATCTCGAGAAGTGCACTCGTCTCGTGGAGGCATAGCAATCAAGTAAAGCCGCTTGTGTCCTGGTCATTGCCTGTTATGTAGCACGTCACCTAACGGCTTTTCCTTCTAGCTTGGAAGTACCTGCTGGCATACCCAACCTACCTAACCCGCGCTGCCAAGACGACGGTTATAGCTCATGTGCATTGCTGTTATGCATGTTCTTGCTGTTCACTGTCCGAACAACGCCGTTGCCGCGTTGGGCCTCGACCAACCCGCCGCATTGCGGTATGGCTGAGCAATTCTAGCTACCGGTATGCCCTTGCGGTATGACTTGCATGCGCCTCCGCTTTTAAGCTTGAAGCATGAGCCATAGGCTGTCTTAAAGTCATTGGAGATAGGCCATGTACGGCCCCCGAAAATCCCGGCGCCATGCGCGCCCCTCCTCTTCCCCTGCTTTACGTAACGCGGGAGCCTTGGACACTTGCCCATGCATTGATCAGTGCCAGGCAACATCACACAATTTTGTTGTTTGCTGCTATACTTCCCATTCACAAGCTGGTGACAAGCTTAGTGACGAGCACAGGCCACAAGAAAACTATCTTGCCGCTGCGCCATATTCGAGTCCGTTTCGCGCCAACAGCGCCAAGGAACGTGCCCTTTCCGGCGCCTTGCTTCCCCCTACTTTCCTCGCCGTTCTCAACAAGTCAAAACATGACCAAGACCTTAACTTCCAAACCCGATGAATACGCTTGCTGCAGCAAGCCCAGTAAAAGCCCCAAAGCCGCATCCGCCGCTCATCCCAGCACCGGCGGCACCGGCTGTTCCAAGTCAGCTCCAAGCTCTGCACGTCATGCCCATCTCCTCTCCTTCAACCGCTGGTACGCCCGCCGCGCCCGCGCCACCGACCTGCTCTTCCTCTCCCTGGAGCTCTTCTTCATGAACGCTCCGCATGTGGCGCAACTCATGTCCGGCCTCATGTGCGCTTACCAACCCACATCGCAACTACCGCCGCAGCAGCAGCAGCCCGGCTACGGAAACGGGCACTCGCCTGCAGCCAGCAACAACAGTTCCAGCGCTGCTGCCAACGCCACCGCGTCTGCACCTCCCACCGGTACACTCTTCCCCTTGGATCCCACTACCAGCCGAGTGGATGCGATCTACGCCTTCTTCCCCTGCAGCAGCTCCTACACGCAACAGCTGCTGTACACGCTGCGAGCCGGCGCCTTCATCGACCCATGGGTCAAGGCGCGCGTGTGGGACTACGGCAACCTGGCCTACGCCGCGGGGCAGCTGCTGACGCTGGCGGTGGCGGCGGCGGCTCCGTCGCTGTACGAACGCTGGCGTCACGGGCTGTTTGTCGTACACAGTGCCAGCATTCTGCTGGGCTGGTGGGCCTCCGCAGTGGCGGCTCCCGCGCAGCTGCTGCCGCTGCTGGGGGCTGTCTACATCGGCGGTGTGAAGCGGCGAGTGGGAGCGGTGTACTTTGCATGGAAGGCGCTTACCGTGCATAGGGTGGGTGCGTGGGCAGGGAAGAGGGATGGGAAGGCGAAATGAGGTTGTGAGGCGCAGGGGTTGCGAAAATAGCATTGTGAAATTGCATGTATCGTGTGACTGACCCGCGGGTCGGTTCTGCCCCGAACCAACGGATGATGTATATGTATATGCACACCGATTCCGTACTCAGCTTACAACCATGCTGTCCCTGTCCTTCCCCCTCCCGTCTCGCCTCCCCCCCCCCCGCAGCTCCCCTCCCGGCTGCAGCTGCTGTCCGGCCCCGCCCTGTGGCTGCTGGCGCTGCCCACCATGGCCGCAGTGGACCGCCGCCTCGCAGCACCTCCCGCAGGGCCGCTGCAACACAATCACCTCGACCCGCTTCAAGACCCGCTCCAAGCCCTGCAGCAGCAGCAGCAGCTCAGCCCCACGGAAGCCGTACTGCTGTTCGTACTTCTCGCTGTACTGCCGTACTGGGTGGTACGAGGCTGGGAGCGCGCATGGGTGGCGCCGCAGTACCGCGCCTACCTGCGCCAGGAAGCGACACCCGCCGACGCAACCGCTGCCGACGCAACCGCCGTCGACGCAACCGCCGCCGACGCAACCGCTGCCGACGCAACCGCTGCCGACGCAACCGCCGTCAACGCAACCGCCGCCGACGCAACCGCTGCCGACGCACCCGCCGCCGACGCAACCGCTGCCGACGCACCCGTCGCCGACGCGGCCACCACCCCCAATGGTCGCACCCTGCATCCCGCGGCGCCCGGCCCCAGCCCCGGCCTCGGCGCCGACCCAATGCCCGCCTCAGGGCCTTCAGCCTCGTTGCCCGAGTGTGATGCGGCGGGCCACTCGGATGCCCTTTGTCACCGCCAGCACGAGCCGCAGGGGCAGCCCAAGGTGCTACTGCTACGGCGGCAACAACAGCAGCCACAGCCGCAACAGCCGCAACGGCAGCAGCCGCAGCAGCCGCATGCGATGCCGGTCTTGTATCGCTCCGCTGCCGGCACCCGCGCCACCCGGGTCCTGAGCGTCAAGGTGACGCTGCCGTCATCCGCTGCAGCAGGGGCAGCAGCAGGCGCAGGTGCAGGCACGCGTCAGCGGGTGGGGTCCTTGATGCCACAGTCGGGGCAGCCAGGGCAGCAGCAAGGGCATGCGGGCTTTGCTGAGGCGGCTGCCATGGTCCTGAAGGCGGCGGAGGGGGCGCTGCGAGCTCATAACGAAGCAGCTGCAACCACAGCAGCAGCCGCCGCAACCTCAACCGCCGCTGCGGCCACCTGCGACGCGGATTGCGTCGGCGACGTTTCGCCATGCAAGCAGTCACAGCCGCCGCAGTCGCAGCCGGGGCAGCGCAAGTGGCAGCTGCCGCGAGCCGTTCAGCCGCTGTCAGCGGTGTGTGTGCGGGGCTGCGTGCACCTGCTCATGGTGCTGCATGGCGTGCGGGGGGGCGGGGACTCCCACGGAGGGGGCGAGTGGGGCGACGACGGGGATGATGGCGGGGGAGGTAATGACGGAAACGACGGCATGCATGTACAGCACCAGTGCATCAGCCTGCTGGGGGCTGCGGGGGGAACCACCTCCACCTCCAGCACCCGCGACGGCGGCAGTGCGGGGGGTGCTGACGCGGGCGCCTACGGGTGCCGCGAGGACGACGTGAGCTCCGCCGTCGCGCACATGCTGGCTCCTGGCGGCTGTGTGGGTGATTGCGGAGATTGCGGTGCTGGCATCGGTGACGGAGCAGGCAGCGCTGCGGCTTCTGTTGCGCCGTTGCTTGCAGATGTGTTGGTATGGCCGCCGGCGTTGGAAGTGGTGGTGCCTGGTGAAGATGACGCCGCACAGGTTGTCGCCAGCAGCGGTGCCCCCGTGGGTGCGCCCTGTGGGGCGGAGCAGGACTGCACCCACCACAGCGGTGGCTGCGACGGCGGCGGCGAGGACGGCGAGGACGGCGGCGGCGGTGACGGCGGTGAAGCGGCAGTGGTGGTGGTGTTGGTTTCCGCTGCCGCGCTACGTGGGCTGGGAGCGGTGCGCTGCGTCGTGGCTGGGCGGCGACCCATGGGTCAGCAGCGGCGGGCGCGGCCCAAGGGGGAGGAGCAGCAGGAGGAGGAGGCCGAGGCGGCAGTCTGGGCCGCTGAGCGGGTTGCAATTGTGGATGATACCGTTACCATCCGTACGGATCAAGAGGATGATGGGTGTGGAGGCGCAGAGGATGGCTGGGTGAAAATCAGGTGAGTGCGGGAAGGAGAGGTTGCCCGATGTGCGGCTTATGCGCGGGTGCCGCACCGACGCCACGTACGGAAAATACGGGATAGAGCTCTGGCTAGGCATGTGCTCTAGGAGGTGGTGTGGCGTTACGTCCGTCATCTGCTCAGTGATGTGCAGCCGGGTCGCTGCCGCTTGCGAGCAACTCAACCGCATCCCAAACCGATCCTTTCTGAGCTCCCCCCTCCCCCTCCCCCCGGGGGATTGGGATTCGTTGTTTCACTTTTATATAATTTTTCCCCCCTCCCCCCGGCCGCTCCTCCCCTCCCTCGGCGCCTCTTGCATCCCCGCCAGGCTCCTCCTGCCACCCGCCGCGCTGCACTTCCCCGGCTCCCTCAACCTCTTCCTGCTGCCTCCCACGGAACCAGAGACGGATGCTACTGACGACGACGCTGCAGCAGCGGGAACAGGCCGCAAGGCTGCACAGGCCGCTGCCCCCGCTCCTCTCGGACCGGCCCCCGCCACCTCAGCGCTGTCCACTGCGCCCCTCGCCACCGCGCCGCTGCTGGTGCTGCCGGCCGCTGCGGCTTGGGAGGTACGGCAGCTGTACGGCAGGGCGCTTGATGAGGCTGGTGAGGACACCGACGGAGGAGGTGGAGGAGGAGGAGGCCTTATGGTGGCAGAGCTGGAGCACCTGGCCGCTCCCGCCTCTCGCGCCTCCACATCATCATCATCACGTACCGTATCAACATCATCATCATCATCCTCGGCGTCGGCATCGGCAACAGCTACCTTCATCACGACCGCCTCGCCAACCTCAAGCGCCGCCCCGTGCCTTGCCGCCAGCACCGCTGCCGCCGCCATCGCCGCCATTAAACGTAGCGGTCTCGTCAGCTTCATGTACGACATGAGCGCGCTGTTGGATCTGCCGTACACCGCCGTACAAGGCCATGGTCTCAGTAGCCTGGCAGATGATGGCCAGCAGGAGGAGTCGCAGCTAGGTGGTAGTGGTGATGGTGATGATGTTTGGCCGCCCGGGTCGCCATTGTCGCTGGGCGGCGCGGCCGACCCACGGGTCTTCACGGACCTACTCCGCTTCCTGGCTTCCCAGGGGCTCACCGCATGCCTGCGGGAGGGGCTTCGATCGATGCGCGGGGGGGGAGTGCGGCTGTTGGGGTCCGGAGAAGAGGAGGAGGAGGAGGAGGTTGAGGTGAAGGAGGGGGAGGTGGGGAGTGTCGGAGCGGGGGCTGGGCAGGCGCCCGGTGACGAGCCTGGGGGGGAGGTTGATGATGAGGAGGCGGTGAGGGGGCTTCTGGCTGCAGCCGAGGCGGACGATGCGGAGCCTGGGGCGCTGGCGGAGCCTGGGGCGCTGGCGGAGGGGGTGTCAGCGGAGCGGGGAGGCGTGCAGCGGGAGGAGGAGGGAAGGCAGGCGGCGGAGAAGGAGGCGACAGCGGTGGTCGCGGCGAGCGAGGCGGCAGCAGCGGGTACTGCTGCCATCACCGCTACTACCCGCACCGCCGGTGGTGCACAGGCGGCCGCCCAGATAGACCCCCCGGGGACCCCCCGATCGGCCACCACCTCCCCCCGCTCCTCCTCCTCCTCCTCCTTTTGCGGGTCCTTCCGCTGGTGGCTCCACACGCTGCTGTGGGGCTTTCCCTCCACCTCCTCCTCCTCCTCCACCTCCTCCACCTCCTCCACCTCCTCCACCAGCACCACCACCACCAGCCGCCCCACCACCACCCACCCCTCCACTCTAGAACTGTCCTACCGCTCCTTCAAGACGGCGCAGTGCCGCCCCCTGGACGGCTTGGCGCTGGGGGTGATGGCGGTGATGCGGCTGGGCAGCACCGCGAAGACCTGGCGGGCGTACAGCGCCGCCGCCAGCGCTGCTGCTGCTGCTGCCGCTGCTGCTGCTGGGGCGGCGGCGGCCGCGGTCAACAGCAGTGCCGCGTGGGAAGCGGGAGCAGTAGCAGCAGCTGAGTGTGGTGGTGGTGGTGGTGGTGGTGGTGGTGGTATGGATGCTGCTGCACGGGCGGCATGGACCCCTTCTGCTGCGGCGCACCTGCTGCGGCTGCAGCTGCTGGCGCAGGCGGTGTACGTGGCGCCGCTGCTGGTGGTGGTGGCGGCAATGGTGACCAGCCGCCTGCATGCGAGGTGCGGGTGCGGGTGTCTGGTCGTGTGGTGGTGGGGCATGCCGCCATCCGTTCCTGTATGTGCCGTTCAGCTTGCCCGTTTTGTACCTCTGCATGCTGTTACTCCGCCGCCGTCCTGGTCTTACTCCGCGACGTCCTGCCCTTGCTCCCCGCTGCTCCTCAGGCGCCGTGACGCGCTCATCGCGCTGTTTCGGCTGCTGGACTGCGCCGCAATGCTGCTGATCACGTGGCCGCTGCTGCCGGGCTGGGCGACCCACGGGTCGGGACCCGCGGGGGCGGAGCTTCCGCCGTCGCTGCTGCCGGTGCCCGACGCCTGGATCTCCTCGTGTCGCCGATCCGGGGTGCACTGGACGTACTTTGGCATCTGGGTGCCCGCCACCCTGCAGGTGCGTGAGCGCCCTACACTGTTGGAGCTGTTGGTGCGAGAGGGGCTGCTATCTCCGAGCACTGTTACCGGCATCCGAGCACTGGCTGAAAGCGAACTGGTTACGGGACGAGAACAAAGGGTTGCAGCGCCCCGCATGCACCACCCGTCAGCCCCCATTCTAACCCTCCTCCTGCCTCCCTCTCCCCACCCGCGCAGCTCTCCCCGCCCCTGGAGCTCCTGCTCTCCCTCCTGGGCGCCCCGCCCGCCGCACTGCTCGCCCGCCACGTCTACTCCGGCAGCTGGCGAGCCGCGCTGCGCTTCGCGGCAGCCACCTGCCTGATGGGCGCATGCGTGGGCGTTGCGGCGGACCTGGCAGCCAGGTGGGCCTTCTGCAGGAGGCGGCGAGTGGGGGCCTGTGGTGGGGCAGCGGAGGAGGAGGTGGGAGGAGGTGGTGACAGTGGTGGTGGTGGTGTGGTTTGTGAGGAGGGGGAGGTGTGCATGCAGGGTGGGGGCGGTGGCGACGGCGGGTGCGGGTGCGGGGAGCAGTGCCACGGCGGTCAAGGCGCGTAGGAGTTCGTTCTTGCTATACCTGGACCTGACGGGGATTCGCACCGTACGAGGTGTTGATAGCGTTATGGGAGAGTACGCGGGCGCGCGTGCAACTGCGATTGTGCATGGTGGTTGTTGCGGGCGCGCTTGTTAGATAGGGGTACAAGGGGATGGAAGTGTGGTCTCTGGTAAGTTCCAGCAGCCCCGATGAGAAGCGTGGACACCTTGACCCTTTTGCCCCAGAATAGGCCGAGGGATAAAAGAAGGGCGATGAGAGCGCAATTGAATATGAATGGTCTTATTACGCGGTGATGTAGCACTTCATCATTCCAAAGGGTTAGGAATTAAGGTATTGTTTGGGGAATGGTGCGAAGAGGTTGAAGCCCTTGTCACGGTATTAATGCCGTTGAGGGGAAGAGCAAGTAAGGGAGGAGCTAAGAGTTTTGCCGGGCTGTATACAGGCAAGGGTACACGCAAGGATAGGAAAGCAACACGCCGGCATGTGTAATGCTCGTCCGCGCCACATTGTCGTACGGAAACGTTGGAAAAACCAAAATCCTATTGTAACCAATTATGACACAGACCATCATTTGCGTTGAATAACTAAGTTGCTGCAGATCGAGCTTAGCGCTGAGCCACTTGCTATGTGTTGAATGCCTTCTACTTTCCTATTCGAGCTTTACAATGTATGGATGACTTACCAGTTCTCAAGAGCATATAAGTAGTTCACTATTATGAAGTGTGGCGCTTTTACTTCTGGTTATCATCAATTGCTTCCACACGCTAGATAACGCAGCTAGTTAAGACATTGTGAGAAACTCTGCACAGGATCTGAAGAATGTCCGTAACAGCTGCCATTAAGCCACCGTGCAGCCAGACACCCTTGCTCCTGGACCCATCTGCTTCTCCTTCTTTGGCTTGGACTCTTCCTATCTACCCCCCTCCCAGCTCAGTTACCGTAAATCAATTCCCAACCCGTCTTCACGACGGACCAACAAGCCAGCCTTCTCAACCGACAACCCTAGCTCGCAGCTGTGGGGATGCAGCACATCAAAGCCTTGGCATCGGCTTTCGCGGCGGTGCCGACGCCAGTGACTTGGAGTCCCCAACTCCTAAACGTGAATCATTATTCGGCAGTTATCAGTCCGACCCGGGCTACCTAGCCCAGCCTCGCCTGCTGGGGACCTTGGAGGGCCCTGCAGCTTTGCATGCAACGCAGTGCCGTGACCGCCAGCACTGCTGCGGTCCCCAACACGTCAGCAGCAACCAGGAGCGCTGGCGTGTCGGGGCCGCTGGGGGTCCCGTTGCCCTGCCGGACGCAGACGTCCCCAGGCAGCTCACGCACCAACATGCATCCACATCCGCCATGGATGTACGACAGCCGGCCAGCACCGCCTGGCTGCTGGGAGGGCCGCAGGGCTGCTGGGCGGCTGCAGGGGATGCAGGCGGTGCAGCTGTCGTACAGCTGCCAGGCATTTCCACTGATGGGGCGGCACTGGCAGGTGCTCCGGGCTCTGCAGCAACACCCTTGCCGCCACGAGCGCTTCCACGGCCGCCACCGCAGGAGCCGCCACTTGAGCCCTGGAGGCTGCAGGCGCGGGTGGGGAACCCCAACAGCAGGTGCAGCAGCGCTGGAGGGGGCAGCGGCGGCAGTGGCAGCAGCAGTGCCTGCAGCAGCCGCAGCAGCGGGGGTGGCGGCAAGGGTGTTGTTGCGGCTGCGGCCGTCGGGACGTCATTTGGGGGCGGTGGGGTGCGGACTGCGTCGCAGATCACATACCAGATCACGGCAGCTCAGAGGTCAGTCAGGTCCTCTCACATAACTCGGTTGGTTGGGGTACGGTAAACCCCCGAGAAGCTCTTGCGACCCTCGTGCGCCGTTTGCCGCCCCCTACGTCGCCTCCCCCAATCAACCTCTCCTGTCCGGCTCCCCTCCGGAGATCTCAGACTCCCCTTCCTAGCCCCCTTCCTAACCCCCTCCCCGCCCCCCTCCTGCCCGCCCCCCCCTCTTGCCAGGCACCGGGCTGCCTCCCTCATCCAGGCCACCTGGCGCGCCTCCCGAGTTCGCCGCCTCTACCTGCGGCTCATCGTGGCTCGGCGCAGGGCGGCAGCGCAGGTGGGGGGGGGGCGCGCCTGGGGTCTAGGGAAGGAGAGCGGGTGCATAGGAGGTTAGGAGCGAATCAGGTCGAAAACGCGAGGGCAGTTAAGGGGGGAAGGTTGTGGGGGATCGCGGATGGGCTGCGAGGCCAGGGCCCCGGGGGGATCAGGGCGAAGGCAGCCAAAGCGTCATCGCTGCGGCGTCCTGCTTGGAGACGAAGATTCCCTATCCAAGCCCAAAAGTCCAATCTCCTCCCCTTCTCACGACCTTCCCTCCGGCCCCCACCTCCCACCTCCCACCTCATACCCCTCTGCAGCTGCCCGCCCTACCCGAGCTACCGGTCGTCAGCCTCTTCACGCGCTGCGGCCGCCCCGCCGCATTCCACCAGGTGCGCCGCCGCGTGTGGTACGACATGGAGCAGGCGCCCGCTGCACACCCCACCACACCGCCGGCTGCAGCTGCGGGGGCAGCTGCCGCTACGGCAGGAACAGCAGGATCAGCAGCAGCTGCGGCGGCGGCTTTATCCGCGAGTGGGGCGTGCGGTCCTGCATCGCCCTTCCTACCGCAGCCTCCGCCGCCCTCCCAGACACGTCAGCAAGGCTCCCACCCGCATCAGTCCCAGCCTCACTCGCCGTACGAGGCACCGCAGCCTCAACAGCCCGTGGAACGACCCATGGGTCCGCAGCCGCGGCTGCGGCTGCGTGTGCCTCCTCGTGCGGAGGCGGATGTGCCCATGCGGGAGGTGGAGCGCATCCTGGCGGGCGGCTTCTGGCGGGACAGCGAGCCGGTGGAGGAGGCGGGGGCGGCGGCGGCAGCAAGGGGGGGGCCGGCACGAGGGGCGGGGGCGGGCCGGGGCAAGAGGGAGGGCGGCGGCGGTGCGGAGGAGGAGGGGCTGAGCATGTACATGCGGGCGAAGATGCGGCAGGAGGAGCGGGAGGCGGAGGAGGCGCTGCAGGTGGGGTGTGGAGGGCTGGGAGGGGCTAGGGGCTGGGGGAGAGAGGACATTTGGCCACCGCAGCCCAAGTTTGCAGCGCAGTTGACTTGCACAACGTCAATACCACACCCTGTATCACGCCCTAACACGTGCACCCTATCCCACGCCCTCCAACCCCGCCCTTCTGCCCCCACCCCAGATGCTGTCTTACGAGCCGCACGACCTGCGCCACGTGCTGGGCTCCCTGAGGGAGAGAGCGCTGGACCGCCTGGGCAGCCTCAGACGCAGCCTGGGGGGCAGTCTGGGGGCAGCGGCATCCGCACACAGGGTGACCCATGGGTCGCACGGCGCCAACGGGATCCCTGCCCGCGCCTCTTCCTTCTCTTGCATGGGCCCAAGAGAGCGGCTGCTCGGTCAACGGAGCAGTACGGGAACTGGAGCAACCGGGCTGGCATGGGGAGGGGCTGCTTCAGGAGGGGCTAGTTCAGGGATGGGAGGGGGTCTGGGTGGGTTGGGAGCAGCAGCGGACGGGTGCCTCCTTCCGGTCGCGTCGTCATGTGGGGGGTGGCGGGCGGGAGGCCAGGGGTCCGCAGGTGGCTGCTGGCAGGGGCTGCTGGCGATGACACGGGCGCTGCCGCGGCCCCGGAGGACGGGTGCAGCTGCGGGGCCAACAGAAGACGGCAGTAGCAGAAGCGGACGAGGGTTAGGAGGGGCAGGAGGAGGAGGAGAGGGACAGCGTTCGGTCCGTCCCCACATTGCTCCCTCTGCCAGCTCTGCCCCTCTGCACCCACCGTCACGACCAGCACCCCACCACGTCTCACGACTGCAGCGGCATGGGGAGCAGCAGCAGCAGCAGCTCTGCAAGTCCAGCCTGCCACCTTGGCCCCGCATCTTCCACCCCTCCCACCAGTCGTCACTGCTGCCGCGCCTCTACCGCACCCGCAGCACGCCCGCACCCACTCTGGGACCCGCAACCGCGCCTGCACCCGCAACCGCGCCTGCACCCGCACCAGGACAAGCTAGCGCTGCCGGCATGTTTGGGTTCGGTCGTGACGTCAGTACGGCAGCAGGTTCCGGAGCGGTCGCATCCTCCTGCGCATCATCATCAGCCTCCACATCTGAGGCCACCGGGTTCCGTAAGCTGAAGCTCTCCAACTTGCCGCTGCTGTCTAGCTTCAGATCCGAGCCGGCGGTCTCCTCCGTTCGATCTGGTGTCAGATCTGCTGGATATGGATTCGGATCTGGATCCGGAGGCTCGGACCTTGGGCTGCAACCCGCGCTGCCAGGGCCCACCACCGGTAGCAGTGCTTCCGGTTCCGGATCGCGGATGACAACAGCGATGACAGCCGTTGCGACCGACTGGTCCGCCTCCGTGCGCCGAGTGATGCCAGCGGCGCTGTTACACCGCTTGGAGAGCGCACGCTGCACCCTGGTGCGATCAACCTCCTCATCCCTGTCAGCGGCAGCAGCACAAGCAGTACCAGCTGGTGCTTGTGCTACACCATGCAGACCGGTTTGCAACGAGGACTGCGACTCCCCCTGGTCCTCAGCAGCAGCAGCACTGCGGCAGCCGCTGCTGCTGCCCTGCAGCCACAACAGCAGCAGCAGCTGCGACATGGACGAGAAGAGGAAGTGCCCGCCCACCTCCTCCTGCTGCTCCCCCTCTACCGCCGCCGCGGGTGCTACCGCTGCCACCACCGCAGCTGCAGCTGGTGGTGGTGCTGAGGCTGTTTCCGGCGGTGCAGAGGAGCAGGAGGGGGAGCAGGGGGAGGGGGAGGAGGAGGGCCTGGAGCTGCTGCGGCTGGCGGGGTCGGAGGAGGATGACCCCACGGTGAATTGGGATCGTTACCGCCGCCGCTGCCACCTCAACCGGATGGGCAGCTGAGGCTGCGGGACTGAGCACCATGGGGAAGCAGCAGCGGCAGCAGCTGGGGGATATTCACTCACCATGGGATCCGCATGGGCTGCTGGGGAGCAGCGGCAGAGGAGAAGGCAGGAGCAGGTTTGTGTCAGCGCGCGGTTTGGTTGTCAGGAGAAGAGCAGCGCGAGGAGGCTGGGTTGGGGTCAGAAAAGCGTTAACAAAGAGGAGCGCGTACTGTTGTTCGGCAGTGATGCAGGGTGGTGGCGCGGGTAGCGCTGTAGATCTCATTCGGTCTCATGTACCTTCCTGTGTTGGCTGGCAGTGGGTGTCACCACAGCGGTAGGGCCGCTGCGTGGATGTACCGGTATGTGGCATTAGCCACAGGGCTGTGGCTGAAGTGGAGAGGCGGTGGCGGCAGGCAGGTGAACGAGTGAGGAGGGTGAGAGCAGGTGGGGTGGGTGAGGGGTAAGGACAGCCGCTGCCATGGATGGATTCCAGAGGGTGAGGCAGGTGGTGAGGGAGGGACAGCAGGGTAACAGCGCCATGAGCGGTGTGTCCCTGCGTATTCGTGTGGTATGGGGTTCTGATTGAGTCAGTGAGGAAAGACATTAAGACGTGCTGGTGTAAATGGCTGGCATGGATGCACTGCCGTTATTCTACGGCACGACACGCATTGTGGGCTGTGCGGCAAGCTGGCAGCGCAAAGCACCGAGGTGTAGAACAGCTTTTTAGCGCGACAGATGAGCGTGAGCGTCGTGTGATACGAGTGATGTGAGAGGGGTATTGAGCCGCAGAGCGGACACTGAAAGGCGTGTGTTAAGAAAACTGGCGGTATAACTGTGCGCCAGTTTTACCGCCAGCATATAGGCATGCTGGGTTTCTCCTCAGCAGCGTGCTGTTTGCAAGCTCGCGTGGCAATCCGTTGAGCGCAGTGCAGACAGCCACACCACATATAGGTCAGCAATTGCATACACAGCAGTGAACACTGCTGCGTGCCTGATGGGTGCCTGCCAGGCTACTGTATGTGCTCCATCCTGGATGGATATACTGGTAACGGACGCAATGTCGCGGCAGTGTATAGACGGGTGTGCCAAAAAGCATATGTACAAACACACCACTCGTGTACATACACAACTAGTAACCAACCAACCGTGGTCAAGCTTCTGGCTTCCAGTGCCCTACAGCAGCAGGGCTTTCTACACCTTTTGCCCTTGTCAAGACGAAACCTTTTCACTGCATCAAGACCTTCTATTACAACAGGATACAGCCCTCCTGCGCCCCATACCTATTGTACCCCACATGCATGTCACGTACGACAGGCAGCAGTACGGCAACAGCATGACTTCACCGTACCCTCACAATGCTGAGCAGCAGCAGCTGCCACCGCCTACCCCTTCCTTGCCTCCCCAACCACCTCATCATCAGGGGTCCTGCTGGGGCGGCTGCAGGCCCAGGTTCTCCTGCAGCCACCCCCACAGCCGCCTCACATGGAAGCCATCTGTACCATACCAGGCCCGCCGAGAGGTTTGCTGCATGGCCTCCAGCGCCGCATCCGTCGCCATGGGATAACCTGCCGCCAGCAGCCAGCTCAGCACCGCATTGCAAACACGGCGGTATCGGAGACAGTCCTTGAGGAGGTGTCCAGGCGGGCCCCAGGGGCAGCCCAGCCGCCTCAGGCAGGCCAGGGTAGCCAGGTCGTTGTTGCGTGCAGCTTCCACGTATGGGGAACCATCATCCTGGAACGAATAATGTGGGTCACGCGCATTTCCGTAAGTAGGGCGGCACATCACAGTCATCCCCAGGCAGCAAGGTGCTGGGAAGTTGCATGGAGGGGAATGGACTTACTGCAGTCAAACGACCCGCGGTACCATGGGGCTTCATCTCCAGCTGTAAAGCATGCCCTTCCCGACACTGTACACTGAGCGGATATCTATCCAACGGATTTAGGAGGCAAACGACGCCAGCAGGTTACACCTCCCTAGTTAGACATCTACCTGCACGGTGCTCACCGGCATGGGACAGCCCTGCTCCACTAGCCACTCCAGTGCTTCCTCACACCCTGACCCCGCAGCTCCTGCAATGGCATCTGCATTCCAGGGGCAGCCCCTCTCACGCAGCCACCTCAGCAGCTCCAGGTTGCCTGAACAGGCAGCACTGCTGAACTCCTCTGCACCCAGATGCACCCCTGCTGGCCCCAGCACCTCCTCCACCAGCCAGATCACCACGTGCAGGTGTCCCTCCCTTGCTGCAGCCCGGACTGTCAAAACGTTTACTGGGCAGCCATGGGCATACAGCAGGGTAACCGGCTCCCAGGCTGCCGCACCCAGCGGCCCTTCCACCACATACCAAACTGGGCTCGACACCCTCAGACAGCAGCAGGTACTGCAGCACCTCCACGTTGCCCCGTTCGGCTGCCACACGAGCAACGCCTTCATCCAGAGGATACCCCCGCCCTCGCAGCCACCTCAATCGATTCAGAGCGTCTGGGCAGGAGGCGGCGCCCTGGCAAGCCTCATCGCCAGGGAAGCCCTGCGTTTCCAGCCATACTAGCTTGCCCTGCCAGTCAGGTGTGGAGCTCCCCGCCGCAGCTGCCACTATAGATTGCGTCCACCATATACGCTTCATCACTGTCGTCTAGCTGCTGCTCGCCCGCCCAGTCACGGTGCAGGCGCTGCAGGGTGTGCAGCTCGCAGCCGACAGCTGCTGCTTCAAGCAGCGCATCAGCCCCAACGTGTGCACCTTCTGCCGGGCGCAGCTGCAGCAGCCAATCCATCAGGCCCACATGGCCTCCTCGAGCTGCAGACCACACAGCATCGGCACTCCAGGGGCAGCCGGCGGCCAGACACCACTCGCATATGGCCTGCTGCCCGGCGCCAGCTGCCTCCTCAATAACATGAAGCAAGGGGTAGCCCTGCTGCTGCACCAGCCACTGGCACATCTCCAGCTGGCCTGCTTCGGCCGCTGCCTGGCCAACGGAGGTATAGCACTTAAAGTCTTCGGGCTCTCTCGTGTAATAAGGAATCCCCGTGACAGCAACTGCCACCTGTAGGTTTGGCAGGCTGCCGCTGCGGGCCGTTAGCCACTGTAGCTCCTGCCGCCGCTGGACCGTGAGCCCACGCATGACGCCGGGCCGCTCCCATTGCTCCTTGAATGCGTGGGGCGGCACGGGGGAAGAAAGCTTCACGGTGGTGTAGCCAGGCCCGCGGAACTGCGCTGCTGCGGCCTGGTTGATCAGCCGCACGGTGCAGGCGACCTCGTTGGGCGGCAGGAAGCTGATGATACGCTCCACAAGCTCTGGTAGCAGCTGAGGCCAGATGCGTGACGGAATTGGCTGCTGCGGAGAAGTGTTCGATGGAAGTTCCGGATCATTAGCGGGCTGCTGGGGCTGCTGCTGCTGCTGCTTTCCTTGCATTTGAAAAAGGATAAAATGAAGATGGAGGAGTCCAGACAACAGCCCTGCAAAGTGCTGCCTGCAAAGGGTTTCCGCGCGCGTTGTCGCGTTGGACTTCACGTAGGCTTGGGTGCTAAGGTGGGAAATGACCCTCGCAAAGTATAAACGGTTGCTGTATCAGGTTGTGTGTCACCTTTTCCTAGCGTTCTGTTGCACGGTAAAGGGTGGCCTGGGTGGAATGGACCGCATCGAAAAGCGCTGCTGACCTGGCAAACGGCTGGTACACTCATTCACAGCGCAGGGATGATTGTTGCCGCCATCATTACACGACTGTATACTATGTGGCACCGCACAATTGATTATCAGCCTTCATCTGCATTCCGCTCGGGACCATCCTAAGCTGACTTGCGGTCCGACGACTGCGGGCCTAGGCGCAGCCCCTTCACAAACACCGTCTTCCAGACCCGTGGGTCGAAATCGCTTCAAGGAATCCCTGCAACATTGATCGCTCCAGGATCCGCACCTCGTGAGGTCAAACCATTGCAGACGGCACTAGCTGAGAAGTCGTGCAGTTTGCGACACGGCCCCCTTTGCACAGGGCAAGCCCCTCCAACGCTTTTCCACATTAAGAAATGCGGTCAGGACCATCCTTTGCTTGTATGCTATAACTATTATTAAAATTCGTAGGATCACGATGATATGTGCTTTCGTTAACACCCGAGGGGCCGTACCCCCTCGTCACCCCAGGGATTTTGGCCGGGATGGGTTCGTTGGCGTATGGCGGCCGTTGACATGCATGGGACCGGCTGGCGGAGCCAGCAGCTGGGTGTCAGGAGCACGGGGTGTTTGGTTTGGGGATCTAGCTTGGTGTGCACTGTCTGTGCTCAGCGGAGGATCTGCTCGGGGTGGTGACATGACACCTTTCTCCTGTCTTTGCGATGTCTACCACCTCCAGGCCCGTGCTTGCCTTACTCTAGGCGTGCTGCACCGTCTATTGTCTCGGTGCAGCACCTGGTGCTTAACCACCTCGTTCCATTAAGCCAGCTTCAGATAACCTTTGGTGGCACAGCCAAGTAACCCACTCCGCTCAGCAGCCCGGCGGCTGTGAAGTAAACCCCAGGAGTCCACCCCCGTGCACGATGCATTCCTACATCCCGTCGTACGGTGTATATATACGGTGCAAAAGGAACTATTCGGACCACGTGAACAGTGCAGCACGGCCGTAAGGATACGTACAAGCGCATGCCTTCTTTTAACATGATGTCAAGCATTGCGCACCCCTACACGTGGCAACGGCTGTTAAGTTTGGTACAAAGAGATGCGCACGGTTGTACGGCTGGTAAAGGTTAAGGGAGTTTGCAGGAATCAGGTAGGGGGGTGTTCCTCAGCATGCATGTACGTAGATGAATGAAACCCATATGAAGTAAATTGCATTGTCGACCACTGCACGTGACCAAGATTCTAATTTGGTTTATCCGACAGCAGATAGTGGCCGTGGGTAAGGGAGTTTGGGTGTAAGAGGAATGTACGATCAAGGGTCACTTAGGGAGTAGCAGCAGGCATGCAGGCAGCAGTCAAGGATACCGGCATGTTATGCTCACTTGCAGACGCATCCTCTGCCTACTGCCTACATCACGCATGCGCATATTGCGAGTTACACGTACCGTACGTACGGAGACGTGTTGCTGTTCAAGGATTTGCAGGACTTGGTGAAGGACTGGGAAGGGCAGTAGCTTACGTAGCTGGTGGTTTCATGTTTCCCAGTTTGCTTGCATATGCTATGTGGTGCTAACGCACTGTGGATGCATGCAGCCTCTCAACTGCACTGCTGTACGGTCGGCATGTGTGCATGCGGGGAACTGGGGAACAGCTCAGCCAAGCAATGTGCGTACAGATAGCACCTCACAAACATGATACAGGTATAGGTTGCACTAGTAACCCTGCTTTGGGTTGTAAGCTGCAGAGCACTTTGCGCTTAGTGCCAATGTTTGACCATTGAGCCGACCATGGCCGTCAAACTGGTAGCCCTTTCAAATCGCGCGGCCTCCGGCCGCGTTCTTTCTGAGACATGCCCATCCTAACAAACCTTTGCCGCTTGGGACGTTGGGAGCATAGCACTCTCGCTGTGAAACCTGTACGACAATAAAGAAAGCGACGCTGCACCTTTCCTTTGCGCTTGTGCTGCTAAGTAGTGCTGTTACGCATCGTAGCTATTGCGTTAAAAACTTTGTAATGACCTTGCTCAAGTCCGCTGGGCATACTTGATTGTCATACTTGATTGAACACGCGTTCGCAATGCCTGGATCCCTTCTTATTAAACGTCCAGGTTGCGGTATATCCGAATTAGCTAGCAGACGTTGGCGAACCACGTCCAGGGTGCGTATAAGAGAACTAATGGGCGAGTCCCGGCAACTCGAACAACTTCATCGAACATAGTCAGGCTGGGAGGGGCTAGTGGCTGGGGGAGAGGACATTTGGCCACCGCATCCCAAGTTTGCAGCGCAGTTGACTTGCACAACGTCAATACCACAGCCTGTATCACGCCCTAACACGTGCACCCTATCCCACTCCCTCCAACCCCGCCCTTCTGGCCCCACCCCAGATGCTGTCGTACGAGCCGCATGACCTGCGCCACGTGCTGGGCTCTCTGAGGGAGCGAGCGCTGGACCGCCTGGGCAGCCTCAGACGCAGCGTGGGGGGCAGCCTGGGGGCAGCGGCATCCGCACACCGGGTGACCCATGGGTCGCACGGCGCCGAGGGGATCCCTGCCCGCGCCTCCTCCTTCTCTTGCATGGGGGCAAGGGAGCGGCTGATCAGTCAGCGGAGCAGTACGGGAACTGGAGCAACCGGGATGGCGTGGGGAGGGGCTGCTTCAGGGGTGGGAGGGGGTCTGGGTGGGTTGGGAGCAGCAGCGGGCGGGTGCCTCCTTCCCGGCGCGTCGTCATGTGGCGGGTGGCGGGCGGGAGGCCAGGGGACCGCAGGCGGCTGCTGGCAGGGGCTGCTGGCGATGACACGGGCGCTGCCGCGGCCCCGGAGAGGGTGCAGCTGCGGGGCCAGCAGTAGACGGTAGCAGCAGCAGCGGACAAGGGACAGGAGGGGCAGCAGGAAGGGGAGAGGGACAGCGTTCGGTGCGTCCTCCCATTGCTCCCTCTGCCAGCTCTGCCCCTCTGCACCACCCGTCATGACCAGCACCCCACCACGTCTCACGACTGCAGCGGCATGGGGAGCAGCAGCAGCAGCAGCAGCAGCAGCTCTGCAAGTCCAGCCTGCCACCTCGGCCCCGCATCTTCCACCCCTCCCACCAGTCGTCACTCCTGCCGCGCCTGTACCGCACCCGCAGCACGCCCGCACCCACTCTTGCACCCGCTTCCCGCACCTGCACCCGCACCAGGACAAGCTAGCGCTGCCGGCATGTTTGGGTTCGGTCGTGACGTCAGTACGGCAGCAGGTTCTGGAGCAGTCGCACCCTCCTGCGCATCATCATCAGCCTCCACATCTGAAGCCACCGGGTTCCGTAAGCTGAAGCTCTCAAAACTTGCCGCTGCTGTCTAGTTTCAGATCTGAGCCGGCGGCCTCCTCCGTTCGATCTGGTGTCAGATCTTCTGGACAGGGATTGGGATTCGGATCCAGAGGCTCGGACCTTGGGCTGCAACCCGCGCTGCCAGGGCCCACCACCGGCAGCAGTGCTTCCGGTTCCGGATCGCGGATGACCGGGGCAATGTCGGGGACAACAACAGCAACAGCAACAATAACAACAACAACAGCCGTTACGACCAACTGGTCTGCTTTCGTGCGCCGAGTGATGCCGTCGCCGGCCGCGCTGTTACACTGCTTGGAGAGTGCACGCAGCGCGCTGGTGCGATCAACCTCGTCATCCTTGTCAGCAGCAGCGGCAGCAGCACAAGCAGTAGCTGGTGCCGCTACACCATGCAGACCGGTTTGCAGCCTGGACTGCGACTCCCCCTGGTCCTCAGCAACAGCAGCACTGCGGCAGCCGCTGCTGCTGCCCTGCAGCCACAACGGCAGCAGCAGCTGCGATCTGGACGAGAAGAGGAAGTGCCCTCCCACCTCCCCCTGCTGCTCCCCCTCTACCGCCGCCGCGGGTGCTGCCGCTGCCACCACCGCAGCTGCAGCTGGTGGTGGTGCTGAGGCTGTTTCCGGCGGTGCAGAGGAGCAGGAGGGGGAGCAGGGGGAGGGGGAGGAGGAGGGCCTGGAGCTGCTGCGGCTGGCGGGGTCGGAGGAGGATGACCCCACGGTGAATTGGGATCGTTACCGCCGCCGCTGCCACCTCAACCGGATGGGCAGCTGAGGCTGCGGGACTGAGCACCATGGGGAAGCAGCAGCGGCAGCAGCTGGGGGATATTCACTCACCATGGGATCCGCATGGGCTGCTGGGGAGCAGCGGCAGAGGAGAAGGCAGGAGCAGGTTTGTGTCAGCGCGCGGTTTGGTTGTCAGGAGAAGAGCAGCGCGAGGAGGCTGGGTTGGGGTCAGAAAAGCGTTAACAAAGAGGAGCGCGTACTGTTGTTCGGCAGTGATGCAGGGTGGTGGTGCGGGTAGCGCTGTAGGACTCATTCGGTCTCATGTACCTTCCTGTGTTGGCTGGCAGTGGGTGTCACCACAGCGGTAGGGCCGCTGCGTGGATGTACCGGTATGTGGCATTAGCCACAGGGCTGTGGCTGAAGTGGAGAGGCGGTGGCGGCAGGCAGGTGAACGAGTGAGGAGGGTGAGAGCAGGTGGGGTGGGTGAGGGGTAAGGACAGCCGCTGCCATGGATGGATTCCAGAGGGTGAGGCAGGTGGTGAGGGAGGGACAGCAGGGTAACAGCGCCATGAGCGGTGTGTCCCTGCGTATTCGTGTGGTATGGGGTTCTGATTGAGTCAGTGAGGAAAGACATTAAGACGTGCTGGTGTAAATGGCTGGCATGGATGCACTGCCGTTATTCTACGGCACGACACGCATTGTGGGCTGTGCGGCAAGCTGGCAGCGCAAAGCACCGAGGTGTAGAACAGCTTTTTAGCGCGACAGATGAGCGTGAGCGTCGTGTGATACGAGTGATGTGAGAGGGGTATTGAGCCGCAGAGCGGACACTGAAAGGCGTGTGTTAAGAAAACTGGCGGTATAACTGTGCGCCAGTTTTACCGCCAGCATATAGGCATGCTGGGTTTCTCCTCAGCAGCGTGCTGTTTGCAAGCTCGCGTGGCAATCCGTTGAGCGCAGTGCAGACAGCCACACCACATATAGGTCAGCAATTGCATACACAGCAGTGAACACTGCTGCGTGCCTGATGGGTGCCTGCCAGGCTACTGTATGTGCTCCATCCTGGATGGATATACTGGTAACGGACGCAATGTCGCGGCAGTGTATAGACGGGTGTGCCAAAAAGCATATGTACAAACACACCACTCGTGTACATACACAGCTAGTAACCAACCAACCGTGGTCAAGCTTCTGGCTTCCAGTGCCCTACAGCAGCAGGGCTTTCTACACCTTTTGCCCTTGTCAAGACGAAACCTTTTCACTGCATCAAGACCTTCTATTACAACAGGATACAGCCCTCCTGCGCCCCATATCTATTGTACCCCACATGCATGTCACGTACGACAGGCAGCAGTACGGCAACAGCATGACTTCACCGTACCCTCACAATGCTGAGCAGCAGCAGCCGCCACCGCCTACCCCTTCCTTGCCTCCCCAACCACCTCATCATCAGGGGTCCTGCTGGGGCGGCTGCAGGCCCAGGTTCTCCTGCAGCCACCCCCACAGCCGCCTCACATGGAAGCCATCTGTACCATACCAGGCCCGCCGAGAGGTTTGCTGCATGGCCTCCAGCGCCACCTCCGCCGTCATGGGACAACCTGCCGCCAGCAGCCAGCTCAGCACCGCATTGCAAGGATGGCTGTGTTGGAGGCAGTCCTTGAGGAGGCGTCCAGGCGGGCCCCAGGGGCAGCCCAGCCGCCTCAGGCAGGCCAGGGTAGCCAGGTCGTTGTTGCGTGCAGCTTCCACGTATGGGGAACCATCATCCTGGAACGAATAATGTGGGTCACACACATTCCAGTAGGTAGGGCGGCACATCACAGTCATCCCCAGGCAGCAAGGTGCTGGGAAGTTGCATGGAGGGGAATGGGCTTCGGCAAACAACCCGCGGTACCATCGGGCTTCATCCCTTCCCGACACTGTACAGTGAGCGGATATCTATCCGAACGGATTTAGGAGGCAAATGACGCATGCGTTGTCGCACCTCCCTAGTTAGACATCTATCTGCACGGTACTCACCGGCAAGGGGCAGCCCTGCTCCACTAGCCAGTTCAGTGCCTCTTCGCAGCCTGACCCCGCAGCTCCTGCAATGGCATCTGCATCCCAGGGGCAGCCCCTCTCACGCAGCCACCTCAGCAGCTCCAGGTTGCCTGAAGAGGCAGCACTGCTGAACTCCTCTGCACCCAGCTGCACCCCTGCTGGCCCCAGCACCTCCTCCACCAGCCAAATCACCACGTGCAGGTGTCCCTCCCTTGCTGCAGCCCGGACTGTCAAAACGTTTATTGGGCAGCCATGGGCATACAGCAGGGTAACCGCTCCCAGGCTGCCACACCTAGCAGCCCTTCTACCGCAGTCCAAACTGGGCTCGACACCCTCAGACAGCAGCAGGTACTGCAGCACCTCCACATTGCCCTGTTCGGCAGCCACACGAGCACCGTCTTCGTCCAGAGGGTACCCCCGCCCTTGCAGCCACCTCAATCGATTCAGAGCGTCTGGGCAGGAGGCGGCGCCCTGGCAAGCCTCATCGCCAGGGAAGCCCTGCGTTTCCAGCCATACTAGCTTGTCCTGCCAGTCAGGTGTGGAGCTCCCCGCCGCAGCTGCCACTATATACGCTTCATCACTGTCGTCTAGCTGCTGCTCGCCCGCCCAGTCACGGTGCAGGCGCTGCAGGGTGTGCAGCTCGCAGCCGACAGCTGCTGCTTCAAGCAGCGCATCAGCCCCAACGTGTGCACCTTCTGCCGGGCGCAGCTGCAGCAGCCAATCCATCAGGCCCACGTGGCCTCCTCGAGCTGCAGACCACACAGCATCGGCACTCCAGGGGCAGCCGGCGGCCAGACACCACTCGCATATGGCCTGCTGCCCGGCGCCAGCTGCCTCCTTGATAACATGAAGCAAGGGGTAGCCCTGCTGCTGCACCAGCCACTGGCACATGTCCAGCTGGCCTGCTTCGGCTGCAGCATGGGCAACGGAGGTATAGCACTTAAAGTCTTCGGACCTTCTCGTATCATACGGAATCCCCGTGACAGCAACTGCCACCTGAAGGTTTGGCAGACTGCCGCTGCGGGCTGTTAGCCATTGCAGCTCCTGCCGCCGCTGGACCGTCAGCCCACGCATGACGCCAGGTCGCTCCCATTGCTCCTTGAATGCGTGGGGCGGCACGGGGGAAGAAAGCTTCACGGTGGTGTAGCCAGGCCCGCGGAACTGCGCGGCCGCGGCCTTGTTGATCAGCCGCACGGTGCAGGCGACCTCGTTGGGCGGCAGGAAGCTGATGATACGCTCCGCGAGCTCTGGTAGCAGCTGAGGCCAGATGCGTGACGGAATTGGCTGCTGCGGAGAAGTGTTCGGAGGAAGTTCCGGATCGTTAGCGGGCTGCTGCTTCTGGGGCTGCTGCTGCTGCTGCTTTCCTTGCATTTGAAAAAGGATAAAATGAAGAAGGAGGAGTTCAGACAACAGCCCTGCAAAGTGCTGTATGCAAAGGGTTTCCGCGGCTTGACGCGCTGTCGCCTTGGACTTGGGCGTAGGCTTACTTGGGGGCTAAGATGGGAAATGACCCTCGCGAAGTATAAACGGTTGCTGTGTCAGGTTGTGTGTCACCTTTTCCTAGCGTTCTGTTGCACGGTAAAGGGTGGCCTGGGTGAAATGGACCGCATCGAAAAGCGCTGACCTGGCAAACGGCTGGTACAATCATTCACAGCGCAGGGATGACAGTTGCCGCCATTTTTACACGAGTGTATACTACCGGTATGTGGCACCGCACAATTGATCATCAGCCTTCGTCTGCATTCCGCTCGGGACCATACTAAGCTGACTTGCGGTCCGACGACTGGGAAAACCGGTGTGGGCCTAGGCGCAGACCTTTCACGAACACCGTCTTCCAGACCCCTGGGTCGAAATCGCTTCAAGGAATCCCTGCAACATTGATCGCTCCAGGCCCACGCCCGAAGGCGAGAGTGCATGCGAGTAGGAAACTGTCATCCACTGCCTAGCTGGTGGCCTTCTGACCCAAGGGAACCAACACCCAATCGCCTCAAAACCAACAGCGACACCCCACTTGTCTTGTCTGTGTGCGCGAAAAAGGTCTTGCTATGCAAATTTGCAAGCACGGCTTCACCCCTATACGTTTAGGACCACCTTGTGTGCGGCACATGGCATGTTGCTTCTTGCTCTAGCTGCCGTTATGCGTTACAGCAGATAATGTAAGCCGAAGCCAACCAACCGTACGTCGCCTCCACACCAACCAGGAATCCCAACCCTAACCCACACATCCCGACGCCCCAACCCATGTTTAAGATGCACTAGTGGCCAATTGTGCTGACAGCACCCAGTGTTGCACCTCGATTGCCGATTGACCCCCTTAATTGGGAGGCAGCCTGGGAGCAGCAGCATCCGCACACAGGGTGACCCATGGGTCGCACGGCGCCAACGGGATCCCTGCCCGCGCCTCTTCCTTCTGCTGCATGGGCCCAAGGGAGCGGCTGCTCGGTCAGCGGAGCAGTACGGGAACTGGAACAATCGCGCTGGCATGGGGAGGGGCTAGTTCAGGAGGGGCTAGTTCAGGGGTGGGAGGGGGTCTGGGTGGGTTGGGAGCAGCAGCGGGCATGTGCCTCCTTCCCGGCGCGTCGTCATGTGGGGGGTGGCGGGCGGGAGGCCAGGGGTCCGCAGGTGGTTGCTGGCAGGGGCTGCTGGCAATGACACGGGCGCTGCCGCGGCCCCGGAGGACGAGTGCAGCTGGGGGGCCAACAGTAGACGGCAGTAGCAGCAGCGGACGAGGGTTAGGAGGGGAAGAAGGAGGAGGAGAGGGACAGCGCCCGGTTCCTGCTCCCATTGCTCCCTCTGCCAGCTCTGCCCCTCTGCACCCCCCGTCACGACCACCACCCCGCCACGTCTCACGACTGCAGCGGCATGGGGAGCAGCAGCAGCAGCAGCAGCTCTGCCAGTCCAGCCTGCCACCTCGGCCCCGCATCTTCCACCCCTCCCACCAGTCGTCACTCCTGCCGCGCCTGTACCGCACCCGCAGCACGCCCGCACCCACTCTTGCACCCGCAACCGCACCCGCACCAGGACAAGCTAGCGCTGCTGGCATGTTTGGGTTCGGTCGTGACGTCAGTATGGCAGCAGGTTCCGGAGCGGTTGAATCCTCCTGCGCATCATCATCAGCCTCCACAACTAAAGCCACGGGGTTCCGTAAGCTGAAGCTCTCCAGCTTCCCGCTGCTGTCTAGTTTCAGATCTGAGCCGGCGGTCTCCTCCGTTCGATCTGGTGTCAGATCTTCTGGACAGGGATTTGGATTTGGATCTGGATCCAGAGGCTCGGACCTTGGGCTGCAACCCGCGCTGCCAGGGCCCACCACCGGCAGCAATGCTTCCGGTTCCGGATCGCGGATGACCGGGGCAATGTCGGGGACAACGACAACAACAACAACAACAACGACAGCCGTTGCGACCGACTGGTCTGCTTCCGTGCGCCGAGTGATGCCGTCGCCGGCCGCGCTGTTACACCGCTTGGAGAGTGCACGCTGCACCCTGGTGCGATCAACCTCCTCATCCCTGTCAGCGGCAGCAGCAGCAGCACAAGCAGCAGTAGGTGTTGCTACATCATGCAGGCCGGTTTGCTGCCTGGACTGCGACCCCCCCTGGTCCTCAGCTGCAGCTGCACTGAGGCAGCCGCTGCTGCTGCCCTGCAGCCACAACGGCAGCAGCAGCTGCGACCTGGACGCGAAGAGGAAGTGCCCTCCCACCTCCTCCTGCTGCTCCCCCTCTACCACCGCCGCGGGTGCTGCCGCTGCCACCACCGCAGCTGCAGCTGCAGCTGGGGCTGAGGCTGTTTCCGGCGGTACAGAGGAGCAGGAGGGGGAGCAGGGGGAGGGGGAGGAGGAGGGCCTGGAGCTGCTGCTGCTGGCGGGGTCGGAGGAGGAGGGCCCCACGGTGAATTGGGATCGTTACCGCCGCCGCTGCCACCTCAACCGGATGGGCGACTGAGGCTGCGGGGGCTGAGCGCCATGGGGAAGCAGCAGCAGCAGCAGCTGGGGGGGATTCACTCACTATGGGATCCGCATGGGCTGCTGGGGAGCAGCGGCAGAGGAGAAGGCAGGGGCAGGTTTGTGTCAGCGCGCGGTTTGGTAGTCAGGAGAAGAGCAGCGCGAGGAGGCTGGGTTGGGGTCAGAAAAGCGTTAACAAAGAGGAGCGCGTACTGTTGTTCGGCAGTGATGCAGGGTGGTGGCGCGGGTAGCGCTGTAGATCTCATTCAGTCTCATGTACCTTCCTGTGTTGGCTGGCAGGCGGTGGCGGCAGGCGGGCAACGTATGAGGAGGGTGAGAGCAGGTGGGGTGGGTGGGGGGTAAGGACAGCCGCTGCCATGGATGGATTGCAAGGGTGAGGCAGGTGGTGGGGGAGGGGCAGCAGGGTAGCAGCGCCATGAGCGGTGTGTCCCTGTGTATTCGTGTGGTATGGGGTTCTGATTGAGTCAGTGAGGAAAGACATTAAGACGTGCTGGTGTAAATGGCTGGCATGGATGCACTGCCGTTATTCTACGGCACGACACGCATTGTGGGCTGTGCGGCAAGCTGGCAGCGCAAAGCACCGAGGTGTAGAACAGCTTTTTAGCGCGACAGATGAGCGTGAGCGTCGTGTGATACGAGTGATGTGAGAGGGGACAGCAGAGCGGACACTGAAAGGCGTGTGTTAAGAAAACTGGCGGTATAACTGTGCGCCAGTTTTACCGCCAGCATATAGGCATGCTGGGTTTCTCCTCAGCAGCGTGCTGTTTGCAAGCTCGCGTGGCAATCCGTTGAGCGCAGTGCAGACAGCCACACCACATATAGGTCAGCAATTGCATACACAGCAGTGAACACTGCTGCGTGCCTGATGGGTGCCTGCCAGGCTACTGTATGTGCTCCATCCTGGATGGATATACTGGTAACGGACGCAATGTCGCGGCAGTGTATAGACGGGTGTGCCAAAAAGCATATGTACAAACACACCACTCGTGTACTAAACAACTAGTAACCAACCAACTGTGGTCAAGCTTCTGGCTTCCAGTGCCCTACAGCAGCAGGGCTTTCTACACCTTTTGCCCTTGTCAAGACGAAACCTTTTCACTGCATCAAGACCTTCTATTACAACAGGATACAGCCCTCCTGCGCCCCATACCTATTGTACCCCACATGCATGTCACGTACGACAGGCAGCAGTACGGCAACAGCATGACTTCGCCGTACCCTCACAACGCCCAGCAGCTGCCACCGCCTACCCCTTCCCTGCCTCCCCAGCCACCTCATCATCAGGGGTCCTGCTGGGGCGGCTGCAGGCCCAGGTTCGCCTGCAGCCACCCCCACAGCCGCCTCGCAATGCAGACATCTGCACCATAGGGCCTCCAGGGAAAGGGGTGCTGCATGCCCTCCAGCGCCGCCTCCACCGTCATGGGATAACCTGCTGCCAGCAGCCAGCTCAGCACCGCATTGCAAGGACGGCTGTGTTGGAGGCACTCCTTGAGGAGGTGTCCAGGCGGGCCCCAGGGGCAGCCCAGCCGCTTCAGGCAGGCCAGGGTAGCCAGGTCGTTGTTGCGTGCAGCTACCATGTAGGGGGAACCACCGCCCTGGAACGAATAATGTGGGTCACACGCATTCCAGTAGGACGGCATATCACAGTCATCCCCAGGCAGCAAGGTGCTGGGAAGTTGCAGGGAGGATAGTGGACTTCGGCAAACGACCCGCGGTACCATGGGGCTTCATCTCCAGCTGTAAAGCATGCCCCTTCCCGACACTGTACAGTGAGCAGATATCTATCCGAAGGGGTTTAGGAGGCAAACGACGCCAACGGTTACACCTCCCCAGTTAGACATCTATCTGCACAGTACTCACCGGCAAGGGGCAGCCCTGCTCCACTAGCCACTCCAGTGCTTCCTCACACCCTGACCCCGCAGCTCCTGCAATGGCATCTGCATCCCAGGGGCAGCCCCTCTCATGCAGCCACCTCAGCAGCTCCAGGTTGCCTGAACAGGCAGCACTGCTGAACTCCTCTGCGCCCAGCTGCAGTGCTGCGCCCAGCGCCTCCACCAGCCAGACCACCACTTGCAGGTGCCCCTTCCTTGCTGCAGCCCGGACCGTCTCCATGTCCATTGGGCAGCCATGGGCATGCAGCAGGGTTAGCGCTCCCAGGCTGCCACACCTAGCAGCCATTCTACCACATTCCAGACTGGGCTCGACACCCTCAGACAGCAGCAGGTACTGCAGCACCTCCAAGTTGCCCCGTTCTGCTGCTTCCACCAAAGCAACGTCTTCATTCAGAGGATAGCCCCGCCCCCGCAGCCACCTCAATCGATCCAGAGCGTCTGGGCAGGAGGCGGCGCCCAAGCAAGCCTGATCACCAGGAAAGCCTTGCGTTTCCAGCCATACTAGCTTGTCCTGCCAATCAGGTGTGGAGCTCCTGGCCGCAGCTGCCACCATATACAATTGATCATGGTAGTCTAGCTGCTGCTCACCTGCCCATTCATGGTACAGGTGCTGCAGGGTGTGCAGCTCGCAGCCGACAGCTGCGTCAAGCAGCACATCAGCCCCAACGTATACACTTTCTGCCGGGCACAGCTGCAGCAGCCAATCCATCAGGCCCACATGGCCTCCTCGAGCTGCAGCGTACACAGCGTCAGAACTCCAGGGGCATCCGGCAGCCAGGCACCACTCGCAAATGGCCTGCTGCCCGGCGCCAGCTGCCTCCTCAATAACATTATGCAAGGGGTAGCCCTGCTGCACCAGCCACTGGCACATCTCCAGCTGGCCTGCTTCGGCCGCTGCCTGGGAAACGGAGGTCAAGCGCCCATCGAACGCCTGAATCAAAAGAATCCCTGTGACAGCAACTGCCACCTGGAGGTTTGGCAGACTGCCGCTGTGAGCTGTAAGCATCTGCAGCGCCTGCCGCCGCTGGAGCGACATCCCACGCATGACGCCAGGTCGCTCCCATTGCTCCTTGAATGCGTGGGGCGGCACATGGGAAGAAAGCTTCACGGTGGTGTATCCAGGCCCGCGGAACTGCGCGGCCGCAGCCTTGTTGATCAGCCGCACGGTGCAGGCGACCTCGTTGGGCGGCAGGAAGCTGATGATGCGCTCCGCGAGCTCGGGCTGCAGCTGATGCCAGATGCGTGACGGACCTGGCTGCTGCGGGGAAGTGTTCGGAGGAAGTTCCCGATCATCAGCGGGCTGCTGATGCTGGGGCTGCTGCTGATTTCCTTGCATTTGGAAAAGGATGTAACGAAGATGGAGGAGTTCAGACAACAGCCCTGCAAAGTGCTGTGGCTTGAATGGCTGTCGCCTTGGACTCCACGCTTGGGAGTTAGAATGGGAAATGACACTCGCAAAGTAAACGGTTGTTGTATCAGGTTGTGTGCCACCTTTTCCTAGCGTTCTGTTGCACGGTAAAGGATGGCCTACAGTAGGTGAAATGGACCGCATCGAAAAGCGCTGACCTGGCAAACGGCTGGCACGACGGCTTATCTTAGTAGTGTTCCTCGTTCTCTACTGAACTACCTACAGTTGTTAGGAATGCGTCAAGGAGCAGCCCCTAGGGATGCTGATCAAAGCATCGCAATTGACAGGCGCTCAACGATTTTCTATAAAACTGTCATATCCCCTGTCTAGTGGTGTTTATATCTTGACAAGTTGCGCTACTTTGTGTTGATAACGTCCTCGCTACGAGCTCGTCCGACTTTGGATCCTGGTACCATTTAGGGTCGTCGATATTCACAGCGCAGGGATGACTGTTGCCGCCATTTTTTCACGACTGTATACCATGTGGCACGACACAATTGATCATCAGCCTTCATCTGCATTCTGCTCGGGACCATACTAAGCTGACTTGCGGTCTCCGTAGCTCGAAAGTCGAAACGAAGAAAACGTATACTTAGTATATGGTTTCGGAGGAGCGAAGCGAAGGGAAGTATAGCCTGAGTAGGCCTGCTTTACGCTTATCTGCTTGGAGGGCAGCCGTCTTTGTTTGGGCCTCAGTTATAGCGGTGTCCAAACGTGGTGCGGATACGCCACGCCTTTGAACGGGTCCTCACCTTTCAGTGTAGATGTAGATCCGTCGCCTTTCAAGACGCCCTACGCTTGCCCTTCCCCGTGCTGCGCCTGCCCTTCTATGCCTTTCCCTGCGCGCCCGCCCGTCCCCGCGCGGGATCTGCCTCTCTATTCCCTTCCCTATGCGGCTTCCCATTCCCTCCTCAACATGCGTTTCTCTCCCGCAGCGAAGCAGGTGTTCTCTCCTGCGGCGTGTTACCGGCCTAGCAGCATGTGATGTTACCTCCGGCGGCGCGTTACCGGCCTAGCAGCATGTGGCGTTACCTCCGGCGGCGCGTTACCGGCCTAGCAGCATGTGATGTTACCTCCGGCGGCGCGTTACCGGCCTAGCGGCATGTGGCGTTACCTCCGGCGGCGCGTTACCGGCCTAGCAGCATGTGATGTTACCTCCGGCGGCGCGTTACCGGCCTAGCAGCATGTGGCGTTACCTTCTGCAGCGCGTTACCGGCCTCGCAGCATGTGATGTTACCTCCGGCGGCGCGTTACTGGCCTAGCAGCATGTGATGTTACCTCCGGCGGCGCGTTACCGGCCTAGCAGCATGTGGCGTTATCTCCGGCGGCGCGTTACTGGCCTAGCAGCATGTGGCGTTATCTCTGGCGGCGCGATACTGGCCTAGCAGCATGTGGCGTTATCTCTGGCTGCGCGTTACCGGCCTAGCAGCATGTGATGTTACCTCCGGCCGTACATGCAACCACATCTTTCTTCTCGACATCACCTCCCATTCCTACTCTTAATCCATCCAGCATTTCAGCTCTTTCCCGCAAGCTACGGATAGCTCCCACCGAAGGCGGGCCTTACTAGTCCTACGACCGGGGAAACCGGTGTGGGTCTAGGCGCAGACCTTTCACGAACACCGTCTTCCAGACCCGTGGGTCGAAATCGCTTCAAGGAATCCCTGTAACATTGATCGCTCCAGGCCCACGCCCGAAGGCAAGAGCGCATGCGAGTAGGAAACTGTCATCCACTGCCTAGCTGGGGGCCTTCTGACCCAAGTTAGCCAACACCCAATCGCCTCAAAACCAACAGCTATACCCCACTTGGCTTGTTTGTGTGCGCGAAGAAGGTTTTGCTATGCAAACTTGAAAGCACGACTTCACCCCTACACGTTTAGGACATCTTGTGTGCGGTACACGGCACGTTGCATACTGTCGCGATGTTCAGTTGTCCTTGACTTGCACCTCGTGAGGTCAAATCATTGCAGACGCCACTAGTTGAGAATTCGTGCGGTTTGCGACACGGCCGTGCACAGGGCAAGCCCCTCCAACGCTTTCCCAAATCAAGAAATGCGGTCAGAACCATCCTATATAAGCTATAACTATTATTGAAGTTGGTAGGATCACGATGATATGTGCTTGGGAGCATAGCACGCTCGCTGTGGAACCTGTACGACATTAAAGAAAGCGACGCTGCACCTTTCCTTTGCGCTTCTGCTGCTAAGTAGTGCTGTTACGCATCGTAGCTACTGCGCTAAAAACTTTCTAATGACCTTGCTCAAGTCCGCTGGGCATACTTGATTGTCATACTTGATTGAACACGCGTTCGCAATGCCTGGATCCCTTCTTATTAAACGTCTGGGTTGCGGTATATCCGAATTAGCTAGCAGACGTTGGCTAGCCACGTCCAGGGTGCGTATGAGAGAACTAATGGGCGAGTCCCGGCAACTCGAACAACTTCATCGAACATAGTCATATGCTTTACTTGTAGGCGTATGCTGCTGCTGCAACGACGTCTGGTGATGAACCTTCTGTGAGCGGCGGTGATGGCCAGCCCATCTTTGCGGCTTGCGTACTCCAACGGATGCCCCTGGTTCGTTCCCAAGCACCAACATCACATGCCGAACACCTTGTGTTGTCACGACAACGGGCGCTCGAGACTGGCGAGATAAAGGATTACCCCCAAGTGGTGAGAGCGTCGCGACAGCCCTTACTCTTCTCCCCTCTCCCCTCATGCTTTTCCTTGTTTGCGCCCCTCCGCTGGGTTACACCCCTCCGACCCGGTTTGCTGCCGTGCAGGCAGCCAGCAGCCGTGATGAGGGCGCCAGCAAGTCCCAGCAGCAGGACCTGGTGCGTGGAGTGCTCCGTGTCATGGATGGAGAAGCATGTGTGTCTTGTTTATGTGCGCCGCTTGATTTGGGATCTTGGGTCGCCTTGGCTCTTTGGTTGCCCCTGAACGCCCCCATGCCAGCCCCTTACGCCTTGCATGCGTCTCATGCTTCCTATCACCTGGGAATTGCGCTTACCCTTAACCCCTTTCTCCCTAACCCACCATTGCCTTACCCTACCCTTCCTTCCTTCCTCCGTACCTCGTTTCCACCCAGCGGACGTTCAACCCGGTCCCCAGCGTGACGGCAGCGGACGCCAGCGGCGATGTGCGGTGAGAGTGTGGGTTAGCTTCGCACATTGCCCCAACGGCTGAATGGATGCATGCGTTATCCACATGTGGGCCATGAAGCCCGCTGGGCACTAACGCTTTCCCTCACCCGCCCGGCTCCTTCCTGCCAGCTCCATGCGTCGCGCCCTGAGCGAGAGCTTGTACCTGGTGGTGCGCTCGGGCGCCTCGGGGAAAGCGGCAGCTGGCAGCAGCAGCGGCGGCGGTGGCGAGTGGAGCTTCCCAGCGGCTGCCAACACGGCGCAGGAGAGCATCAGGTGGGAAGGGAGCATGGGAGCCTTGAAAAGGGGCTGCGACTCGAATGGGGGTGCGCCATGCAACGTTTCCCTTACCTTGGGGAACATGTGCCTCTTGCATGTCCTGTTCATCCTCAGCCTGTTCTCGGTACCTGCGCTGCCTGCCCCCCCCCCTCCCTCCCTCCCAACACAGCGACACCGCCCAGCGCGCGCTGCTGTCCACCATCGGCCGCAGCCACCCGGTGTTCTTCGTGGGGAATGCGCCCATGGCGCACCTGCGGGCGCTGCCACAGGGTGAGGGGGTTGGGGATACGGGGGGGGGCGTGGAAACGGAGGAGGGAGGGGGGAGGGATGTGGGCCGCTTGGCGGGGGATGTGGATGGGAAACGGTGTTTCTGGTGGTGAGGCAGCTGTTGGCTTACCGCAGGGGCAAAGCGTTTCAGAGGACGTCTCAGATTCTGCGCATGAACCATCCTTACTTGCGTTGCTTGCTCGCCCGCCGCTCACTCGCGTCTGCAGGCACCACCTTCTTCATGTTGGCTCAGGCGGTGGACGACCCGTGGGACATCAAGCTGGCGGAGGGGGCCAGCGCGCGCGAGTACGCATGGGTAAGCCGCCGCAGTGGGCTGTATGCTGCATGCACCCGTGCGCATCCTTGTACAAGTATGAAAGGCATGGGCGCGTGGCTGTGTGCACCAGATTGCAGGCCATATCCTTCAGTGCGTGACCTGGTATGCAAGCCGTTTCAAGCCGTATCAATCCGCATCAACCTCATCCCCTCACCCCAGTTGCTTCTCTTTTCATTGCTCCCCCCTTACTTTACCCCGCCCTGCGCTGCCGGCTCCAGGTGACCAAGCGGGAGCTGCTGAGCGGCGGCTACCTGGCGGACGCCCGGCTGCGGGAGCTGCTGAGCAAGATGCTGTGAAGCCCCTGCAGGCGGGGGAGGAAGGAGGGAAGAAGAGGGGAACCTGGGTGGAAGGGGGCAGGATGCTGTGAGGGCTAACATGCTGTGATGGTCGGGAGGGGAGGCTGGGAGGCGATCTGGGAAGGTGCTGCAGGTCTTGGCTTAGCGTTGCTCGGCGCGGCGTGTTACTTACTTCTCAGCTACTAATGCTGCTTTGCATGCACATGACACGTGAGATGGTCAGGGAAGCGTTGGCTTGCTATGGACCCACATCTCTGATCGGGACCCAAATGGACACTGCGGTGCGGCAGATAGGCATATGGACGTTTTCAGGATTTACCCGTCCCGTCCCGTCGCGTCAATGGTGGAATGATTTATTTGCAACGTGCAACCTTTGGCTACACGGAGCGGCAAGGTGCTCACCATTACATAGAAGCCAACCTCCGCACGCTATACCTGCCCCTCGCCGTCGCCCTCCTCGTTGCTTTTTTGAAATGCAACCAAAGCTCAAAGCAACATGAAAGGCCGTGGATTGCAAGAAAGCGCAGCCTAGCCACGAGCACACTTCTGTCCCAGCCCATATGTTCACAATCTAACTCCAGTCATATACAGGGGCAATCACACCTCCCGAACACAAGAATGCGGAACGACGCGCAGTCCACGTGACGCTCGCACCTTTCATAGCGCTCGTCGTCTATCAACAGCACCCACGTGTTGCTGGCAGCACACCCAAGGACATCACCCAAGAAGTGACCACGCACGCGCCGTCTATGCTGCTCCCAGAGGGTTCCGTAGCATAACCGTTCAGGTCCGTTCCCCAGTGGCCCCCAGCCCCCCAGCCCGGTGACACCTACAGGTGCGTCAGAGCCGGGTTGCTGTTCATCCGGAGCACTTATCCACAAACTCAATACTACCGGTACCTGTGCTACCAGACAGCCTCACCTAGCATGACCCCTCGCTTTCCCCCACAATCGAACCCTCCATCATAGCATCACCCATACCCCCGTCAGTGGCATCTCGCAATCCCATCCATAACCTTTCCCCGTTCCAACCCATCCACAAACCCTATTGCCTACGTCTCTTACGTCCAGCTCGCTACACCCCAACTGCTAGCTGCCCGACATCCCTCACGCCAGCTCTGCGCCCCTGAATCATCACCATCATCCTCACTTCTTGGGCCGCCGAACGGACGCCTGTGCCACCTCCTCCAGCGCCGTCTCCGCCGCCGAGCCCGACAGCACCGGCAGCGACAGCCCCGTCAGCAGCGCCGTACAGTCCTCCGCGGAGGCGCCCTCCATCACAAGCCGCACCCGCATGCCGCGAAGCGGCTCAAACATGGCAAAGTTCTGCTCAAAGTCCGGGTACTGCAGCAGGTTTGACACCTTGAACTCCGTAGCGTGCGGCAGCAGGGGCGAGACGCGGTGGTCCAGGGCGGCCTTTTTGGCGGCGGCGGCGACGGCAGCCTTGTCGTACGCCGGCGGCCCGACCAGCGTGGGCGGCGTGACGCCCTCAAAGCCGACCTGGTTGGGAAGCAGGACGTACACGAGCTTCTCCAGGAAGTCGTACGTGGCATCTGGGTCGGTGCGAGCGTCGAGGAGGACGCTCACGCCGGCAGCGCGGGTAATGAGGTGCTTGTTGGCGGGGGAGACAAAGGTGGTGGGCCGGCCGGTCAGATGCTCCAATGCCAGCGAGTACAGCAGCAGCTCCCACTTCTCCACAACATCGCGTTCAAGCTGGGTTTCCGAAGCCTGGATGGTGGCTTCCACGGAGAGCAGCCGCGGCACGCCATCCCAGGACCGCGGCCGCAGCTTGAGCATTAGTTCGCGGTGTAGGATGGTCCGAGCGTATTGCGCCATGCGGCTGGGCGCGAGGTGGCTGCCGGCTGCTGCGGCAGCTAGCTGGGCTTTGGCTGCTGCTGTGGCCGCTGCAGCTGCTGCGGCTGCGCTATTGGGCCCAGAGCTAGGGCTGGAGCCGGTATTTTTTGAGCCTGCGGATGCGGGCTTGCTGGGGGCACGGCCCGCATTCTTGCCGCTAGCCGCATTTCCACGTCCAGATGTTGACGCCGGCTCCGCTGTCCGTGCCTGTGCCTCGGCGCTGAAAGCCTGCGTGCGGTTGAAAACAACACCATCAAGAAAGCCATGTCCGGAATAGCAGCGAAATGACAACCTTTGACATACTAACTAAAACTCGATATAATGATAGGACTGTAAGAAGTTCGCACCGCGGTTGAGTGGAATTGGAAGGCTGCGGCGTGGCTGGCCCAGCTACTCAACGCAGACACCAAGCATCTACTAGTGCCCAATAGGGCCGTTGCATGTTGGCAGGCCATGGCTATAAGTGTTTAGTGCTTCCGGCACCAAACAGGCAACATGTTACTCCCTGAGGTGTTGGGTGGGCCCTGCGCCCGTTGGCGCGAAGTCTATCACCCCATTCTTGCATAGCAACATTATTTAGCTATTAACTACACATAGTATATACACGTTCAGGTGCACAGAAACTTATCCTTGCATCATCCTTCACGTAGCTATCCCCTTATGGATGTAATCCTTGTAGCAATGGCCTGAACTTCCTGCCACGTACACACCTGCTGCTACCCCTAGTTTCGTCTAGAGTATGGCATCAAACATGGCGGAGGACCACCGTGAGACGCTCCGGCTCCTGGAGGCCAAGAAGGGGGAGTACGACCTAAATGCCATCATCCAAAGTCTCGACACGTAAGCTTTTAGCCCCTTGGCGCTGCCCATCTAGGGACCGCCTCGCACCTCGTGAAGCACCTCCTGGGCCCTGTTTCGCCCTGACACTGCCCTCGCCCTAGCCATCATTCCTAGTCCTATTCTCCTGATGTACACCTCCCCTTGTCCTCGTTGCATGCTTTGACCCCGGACCCCTGGCCCTCCGGCTTCTTAGTCCTGGACTTTCCTCTCATTCCAACCGCCAACAAGTTCGCGCCCACGCCACTTCCACACCTACCCTCCTCCCGTAATCCCTGCCTCCTCAGACCTCCTCAACACCCCACATCAAGCCCCCCCACACCCTCCATACCCTACATCGCTCCACCATCCACCCCTCACGCGCCCACATGTTCATCCTTTTCCCGCCCTCCCCTCTCTCACCCCTCCTCCCTTCACCCTCCTCGCAGCATTCAGGAGCCGCTGGACGCCATCCTGCGCATCCGCGACACCCGTGAGAAGCGGCAGCGCGAGGAGGAGCGCCGCCGCAACCAGGTGCGTGCGCTGGAGCGGCAGCTGGCGCAGCGGCAGGAGGCGGCGGCGCAGGAGGCGGCAGCGGCGGCGGGCGCGGAAGACGGTGGGGAGCTGGGATGGGTTAGAGGGATGGGTGGGGAATGTGGAGTGAGAAGATGAGAGGAGGCGTGAACGGGAGGGAGGGACACCGGCTGCCTGTTCCTCCTCCTCATGTTGTCTCGCCCCCACTACCACCCTTACACCCCCTCAACAGGTGCGGACGCGGACCATGAGGCCATGATACCCACCGTGGTGGAGGAGGAGGAGGAGCCGTCCCGCTGGGAGCCGCTGCCGGCCCTACTGCCGCAGCAGCCCCTGCCTCCCCTGGACCTCTCCCCGCTAGCAGACCTCCTAGGACCCCTCCTGCCCGCCTTCTCCTCCTCCTCCGCCTCCCAGCACCTCTCTACCAGCCCGCAGGCCTGGGCGCTGCTGCAGCAGCTGCTGTCCTCGCAGCAGCTCTTCCTGGCAGCAGCAGGGGGAGGAGGATGGGCAGGCTGGGGGGAGTATGGAGGGAGCATGGCAGGAGAGGACGAGGGTGAGGGCGGGGACGGGGAGGCGGCGGGCCCGCTGCTGCGGCTGCTGTTCCAGGTGGTGTCGTACGGCGAGGAGCCGTACGGGGCGCTACGGCAGGCGGAGGAGTACTACTGCGGGGCGGCGGTGGAGGGTGGGTGGTGGTGGGGAGGGAAGAGGGGCGAGGTGGGGTTCGGATATGCGTGGAAATGGTTGGGTGCAGCAGGGGGAGTACCGATAGTAGTACCGTGCACCCGTCACCTCACCCGTAACCCCCCCCTACTGGGGTTCACCCCTTACCCCTCCTTTATTTTTACCCCCCCCCCCCGCATGCAGACATGGGCTGGGTACCGCAGCTGTCCGACTTCCTCTCCGCCCTCACCGCCCTCGGCTGCCCACCACCCGCCCGACATGGGGGCGGGGGTCGCAAGCGGGGTGCGGGGGGGCAGCAGCTGGAGGCCTCACCCGGGGGGGCAGCAGGGGCGGCAGGTGGTGGTGGTGGCAGTGGTGGGGGCAGCAGTCGCTTGCTGCCCAACCTGCAGTGCTTGTTGCGGCTGCTGGTGGTGCTGGTGCGGCAGCACATGGGGGGGCGGCTGGACATGGGGTTTGGGAGCCAGCAGCTGGTGGGTTTGGGGGTGGGTGGGTGGGGGAGTAGAGGGGCACTGGGCTCGGCTGGGGGCAGGGGGGTGCTTGCCCACCTCTTCCTCCTTTCCTGTGTTGCAACACACCGATACCCAATACCCGCCCCCTTTCCCCACATACCCAACCCCCCTCCCCCAGGCCGCTGGCAAGGGCCTCTTCACCGCCCTCCTGCGCACGCTGCTGGACCCCCACCTGTCCACCGCCCTCTATCCCGACATCACCACAGCCCTGCAGGCGCTCACCGACCCATGGGACGACACCCAGTGGCGCCGCATCGCGGAGGACGCCGCCCAATACGCTGCGGACGCGGGGCCCTCCCACCGCGCCGCCCTACATCTCATACTTTCCGTACAGGGCTGTGGCGAGCGGCTCCGCAGCTGGCAGCAGACAGCTGCGTTGCTGCTGCTGCGGAAGGAGGTCCCGCAAAGCGTGTCCATATCCACATCTGCTGCTGCTGCTGCAGGAGGGGGAGGAAGCGGGGCTGGCGGAGGAGGAATCAGGCGGGGGCAGTCGGGTGCAGATCCGCGGGAGGTGCGGTTGTTGTTGGGAGGCGGGGCGAGTGTGGGGGCGGCCAAGGCGCTCATCGAGGCTCTGAAGCGGCCGGTTGCTGCTGCAGCAGCAGCAGCAGGGGGAGCAGGAGCAGGCAGGCGGGCGGTGGACTACTGGCGGCTGCTGACGGTGCTGCAGGCGGCGCATGTGGCGGTGTGGCACTCGGCGTATGAGGGCGGGCAGGGGGAGGAGGAGGATGCAGGTGCGCGGGAGGGGGGTGGGGGGGGGGTACTTGGTTACTGCGTTGGCCGGGTTCGGCCCTCTGGCCCACCACCTGGGGTATCTGCAGCACCCCAACCTGTCTTGCTCAGCCTACCTGTCCTCCACACACATGAACGCATGCGTTCCTCCTCCCCCCCCCCCTTCCCTGCCCCCTTCCATGGTTTGATATGGTCTTTGACCCCCCTTCCCTGCCCGCGCCACCCCCTCTCCCCCAACCCACTCCTTCCCCCCCGCCCCCTCCCCCCGCAGCTACCTCGGAGCTGGCTGTCTGGCTGTCCACCTACCTTCGCTGCATGGAGCAGGCGCTGCGGGGGCGGCAGTCGCTGGTGATGCGGGTCAAGGTGTTTCTGGCGGAGGCGCTGTCGCACTACGATGCGGGATGCAGGGAGGAGGAGTGAGGGGGGGGGGCGTGGCGGGGCGGGAGGGCTGGTGGCGGTGCGGCGCAGCATTGTAGGCTGTTGGGTTGGGGTTAGAAGGGGTGGTTGGAGATAAAGGTATTGGGGATGGGTGCGGCGGTGGCGGTAGCAATGGCACGTTGTATGTGTGACATGGAGGTGATGGCGGGTGGAGGTGGTGAGGAGGAGCGGTTGCTAGCGGGACTGGAGGGGGCGAGAGGAAGGGAGCGGAGGCGTGGCTGGGATGGGGAGGATAGGATGGCGGGTAAAGGGGGTTGGCGAAGGGGCGGGGAAAAGGGAAACGCGGAGCCGTGTTATGTTTTTACGTACAAGTACCATGAGGGGCCGAACTAGCATTTGTAGCTTCCTGCGCATTTGCGTGGGTGAGAGGTGTGAGGGGCTGCGACAGAGGCTGGTGATGTTGAGGAGTGAAGCAGTAAGGCAGTTTGAAGGATCTACAAGCGTTGTAATGCCGTTATAGCCGGGCTAAGGCCCGGACACTGCCGATCGCCGCCACTTGTCTTCCTGCTGACCCACCAATGTGCCCCCTATCCATGTGCACCTCCCCTCCATGCACGTTCGGTGCTCCTTTTTCATGAGCTGTAGTACATTGGCCCACTAATCTGTCCAGGTTTCGAGCAACCATATACGGTATCGTTGGATACCTACCTAGCCCACGGGCCGACGGACACTGCATTCCGCCTCACACGTAAACGTCCCGTACACGCTTGCAATAGAAGCATGTTGTCCGAAACCTACAAGGCCCAATTATAGCTTGCAAGCTCCGTTCCTTCGCTCTGCCCATCGTTACGCCTACTTACTCCTTACACCTCTGGTCGCCGTCGCACTGACTCTCAGCCCCTGGATGCTCCAGTCCCGCAGCTGCGACCTCCGCAATAAAAGGTACTTCAGCTGCGGGCACTTCACACCCTAGCAGCGCCTCACAGCAACCGCACCACATCGCCCAGCTCCTCCTCTCATGCCTGCCCTGGAGCATCCTCCTCCTATTGCTCCTCCCCTCCTCACCCCAGCAGAGCTTCAACCACATCACGAACCAAATTAATGCCTTGTGACATTACGTTTTCCATTCTGCTGCTCCTTCTCCTCCATCTCCTTTCCTCCTCCTCATCCTGGCCTCCTCCTCACCCCAGCTGCACATGGTTGCGTGCAAAGTCCTTTGTGATGACCCCCAGCTGCAGCTGCACCACCCCCCCAGCCACAGTGTTCAGCCGGAAGCGGTCGCCCGGGCTCACCACCACCTCCTCGTACTTGAGCCGCGGCGCGCCGCCCAGGAAGAAGGCGGCGATGCGCTCCCCCACACTGCCCTCGGGAATCCAGGTGGGGCAGTCCAGCTCGTACATACCGGGGGCGGTGGGCACGTGGCAGAAGCCGTAACCACCTGCGGGGGTGGAGGAGGGGGTGGCGGGGGGGGAGGACGGCAGGGCAAGGAAGAATGGGAGGTGAGGCGGCAGGAGGAGGACAGGTTGTGGTGGAAGGGCAGTAGGAAGGGGCAGGGACGTGAGGCTAGGGTCGGGGCAGGGACAGGCAAGAAGAGTGCGAGGGAATGCCATGCAAAGGAAACTGGAGTACGGCAGGGGTCGCCTAGCACCCCGTGTACGGCACCCCCCTGCGGCTCCCTTGTGTGGCTATACCGCCGGCACCCACATATGTCGTTGCGGCCGTGCACGTCCTGGCTCCACACTTGGAAGTACAACTTGGGCCAGCCGGCCAGGCCGCGGCAGGCGTAGTGCAGGTCCAGTGGGTGCGCCCACACCACCGGCTCGCCGTCCTCAGCGAGATCCAGCTGGGTTTGACCGGAGTCAAGGCCCTCTAACAGCTCCCAGCTTCGCCCAGCTACAACTCCCCACTGTGGGTGTGTGAAGGAGGGTACACCGTTCACGGCGGTTGTACATGCAGCTGTGGTTTTGAGAGGAGTGTGCGGAGGGTTGTTGAATCTCGCACCTTGCAAAACAGGTTCTGGCTGGGAAACCCTACAGCACCGAGAATCTGCCCGATGACGTGCAGCTCGGCCATGGTGTCAAGGCGCCGCGGGGCTTAAGCCCCAATGCAACTCTCTGTGTCACCTATTAGCACGTAGTAGTGCTTCACACCGAGCAAATCGGTTTGTGGCTAACATTTACGGGCCCATGTCACGAAGCAGCTCCTGAGCTAGCATTGAGGAATTACTAATTGCACCTCCAGCCCATAATTTATCACTATGGTGCAATGGCTTAACTTCAACGGCAAGTGCGCAAGCAAGCTGAAGGTCTACTAATACAAGCTGTTGGAGGGGTCGTTGCTCAGTTCAGTACTAGTTCTATAATTCGTTTTATGAAAGCAGGCAACGAGCATAACGTTCTCTTGGTTATGCTCTGAGGCCTAGCAGAGCAAGCGCTTGGTACGGCGACAGCCATATGGATCCTGACTACCTCTGCGCGATACCTCTGCACAGAGGAACTGTTGACCTCTGGCCGACGTGCTATGTTTTCTCTTCAGCGTAAATTAAAACGCCTAGGTCTTTTGGTCCCTGCTGTTGCAGTTAAGTGCTTCGACGTGCAAGTCCGCTCCATCTTGTCGTACGGTGTCCAGGTGTGGGGGCCTGATGTGGTGCTGAAGCTAATGACGGACTGCGAGAATTCCGCGAGGTACTTTGACAGATCCTTGCGGGACCCAATGGTGCAGTTACAAAGGGAATTTCTTCGGGAGATTGCGGGTGTGAAAGTCTCGCCTGATAAGTTGCTGTTTAAGGAGTTTAACCAGCGTCCCTTGCATGTCTTCTGGCTGGAACTGTTTCTGAGGTTTTGGAATGACCTGGTCAAGCAGAAGGACACGGTCTACCACCAGACGTTGCGAGGTGAAATTCGTTCGGCTCTCAGTACTGAGCATTATGATGGCTGGGGTTCTAAGGTGCTGAAGATTCTGAAAATGTTAGGGACGGATTTGACGGCCTTGGGGGGTGAATTGGACTTGAATGCGCGTGTGGAACGTATTGCTGGCACGGAGCTAAATGTGTCTGCTCTCACTAAAAAGTTTGCTGATAGAATGGATGCGGATTGGGAGGATAGGAGTTTGGAAGATGACCCGCGGCTTTTCAACCCAGTAGACCCCGTACCAGGGGTTGGAGTTAAGATGTGCAGGTACAAAAATTGGATGGGTGACCCGGTTGACAGGGGGTACATTACTCAGCGGCAGCATGTGAACCTGATGCGTTTTCGGCTGTGTGTGTGGGGCATTGAAGCCAATCGCCCTAGGGGTAGGCAACGAGTAGCGCGTGTCTGTCCTATGTGTGCCGTGCAGGGGTCGCCGGGGAGAGTGGAAGATGAGAAACACATCCTCATTGAATGTCCCGCTTACGATGATTTGCGTGATAAGATATGGGAAAGTGGTGTCCCACGGGATGCTGATATGATTGCTGTCATGGGCATGGAGAATCAGGCATTGCTTGCTAGCGTAATCACTAGCATGCGAAGTCGCAGGATTGCGCAGACAGGGTTTATCATATGATTAGCGTTCTGTTTGTTGTCTCTTTTGTTTACTTTTCTTCTTTTGGTTGTTTTCGCGTTTTGTGCTCGCGATCCATGAGCCTTCTGGCTCGGACGGATCTTACGAGCTCGGTACGAAGCTTGTAACATACATACATACATACATATACCTCTGCTAACTGCAACTATTGCATTACCAAGCTGTCATCATTGCGAACTCACTGCTGTTACTGCCTTGTAATCAACGCTAGCTTCGCTAAACGGGATTGATTCAGCCGCATAGCCTAGGCCGTCTGCAACACGCTTGAAGCACTCCCCGATGAGTTCCTTTCGAAGAGCCGGTACTGCTGGTAAGCCTTACTACAATAACTACAGCGCACCATACTAGCAAGCTCCACTTAACCATGCCACCCTTGCATCCCGGGTGCACAGACACCGGCACCCGCCCGGGGCTTCATGGCCAGACGCTCGTCTCCATGGGGCTGGTGGATCTCGACCGGCTGCTATCTGGCGGCTTGCCGCTGGGCTCCGTGTTGCTGGTGCTGGAGGTGACTGATGCCTCATCAAAACGCATGACATGCAGCAGGCCTTGCCGCCATGTCCTGTGATGGCCCACGTCCAGGGTGCACCTCACCGACGCATGATCGCTAATCTACTCCTTTTATTCCTCTTCCAGCCGCATTTGTTGACTTCTTTATGCTTCCCATGGTTCCAAATCCTTCAGGATGCCAGCTCGGGTCAACACCTCAACATCATCCGCTACTTTATCTCGGAAGGCCTCGCTTGTCGTCAGGTGCGGTGTCTCTACTGGCCGCAGCTCTGAAAAGCGGATGTTAGAGTAGGTGGGGTTACGCATGCATGTGAATGCCGTCCCTCCATAGGTTCACCTCCTCGCCCTTTAGCGCGCTATTCCACTACATCCCACGTTTCCTCCTCCCTCGCCCCGGCTCCTGCCTACCCCCTCTCCGCAGCGAGTGATGTGGCTGACCACCTCCCCACCCGCGGGGGGTGCGGCCGCCTTCCTTCCCGCGGATGCAGCCCCCTCGTCTCAGGTGGGAGCGCTGAGGAGCTGAGGGCTGAGAGCTCGAATGGGCTGTCCTTGGATAGGTTGCCTGTGGGGGAGGTGGAGACTTCACCGGAAAGAGGACCGGGGACCCTCTCTTCTATCGCGCTTTTACTCATGTGAACCCCACTCGCGTCTGGCCTACGCGACCTTCCAACCACGCATCCCCTCTCCACCCAGCCCTCTACCTCCTCGTCTCCCTCCTCTTCCCCACCACCACCTGCTTCCTATCACCTCCTCCTCCTCCCCTGTCTTCCCACAGTCCAAGGCAGGCGGGCAGGGGCAGTCCGACCAGCCCCAGCAGCAGCAGCCCGAGCTGCGAATCGCCTGGCAGTACAAAAAGTACATCCGAGAGGACGAGGAGGAAGCGGGGGGAGGGCTGTACGGCAGCAGGGGGGCTCAGGGTAGCTCTGCCTCGGGGGGCGGCAGTGGCAGCAGGTGCGGTAGGGGGGCGTGTGGGGGGTGGTAGGGGGCATGGTGAAAGGAGCAGGGGCCGAGGCGTGGGGTCGGCGGCAGGAACTGGGCTGCTGCTGCTGCTGTGGAAGAGGATCACCTCCGACACGTACCTTGAATGTGGTAACGTCACTTCCGTCACCTGCTGATGTGTCTTACACCTGCGAACCAACACACCCACGCGCCCATTCCTTACGTCCCACTGCCGTTCCCCCGCCTCAGGCCCTCCTCCTCCTCCTCCTCCACCTCCCGTGCGGTTGCTGCGGGAGTGGGTCGGGAGTGGTGCCACAGCTACGACCTGAGCAAGCAGCTGGGGGAGCAGGGGCTGGTGGCGAGGGGAGGCGCACTGGTGGGGAGCGGAGGGGGGAGCGGTGTTGGGGTCCGAGGGGAAGCCACGGGGGGCTTGTGGTGTGGTGGTGGTGGTGGTGGTGATGGAGGGAGGGTGTCAGCAGGTCGGGGAGGCAGGGTAGGAATGGGAGGTAGGGCACCTCTGCACTTGCTTCCTGCACCCCGCCCACGCACGTTTTCTCCCGCACCTCCCACCGAGCATAAACCATCCCACCATCTCCCTGCACCCGATCCCCACCCCCCCTCCTTTCCTCGCCCGCTCCCACCTTGCCCCCAGGAGCTGCTGGATTGCTCCTGCTCCTCCACCTCCACATTCACCTCCTTGCCCCTTTCCGGCGGCTCCCCATCAGCAACCCCTTCCCCGCTATCCCGGCCATCACCGTCACCACCACCACCTTGCCGGGGGCCCTACGACACCGCTGACGCACATGCAGCTGGCTTCCTGGCCTCCCTCACACCGGGGGGCGCGGGGGCTCCTGCTGCTGCTGCTGGGGGTGTTGGCCGGCTGGTTATCGAGTCCGCAGGGAGCCTGGCTTGGGCGAGAGCAGCAGCTGCGACAGCAGCAGGTGGCGGTGGTGATAGGGAGGGCCAGCAGGACATGGAGCGGCTGTCGGAGCAGGGCCTTATGCGGCTGCTGTACAATGTACGGCAAAGGGTGCAGCAGAGCAAGTGTGCCGTACTGGTCACAGTGCCTGCAGGTGGGTGACCTTACATGCATGCATGCATGCGCACATGAGAGGAGGGGGCACGCCGTGCTAGCTTGCGGCCGCAGTTCGAGGGAGGCTCAAACATTCTGGCCTCCCCCACCCTCCCATGCCAGTTAGTAATTCCTGTCTGTTAGCAATTCCTCCCTTCCCCTCCCCTACCCAGGCCTGCTGAGCCCCGGCTGCTCCCGGCGTCTGCCCCACCTGGCTGACAGCGTGTGGCAGCTGGAGGGGCTGGCGGACGACTCGCAGCTGCACCGCCTGCTGCCCGACCCAAACAGGTGCGGCGGGGTGAGGGGGTGGGGCGTGTGGTGTGATGAGTATGGGGACGATGACTGGTGGTTGCAAACGTGAACCTCCCCTGCCGCAACAACGTTCGCACCCGCGCCCAAACCCACATCAGCCATGCTACCCATCCCTCACCCACACCCTTCCTCCCTCCCTCTCCCCCCCTCCTTCCCTTCCCTTCCGCCCCCCCCCCTCCCCCCTTCCAGTGCTGTAGCGCTGCTCTCCCTGCGCAAGCTGAGCTCCGCGGGGCAGCTGGGCCCCTCCCGCCTGCCGGAGGGGGGGCAGCAGCTGCATGTGGTACGGCACAGGCGCCGCCGACTGGGACTCACCCCCGTGGAGGTGGACCCGGACGCGGAGGAGAGGCTGGCGGAGGCGGCGGCGCGGGCGGCGGAGGCGTACGGCAGCAGGGTTGGCGGAGGGGGTGGGAATGCGGGTGGAGGTGCTGGGAAGGGTGGGGCGGGAGCGGGAGGAGGAGCAGCGGCGAAGATGTTGTGTGGGGGCCAGCCGGGAGGGGGAGGTGCGAGCAAGGGTCTGGACTTTTAGGCAGGGTAGCTGCGCCTCAGTGGGGGCCGTGAAAGGCAGTACGGCAGGTGTAAGCTTCGGCTTGTGAGTTGCAGCGTGTAGTTGAGTAGGACAGCTGTACGGCATTGCATGCCGACGCATGTGCTCCCTGTGCGGCAGTGATGAGGCTTTGGTTACTGCGCTTTAAAGCGACGTAACGCTGAGGGGGATGGCAGGGTTGCTGCCCGCTGCAAAGCGGCTGCTTACTCGTGGAGAGTGCAAGGTGGCGCAAGGGTGGGGTGGGGTGGGGTGGGAGAGTGCCGTAAACAGGATTGATCGGGCGAAGGAAGGGAGCCAACAGATGCAGCTCCGCCTTGGTGTATATTGCCCGGGGGCAGGAGCTGGGTCAACTATGGCCCGTTTAGCCCCCACCCTGGCATGTCTTGGCTGTTGAAAGCTCAAGTTCCTGTTAGGTAGAATGCTCCTACACAAGTTGCCATCTGCAGCAGTCACTCTTTGCCATTCGTACCGGAATCCACACCCGACATCGCCCCAAACACCGTACCAACGCACATTGCCGTTTATTCGATTCAAAGCGGCGTATGGGGCCCACTCCTAAAACCACATCCAGCACGACAACCTCGGCTTTTCAGGCCCCTATGGAGAGCAGACTCAGGAACCTTTGCCGGTAAAAGGCAAAAGGCCAAAAATACCAGAAGAACACAGGCTCAGCCATTATCAGCTCCGACCCAAATCAACTTGGGCAAGGAGGCTGGCAAACAAAGGGAGCGCACGGAACAGCCCTTCCGAGGTGTGATCTTCGCACGCACACGACGCAAGGCACACTGAGGCCCCTAACAGGCCTGCCTTGCGCTCCAAACCCGAAACAGGAACCATCCAACACGCCTAAAGCAAGTCCGGCCTCATGTTCGCATTCGGTCTTTTCATCATGGATATGTGTGTACGGTAAGCAGTAACGTAAGCAGTTAGCGGTTAGCTGTACGTGCAGCCGTACATCCACCCAACATCCCGCCTTCTTCGCCCACCACCCCACCAAACAAGGGTAAGCACGACGGTAACAAAACTTGCTGGGAGTCCTGGAACTACTTGCGAGGATCTAACAGATAGAGCTAGACAAGAAGATCCCGGCAAGAGTGAACTACTATCAATCTATGAAGTAATTTATACCTCACATTATTGCACACATCATGATGCATTGCACCCCTCGGGGAAAATCGGGGCTATTATCACGAGGTATCGTGCTCCTAATAACCCACCTAGACTACGTACCAACCCAATAAACGCGACCCAAACAAAAAGGCCCCACATCCATTTCTTCACAGCCGGGACCGCACGGCCACCGGCGGCTTCTTCGCCCCCGTCGCTCCTGGCCCCTTCCCTCCAGCTGCTTGCACCGCCCCCGCTGCTGCTGCCACTGCCGCTGCTGCCTTGCGCTCCTCCTCCCGCCTGCGCTGCCACTGCAGCAGCAGCCCCAGCTGCCTCTCTGATGCATGCGAGGCGGTGGCGGCGGACGAGGCGATGCAGGCGGCGGGAGCTGCACACCCACCACATGCGGCGGAACCCCAGCAGGGCGCTGGCGTGGGTGCGGATGCAGCACCTGCGGCTGCTGCTGCCGAACAGCACGAGGAAGAGGCGGCTGCAGCACCCACACCGCTGCTGCTGCCTCCTCCCGCCGCCCCCCCCTCCACCCCCGCCCCCGCCCCCGCCGGCCCCAGCTGCTCCAGCACCACTGCCAGGAATTCCAGCACCGCATCGTCCATGTAGGCTCGACCCAGCGGCCACCAGGACTGCGGAGGGGACAGGGCAGAGAGGGCAGCACGGCATGACCCACACGACCCACATGACCCACACGACCCACATGACCCACATGACCCACATGACCCACATGGGCGCACGATAACATGCACGGTAAGATACCGGTAGGGCACACGCTACATTGAGGTCTTTGATATACTCTGAGCGCAAGCGGCGCGCAAGCATGTCAAACGTTGTGGCCACTGGCGATTCGGCAAGCTGGCCTCTACCGGTACGCCCACAACCACGCCGGGGGGTTGCATGCGGCCTGCTCAAGGGGTGGTGCGCCCCGCCGCTCACCTGCAGGAATGCCACGTGTCCGCCCCTCCGCGTGAGGGCGAGCAGGGTGGAGGGGTTGGCGGCGCACTGGGAGGTGGGCTGGGCGCTGAGGACATGCAGGAGGGAGGGGGGACAGGATGGAGAAGGGCGAGTGGGTTACGGTTGTCATTTCAATGCGCGGCTTATCGCAGCAGGGATCGGGAGGATTCCGATAACCCTTCTTCCTCTCCCTCAATCCCAGGCCCTCCTGCAGGCCCCCTCCCTTCCCTTCCCACTCCACCTCCTCTCCTCCTCCCTCCCCCTCCCAGCCCCTCACCCCAGGAATGGGTCATCCTCCGCCAGCAGCACCAGTGTGGGCGTGCGGATGTCCGGCAGCAGCGGCAGGCTGCACGCCGCCTCGTGGTACTGCTGCCGCGAGGTGAAGCCCAGCGAGGCCGCCAGACCGCCTTGCTCCTCCAGCTCGTCCAGCGTCCAGGAGGACAGCGCGGCGTCCACGTCAAAGAGCGGCGCGGAGGGGCGGATGTGCGCCTGGTGGCGGGAGATGTGCTCGCGGAGCCTGGGAGGTGGGGGAGGCAGGGGGAGGGATTATATTACTAGGGAGGGAGGCACTAGTTGAAGGCAAGGGACTGGAAGCAGGCCTGGCAGCCATTTGGGTTAGGGTTACACGTCCCCTCCCTCCCCTCCTTCCTCCTTCAAGTGCTACAACTCTTCGTTTTTACCTCTCCTTCCCCTCCCCTCCTCCCTCTTCCCCCCCTCCCGCCCTCACTTGTGTGCCACCGCCAGGTTATACGCGAGCCCTGCGCTGCCCCCCAGCCTCTCCGCGCTGCGCCCCATGCTGACGGGGCTGCTCACCACCGCCGCGCCCGCCAGCCCGCTGCCGCCCGCCCACAGCCGCGGGTGCCCGGGCGGCGGCTCGTGCAGCCCCGCGTCCGCCTCCGCCAGGTACTTGGTGAGCTTGAGGCCGCCCAGCGAGTAGCCCACGGCCAGCAGGGGCGCGGAGGGGAAGCGACTGGGGAGGCGGTGGGGTGAGAGTAGGGTCAGGCGTGTTGAGGAGTTTAGTGTTATATGTCAGCTTTGGTCAAGATACTACCGTTGGGTTCCAACCGGTGCCCCATCCGAGCCTCTGACATGCCTGCGTGTCTTCCAACACGTCCTTCCTGCATGCAGGAGGGAAGCAGCAATGGCAACCTACTCACGCTCGTAAGGAGTAGATGGCCGTGAACACGTCATGGGACATGGTGGCCGCATATCCTCGGGGAGCGGTGTACGGAAGACCGTTGCAGCCGCGGTAGTTGAGGACAACCGCCCGCCAGCCGCGGGCCACCGCCCCTGCGCAGATCCACTTGGCGTATCCCTCGTGACTGCCGCCGTTGACCCCGTGACAGACGAGCAGGATGGGGGCGGTGAGGGGTGCGGGATAGGAGGCGGAGTCGCAGCCATCGAACCAATCGAGACCTAGCGTGGCTCCATCTGTTGTGAGGATAAGCTGGCGGCGGTAGTTGTCGCGCATGGTGATGGTGCGGAGAACTGTGTTGATTGGGTTGAGGGAGGGAGAAGGAGGATGGTGATGAGGGCGAGAGGTGTTGGTTGGGGTTGGGGGCAGGCAGATGTTGAGGTGGTCCATGGACAAGTTACAAACAGCAGGTAAAGCTGGAGGCCGTGCTGGAGAACTTACGTCCAAGCAAGGTTTGGGAATGGCAGTTGGCGGCCCAGGGTGTTGGCTTGAAAGGACGAAGCAGCGTGCTGCAATGTGGTAGAACTTTATCCCGAAGTGGTCCATCGCCAACCCATATTCGGGGAGGCACCGCGATGTTCTCGTTGTAATGGTACCTGAGATTACGTCAACAGCTGGTGCTTACAAAGTCGCGTCTAGCATGCGAGCTGAAAGCTTGTTCATTAGGAAGGACGTAGCTTGCAATTATGCCAAAGCCGTCGCAACACCATGAGCGACGGGAGGCTTGTTTCTAAGCAGTGGATGGTAGGATAAACGTACCAATAGCCTAAAGCTGCTGCACCAAGCGCCAAGCCACCCGCCTTAACGACTGATTCGTGCAAGTGCACTCCATCCTTGCTGTCCTTCATGCTTAAATATCAACCTTAAGGATTACAAGGTGTGCTTGACTACATAAAAGGCACCAAACGTGATCACCGAAACGCTATGAAGGCACCGGTAAGTAGCCCGCACTTAGTGAAGTACTGAATAAGCTTCTAGTAATATGCTTGCTGCTGCCAAACGAAGCCGTGGGTTAGTAGCAGCTGTTGAAGGTATGCCACGGAGCTCGTCATAAAGAATCACAATAGAACTTGCCCCAAGGGCGTTTTGCCGTAATGATGGACGAGCATTACGCCAAGAACGCCCGGCCCAGCCTTGCAAGCTCCTGCTAGCGCCCCAAACGTGATACGAATATATAGGGTTACCTTTCATACAGACAATGCCCAGTATTGGTTAAAAGTGCCTACAGCAAAGAACTTTGACGAGCACGGAACTGCACTGCCATGTTCCGCTGTTCGCAACAGCCACTCTACTCAACAGCCCGTTCGCTCCTCATTCACCTGCTATTCGCTTGTTATATTTTGTGCCCTGCAATTTATGGCTCCAATCTAAAGAGAGCTGCTGCCCAAGGGCCCCACCTAGGCGCTGCGTCAGGCCAGCGCAGCCGCCTGGGCCCAGCTCCCCCGCAATGCGACCCATCTGGCTCCAGATCAGATTGTGGTAAATGCAAATGTTTCGCTGTAGTCCCCTTGTTTAAGGCTTTTCAACTCCTAACTTCGGCTTGGTGGATGAGTAAGGCCAATAACGACCCATGGGACATGGCCTCATCTCCTCGCCCGCATAAGTCGCACACGCACATGCAGCCTTCTCCTCACCCATACACTCATCTGCATGCCTTAATAAACCACAATCCACACTGAAACCCGGCAACCTGCGTATCAACCCCTCTTGTACACCCCTCCTATACACCCCTCTTGTACGGCATCTAGGCTACTACGGTATCCAGCAGGCCGAGTGTGAGGGCAAAGGGTGCTGCTGGTCTCCTGCCCTGGCTGCTGCAACCAACGTTGCCTCAACTACTACCGGTACCATCCTAACCGCCACAACCAACACCAGCAGCAGTATCAACACCAACTTAAGCAACGGAAATGCCAACGACCTGGCCTGGTGTTTCTTCCCCAACGGTGGCCAACAACCGGTGTACGATGTGGAAGATGTCGTACAACCGCCCGAGGGAGGCGAGTGGCGGGGGTGGCGGGGGTTGGGTTTTACGCTTGGACCCTTCCATGCTTTGGTTGTTCGGTTGTTGGCTGTCGTGTATGCAAAACCCCCTTCTCTGTTCTGGGTTAGGTTGCATGCAAGCATGCATGCACGCACTACCAGGTACCATCCCTTCTCCCCTTACCACCTGATCCACCCATCCGCCCCGCTGCCCCTCCCCTCCACTCCCGCCACCCCTCCTCCCCCCAGGCGGCGCCATAACCCGCCTGCTGCTGCGCCTCCGCCCCCCCTCCCCCTCCTCCCCCTGGCAACCCCAGCTGGGCCCCGACGCGCCGCTGCTGCTGCTGGAGCTGCAGCAGCAGGCGGACGACCGGCTGTACCTCAGGGTGGAACCCAGGGAGGAGGAGCAGGGGGGGCAGGGGGGGCAGCGGGAGGGCCCAGGCGGTCGGAGGTGGCAGGTGCCCCAGGAGCTGCTGCCCAGGTGAGGGGGGAACAGGGAGGGAGGCAGAAGGGTGGGGTATCAAGCACAACATGCAGCTGCAGGGTAATCCACGAGCTAGGGGCAAGGCTAGCAGCCACCTGGGATGCAAAGCCGCGCCCCCACCCCTCCATGACTGCCTCCCTCACCTACACCTCGCCTCCTCCCCCCCATGCGCCGCCCCTCCGCAGGCCCCCCCCTCCCAGCTCCCCCCCCGCAGCCCCCCTCTACCGCCTGCAGCTGCCACAGCCCGGCCAGGAGTTCAGCCTGCAGGTGCTGCGGACAGGAGCAGCACCCGCAAAGGGGGCGGAGAAGGGAGCGGAGGAGGAGGTGGAGGCTGATGCCGCTCCCACTCCCCTGCTGGTGCTGCCCCCCGGCGGAGGCAGCCTGGTGGTGCGACCGCAGCTGCTGCAGCTGCGAGCGCAGGTGGAGCCGCGGGTCAACATGTACGGCATGGGTGGGTGGGGGAGTGGGGGAATGGAGGGGCGGGGTGGTGTGTGTGTGTATGGGGTGCATGACAGTGCCTGTGGCTGTCGCGGCCACCGGTACTGCAGTCGCCGCTACTGCTGCCACTGCGCCCTTTCAGACCTGTCATGCCCTCTCCCCTCCTTTCCAATCCTTCCCTAACCCCTCCCCTCTCCCCCTCCCCCCCAGGTGAGACCACCCAGTCCACCGGCCTCCGACTGCCACGCGACGGCGGCTGGCGGGCCCTGTGGAACAGCGACACCCCGGCGGCAGCCACCGGGGTCAACCTGTACGGATCACACCCCGTACTGTACGGCATTGACCCAGGGGAGGCGGAGGGGGCTGGGGGGGAGGGGGAGAGCGGCGGAGGTGGCAGCAGCTTTGGTTGGTTCGTGGCGAGCAGCAATGCGATGGACTTTTCAGCGGGCAGTGGGGACGTGACGTTCAGGTGATGGGGGCGGGGGGGCGGGGCCGGGGGGGAAAGGGTGTCGGGGCCGGGGGGGAAAGGGTGTCGGGGCCGGGGGGGAAAGGGTGTCGGGGCGGGGCAGCGAGGGGGAGTGGCGGGTGGGAAAGAGAGGCGGGGAGGCGGGGAAGGAGGAGGGTGTCCGTACTCTGTGTTTTTGCGTGCCTTCAACAGGCTTCCCAAGCCCATCTTCACTCTCCCCACCTCCTCCATCTCCCCCCCATTTCTTCTGCCCGCTCCCCCCTCCCCCCCATAGGCTCACCGGCGGTCTGCTGGAGCTGTTCCTGTTCCCCGGCCCCTCCCCCGAACAGGTGTCGCAGCAGTACCAGCGGGTGGTGGGGCGGCCCGCCATGCCGCCCCGCTGGGCGCTGGGCTTCCACCAGTCAAGGTAAGGGTGGGTGGGGTGGGGTGGGGGAGGGAGGGGGGGTAATGTGTATGGGGAGTTGGGGTAATGCGTATGGGGAGTTGGGGTAATGCGTATGGGGAGTTGGGGTGTTGCATGTGTAACGTGCGTACGTGCATGCGTGCATGGAGGGGTGTGTATACCACGCCTTCCTTCCCTTTCCTTCTCTCCTCGTGTGCCACCGGCAGTACCAGACTAACACGCACACGGTTTGCAATACCGTCAGTAATATATATCTAGTCATACAATGACAACGGACACCAGAAGACTGTTGGGAACACGCACAAGCTTCCTCCAGACATCAACGACAATAAACCCTAACCACCTCCCCCCCACCTTCCCCCCACCCCCAGGTACGGGTACGGCAGTGTGGAGGAGTTGGCTGCTGTTGAGGCGGCGTACGACCAGTACGACATCCCGCTGGAGGTGCTGTGGAGCGACATCGACTACACGGACCGCGCGCGCATGTTCACAACCGACCCGGAGAAGTACCCGCAGCAGCGGCTGAGGCAGCTGATTGACGGGTGGGTGGGGGGGTTGGGGTGGGGTTGGCCTCTTTCTGTTAATAGTATTGTAACCGCCATCTGGGTCGTCCCCCCTTTTCCCCCCTGCCATTCTCATTCAACACATTGGGTATTCTCTTCCCCCCCCCACCCCTCCCCCCCTTTTCCCCCAGCCTGCACTCCCGGGGCCGCCGCTGGGTCCCCATCGTGGACTGCGGCATCACGGCGCTGGGGCCGGGTGCGGGGTACGAGCCGTACGACAAGGGGGTGTCGTACGATGTGTTTTTGAAGGACAGCAGCGGCGGACCGGCACTGGGGCAGGTGGGGGGGGAGGTGGGGGAGGTGGTTGGGTTCTAGGGTTGGAGGGTGGAGGGTAACACGTCTGCTGCCCATGGGGCTAGAGGGGAAGGGTGGCTGGAATTGTTACACCCACCGATGCAGGGAAAGGACCATTGGGGGGCAGCAGACGTCTCCAACCCCCCGCAGGATGCACCTGCTGCTGGGGCCTTGTCGTATAATTCATCAACTTCTTCCTCTATCCCCACCTGACTCCCCCACTTCCCCACCTGCGTCACAACACGCGAAGGTCACTAACCTGCTATTAGCGCCCCAACCAATCAAAGCAACCCAAACCAACCACCTTCCAACCACCCCCTCTCCAGGTGTGGTCCGGCCCGACCCACTGGCCCGACTTCCTGCACCCCAACGCCACCCCCTACTGGGGCGGGCTGCTGAGGGGGATGTACGACAAGCTGCCGTACGACGGGTTGTGGCTAGACATGAATGAGCCCTCCAATTTCTGTACGGGAGAATGCAAGCTACCAGCTACAGCTACAGTTACAGCTTCTGCAGCTAAGGCTCCGGATGCTACAGCTGCTATAGCAGCTAGCCTCAATGTGACTTCTAGTGCTGCTGCTGCTGCTGCTGAGGCGACTGACGTTGTTGCTACAACTGCGGCGGAGGCTGCAGCAACTGTAGCAGCAGCAAAGAGTGCTACAGCCGTCAGCCCCATGCACGACAGATCTGGAGGTTACGAGCAGTTGTGGCAACACTTGCATCAGCAGCAGCAGCCGTCACCTGCATTGGGGATAACATGTGTACTAGATTGCCAACAACCTAGTTCCAGCGACCCGTACTCCAACCCTCCGTACAAGGTTAACAACGGTAACCGCCACGCGCCCCTGTACGGCAATACCGTACCCATGACGGCTACCGGGTACGGCGGGGTACGGCAGTACGACAGTCACAACCTGTACGCGCTTGCCGAGATCCGAGTGACGTACGAGGCGTTACGACAGATCATTCCCAACTCCCGGCCCTTCATCCTAACACGGTACAGCGCAAGGACGGCAGGGGGGGCAGGGGACCCTTTGGACTATTGGAATACTGGCTTGGTGTCGGGATAGCAGTTGTGCTTTCACTTTGTTCTCCCCCTCTCCGACCCTCCTGTTCTTCTTTCCACGTTGCCCCTCACCCCCTTTTCTAGCGCCTTCCGAGTAACTCCCACACACACTCCCATCTCCCCAGACCCATCAGTATGACGATACCGGTATGCAATCCTATGATACAGCCTAACGGTTCCAACCTCTGTCAATCCCCTCCCCCAGCTCCCCCCCAGGGGAACTCTAGTTGTTGCACTTATTTTCTATTTCCCCCCACCTACCCCACCCGGCCCCCAAAGCTCCTCCTGGTCTGGGGCGGGCCGCTACGCGGGCCACTGGAGCGGCGACAACGCGGCTAGCTGGGAGGACCTGGGTCGCAGCGGGGGCCAGCTGGCGGCGGCGGGGCTGGCTGGGTGGGGGCTGGCGGGGGCGGATGTGTGCGGCTTCATGGGGGCCAGCAACGAGCAGCTGTGCGCCAGGTGGGGTTGGGGGAGGGGGAGGGGGGGGAGAGGGGGGGAGAGGGGGAGGGGGGGGAGAGGGGAGGGGGGGGAGAGGGGAGGGGGGGGAGAGGGGAGGGGGGGGAGGCAGCGGCTAGCGTAGTGGGAGGATCTACAAGGGAGGGGGCCGGGGAGCATCCTGGGGAGGCAATTGCATGGAGTGCACGGGATGAGGTGTGAGGAGGCAAAGGAGGGGGAGCGGTGGGTAGGAATCGGAGGACAGACAGGCCTCCTTGCCTCAGCTGGTGTGTCCACAGCCCCTGCCTGCCTACCACCTGCCTACTGTCTACATCCACACAAACGTCCGCCCCCCTCCCCCTCCCCCTCGTTGGACTTGTTGTTTCACTTAGTTAAGTTTTTCTCCCCCTCCCCAAACGCTCCTATCCCCATTGTCTTGCCCCAACCTGTGGCTTCCTATGGCTCGGCATGGTCTTTGACTCCCCAAACGTACTGGCTTGGCTGGTTCGGGCTGGGCGGTTCGGGCTCGCTTACATGTTGCAAACCAGGATGACGCCTTACCACACGGTCAGTTAGTTGTTTCCTCTTTCTATCTCCCTTCCCCCCCCGCCCCACCCCCCCAGGTGGCTGTCTGCAGGCGCCTTCTACACCTTCTCCCGCGACCACAGCGACCGGGGCTCCCCGCCGCAGGAGCCCTACCGCTGGCCGGCGGCGGCGGAGGCGGCGAGGAACAGCCTGAGGGCGAGGTGGGCAGGGGGGGGGGGTATAGGCTTATACCTACCTCCCTGCTTTCCCCTTCACGCACACGTGTGCACTGATGCAAACCCACACGCGCCCCCCTCCCTCCCCCCGCGCAGGTATTCCCTGCTGCCGTACCTCTACACCGCCTTCTACCGCGCCCACACCCGGGGCGGCACGGTAGCGCGCCCGCTGGTGTGGGCGGCCCCCGCCGACCCGCGGGTCACCGACCTCACCTCCCAGTGGCTGCTGGGGCCGGATCTGCTGGTGGCTCCCGTACTGCAGCCCGACACGGACTGGGTGGAGGTGTACTTCCCCGGGCCTGGAGCCCCTGCTGCTGGGGGGGGAAGTGGGGGGCGGGCTGGGGGGCCTGATGGTGGTGCTGCAGGAGGGGGTAGTAGGGGTGGGGGTAGGGGTGGTGGTGGTGGTACGAATCGTACGGCAGCAGCAACCCGGGGTACGGCAGCAGCCGGGCTACGTGCCTCCGCCGGGGGTACCTGGTGCCGCTACGATGACCTGGCGGACTGCTTCACAGGTGGGTGGTTGAGAGCAAGACGAAGGGGATGGCTGGTGCGGGGGAACATTACCTTGGTTGGTACCTGGCGGACATCTGGAGTAAGGCAGGGAGGTTGGAGGATTGCAGGGCTGTACTGCAGGGCTGAAACCCAGCACACGGGACACACAGCGGGTACGTAGCCCCGTTCGAACAGCCTACCGCATACCGACACAGCCCCTCCCCTACACGGCGCCCTCTCCCACCCCAGGTCCCTCCTCCCACCGCATCCACTCCCCCCTGGGTGCTGCTCCACCCATCTTCCTGCGAGCGGGGGCGGTCGTGCCCACGCAACCCAACCCACAGCACAACACCTCAGCCGCCGCCGGCAGCAGCAGCATGGGCAGAAACACTAGCGGCAACGGGGGCGGCAACGCCAGCTCTCCGCGCGCCACTCCGCCCCTGACCACCTCCCTCACCGCCGCCTCACCCCTCACCCTCATCGCCCTCCTGGCAGCCCCCGCACCCGCTGCTGCTGCTGCTGCTGCCAACACAATGCCTGCCACCACCGCAACACCAGCCGCCGCGATGAGCGGTAGCAGTGCTGCTAACGAGGAGTGGACGGCTGCTGGGTTGCTGTTCGCGGACGATGGTGTTGACCCACGGGTCGGTCAGGCGGGCAGCAGTGCACTGCTGGCGGAGATGTCCGCGGGCGCCAGTTTGGCTGCGGGGACAGGCTGGGTGCACTTCCGAGTGCTGCAGGCGCCGCCGCCTCAGATGTCCCAGCAGCAGCAGCAGTCGCCCCAGCAACCACAGCAGCAGCAGCAGCGGCAGCAGCGGCAGCAGCGGCAGCAGCAGCAAAGAGGGGCGCGACAAGGAGGTCTCAAGGAGCGCGATGGGGGCCGTGCGAACGTTGTTGGTGCGGATGTTGATGTGCGGCTGCTGGTGGTGGGTGAGGTGGTGCTGGTGGGGCTGCCGCTGCCGCCCGGGTGCTCGGCGGTGCAGGCGGAGGTGGAGGTGGAATTGGCGAGGGAGGTGGCGGAGGCGGGGCGAGGGGCGGCGGCAGGTGGGAAGGGAAGGCGGGAGAAGGGAGGAGGTGTGGCAGTGAGAGCAGCAGCGGCGGCGCCGCTGCGGCCGGATCAGGTGGTGTTGGACGCGGGGCGGCACATGCTGAGGCTCCGAAACCTGGATCTGTCTGCCGTACAGTCCTTCAGGTTGACGTTGAGGCCGGCGGAGGGGATGCACGAGCAGCAGTAGCAGGTAACAGGAGTTGTACTGCGGTATAGCGGAGGCGCTGTAGAACGTTGAATTGCTTAGGAGGTATAGCACAGGGACGGTGCAGCAAATCAGGGTTAGCGCTCAACGGTGGGGCATGAGGTGAGGCGATGGAAGGGCGGGGTGTGCTTGCTTTGGGCTGGCTAAGCCCAGGGTTATGGTATTGGGATGTTTAGGCTTAAGCGTCGCTACAAGGTCCTGAGCTGAATGACCTACACTTTGCAAATGCACGTGAGGCGCCGTATGCCGAATTGAAATGTTGTCGTGGTTGTTGTGGATCGTACCTCCTAGGAATGTGTTACACGCTTGTACCACCCAGAACTTGTATTACCCAGGAGGGAAGCACGAGGCATACCGGTACGGATACGCTAGCAGAGGTGTATTATGCCTTGCCTTTTGAGATGGTACCTGGCTTAATGGCGCGCAGAGGTGGAGTAAAGCATGCTTGTCTGGCATTATGTACAGCTATGTTACAAGCAGCGTTGTCTGTTGAGCAAGCTTGGAAAGGATAGATGCTGCCACGCACTGGGGAACCGCGCTAAGACACAGCGCCAAGACTCAGGAAACCCACAAACAGGAAGCCAGGTTGGCACACCCCTACTGTAACACGTGACGGCACGACACCAACCACGGCACAAACTGTCAGGGCATAAGGACTGGACGCATGATTTCCAAACGAAAACGAACCTATAACGAACTGAAAACAAAAGACTAGCAAGACATACAATCGTAGAGGAGATTCGGCCTTCTACACCCGAACACCCCCGAGTACGGTTGCGGGGGCGGGTACCGTGTGGTGCCGTACAAAACTCGCATATCATCAAACTTCATACTTGCAAAATAATGTCGTACACACCATTGCCGTGTACAAAGGCCAGCATGGATATTTTGATATCTCTCATCTCAATTCTGTCCTTGGGGCAAAAACATTGAAGACTGTACGACAGAGCCCCCGCGACAGATATGCTGTACTGTGTCGCATTTGGGTTTCCTCTCTTTACGTCTCAATCCCTCCGGGGCACTCCCACGCAAGACTTGCATCCACACGTGAGACGCTATACACTAAAAATACACATCTACACATATCTACCAAAAAGAAGATGGGACATTGCTTCAGTCACACAGTAAACACGGACATCACAAAAATGCCTATCCTAAGCACATTTATCCCTTACCCTAGGGGCAGCAAGGGACAAACACTGACTGCAAACTAAACACCCCAGGGGCAGCAAATTGCAAGCTGCATAACGACACGAAACAATACAAGGACACAAACCTGAAGACAGCAAGAGAAGACCGAGGATGATGCCTTGTCTTCGGCCATAGGTAGCAAGCGTGTAAGGAAGGGGTTGGGGCGCGCTGCACGCAAGGTCGCAAGCTATTTTGCCACCCACCCCGCTACACACTGACACCGTCAGAAAGCTGTCACTATACCATTAAGGAGCACATCCTTTTATCTTGAGTGTCAAACATGAAACTCTGACTACAGTCCTAACCTACCAACTACCAATATCTAGACAATCCAAACCAAACCTGCTTCCAAACAATGTCCGATAGTTCAAAATCCCAATCACCACAGCGGTGCGGGAACATACGGTAACGCAGCAAATGCCGCTGCGAGAAGCTGTCAGGATGAAGGCAAGTCTCCATGAGGCAAATCCATGCGTAGGCGTGTCAGCCCTCTACACTCCTAAGAACAAGTATAAATCTTCTCGTGCAAGCGATACATGGTATGGCACCTGCCGTCCTATGCTTGGGACGGGAGACCCAAGGTCGAGCCATTCCTCCATAACGCTTTCTTCAAAGCGCAATGAGCGCCCCCTATAGGTGTCTACGTGACCTTTTCAGCGCTTCTTACTTTTTCCGCTCGGAATGGTATCGGGCTCTGGCGTGTAGTGGAATTCCAGAGCATCCCGTTGCTCAAAGACTGAGCTCTTCCCGCGACGGCTGCCAGACGTGAGCGCCAAGTCAAAGAGCGACAGCTCGCCCAACGGACCGCTGTCGCAGCGCCGAAGGGTGTAACGAGGAGGGCTCGGAGCTGCGGATTTCTGGGCACAGATACCACCGCGCCCGGCGCTTGCTTTGGTCATGCTCGCAAAAACATAATCCTGGGTGGGTAACAGCGAAAAGCGGTATGAGGAGGACGAAAACAAAGGTCAGGCACTCGCAATGCTGGAAGTTAACTAGGACTCACCATAACTGGAGGAGGGATCCCCGGCACCAGAACCTGGACTACACGCTTTGCATCACGGTCGAAAGACATTTCTACTAAACTGGCTAGCAGGTGGTAAGAGGTCTAAGGTGCGAAGAGGCGGTTACTCCTTAGCTGACTACTCTCTCACACCTTTATCAGCAGATACCCATAACCCAACAACACTTTAGCTTCAGGTATGTTCACTGGTACAGGTCGAGACAAGACGAGGCGGGTTTCAATCGAAGCTGGGTAGGGTTCGCTTTCTGTACGGAAACTGCCACCGCATAGAGTCGCGAGAAGCTGTCCGGCAAGGCCCGTCAAAGACCAAGGGTGCCATCAAACGAAGAGGTACATCTGTATGCCTCCTTGCCTAGTTCTGTTCACATATGAACGAAAAGTATATGATTCTGATAACAGTTGTTTTTTTGCGAGCTGCGGATCGATGCACTTCATCTAATGCGTACCGTGACTCTAAATGTTCGTGTAGTAGCATGTAAAGTGTTTACCTTACTTCGCGACTTTCGCCCCAACCGTCGACCAGGGCGCAATGGCCACATAACCTCCAGGCGATTGTATGCAACAAGGCCTTAGAAGGCAGTTTCTTCCTTATTTGCCATATGCCTAGCAAGGCGTCATCCGCCATGGGTGCGGACTGCCACGATGCCGTGCCACGCCTTACTTCACGTCGCCTTACCTTAACTGCCGTTCCTGTGGGCAGACTTATCCTACATGGCTTGCATATGCGCAAGGTGGCTGATTACGCCTTACGGCTTACTCATATACGCTTCGTTAAACTGGGCTTTAACGCACTTTAGCGAACGTAAAAGTTCATGAACCACTGGGGATTACCTTTGCTAACTTCGCCTTGGAGTGGCAAGCGAACTTACGCCTGCGTTCCCTAGGATGCTTCAAACCTTGGGTCCCTGCCTAAACTGCAACCCAAAGCAAACAAGGAACCATCCACATTCACACGTAGCAAGTAATAGCCCATCACATGTGTGCATTGCACGTCGCGCTGTGGCCGTCGCTGCTGGACCTTCAGCATCTTCAGCCACAAGCTCATTCCCAATTCCCCGAAGGCGCCTAGGGCGAGACGGACCGGAGGTTCCAATCTTGTGCTTCGGTATGGCGGGACTGCGCCTGGGAAAGTATTTAGCATTCTGTGTATGTGACAGCATAGGCTAGCCATGGCCAGCCCATGGTCAAAAGTCGGACATGTCCCTTGTGTCCCTTGCATTTGGTTTTCGGGAACACATGGAAGCCCGCCCAGCAAAGCATAAGGTGGAACGTGCCGGGCGGGCGCCTTTGATGTGCCCTGCGAATTGATTGCACCTGAGGCTGGTTGCGGCTTCAATCACACAAGGGCTGTAACGCCCACCTTGCACTTGCAGCCGGTACCTGACCTGGCGCCACTAGATGGCCTAGACTCCGCAACCACCACCAGATGCCGACCAACCACCACCCTAACCACCCACTCCTGCACGCGGCTGTGCCCCACATACTTAGCCTTCCCCAAACACGGCTGACCCCTCATTGCTCCGCCTGCATGCGGCCCATCCACTCGCTAACTCCAAGCCAAACACGGCCCCACCATCACCCCACCACACCCCACCACACCAGCAATGCCACATCCACCCCACGCCAAGCGCCCCCTCTCCGCCCCCTCTCCGCCAGCCACGTGTCCTCGTACTCCAAAGCTGCCTCCCCCGCCCATCCCCGCCATCTCTGCACCCCGCCTCCCCCCCCCAGGCTGCATGTTGTTCGGTGAGAGCACCTCCTACCCCGAGGCCGGCAGGCTCCTGGGGACCTGCATGGATGCGGGGGTCAACTTCTTTGACACGGTAGGGGGGCTAGTAGGGGCAGGCAGGCAGCAGGTGGTAAGGTAGGTAAGGTATGCTGCAAGCTTGGAAACTGGGGTTTCCTGCTCCTTTTCTGCCTGCAAGGCACGGCAGGGACATGGGCACATGGCCCGCCTCTATCGTGCACTCCCCATCCCTCCCCTCTCCCTCCCCCCCCCGCCAGGCTGAGATGTACCCGGTACCGCAGCGAGCGGAGACGTGGGGCGCCTCCGAGACCTACCTGGGCCGATGGATGAGGGACGCGGGGGTGAGGAGGTGAGGAGGGGAGGCGGGGTGAGGGGCCGGGGAAGGGGGAAGGAGAAGGAGGAGGGGAAGGAGGAGGGGAAGAAGACCCAGCTCTTCCCCGGCCTCACTACGGTACCCTACCGCGCTTGTTCCCACACCCCTTCCTCCTCACCTCACCAACCTGCCTGCCTCCTCTGCTACCTGCCTCCGCTGCCTCCGCTGCCCCCCACCCACCCACCCCGCCAGGGAGGATGTGCTGCTGGCCAGCAAGGTTGCGGGCCCCAGCGGCCAGATGAGCTGGCTGCGGGGAGGGCCGCAGCGGCTGGACGCGGCCAACATCCGGGCGGCGCTGGAGGGCAGTTTGAGGCGGCTTGGGACGGACTACATAGACCTGTACCAGATCCACTGGCCCGACAGGTGAGAGGGGGTCAAAGACCATACCAAACCATAGGAGACCACAGGTTAGGGCAAAGCAATGGGGGTAGGAGACGGCAGGGTGCCACAAGACAAAGTGTTGGTTAGTATGCCCTACCGATACCGGGTCCGCGGTGATGATGAACGGTTGACACTCCAGCGAGCGGGCGGAAGAAAGCTGGCTGTGGGGGTGGGCAGGGGGATTGGCAGGGGGTGAACAAGAACCCACGGCCCTCCTGCCCTAACTTGTGGTTTCCTATGATTTGGTATGAGTCTTTAAACCTCCGCCCCTTGCGTGTCCCCCTCCCCCCAGGTACGTGCCCATGTTCGGCGACTCCGACTACGACCCCTCCTGCGCCTACAGCGATGTCGTACCGTTGGAGGAGCAGTTGGAGGTGCTGGGGGAGGCTGTACGGCAGGGCAAGGTACGGCATGTGGGTCTGAGCAACGAGACGCCGTGGGGCTTATGCAAGGCGCTGTCGGCGGGTGAGTGGAGGGGAGGGAAGGGGAGGGGGCGGGCGAAGAGGAAGAAACGTACGAGCGGGCGGAGGTGGGGTGAGGATTCGTGGGGAACGCCTGGGGGCGCGGGGAGAGGGAAAGGGGTTTCGGTTGCATGTGATGAGTGCGGGTTAGGGGTCCCTTGGGTGAACCCACGGGTGGGAGGTCGGTGGCAGCCTGAAAAGGAGATAGGACGTAAAGGAACTGAACAAGGCTTGGTCAGCGCTCTGACGTGTTACGGCTGCCCCTTACTTGTAGTTGTGTGTACGGGACCTCATCCTAGCCTACGCCTTCCTGTGCTGCTCGCCCTTCTCCCCTTCTGGCAACCAGTACCCTCTTCGCCCCTCCCTTCCCTCCTGCTCCTTTGCGGCAGCCTCCCTGACCCACGGGTCACTTCCGCGAGTCGTGTCCCTCCAAAACGCCTACAGCCTGACCTGCCGTACCTTCGACAGCGGCGGTCTGGCTGAGGTGTGCTGGCTGGAGGGGGTGGGGCTGCTGCCGTACAGCCCGCTGGCAATGGGGCTACTCACGGTGAGAGGAGGGGGGTGGGGGAGGAGGGTGAAGAAAGGGAAACATGAGGTTTCAAGGCACGATGCACAACACAGATGCCTAGACGGTGAGAGGTGGGTAGGGGGCGTGCGGAGGAGGTGGAGGAGATCAGAGAGGAAGGACACACAGCCTTTTTTCCGCACTATGTCAGACGCCGCCCCGCTGTTGGCTACACATACGCCGCACAAGCCAACCACCCTGCACTGCACTACCCTGCACTGTCCCCTCCTTTCTTTCATCCCATGCAACTCCGGTCTCGCCCACCCACTAACACAATCATATACTTGTCACGCAGTTGGTTAGCTAGCCCCTTTACCCACTAACCCAACCGTCAACCACCAACAGGGAAAGTACCTAGCCCCAGACGGGGGACCCCCGGGCGCCCGACTCAACCGCTACCGTGGGCGTTACGCCGAGGCCGAAAGCCGTTACGGCCCCAAACCCAATGTACGGCAAGCGGTTGAGTCGTACTGCCGTATTGCTGCGGAGGCGGGCATAAGCCCCACGACGCTGGCGTTACGGTTTGTGTTGTCGCGACCGTTGGTGACGTCAGCGGTGGTTGGGGCAACGAGTGTGGAGCAGTTGCAGGAGTTACTGGATGCTGCTCGGATGCCGCATGTAGGAAACGGAGGAGGGGAAGGAGGAGGAGGAGGAGAGGGTGGCAGTGTGGGCTTGGGAGGAGGGGGTGGAAGTGCAGGTGGGGATTGGTGTTGGCTTCCGGAGGAGGTAATGGAGGCGATTGAGCGGGTGCATGCGCAGTACCCCAACCCCACACCGTGAGGGGTTGAGAGGGAATGGCTGCCCTGCCCTTCTTGCGGCAGCGCGTTTCAGACAAGTAGGGCAAAGGCAAACGGGTGTAGCGGAGAGGAGAGTAGGTGGACTGCGGTGAGAGGACTGTGAGAAGAGCGATGAGAACCCCCCAAGTGGTTTGCAAGGAGGCTGGGAGGAAGGAAGAATGGAAGGAGGGGAACGACGGGGGCAGCAGCAATGCGGCTCAAATTGTGGTGGCAGAGGTGGCGACTGGGGTACCGTACTTTGCCTGGGTGGCATCTAAAGGTTGCTTAACAAAATACAACAAATGGACAGGACACCCTGTCACACAGGTGTGGCGGCGCACTGGCGCCGGCGCAGCCTCCCCACCGCACCTGACGTATGGTCGCTCCCGAAGACTTCACAGATGTGTGCCCGTCTGTGCATGCACGGCACATGTAACGCATGGCAACGACACCTCACACGACCTGTTTTCTCTCCAGATGTGTTCGCCTCTGCTGACGCTGGATACCGGGTTCCCTTTACTGAATCCTGCTAGCTACACCCGCATGTGTTGCAACACCACCTCCACCACCACCACCGTCTCCCGCACCCAAAACACACAAACCGCTGTGCCCCTCCATGCCCTCCCTAGCTCCCTTGCCATGCACCTCCCTCCATGCGCTGCGCCCTTTTCAGGCGACCTGCGCCTTGCACCCATACATACGTACTGAAGCAACATTGCCCCGCAGCGAGTGGCCGTGCAACTGACTGAAGGAGCCCTCCCCACGTCTCTTAACCGCCGCTAACCTTCAAGTTGCTGTCTCCGAACCGTCACTCCACCGCACATGGCAACTGTGACGCGATGGCACCACCCTCGCCTGAGAGCCACCGCTACCGCCCACCCTCCATCACCCCTGCCCCCTCTTCCCCCTCACCGCTGGGTTTGCTGCCACCGCCACCCCTGCTCCCTGCCCCTGCTGCCCCCACTCTCCACCAACAACGTAGGACATGGAATTGTGGTCCCCTTCTCATCACTTCTTCTTCCCCCCCTCCACCAGCCCGTAGCGAGTCATCCGCAGGCTGCCCTGCTTGAAGTCCCCCGCGTCCGTGTCCCCGCGCAGCCACTGCAGCAGCGCCTCGTGCAGCGCCTGCGGGTAGTCCTCCTGGGCGTCAACCAGACCAGCAGACCATACCACAGGAAGCCACAGGTTACGGCAAAGCAAAGAAGATAGGAGGCGGCAGGGTGCCACAATACAGAGTGTTGGTTGGTCCTCCTGGGGGGGAGGGAGGTGGGGCGGGGAGAGCCATGCCCCATGCGGGCAGGGCTCGCAGCAGGTCACGCATACAAGCCCCATCTGGACTCACTGAACCCTGCCACTGACCCATACACACACATGCGGGGCCACATCCCACGCCTCTTCCATCGGCTTGAGGATCCCTATGGCTAGGTCTATTTGGTCTTCTTTTGACCCCACCCCAAGTTGATGCACTCCAGTTGATGCACTTCTCATTCATTCCCCCCCTTCAGCCGCTTTACCCCTCCCCGCCTCCCCGCCTCCCCGCCCTCCCCCCCACCTGCGGCATGTGGCCCAGCTGTGCCGCCAGAGTGACAGCCCGCATATTGGTGCGCTTGCTGTCCAACCACTCCTCCAACCCGCCCAGCTGAGGGGGGGGGGCCAGTGGGACAGCACGGCAGACACGCATGACAGACTGACGAGTTACGGTACACGGCAGCAACAGGTTGATAGGAGCCCTGGACAGGAGCCAGGACAAGAATAACCAGGGGAGACAGCAGGAACAGTCCGGAGCGCCGGGTCACTGGGGCACTGCATGCCCCACCTCCTACACCGGCCAGCAACCCACAGGAGATACCGGCGGCATGGCGCATGAGTGACTACCCGTGCCCCTACCTTCTATCATTCTTTCGCATCCCCCCCTTCAGACACACCTGCACCCCTCCCACCCCCCCAGCGTCTCCCCGGCACACACACGGCCCCCCTCCCCCCTCACCTGCAGGAAGGGGTCTGAGGAGCCGAAGAGGCACACGCTGGGTCTGCGCCAGCCCCGGAAGCCCTCGTCCTGGCGCCGCAGCAGACCCGCCCAGTCCAGCTGGGGTTGGGGAGGGGGTGAGGGGGGGGGGTGAGGCAGGCGGCGAGGTGGGATGAGGAAGGCAACGGAAGCGGGGCGGATGTGGGTCAGAAGGGGCGTCAGGTTGAATAGCCCTGTCTAAATCCTCCTGGCTACGCACTGACCTTAACCGACCCATAGGCACCACCTCCCATTCTCCCATTTCTCTCCTCCTCCTCTATATCTTCTCTTTCACTGCTTCTCCCCCACCCCCACCCGCAGCCCTCACCTCCTCCATGGTCTTGGCGACCGCTGCACTCGCCGCCGGGTCGCCGGCTGACCTGCCGTACGCAAGTGCGTCCTTCTCCGCCATGGCGTACGGAGACCCGCTCATGTTGTACGTCATGAAGTCAAACGGCTTCTGTGGTGCGGGGTGGAGGTGACGACGAGGAGGAGGGTTTGGGGTAAGGTCTGATGGAGTTGAGGCTAGCGGGAGTCGTACATCCTACTGGGCATCCGACCGTTTGCCCGTCTCCTTCCACATAACCCCAACGGGCCAGTTTTAGCAATGTACTCTCAAGCCTCGTTCAATGCTGCATTTCCAGCGGGGGCCCTACACAACCGTACACGGCACGGCACGACACGACCGTACACGGCGGTACTCACGTTCGGCGAGGGCCTCATGAAGGGCAGGGGCGCCTTGTAGGCCGCTAGCTCCGGCCTCAGGCGGGAGCTCAGCGCCAGCGGGGTGTTGAGGACGAGCAGGCGGGAGATGTGGTCCGGGTGCTGTAGCGCGTACGACAGACCGTACTGACCCAGCACGAAACCCTGGGTGCGCGCAGGGAGGGCGGGGTTGTGGGGAGGGAGGAAGATGTTGAGGAGTCTCCGTGCGGGGGGACAGGAGCACCCACTGACAAGCAACGGGGCTCGGTCGTTGCCCCCAGCGCCCTCACCCCCAATCACACCCGCACCCCCACCTGCACCACCAGCGCAAAGGGCCGCCGTACCCCCACCGCCGCCACCCACTCCTCCAGCGCCCCCACAAAGTCCTCCTCGCGGTACCCGAACGCGGCTGCGGGCGGCTTGTCGGAGTCGCCGTGCCCCAGCCAGTCGGGAGCAAGCGCACGGTAGCCGGAGCCGCCCAGCAGGCCTAGCGTGTTCCTGAAAGGGGAGAAAAGAAATAGAATAGGAAGTCGAGATATCTGTGTGGGGCGCGAGTTTGTGAGTGTGAAAGAGGCGTGGAGGAGCGAGCGGGGGCGGGGAACAGCAGGAAGGGGACGGATGGGGTACAGGAGAATGGAGGAGTGGCTTGGCTATCGTGGCCGTACGCCCTGTCGTACACGCACACCTGTAGCAGTAGGAGCTGGAGGCCAGGCCGTGTAGCAGCATCACGTCTGGTTTGTCCGGAGAGGCCTGGGCGGGGTCGGGGGTGGCCTCACGGTAGGCCCACGTGAAGCGGCCGGCTTGGATGCGGTTGCTGGGTTGGGGAGGGAGGGGAGTGGTTGAAGAGGGGAGGGAGTCATGGGGCAAAGTTTATTGCTCCCGTGGGAATCTGTGGCTGCTGTGGATCCGCCTCTCCAGTATGCTTGCTTCATGCATTGAGTGCTACATCGAGTCAACGCTGTTGGCAAACTTACCCAGCCACAGGTGATGTTAAGGCCGCTGTGGAAATAGGTTGACCAGTAATTGGGTCGATTTCAACGAGCTCCTCTGTAGCAGGTTTGGCTGTGGCTCGGACGACGAGGCATCGTCGACCGATTTGGCGACGCGCAGTAGAACTGCCCGCGCATCCCGCTCGGCTGCTTCTAGGTTTGAGGCTTTGCATCCGGACAACTATGTGGGGGCAAGAAGCTGGTTCAGCGCGGAAGAAAGTTGACTTTGCTTGCAAGGCTGTGCCGCGTTCCAACTTGTACATGCAATTACAGAGCGCAAGTAGTTCAGTGCATAAAATGTTGACGTGCAGACGCGCGCTCCTATGAGCTTTGGATGAGCGAATAGAGACCACACCTTTAAGCGCCAACTACTTCCGACCAACTAGCTGAATATCCTACGTCGCAATCCCAACAAACCTACCGGCGCATGCAGTTTAAGCCTCATGCATCTTCTAAACGCGCCAGTTGGTTTACCAGGCCAGCCCACTCTGTCCGCTCTGATGGAACGCCAACCAACAAATCGTTCTTCGCCATGAGTTGCCACTGAAAACACTTGAACAGGCCAACCGCATAACCCTCCTCGCTGGCAGCTAGGTTACGGTCCAACTCCACGTGTGCTTTGCAAGCGCGAGCCGCAGCAGCTGCAATGCTGGTCTCACCATCCAAGCTCCCATCCTCCAAGCTCGCAGCCGCCTCCCCAGAGTGATTCTGATCAGCAACCTGCAAATATATCACACACATATAGTCTTGCAACCTGACTTGCTTCTCATGACCGCAAGCCTTAACCCGAAGAGCCATCACACGCGGCATGTCCCCAAGGAACCCACCCAAGCCGCCCTTCTTACCTTGGCCATGATCCTGAAGTTGTGTTCCGGGTCGGGCAGGCGCGTCCGCAGCCAGTGAGACCGCGGGTGTCGTACCTCCCCCAACTCCACTGCACCACCACCACCACCGCTGCCCTCGCCTCCAGCTTCCCCCCTCTCTCCGCCCTCTCCTCCACCTCTTCTTGCACCCGGGTCGTGGTTACCGACCAGGCCTGCCACAGCAACTACTGCCGTACCCGCATCCCTAACCGCCTCCGGCGCCGACCCAGCCGCATCCCCTGCTGCGCCCGCCTCTGCCGGCGCCACCTGAGCTCCGCTAGCAGCATCCGCATCCGCATCAGCACCTGCAGCAGCAGCAGAAGCCCCGGGGCCTGCAGTCTCCTGCTGGGCAGTGGTGGTGGCTGCTGCTGGTTGTTTGGTGCTGGAGGGTGGTTGTTGCGGGCGGGTCCGAGCGGAGGGTTTGTCTCCGGGCATGCAGGGGGTGTAGGCGGTGTGGTGGGTGCTGAAGGAGCTGCCGCCCGCCAGGGAGAACTTGAGCTTGCCTGTTTGGGGGAGCGTGGGAGGAGGAGGAGGAGAAGGAGGAGCAAAAGCCACGAGGCAACAGGGAGGGGGAGCGGGGTTGCGTACACGGGTAACGCCGATGCTGCTGAGCATAAGGAACGGGAATGTAGGCAGTGAGTGAAACAGGCCAGGAGGGGCTCGATATGGTAGTCGGCTTTCAGTGCCAGTAGCGCGCAAAGCATGATGTACAGGTACGGCCGCGGAGCCCCACCCACCCACCCACCCACTCACCTACGCAGCAGGGGCTGACCACGTACGCCGCCCGCCGCCGCACCGCCAGCTGCAGCGCGGCATCTGTCGCATTGCCGCACGCGTGCAGCGCCAGCGCCACGTCGAAGGGCTGCTGCAGGAAGGTCTCGATCATGCAGCGCTGGGCGGTCACGTTGGGGAGGGCGGCGGCACGGGCTCGCTCCTGCAGGAGGGCCACCGCGGCGGGCTTCATCTCGATGCCTTGGGGGGTGGCGGGCAGCAGGTGGTGGGGTGGGGGGGTTGGTGGGGGTTGGGGTTGGGAGGGAGTGGGGTTGGGAGGGGGCGCAGGGCGGAAAGATGGAGGGAGCGGGCAGGGGGGAGAAAGCGTATGCCGGGGTGTTTGGGGTAAAGAATGAGTTAGGTTTCGTTGCAAGGCCGGGGTTTGGGATGCTGAGGAGATCATGTGAAGCGCGAGCTCGCAGTGTAGCGGGACCTATGGGGTGTCCAACGTACGCCCCATCCCCCGCGGCATGGGGTATCGGCAGGCGCCTTGGTGGTCCCGCCGCACCTGTGAAGCGGCAGTGCGGGAAGAGCACCGCCAGCGGCAGCAGCAGGGTGCCGGTGCCGCAGCCAAAGTCCACCACATGTGGTGGCCTGGGCTCTGGCTGGGAGGAGGAGGAGGGGGAGGCGGGAGGTGGTGGGGGCAGCAGGCGGCGGAGCACAGCAGCGAAGCTCTCCACCTGGGGCGTCGCGAGGAGGGGTAAAAATGAGGAGACAGGGCGTTGAAAATAGTAGTGGGAGGCAGGCAGCAGCCTAGCTGGTCGGTGGTAACCTACCTGCCAGCGCTTGACCATTCCTCTGCTCCTTCCGGTGCTCGGTCGCTGAGCTGCGGCTACCGCGACCTCGGGTGCCACCTCCTCAGGCCGCCCGAGAACCCTTCAAGATGTAGGAGCCCGTGACATGGCCATACCGTAAGCTGCGCTATGTCGCACATGTCAGCTCGTCCCAACTGCCACTTCACCTACATTTGCGCCAGCTGCTGATCTAAGTTGCCCCTTCGACGTGTGTTGTTGGCTGGATTGTCCAACACAAATACTGGATCGCAGGAGCGTGGCATGGAATCCCAGTCAATTGGTTCAATGCCATTTGAGCCCAAACTTAAGGTCTCTAAGTCCTGATAAACAATTTTGGGACCTCCTGGCGGAGGAAGCCGCTGCAGAACTTCTAAAATCGCGGCCTCATGGCTCAGTTTCGACGGCGGCTTCCGGCCTAGCGGTATTGCCGCGGTAGCCATACTCAGAGAACTATAAGAGAGTTGCTAATTTTTCGTTGTGGCTCTTGTTCATTTCGCCCCGCGATAGCTTGTCTCCCGCACAAGTTATGCATGCTGTCGTGCTGTGGGTACCTGCATCTGCTGTGCCAGAGGAGCCTTGGAAGGTAGTCAGCCAGCGTGGCTATTAGCATTAACCCTTTGCTATCCAGTTAAGTAGTCCTTACCGCCCGTGTAGCAAGGTAGCTGGACGGCGTGCTATGTACCCTGCTCTCAACTCTCAGATGTCGCATGTGGCAACTCCGCTGCGGCCAGGACCAACTATGTAGCATTCTGGGGAGTCGGCGTCGCGCCTAGGATTGCGTGATCAGCATTACATTGCCAGCCGGTGGCCGCTCTCTAATCCATCAGGCCAGTCACAGGCCAGAGAAAGCTAGATCACCCTAATCAGACCACCGATCAAATAATAAGTAACAATGGCCACGCTACCGGCGTGCATGCAAGGGCAACAACCGCTGTCCTACATCCCTGCATATGTTGCGGGCAAGGTACAGTCCCGAGTCAGGGGGCTGCGCAGCCTAAGAGCACGACTGGCGGTTGTACGACACGTTGTTGTCATACGCTGTACCAACCAGGCCACGAACGAACCAGAGCACAAAGCCACAACTCCAACCGCGTACATACGCAGAACCACATCATACATCTGTCGGTGAAATGCAGTGCCGGTAACGGTGCACGACACCACAGCAAAAGCTTCATGCAGTGGTACGAACCCTGTGCGAATATCTTAGCCACACGGTGCGGGTTGCGCACCGGTGCATGCAGACAAACTACAACGTACGGAACCACTTTTAAGTTAATCCTTCCCACGTGAACAACGACAAACTAGTTACTAGTTGTGAAGCCACATCACGGCCTTTAAAGGTCTGCAATGATGCAGAAGATGCTCTCTCCATTGTACGGCAGGGTCCGCAGAACCGCACGGCAAGACACGATAAGGGGTCCTCATCCTCTCATATCTTGGCCCAGATGACTACCGGCCTGATCACAACAGCTCCCCTCAAGCCGCAGCTCCCCCCACCAGTCCGGACACCTAAGTGCAATCATGTCACATAATTAGTCGCATAGGCCCCCTAGCGAGACATACACCAAATCTTACAACGCAACCACACATCAATTACAAGCAACCAGTAACTCACATTAGCGCGGCATCCTGTTATCAGACTTCAAGCAGTGCTGTCAGCCTGGATCCAGAAGCCAAAACGCATGGTCAATCAGCCACCTCGTGGCCCATACAACTACCGACATCCTTTCCGATTACACACCAGCCGTGCCCAAATGCATGCTGTAGAACCTGCTGCGCGCGTTGCCGAGCGACAGCGAATGCAAAGCGACGGACACATTGTCGTACGATGGTACAGCAATCATGCGACGAGTGCAGGGAGAAAGGGTCTTGGCAGGAAGTGCACCTCCCCGCTCCCCAGGGGTACCATGAACCCTTCAACCACAGCTGCTGCGAGGGCCTAGCACACGAGCATGGACGACAGCAGAAGCAGCAAGCAATGCACGATCAACAAGATATAACCCATGCTAAGGCTTACCAATTGCGTAGAATGGACAACCATAACTAAACCAGTCCAACCGCAGTACGGTACGGCACCCCGTCCTCCTTGGCCAGCAAACGCTGCCATGCGAAGCATGCACGCCGGTAGGGTGGTCGGCCGTAAAGCCCTCCCGGGTGTACCGGTATTATACACCACATGCCATCCCAGCGGCCAATGCCACCATGCCGCCAACACGCACGATCCACGATTGTCCTCATAACGCAGCCATCACGCATCCCCGCATGTGATGAATAGAAAGCTCATAATTAGTGCATCATGTGATCAACAGACGTCGCAGTACGACCGGCTAACTAACCCCGCTTGGGCGCATCCTTTGACGCACCTCTTGGTCAAGGTCGGGTTGCCTTAAACGCAGGGACACCAACACCGGGCACTTTCTTCACATAATTAATAGCAGCATCAGGCAATGCCAATCGTAACCCGCCGTATACACCATGGGGTTTTAGTGCTTGCCATCATGCATGATGCCCCGAACAAAGAACACTCTCCCATGGCCATACATGTAGGCATTTGCACTGGCGCATGGAATGCTACTCATCTTGCTCCTTAAACATGATCCCCCGGCGAAACAGTGTCACCCGCCAGCCGACGCCATCACGACCAGACCTGATGCTTCTGGCCGCCTGCACCCCCGTCCAGCCCATCAAGTTAAACAAACGTCAGCATATATATATCCCATACAGGAAACGACCAGTAACATATGGAGTCCAAGCTGACATGCTCAGGGATGCAGTCAAGTGTTATGGAAGTACAAAGGCCAATCAGCAAATCTAGCAACTTCATAAGATTTATGCGATATGGAGAGGCAGCGTCACAACAGTGCTACCTCATCGACCGTCCTCCATGTAGCAAAACGCACGGTCCACGAGCAGAAAACGCCCAAGCGGTGCACACCCTACAGAGAAACAGGTCGTATCGTGTTGATGTGTTCCACAAAGGAAACTCAATTAGCGGTATATGAAGCCCATTTAATACTTTTGAAACCAAAAGTTGACCCATACCAGACGCCCACCCACCCGCTCATGCCTACAAGCCCCAGCATGCGGCACTCCGCTTCATGCACCTCTCTCACATGCCACACGTGCATCACCCCTGCTCCTCTCATGAACCATCCGCTGCCGCAGCCCACCATCGTGGCCAGCAAGCACGCAAGGCAGGCAGCGCCCTCACCTGCATGTGTCTCACATCACGGCTTCACCACCCCACAACATGCAGCGCCGGGCACCTCCTGCACCTTCTCTCGTCTTTCACTTCCCTTCCGACCCTCCGACACACCACCACCTGCAGCACCCACCATCGCGGGCACCACCTGGCGCACACACCTCATCCGACATCCCAGTACGTTCCTACTCGCGGCCAGTTTTCTTAACACACCTCATGCAACCTCTCGCACATCCAAGCTTGGTACACCTTTGCATCATGTCGCCATCTCTTAGACACGGGCGCCTTAAGTCATTCGATTACCGGAATCAGCCAAACCGCACATTATTCAGTACCTTATGATGGCATGCAATTAAAACACTTGACCTCTCCATCACGTCAGCTCATTAGGCCCGCCTTCCCAGCTCGGCCCTAACCGCAATGTCCCCCGTACAGCACACCACCAATAGCAGCCACCAGTGCATCTCTCCTCGGTCGCCAGATACGGTCAGTAATGTTACAAGGCGCATTTTGCTCAACACACCACTACGTCTCACCTTTCGTAATTCACCCCCTACACAATCCCCGTTCCAATGCCGCGCAACACCGTCATTCCCAACTTCCCATGCAGTCAAGGGAACTCGCAAACACGAGTACTAAGCCGCTAGCCGCGGTGGTGCCCAAAGGTGTACGACTTGGCCCTCAGCGCTGCAACCCCTGCCGCGGCCGCCTGCACCTGCCCCACCCCGCCACCCCCGCCCGCCCCCGCCAGCTCCATGCCACCCGCATCAAGCCCATCCGCCTCCTCCTCGCCGTCCTCCAGCACCCCCCAGCGCTGCAGCCTGAACAGGTGCTGCCGCCGTGACTGCGACAGCGACAAGTTCAGCTGCTGCTGCGGAGGGTACGACGGCAGGTGCTGCTGCTGGTGGTACTGGTAGGAAGACCGGTGCGAGTGGTGGCCGCTGGTCACACCAGCTGCAGAACCAGACATGCTGGCGCTGCTGCTGCTGCTGTTGGCGGTGGTGACGGGTGCCCCGCCGCAAGCAGCGCCCCCGTTGGCCGATGTCGCCGCAGCCCCCGGGGGAGAGGAGCCCACCGCATCGGTCATGCTGGTGCTGGTGGTGGCGGGGATTGGCAGGTTGACGGCGCCGGGCAGGAAGTAGTCGGCACAGGAGCTCAGGCGGTGGATGGAGCGGTTGCGCATGGGTGTGGGAGGGTGCTGCAACTGCGGCGGCGGGGGCGGCTGAGGCTGCATCTCGCCGCAAGCGCTGAGGCCACTCCCACCGCCGCAACCGCCACCGGCACCTCCGGGGCTCTGCAGGTACCGCTGTTGGGAGGAGGAGGAGGGTGGAGTTGGGAGCGACGTGAGGTGCGGCAGCGAAGGCGAGGTCAGCGCAGCCGTATCAGCTGCAGCATAAGCCCTGGGTGGCATTGCTGCTGTTGCGGCTGCGTACGCAGTTGTTGGCAGGGCGAGATTCCTGGCACTGACGGACTGACGCACACGCCGCCGCGGTGCAGCCACAGCGGGGCTGCCACCCCCAACACTGCCGCTGCCGGGCGCTGCAGCACCAACAGCGGCAGCGGCAGCTGCGGCGCCCATGCCTGACCCGCTGCTGTAGCCACTGGTGGTCGCTGCACCCCCGTGTGCTGGGACCGCAGAAGACAACCCAATACCGTAACCGCTGATCTCGTCCACATCAGCGGCCTCAGCCTCGGAATCGATGTCATCAGCACCGGCCAGGGGCAGCACGCGCGCTGCGATGCCACCAGAGGCACCCCCCGCACCGCTGTTGACCCTGCCAGTGCCGCTGCTTGCGGCCGGGCCCAAGCTGTACGTCCGCATCTGCTTCAGGCTGCTGCCCTTAATGGCGCTGGAAGCAGCAGCAGCTGCAGCAGTGGCAGCCGCGGCAGCAGATGAAGGCGGCATTGTCGTTCCGCCGGCGTTGGAGGCAACAGTGAAGGACCTCTGCAGCGCCTGTGAGGGAGCTGTGTTGGAGAATGAGGTGGAGGCGGGGGGGATCGGACTTCCGAGGGAGGAGGCAGACGTCAGGGGGTGCTGCTGCTGCGCAGGAGCGCTCAGGTTAGAGCTCAGGTTGCCTGTACTGCAGGTGCCGCTGTTGCTGGGACCGCTGCCGGCTCCAAGCATGTAGGAAGATGGAGTCCTGCGCAGCGTTGATTGGCGCCGGACGCGGAAAGAATCGTGCACAACTGGCGCAGGAGAAGGGTTATGGGCTTGTAGGCCAGCGGTAGCTGATACCTCCACTATAGTTACGGAGGCGCGGCGATATGAGCGCTGGATGCTTGGCTGCTCTGCAAGCGCGTTGGGGCTGCCATGTGATGGGATTTCGGGCAACGCCGTCGAGGAGGGAGGTGACGGCATATCCTTGTGGCAGACCTGAGACGCAGAAACCGAATCCACCGGATTGCCAACAACTCGCAGGTGGGTGTTGCCGGACAACTGACTGGTAGAAGAAAAGTTAGTGTTGCTGGAGGAAGACCGCCGCTGCGCACGGTCTCTGTGCGGGTGCTGCTGCACTTGCTGTTGCGTCATGGATAGGTGGCGCACGTCCCATGACATGCGGCTAAACTGCGAGCTGGATGAAAGAGTGGGCTGCAGGACTGGGGAGTGACTGCTTGTTGCCCGCTTCACCGGCGAGAGAGGCGAATCTGGCGAAACGTTACCAAAACTTACAGCGGCCATACGTGCCACCGGCAGTTCGTCCGCTTCAGCTTTTGCCGTTCGTCCGTGCAGGCGCGCGCCGGCTTCATGTTTACGAGAAAACAGCTTTGCAAGCTGCATTTTGAGCCTTGACGAGGTCTTGACATCACTGCTTCGTGCTTCTTTTACTTGACTAGACACCTCACTTGGAACTGCTGCCTCCGTTTCCGGATGTGACAAAGGTGAGCATGACTGCTTGAGGCTCTCCTCAAGTTGTTCTAGGAACATACGGGAACGTTGGTACTCTTGGGCAAGGTCTGCCAGCAATTCCGTGGTTGAGTCCATGCTTGCGCTTTATAGAGAACAGCTTGAAACTTTAAGGTGTTAAAAGGTAATAGTGTTGTCAAGTGGATGAAATCATCTACTCTAAGGATTCCAAAGGTAACGGATAGGGTGACGTGCCACCGAAGGTACAAGTTACGTCTACTCGCCGTGCTTCATTAAGTGTGAGGATATAACCGTAATTAATATATTTTGCAAAGCCATGGGATACAGTATAGACACCTTTTGCAAGTACCAGCTTCAAAGGTACCCGGCACGCTGGCAGTACGGGGCCCAAAATACGAACGCCTTGTCGTTGCTGTAGTCCACCACCCAATGCACCCAACCCTTACTCTATCAACACCAGTTTCAACCCTGTTCTTTAAAGGCAACCAACACGCCGGCAACAACCCACACGCAGTCCTCGACCCAAGACTCCTTTTTCTGACGCCTCGCTGCTGTCATGCACATCGCGTTAGGCAAGCGTCCCTCCTCCATTCCTACCTAACGTTTTATGCTACAGAACCGCCTGCCCAACTTAGGCCGCCAACCCAACACTTATGCTGCACCACAAGTACCCACGGCACTAATCTACCAGCTCCAGTAGTACGACAGCCGCACGGCGCCGGCTTGACAACATTTCACATCACAGCATGCGCCTTACTGCACCCCATTACACAGTTCCGTAATGCACAACACACACCCCGTTCCTCTACCAGCCACCACCACCCCATGTCCCAATACACGTCCAGCCGCACCCCCCCTTCACACCGCAGCCTTCCCGCCCCCACCGCCCCCCGAAACCAGCGGCACGTACCCCACATCCATCACCTGCGTCACCCGGATGCCGCCCTCCCACTCCCCCGCCGCCCCGCCCGGCCCCTCCGGCGCCAGCTCCCGCCGCGCCGCCGACCGCTTGGTGGCATGCGGCTGCCTGCCCACCCTGTGCGGAGCCTCCGAGGGCTGCAGCTGCTGCTGGGGGGGCTCGGCGGGCGCGAAGGACTCGGGTGTGCCAGCAGGTGCGGCAGCAGCGGCCGCCTGCGGAGGTTGCTGCTGCTGGGGCGCCTTGTCCACGACGGTCAGCACCTGACGGGGGTTGCGGAGGAGGAGGGCGGGTGGGACACTCCCAGCCGTACGTCGCCGTACAGGAAGATCTCGGATGGCGAGCAGCGCAGTGGAGCAATAAGACGCACCATAACCTAGCAGTGGGTTGGCGTTACATGGGTACGGTACGAACGGATGGGGGAGTTGGCTTCCTCGCACTACCCCAAGCGCCTCAATCCGCCCCAACCCGAGTACCTTCTTGTTTTACCCCCTCCGCTCCCCGCTCTCCGCTCCCCCCCCCCCCCACACACACACACTTCGCTCTTTCCCCCCCCCCTACCTGGTAGCTCCAGTGCGGCCCCACCGGCACCACCATGCGGCCCCCCGGCGCCAGCTGGTCCACCAGCTCGCGGGGCAACTGCTCGGCGGCTGCACCCACATGGATGGCGTCGAAGGGGGGCTCGGTTGCCAGCAGGCCTGCAGGGGGGTACACAGCATGGGGCGGGGAGGGGGTGGAGTGGCGGGTGGGTGGTTGGTAGGGTGGGGAGTGAGGCGGGTGCTAGGGGGGTGCATTAAACTAGCCGCAGGTGCACGTCGTACATACGCACAACGACCCCGCCATGTGGCCGCAGCTGCTGCAGCTGTCACCCTTTACCCTAGCTGCTGGCCATGCCATCACCCCTCGCCACGTCGCCAGCCACCAAAAGAAGGGCTGGCATGTTGGCGCCCGCGCCCGCACCTGTCAGCACGTTGCCCGCCTCGATGCGGATGGTGCCGTCGTCCAGCAGCTGAGGCACCACCCGGCGCAGGGACACCTGGAGGGCAGGTGGGGTTGGGTGCGGGGAGGTCAAAGACCATACCATACCATGGGGCGTGGGGGGGGGGGCACACACAAAGGTGAGGTGGTAAAAGGAAAGGAAGGGTTAAGTGGTAAGAGAGGGAGAACAGAAAGAGAGCTACAACCTACAAGATAGATGTGGGCTGCAGATGTGCATGACTACGCACATGAGTTCGTTTAGACGGCCATGATGACCCATGGGTCGTTTGCTGTTGTGCGCCCTCCACTGTCCCCCCTCCACCCTGCCCCAACCCCGTCCCCTCACCTGGCTCATGGCCGCCAGCTCCGGCACCACCTCCACCCCCAGCACCCTGCCGCCCGGCGATACCATCAGGCCCAAGCAGGCGGTCAGGTAGCCGCTGCCTGAGGGGGGAAGGAGGAGGAGGAGGGGGAGGAGGGCGGGGCGGTGGCGGATGGGCCGCACAGAGGGGACCAGGGGCGCGGGCAGCATGCGGGGGCAGGTAGGGGTGGGAGCAAGGAAGCGGGCAGGCAAGGCGGGAGGGTTATGGGCACAAACATGCGCATAAGGGCGCACAACGGTCGTCTTGTGCCGCAACGAAGCATGGCAGGTCTGGCGCGAGGGTGGTGCTGCCGGCGCAGGTCCCACCCACCCGACCCCACGTCCAGCACCCTGGCTCCGGGCCGCAGCTGGCCCCGCAGCAGCTCCAGAGCAGTGGCGTGCTGCAGGGGGAAAGGATGAGGGGGGGAGGAGAAGGAAAGAGGAGGTTGGGAGCGGCTGGAAGCTGGCAAAGTAGGCTCTGAAGGAGTCCTACAATGCGACGACGCCGAATGCCCTTTTTTGTATTGTTAAGATAGCAGGGGCCGTCGCAGATCGGCAAGAGACCCATGGTTCATCAACGAAGACAGCTCGTAACACTGCTATGACTACCGGTATGTAGACCCCTAGCTAGGGAGGTTCCCCCCGCCACGGAACGCGCCTTTCCCGGCTTACCATGTGCGGTGCGCTGATGGTCTGGCCGAACCCGATTGGCTGCGGGCGATCCTGCGAGGTTTGGGAGTAAAAACACCGATGTGTGACGCCCAGGGGTTACACTTTACGGACCGTTTGCCGGGAGCGCTTGAATAGGACTCTAGTCCCTCAAGCTCTTTACATATTGTTGCTGCAGCCGCAGCACTTTGTGAAAGCTTCGTCAGCATGCATTAATTTGCTACAGCTTTTAACAATCTTTAACAATTGTGCTCGACATCGATCAGCCAGCCCAGAACCCTGCTTTGCGCAATCGCAAGCCTTCCTATCCGCATGCTGCCGGTATACCTCGTAAGCGTGTGAGAAGCTCGATAGCGGCGTATGCTCCAGGAACGCTGCCCGGTCAACCATGCCCATGACCCGCGCTACTTCCGGAGAGCGCAGCGTGCCGCGTTCGATGAGCCCGGTCAGCAGGCGGGTCATTCCGGGATTGGGGTTCGATTGACCTCCTCCAGACATGGCTGCTGTGGCAAGTGTGCGCCTAGCGGCGCGCGTTTGTTTGCAGTGAATTGCGGCCTTCGCGACCGCAGCAAACGCTACGAGACAGAGACCCGCAACCGTGGTGCGCCTAGTTGATGAGAAAGAGTGATGCTTATTACTGTTTAATGGTTTCATGGGCGTAGTTGTAAGAGCTCTAATGTGACTTTACAGAGAAGAAAGGATAGGTATAAGTAGCCAGGACGGACTGCTTGTGCATTGGTTAAGGTCCAACACAAAAAGGCGCGCGGCTGACGAGGATGGGGCATTGGTCGCCGCGACCCATGGGACAACCAGCTTTGACTAAGCTGCAGAGCATCATAAAGAGTACACACTCGGCACAAATTTGCGAAGCGGCCATCGTTTTCTGCAGGGACCAGACTTGCGGTCTGGTTACGGCTCCTGTACTTGGAACTCCTCCTTGACCATGTGCTCCCCAAGGCTGTCGCACAGTCCCAGCAAGTCTGTGGCATGAAAAGAAAAAAGGAACAAACAGTTTGGTCAGTTTGGTCCATAAGATTACGCAAGAACAGTAGAGGACAGTGGTACGATGTACACAAGGATACAGTAGGAAATAGCAGTACGTACATATACACAGGGTCACGTATGCTTTCGCAAGTGGTTCAGCATCACCCGCTAACCGGACCACAACCCAGCTCGTAGCGCTGCCTCGGGGTTCCAGTGCTTTCCACCATTCTAGGCCATCCCCTGGCACCCACGTGCCCCGTACAAACCGGCTGTGCACTGTACCCCGTCCCTGACGGATTGGATGTGTTCAGAACGGGTCCCAACCAATCCAGCCAATGTTCGGCCCTCAAGGCTCACCGCCCGTTCCCTTCCGTACGGGATCCCGCAAACTACTGCAGTTCACCCGCCTCACCTTCCGCCTGTTCCCGCAGCATTTCCTCCAACAGCACGTCTGTCAAGTCCTCCATCACCTGCGGGGCGGGAAGGGGCGGAAATGAGGCAGAGAGGAAGGAATACGTATACTACCGTTCCCGCAGGCCGCCAACCCGCCATCCCGCGCGGGCCCAACCCGTGGACAGCAACGACAGCAGTGGCACCCAACACACCGGCCGTACGCACCATCCTCCCTTCCATCGCTACCGGCCCCGCCAAGCGTACCAACCAGCATGCAAGCGCCCCTCCCCCACCTGCACGGGGTTGAGGCTCCGCGGCTCCGCTGCCACCAACAGGTCCCCATCCGCCAGCTGCTGCGCCCGCAGGAAGCGCCGCCGGCCCCGCAACACGGACTCCAGCGTGGCGTCGCTGATGGGGTCGCAGCCTGCGCCCGCCGCCATGGCTGACGCCGCCGTGCCGTCCGCGGCCTGCAGGGAGGTGCTTGGCGGCGCACCGGTGCCGGCTGCTGCAGCGTTGTGCAGCGCGAGGGTGCGTTCCGTGGGCTCGTGGGCAAAGGACCAGGGGTTGGAGGCGCCGGCACCTGCGCGAGTTGCGTTGCTGGTTGGGAGGGCGAGGCGAGAGCGGCAGGGTAGGTGTGGTGCTTCTGGCGGCGGCGGTGAGGGTGAGCGAGAGGAGGTGGAGGCTGCGGCGAAGGCGGAGGTGAGGGCGGCGTCCGCTGCCGCAGCAGCCGGCGGGGGGTCCAGGGATCCCAGAAGGCCGTCGTGGACCACGATGGGTTGCGCGCTGGTGACGCGTTGGCGGGGTCCTTTGGCAGGGTCTTGAAACCACTTGCGCCTGTGCAGGAGGATGGACACAGAAGACAAGATGAAGAGGGTCATGGGGCCAGCGATTGGCAGGCATCTAAAGCAGCAGAGCATGGGTGGTGACGAGGATGAGCGTAGGGTGCATGGAGGACAAGCGCCTTCTGTTGACTGTACCTAATAGCAGGATGAGCAAGTTAGGATCCAGGTTGCGCAAGGGCATCGGGCATCAACGCGATACATGGCCTTGCTCCACGCAACCAGCGTCCTCCTGCTGATAATGATCATCTTCCCGGGGATTGCGCCGGACCGCAACTCTCCTTCCCAGAGCCTTATCCTGATCCCTTATAAGCTCACCTGACCTCCTGTTCCTGGCTCTCCATGCGGTTGATCTGGATCAGCATCCGCTGCAGCTCCAGTACCGACAGTCCGGCGCTGCGGGGACTCAGCACCTGTGCGGCAGGCTCAGCACCGCCGCCCCCGCCATGCGCAGGAGCCAGCGCTGCCGAACCGCCACCTTCCTGTCCAGGCTGCTGTGGCGGCTGTTGCTGTTGAGCGTTGAGCTGCAGCGGCTGCAGCGCACGTGCCAGCCTGGACTCCACCTTGTCCACCATGCACGTCAGGCGCTGCTCCAAGGCGTCGATCTTTTGCAGCCTGGTCTTGCAACAGCAGCAGCAGTAGCAGCAGCGATAACACGCAGCAGGGTTTGTTGGTAGCAGCAAGAGCCAACACCTCAGTCTCATGCCTCCGCCCTCCTAGCGCCACCCATGCCAGACCCTGTCCTACAGCATCTTGAAACCCCATCTGGAAAAGGGCGGCGCATCCATCTTGCTCCCATGCAACCCTGCATGGACACCCGTCCTTCCTAGTCCGCCCTACCGTGCTGCCTCCGCATACGCCGCTGCGTCCCGCTCCACAATCTGCTGCACCTGGTCCTCCAGGGACTCCATCAGGAACACACTGCCGCCGCCGCCAGCAGCAGCAGACACGGCGTGGACAGCTGGAGCAGGATAGCTGCAAGGGGCACAGGCTGCGGCTGGCACGGCCGGTGTTGGACCTGCGGGTGCAGCAGCGCAGATGGAGGCTTGTGCGGCGTCATACTCCGGGGCAGCATCAGCACCAGTAGGGCTTAGGATTAGCACTACAGCAGCGCGAAAGCGGGATGACCGAGGTGGTAGGCCTGGTAGTGCAGAGGGCGCGACGCTTGCCTACCTGGCTGGGGCGTTGGCTGCGGCGGTACAGCCGCTGGGGAAATGGCGGCCTGGGGAACGGGGCTGGGATCTGCTGCAGGGGGTGCTTGGGTGCTGGGTAGCTGCTGTGCCTCTGGCTCTGCAGGCCGGGAACGACCGGAACCTGCTTGCAAAAGGATGGACACGGGTTGGGACTGCAACGGACATACCGGTAGAGGGTCACGCGCGGGATTGCACACTTGCTTCCCCTTCACCGCAACGGCTCCGCTCACCTTGCCGGGATGCAGCACGCGACGTCGGCCGTGAAGCCATGACACCCGACGTTGACGTTGTCCGCGACAGCGCCCTCGGGTGCACTCCACCCGCCACCACCGAAGCCAGCGCCGCCACCGCAGCCTCTTTCCCAGCTGCCATCGCAAGCTCCTCACTCGCCTCAACCTGCGGCTTGCCCTTACCGCTCTTCGCCGTCTTCCGTGCCACTGCAAGTGTTTGGATCGCCGCAACCAGCTTCTCCGCCTCAGCCATGCCGCTAGCAAGCCGCCGCCGGCCCTCCTCACCGCCCGCCAGCCCCGCACCACCCAGCACCTGCTTCAGAAGCGCCTTTAGGGCCTCCTTGCGAGTCGCGCGGTCGCGTTCCTTGGTAGTTGTAGTAGAGGCGGTTGTGGTTGCGGTTGCTGCGGCTGGGCGGACCAGGGGCGGGCTACGGGTCCGGCTGCGTCTCTGGGGAGACTTGCTGGCGCCGCGGCTGGCGGCTGCGCTGCCTGGTGCACGGCGAGCGAACCATGCCGGCGGGCCGGGCTCGACTTCAATCCGAGGAGGTTCTACGGCGGGGTTAGCTGCGCTGGTGCCAGAAGCGGCGGGTTCTGAGGTCGGGTTCTCAGTGCCAGGTTGATGCATCAGTGCGGATTCCAACAGGACCTGCACGATGGGGTATGAAGTAAATGAGGTTGGAAAATATATGGTCGATTCCATTAGGTACGCGGGCACAGCCCATGCAATCCAAAAGCTCAAACCCTTTCTCCTCCCATTTTCCGCCATGACGAGACACCCATCCCAACGGCACCTGCTGCTGCGCCAGCTGGGCGCTGTTCTCCTGCACCGCCCGCGCCAGCTGCTCGTTCTGCTGCGCCAGCTGCTGCGCAACCAGCAGCACGTGGTCGTACTGGGCTGCTTGCGTCGCCGCCGCCGCAGTAGCAGCGGGGGTGGGCACCGTGCCGTACAGTGCTACAGCCCGCGCCTCATCGGGAGACATCCCGGCAGCCAGAGTTTGGCGGGCTAGGGCGGTGGAGAGGGCCATGCGACGCTCCCGTTCAGCTGCGGCCTGTGGTGGGAAGGCAAACCCGGTAAACACGCTGAGGCCGTTGTCCGGGCTTTGTGGACAGCTAAAATTAGCGGCCCTCCCGCACGGCCTTCAATTCATTGCATACACACTCTGTCAGGGTTCCAAACGGGGTGAGGCTCCCCTACGTGTGTCCTGCTCACCTGCAGGTGCGGTATGGCTGACGACGCGCCCCGGAGCGCTGCCTGCAAGCTGGCAGCGTTGACCCAGTCCGGTCGCCTGGCTGCCTGAGGCAAGCTGCGAGGCCGGGCCTGTGCAGGAGTGCAGGGGCAGTGCGGGGCCGGGCAAACGCAAGTAAGGCAACGTGGCAACCCGCGTGGCGGCCGCCAGATATTGACCGCGGCGGGACTGCAACTGTAACTGCGCCCCAACATCGGGAACTGCTGCGCCCAAGAGCAGTACCAACCAAGGCCAGAGCGGCCAAAGGAGCACCCAACATACGCCCCGCATGCTTCCAGTCGTTGTGCCCACCTCTGGGTGCACGTAGGCGTCGGGTCGCGAGCTGAACAACCCCGGCTCCGTGCGTGTGTACAGTTTGCTCACGGGAGGAAAAGGTTGCTGCTGCTGCTGTCGCTGTGCCGCTGGTTGGGAGGTGTGAGGCTGCCGGGCCGGCGACCGCTGCGGTGATATGATGATAACGCGCTTGTTCTTCTTCGTCGCCTGTGTGTACGCAGGAGAACGCGGACAGGACCGCCTAAATGGCAGGCAAGCATGGGAAACAACGCAGGGAGTTGTGCAGCGCCCATCCTCTCCCCGTCCATCCTCATCCTCGGATCAATGAGGGTGAACCTGTGTCGCTGCGACCTCCATGCACATACCTTTGTAGGCTTTTCGGTCGCAGCTACAGCTTGTGTGGCCGCTGTCGTGGTGGGCCCAAAAATGGCGGCCGTGAGCGTCTGGGAGGTTGGGCCCGTCGTCCCTTCACCGTGCAGGAACCATGCAGTTTCTGGTCTTACACCACCCGGGCTATCTGTGAACGGGCGTGGCAACTGACCGGTGGCTGGCGCACCCGGATTCCTACGACCAGTTGGGTTGCAACCGTGTAAGCAGGTTGGCCTGGGGCAGGCAAAGGGTACGTTACACACGTGCGGAATCCGAAGTAGGGCTCATACCTGGACAAAGACAGTTGTTCTGGATGCTTGTTAGCGTCTTCGGCGACCTGGCCTTGTCCCTGGGTGCAGTCTGCTTCTGCCCCGGATTCGCCATCGGCTTGCGGTTGGGACGAGGTACCTCCAGCTTCCGCGCCCTGTGCCTTAGCACCCACGGATGCCGCCGCTACATCTGCGGCTGCCTCTCGCAACCTTTGCCGAACCCAGGCGGCGTAGTCGACTTCGGCTGGTTAGGGGGCGCAAAAGAATGTCGTTATGGGAAAGGTTCACACAGTCCAGGTGCGACAGATGCCTACTGACAGGGGCAAATGCTTACCACCAGACGCTTGTAGAAGCTCGTACTCCCGGGATAGCCTCTCCAGCAGCTCACGATTGCCGATGAAGTGCTCAAGGTCCATGTTGTGACAGATGCGAAAAATGCGCGCTGCTTACAAGGTAATCATCAGGACAGACATATATATTGGTGTATCTCCGTTTAATCCTTATAGCGTTACCGTTCCTCAGCAGAAGTGCTGTATGCAAGCAAGGATGATGCCCGTGCCAGTAACGTATAATAGGGGTTACGCATTTAAAAGTAATAAATACTGGTTTAAAGCGCCGCAAATGCTGTTAGGCGTCGATGGTCAACGCAGCTGTACGAATGCTGATGTGTCTACCTTTTGATCCAAGCTTATCTTTACTATCCGGGTCGTATAGACTTGGGGTAGACACTAGGGTGCTTAATACAGCACTGGGTTATTGCTGATCAGCTGAGTCCTACCCTCGGCGCTACCTGCTCTACCTGTTGTCATTGTCGCCGGAAGCATCTCCTGCCGATTTATGCTAGAGCAGTCCTAAGCTTGAGTTCAACGCATATAGCTGGTGAATGGCGCCGCTTTCTGGCTTCGCGATCGTCGAGAAGGCTGGAGCCCCAATGCCTGCCCGGGTGTGTTGTTGGGTCTCGAGGCTGCCATGCTAGTGTGCATGTAGTATTGCGCTATCACTGCGATACTTACGTGATATGACACACTCCAGGCTTCTAACCCGTCTCTCCTACAGGCGTCAAGTCAGCGCTGTACCTCCCACGCTCCCATACCTGCCATTCCTATTCCTCGGCGAACAGCGTTGGCGGTGCTGCTGGCACCGATTGCTGCATCTTTGCTGGACAGTCCTGATGCCAACGCTACCGCCAATAACGTTAGCCGGACTCAACTGCTGCTGCAACAGTAAGCATCCTGATTGCCTGTTGGGTAGGCGTCGCTCGTTACCTTCTGGTCTAGGGCCCCGGTGTACCGTTCCCCTTGCAAGCATGCTGCAATAGTAACCAGCCGGCACGCCCTAACCATAATCGCATGATAGTAACAGTCGGTGTGTGTTGCTTGTGACCTGAGTCTGAATGTGCCCGGGGGATTTTCAACAGGCGTGCTGCCCGCAAGGAGGAAATGAGGGCCCGCAACGCCAAAATCCGGTGCGGAGAGGCGAAGCCACAGTTCTGAGGTGGCATTAATGGGCCAGCTCGGTTGTTAGGTTTTGTGGGGCTGTTATCGCGCATGTTCGAATGTTTTGGATGTCACCGTAAGCATGCCAAGCTCTATAGGCGTTGGCATAACGTTGGGTATTGTCTGGAGCACCCTTCCTACCAGGTACTGGCTCCTCACTAGCTATTGAAATAATGCAGGACATGCATACACACAGCATGCAACCTGGAAGAGTTATGCGTTTGATGCTCGGATGTCAAGGTTAGGGCAGTCTAGGCATGGCCTTACAGTGCAAATAAGTAATGGGCAGGGGACATTTCGTACAATCCATTGAGTAGTGGGGCAACAAGACTACAGTACTGTAGTCCACGCGGTATAAGCGGGTCGTCTCGGTCCGTGTTTGCAAACAACGTGTAATTCCTCGCAATTCAACGTGCCACCATCCGCAATCCAAGGCACCGACAACGAATGGGTCCGGATCATGAATGCGTTCCAATTGGGGCTTGTTCCAGCCCTGGTGCACTCTATGGCCAAACATGCTAGACAACAACACCCGGCAGCTTCGCACCATATCTCTGGCAGACCTCTGGGCTGACGAGAAAGGAGAGACTTGAACTACGGCTGGGAAAGCAAAGAGATCTTCGGCATGCCGGTATCAAACGCCCATGGTGCACCTAACTTCCTTAGTATCTGCACCCATACCACACACAAGGTACAAACATGCTAATTTCTTCGTCGCCCTCACGATGCGACACTCAGCACTATAGATGCCGCCTGAGCAGGAGTGACAATGCGAGCGCAATCACACCGCTGTACGTAATCAGCAAGCCCATCTCCACCTGGCTCCGTTCGACCTTCTGGAGGCTGGGCTGCTGCACCAGGACGCCATGGATGGTAGCCGCGTTGGTCCTGTGCAGGTCCAGAGCGCGAACGTGCAGCGCTTGCAGCCAGGGCCATGCCTGTGCCTTCGCATGGGCAACTGCCACTTCCATTCGCGCGCGGAACTGGGCGAATGACTGTTGGGCCGACGTGGCATACACGCCTGCACACAGCCGCAACCGGGTTTTACAGGTGTTGGGGTTTTCAGGTAAATTGTTGGCACATGGGCATTAGTCTTCAGTTCTAAGATGCAGGTTTGTAAAGTCAGCACCATGTAGGCAACCCGTGCATCATGCTCGCTGCGCACGCTGGGTGGTGATTGGCAGATGGATGCGTTCATACGGACCTGCAAGCTGTCCCGCCTGGGACACCGTCGAATGGTACATGAACTCCAGATCCTCACGGATGCCGTTGAGCTTAGCTTGAACTCGCTCCTTGTCCTGAACGGCATAGGTCGGTGCACAGGGTTGAGGTCCGTGCCCATCAGGACCAAGAAGCGCAAGGGACCACCGACACAACAGCCACACAGTTCATGGAGTTTTTTCCTCTTTCAAGTAGATCTGTACATTACGACGCGACCAAAAGGGGCCCGAGGAGAACCACTGAACACGCAGCGACCTTCATTGTTGCCTCACCCGTAGGTTACTCGTGATGTGCGCGGCTTCGCCCTTGACCCGCTCTATTAAGTCCTGAAAGCTACCAGAAGCGTTAACCATATGTAGTGTAGCCCCAAAAACCAGGAGCGCGACTATTAGACTGCGCATTCTCGCGAGTGGTGTAGCCAGAGTTGTTTGGATGCAATGTGGAACTGTACTGTCTATCACTTATTAAGACATAGCAATATAGTTGTGAAAAGCGGATGTATACAGGTTTTTGGCTTCTGCGACGTGGATCTAGATCCACCCGCAGCTTCAAAGGCATTTGCCGGAGACTGTACCGAACAGGTACCTATGCACCCATTTGGATAGACTATATACTATTCATCTCTTTCACTTTTTCCTTTTGACTTTTCTACCCTACACTGCCAGCCCACGCCAAACACTTTCGCGACAAAATTACAGCTTAACTTATATGTAAAGCGGAATTGTGGTTGAACAGAGGGTGGAGAAGGACAAATGCCCGGACCAACTAAAGAGGCCAAAGAAGCCCGGTCCGCTGAGAGCAAGCAACTAGCGGCAGCGCGAGCAGCTGAGGAGCAGTCTACTACAGAGCTGTTAGCTTACTACAAGAGCAGGCTTGGTGCGTCCGGAGGGCAGCGACGTCAACAGGGAACCGACATACCTTCCAATTCATGCAACCCTGATTTGCACCGCAGAGGGTTTCGAGGCGGAAAGGGCGGAGTTGCTGTCACGGCTGGACCAGTGCGCAGTGCAGGGATCCGAGAAGCACACTTTGGAGTGGGAGACCCGGAAAAGGTCGGAGGAGGTCCGGGAGTTGCAAAAGGTATGATGGAGGGTCCGTCATTCCCTGGGCCGCCCATGGCTTTTGCCTAAGCCTCACCTTATCCTCACCTCTGACGCAGGCGCTCAGCGACGCCCACAACTTCCTCTTCGACGAACGACAGCGCTTGCTGGCGCTGCAAGCTGAAAACGATGAGTTGCGCCTACAAGAAATCCAGGACCGCAAGACCATCCAGCAGCTACTAGCGGGTCCGCAGGCTCCAGCAAACCGGAATTTGCCCGGCCCTAACGTTGACCAGTTGCTGCTGCAAATTGAGTCCCTGCATGCACAACTGAATGAGCAGGTACGAGAGGCGCACTCCTTTCACCCTCTTCTGTATCACAATGCCCTTCCTTGCGCTATCTCCAAACCTATATCGCCCCCCATGCAGAGAAAGTCATGGGATGGAATACGGAACCGATACCCCCCCTCCATTCTAGAGGCTTGCACCAACCCATTCCGCAGCTTCCATTGTCACACAGCCATTGATACCATTGATACCACCACGTCCTCACTTGCTACGACACTAGGCCTTCCATACTCCGCCTCTCACCGCACATGTTGCCATGCATGGTACGTCATCGCACCGCCGCAACTGTCCCAAACCACAGAAGCAGCTGGCTTCGGAGCGCATCGCGGCGCTGCTGGAGGACCGGCGCATCCGCGACCAGGAGGAGGAGACGCACCGGCGCTCGCTGTCGCAGCAGCTGGAGGCCGCCACGGAGCGCCTGCAGCGCGTGGAGGAGCAGCTGCGCACCACAACCAAGGACTACATCCTGGGTGCGATGGGGGCGGGGTGTTGTGAGGAAACAAGCTACCGGTATTATGACTAGGCAGTGAGTGGTCGGGATGGGGGCCAGTAAGAAGACACGAACGCCTTTCAATTATCCTGCCCTCTTTACCTTGTCTTGCCTCAACCCTCTCCCCACCCGCACACGACCGCAGGGCGGCGGGAGAAGCAGGCCGCGGAGGAGCGTGCGCTGGAGTGCCAGGCCACTCTGGCTCGCGAGCGGCAGTCCTTCCTGGAGCAGCTCGCGGAGCAGCGCAAGCGCGCCGCGGCGGAGCTCAGCGCGCTCAAGCAGGAGGCGGATGCCAAGCTGGACGACGTCGCAACCAACCTGCGAAACCAGGTGTGTGCGTGCGACGTGCGTACGGCGCATGTCAGCATACAAGGATTCCGCGGCTCACACCCTTTCATCACCGTGAACCCCACCATAACTTGCTTCTACACCTTAACACTGCTCTTTGAACCCCTCCAAATTGGTGTCTCGGCTTTCCCAACCCTCCAACCTCTCACCCACTCACAGCTCAAGCTAAAGGAGGAGGAACTCATCAACCTCTCCAGCGTGCACAACACCTCGGTGTCGCAGTACGACAAGCGCATCGCGGAGCTGGAGCTGCGGGCGGCGCGGCTGACCGAGTCCAACCGGCAGCTGGAGCTGCGGCGCCACCTGGACTGCGAGGGCTGGACGGCGGACGTGACGGCGCTGCGCAAGACGCTCACGGCGGTGGACAGGAAGCTGCACGAGATGCGGCTGGTAGAGAGGTGCGGCGCGGGAAGTGGGGATGCATGAAAGGAACTCTGGGGAGAGACGGCTTAATGGGAACGGAGGCGGTGTGCATCAATGAGTACGGGAGGACTGCGCGACGACTGCGAGTGGAGAGAGTTGGGGTGGTTGTGGCATGCGGGTGGGCTGCACCCAACGGCCTAGAGACGAGGGAATACCTTATTATTTTGCATAACCTCGTCTTTCCTCCCTCAACGCCCGCTCCGTAACTGTCGTTTGGCCCAAGAACCTCCTCTGCATCCTCGAACCCGCTGCTGCCTCACACCCTCCCTCCGTCTCCCCACCAGGCTGGAGGACGACGACCGGCTGGACGCCATCCTGCAGCACCTGCGCAAGAAGGCGCCCAAGGTGCCGCTGCCCGGCCCCGGTCCCGGCGGCGTGTCCAGCGTCACGGGAGACACGCAGAGCGTCAAGAGCGCGCTGGCGGAGGGGCTGCGGGACGTGCGGGGCAAGGTGAAGGAGCTGGAGCTGAGGCTGGCAGAGAAGCAGCGGTCAAAGCCGGGCGGAGGTGTGGGCGGAGGGCCGGTGCGGGCGGCGTCCGCGAGCAGGCCGATGTCTGGGCGGCGGTAGCGTGTTTTGGGGGTTGCCCGGGTGTGCGGTCTTGCTAGGTGCAAACTAGGAATCGATTGCGCTGGCAGCCGGCTGTTGACAACTGTACATGATGGGCATGAGTGTGTGGGACTGAGGCTTTACTTGCTTGTAATGGTGCGCCGAGAAGGCGCATGAGAAGGTGGTAACGGCTGACTACTCACGCTTTGCGGCACGCGTTAGCGAGATTGTGATGCGAAAGGATGCTTGGTGGTTTGGTTGGTTCAGCGTGGTGCCTCATATTACGTCGCAACAATTAATAAGGCTGTGACGCGCATCTGGGACATCTAGCCGCATCGGCCTTTGTCCTTGCGCCCTGGAAACTCTATCTGCCGTAGTCGGAGCTGCGCGCCCATGACTCACCACCAGCCCTGTTAGCGTTTTCCAACTATCCCATGAACCTATCTATATATACTGCGAATTTTACACATTATGCGCGCAGACGTGAGCGCACGTCAGTCAAAGAGCCGCGCGAACGCCATGCCGAGTCACAGGACAGCTCGACAGTGCCTGCTGCTGTCAAAGGCGTTGTTGCGACCAAATGAAGGAACAAAAAATGCATATTTCAACGGTCTTCAGTCGAGCCTATATCGATCGCACCTTCACCGCCGAGGTCCTGACTCCGACCCGTGCACTTCCGGGAGGCCCTGGGCAGCAGCGCCCCTTTTCCGCTCCGGCCTGCACACCAAAACAGAAAGCTCTAATGGCGGAGCCACTCCTGTGGACGGCGAGGAGCTCAGCAGTGATGAGAAGGAGAAGCGGGCTCGCGAGCGACTGGAGCAGGTGCGCCTACTAGAAGTGGGGCAAGTCGCTGCGCAAAAAGCCGTGTCACTTCAATGTAAGTTTACGCTGACGTTCGTTAAGCTACAATTGGGGAATTGCTGCGATGGTCTCAGACTCGTCCTAGGACTTGCAGGCATCCTTTGCCAGGCGTTGGCTACGCCCTGTGCAATACCAACACTCTATTATGCAGGCAGCCTGTCCCTGTCGCAGCACCCCGTTCCCCACCCAACTGGATTCCATGAAAGCACCTCCAACATCGCGCCGTTGTACGGGAGGCATAGACCTCGCCTCAACTTCCACTCCCTGCTTCCACACATCTCCCCACCTGCATCCCATTTCCCCAGGTTCGTCGCGGCCTGGCCAGCGGCACGCTGGGTTTCGGCTTCAGCGCCGGCGGCTTCCTGTACCCCTACCACCTGGGGGTGATGTGGGAGCTGCACGACCTGGACATACTCAAGGACTACAAGGCAGGTGCAAACGGTACATCAAGGCCTGGGGCCACCATCCTCGCACCCCTCCGGGGCTCCGCCTTCTCTTACACGCCTCCCCGCCCACCACCTCGGCCCCCCCTCTCCCCGCCCCCCGCCCCCACGCCCCGCACACACCTGCAGGTCCAGATGGCGGGTGCCAGCGCGGGCTCCCTGGCGGTTGCAACCTACAACTGCGGGCTGCAGCCGGAGAAGGCCACACGCGCGCTGCACGAGTTCGCGCAGGACTGCCGGGCGCATGGCACGAGGTACCGACTGGGTAGGTGCGTGGCGAGGGGGCGGGTAGGTGTGTTAAGAAAACTGGCCGCGAGTAGGAACGTACTGGGATGTCGGAGGGGGCGGGTAGGGGTGTGTGTATGTGTGTGTTTTGTGTGGTCGAGCGGGCGCGTGCGCGTGCGGTTTCATGCGAAGATAAGGGTGGGCATGACCGCTGTCCTGGAAATGTTCATGCACGCTCCTTTCTCAGCCCCTTCCCTCCACCCCGCCCCCCCCCCGGCCGCCCGCCAGGCTCCCTGCTACGTGACTTCCTGCACGCCTACCTGCCGTCAGACGCGCACGAGCGCTGCCGGGGCAACACCCACGTGGCGGTCACCCGCCTCTTCCCGGTGGTGCGTGCGGAGGTAGGGGTAGAGGGGGCGGCAAGGGGCTGGGGTAGACTGGCGGGAAGGGCGGGGGGTCCGAAGACCGCCTCTGCACACGTTTGGGGCCCCCGGCTGCTGCACATGCACACGTACGGCATCCGGGTGCCGCCCGCTCCCGTGCCCTTCGCTTTTACCCGACCTCGGCCTCGTCTTCCGCCCCCTCATCCGCCCCTTCCCCCTGCCAGATGATCAGTGAGTGGTCTGACAAGGACGACTTCGTGAACTCGCTGCTCACCAGTTGCCACATCCCCTTCTACTTCAACGGCTCCTGGATGACGGAGTTCAGGGGCAGGTGGGGCAGGGCTGCGGGGCTGCGGGGGCAGGGGGCAGCAGGTGTGGGTGCTGCTGGGGTGCTGCTGGCGCGGATGCCGGGGAGCAGGCCTCGTGCTTGTCTGTCCGCTGTCAGCTGCCAGCTGCCAGGGCATTGTGTGCCTGGTTGCGAGCAGGTCTTATGCCCGGTTCCCCCTCTGGCTGCCTTGGTCAGCAGGTTCTACATGGACGGCGGCGTGGCTGCCTTCATCCCCCGCCCGCCCACCGAGTATGCGGTCAAGGTGTGCTGCTTCCCGGTCAACGAGGTGCTGGCAACCGTGCAGGTGGGCGGGGGGGGGGGGGGGACGGGAGGGGAGGGGAGGGGCAGGGGTGGGTAGGGGCAGGGTTAGGGAGGGGCGTAGGCAGGCACAACACCCAACACCGTCGGGCGGAGCACAGGCCTGTTCGTTTCGCAACGCCCGTCCCTCGCCTCCCTTCCCTATGCCGATGAACCCCATACACATGTCCCTCTCCACCCTCTCCCCTCCCGCCCCCACCCTCTTCCCTTCCCTTCCCTTCCGTTCCCCTCCCCTCCCTTCCCTCCCCCCCAGGACCGTGTGGCCCAGTACGACCGGGTCGCCTCGCTGCTGGACGTGTCCATCAGCCCGGACGCGTACGAGCCCTGGCCCTTCAACTACGCGCAGATGGTGGCATGGGCGCTGGTGCCGGCGGATGATGACATGCTGAGGTGTGGGGTGGGTGGGTGGGGGGGTAAAAGGGGAAGGAAGGATGTGGGGTTCTAGGGTGGCGTGGGGTACGGTACGTGCCGTTCTTTGCTACCCATATGAGTATGTACGGCACCTACTACGGCTGCCATCTTAAAGAGATGCTGACATGTACGACTTCACGACGACTTCATAGCTACGGCTTTGCATCTGCATTTACGCTTGCTGCGGTTCAGCCAGCTGGAGTTTTGTACAGTCGTTGCAGTCCTGCAACACTGTACGGCACTGTTAATACAGCTGAGAATCTTGAGATGTTGTTCCAGTTTTGCGTTTGGTTTCCTGTCGTTTCAGGTACATGATCAACAAGGGGCGACGGGATGCGCGCGCGTGGGCGCAGCGGATGGAGTTGGTGCCGGGGGATGCGGCGGCGGGGCGGGTGGGCGGGGAGGGCGCGGGGGATGTGGGGGGCGGGGCGGAGCGAGCGGCGGAGAGGGTGCGCGGGGCGCAGGAGAGGAAGGAGCAGGAGGAGGAGGAGAGGGTGCAGGGGGATGGGAGGGGCGGGAAGGAGGGTGGGAAGGAGGGCGCGGCGGTAGGAGGTGGGGTAGGAGGTATGGAGAAGCCGCGAGGGCTATGATTGTGATACCAGTCGGAGGAGTGGCAATGTGAGGTAGGTGGTGAAGGGAATGGCCCGTATGGACGAAGGTGGTAAGGTGGGTTTACGGGCTGGGTCGAGTGGCTAGCTATCCTTGCATGCTCAGAGCATGGATGCCTTGACAAGGCCTGTTGGTGGATGTAGGGGTTGCTAAGACGTTACTTCTGCTGCATCTGTGCTGTTGAGGGCGGTGGATGCAAACTGTGAGGTGGCTGGGGTGCGGCTGCATAACGGTGCCCACAGTAAGCAACACGAATACGGGTATAGCCGGGTATGCCGTTATGTAGAACGGTGTCTTTCCTTCGTCAGGTGGCAGAGGCGGGAGGGGTACTTGGTTAGAATGCTTATCATACACCGGGGGTCCGGCCAGGATGGAAGTAACTGGTCAACATTCCAACATGGCGTCGATCGCCTACCCCAGGGGGCACGCCTTTCAGAGGGTAGTTCCCAACCGTAAGGCCACAAACCAGCTAATTGCACCACGGCTCAGGAAAGCCTACGAACGCGAAACTGGAGGACCGGCCAGGATGGAGCTAGACTGGTTTGAATCGCAGAGCGGAACGTTAATTGCACGAAGGGCCCTGGCGGCAGGGCGGGGAGAATTTGTAGCAAGATTTGTCAGTTTGCGGTCAATGGGTGGGCGTTGAGGGCAACTGTCGTATGCTCAGCAAGGCTCTTTGGATGACGTGAAGGGGGTCCCCCAAAAGGTCATCCGTTTGGGCAGCTAGCCTGAATAAGCGGTACGGCAAAGTAAAGAACTGGCTGGGTTACGCGTTGTCGCGTTCCGCCTGTGCCTTGTGCCTGGTAACGTGTCTATGGTAGCGTTAAGGTATTTCATTGGGTATTAGGCATTTCTGGTACTTGTTGCTGTAGGCCTTCCATGACCATCTTTTTGGAAGTAGGGCATTAACGCGACACGCCTTACAAACGTGGTTCAGATTGAGACATAAGCCGGCACTTTATGCGAGCTTCCGGCCTTTTAGAACGTGAAAATGCAGACGCCAATGCAGTGCTTGGTCAGCTTGTTTGAGGATGCTTCAGCCAGGGGTTGTATGTCATCGCTGCGGGTACCACAGGGGCTTCGAAGGAAGATACAGGAGTCCCTTAGAGAAAGTTTCGTGACTTTTGACCCTGGCTTCTGGGTCGCTGTTGTTGGGCTGCATCGGTTGGCTGCAGAATTGCTGGTGTCAAAACCCGGCGAGGATGGTTGGTCTTCGAGGATACTGCATGATACTGGCAAGCTTATCCTCAACCTTTGTAGTATCAACTGCGAAGAAGCACGGTGTATCGCATACAAGGTTGCGCTGGCTTTGCTGGAGGGGGATCTCCTTCACGCCGCTGCACGACTGTTTGCCAAGATATACAGCGGCATAGATGACGTGGCGAAGCCGGATGAAGCTCTGGTTGGCGCGATGATATCATGTGCTCATTGCGCGGGCGTGCTGCTGGGCATGTTGGAGGGGACCGAGGGTTCAGTCCCGAAGGACTTGTTCCTCCGTTATGCAGGGGCACTGCACACAAGCCATGTGCTCGAACATATGTCTCGAGCGCTGTTGGCTGTAGTAAAACATGCTCGCTCGCAGGAGAGCCAACGGCTGACCTTCATGAGCAAGGGCAGCCTCGCTAAGATACTTCGGGCGTCGTTGGGGGGTATTCTTCGGCCGTGGATGGAACAAGGCCCCCGGTATCTCAGCAGTCCGGGATGGATGGTCGAGGAACGGGACTTGCAAGCGGCGCTATACAAGGTAGGGCCGCGTGACCAGAGCAATCAGGGACAGTTGCGAGGCAAGCCCGACGGCGCTTTGGCCATGTACATCTTGCCCTTCTTCATGGTTAAGCCCCGCTTTGTACAATTGTTCTTGCCCAGCACTTTCAGCCGTTGCGCCTCTTGCTGCCTTTCCCTTACCTCAACAGCTTTGCGTTCAGCTTTCGGAGCCCTGCCTGCAATTCATCCTCGGTTGGCTGGTGACGACGGAGCGGCTGAGCCTGGCTGGCGGGGAGGGGCCGCGCTATGGCTTGCCGGAGGAGCTCCTGACGCAGCATGAGTGGCAGATAGAACGAGATCTGGGTACCCGGTTGCTGCTTGAGTCTTTAGCATCAGTAGCGGGCGTCTGGAGGATGACGCTAGCTGGTCCGCGCGTTTCCCATGTGGCGCAGCCGCCCGTGGGTTGGCTATCCGGTCTCGACGCCCCGGCAGAGGGGTCGGGAGCAGCAGCACCGGCGGCCTCGACGCCGGCAGAGGGGTCGGGAGCAGCAGCACCGGCGGCCTCGACGCCGGCAGAGGGGTCGGGAGCAGCAGCACCGGCGGCCTCGACGCCGGCAGAGGGGTCGGGAGCAGCAGCACCGGCGGCCTCGGCGGCAGCAGAGGGGTCGGGAGCGGCAGTAGCGGGGGCCTCGACGCCGGCAGAGGGGTCGGGAGCGGCAGCAGCGGGGGCCTCGGCGCCGGCAGAGGGGTCGGGAGCAGCAGCACCGGCGGCCTCGGCGGCAGCAGAGGGGTCGGGAGCGGCAGCAGTGGGGGCCTCGGCGCCGGCAGAGGGGTCGGGAGCGGCAATAGCGGTGGCCTCGACGCCGGCAGAGGGGTCGGGAGCAGCAGCAGCCCCAGCTCCTGCTACTGGAATGGAGGGTCACGAGATTGGAGAAGCTGAGTCCGAGTTGCAACAGCCGCTTAGGATCCCCCGTTTGCCGTACACGGCCGTCCACGTGTACGACATGGTGCATGAGGGGCTGACCGTTGCGCTGGCCAGCATAGAGGCCGGTGGATTGGGCGCAAAGGCGCTTGTTGGTATGCGTGCTGCCATGCTGACTAGTCCCGTGCAGCTGCTTGCCCGGCTGTGCATGGAGCTGCACCCGCGACACGTCATCCCGCGTCTGCCCGGCTTGTGGCGCACCATTGCTCGCATGCTGCCGCACTTGCCACTTGGCCGGTCTAGCAGCGTCGGCTGGCGGGAGCTGCCGCAGATTATGGGACTGTTGTTAAGGTTGGAGGTGCCGTATGCTGCGACGGGTGCTGACACGGCTGAGGCGGAAGGTTGCTCGGCTGCCACAGCCACGCCTTCATCGGCGGCTGCTACGGCTTCCGCTGCTGCTGGACCCGCAGCTTCCTCTTCACAAGCAACAACCGCAAGCGCTGGTGGCGGAGAGCCTGGAGGCTGTTCATTCAGTCTTCGCTGCGCACTGGACGGTGGGCTACTGCGTGCGTTGCGAGGACTGCTGCATCGCGGAGCGGTGGCACCGTTGGAGGCAACGCCGAACCTACGAAGTGCACGAACTGCCGCGGTCGGGGTGGGCATCTGCCTTGCCTTTATCAACCATGTGCTTCGGTACTCGGGTGTGTGGCCTGCAATCCTGGCCTACGGGGCGGCGGGCGAGGTCGCCGCACTCATCACATTACTGCAACATATGACCCTGATAGCGGGCTGGTCCGTTGGCACGTTTGCCGCGGCCGGGAATGCCGAGGACGGCGCAATTTCGGGCAACCAGTACGCGCGGGAGATCCATCTGGGATATCTGGCCGCGTTGCTGGAGCAGCAGGTGGCGATGGCGCAGCTAAGCCAGCCACTCAAGCTCTCCACGATGTTGCCTAACCGGGGCAACAGCGACAGCGCCGCAGCTCCCGACACGGCCAGCGCAAGAGATGCCGCAGCCGCGAGCAACGGCTGTGCGCCCCATGCAGACCGAAAGCAAAATTGGGTTTCGGATAAGCCGCTGTCGCTTAACGATGCATTGGAAGGTCCCACTTCTGCGCCCATGCAAGTGGAATGGATGATACGCGCCGGTGGCTGCCCTCCAGCTGGTTCCGCTGCTGCAGAGCAGCAGCAAATCCTGGCAGCATATGCTTGGGCGTTATGGATAGTGGAGCTTGCTGATCTGTCACGGGAGCTTGATTACACCAAACACCAGGCTGGTCTGGGCGCGGCATGGGCTGTGAAGCAGGCGCTCCAACAAACAATCATCCCGGACATACTAGCGACAGCTCAGGCTTGCAGCAACAGCAGCAGCAGCAACGAAGGTAACGGCAGCAATCGCGAGGTCGGCAGCAGCCTTAAGGCGTCTGACGGGGGTGCTGCGAGCATGAGCAGCGGTGCACCTGCGCAGGGCCCAGCAGATGACAGCCTTCTACTGAGGAAACAAGCCTGGGCGATATGGATTGGAGGCAGAGGTTTGATGGAGTTTGCCGCGACCATAGTGCAACAAGCGGCCAAGGGCGGCGCAGACAGCCAGTCTAAGGATGAACTGCAGGAAATGGAGGCGTTTGCGCTGGATGTGCTGTCATTGTGTGCGGTTATGCAGCACCTCTCACAAATTCCCCTGAAGCAAACGACGCTGCCAGCGGACCAGCAGTCGGCGGTGCTGGCGGCGGCTCAGCAGCACGGCAGAAGGTTTTTGATAGAAGCCTTGCAGGCGTGGTGGGGCCTGACGGACAGAGAGCCCAGCAGCAGCTGCACCACCGCGCCTGGGCCTCGCAAATTGCTTATCGAGGTGCTTGCGCGCCATGGGCTAACGTACGCGCCCCTGCCACCCTCACCGTTAGAGGCGATAGAGGCAGCGAAGGCTGCGGGCTTCATGAGCTGCGCCAACCCATTCTGCAGCACCCTTGATGCTGTGGGTGTGACCAACCCCAAGACCTGCGCACGCTGCAGGGCGGTCCGCTACTGCTGCGGGGCTTGCCAGCTGGCGCATTGGCGTAATAACCACAGCCAGGAATGCGTCAGGATGGCGGCTGATGCCGCGGCTCAGAGCAAGTGAAGTGAAGTGGAGTCATGAAAGCTGTTTAGGACAGGGCTGGGGCACGGCATCGGTAGGGGCTGCCTTTGCGGAAGGCGCAGATCACTGCGGCTTTGTGGAGGGTTTTTGCGTGAGGCGTTGATGTTGTTGTTGTATGTCGGTTGACTCGACCGTCGCGACTTGTAGATAGTTGGACAGCAGCAGAGCAATCCGGTATGAATGCGACATACCCTCTGGGGTGGGAGATTCTCTGTCCCATGTGCTAAGTTGTGCCAGCCTCCCCATTGGAAATAACAACTTGAGCCGTGCAAGGTTTGCGCCCCGTAGGCAAGGTATTGCATTGCTAGAGTTGTTTTGGAAATGTCGGCATGGATGAACGTGTTTGAGATGCGTTGCATAAGGCTTCCTTGCAGTACGGCTTAAGTGGTGCTAATGCGCGGTTGGCAGGTCCATAGCTATGCACCCATGGGCAAGCGCGCGGAACATTACCATAATAAAGACTTGCAGCGTGCCAAAATGATGGTCAACAAATATTTGACCCCCGGTGGGGGTGTAACCCGTTTCCTGGTAGCCATAACAGCATCTCCCATGTGCCGACTGACTGCAACCTGCACACTACCTGGTATCCGACCCTCATCCCTCAATGGGATCCTCATCGTCCTCCAAACCCAGCGTCCCCAGCATTCCCTCCAACCCCCCGCCTCCAACCGTCCCCGCAGCCTGCCCTTCCGCCTGCACACCACCACCCCAGCCACGCCCCACAACCCCTCCTGCCGCCCGCCCCTGTTGCTGCGGCGCTGGCGGCATCTGCGCGATACGTCGCAGGAACGCCCCTTCCGTCACCGCCCCATTCCAGTAGTAGCTCCATGTGCCAGGCAGCGCAGCCGCCAACCACACCGCATGCTGCGGGGAGTCCTGGGTCAGGATCCGCAGCCAGGGCATCACCGACCCTACCAGCTCGTGAGCGCTGCCGCCCGACAGATCGGACGCTGCACCGCCGCCTGCGCCAGCCCCTGCAGCCGGATGTGCTGCCAGGCGGCATGCGGAGGCACGCAGCTGCAGTCGGTTAGCAGCAGCAGCCTGGTCGATTGCGGAGCTGGCGGGGGCCCGGATGGGGTTGAAGCGGTGCGGCGCGGGGTGGGTGTTGCCATACATGAGGCCTCGCGCGGCGACTGAGGATGCGACCGCGGCGGCAAGGTTGGCCGCGGCTGGGGAGTCCTCGAGCCAGAGGCTGGTGCCGCCGTAGGAGGTGGCGGCGGTGACGGCACGCGACTGGCCGCAGAGCACGGCTGGAGGAGGGGAAGGGAGGATAGAGGTTGGGTAAAACACAGAGGATAAGACAGGCTCAAGCCCACAGAGCTTAGATGTACGTACGTAGCATGCATGGCACATAGCCCATAGAAGGTTATCTACCGGTACTAGCCACCATGCCACACAGGTGAGCCAGGACTTCATGCACGCCTCATCCGCACACTCCACATGCACCACACCCGACCCACGGGTCACCCACCGCTGTCGCTCAGGTATTCCGCTACTGTCGCCACATCGTCCACCGCGTCCGCTGCCTCCCCATCCACGAAGCCCAGGTAGTTCTCGTGCAGGAAGGACAGCAGCGCGGTCGCCTCCAGGCCGCAACTCAGGATGATGGCCTCCGGGTCGTAGCGCATGGGGGGCCGCTGCAGCCTGTGCATGGGGATAAAAATAAGGAAAACTGACAAACTGGATGACGAGGCTTCACCATGGGTTGCATGGGGGCGGCATACGGTAGCAAGGTACGGCAATTAGTCCAAGAATGAAAGGGTGCGACCAGGGGATGAGAGAATCCCAAAGCAGGAGGATGTTTACAGGGTTGTTGTGCCAGGGCATAATGCTGAGGTGCACGCGGCCAGCGGCTTGCATGACAACGAGCTAGCATGAAAACAAGCCTCTTGCATGGCAAAAGGCAACCGGGCCCGTCGGGCCCCAAGCCACGCACCTCCTTGGCAGCTCCACTCGCGCATCCAGCGACCACTGCTTTCCGGACCGCAGCGCATGCGCATTCAGCTGCTGCAGCGCCACACTCTCCTTCTCCCTGCCGCCCGCTCCTGCTGCTGCTGCTCCCCTCCTTGCCCCACCTGCTCCTGCCCCTTCTCCCCCATCCTCCCCCTCACTCCCGCCCTCGCCACCTGCTCGCGCCCCCCGCTTGTTGTACAGCATCTTCCCGAGCGCATGGAACAACGGCAGCCCCAGATCCCGCTGCGCTGCTGCCAGCCTCGCCACCTCACCCGGCGTCAGCGCCTGGCTGCGACCCACACGCAACATCGCAGTAGCGCTCTTGCCCCCCGCTGTGCTGGACCCGCCGCCACCGCGGCTGCTGCTACCCTTCTTGCCTCTGCGGCCTCCCGCCGCAGCGCCGCCGCCCCGTGCCTCCGCGCCTCGCGACGCGGCCTTCTGCAGCATGGCGTTCATCTGCAGCGCCTGCAGCGCGCTGCGCACGTCGCCGTCAGCCGCCTCCGCCAGGCCTACCGCCTCCGCTGGCGGCAGGTCCAGCCCCTCCGCTGCTGCCACACGTAGCAGCAGTTTGGCTATGTTGTTGGCGGTGGCGGGGTTGAAGCTGATGGTGTGGGCGCCCACGGACTGCAGGGCGGCCAGGATGTCCTGTTGGGGAGGGGGGTGGGAGGCGGCGTGGGAGGGTGGGGACAAACGGCTGTTGTCTGGATTGTGGCGGTGATTGCAGGTGACTGTGCACGCAAGTATTACGATTCGAAGAGGGGGAATATGCGCCAAAGCAATGGGCTGCGGCTGGGTTCAGGCGGAGTCCGGGCACCCCCTGTGCTCCACCCTCAAACACTTCCCTAGCAGCATCCTACCCCACGTCTAGCCACATGCCTTATGAAATCCCTTGACGCCGCCCATGCTGCCGCCATCACCACCTCCGCCCCGTCCTGCTCCCCCGCCGCCCCCGCCGCCTGCCGCCGTCGGCCCCTCCACCTCCGTGGCCACCAGCACCACCGGCCCCCGCGCACATGCCACCAGGTCCTTCAGCGCCGCCGCCAGCCGCTGCCGCCGCTCCGGGTCGTGCGTGTGGGGGAGGTCCTCCAGCAGGAGCAGCTTAGGACGTGAGGGGCAGCCTATGGGGGCTGACGGTGGCGGGCCGGGACCGGCGCCGGAGGTGGAGGGGCCTGGGGCTAGTGAGCCGGCCGTGGCGTTGTTGGTTACTGGGGTGTGGCGGGATGGGTAAGGGGTGCGTGGCGGGGCAAGAGGCAGGAGGGCATGCGTGGTTTGGATGGGTCTGGAGGAGCCCTTGTGATGGGGGAAGCGGCGTGGTGCATAGAGGTAGCGAAGCGGTTACAAGTAAAGGACCGAGGGGAATTAACAGGGTCCTCAGCATTCAACTCTGTTTAGTGCTACGGTAACAATACGGTGGCAGCATGCTAGCGCTCGCCTGACGCCACACAGCAAGGTACGCACGCACAACACTCATGAAGCGCCTCTCTTACCGGGCCTTGAGAGCTGGGACCCGGCTAACTGGGAGGACTGCACTGCTGCCGCTGCTGAGGAGGAGGAGGTCAGCGCCAGGGAGGGGTACTTGGAGCGGCTCACGAAGGACTCGAAGTCGTCCAGCTTGGACTGGTAGGCGGAGGACTGCGGGCCGCTGCTGTCGCCGCCGCCCGGGGCTGACCGCTGGGAGGCATGTAGGGGAGCACAGGGGGGCATGTGAAGGTGGTAAAGTACCCGGTGCTTAACAGAGCAGCGGCATACACACGGAAGGGTGTGCAGGGTGCTACTACCGGTACATTCGTACACAGGACTGAGGGGACTCACTTGTAAGAGGTGAGAGCGTAAACCATCCTCACTGACCCTCACGTCTCACATCCCACACGCCGACCCACATCGTTTGCGCCTCCATGACTCCCGACCCAAATCACCTTGCGCAAACCCACTACTACTGGAACAACTGCCACATTGACCCAATTCACATCCCCACTACCGCTCACCAACAATTTTCAACTCCCTATCCCCTCACCAGCCCTCCAGCGCCCCCCACCCACCCACCCACCTGGTACTGATACTCATGCCACAGCACCGGCGGCGGCGGCGTCCACTCCACCACCTCGAATCCCGCCGCCTCCGCCAGGACCCGCACGCACGCGCTCTTGCCGCACCCCGCCGGCCCACTCAGCACCGCCACTCCGCACTGCCGCGGCCGCACCGCGCCCCCCATGCCGCGCTGCTGCCCCCCCTGCTGCCACTGCGACTGCTGCTGCCCCTGCTGCCACCGCCACTGCGGGTCGGCTATCTGAGAGTACGCCCCAGTAAGAACCTGGCTGCCGCAACCAGGCACCTGCTGTTGTGACGGCAGCCAGCTGAAGGACTGCGTCTGCGGGTGTGCAGCCCCACCTCCACTGCTGCCCCCCCGCCCCGCCTGCGGCCCCCGAGCAGCCTGCAGCAGGCCGCGTTGGAACTCCAGCCACTCGCGCACCTCGGCCACCTTCTTGCGGTGGATCACCTGGGCCAGGTCCTCCTCGCTGCGGGGTGCGTGGCGCTCGTGCCACATCTCCTGCGCCTGCGCGGAGCAGCAGGCGCCAGCAGCGGCAGCGTTACCGCCGCTGCTGGGTGTCGGGACGACGGCGGTGCCGTTGACACGGTTGCGATCTGGGTCGGGCCGTTCTGGTCGCGGTGGAACCCCGGACGTGCTTGGCGGTGCTGTGGGAAGCGTCTTTTGCAGCCAGGCGCTGTTGCCAGGCGCAGCCAGGGGGGCCACGGCAGTGGCGGAGGAGGCACCGCCGCCGCTGCTGTTCCGAGGGGGTAGGGCTGTTGCTCCCGTGCTGGTGACAGCCAGCCGAGTCAAGCCGCCGCCGCCGCCGCTGACGCTGCTGGTACCGCGCGCGGGCGCCAGCGTCAACTGCCTGAGCTGCGCCCGGGAGGACTGCGGCTGGGAAGCGGACTGGGAGCCAGGCTGGGAGCAGGCCTGCGATGCAGGCTGCGAAGCGCCCTGGGAGGGTGCGTAGTCGGGGTCTTGGGAGAGGCCGGAGCGCTGGGAGGAGGCGGCGGGACTGCCGGGGGGCTGGCTGTCGCCTGAAGCCGTGGGTGCTGCAGCCGTGCCGGCTATCCGGGCACGAGTCAGGTTGAGCAGTTGCAGCGGCAGGGCTCCACGAGCTCGGGTAACAGGCAATGTGCTTTGGCGCAGCTTGGAGGGCCGCTGGGAGGCCGTTGGAGGAAGGGCTTCCTCCTTGGGTTCCTGCCGACGGCGGGAAGGGCGGGCTGGGGCTGCAGCTGGTGCTGGCGGGGGCGGAGCTGGGGCAGGGGCAGCAGCTGGCGCGGTTGAAGGGTTGGCAGTGGCTGGCCGGGAGCTGGCAGGCTCGCCGGCTACGTGCTCTAGGCGTCGCAGGCGTTTTGTCGGGCGCATGGTGGAGGGCGCTTGCGCCATGGCCGCATCTGGGTCCTCCTCTGAGGCTGACGAGTCATCAAGTAAGCTGATGACTTCAACCGCGTCTGCCATCTGCTTGGGCCTTCCGGGCTGCGTCTTTGCCCGTTTGGACATGATACCCCAGGGCTGACGCAAACCCTGCGAGCAAAGCGGTTAACGTTAAGGTCCGCGGAATATAGCGGCTAACTCGTAGTCAAGCCATCGGGTTTGTTAAAATGTCATACACAATGTTATCATGGCCTCATGTGCAAGGATGCCAAGTAAGCGCCCATGGCGAAGTCGACGCACCCCTGAGAGCACCCTCGTCAGGCCAGATAATTGATAACGGTCGAGATCACATAGATGTGTTCCTATTGCACAGTTGGTAGGTCAAGCGACTGCGCATCAAGCTGTTGGCTGTGCAACATGAAAGCACACTCGTACCTTTACGGACTTTGTATGCCGGTATTTTTAAAGGTTAGGTATGAACATTAATATGAATGTCAAACTTTAGAGCTATGCGACAGGGTTGTGGTGTGATCGTGTGAAACTGAGCGAGCGCAGCACGGCATCGCATGGGTCGAATGCGGGACAATGCTTCCATCGCTTAGGCTTTTATTTATTGCAGCTATTGCGATAGGAGCATATATAGCATGTCAATATAGTGATATCACTTGGTTTCCTATTTCCAACCTGGGCGTGGTACCTAAAAGCACTTCCGCTATGGCAACCGACGATAAGGCAAGAAAACAACATTACCTGCTCTACTAAGGAGCTCGTTTGTAATGCTTTCGGCGGTGTTTTGTACGTTGACATCCACAGGTATACGTCGTTCTGGTGAAGGGGAAGGTGAAGGAAGGGCAAGCAGCCCTATTTGAAAAGTGCTTTGCTCCATTGGCGAAGCATGTTACTGACAACGAGCTGGGCACTCTGAGCTACAAGCTCAGCTGGGGTGACAGCGATCCGGACAGCCTCATCATCTTCGAGCGCTATACCAGCAAGGACTACCTGGAAAACGTGCACTGTAAGCTGCGGAAAGGGGGGATGGGAAGGGGGGCCGCCGTATGGTGGTTGCGGTTATGCATGCACGGGTAGTGCCGAGGGTGTACTGCTCTCCTGTCGTACTCCGACCCAGTATTACGATGCGCATTTACATGTGAAGCACTGGACCCCTTGCAGCCATATCTGCATCGAAGCCACATAGGCAAGCGACGAAGACCTGGCATGGTCCAGCATATGGCCGTCACGCTGCCCTCCTTCTGGTGCATTGCATGGGTGGCCAACGCACAAGCATCCGCAGTAGAAGTGTCCCCGCATGTATGCGCCTTACACGGGCTTGCCTTGTTTGCTGTAGGGAAGTCGGAGCCGTTCGCGCAGTTCCGGAAGGACCTTGAGGCAAATGGCGTCGAGTGGGTTATCAAGGATGTGACCAAGTACTACGAGACGGGACCGGGTTACATGTCACGGTGATGTCCTGCATTACCCCGGGGAGACATGGCCGACCATTCCATGCGGCGATTCATATAGTACCGTATGGTGGGTTCTTGGAGGTCTGTTGCGCCTTGCCTTGCCGCGGGACAGCAGTAATAACAATGAAGAAGGCATTAGGAAACGCTGCTGTCTAAGGGAAGGAAGTCGGAGTGGTCTTCACCTAGCGTGATCATAGAATGGCTGCCTGTCCAGGCCTGCGTGCCAACGTGGTGAAGCCAGTATACTGTAAGACTTTGGGTTACTCAGCACTTGCCGTCGCAAGGAAGACAAGCAACCTGCGTGTGGATGCCCTTTTGGTGGGCACACATTCAGGTGGCTGCAGCAGTGGTGCTTGGGGTTTGCAAAGTCATCGTTAGGGCGGTCTGCATGCGTTGGCAGTACGCCATAGCCCTGCGAAGGTGGGTCACCCCTAATTGGTGCACATGGTCATACGTATCATACGTGGCATTGGTAGCGGTTGGCTTTGGTGTTCGTCTTGGCTGGAACTGGGCAAGCACTAGGCTTATTATGCGACAATCGTGCCGCAGCGCTTAGTCAAGACTCCAATGCCATTCCAAACACTTTTCGCAGGTGCACCGCTGCTCATGCTCGCAACACCCCCATCAGACGCCTTAAGGCTGCTGCCGACCTCGCGATTGCTGCCGTTACCTTCGTTGCTGCTGCTGCTGTTGCTGCAAGCCTGCGCTGTCGCTAGTATGTCCGGGATGATTGTTTGCTGGAGCGCCTGCTTCACAGCCCATGCCGCGCCCAGACCAGCCTGGTGTTTGGTGTAATCAAGCTCCCGTGACAGATCAGCAAGCTCCACTATCCACAACGCCCAAGCATGTGCGCCAGGATTTGCTGCTGCTCTGCAGAAGCGGAACAAGCTGGAGGGCAGCCACCGGCGCGTATCATCCATTCCACTTGCATGCGCTGCTAGGCCTGCTGGCCTGGTAGACCGTAATCACCTGTGAACAAGTGCCATCTGCTGTATATACTGAATGGCAAGACCGCTTAGTTGATACCTAGGAAAAGCCGAAGAGTGGATGTACGGCGAATTTGAAAAGCCATGGATTTTATGGGCAGACGATGCTGCTTTCGCACACTTTCCATGCCGCAGCCGACGGTAACAGCTTACGTAGTGTACTGTAAATCATTAGCAGGATTATAAAGTTTCTGGGTCTATGCGCCAGAGAGTTGCAAGCCACCATTGCCGTCGTCGACTCTTCGTCCTATCAGCTTCACCGTTCCAAGATCATAGGGAAGGGGCGGAGAAATGCTGGACTCGGAAACGTGGGCGCCCAAGGAGATGTTGTGCAGTTTCGCTGGCCGCATGCGCTAGACGATGCTTATGGGACGCACTTTCCCTGTTGCCCTGCTTGCCGCAGCTATAATGACTCCTACAGTACAATGTCTAGTGGGCTGCCTCGCCAACTTCCGGTTAAGAGCCGAGTACCGGTAGTGATGCGACATCCGGGAACGACAGCTTGCCAGGTAGGTGCTTGCTACGATGCAGGACGTACTCCCTACACAGGCAGACGCCTTCGTTATCATACTTGTTGTAGGCTTTAGTCAATCCTGCAAAGGTAATCTCTCAGTTGAGGACTTCAATCGACATGGACGATCAAATGCTTGCGGATGACAGGAAGAGGTAAGCCTGTGCGCCCACAGAGAGGTGCTATGTAAGATGTATGTAGGCTTACTGACACCGCTGGTATCGCGCAGCGACATCCGTGCTGGAGCCGCCGGTGCTCCTTATGCGACAATTTGCGCAGCCCAACTGACATGTTGGTAAGTGCAAGCCTACCATACACGGTGTGCCTGTTACGCTGTTTTGCCTGACCAGATGCAACATTTACAGGCCCTTATGCTTCGGACTACCCATAATATACACGGAGACAGTACTTGTGCAACAGCGGCTAAGGTTAGGTGCAGCCTGGACTTGCGCATGCAATAGAAGGCAACCCTTGGCCGACCCTTTGTTGCCTCGCAGGGACAAGTACGGGCTTCCACCCGCCAGCCCCCTGACCACGGTAATTGACGGTCTTTGCTACCCGTTGTCTCTCGCTAGCGCATTCACCTACCTGGCAGAACACGGGCAGCGAGCTGAGCTCGAGCAATTCACATTAGGTGAGATCCTGGGTGTTCTGGGCCTGGCTTTGGGTGAGTCCGGGCCTTGCACGTGATTTGGGTCGCCATGCACGATGGGATAACCCACGCCTGTACCCTCCAGCATTAAAGGCTTCACGCATGCAGATGCCGACGCATGCGACAAGGAGCACGTTCGGAGCGGATGCAGTGTCATGCTGACGGCCTCGGCACCACCTGGCTGTGAGGACAGCCCGCTGCCGCTACCCCTGGCCCCGAGCAGCACGGCCAGCTCCTCACCGACGGTAGTCACCATCGCAGCATCAGGTCTACCGAGGGGTTACCAAGCCGCGGTGCCGTCCAAGAACGGCAAGAAGCCATCTGCGGATGGCCTATCCCGCCCGCCCCCAGTCCAATGCTTCTGGTCGGAGGCTGCGACAGCGACTGGGCATCACGCTGCGCGCTATGACGACACGGGAACCATTGCCTCATCTGGAGCGCTAGGTGAGCACGTGGTACCAATTGAGTGCATGAGGGAGCGATCAGGCTTCCTTAGCAGCCTTGACACGTGTAAGGCAACGAGCTCTAGTCATGGAGGGCTTCTTGGTCATTCCCGTCCCACAGAGCGCTGCTCGGCAGTCCGGTCAAGTGTCAAGACCGCCTTCCCTAACTTCTCTGGATTCCCAAGGCTACCCAGCGGCGGCCAGGTAGACCAGAGCCTGGCCCAGGACGCTCCTGTAGCCGGGAGCTTGGACGGCGTCGTATGCATGGCGTCCCCTGCACTGAATCCGTGTGACCAGGACGGCCGAGCTTCGGTACTCGGTGCTTCGCTTCCCAACATGGGCTCTATCGTGGCCGCGTCAGATGCCCCCGACGTGAAGAAGTCGCATACCCCGTCGAGATTCTTCACGCCGCCGGCCCTGCGGCTGCAGGCGGGCGGGCTGTCTCCCGAGGGCCTGCCTTCCTGGACACGGGTAAGCCAATGTGCATGTGCGGCTTCGTCTCGGTTGACGTAAAGACTTGCCATGGGGCGAATAGGGGCCATGGCTATGCTGGGTTGTTGAGATGCCCGCTGCTACGTAAGCTTTGGTATTCACCTCAATTGCACCGCAGGTTGCCAGGCCACCATCAAGTACCGTGCCACGGGAGCGTCTAGGTGGGTGACCTACCCGTGGATTACCATCTGGTTGGCCTGTGACTAGTATATTTGCGTTATCGGAGGGTTCCCAATCCTACGAATTTTGTCATCCATTCTCATTGGCGTCCCTGCCTTCACCGCTGTGCCCGTAGCAGCAAGCGCCAGCCAAGTGTACGAGACTCCTCTGGGCAACGCCGTCTCTGTAGGAGCCGCGGATTACACTGACGAACTCTATACGCTCTTTAGCATAAACAGCGGTGCCACCATGCTGCCGCCGCCGCCGTCTACATGACAGCCGCCAGCACATGGGCACAGCGCATGCATCCCAACAAGCGAGCCGATTGTGCCTGCGCATGTGGCGTCGTCAACTGTAGGAGTCTTAGGTGGACATGGTCGTCATGCCCAGCAGTGGCTGCTGGAGCCTTGGCTCCCGCCGTCTGTGACTTGCAGGAGGCGCTTCAACGTATTCAGTTCCGCTTTGAGCGCAGGTTTCATGCAAGCTTTTGGTACTAACAGCATCTAAACTGGGGCAGTATCCTTTTCATGTCCCTATTGGCCTTGCAAGAACGGGCCTGGAGTTCTGGGCTCAGCGGCTGTGGTCATTGCCGGATTTGGATTACATAGGGCCCAGGCCATGTTTGACATGGCCAGCTACCGTACAGTTAATAACTATAACCATGGTATGGCATCCGCATCTAGGGTTGTACAGGTCGTACGTTCACAAGCAGTGTCGGTGCTATGTGAGATTGCCTGAAATTATGCGAGGGTTTGGCCAGACCCTCCGCATGGCATGTGAGGGTTTGCAATGTTCCTGGGCGGGTTATCTGCATTCATCTGGTGGTGGCGATGTTAGGTTGCCAAAGTAAACGGGTGCGCGTTATGGTAATGTGCGGAAAGAATAGAGCCGGGTGCTGGGCTCTGTGCGGGTGGTAAATCAAGATGGAATGGTGTCATAACCGCAGCCAAGAACATCGCACAGCAATTTCTCATTATACCAATTTTCCAGTAACGTGGTAATACTCTATCTGTATGTAAGCGTTGGCCCGTATGCGCTCATGCATGAGGGTGTTGCAGTCATACAGGTATACGAAACGCCTGGTTGCTGGCCTATAAATTCGTAGATATACATCTGCCATATCAAGCTTGGGACTACATCACTCAACACGTATATGCACGCCTGTGTATTTAACTTTTGCGTACGACTTTGCAACCCCTCTGCGGACTTGCTCATTAAAGTTCCTTCTACAGGCACTCTTCACAGGATTGTCTTGCTTGGAACATCCTTGTGAGCCTGCATCTTTATAGATCGCTATATTTATCTTTGCCGGCTTTCTGACTCTCCTGCACGGCCTTTTGCCTTCCTCCTAAGCAAGCGGCACAATCTATATACGCCATTTGTTAGTCCACATAGTACCAAAACGTGTCTACTTGCAGATGGTTAGCGCTTAGTCAGATACAGTGAAGCCCCTAAAAATGGTTCGCAGCACGCACGAGGAAGGCAGAACGGAGGCCTGCGTCCTACGCATAGTAAATAAGTCGGACGAGCGGGTCCGGGCCATCTGGGTTGACTTTGACGGGACAGAGAAATGCTACATGGAGATTGAACCTGGCCACGCAAGACCTCAACGTGAGAGGATAGCTCAGCTTACAGTTTGCCATAGTGGCACTTCCCACACATCTTGCGTCTTAGTGCAGAAACGTATTCAACCCATGTATGGCGCCTGCGGGCCTCCAAGACGGATGCACTCCTTGGAGAATACTCAGGTTGGTAGGTTAGAATCCGTCTATGTGTGCCCAAGGTTCTACATACGCAAGAGTAGTGCGTTACAAACTTCTAGTCCGTAGATGGTACGTAACCCCGCCACACCTGCCGTCCGCAGGCCCATCTGCCCAGCTGGAGTTGCAGTCCAGCGGCGGTCTCAGCGTAAGCAGATGGTCGGAGGCACTGCCTCAGCCTAAGCCCGAATGGGGCGAGTACGGCAAGCGGGGAGAGGCGTTGGGCATTGACATATGGGTGAGTCTCCTCCCGGGTGGGCATCCACGGATACACGTGGCCATTCGAGGGTCCAGGCTTCCACAGGTCCTCAGGGTTGGTTACCATACGCTGCTAGGACAGTGGGAAAGGTTGCTGCCCTGCTACCGAGCTGCAATGTATTAGCAGCCCACGTGGTATATGCCATGACGCTAATCTTCGGGTCATCCTACCGTTGGGGCCAAAACGCTGGCATTGCTCCACGTGTACTTCCCTCGCTCCTTAGTCGTACGCCTGCGTGGACCCACGGGCTATTCGCATCGCGGAGCACATCGTACGGCGCATGCTGGCCGCCTCGCCGCCGGATGTGGTACGCCGCATGGTCGCTCGCGGCGCGCTGGTGGCGGTGATCGGCCGGAAGCAGGTCACCACGGACATACCCGCTCATGCTTTCATGCGCTGGTCGGAAGGTGGGAAGGGAAGGGGAGCCTGCCTTGCGGGCAGCGCATGCGTGTCCTGAACCCCGTAAAACTAGAAGCATGGGCTCATGTATCAGCTGGGGATCTGGGTTTACTCCCCGCCTCCGCCACATGTGTATGTGAAGTACTTTGAGCCGCATAATCCACGCTGACTTCTTGTGTGTGTATGTGCACGTAGGAGGTCGCGACACGGACAGCACCACGCGGGGTCTGGGCGGCACAGAGGAGAGCCCCACCACCAGCTGCGGAGAGGAGAACCTGCTCATGGAGGAAGACAGGTGCGGACGCGGCTGGGCGGGTGGGTGGGCGGAAGGAAGGAAGGAGGGCATGCGCGGGCGCGGTGTCCGGGACAGGAGGGAGCTAGGGCTGGGCTGGAGAGGGAGCAGGGGCCATGGGGAAAGGGGGTGCGTGCGATCTGGGTTTAGTGAGCCAGGCGGTTGTAAGGCCGTGCAGGGACTACCGGTATGTTACTGCGCGCGTGCCCGTAGGCACGGTTGCCTGGGCTCTGAGGATAAGAAGCCAGAGCCTTCCAGAGCCTTGCAAAGCAACTCTTGCTTTGCTTGGGTTAACACGCGACACAAGTCATGAAACGGGAAAGGCGCCATGCGCACGTCACAAGACGTGTGATGTGGTGTCCTTTCCTGTCTGCTGCAATCCCAGAGGTCGTCCTGACCCACATCACTTGTCCAGAACAAGAAAACGGCTGTCTGTAAGCGACCCAAATGCGCCCAAATGAAGTCTGTAAGCGACCCAAATGGGCCCTGTTTCCAACCACAGGTTCTACTCGAGTGAGAACATCTTAGTTCACGAGTTCGGCCATGCGGTGATGAACATCGGGCTGACGCCGGAGGACCGTGCAGCTATCCGGAAGCTATACCAGGCGGCGTACCACAGCGGGCTGTACGACAAAGGTACGACAGCGGGACGGGAAGGGAAGCAAGGGCTGCCGCAACCCCAGGCCCATCGTGCCGCAACCACTACCAGTTGGCTGTGGACTGGTGCATGACAGTACTGCGAGGGGAACAAATACTGCAAGACGCTGAGTCCCTCGGGGCCGGGAGCGAGCGGGTGACGCGCAGCCGCGGCGGTTGATGGGGTGGGGGATGCAGGGGTCTTTCTCAGTCATGCTCTCAGCGGCGTACCTCCGGTGTGTGCGGTCCGCATCTTAGGTCCTGTCCCCCGGTGCCCTTCCGCGCCCGCCCAGGTGCCTACATCATGGAGAACGAGGAGGAGTACTGGGCTGAGGGAACGCAGGTGCGACCTAGGCTCGACCCGTCCCACTGCTGGGGGCTGGGGGCTGTACGTCGCATGGAGGGGCAATGCGCTGATACACAGCACTAGGTTGCCATTGACAACCCGTTAGAAAACAACCCCGCAACCCCCTCGCATGCCCTTCCCCTTGCTCTTCTAACCGTTGCTGGCGGTCCGCTATGCTGGTCTCTTCCTGCTCCTCCCCTTTTCACCCGCAGGCCTGGTTCGATGCCACCATCCGCACTGACGTGACTTCGGGCGTCAACACGCGCGAGAAGCTGCGGCTGCGGGACCCCGGGCTGGCTCGCATGATGGTACGAGCGTACGGAGATGGGGCCTGGAGGTACGTGAGGGGCTGCTGGGTATTAGGGTACCAGTACCAGTATTAGTTGACAGAAGCTCAGACACTCCGTTGTTGCGCAAACCTTGTACGCGACGCAGTTTGAGGTGGATTTGACTCCCCTTCCTTCCCGCATGCCGTTCCCTCCCACTGCCGCAGGTACCCCCATGACAGCCCCGCGCCATTCCGCATGCGCGGGGGACCCCAACCGGAGCCGCCATCTCCTGCCAGCACCTCGGCATTCACAACCGCCGCAGCGATCGCAGCAGCTGCAGCCACCCACGCATCTCCTTCCTTGGTTGGCCTTACCGAACGCTCGGGGGCCCTGGCATCATCCTCTGTTAACGCGGCATCAACCTCAGCGGCTGCCTCCCTTAGCGCTCCGGGCATGGAGGCAACGATGGAGCGCTCCCGCGTAGGGGGCTGCGGGAGCGGGTGTCTGGCGCCAGGGATGCCTTCCCTATCAGCATGCCTGTCGGGCGGCGGCGATGGCGGCGGTGGGTTGTCATCGTGCGGAGGCGGGCCTTTGACACCCTCGGTAGCACCGGGGTGCGGTACGGCTCTGTGGGTGGCGTTGCGGGGCGTGCTGGTGGGGCAAGCGGCGCACTCCACGGTCAAGCTAATGTGACGAGAGGATTGGGTGTGGTATGGCGGCGTGAGCATTGTGGGTGGCAGCATCGCGAAGATGTAAGCAGGTGTGAGCTGCAGTGTATGTATGTGGCAGTGCACATGTGTTTGGTCTGTTGCTGTTATTGAGTGTGGCGGGCTGGGCGGTGATGCTGGTGGGCAGCTCGCTGGTGCACACTTGGAGGATGTAAAGGGCTGCAGTCGTGACTAGGACAGACCGGTTTCGTATTTGCATGGGACTCCGGCGCGTTCTGCATGCATACCGGTACTCACCCGTCAGGGGTAGCAACACCAGTAGGATGTGTTTTAGGGCTGTTTTAGGACCCTTCAGGCTTATTTGTATTCGTAGTTTAGTAAAGTGCAATTGACCGATTTCTTTTTCGGGTCATGAAACGGTGTTCCGGCACTGCAGCCGCGCTGCTAGCTGCCTTTGACCCTTTCAACGGCAAGGGTCAAGGTGCATCTTTTTTTCGCTCGCAAGTCGCTCTACTTACGGTAGGTGGTTGGATCGGCCGCCTACTAAGGAGTATACTTGCTTTCCAGTGCGCCTCGACGTTTCGTTCGGTGCAGCAACTGAACTACCAGCATCGGTTGGGTGCTGGCGAGTACGACGGTCATGCTTTGTCGCTTTGTCACTTAGCCATTTCGCAGTTTGTAGTTATTTATAGAAAATATGGAATTGAACAGACGTGTTGGTGGCCGCCAAAGCCAGGAACCTGTGTGACGTTGGCTTGGCTCTTGCATCTGTCGCTGCCAAGTTCTCCGTGTTCCGTACGTGCCACATCGCTCGTTACAAAGGCTGGTGGGTGTTCTTTAAGTAACCAAGTAACTCTCATTCGGGCCAGTCGCCCTGGTCCGGCTCTCTTATGCGTGACACGTCCCAAAGCAGCTTAATGGCAGACGAGGAGTGGCTGACGGTCGAAGAAGCATTCCAACTACTGACTGTCGAAGCAGTTAAGCACCTGCAGGTGACTTTCGACGGCCAGGTTTTGTGGAACGCCTACGACCTTTGGTTTAAGGAGCGTGGTGGCCGAAAAGTGGAGAAGGAACTTCTAGCCACGTTTAACGAGCTGGCCAAGGACTCCAACCTGGCGCGCTACACCGCAAGGCGCATCCAGGCCGTTATCCGGGAAGGTTTGGACCTCCTGCATGATGAGGAGGACAGCAGCTTGCTGGACTTGTGCAAGGAGGCTATCAAGGCGCACGGCAAGTTCGCGGCCGAAGAGTTTATCCAGCTACAGGACATCGTCACCCGCGTGGCCGGGCTGTCTTTCACGGACGTCTCCAACCGGGACATCCTGGAGGCCGCCAGCCACCTGATGCCGAACACAAGCATCGTGCAGCAGCTGTTGGAGGAGGCCTAAAGCTGGAGGGTGGTGGCTGTGCTGTGACACTTCCATGCTCGTTAAGTCAAAACGTGTGTGCGGTCACTGGGTTATGACGTAACACGGTCTGCAAACTTGGTATACCGGCCTTAAGAGCTTGAAACTGTCCCAAGCTCTTAAGACCGGAATGTCAAGTTTGTTCACTGCTCATACCACGAGTCAGTAACATTACACGCGCTCTCGTCACGGCACAGCATGCTCCGTGTTGCCTCTCCCCAGAGACTGCCGCGTGTCAAGTCCTTCCATGCTTTAACACGAGTTATCGCGAGTATGAGGACCTCATAGCATGTGCGATGACGGGAAATGGTTAGGACGGGTGGGTAGAGGGTGCCAACACACCCCCTCTGAGGGATGGCGCAAACCAACGCACCAGGTTCACGTGGAGTCGTTCCCATGGCGTGTCTGCCCAGTGCATTTAGTTCGGCACTTGTCCATGCCGCATCCTGGTGTGGCACGGTGTTACTCGCGTAGCGTAGCGTAGTTTCCAGTTGTGGGTGTCGTACGCTCGTACATATGTTCCGCTGTGTCGTAGCGAGATGTGATACACCGTTGGTGTTCAAGGTGACTTATCCACACATATATCCGCCGTACGGAGCTACTTTCCGGCGTACGGATTGTTGATGCCCTCTCGGTTTTGAACGCTAGGGGAAAACACCCCCACAACTGTGATGCCGGTGGGGTGTTTGGTTGCCGCTTCACAACCTCCGTGGCGGGTATGCGCCGACAGGAGTCCAGTTCCCTGGTGCTATGCAACAGACATAGCTTATAGCGTGTATTTGCTGCCCTCCAGGGTCTGTATTGTGTTTTTCGCAAGATTGAAAATCCACGTTGCGGGACAGGGGCATAAGCCCATAACATAGCAGCTACTTTTGTTACTTGCTTCCCTTAATACCCCACACTCTACTAGGCTAGCGGGTGCTGTATCAGTTGTTAAATCGCTGGGGCATGCACACAAAGCCCCGGTTCAGGGGTTGGGCTTGCCTTCCGTGCAGATGCCATGTTCCCACGTGCGGGCACGGAGGTACGACAGCCCCAACCTGAAGCCGAGTCCTTGATTCTCGCTTTACCATGTTAAAGTTTTCATACCACGGCTCAACTTGGCATAGCCCTGTAGCATAATTATTGGGTCAGCGAAGGCCTAAGAATAATGGCTGACGACCTAGACGATGCCCTATTTTCACTAGCGGCAGGACGCACCAAGCCTTCAGCTAAAAAACGCAGCAGGAAGTCGGAAAGTGATGAAGAGGGTGCTGTTGACAGCGACGCGGACTCAGACGATGGGCCACGGAGGAAGAAAACGACAAAAGGCGCTGGGAGCAAGCATGGCAGGAGGGCTCAGAGCGAGGATGACGATGACAATGATGACGATGACTTTGATGATGAGGATGGACTGTATGAAAACGAAGACGATCGCCGCAAGCTCATGGCCATGACTGAGCTGGAGCGTGAGATGATCCTGGCAGACCGCGCCGAAATGCGCGACAAGGAGCGCCAAAGAAGACAGCTGCTTCAGCAGCAGCGTGCGGCGACGGGGAAGGTATGTCCTTCCTGCTATTTACACATCTGCTTGGAGCAGGGACGGACGCTAAAAAGGATAAACCCTATTTAACGAATAACGGGTATCCAGGTTTCCCAAAAAAAACTCGCAATTGCATCTGCGCAAAGTGACGAATTGCCTGGCTTCCCCACCTACCCTCTCCTCCTACCCGTCTCCTGGTAAACTTATCCCTCCTCCTGCCCACTCCCGCACCCTCCGTTGCCGCGGACTTCAGGATAAGGGTCACAGGGATGACAAGCAGGGCCGGGGCAAGGGCGCCGCGGACGGGCGGGGAGCACCTCGCAGCCGGGCGGCTCGTGGCGCCATGGCTGCGCGCAGCGCACGTGACTGGAGCGACGAGGAGTCGGAGGGGGCCGCTGGGAAGTCCTCGGACGAGGGGGAAGAGGTGGGCGGGTGCCGCAAGAGGGCCGTGAAGAGGGTGGTGGAATTAGGGCTGGAAGGACGGAGAGGGGTACATGGGGTTCTGGTTTCCGGTCTTATTATAAGAGGCAGGGAGACTTACACATTCCCCCCGCAACCTACTCATTCACTTAGTCTCTCTCTCCCGCACCCATCATACCACCACATTTGTTCCCCGCTGGGCCGGATGCTCCCCCCCTCCCGGCAGTTCCGTCCCAGCAGCAGTTCGGACGAGGAGGAGGACGGCCAGGCGGGGCGGCGCAGCGCACTGGAGATGGAGCAGACGCAGCGGCCGCAGCAGGAGCCGGGGCAGGTGGGGTGGCGGTTGGAGGTGGGGGTGGCGGTTGGAGGTGGGGGTGGCGGTTGGAGGTGGGGGTGGCGGTTGGGATGCAGGTGGGCCCATTTGGTATTGCAGGCAGTACTGCAGTGGAATGTGCAGGGAAAGAAGGCTACATGATGGCAAGGGCATGGGCAGCTGAGGCGGTGGGAGGCAAACCTCCCAGGGTGATGTTGCCTCAGCCTCAGCGACGCGAGGCGCTGCCTGCAGAGGTTCTTTGCATGGCAGCGCCCTCATGTTCGGCACTAGCCATGCAGCAAGGGAACTAGGAGGCTGAGCTCACCGCTCCTGCTCACCAGGCGCACCCGTGTCCCCCCCTGTGCCATGCCAGGTGCCTCCATGGGGCCGACCAGAGGTGGGGCCCTACGGAGCAGGCGCTGCACCCGCGGCCGTTGCCCCCACTCCCGGGCTGCCGCCCCCGCCGGGGCCGCCTCCAGGCGCCCCTGGAGCGTACGGCGGCGGCACGGGCGCGTACGGCATGGAGGGAGACGAGGAGGCGCGTCGGCAGCAGGCGGCGGCGGCTGCAGCTGCGGCTGCCAAGGCCAAGGAGAGGGAGCGGGAGAGGATGCGGGAGCGGGAGCGCTTGCACTCGGACGATGAGGAGGTGGGGCGCGGGGAAACGGTTGGAAGCAGTAAGGGGACAGCGGTTGGTGGGTGCCAACGACAACCCCTCATTGCCCAACCCATCTGTTATCGATACAAAAGCCGTCACCCATTCGGCGTCCAGGCCCATGCCTCCTGTGCCTTACCCCCGCCCCCACAGCTGTGCCCTCCGCCTCTCCCATACCCCCTCTCCGTCCCCCGTCTCTCGTGTTATTAGTGCCTCCGAATGCGCTCACTGCACGAGTCGGGCTATGGGATTGGGATTTGTTGTTTCACTTTTATATAATTTGTATACCCCCTCTCCGCCCCCCTTTCCCGTTGAGAGCAACCCCACACTCCCTCCCCCTCCCCCCCTCCTCCTCTCCTCCCCCCACCCCCCAGGCCGCCGAGGAGGCCAGTCTGGAGGAGCTGCTGTCCTGCCAGGTGACCCGCAGCCAGCTGGAGGAGTGGTTCACGCAGCCCTTCTTCGAGCGCGACGCGCTGTCGGGCTGCGTGGTGCGCATGGCGTACGGCCCCAACATGCGCGATAACGCGGGCAACGTGCACCCGGGCTACATGGTCATGGAGGTGAGGGGGGGAATATAGGTAAATGCATCAACGGAGTCCCAATCCCGAAACATGCAGTGAGCGCATTCGGAGACCCTATTCTAGAAACACGCAGCTCAGAGACTTACCGATCTGACCCCCCCGGGGGGGGGGAGAGGGAGGAAGAAAGGAGGGGGGGGTACACATGTTGCTGTGGGCGTGCGCGGTCCTTGGCGCTGTGGTGTGGCGTGACGTCTGACGTGGTACGTGTGGCCGTGGCGTGCCTTGCCATCCACCTGCTGTTCACCCAACCCACCCACACGCCCATGGACATGCACCCACGTACCACGCCCCCACGCGTGCGCTCGCGTGCAGATCACTGACATCCGCGAGTCGGGTCGCGCCTATAAGTTCGGTCCGCGCGGGGAGCTGACCAACAAGCACCTCTCGCTGCGGGACGGGCTGGGCATCACGCGCGTGATGGCCATGGCGAACGTGTCGAGCAAGCCGGTGAGGGGGAAAAATTATATAAAAGTGAAACAACAAATCCCAATCCCATATCCCGACTCATGCAGTGAGCGCATTCGGAAGCACTAATAACACGCATCTCAAATTACTTACCGGTGAGGGGGAGGGGTGGGGGGAAGAAGAGGGGGCAAGGGGGAAGAAGGGAGGGGGGAGGGTGTGCTGTGTATGTGTTAGTGCAGGGTTGGGGGGGCGGCGGGGAGTGGGGGGCTGGAGTAGGCGTCGGGAAGGCGGACATGCCCGAAACCTCACTTGGACCATCCGGCCAACCCCTGCATCCTCGCTTCCGACCCGCCTTACCTGCCTCCCTGATCTAAGCTTGGTTGTTTAATATACCTTTTTCCCTCCCTGCCTGCCTCCCTTCCTGCCTCCCCCCCCAGTTCGACGAGGCCGAATACGAGCGCTACAAGCGGCACTGCGGGCGAGCCAACCGGGCACCCATCAGCCGGGAGGAGGCGGCGGGGGCGGCCAAGAAGGTGGAGGCGGCGGCAAAGTGAGCAGAGGGGGGGGGCTGGTGGGTTGCTGCTGCAGTGGCCCTTTACCCCTGGGTGCTGTTTTGTCTCTTTCTTTCTCTCCTCTTGCTCCCCTGCCTTTGGGTTCAGATTCGGGCAACTGAACCCCTGTCCCACCCCATCCCCTGTCTCACCCCCCTCCCCCCTCTCAGCTACCGCTGGACCACTGCCGACCTGAAGGCGGAGCTGGAGCGCAAGCGCGCCTCCCGCGCCGCCCCCGTGAACCCCGCTGCGGAGAAGGCCATGCTGAAGCGGCGCATGGAGCTGGCATCCGGGGCGGGCAACATGGACGAGGTGGCTGTGTGAGTGCGGGGTGGAGGGCTGGTGGGGGGATGGAGGGAGTGGTGGGAATTGCGATGTTAGTGCGGGTGTGGGACATGTGTGACTCCTCCCTCCTGGGTCAGTGTTTCCGCGGCTCAGTTTATCTAATCCCCTCCTCTGCCCTCCCCTGCCCTCCCTGCCCGCCCCCCCCCCAGTATCGAGGAGCAGCTGGCGGCCCTGGAGGCGCACCTGATGACGCAGAGCGACAACAAGCGCGCGTTCGGCATGATGGACCTCAACAAGCGCAACAAGCAGCACAACCTCACGGTAGCCTACAAGACAAGCGCGGCGGAGGAACATGGTGGGGGGGGGGAACAAAATAAACAGACACTGACGATGCAACTGAAAACATGGTGGGGTGGGGGTGGGGGTTGGTGCCGCTGCGCTGCGCCCCGTAAGACCGTAAGCGTTCTTCACATAACGACATCTTTGACCATGTTACATCCAGCTGTGCCGTCTGCTTCCCCAGCATGCACCGCGATTTTAAAGCCCATGCACCGCATCCAACCCCTCGCCCTCCTCCCCCCGCCCCTCCCCCCCAGGCGGCAACGAGGGCGCTGCGGGCCACGACGTCTTCTCCCGCCGCGCCACCACCCTCAACATCTACTGGAACACCAAGGGCAGCCGCAAGGACGATGACCCCGCCGACCCCTCCGCCGCCTCCGCCGGCGCTGCTGCCGCCGCCCGCGCCCATGCCGCCCTGCCCGACAAGCTCACTCGCGCGCAGCAGCGCATGGACCCCTGCGAGCTGGTCCGGCAGCTGGGGCTGGATGTGGACCTGGGGCTGCTGCGGTCGGCGGGACCCGTGGTGCCGTCGCTGGTGCAGCGGGTGCTGCCGGCGCGGTGGCGTGCGGCGGCGCTGGCGGGGTACAACCAGGAGCTGGCGGGGAAGAGCGTGCTGACGATTGCGGATTGGAAGCGCAGGGCGGGAGATTATTGAGGGGGAGGAGGTGGGAATTAGGAGAGGTGGTGTGGGGGAGCGCTTGTGTTGGGTGTGGCTAGTTGTTGTGCCTGGTTGGTGCATGGCATGCGCGTTTAGGTATAGGTTTGCGGGTCCTGCGAGGGGTGTACAGTAGCAGCTTGTATGTGTGTTTATGCTTGCGCGACTATGCTGGTGGGAGGACGACAGGACGAGGTTGGATGTTACGGCCACAGGTGTTGGACTTTTTCGGACTGATATAACGGGCTAAATGAGGAAGGAGGGAGCATGAAAAGTAAGGAATGAGTGCGAAGGGGCTAACAGGGTGAGAGTACAAATGAGGAGGTTTCATGCTCACATGTAGATTCGGGGGGGGGGTTCGCAGTTGGGGAGCATTGGTATACATGTGGACTAGCCTTGGTACATAGTTGGGTTTGGCTTGCGTCTTGCGCTGCCGGGGCCTAGGCGTGCCTGCACAATGGAAGTTAAGCCCACTGTTGGCGTTGATATGGCGGTAATGGGACATGAGGTAGGGCAGGTGGTCTCCCGGGTGGACCCCGGGGTCTGCTGCTAGTGGTGGGAAAGACGCCACCCCAGCCGCGAGCCTTATTCACCATTGTCAACACCCTGCACTTATACTTCATTCTTCGGACACAACTACGTCTTACATAAAGAAATTGGTTCCTTGGGGTGCCAAGACGTTACTCACGTGGGGCGCCAAAGCTTAGCACCATACTAAGTGAAAGGATATTACCTATTACAGATGATTAATAGGAAACGGTTAAGCTTTGAGCGTACAACTTTGGCAGCCGTCCCGTACCACTCTGCGAAAGTAGCTCCTTTCAGGATTGCGCAGACAGGGTTTATCATATGATTAGCGTTCTGTTTGTTGTCTCTTTTGTTTACTTTTCTTCTTTTGGTTGTTTTCGCGTTTTGTGCTCGCGATCCATGAGCCTTCTGGCTCGGACGGATCTTACGAGCTCGGTACGAAGCTTGTAACATACATACATACATACATGCTCCTTTCAGGACCAAAACCCACCGAAGGTCTGGTTAGCTGCTTTGGTAACCTCGCTGTGCCGGCGCATGGCGCTCCGGCTTTGTAGTCGAAATGGCAACGAGAACTTCTTTCAGACCTAGACCCGTTGACATATCGCGCCAGCTAAACATCGTTCGGGACGTTGCTGAGCTAGATAAGACAGATGACCTTGAACAGGCTCAAACTCAAGCCTCTGCGGCACCTACTGAGCAGGTCAGTCAAGTCTTGAAGGAGATCGATAGGCGCTTGAACTTGTTGACGCAGGGCCACGCGTCATAACCAGACCTAACACTGTGACCGTTGCAACTATAAAATTTTGCTCTATTGAATGGTACTAAGCAACACGTTTTTGCTGATTCTGCTTTCTTCGCGCCATCATGTCGGCGGGATGGTTGACCCACGCACATGTATCACCCCGTGCGCCTTCCCCCGTGTCTTCACAGCTCACCCCAGAGTCCCCCTTGCCGTGATGTATGTTGACAGTGTCCATGTGCGTGTTCCCTGCTCACAGGCTCCTCCCACGGGGCCACAGAAGAAGAAAAAGGAGGTCAAGGAAATCCCCGTGCCGGAGGTCCGCATAGTGCCGGGGTACACCCGCGAATACCTCCCTCTCTTCCGAATACCCGAAACCTACATCCGCGGCAAGGGTAAGCTGATACCGGCGTGCTATGTCCCACTCCAGTCCTTTGGGGACATACGTCCCCCCGGCCATCGGCGACTCCCATTCCCTCACTAGGCCTTTCCGAATGTGGTCTAGGATGTTGGTGCGCTTCCCCCTATGCCCCACGGGCTGATTACGTGCACGCATGCGTGGTCCCAAACCTTGCTGGCTCTCGCCCCCCCATCTGCATACCCCCTTGCCGCTTGCCTGCCTCACACATCCTACCTACGACGGCGCCCTGACCTGCCTGCCGGCCTAAATGCGCATCTCCCCACCCCGGTATCCGCGTTCCGCAACCACCTCCTCAGCTCCTCCCTCCCGCTACCCCCACCTCCTTCCACACCCCATGCTCCATGGCTCCCCTTACCCCACCCAATCCGACCCCTCCCCCCATGCCGCGGCTCTGCACAGGCGGCCTGGGCTGGTCGCGCGAGGACAGCTGCGAGTACGACCTGGATAACGAGGACGAGGACTGGCTGGAGGGCTTCAACGCGCGGGGCGCCAACCGGCTGAGCGACGAGCGGTTCGAGCTGATGCTGTGGCGGCTGGAGCTGGCGAATGCGGAGGCCAACCAGCGGCTCATGAGCGAACCGGGTGAGGGGGAAAGGGGCGGTGAGGGAGGTGAGGGAAGGGGGGGTACTGCATGTGGGTTGGGGGCGCATGGAGAAGGTCCGGGGCGGCTGTGCTGCTTGCCCCTTCCTGGTCCTTCTTGATGCCTCTTTGGATGTGTGACTTCCCCTTCTCCTCCTTGTCCGTCGTCTCTTTCCTCTTCCTCTTACATTCCATGCGGCTGCCATTGTCCTTGCCATCCATCGCTCAACCCCCACCAACACCGCCTCCCTTCTCCCCTGCTGCCCCCATCCCATATGCAGGTTACGCCACGGACTGGCGCATGCTGCCCGCCGCGGTGGCCGCCATCAACAACATGACCCGCGACGAGGCGCTGTCGGTGCTGCGGAAGCACGTCTGCGCGCGGGACGCCATCCTGCTGGCCGTGTACGAGTACTGGCGGGGGAAGCGGGAGCGCTGGGGGAAACCCATCCTGCGGCGCCTGCAGGTACGGTGTGTGTGGTATAAAATAACTGGTGTGTGTGTGAAGAGGTTGAATAAAGGAGAAGAGAGCTGGGTTCCCAACGCTCGAATTTGATGTTAGGCCGACAGTAACGGTGCACCGTGTTCCTGCGTCGGGGGCAAGGGTGGAATATGTGTAGCGCACGTGCCTTGCTTCCATGTGCGGTCTTGGTTTCCCTCCCTGCGCTTCACTGCTGCTCGCACGGTGCCCGCAGGCGCCCACCAACCCCAGCGACACCAACCCCTACAACGTGTTCAGGTGCGCTCGCACGGGGGGGGGGGTATTATGGATGGCTGGTACGCTAGTCCGCACAACTGCGAGTGAACCCACAACCCCGGGGCCTATCCAGGTGCAACAAGCCCTCCTCCAGCCCTCCAATGTGCAATTGCAGCTCGCGTCCGCAGCATGCAAGGATGCGTGCCGTAACCTGGCCTGCTACACTGCGAGGCCCCTTCTCCTCACCCCTCGCTCTCCCCTCTCTCCCCAATGCCTGTCCCTCTTCCGCACTCGCCCCCAGGCCCCGCGAGCGCGTCAACCGGCCGCAGACCCGGCGGCGGCGTGAGAACACGCAGGACTGCCTGGACAAGATGCGGCAGATGCGGGAGAGCATGCTCAAGGTAGGAGCTTGGGGAGGGGGGGCTAGTGCCTCCTGCCTTCAGTCCTCAGCACCCAGTACCCTGACTCACACGGCTGTACCCTGTCCCTCTGCGCACCTTTCCTGGCCCGCACACCCGGCTCACTACGCCGCCCTATCCTCCTGCTTACCGTACATAATCCTACACACCCTGTTGTGACTACATGTCCCCGCCCTTCGCCTCCTCCGCTTCCCTCCTGCACCTCCCGCCTCCTCCCCGTCAGTCCCTGGAGCTCACGGAGCTGCTCACCTTCCGAGAGGCGCGCAAGCGGGACATACACGTGAGAGCGCTGGGAGGGGGGCTGGGGCTGGGGAGCTGAGGGCTGGGAGCGGGTGGCCTCTCATCAGGAGGCGCTCCTAGGAGGCAGCCCCGGAGGCCCGCCGATAGAAGTCTACGCCTTCGACTGCAGGAAGACTTTCCTGCCCACCCCCTTGCTAGCCTGTTGTTGCTACCTCCTTCATTCCCCTCCGCTCCTCGTTCTTGTCCAGCCTCCGCTTCAGCTCCTCCCCTTGCCACCTTCAACCATCCCACCTCGCCCCCTTCCCCCCCGCAGCGTCTGGATGTGGACATGCAGCGCTACCAGCTGGCTCGCCACCATCAGCCGCGGCAGCAGCTGGCGGCCATTGAGGCGGAAGCGGCGGCGCGGCTGCAGGAGGCGCAGGCGCGCAGCAAGCAGGGGGAGAGCAGGTGGGTGGGGGTGCGCGGGGGAGAGAGAGGGTGCCGGCTACCGGGTAAGCTGGCTACCAGGTTGGAGCGTTTGGTGGAGGTGTCGGAGTTGAGGCCTGGTGCTTACAAGGGCTCCGGCGAGTACAGGTGCACGTCACTTTGCGGGGCCTAGCGGCCTGTGCACAAGTCTCGCACTCTTGCACAGCTAAAGCCACCTACGCATCATGCGCGCGCATGCACATGCAGGCTGAGTGCCTACCTGGACTCCGCGGGAGGTCTGGGCGCTCCAGCCATCAGCTACGACTCGCCGCTGCGTCGAGCGCTGCTGCGCAAGCGGCGACGGCAGGAGATGGAGGGCGTTGTGAACGGAGAGGCAATCTCCCGCCTGCCGCCGCCGCCGCTGCCGGCAGACGACGAGATGCTGATCCTCTACACGCCCGACCTTGGAAAGTTCATGGGCCCGGCCCCACAGCAGCAGCAACAGCACACATCCGCACCCTCCTCAGCGCCCGCGTCGCCCGGTTCCCCTGTTAACAACGGCAAGCCCTCGCCTCTGGTGGCCCTGGTTCCGGGGCTGGACATGCGCTGTGTACGACCCCGCGTGTCCAGATGCGGTCGTACAATGTTGACGCGGTGCGACCCGCTCACATTGGAACCGCACCCGCCGGCTCCGCCGCCGGAGCAGCAGCAGCAGCAACCCGGGTCAGGTGGAGAGGCGGGCGGGACGGCGACGACGTCGCCGCCGCCGTCGCCTCTGGCGTCCCGTCATCCGATGCTGCTGTCGTCGCAGCGTGAGAGCACACCTTGGGCTGCCGTACTGGATTTGGATTTGCTACCGGAGGGGATTGCGGATAAGGCGGCGTTACGAGCGTTACGGGATCGGCGGCTCAATGCGGATCGCCTCAACGCAGCGATGCTGCGGCAAACGCAGCAGACGTTGCATCAGCAGGCGGCGGGAGGGATGGTGGGGGCAACTAGTGTCGGAGCAGCTGCCGCCGCAGCTGCAACAGCCGCGGCGAATGCAGGGACGTCTGCAGGAGGGGCGTTCCTTGCTACGCCCGCGGCGGCACAACGCCCGCCGCCGCCGCCTGCGGTTCCCAACACCGGGGCGCCTGCGGGAACCCTGCCGCATGTCCCGCAGGCGGGAGCTCCCGCGGGTACGTTGCCGCACGTGCCTGCAGGGACGCCGGCGGCGGCAGTAGCGGCAGGGTCAACACCGCTGCCGCCCATGCCTCCAGCCTCAGGTGCCGCGGGACAGCCTCCCACGTCAGGCGGCCTAGCGGGTCCCTCGCCCCCTCCCGGACCCCCGGGTGCGACTCCCTTGCCGCCACTGCCGCCGGGTCAGGCTGCCTTGCCAGCGCCCACGGCGCCAGGCAGTGCAGGCGGCCAGGCGCGGAAGGTGCCGAAAGTAGCTGGTGCAGCGCCGTTGGGAGGGGGAGGCGGTGCTGCGGCAGGAGGGGCAGCAGCAGCAGCTGGGGGGGCGGGGGGTGCGGCCGCAGGGGGAGCCCCGGCGGTGGCGCGTTCCCCGGCGCCTGGAGGCGCGGCGCTGGCGGTCAAGCAGCCGGTGAGTAAGGGGGTTTCAGGGGCTTCATGCCCCTGCCGGCTTGCACGACCCGCTGCATGTACTGCATGCGCCATTCAATCACATCCCGCCTAGGCATGCGGCTCTTACCCTGTCTACCTAGCGCCCTCACCCCTTCCCTATCCTTCCTTAAACCCTCCTCCTTCTCCCTTGCTCTTCCATCGTTGCGCTCCCAAAGGCTGTCAGCGGCGGCGGGGCGCTGCCTGGAGCCCCTGCTGCCCCGCCGCACCACCCGGGCGCCCCGCCTGGAGCCGCACCCGCACCCGGTACCGCCTCCTTGGGCGCCGCAAACCCCGCCGCCACTCCCGGACCGGCCGGGCCGCTTGCCGCCGGCCTCGCTCCTAGTATCCCCGCCGCTGCAGCCGCCGGCACCCCGGCACCAGGAGCCGCCGCAGTCCCCTCAGCAGCCGGGGTGATGCCCGGGCCGGGTGTGGGCGGACCCATGGGTCAGCTAGGAGCCGGAGGAATGACGCCAGTGGGGCCGGCCGGTGGCAGCGGAGGAGGCGCGGCCACGCCCATTGCTGGAGGTGGTTCGGTGGGCGCAGTGGGAGCTGCAGGCGGCGCCGGGGGCGGCGGCACGGTTAAGAAGATGCTGTCTACAAGCAAGGCGGTTGCTGGACCCTCTTCCGCGTCGCAGCTTAAACGCGGTCCGGGGCGGCCACCCAAGGCAGCAAAGGTGGGTTTGGGATGCGTTCTCGTGTATCGCTGTAGCTGGGGTGGTTGGCTGGGGTTCCGGAGCATGCTGGGCTTATTGCGATATGGCGGTTGTTTGCGCTCCTAGGACACCCCTGGGACTTGCTCGCTCCGACCCAAACGACGGATGGAGGAGTGAACAGGCCGCGCAACCTGCATAACATCTCCCATCCAATCTGCACTCTTGACGCCTGTCATATGCCCCATTGCTGCCTGTGTGGCTCCCGCCGCAGGCGACACCCAACGGCGATGCGCCACCGCCCACCAATACCACCGTTCCCATGGATATGCTCTAACCCCGGCGGCGCAGCTTTCTTTACTACCTGTGCAAGGAGGCGGGCTTAGGGCTTGCGAGGATGAAGCCACGACCGCCATGCTATGCGACAGCAATAGAAATAGCAATAGCGGGACTGACGCGGCGATAGTGGGTTACTGATGACGGTGGCCGGTGCAGCCTCCTTTTGCATGGGAGTGATGGGATAGGATCAGAGCATAAAGTGGGAATGGAACGGGGATGGGTCGTGACCAATGGAGCTCAGTGTGGGATGCGCACAGGGGAACAAAGGACCGGTAGGCGGTGGTCATGCGCGCTCCTTTGCACTTATGAGGTTGCGGAGGTGCGGTGACGTGTAGTGCGCGACAGGCGGAGCCAACACGACGACGGTGCTACGGGATGAGGCAAGGGCTGTGCATGGGGGAGTGGTTCATCACTCCTGGTACTAAGGGGAGCTCTTGTGTACTTGGTGGTGGTGGGAGGTGATCCTAAAGTACTGTGCTGGTTTCACTGTGTGCAGTCTTATTCGGGTGGACTGGTGCTTGCTCGCGCCAGTACACTTGCTTCATCCGATGGCGAGGGGTGGTGCGAGAGGTGCACAATGGTGGGCGAGCAGCCGTACGGGTCGGGCCACAAAGGGAAATGACGGGGGCCTTGTGGGCGGGTAAATGGGGGCCAGACGTTTAAGGAGTCTGGTGGACATATACTCGGGGGGCGAGATGTGGTCGGTTTTGGGGTAACTGGTGGTTTGTGCGGGTGTGGGGTATGTGGATGCAAAGGACGCATGAAAGGCATAGGGAGATTTGGGCTCGGTGCATTCAAGCGAGGTGTTCGATAAGAGCTGCATAGCGTCTGTACGTTAGCCGTGCACTTTGGAAAGGAGGAAGACGGCGAGTCTGCTAGGCACGGCCGTCTGAGCTCCCACGCAAAGGGTGAAAGGGTCCTTACCGGTATTGGGGTACCGGTAGCCCCCTGTATGTAGCGTCGATTTATGCGCGCGCGGAAAGGATGAGGACAGGCCGGTTTTGCTTTGCCTTGTGCAAGATTATTAAGCACACTGTTTGGCTGCGTGTTCCGACATGCAAACAAAGGACCGAGTTGGTGTGCGGTCACAGTCCTGTGAAGACATTCCTGGTTCCCTTGCAAACGGATATAACAGTGACTTCGACAATCACGCTCAGTTGCAGCAGGTCACGCGAAGTTACAGCGGAGGATAAGGCCAGCGGGTCCCGCACTGCACCCGGCCTAAACCTCTTCTCTCAAGACGTCCCGGGTGACAGATCAGTGCAGATACGGTAGGTTTGGGAGCAGGGTTGGTGACAAGACAGTGCTTGCGCTCTGCATCACGCGTGACTTGAGCAACACCTGCAGCTACTTGCTACCGTATGTTAAACAACAGGTCTACAGTTGCGTTCTGCAGCGATGCTATCCGCAAACCAGCTGCGGCTGTCGCACTAGCTCCCCGGCTGTATCGTGTGCCCGACCGCTGGAACTGGGGTCCGTACATCTGCTGCTGCACGTCCGCACTCCGCCCGCTAACACCTCGTGGTCCCATTCTAGGCCGTCAGGAATAACTGCAGCTGCGACCGCATCGTCATGCGGCAATTCCCAGCAGCCTCGTCAGACAGCGACAGCCTTCATAGGCCCTATGCCGGCGCCGCCTCCCTGTACTCGAGCTTGTCTCGGTCCCAGTTGCTGTCTAGCGCTCTTAGGAACTCCCAGGCGCCGTCGCCCGTCCGCACGAACAGCGCCTTCTCGCGGATGGTTCGGGGAATGGGCTTTTCCAATTTGCGCGCTTTCTCGTCCTGGCAGGAGGGGTGCAAAGGGCATTGCAGAAGGGCACGGGAAAGTGGGCGGAGAGCGTTGGCAGGGTGCACGTACATCGATGTGAGGGACGCTGCGGTACATGATGTCAGCTTCCTGCTAGGTACACGCTTCCTAGTCAATATTCAATTATTCATGCAGAAGCGCAGCGTCCCATACACAACACCCCTTGCCAACCTCCCAACCGGATGCGTTCTTCCACGCTTGCGTCTACAGACACATCCGTACACGCCCCAGGTTGCAGCCTGCCCCATGTGACCCTACCAGCTTCTGCCGAGTGTCCAATTGAAACTCCAGTACGGCTTCGTCGGGGTTGGAGCCCGGCTCCTGACCGAGCACCTGCAAACCCACGAACTCGAAATTGTACATGGTCACCTGGCGGGAGGCGGGAAGGGGGAGGGGGAAGCGGGTGGAGAACGGGGAAAGCGCGGTAAGGAGGAGTGTGTGCGGGGGAGGGGTAGACAGCATTAACATCTTTTCCTGCGTGTGTCGCCAACTCATCATAATAGGTCTGCCGTACCTTGACATCCTCTTCAAACGTGGTCCGTATCTTCCCATCGGCAGATACCGTGCCCTTTGTGTTGGGGTTGTTCGGGTGGGTGGTGCGAACCACGTACTTCCACTCCTTCTGCGCGGTGCCGGGCCGGAAGGGTGGCCGAGGGCCGACGAGGGGTGGGAACTAGGAAGCGCCTCGAGGAGGATACGGGTATGTGGGTAAACGGGAAGGGGAGCAAGTGCGGGCTGCGGGGTCGCGTCCTGCGCTGGCTAATGCGAGGCTGGGGGCACGCTGGAAGGGATAAATGGGCGCTGGAGTCCCCGCTTGGGGAAGGGTGGCGGCCAACTGGGTGATGCTGGAGGGGTGCCTGCTACCGAGGGGTACGGTATCTCACCTTGGCATACGCTGCGAAGCGCGCCCTCAGCACGGCCTCCGCTGTGGGCGCCTGCAGGGTGAGGCTCCGGTGGTAGCGCTGGCAGCATGCCTGGCGGGGGAAGGGGGGGGAAAGGGTTGGTGAGGTGGACTCGACGGATGTGGGCTGTTTTATAGAAGAGCCTTATAGCGCAGAATCGCAAGGGGTTTGGGGATTGAGGATTGCGAGTGGACTGGAGAACGGCTGACATGTCCAGTGTTGCTTCTTTGCCTAGGTTGCCCGATAAGTATGCCGGTTCCTCCCTTGCCGTACCTGGTAGTCGTGTCCCGACCCACAAGGACACGCTTTCGATGTCTGCGCTGTTCCTTTCTTGCCGAAACCGAGACCGGCAGCTATAATGCGTATACCCCGGTGGTTCGGTAGCTGTTTGCAAGCACCTAATCTAGAGGCAGCTCGCCGTTGGAGCATATTTTGCTTTATGAGAAACGGTCAGAACACTGCTTTTATTGTTTACAATTTTCTGTCGTTAGTAACATCCAGGCAACACGGAAGCCTAAGCCCTGGTGTTCCAGAGTGTAAAGCCTCCGTACGTGTACGTGAGATTGTAGTTGTTCAATACCGCACAGCGGCTACCGTTACCCAGTAACCGGATACTTATGGAGACACACTTTCTCGCAGTCCTGGCGGGAGGCTTTAGACTAGAACTGCTGGCTTTCTGCATACCGGGCTACGTGTGCTTGAATTTGCGAAACTCCATATAATATCGCGCCGGTCACTAGAAGTTTACTGAAAATTAAGTAAACAACTGCCTCCTTGGCACTCTCTACTAACATGCCACACATGCCTCCTAGCGAGCTACCGGTATGTGCCGACTACCGTTTTCACCCATCATTTTTCTACTAGTGTCATTCCTCCTCCACTGTACCCGGTAGTGCCGTTCGTCTCCTCAAACGGGTGTGCCTAGTCTGGCCTTCTTTATCAACGGCCAACGCCTCCTGCTTTTCCTTGCGAGGGGAGTTCCAGGAGCGCCCAGGACACCAGGCAATCCTGGTACCGTACAGACAGGAGGACTGCCAGAGCATACGCTAGGACATCCACTTAGGACCGCCAGTATCCACCGCCATGCCATGCCATAAAAGGCATAGCCATGAGAGTTCGGTTGCTGTTTGTCGCACCTCTAGTCGAGTGCCCCCTAAAAATGCGGAAAGAGGAGGCCATGACAGGGAGGCACGCAAGCAGGCAACCACCACAACTCTTACACTCGACATTACCAAACCACCGCATGAAGTGATGAATGCATCCGGCTCGCGTCCAACCATGCGCATGTTCAGGAGCAGCCATGGGGCTGCACTTCGACTCCTCATTTTGCTGTTCAAGCTATAACACCGCCGTACAACACCACTCCATCGTCCCACATAGCAGTGCCCGCACCAATTCGCAATAAGCACCTCCTTGGAAGACAAAGCGTACGGGCGACTACCCAAACGTGCGTATGCCTGCCGCAGCAATACAAGCGTCATTGGAAGGGGCTGATGACTGGGGAGCAACATGGGAATGAACAAGCATATCGCATGTTAACGCGCGCCTGTCCATTTGTGTCACTCCGCCTCACAGCACCCTTCACTAGGCCGAGCTTAGAAACGGCCCCTCTCAGCTGTGCTGCCGCGTCATTACAATTAAAATTTAATACATCCTCGATATACCACATATCTCCAATAGGACCCATGAAACCGCCATCTTAGAACATTCTTGGACCTGCGGGCCAAAAAAGTGGTACGCCCCCTTGCAAGGCCGCCCGCCCCATGCCACACAAGCAGCACTAGCTAGCGTACTTATCAACGAGTACACCAGCTTTCGCAAGTCAAGCAAAATGCACACCGCTCTCCATGCCAGTATCCGAGCCGAGCCAGTGAACCGCCACTCACTTTATTGATGAAACAGGTTTATGATCACAGAACTCACGGATTGGCCGCCTAAGAGCCGACGGCCATTCTAAGAAAAGTGCGCCATGCACAACAATGACTACTTGCGGTGTCTGCGACAATAGGTCTTTGCGACCTTCGTCCCACCAACCGCGTAGTGGCGTCCATGCTCTCACAGTACGACGCTAATGTCATCAGCATTAGACAAGCTCCGTAGGACTTATATTAGCACCACGCATGTGGCGCGTAGCCAGATACTCGATTAGTTTCCAAATGCACGCGCCGCCCACGAGAACTTAACAACCGCCAGCTAAATAAAGGTATAGCTATTCCCCATCGTTCGTATCTGCCAGGAGTGCCCGCTGCTTGCATCTTTCATTTAAAGCTAAGCACAAGGCTAGGCACAAAGGCCCCGCTCAGCTCTGCACATTGATCTTTATTCTTACGGACCAAGCCGACCCAAAAGGAAATGTCATCCGCAAACACAAATGCATGCGGAACTGCAAGCACGTCTTACGAAATACGCTAGAAAGCCCACACTAGAAATTCATGCATTATGGCGCACCCATGCAGGTGGACGCCGGATGTAGCTGCGACAGCATCATTGCAGCCGACTTGACAGGCAACACAAACACAGCCAGGCCCAGCAGGGCGACTCCCAGCAGGGAGGAGGAGCTCCGGGCCAGGCCCTGCCTCACAAAGTCCGACACGGGCGCCAGGCGCAAGGTGTAGGCGTAGCGGCCTTGCACCGCTAGGTCTCCGTCATCTGAATCGCTAGGCAGCGAGCGCTTGGCGGCAAAGAGCACCGCGACGAAGGCAAAGAGCATAGCGAAGAACGTGTGTAGGGCTCGCAGTAGGAAGGGCTGTTGGACGTAACCGCTGACCTTGCCGCTCTTGGTAATGACGTTCTGGGCGACGACGCTGACGGTTGCCATGGCGTCGACATGAGGGATGGCGTCACCCACCCGGCATGGCGCCTCTGCAGAAGCAGGAGCCGGCACATGTGCTGCCGCCACGACCTGCAGTGTTGGCAACACATGCATCAGGAAACACAGGGTCTAACGGCAAGATACCGTGTATTGAAATGTACGTACACTGTATACACTCCATGCAAGCACAAACAGGACTCCCAGGCGTAAGCATGCAAAAAAAACAATGGTATCCGTCCGTGTCGGATCCAATGGGTCGTGTGGAACCATTACGACCCATTGGACACAGCTCAAAGCATACCTGTGGAGCGACAGGCTTCTCTTCCCCAGCTGCCTTCTGAGGCGTCACGTCAGCTTCCGTGGAGGTTGCTGCTGCTGATGGCAAGCCATCCACAGCGCTAGGCTGGTGCGGTTGCTGCTGCTGTGGCGCCGGGGACACCCGTCGCGTGAAAACCTCAGCCAGGTCCCGAGGCACTGCCCCCGGCGGCAAACCCGCGAGCAGCAGCGTCTGCAGCTGCTTCGGGGTGCCTCCATCCGCATGCGCCTTGACCGACTCCCAGCACCCACGCGCACCAGCACTGGCAGCCAGAATCCTCCAAGTTGCAGGGACCAGCGCAGCCAGATGCAGCGGGCTGAGCCCCAAGGCGCCATGCGCGTCCCAGCTAAGCCGAATGCCGCTACCCGCTGCCCACCCCATCATGGCAACCACAGCGGCCGCATTGCGGGACCGAATGCAGCGGTGCACGATGGTGAGCCCGTCAGCGTACGGTGCCTCGAGTATTGCTTGTACGTCTTGTCCGTACTGTCGCAGCGCTGCCACGAGGAAGCTACTGACGCGCGCAAGCCCTGCATCGGCCGCCCATGCTAGCAGCCTCTCGCACATGCAGACCAGCTCAAACGTCGCCTCCTGGTCCGAACTTGCATCCGCGAATACTGGGGCATCCTCGTCAAAGCCTGCAACCTCACAGTAACTACGCCTGTCGAGCACACGGCCCAAGTCCGTCACAAACGCCTCTAACGACGCCAGTGCGGCGGCGCCCGACCGCAGCGCCGTACAGCCCCATGCGGACAGCTCCGCGGCAACGTCGGCATCCGTAGAAAGCAGGCATGGCCGCCAGTTGCTCAGGAGCGGACCCGATTGCGCTTCGACCAGCAGCAGTCCCGTCCCGGGCGCTTCCTCCACAGTTACCAACGCCACGTCCTCGACTTGGCGACCCGCGCTGCGCAGCACTGAGGCGTAGCCGAAAGCTGCTTCTGCCGCCTTGGCTAGCTGCGGGTTCGCACTCGCTGAGGCCGTTACCTTGCCCAACACCAGGAGCGGCTGAACCTTCACCGGCAGGTAGCCGCCCTGCATGCGCGCAAACAGCTCGACGCCAGCGCCGGCGAGCCCAGTCCCAAACACCGCCAGTGTCGCACGGTTCCCTGCGCCCAGGTGTGCAGCTGCGGTGACGTGCGCAATGACCGGCAGCTGGCCGGCTGCCTGGAGGTCAGCAACGGCCGACAGCTCCCGCGGCTTGTCCGCGGGCTGCATGCCAGCCGGCCAGCTGGCCACCTCGCCCTCCGTTTGCACCAGCATGGCGCTCCGCGCCGCCAAAGCGCCAAGGCCACCGCGGAAATCCTTCGCGGAAAGCCCCAGAGCAGCAATACCGTCCGCAACAGCCTCTCCCTCATCCGGGGAACTCACGCCGCCAGAGCCGCTCACGAGCACGTCTAGCACCAGATGAGTGCAGCCAGGGCGAAGGAAGCCCTGGACCAGCGAAGCATCCGCAGTGTTGAGGAGGTTCCGCAGCCGTTGGTACAAGTCCGGCGGCAGCTGGTCGGGCGTGCAGTTGGCAATCTTGATGCTGACGCGAACCATCAAGTCTTCACTCTTGTACTGCGCGGCAGCTCCACCACTAGCTACCAGCCGACGCGCCAGTTCGAAGCTCGACATGCCGGGCGCAGCGCCGACGGAGCCGACCCCCATTCCCTGACCTAGGCTGGCGGGGCCGCTCAGAGGTGAGCCGCCCATGTGGTGCAGACCGCCGCTGACGTTGCCCAGGCCGCTTCCTGTGGACAGGACAGAGGAGGTCCAGGCGCTGGCAGCGCTACACGGTCCTGCCATACTGCCGCTAATGCACGACCCCGCCCCAGCGTAAGCGCTCGTAGTCGAGGAGTTGCTGTTGACGAACGGCTCAGCCTGGGGCAGCCTGCCTTGGGAGCCGTTCATGACGGCGGGACCGAGGACACCGCCGGCGGCGAAAGGCTGCGGGTGCTGCATAAGCTGTTGCTGCCGTAACTGCTGCTGCTGCAGCAACAGTTGCTGCTGCTGCTGCATTTGCTGCTGTTGTTGCTGCTGTAGCAGCTGTTGTTGTTTTAACATAAGTTGCTCATGCTGCACGAGTTGTTGCTGCTGCTGTAACTGAAGCTGTTCCATGTTGCGCCTCTCCAGCGCAGCAGACATGTCGGTGCTGTTACCCCCCGTCTCAGCGCTCACGACCGCCGAACCCCAGCCGCCTGCCGCAGCCGTGAGAGAGGCGCCATTGCAAGAGCCAAGGAGCAGAGCGGAATTGGGCCCGAAGTTGCTACTCGCTCCGCCTGGCCGGAGCGCCTGCGCGTCAACCGACAGAAAACCACCACCAGGCATGTTGTTCGTAGCACGCAAGCCCGGCCCCAAGCCGAGACCAGAGGTCAAGCTTGGCCCTGACGAGCTGTCTCGCGAACTGGGTGCTGCCGGCAGGACCAAATTCTCCCCTTTTCCGTTGAACAGGTCGTCTAGGACGTCGTCCAATGAGCCTGCCAGGTCCGAGCCACCCACAAGGCAGGGCGTCGGATCAAAGAGCGCCGGCAGTTGCTGTTGTTGCTGCGGTGGCAACATCTGTATGGAAGGTTGCAGGAGCATGGGCGCGTCCTGGCTGCTGACAAAGGAGCTCTCCAGCAAGCCAACCATGCTCGGCTGCATCCTAGGCGACCATGCGGAAGCCGACCCATTGCTCGTCGGCATGATGCAGTCGCCGGCGCCAGTGCCAGAGCCTAGAAAGCATGGGTCCATGCGGCTATCCGCCACCACCTGCGTAAGCAGCATGTTGCAGCGTGTCAAGGATTTAAACCTCCGTTCCTTATATTTCTTTGTCTAGCGAGCGATGAGCACACTAGGTAACCCATGAATCCTTTCACTAAGCACCCCCACCTTCTCTACAGGCATGGCGCCCTTCCTGACGTCTCTACTCGACGTCTCTGCGTCGTTGCTGTTCTCCGGCCACTGCTGCGGCGGCCTGCCCTTGCGCGTCTGTTCCTTGCCGGCCGTGTCAAAGGGGTCCCTTTTCCTGCGTCGTGCGTTGTGCTGCAGGAGGCGCGCCCGGCAACTCCTGCAAGCAAAGGAAATTCGTTATTCGCGACCGGCAATACGTGCACAGTGCCACGTGCGAACTTACCTCTTGTTGCCGTCAAACTCGGAAAGCTCGTGGAAACGGCCGCACTGCAGGACAAGGAAGGGGTGTGACGAGGGGTTACTGGACATGCGACGGCAAGTTAACATCGGCACGCGAAGGATGTCCCAATGCCCCTACTGCCCCGGTATCATGGCAGCAAAAATCCATGCCAAAATCTCTTGACGCGTGGATATTAGGCAACGCGCAAGGGGTCTTCGTGTCTATGACACCTGCCAAGGCACCACTAGCATAAGGCTCCACAGGATACGGGAATTACTTTCGCGCGACATAAATAACGCTCACTGCAAATGAGACATACACCGCAGTCTATAGTGCCGTCGCGCGATAATTCAATTGACACAACTGCTTTAGTGATGAAGGCCACGACTTACACACAGCCAAAGGCGCACCTGTTGGCAGAACCGGCAGGCCCTGTCGTTTATCATAATGCTGAGCACCTTCACGTGCGGCTCGCACACACGGTAGCGTTGATAGTATCCCTTATCAACTGAAAGGTCGTGTCCGCAACCCTCGACCTGCAAGTGGGAGCAAAGCTTACTGAAGCAGGGACGCATGCTTACGTTGCCGCCGAGACAAATGTCAGATCAGTGCCAAGGACACGGATATAATGATGAAAAGAGCTGAAGACAGCACACCTGGCAAACGAGCGGCCCCTTGACAGGTCTGAAGTGGGCGCTCTTCGTTTCCCTTGCGTCAAGAGCGACACCTCCGCTTCCGCCCGCCGGACTGCCTGACGAACCTTGCCATCCAACAGGAATAGGGCCTAGGCTCTGCTGGCGCTGGCCGCCTGTGCTGCTGGTATGGCCTATGTCGCGGTTGCCGCCGGGCAAACGCAGTGGACGTTAAGCAAATTGCATGTAGGGGTAGGGGTAACAAATTAGACATACCTTCAGAGCCAGGTTCAGAGGGAGAACCTTCAGAACCATTAGCCTGACTGCATGAAAGAGGCAAGGCTTGCAGCTGTGAAGGGTCCCAAACGTACTGGCTAGCAAGCCATTGTGGATGCTGCTCTGAAGCTATAACTGTGCTGAACACTTCTGCCATTGTTCCTGCCGAGGCTATTGGTGCCAGCGCGTCTCCATAAAGCTATGACTGCAGTCTCGCCTCCCTTCTAAGCTTAAAGGCAAAGCATATCCAGGTCGACACTATATCATCTTGCGCAAGCAATAAATTGGTGCATAGAGGAGTCAGCAAAAGGCTAGTGCTATAGAGGTAAATAAACAGTTCAACTTAGTATGGAACAGGAATCTTACTATCTGTCAAAAGTGTTGCAGGAACGGAATGGTGACAATGTAATCAATGTTCCTGCAGAAGGTGCGAACTCCAAGGGGCGCTCCCGTACAAGTACAGCGGCCATTCGTTGGTAAATGTGATATTCCTGCTTCGTTCGCTTTAGGCTACGCAGTTTGCTCTTGCATTGATCCCTTTTTAGCAGCTGTCAATTGCACTGAAAGGTTATTAAAGCCCACGACAAGTTGACACAGTTTGAAACGGTAGCTATCCGACGGTCCTTCCTTTAAGCTTTCACAGGGTCTCGTTACCCTTCATGTCTGTTAACACTGTAACTGGCCCACTCCGGTGCACATACAACTGACAGAAGCGGAGGAACCGCAACAGTCCGAAACGTTCCGGAAACACTCCGACGCGAAAACACAGAGCTCAGCCTTCCGTGTGGGTCCCACTCTGTCTCTGTGTGTCGCTTCCACCTCCCTATCTCTGTGATACCTTAACGCATGGGCTAAATCTGCGTAGAGGCACATCCTCCAGCAAGGCCAGTCCAGGCCAGTCAGGAGGCTGCAGGGCAAGGCGCGAAGTCAGGGCTGTCAGGCCACGTCCTCAAAGTCCCAGGCTCGAGGTTGAATCATAAGGAGGACCGTAAACCAGCGCTGTGGAGGCAGAATGCCGTGCTGCCTCGTGGGTTTAGGGCTGCCCAGCTTAGCCCCGCCCTAGGCAAGCCCATCTTCATGTTGTCAGCGCAACAACCCCCTATGTATCCGCATTCCTTCTTATACCCGCCTGTCTGCAAGTTATGTGCCCCCGACTGGACATGTGGGCCATCTTTAGAGTATGCATTCCAGGATTGTATCTCGTGTGGCCGTGCAGAGGATGATAGTGCGGGTGGCTGTCACAGCGGCCTACATGCCATACATGCCATGTAGGGCACTACGGGCATTCAAGCTTCCAGAGATGCGCAAACGGAACCTCTTCCGGCAGCTTCGCCAAGGCTGTTCTTCCCTTCGTATTTCCGCTTCCATTATGGAGTCCTCGTAGTTCCCCCTGTAGTTCTGCTTCCATTGTTGGGTTCCCCTGCCGCCTACACGCGGTGCTTGGATACCGGTTCCTGAAGAGCAGCTGGGGCTAGCCTGTGTGGCCGGTTCGATAGAAGCGAAGTGAGCATTGACCCGAACGGACGTACGAGCGCACTGGCAAACACACGGGCGGGGTGGAAGGACAAGGCCTTCGTTCCTGTCGAAGCTACAGCGATCGACCCATGGGGCGGTCATGTCGCCTTGTTCTCAGGAATAAGAAGTACTCAGCAGTCTGTTCCTACTCTGCCATTAATTCTAGTTTTGTAGGAGGCTTGGTTCACCGTGCTTGGTCGGTCAGTGTTGGTTGTATGACAATCCTGGAGCGAAGAGCATCGCCGAGTCAGCTGCCATGAACATTTACGGCCTGTCACGCAGCGAAAAAGGCAGTTCACGACGACGACCCGTTTCATGCTTAGGCCTATAACAACTCTTTCATTAGCCAGGATGGAAATCGACGTCGAAACCTCAGCAGGGCTGTCTTGGCCCGACCTCTCGGTGTCTGTTTTGTCACACGTATTTGGATTTCTAGATGTGGAGAGCTTGAGGAAGGTTTGCTTGGTGAGAAAAGCAAGCCCAAGCCTCTGCTAAGTTGCTTGCGTTGTCAACGGCCCTTCGCTCACCGACGAACGCACGCAGGTTTGCAAGGATTGGCGCGATGCAGGTAAACACAAGTTTTACATTATACAATTCGGTGCTGTCAGGAGCATTATAGATTTGCTTGAGTCGTATGTTGCAAAGGCCGCGCGAGAGGTGTGCTGCTGCTGCAGCTTCCCTGCCATTCTGAGAGCAACGTTTTTAACCTACACGCGGTTCTGCTGCGGAACAGGTCTTAGCGAGCCTTTATGGCAAGCGCTGGCGCAGCAGATGTGGCCAGAGCACACGCTCATTAACGCTTCCTACGGGGGCTCATTCCGGGTACGTCCTGCAGCCAAATTTAGGCTAGTCTTGACCAGATGACCACGTATCCCGTACTGCGCCCTGAATAAATCCTGCGCTGCCCCGGCCATATCAGTAGGCCTTCCTCAGGCCTCCCAAAACCTACATGCTCCCCCTTCCCCCAAGCAGCGTCTGGTCCTCAATCGCAACGCCCGCAACGCGGTACCCGCCCTCAACCTCCAACTGCAACCGCACCAACCGCAACCTCCGCCCGACCAGCAGCCCGCCGAGCAGCTGCTGCCTCAGCCCCCCCGTGAGCAGCCCCCTCCGCCACCAGCCGCAGCCCCCGCCGACTGCAGCAGCTACTGGCGCGCCAACTCCTCCCTGCGCTTCTACCGCTGCCGCCTGATGCACTTGGAGATGCAAGCCGCCGCCACACCCGTGGGGCCGGCGTTCCTGAGGTGGGCTCCTGCGCTTCCTTCGCCCTCCTCTCCTGGCCAGCATGCACACCCCCACCCTTACATCGTCGTTGCATTTGCCGTACCTAATCATCCTGAGGCTCCCCACCACTCCCTTCACCTCTGATTCCAACCTACCGGTACACCTCCTCCTGCCCCCCCTGCGCATGCGCGCACAGGCTGTACTTCGACGCCCGAGGTGAGAGAGACCTGCGCAGCCCCCGGCACTCCTCACTCGCCGTGGTACGACTCCGGGAGCAGCCGCCGCAGCAGCAGCCAACCAACCGCGTCACGGCAGCAGCAGCAGCAGCAGCGGCGGCGGCAGCGGTGCAAGGGGGCGCAGAAGGGCCCCTGCAGCCTTACCAGCAGCAGCACCCGCAGCCGCCGCAGCAGCACCCTCTGGGAGTGCTGGGAGGCCTCATTGGGGCCTTCCGCTGGGGGGGCGGTGGGGTCGGAGGGGCCCATAACGAGAGGGGCGAAGACGAGGACGAGGACGAGGACGACGTGGATGGGAATGCGGATGTTGGGGATGCAAGTTCAGACGAGGAGGAGGGCGCACGCGGGGGTCCCGACCTGCGCGCGCTGGAGCTGCGGGGCCTGCGTGTCCCCAACCCGCTAGCCTACCTCCTGCAGCGAGGCGGGCAGCAGCCGCCCCCGGCCCTGCCGCTGCCGCTGCAGCAGCAGCAGCAGCAGCAGCCGCCCCCGCAGTGGCAGCAGCAGCAGCAGCAAGCCCCGCTGCCACATCCAGGCCATGCCGCAGCACCCGGCGATGCCGGCGCTGCGGGCCCTAGTCAACCGCCACAGCAGCAGGCGCCACTGCAGCAGCAGGGGCAGCCGGAGCCGCCACAGCAGCAGCAGCAGGCGGCAGCGGCACAAGGGGGCGGTGGCGGCCTGAGGGCTCCCTGCTCGCTGCCCCTGCGCCTGGGCCCCAGCAGGCAGCTGGGAGTGTTAGTGCCGGGGCAGCGCGCCTCCGCATGCTGGCTGGCGGAGGAGGCGCCGGGGAACTACAAGGTGCGCGGGTGCGGGCAGGTGGGGTCAAGAGGGCCGCGTAACGGCGTCCTGGCCACAGCTGTCGGCCGAAGGGAGGTGCATTGGTATGCTTGATAAACTGACAGCGAAGAAGGACTTACTGGTATGTTGCGAAAACTGGCCGCGAGTCGGAACGTACTGTGTACTGGTACGTATGTTGGGGGGGATGTAATGAAGGCACTATGTTGACAGGATGTATACCTTCCTTCGTGCACAAGTGCCGCCTACACAACTGCTTTCCTACACCCCGCAGGGCTGTCTGGAGTGGAGCGGTCCGCCCCTGCTGCGGCTGCTGCGGGCGCTGCAGACCGACCCAAGGGCCATGCTGGTCTTCGTGTACGCCAACGTGCTGACGGACCTGGTAGGGAGGGAGGGCTGGATGGTGCGAGGGTGGAGGGGAAAAGGAAGGAACGAGGGTGACCCGTGCGTCCAGTGAGGCTTCACGAGAAAAAGCCCGAGGCTGGGGCGCCTGAAGCTAAGGGGTGCTGGCGGTTGTCGCTGACACCTTGTCCGATCCCGCATTGTCATCTGCCTCCCCACTGTTCACCCTGCCTGCCTTCTGCTCCTCCTTTTGGACTCGTGTTCATCCTTCTGTCGTGTTGCTGCTTTCGGGCTTACCTCGCTGCTTCCCCCGCTGATGTTGTTGACCCCGCTGCGGCCTCCCCTGCGGCCCCCGCTGCTGCTGTCCCTGCTGCTGCCCCCGCTGCTGCTGCCCCCGCTGCCGCTGCTCCCTCAGGGCTACACCGGCTACAGCAACCCCGACTACGCACCGGCGGTCGTCCTGGGGCCCCGCATGGCGAGCGGGGAAGCAGCAGCAGCGGCGGCAGCAGTAGGGCATGCAGGCGGCGGCAGCAGCTTTGCGGCGGAGTGGCGACGTACGGCAACGACGTACCACGCACCAGGTGGGAGGGACCTGCCGTACACCTGCCGTACATGGTAGCCGGTATAGTGGCGGCGGCAGCATGGCGGGTTTGAGGCGCAATGGTGCCTCCTTGCTGCCATGGCTGCGCTCCCGTCTGTCCTCTTTCTCCCCCTCTTCCGCCCCCTCGATCTCCCTCTCATTTCAGCAAATTGGTTTGCCTAGGCATCATACTGTATGGCAGTTGGATTTCTCTTTACTACCTCTCTCTCTCCCACCCGCCCCCATGATGACGCCTATCACACGGTTAGTTGGTTGTTTCCTCTTTCCCCCAGGTGAGCTGCTGGAGCGGTTGGCAGCTGAGCGCCCCGGGTGCAGCCAGGAGGAGCGGGACCGCTGGGGGGACCTGCCGGAGGAGCTGAGGGGCAGGCGGGACGGCTGGTGGGCGGAGGAGGCGTGGCAGGCCCGCAGGACGGCGGCGGCAGCGAGGGCGGCAGGGGCGGGGGTGGGCGAGTTGCCCCGGTTCAGGTGGTTCACGTGGGAGGAGTCAGGGGGCATGTGGGACTAGGGCAGCGTGGGGCAGCAGGCGCGGTAGCTGCTGTGTGTTTCCTGGATTGGATCTGGGAGAGGGTTTGTAGCCGCGTGGGTAGATGGGCGGAGCCGGCGGATGCGGACTGGGATAGAGGCAGCAGATGTGTACGGCACCGCAGCATGTACGGCAGGGGCGTTGGTGTTGGTGTAGCAAGGGCAGTTGGCTGCGGCCGCAAAGCATGCAGTGCTGGTGGGGGGGCTGGTTGTTGGCAGTTAGTAAAAAAATAGATGGACTTTTGTCACGATTGGACTCGTAGTTGTCGGCTTTAGTTACACATGGCGTGCTTCGTCGACATACATTTAGTCAGAGTTAAGATACTGAGAATGCGCATGCTAGTGCTGGGTCATGTCTCATGTGGGCAAGGTCGGTACTCGGCAACGAGTAGGAACGATTCAGGAACCGGCCCTGCCCGTTACGTATTCCACTTGTGGTAGAGGCTGTGCTTACGTTTTCCTTTTGTACTTTGGCTTTGGGCTATCCAAGGATAGGATCCATTGTAGTCGGGCCTTTTCTTGGCAACAATCAACTTTCGGTAGACTGCTACTTCTCTGCAATGAATAAACTGTCAACAACATATTCATCTACATACAGCGATTTGGGAACGCCCCACGTTGCACAACCTACAACTTCTGCATGGTAACCGAAAGCCCTAACGCTAAGGCAAATTACACCCAAGCACAAGCACGCGTGTGCTCACGCGCCCCCAAGTCGCGACGGCAGTACCCACCGTGGCCTCATCACAACCGCGTGTACCCACCACACGACAGCCATGGCAGCCTGCCCCCTCGCCCGCTGCTGCCACACGGCCCCTACCTCCGCCTCCTCAGCCTTCCCTGGCGGCTTACCCTCTCATCCTTCCCCGGCCCGCTTTTCCATGCTTTCCCAACACCTCCAGCCCCACACCGCCGCTCCCAACCTGCGCACCCTAGCACCCAATGCGCGGAGTCAGCAGCCCGGCTTGCTGCGAGGGAAACCACCGTCGGGCAGAATGCCTTCAGGCCGCCGATGCGGTGTTACGCCTCGTGCGTTGCCATTTCCGTTAGAAGCAACGGCAACGGAGCACAACGGCCTGGCAGTTGCGGCAACTGCTATTGGGCAGCTGTTGTTGTTGGGTATTCCCGCCTCCGTAATGTTAGATGAGGTGCTGGATGCAGCTGCACCCAGAGTGAACGGTATTACTAATGCGGAGTCTACAGGCGGCGTGCGGCTGTTTGTGGCCCGACCCTCCGACGCAAGTAGGGAAACAGCTGCTGATGCGGATGATGGCTGTGCTTGTGGCAGCAACAGCAGCAGAGGTAGGACTAGCAGTAGCACTTACGCGGGCAGTAGCACCAGCAGCGCCAGCAGCGGTAGCGGGAGGGAGGCAGCAGCAGCAGTAGTACGACGGCCCGGGGTGGTCCTGATCCACCAGATCCTGGGCCTGCAGCCTCGAGAGGTAAGGAGGGGTGGAGGAGGGGGAAACGGGAAAGGGCTCCGAGCGATGTCTGTCGTACATACGGAACATACCTAGTATGCAGTACCTCTCCGACATCACATGCTAGGCAGCCGCACCGGACCACAACCACGAGGCCCACAGCCGCACCTGCGCAGTTACCCGTAAACGCACCACACCAACACACCTTCGCACACCCATTGGATGCTCTTCTTGCGTCTGTTCACCCACCACCCGCCACCCGCCACCACCACCAACACCACCACCACGACGCTCAGGTGGAGCTGGCTCGCGTGCTAGCAGCTCAGGAGGGGGTGGTGGCGGTGGCGCCGGATACCTTCCGCGGGCAGTCCACTGGCTGGCCGCTCCGAGCCCTCGCTCTGGGCTGGAAGTACGCGCTGAGGGGCGGCGCTAGCTGGGGGGTGGAGGCGGTGCATGAGACAGTGACATGGTGAGGGTAACGAGCTGATGATGCTAGATAGTGGCCCTAGCATGGGGGGGGGGTGGATGATAGTGTGGGATAGTGTGGTACCTGTGGGGTTGCAAGGACTGCTAGGGACTGCCCCTCACTGGAGGTGTGCTGCGTACGGATGGTTACATGCTTGCTTGGCATGCTTCGTTGCCCCGATTGGCCGCACGTTGGTCGGCATGCCCCCTTAACCTACCGCTTGCTGCATGTCCTATGTTGCGTGCAGGCTCAAGTCCCAGCCCGATGTTGATCCAGATCGCATAGTAGTGGCTGGATTTTGCTACGGCGGGGGATCTGCCGTACGGTATGCTGCGGCGTACCCGGGCCAGGTGGCGGGAGTGGCTATCTTTTACGGCAGGCCATTACTGGAGGTACGACATGATGGGGCAGGGGACTTACATGTGACATAAAAGAAGAATAACATGTACTGCCACTACGAAAAGTTACCCATGCACTTCTGTATAATCCACTGCCGGTTGTTCGTCGCCCATGTTACTGCCACTGTTGCTGCTGCCGTACTGCTGCCGCTCGTCGCTGCATGTCATGGCTCATGGGTGACGCCGCCGCTGGCGCTGCCGTGCTCCGATTGCAGACTAGCGAGGTTGCCAAGTTAGGCAACTCTCCGGTATTGGCCATGTACGGCAGTCGCGACTCGCAGTTCCCGCAGCCCATGCTCGACAAATTCAAGGTACGGCAGTTGGTGGAGTGCTATCGGTGCTGCTACTGCTGCTGCTTTCAGATGTCGCTTTAGGTTTCCCCAACAACATTGCTACCGATCGATGCTTAACGCTGTTGGTGCCGGTATTGCGGCCCACGCAGGCGGATCTGGAGGCTGCAGGTGTGCCGTACCGTCTGGAAATGTTTGAGGGAGAGGGCCATGCGTTCGTACGGGACTGGACTGCCGTACAAAGGGGAGGCGCAGCGGGCCGGTCGTGGAAGTTGTTCCGGGAATTTGTACGGCAGATTGCGAACACATCGGCTGCTGCAGCACCCGCCGGTGGTGCAAGTGGTGGCGCTGCTGGGGGTGGAGGGAGGTCGCTGGCGGCGGCGAAGTCAGCCCTGCAGGAGCCGGGTAGCTGAGGATTGATAAGTCTGTCGGGGCCAACCGTTACCGAACCGACGACCAGCCCCGACAAGCCGACCGCAGAACTAGCGTGCTTAAAGCAGGAGGAGGACGGGAACAGTATGTGGGGTTGACCTGTTGGCGTTTGAAGCGTTGCAGGCACCCGACCTCTCATGCTGTGGTGCAACGCACTAACGGAACCATGCAGGCCCCGCATGCAACTGCAATGAGCCATGCTGTACCTGGCATGAAGTGGGTGCATGGCATGACAATGTGTTGTTGGATCCGGGTCCTTGCTAAGGCACGCTAAGACGTTAGGTAGTACGTCCTGCCCTGCTAGTTATCGTAACAATGGGAGTGCTTGGGGCTGCCAAATATTTAAATCTATACCTTTTCAAGGAGGCTATATCCTATATGCAGACGTTCTGCAGAGGTGCATGTGAGCGGGCCCGTGGTTCACCTGTAAGCGAACGCGGGCCTGAACCTCGGTTTACCAGCACGTACCGTGTACGTTAAAAGAGTGCTTCAAAGCGCAGCTCTGAAGGACTGTTTATGGGCGACAGGACTACAGTACCGATGCTGGCGATCTCAGGACAACTGCAGTGCACGGAAAGGGAAGCCCGTTGCGGAAACTCCAAGCCAGCAACCACTGGAATAATTTTAGCCTTTTAACATGCCCAAGGAGTTGAGTTGACACCTGTGAGCAAGGATCTTGGCGTTTTTTGCTGCGCCCGTGAAACAGTTTGCGCCAACTGTACCCGTGAACTGCACGGCAGGAGACTTTCTTTCACGCCTTCCGGCCTTCCGCTTGCCTGTTTTACAAGAACCATGCAGTTTGGCTCAAGTTCTATGCATCTGAATAATTATATGAAAGCGAATCCTGTTTAACTCCAACTGCTGCTTGCTTTATCAAGCTTCGCCGTTCTTCCTCGCTCGCGTCTTTCGATTAGCTGTGACAGGCACAACTTCCTTCCATTGCCAGGGCTGCCTTCCATTCGAGGACGCACCTAAGCAATATTCTGCAGCATATGTTTGCCTCGCGCCCTCTGTCATCCCCTGTTGGCCCACCGCGGCGAAGGATCGCGCCCACCAGGCCGGGCGATGGACCTTACCTGCCTCCCTTCCGGACCGTGAAAGGCCCCTGCAACACGCTTCCAAGCAGGGACCATCCTGCCCGAACCGTCTTGCATGACGACGCCCGACGAGCCCCCGCCCCAGGCTCCTCACAAGCATTTCTGCAGCCCCCTGCGGCAACGCCCCTGCCGCCCAGCCTGCATCTGCCTTCCCTGCGCTCGCCCTCGTCCCCGTCCAAGCGTGCGCTGCCGCCGCTACCTCCCACCGTCAACTGGCACCTGGAGCCGAGGTGCAACTACCACTGCAAGTTCTGTTTCGCAACCTTTGGCGACATCGCTGCCGGGGAGGTGGTGCGAGATGCCGAGCTGCTTCTGGCGGTGAGGGCGCGGGGGCAGGTCGCAGGTGGAAAAAAATACAGATAAATGCATCAACGGAGTCCCAATCCCGAATCCCGACTCATGCAGTGTGCGCATTCGCAGGTAGAGGGGAGCAGCAGGGGAGTTGCCCCCACCCCTGCATTCACGCGACCCAAATCGCTACCTGACACCTTGCTGCGTTCCCCTGACCTCCACTACTCTTTTTGCTGTCCTCCCCAACCTTCCTGCCACCTCGCCAACCTCCAACTCCCCGCTAGGTTCCCTCCCTGCTAGCCGCCGCTGGCGCCTCCAAGCTCACCTTTGTGGGCGGGGAGCCCTTCCTGCACCCGCTCATTGAGCCCCTCATTGCGGCCGCCAAGCGAGCGGGGCTCACCACATGCGCCGTCACCAATGGCAGCTTGCTGGATGAGGCGCGGCTGAGGCGCCTGGCAGGTGAATGTGCGTGTGAGGAGCTGCGTTGGGGAGGATTCGTACTTGACGAGCTTGTACGGATGAAGTACACGAATCTTTATATTGAGCGGGTGTTATGATGGAGGCTTCAGGTTCTTATGTACCTGGCGTCTTGGCTTGAAGGGCGGATGTATTTAATTGCGGCCGGGAGTGGTGATGAGAGACGGTGCTGCTTCACTGCTTAGCTTGTGCACGGTGCGCGGGCCTTTGGTAAAACTGCCCTAACCCCACGCCCCCCAACCCCACTGCCATGTTCCGTGCCGGCCGTGCGTGCGCAGGCCAACTCGATTGGCTGGCGTTCTCCGTTGACGCCAGCAGCGACGCCCTGCATGCGGAGATGGGGCGGGGGACACTCCGCGAGACGGGCGCTAGGACGCCCAGGCATGTGGGATCAGCGACCCGTGGGTCAGTTGGCGCCGCTGCCGTCAGCAGCCTTGACAGCCAGTCTAACGGCGGCTGCAGCCACAGCGGCGCTACTTGCAGCGACATGACTGGGGTGGAGAACACTCTGAGCGCTACCCGCCAGTCTACGGAGAAGGTGAAGGGCCACTTGGCCCGGATCCGGGCCCTATGGCCGATGGCTCGTGAGCTGGGTTACCGGCTGAAGCTTAACACGGTTGTGACTTCAGCAAACCTGTACGACAGCGGGATGGTGGATTTGGTGGGGGAGCTGCGGCCTGAGCGGTGGAAGGCCTTTCAGGTGGGGTTGGGAGGGGAGGAGGGCTAAGGAGGTGCTGGGGGGAGGTGCTGCGTGGGGTTGCTGTAAGGGCAGCAGCTGCACCGCTGCTGCTCATCCAGTTGCTTTTGTGCTGCCTTCGACGTGGCATCCTTCCTCGCATACTCTGCTATGCACCTGTGCTCCTTGCCACACAACTGCCTTGCTCCTCCGTTTACAAGACGCTGCAATGCAAGCTGACCCCCATGCAACCGTCTGTACCCTTTCTCCCCTCCTCCCCCGGCGCCAGGTTCTCCCCATTCCCGGCCAGACCCACGACCAGCTGGTGGGCCCGCTGCTCATCACGGAGCAGCAGTTCAGCGACTGGGTCGTACGGAACTCTGTCGTACGGCAGTTGTACGGCGTACCGCTGGTGGCGGAGTCCAATGGCGACATGTTGGGCAGTTACGCCATGCTGGACGCACGGGGGCGCTTCTACACCGACATGTCGGAGCAGGGGCATGAGTACGGCAGCAGCATGTTTGACTGCTGGCGGAGGCACCTGGCGGAGGCGGCGGCGGAGGTGCCGTACGGCAGCGCTCAGCAGCCGCCACTGACGCCGTCGGCGGCCGCGATGATGGTGGTGGCGGGTAACTACGGAGACAGTGAGGGCGGTGGAGGTGGTGGGCGCGGAGGTGGCGACGAGGGTAGCGGGCCCGAGGAGAAGGTGGCTCCCAGGGCGCGAGGGCCGCTGGCGGCGGGAGCAGCGGCGGTGCTGGATGCGTGGGGTGAGGTGGCGGGGGCGGCGTTCCGGGCTGAGCGGTTCGCGGGTCGGGGCGGGGTGTACGACTGGGGGCAGGGTCGGGAGGCGTTGTGGGAGCAGCAGCGCAGGTGGGGCGCGGAGAGGGAGGCGCAGCAGGAGGCGGAGGAGGTGTGAGGTGGAGGAGGCTGCAGCGTTGTGACGGGAGAGTGCTGATATGGGGAGGTTGAAAGCTGTGCTGTTGTTGTTGCATGCTTGTTGGGACCGGCTTATCTACCTGGAGGGCGGTGGGACTGGAGCGGGTGGAGGAAACATGGCTATGACATATGAGAAGAGAATCCTGATATAAGTGATATTTGTTGTGATTGCATGCTGTTGCATGTTGCTTTTGGTTGTCGCTTATAGGCGCTGACTGCTTGTTGACTAATAATGGCGCATACCACGGTTTGAAGAATTTGAACGTACCTGCGCAATAACGGTGAGACATCTCATCTGCTACACGCGAAGGGCTTGCGTTGGGGCAGGGTCGGCTGTATTCCTCGATGGAAAGGGTGAGAGAGATGCTCGAAAGCCACTGACGGCAATGCATAGAACAATAAACGGGAAACTGCAAGGCACACGCTTGACGGCATGCGCTGCTTGCCCGCCGCAAGTGCGGTTGGCTTTTGTGCCTGCATGGTGGCCTTCCCTTGAGAGAGGAGTCCATGTATCCAGGACGTAGCATGTGACACTGCTACCGTTGTTGTTCAGGTTGGTTGTATGATTACAGTTGCTGTTGACGCATGGAGCTGTTGTGAAGGAGTAGATGACCAAGTCAGTTAGTCCTCAGCGTTGCTAGGTAGCGCCCATGTCACTAAATTGCACGACATGGTCTGTTGTAGTGCTCTTGGTTTGTTGGTTGGCTTGTAGCATTGTTTACGCTCGCTTCTGAACATGGATGATGTGTCCCATTGGTTACATAGGTTGGTTGCCGTTGGCTACGTGGTTCCCTTCTTGGGGGGATACCCTTAGCATCAGCGACCGTTGCGTTGAGCCCGGCCTGAATAGCGAGGGCATGCCGATATGCACACTTAGTCACAGAGACATACCTAATCAAATAGCTTGTACTTATTGATACGATTGACACATGGGCTGTAACGTGCTAAAACGTTCCATGCGGTACCACGGCACAAGCCACCACCACCACCAACAACAACAACAACAGGAACACCACACCACCACTATTGCTGCCATGAACAGCAACAGCAAGCATATCTCGCTTGCACCCAATCCGGCCTGCATGGGAGACGACGAGGCTACATCGCCCTCCCTCAACCAGCTCAGCTAGCGGCCACAGCGACCCGGCGGGTCACTAGCGGCGCATGGCGTGCCTCGCCGCCACGCGCACATCTGGCGGCAGGTGCTGCAGGGCCGCCGCCGCCGCCGCAGCAGCAGCCGGCCCACCCTGACCTTGCTGCTGCTGCTGCTGCTGCCCCTGTTGTGCCAGCTGCTGCTGCAGTGGCGGCTGTTGCAGGGGCTGTTGCAGGGGCTGTTGCAGGGGCGCTGCGGCCCACACATCCGCCAGCTGGGGTGCCTGCTGCTGCTGGGGGTGCTGCAGCTGCACCCCTCCCGCCCCCCCACCCGCTCCCACTCCTCCCTCCCCGCCGCCCCCTGCCGGCAGCCAGGCCGGCAGCCCCAGCAGCAGGCGGCAGGGTGTGGCGGGCAGCGCCTCCCGCAGCAGCAGCTCCAGCACCTCGGGGGGCAGCAGGCGGAGCGGGCTGGAGCTGCCTGCAGCAGGAGGCGAGGGGAGGCGAGAAGTGTGGGAGGGGGTCAGGATAGAGAGATACCACCGTGGAAGGAGAGGGTGTAGACAGCATAGGGAGCTCCGTCATACGGCAGCTAACCGAGCATAGGGACTGTCCAAGAGACAACATCGGGCGGGGGCATGCTACTAGAGTGCAAGCTAAAGGGTCAGGTAGGGCAGGACGCCCGCAAAAACATCAAGACGGGCACCAGCGTGACAGTGTCTCGCAGCCCATCCCAGCCAAGGTGAACCTGACTGACCCATCTCCCCCTCCTTCCCACCCTCCCCCTTCTCCTCCTCCTCCTGCACGCCCGCCCCTCTCACCCAGCCTGCGGTGTCCTCCCATCAGCACCGCCAGCCTCCGCGCGCGCCGCGGCCCCGGGTCCGCTGCGGCCCGCTGCAGCCGCTCCACGTGGGCTGGGGTCAGCAGGCCGGGCGGGCAGCTCAGGTGCAGCTCGCGGAGGGAGGGGCGGGACTGCGCGCGGGGGGGCGGAGGGGAGGGGCGGGGAAAGGGGTTGAGAGAGGACGAGCACACGAGGCTTGGCAGGAGCGGGATTGTTGTGGGGCCTGCCCAGGTTCTGCCACAGGGCACACCAGCAAGGCACACGCCCGCTACCTGGCTCTGCTCCTTCCTCTTCTATCATCGGCAGCCTAGTCTACCACTGGGACCCTCACCCGTGCCGTCCTTCATCCCTTCCCCGCGCCCCTTCCCCACCCATAATCCAGCCAAATGCGAACTATGCACCCCTATTGATCACTCATCCCATCCTTACCCCATTATCACTCAACACATTGGTCTTCACCCCCCTTCCCCCCTCCCCGCCCCTCACCAGCATCAGCTCCGCCAGCCCGCCCACCACCTGCCCCCACAGCGGCACCAGCGGCCCCAGCCGCTCCGACCCGCCCTGCGCCACCACTGCAAGGTACTCCCCGGGCGAGAAACACACACCCAACACCTCCAGCTGCGCACCCGCAGTGCTGGCAACACCACTGCCACTGCTGCCACTCCTGACCCCTCCTGCCGCCAGACCGGGTACCGCCCCCCTCAGCGCCGCCAGCAGCACACACAGCGCGGTGGTGGTGGCGGCGGCGTCGCGGCCGTGCGGCTTGAAGGGCAGCTCCAGGAAAAGGTGCGTCAGCCGCGGCGGCGGGTGGGAGCGACGGCGGTGCGGAGGTGGGGCGGGCTGGGGCTGAGGGAGGTTGCAATGGCCTCGCATGCTGGTAATGTTGTTGTTGTCATTGCTGCTCTTCCTTCCACGTCCTGCCGCCGTCGGGTCGTCACCCCCAGCGGCGGCCTCCCCCGCAGCACCAGCCTGCCCGGCTCCTGCCCCGTCCCCGCCCAGCACCGCCGGGTGTATGGCCAGCAGCAGCAGCTCCGCGGGCCCTAGGTGCAGGGCGGGGCGGGGCAGCGGACGCGGCGGGCGAGGTGGGGAGGCGGCTGTCGCAGCCCCCATGCTCTCGCTGTCATCGTCGTCGCTGCTGTCACCATCGCTGCTATCATCACTACTGCTGTCATCGCTAGCTACATCGTCCTTCATTTCCACATCCTGCCGCTGCTGCTCCTTTCCCGTCCCACCCTGCCCCTCCTGCCGCCCCTCCTGCTGCCGCCGCCAGCTGCCCCAAGCGCTGCAGTACCCACCCAGCCGCCGCTGCACCTCCGCCACCCCCCGCCGCAGCGCCCCCTCATCCAGCCTCCCCACCACCGCGCCGTACAGCGGCCCCAACCCCGTGTGGTGCACCGCCTCGCGCCGCGCAGCAGCAGCCAGCGCGGCTAGCTGGGCGGCGTCAGGGGCGAAGGGAGGGAGGAGCTGCTGCTGCGAGGGGGGCCGAGATGACCCATGGGTCGGGATGGCAAAGGAGCCCCCAAGGGCTGCTGCTCCCCATGGTAGGAGGAGGTCATCGGATGGAGGGAAAAGAGGAGGAAGGAGGCCCGCGGCGTTGGAGCTGCCGCTGAGGATGCGGCGCTCCCGAGTGGCCTGCAGCTCGGCGAATGCCTCCGAGTGCCGCCGACGGCGAGGTACCTCCCGCGGCGGAGGCGCGGCGGAGGGCGCCGGCGGTGCCCCCCGCTGGGATGCTGGCTGCCGGTGCTGCTGCTGCTGCTGCTGCCGCCTGTCAGACTGCTGCTCGTGGTGGTGGTCAGTGCCACCGCGGTTCCGCCTGCGGCCAGACGCGTTGTTGCCAGCACCACGGCTGTTGTCGCTGCTGGTGCTGCCGCCACCGTCGCTGCCAGCGCCTGCGGTGCCCTCGTCGCTTCCCAGTATGGAGAGGTCGCGAAGTTGCTGCGCTCGTTGTGCTACTGGGTCGCGGCTCTGGTAGGAGGGCGGCAAGCCAGCGGGGTCGGGCTCGAAGATGGAGCGCACCAGGTGGCCCGGCTCGCCGTGAAGGGCTACGCTAGCCTGGTTGCGACGATGTTTAATGCCTGAGGTAGTGGAAATGTGCAGGCGACCGGAAAGAAGGTTGCCTTCATGGAGGTTGGGCCGCCGCATGCAAGGTCGGAAAAGGACACACCTTGCAGAAACTCTCGCTAAGTAAAATGCATACCTTGAACGTGAGTTTCCCAGGTGCTCTGTGGCACACGGCAACCGCAGAGGGCACAATCGCGGAAGCCATTGTTTGGTCGCTGGCTTGTCTGGGCTTGGTAATTGGGTCCGGACCTTCGTGAGGCGTCGGCAACGTCATTTAAGCTATCTCGTGCGCCGCCACGTTTTACGTCTTGGCCACGCTTAGGCATCGCCCTATGAGTAAGGAAAGCTCTTCACATAAATGGGATTCACGGGTAGTCACCACTCGATTAGGATTAACGTGTTGTCTACTGAACAGCTCGGACTATCGCAGATTCGTGCTTTCCAACGATCGCCCTTGCCGTGCATGTCCTCGAAAGGTATATTATTCATGCTTAAGCAAGCGCAATTATAAACGACTACTGGACGTAATGTTTGCAACCAGGTGCGCTTTGTTATATCCCTGCTAGACTTACCTTGCACGCGACGGTTGCGAACCACCAAGTTCTGTGGTGTCCACGCTCTTTGACGAGCCCTGCAATATATACATTCACCCTGCTGTGCACAGGTCCACTATTGTGTCGCGCCTGCCGCTACCTGGCTCTGGAGGTGCGCGCTTGCGGTCGGCTTCGCCGGTTAGAGCATCGGGCTGCAGGCACCGCACGCTGCGCTTGCACTCAATGAACTTCTTTGGCTTTCTGTTCGGGGGAGGCAAGAAGCCAGCCACAGCTGTGCAGACGTCCAGCAGCGGCAGAAAGGGCTGGGCACCCCGCACAGGTATTAAGATGACTCAACATGCAGGGCTCCGTTTCAACGAGGTGTAGAGCATTGCCCTGCTGAACCTTCCTTTACACCATCCCCTCAACTAATCCACATGCGTATGTTTTGTAACATGCAAGGCGTTGCATGGTTCTCTCTACCCATGGCACTAACATCGCATCGTCCCCCTTGCCATGTACCCTACGGGACCCCGAAGAGGACACACCCCAGAAGATTTCTCGCTCCGGCTACGACATCACGCCTCTCTCCGCTGAGGAGCGCCAGGCGGCTGCGCAGGGCCTTACGGACTTTCAGCGATATGTCGTACTGGAGCACGGTACGGAACGCGCTTTCACAGGTCGTACGACCAACGGATTTTCGCATGACAACAAACGGTCTGGCCTTTACGTGAGCGCATTGGGCGGACTACCGCTGTTCTCCTCTGGAACAAAGTTCGACAGCGGCACGGTAGGTCTGGCACTGGCGCTAACTTGGGCGGACTATTGGCAGTGCTGTGATTGCCTTTATTTCCGTCTTGCTATAATGTTACGGTACTGCCCTTCTGCTATCTACCTTCGCGTCGTAACCCTCCGCCTGCACAGCGCACAGAAAACCAGGACAGGTGCACCCTCCCCTTTCGCATGCCCCTTCTTTGCGTCCCTGACTGCCCCATGCTGTCAGGGCTGGCCCTCCTTTTACGCGCCCCTGGACCCCGAGCACGTGGTTGAGGTGGTGGATCTCTCCCTGCCGTATATGCCGCGCGTGGAGGTGCTGGATGCGCGCAGCGGGGCGCACCTGGGGCACGTGTTCGATGATGGTGGGTAGCGGGGAGGGCGGGGAGGGCTTGAGTGTGAATGGTTAAGAGTGGGCCTTGCGGGATGGGTAGCTGAGCTCGTGAAGGGGGCCCAGGGCTTCAGAGGCGGCACGAGGCTAGGATGGCAACTTCATGATCTCGGAACAAGCTGTTAGATCACCCTGCGTGTGCCTCTTGCAGGACCGCCGCCAACGGGGAAGCGGTACTGCATCAACGCTGCTGCGCTCAAGTTCATTCCGGATGGGCAAGCAGTGCCACCAGAGAGCCGTCCGCTGCTAAGAGAGTAGGGATGCTGCCTACATTGCACGAGTAGCATGGAGTGAAGGGTACTGGAGTGGAACGTGAAGAGCAAAGAGCTAGCAATGTTGAGCGGGTTCCGGCAATGTCCTTGTGTGAGGAGGGTTCGCAAGGGCATGTCAGAAAAATACGCCAGAGCTTTACATAAACGAAGCTCATGACACCACACATCCTTTAGATTCCGACACTTGGGGATTGAGGGTCAGGCAAGCAGTACCCCATCCAAGGCCAACCGTCAAAACTGCCATTAATGTAAGCCGGTCAAAGGAACCCAATTTACTCCTTTTGAAAGAATTCTACAGTTGCTTCAGCTCTTTTATTGCTTTTTTACTTGGCGATAAGCTCTTTTTGCCATGCCGCCAGGAACAATAAACCGTCCCAACCCGAAGGCGCTTAAAGTGCGCCGAGAGAAGATTCGCACGAAGAAGAAGCTAAGCTCTGCAGCAGAGGTACGATGAGACGTCGTGTGTTCCGTATGAAGGTCTAGCCTCCAAACGTGGCATGACTTTCTGCCGTGCAGAAGCACAAGACCCAGGTGAACCTGTTGAAGGCGAGGAACCCGAAGCGCGAGCGCAAGCTTGCAAAACGCAAGGCCGCTTTGGAGCGGGCGGCAGCGGCGGAGCAGCCGGAGAAGGATGTTATGGTAGATGCTAAGCCAGACAAGGCTGGGAAAAAGAAGGCAGCGAAGGCGTCTACTGCTGGCGAAGAGGATGTCATGCAAGAGTGAGCAGCTGCTTTAAGACCGGCGGTGTTACATTCCGCCGAGTACCGCCGAAGCAACGGCGGCTGCCCGGCCACTTTGCAAAGCGCCAAGTGCAGCGGCGACCCACCACCAACACATGATGCCGACCCAACGAACGACTGAGGCCACTTTCGAACGAGACATCCATAGTGTCAAGTCTGTATTCCAAGCCAGCGTGATGCTCCCCAAAATTACCCCCCGTCCTGCGGGGGTAGACTGAGGGTGAAACCCGGTGGCGGCCTACGGCCCTATTGAGCCCCCCGCCGCACTCCTTGTAACAACCAAGCCAAGCTCCAGGAAACCTCATCTTCCTTGCCCCATCTGCTCCAGCGTGCCTTCCTCGAACTGCACCTTGCGCTTGCGACCCAGCTGCCCGCCCTCCTCCGCCTCGTCTGTGGGTTTGAGCGGACGAACAGCATCGGGAACAGAAATGAATATCAACGCACTCAGGCCGTATTGTGATGACATCCCTTACCATAGTGTGGACTGGTACCCGAGGCATGGCAGGGAAACAGCGCGAGGGTACATGAGGAGGCCATTTCGAGAGATGATGGTTGCAAGGACCAAGGCAGCGACCCTCCAGGCGCACACTAGCCAGGTATACGTCGACAGCAGCAGAAGCGTGGGGGTGGCAAGAGTACAGCAAAACACACACGCAAGGCAACGCAGATGTCCGCAGAAGGCTGCCCAGCTTCCAAGCACCAGGGGCCCCACACCTAGTGCTGGAATGCAAGTTGAAAGGTGTGCCCACACGTACCCAAACCCTAACACCTGTCCTCAACCCGCTTCACCATACCTGCCACGTCCCGCATCTCCTCGTCTCCACCGCCCGCCGTCACCGCCGCAGCCCCCCGTTGCTGCTCCGCACCAGCCGCTGCCTCCGCTTGCCGCTGCATCTGCAACAGCTGCTGCTGCTGATGTTGTTGTTGTAGCAATAGCTGCTGATGTTGCTGCAGCTCGTAGGGTCCCAGCCCTTGGTACCCCCCCATCCCCGCCTGCTGATACATCTGCTGGAAGTATTGCTGCTGTAACAGCAACTGCAGTTGCTGCTGCTGCTCTGCCGTACCCTGCCCGGCCCCCTGACCCTGCACCCCCCAGCCGCCGCCTGCATCCCCCGCCGCCCCTTCCGCGTACCCCGCCATGCCCTCCACCGCCCCGCCCTCCTGCACCCCCACCCCGCCATGGCCCCCGCTACCCGCCTGCGGCCCCTGCCGCCGCGGGAACTGCGCCAGCTGCAGCTGCATCAGTAGCGCCGCCTGCTGCTGCTGCTGTTGCTCGGCCGCTGACAGCATGACGCCGCCACTTCCTCCTCCCGTACCCCCGCCCTCATAACCCTGCGCAACCCCAGCTCCCGCGGCCCCCCGCTGCCGCCCGCGTTGCTGCTCTGTGTGTGCGGGTGGTGGGTGGCTGGCTGCCCCCGCAGCCCCCTCTGCCGCCTCCTGCCCTGCCCCTCTACCCGCCCCCTGCTGCTGCTGCTGCTGCTCCGCGTCCCCCTCATCTCCCCCCCCTCCTGCCGCACCGGAGGCGTCCGTGCCGCGGCGTCCGGGCTGCGGCAGCTCCGGCTGCACCACCTGGTGGGGGGCGGGAGGTGGGTGCGACAGGGAGGGAGGGAGGGAAATGAGTGGGGGACGGCGGGAGGCAACTAGGGCGGGGTGTTGAGGGGGCCATCATGAGGGCAAACAACAGCCCGGGCTGGGAGTGTCGCTGTTGTCCCACAACACCCTCCACAACAACAACAACCCCCTTCCACCCCCACCCCAGCCATGATGACGTCCCATCACACGGTCAGTTAGTTGTTTCATCTTTACCCCTCCCTCCCACCCACCACGGGCAGGTACTGCAGCTCCTCCTCCTCCTCCTCCTCGTCACTGCTGAAGGGAAGCAGCGGCTCGCGCCCCAACACGTCCAGCTCCGCACCCTCGTCGCCGCCGCCCGCCCCGCCCTCGCCGCCGCCGCCCAGCTCGCCACCTGCACCCTGCAGCAGCGGGGAAGGGGGGGCAGAGGGGTGTGGGGTTGGTAAGCTAGCTGGGTGCAGGCGGGGTCGCAGCGCATCCCCCGCCGGAGCGATTGAGACCCTGCAGTCCAGAGGTGCATGGGGGGGCGGGTGCGGCATGGGTGATTGGAGGCAGTTGCGCGGTAGGAATGTGAGAGCATAAGGCTCCTGGGGAACAGGCAACGAAGGGTGCCGTCAACTCTGTCTTGTTCCTGTCTTGCCCTTCTCCAGTCCACTCCTCCTGTCCTCCTGCTCCCCTCCCCCTACTAAGCCCCTCCCTCGCTCCCCTTTCTCCCTGCTCCCTCGCTCCCCTCCCGCCCCCACCGGCGTGTTCCAGTCGAACTCGTCCTCCCGCTCCACGTACTCCGTGTTCTCATCCAGCTCGCGGAAGTCCGGGGCGAAGGCAGACCAGTTCTCAGCGTGGACCTGGGGGGGGGTGTGGGGGACCGGGACAGGGGGGCAGGTAGAGGCAGGGAAAGGGGAGGGGCCAAGGAGGGGCAAAAAGAGAGGCGAGTGTTAAGGGTTGTCTCGGGCGGGCAACCTGCTACGCCCCTTCAACCTGCCATGTGCGGTCCCTTCCCTTACATCTTCCCCTCTCGGTGATCCCCTCTTGGGCAAGCAGGACAGCGGGAGGCCGGCTCCCTCCTTCTCCCTAGCTCCTTCCTAACCCCTTTCCTCCCCCCTACGCCCCCACCCAACGTCTCCCACCCCCGCCCCCCGCACCCCCACCCCCACCTTGGCCCATATGTATATCCTTCCCGAGGTGGTGCACGACAGCAGCAGCGGCCGCAGCGGGTGCCAGCGGAGCTCCACCGCGCCCTCCTTGGGGCCTGGGGGGTGGGGGGAGAGAGAGGGGAAAAAGTATATAAGTGAAACAACGAGTCCCAATCCCATATCCCGACTCATGCAGGGGGAGGGGAGGGAGGGAGAGGGTAGCGTAAAGGGAGAGGGAGGACTGTTAGGGAGAGCTTTAGGATTCCACATGCATGGAAGACCGGAGAGGTGGATGAAGAGGTGGCATGCGCAGTGACACCTGACACCAGACACGGACACTGCTCTCAAATTCACTATCCAGGGTGCAGTGGCCTCTACTCACAGCCCACCAGCTCGTCTTCCCCGTGCAAGCCACCCTCTTTCCCGCCATCCCGTACTCCCCAACTTGTTCAGCACCCAGCCGCTTCCTATCCCCATTGCGTTTTTCATCGCTTTGCTTTCAGTCGTAGCCCTCACCCCCCCTTCCAAGCTCCACCCCTCACCGCCCCCTTCCAAGCTCCACCCCTCACCCCCCCCCCCGCCCTCCTCACCCTCCAGCATGCGCTCCATGTTGCCCAGCAGCCGGTTCCAAATGTACAGCTGCAGCCCCGCGCCCTTGGCCGCCGCCGCACCCACCACATACTCGCTGTCGTACGAGAAGGCCGCCGTACGCCAGGGGGTGCGCTCCACCGCATTCTGGAAGTCCCGAACCGGCCGCAGCACGCCACCCCCGCCTGCGTTGTTGTTGTTGTTGCTGCTCGTGTTGGCGTTGTTGTTGTTGCTATTATTGGCGTTGTTGTTTGCAGCGCCGTACAGCAGGGAACCAGACTTGATGGACTGGGGGTCCGGGTGGGGGACAGGAAAGTACCGTTAAGTTAAATGCATGGACAAGAAGGAACGATGAAGAACAGAAAAATGCGGAGGTCTTGGTGGGAAGAAAGGCTCTGATAACAGCTTCACAAGAACAGAAAGAACACAAAGAGGCACAGGCCAGCGCAAGGACCCCTTCACCTTATTCGCCAGAGCTTCCGCCAGCTGCGCGTCTGAGGGGTACTGGTACGCAGCCTGCTGCTGATGCTCCTGTAGCTGCTGCGGCTCGGGTGACCCATGGGTCCGTCCTCCTAGCGACCCGCGGGTCGGTCCTCCCCCTGCCACCACTACTTCGTACATGCGCACCCTCTGGTCCGCGCACGTAGCTAGCAGCAGGTTGCCGGGGCGATTGAGCACCAGGTCCGTCACCCGAGTGGAGTTGGGGACCTGTTTGGTTCGCATCCCACCCACCAAGACATGGGAGGTGCAGTTCGTTTATCGGTTAGAGGGCCCGTGTCGTATACACATACAGCACCGCAGACATGTGTTTAGAAGCGTCGGCCTTTGTTGCTGTCAGTGCCGCCGTACCAGCCCCCCCCCCCCCCTCACTCACCCGTACCACGTCCACGATCCGCCGCGCCGCCGTGTCGATCACCGTCAGCAGCCCCCGCAGGTGCCCCGAGATGACCAGCTCACCGTTGCGGCTGAACAGAGCCACACTGCCGCCGCCCGCAACCTCCACACCCTCGCCTTTGGGAGGGGGCGCGGTGCGTTGAGTGGTGGCTAGTGAGGTCCATATACTTTTCTTGCCATTGAAGTCCCTATGCGCTATGCCCCGACATGTTTGCTGAGTGCTAAGTGCGCACCAAGGACAGAAATCACGCATGAGCGAGTCCTAGCCACATACGTGGCCGGCAAGCCCTGCCCTCCTCCCCTTCCTCCCTCTCAGTCTCCCCTGTCCCCCCTCCCGCCCTCCCTCCGCCTCACCCGCCCCAGGCAGCGGCTCCCTGCGCTGCGAGAAGAGGTCCAGCAGCACCGGGGGCCCCTCAGCCAGGCACACAAGGCCCAGCTGCGGGGGCGCGCTGGGGCCGCTAGAGGGGCTGCCAGAGGGGGCGGAGGGGGAGGCGCCAGACGGGGCGGGCGGGCCTCCAGGGTTGGGGAAGAGGGCCACTCGTAGCACAGGGCAGCCCAGAGACACGCGACTCAGCTGCGCGGGGATGGAGGGATACAGGTTGGGGTAAGGTGGTTTGTAGCAGTGCGGAAAGGTGAGTAGGTAAGGTATGAGGGCGGTACGCGCGGCAGGGACCATATATACCTGGGAGCCATCAGCGACATTCCACAGGATGACCCGCTGGTCCTCGGAGCCCGACAGCAAGTATCGCCCATCGCGAGACCAGGAGACTGAGGTGACAGGACCCCTGCATGTCATGCGTGGGGCCGTGAGCACATGGTTCCTTGCACGCATGCTACAAACGGAAAGGCGCGCGCACGGGCTTACTCATGTCCCGAGAGCACCGACGCTACACCGCGCGTGTCAAAGTCCCACAGGACGACTTGTCCTTCTCTTGTCCCGGCTGCGTGCATGAATTCGCTCGGTCAGCGTGCGTCGCCACGGTCCGAAGTTCGCGCGTCTGGTTCCACAGCAACTTGATCGACTACACTTACAAGCAAGCAGTGTCCCTCTCCTGTTGAATGCCATACAAAGCGCCAGTCCATGGTCCAGATACTCCTCAATATGCTCGGGCAATGCGGTAAACTGAAATGGATCTGCACAAAAGTCCGGGATGCACAAGGAAACCAGTCAAGTCAAATAGTTTACGTCACAAAGTACTTGATCAAGTGACTTCCTTGTGTTCTCGCACCTAACAGTCGTCGATTCATGTTTTAGGGCTACACAAGCGCAAATGGAAAGAAGACGGTTATCAGCAAAAGCAACATGGCGTTCATAATCACTATCAAGCTAGGATGGCAGACACGAGTTTGCGGATGGCAAGTACGATGCCCTGCGGTCCGTGCCATGCAAGTTAAGTGATCCGGAGCAGTTACTCGGTTGATGTTGATTACGCCCTCTACTGTTATACACCCGTATGTGTCGTGTTATCTTGGCCATTACAGCCATGCTTGCAAGTTGAAGCACCAACCCTGAACTCCTTACCGAGTTCAGCATTGCTGTGCCAGGATCACTGCTATGACTGCCATACACGATCAATACCTATAAACCAAAACATAGCACAAGTTAGCCATTGTCCGGTTGCTAAGCATGGAGTATGCCAAGGGATTGCTCAGCCGTGCCAAGGAGCTCGCCGTCCAGACTGCGCAGGAACTTCAACAGCGAGCTGCAGTACTGGAAGAGCGTGAAATTCCAGCCGCAGCACTGTCACCTGCCGCGTCGCTTTCATCGTCGGTCCAAAGCATTGAGGCTCGCGTCGCTCGCTTCCAGGCGGAACTTAGAGGCTCCCACATCAACTTAGACAACCTAAAGCGGCTGGCGTTCCATGGCATTCCGGATCAGGGGAACCTGCGTGCAACAGTCTGGAAGGTAAGGCCGCACACCTTACAAGCGCCGGTCCTCCACCCCTCGTCACGTCCAATGGCCACCTCCTTGCCCCTCGACAGCTCGGGGAGATGTTGGCTTCTCGTATGCTCGTATCATGCCATTCAGTCTCACCCCCAGCCATCGCATCTATTGTCTGCATGCCCTTCGATCCCGCTGCCATGCGCACCCTAAGCTGCTGAACGCGCACCCTCCCATCGCAGCTGCTACTGGGTTACCTGCCGCTTAATCCGGAGGAGTGGGGTGCGGAGCTGGCTCGCAAGCGGACGCAGTACCACATCTTCTGCCAGGTAGGGCGTACGGCGAAGAGGAGTTGAATGGCAAGGAGGGGCGTGCGGAGCCGGAGGACGCAAAGCTGAGGCAGTACATGCAGTACTCCGGTAGGGGGAGAACTGGACGAGTGTGTAAAGCCTCCCAAGGCCGCATAAGGGTCTGGCGGCACCTAGCGCGATGGGGTCGCGAGCTTGCACCTCGGGCCAGCTTGTCATGGTCGCCGTGGAGTTGGCGGCCTTGAGGGCGGCCCTGTCCAGGGTTTCATGGCTGCTAGCGCCCGGTAACTCAGCATGCCCCACGCCTTCCGTCCTCCTTTGTTGCCCCCTCCTTCCATCTCGACAGGAGCTTATAGTGGATCCAAAGAGGGCGGCGGAGGAGGAGCCGCAAGGAGCGGGCTGCTCAGGGGCGGCGGCAGCAGCAGCAGCAGGAGGGGGTGTTGGGGAGGAGAACGGGGAGGCGGCGGAGGAGGCGCCGGCCGGGGGCCCGCGGCAGCGAGCGGGGGGAAGTGCGGGCGGGGGCGCGCATGATGGTAGCAGCGACGGAGGCGGCGGCGGGGCTGGAGCAGCGGGGAGAGCTGTGTCGGATCCGCTGCGGGACCCTGGAGACGTGGGCGGTGGCGGCGTGGTGAGACGTGGGCATGATGTGGACTTGGATAAGCCTTCTGGGATCCTCGCAGTCCACCTCACCTCTCTGCTGCTGCTGGGGTCTACCTTCGGTCCCTTAGATCCTTGTCACCCACCCGAGTTACAATCCCCTCCTCTCTGCCCTCGCTCCTCTTCCTCCCAGCCGGTGCAGGACCACCCGTTGTGTCTGGCACACACCTCTAAATGGAATACCTTCTTCAAGGTGCGGGCGGCGGTGGGGGACGTGTGGATACCGGCGTGCTGCCAAGCTCGGTGTCAGGGTCATGCATGAACACCTGAGGTGTCGTGTCGATGACCCAAATGGTCCCCTCCCTTCCCACGCTTCTGTACATTGGGTAGGGGTAACAGCACAGCCCCTCCTCCCCGCCCCCTGCAGGACTCTGAGACGCTGGCCCAGGTGGAGCGGGATGTGCTGCGCACGCACCCCGACATGCACTTCTTCACGGGGGACACACCCGAGGCGGAGGCGCACCGGGAGGTGGGTGTGGGGGCGACATGTGGGGACGGGCCGAGGTCGCCAGGGCGAGGGGGCAGATGCGGCGGGCCCTGCAGTTTAACGGGTACGACTGCTGACCCACATGTTCTTGACGCTTTTACTCGCCCATCCTTTAACAAAGCGCCCGCCTGTCGTGCAATCCGCGCCGCCTCCTCTCTCAGCCCGCCCCTTTCCCCTGATTCCGAACCCTCTCCCCCCAGGACATGAAGCGCGCACTGTTCATGTACGCCAAGCTCAACCCCGGGCTGCGCTACATCCAGGGCATGAACGAGCTCATCGCGCCGCTGTACTACCTCTTCAAAACCGACGCGGCCGACCCGCCGGGTCGGCGCTTTGCCGAGGCGGACGCCTTCTGGTGCTTCATGGAGCTCATCTCGGACTTCCGCGACCACTTTTGCGCGCAGCTGGACAACAGCATGAGCGGCATCAAGGCCACCATCCGGCGGCTGATGCTGGTGCTGCAGTCGCATGACCGGGAGCTGTGGCACCATGTGGAGGTGGTGAATAAGGTACGGGTGCGGGCAAGCGGGGATGCGGTTGGCGTGATGCGCGGTTTGTGTGGGAACACAAGGAAGAGGCGAGATAGGGACGATGCAACTGGACGGGCGGTGTAGGCGTCGGCCGTGGATCCGTGTTGACGTATTTTCGTTAATCCTGTCTCCGCTGCTAACCCTTTCGTTGATGTTGATGTTGCCGTAGGTGGACCCGCAGTTCTACGCCTTCCGGTGGCTCACGCTGCTTCTGAGCCAAGAGTTCGCGTTCCCGGACACCCTTAGGATTTGGGATACCATCCTCAGCGACCCCAACGGACGACTGGACTGCCTCCTCCGGATCTGCACGGCCATGATCTTGAACGTGCGGGACATACTCATGGGGGGTGACTTCACTGTGATCCTGAAGACGCTGCAGCGGTACCCCCCTGTGGATGTCAACGTCTTGCTGCAGCGCGCCGCTGAAATGCCGCCCTGCAGCGTAATCCTTGGTGCAAGCGTATGAGAGCAATGAACGGAGGAAAGGCACAAGGGAATGATTTTTGGAGTGCAAGAGCGTCTGGTGTCATTGTAGCAACAGGTCCAGCGGCAGAGCTGTATGCCTATAGCCCTAGGAATTATATATCATGTGCATTGCTTGAATGATGTGTTCGCTTGCAATGAAAATGCTGCGGGTCATGTGCCTTGCCCTGCTTAGCCGTACCGAGGCGGCGACCACATACGCTTCAACCCCTTTTTAGCACATCTGTGGAACTGGTTTAATTGCTAGGTGTTCAAAACTTACGAGGATGCAAGCGCTAGCCAGCCGTTGCACACGGGCTCAGCCCTTTACCAACTCGCGGCCTGTGGCCGCTCGCTTGCAATGCGGTGTCACTACTCGCCCAGTTGCTCGCCGTCCCCAATTCCAAATTGTTAGCGCTGCCGCGTCTGTTGCTGATGCTGTGGATGTGGAGCAGTATGAGGACGAGCTTGACGTTCCCATGTCCGCGGGAGGCATCCTCTCTCCAGCCAGCGATAAGGTCCGCCTCCGCATTCGCATGCGAGGTTACGAGGTTAAGCTGCTGGAGGACTGCATTGCACAGATCCAGACAGTTGCTGAGGCGACCGGCGCTGTGTTTAAGGGACCAGGTACGCGCTATCGCTGGCGACCAAGCTCGTTGCATTGCTTCTGTAATGAAAAGGTTGCTACGCCTAGACAATTCCTTTGCGTCAAAGTTTGGGATCTGTGAGGTCAGGTTGGGCATGAGATTGAGAAGTAGGCTGCAGAGTCGAACACTGCAAAGGCCTCGGGTGGAAGAGGGGGTTTGTAAGGGCAACACCGCGGGGTGAATCTAGCCTTGTCGCTAGTCCCTGACCAGTCAGTAATTGGGGCGACAAGGGTGGACCCGCTTCGTAAGGTGGAGACATAGTGTGAACGTGCTATCACTCCCCGATGTTGTACGCCCCCCATTCCCCGCCATTGCAGTTATGCTCCCCACCAAGCGGAAGGTTTATTGCGTGCTGCGCTCCCCACACGTCAACAAGGACGCGCGTGAGCACTTTGAGATCCGGACCCACCACCGCCTGGTGGACCTGAAGAATCTGTCTGCGGAGACAGTGTCCATGATGATGGAGTGGGTGCCCCCGTCTGGCGTGGAGGTGGAGTGCAGCATCGCTTAATGTGGGCCTGAATTCAGCACGGAGCAGAGATGCTCCCTACACAGCATGGTTTCAGAGCTGTGCCGCATGGTTGCTGGATTCCCCGCGCATGATGATGAAGGGATAAGAGCGGGGCCTGGGAGGAGCCGGGCCTATTTTGCGTTGGAGAGTGGTTAAGAGTCGTCACTTTGTTGCACGTGATTTTGGGTTAGACACTCTTAAGGACGCCTGACGGGGTTAAGGGCGGCGGGGTTAAGGGCGACCCTTGCTTGGGCGTGTATTAGAACCACGAGGTGTCATCCTGTTTGGGGTTTCCGAAGTTTTTCGTTAATAACGCCACTTCGTTGACTACCCATCCTCTGGACGTGCTTGGCGAGTCCTGACTGGTCTCGCAAGTGAAGGAGTGCAGAACATTTACAGTTGTTGCCCAGTTCGCCACTGGTGCAATGTATACGATTAGGTAGCTTGGTGCATGCAGGGGCCCTTTGTGACACCAACCGCATGGATGGCATAGTCCGTTGGGGCGTAAGGCCAGTACGGGCTATGATACACTGACACGCCTGCTTCACACGTCACCTACACGAGTATGTACGATATAGCTTAACGGCATTAATATGCACATGTGAAGATTGTAAGGTTATGTGCGCAATCGCAGCGTCACGCATTTAATGGTTCAGCGTGTCACATTCTTATCACACCCTGGTCACAGATGGTATGCGTGTGCAACCGGTCAGTCAGTTTCTCCACAACCGTACGCCTCCACGGTACTAGGTCAGACTATCACATGGGTCAATTAAATACATCAAGTGGGTATATACCTCACTCATTATGCGCACGTCGTAAGTCTATAGTATAATCAATAATGTTATTTCCTGCTAGAAGAAGCCGCGCAAAGGTGATCACGAGGTAGAAGTCTTGTCGCCTTGGCCATACCGCTGCAGGAGCGTCAACAGCACGCCGTTGCTCCAGCCAAACCCGACCTGCGGCTCGTACTCGCCGCCACCGCCAACGCCGCCCATCTTGTAGCCGTCGTACTTCTCGTGCATCGCACCTGTTGCATGCCACGCAACGAGGTTCGCACGCATCCACCGGTCAGCGAGCTCCGCCGCTGCGGATTCCGCCCCGGGCACCTGCGCCTCCGACAGGGCCTCGATGGCCATGTGTACAAGCGGAGGCCAGGCGTTCGGGGCGTCCCACTGTTGCCCAGACGGGTAGGTCGATGTTAGGAGACCGCCACCCTGGATGAGTCCCGAAGCCTGCAGCCCGGCCACGGCTGCCGCAGCTTGGGCGCTACCGCTTGCGGCGCAGCCACACCAGAGCGGCACCCAGTTGGAGGCGTACACGCCAGACCGCTGCTCCGCGTCGTACACCGTGGTAGCTGTCGAGCACGGCGGCCGGGATTCGGAAGAGGTGTTGACGACGGCCGAATCGGGTTGCGGCTGTTGCAGCAGCAAGTCGTGCCAGCAGCCGTCCACGGTGTTCCACATCAGCGCATCCATAGCGTGTCTTCGGCGGGCTGCCGCGGCGGTGTACGTGTCCCGAAGCTGCAGGTCGCCCAGGTGTGCGGCAATGGCTGCGATGTCACGCTCAGTGCGGTACAGCCATGCATTGAGGTCAGCGGGGATGACCTGAGGGGTGGCAATAAGATACGTTTAGTTCGGGGAATATCGAAAGCTACAAAAGGGCAACGGCTGCTACGCCCTCCAAACCAAGTGTAGCAGAGAACCCTACCTGTGTGGTGCGCGTGAACTCCAGAGAGCTGCCTCCCACGTACCAACGAGTGCTGAAATCTGCGGCACGAACACCAGCGTCTGGGCTATTCACAAATCCGTCGGCATTCATGAGTTGTCTGGCTACTGGTTTATGTAAGCCACCAGCTATCCACAAACCGGAAGGCACTGGCGCGACCACTATAGGGCGCCGCCAATGCGTGCAAGTGCAATACACATATACGGAGGCATGTAGGGGACCCTGACTTAGACTGAGTTTGTTTCTTATAGTGTCCTTGGCCCCCCTGGCTCGTACGGCCACACTGTACACGCGTACAGACTGTAACTGTAACTGTAACTGTAACTAACTGTAATATACACAATACACTACATCCCCACTTACCCCAGCCAGACTCAGCAGCGCTTGCGATGTCGCAGTATAGCTGAGCAGCCTGGTCTCCTTCAAGGCCAGCGCTGGCGGCCAGGTGGATATCCTCCCTGCGGAAACAGAAAAAGATGGAAGCGTGTCGAGAAGGCAGAGGGCGCATATGCAGCGAAGGCGGCCTTTTGCACATAGCGCAGCTCCTATCATGCGCCCAGGTAACGACACATGGTTGCACTAAGTTTGCCCAAATGCTTCGCCGTACCTTAGGCTCTCGGGGCGTGGCTCGTACAGCTCGGCGTGATAACGGCTCAACTCGAAGACTTCACAGTCATCTACATCCGCCGTACTGCCAACGCCGGCAGCTGCTGCCAACCCCGGCGCCGCACCGTCCGCGCCGCCCTGGCACCCACTCGCAGCTCGGACTCGGACAGCCTTGTTCCCGCTGGTCCAGTAGGTGTGCTGCGCAACCAGCCGAGGCAGGGCATCCGCCAGGAGCCCGTTGTCACCGCTAGCATCCCAGACGGCGAGCACCATGGCGCTGAGGAGTGGCGGCTGGCTGCGGTTGGTGTAGTACGAGCGGGCGCCGTTGGGCACAAAGCCCCAGCGGTCCACCAGGCTCAAAAGGTTGCGCACCAGTTGCTCAGCGGCGGGCACCATGTTGCACGCAACCAGGCCACGGATGACCCAGTACGAGTCCCAGTTGCTGAGGGAGTTGCGGACGGGTAGGGCGGGGAAAGCGGATGGTGCCTTAGTCGACGAGCGCTAGGCGAAAAGGGATAACTGGGATGCGGCGAGTGATGCCTGCGGACATGGCTTACCGGTAATCATGGGCTGCATTGGGTTGCCCCAACGTGGAGACAGTCACTCGCATGTAGCAATGCATTGTGGGTGTGTGAAGTCACGCAGGACCATCGAGGGTGCATGTCATGGTGCTGCGCCATCATGTTGCAGCACAGCCGCTAAGCTCATAACTTACTAGCATTCGCGGAAGCGGTCTCCAGGGACGATGAAGGGGTAAGGAAGCGGCAGTAGTGTATGCCTGTCTGTGTTGTCAAGCACAGAGGAAGACACCTGAACGGGGGCAGCAAACACACTGTATACCGGTGAGTAAAAGATCTGGGATGAGCAGGTGATGCCCCTGACATACGCAAAGCCGGATGACCTGGGGATACGATTATACGTCAGATGAGGCTACGCTGTGCATTCCTGTCTTGGACAGGGCGGCTTACGTTCCGGATTGCCTACGGGACAGGGCAGCTTACGTTCCGGATGCCTAATTCCTACCCAAAACGTGCCCTCATGTGATTCCCTGTCGTGATAAGTGCCTGCTAGGTAACCCAGATCACAGAGTCAAACGCAACAGTGGTGACCCACCTGGCGGCAAAGCGTCTTCCAGAGGCCGTGCACAGCGGTGCCCAACTCGCGCAGCTCGGGGTCACGAACGTTGCTCATCCAGCTTGGCGGATTTTCGCTCCACCCAGCTGGGATAACCGGTTTTAAGTCACTGTGGTAAGCATAGAAGCGGCTTACTTATGTAACTGGGTGCGCTTAGGTACGCTGCTTGCATGATGCAAGGACGTACACATGTTCCTACCTTCCGGGATCGCCAAAGTTGTCAGATACGAACTTCCGCAAGCTCTCCGTTGTTAGTCCTGACGCCTTGAGGACTTCCCAGTCGGCGGCCATTTCGTCCCATGGTCGCACAGCAGGGCAATCGACGAAATGCTTAGAGTCCGCAAACAGCCCAGCCAGCGCAACTTGTTTGATGATGTCAGACCAAAGCTTCGGGCCATCCATCTTCTTGGCTGGCATAACAGTCCCTGTCATCGCGGTGCTCCTGACAGTAATAAATCGTCGAGCCCGAATGCCACAACTTGGAGCGCAACGCACTGGGCGTTGTTCTTGAGTCCTCGTTGCATCCATAGGTCCTGCAGTACCAAGTGTGAATGGTATGAAACGTGAAATGTCGTGAAATGCTTTTAAACTGCTTGCCATGTACGACAACAGCTGAGGCCAAGCTAAGGAGTTTCGATTTCGGTAGTCCCACATACATAAAGCCTGCTGCCAATCATATCATGTTGTACGATTGGATGCTTGCGTCTTCGGCGGAGGGTTGAGGACGTGGCAAAAGCTGCATGTCACCTTGATGAAGCGCAGAATGTCAGGCCGGGATTTCAGAGCAAGGCATCTATGCCAACTGGTTTCATCAAAGATAAAGCAAACAGACTAGATGTGGGCATATGGGCGAAGCCTTAGGAATCCAACCGTGGCCATCGGCAAGCTGACACAAACCACGAGCCCGTGCTCCAATGGCCGCCTAGCTAAACGATTACGGCCATGATGTGGCGTAAGTGGGTATGCGTTTGTCTCTTGTTAATCCTTCGTCCTTTCCGGTGCCTGAGAAGCTGCCCGGTGTCACAGAACCTTTGCGGCAGGAGACCTCGTGCATATGCCGTAGCGTTCAAAGCGAATACAAGAATCTTCTTAAAAGCCAGGATACAGGCCCATAACCCAAATGGCAATCTCGCCAGCTACCTTAGAATGGTTTGAGCGACTCTACACGCATATGAGGTCACACACTGCGTCCACGAGCTACACAACACCGCAGCTGTCATCCTAGGCTGCTGAGGGCGCGGTTCGGAGAGGTGAGGGAAGGGGGGGGGGAGGTGGTGAAGGTGATGGGGAAGGTGAGGAGCCGCACCCGCCCTGCATGTCGCGCCTGGGTCCCCCCCAGAGTGCCAGCAACCTGCCCCCTGCTCCCACTACACCGGCAACGGCAACCCTACCCCGTCCACTCACCCCATCTCACCCCACCGCCCCCCACCCACTCCCCCACCGCCCCCAGGTCCCGCTGACTGCCGTACTAGATGTGGAGCCCGTCGGTGCGGGGGAGCAGGAGGCGGCGGGGGGGAGGGCCCCGCAGCAGCAGTACGGCAGTGGGGGCGGTGGGGCTGCCGGGGATACGGCACCTGACAGCAGCGGAGGTGGTGGCGGTGGAGGAGGTGCAGGGGGAGGAGGAGGAGGTGGCGGTGGTGAGGGCTTCATGTCTCACGAGTCGCTTCCCTCCGCGGCCGCTAGCGGCGGGCGGGGAGGCTACCGACTGAGGGCAGGTGGGGTGGCGGGTGAGGTGGCGGGGAGTAGTAGTGGGTCTGAAGCGGACGGTGTGGGCGGCCTTCCCCTTGATGGGCTGTGTGGAAACCGAACACCGTAGCCCCGCACATCACCGACATCAGTGCAGGCACGTACTTACCGCACCTCGTGGCACGTCACCTCACCCGCACGCACACCACTCGCCTTCACCCGCCCTCGCCCTCACGCTCCCCTCTCCCCCACCACATTGGACAGGGACGCTCTCCGGGGACGGTGCGGTGACAGGCGCCTCCCGCCACACCCAGCGCCGAACAGCTACCACATCCTCATCTACAGCAGCCCCAGCGCCCCCTAGCGCCTCCCCACACGCACTCCCGGACCAGCCGCACCAGCATCACAACGATACCTCCCCGCACCCGCACCCTCACCCGCACTCGCACGCCCACCTGCACAGCGGCTTCCACACGCAGTCCCTGGCGGTGGAGGGCCGAACCGTGGGTCCGCGCCGCTTTGCGGAGTGGGTGCTGAAGTGGCTGGTGCGGGAGCCGGGTAGGTGAAGGAGGGTGGGGAAGCGCTGAACATGGTTACGGTTATGGTAACCAACGGACCGGACCCAGACGTGTAGGCGCGGTGCTGCGGTTCCCTGCACCACTCGGCCCCTCCCGCCCTCCCACTGACCCGCCACCCGCCACCACCCTACACCCCGCACTCTCCATCCCGCCACCCGTCACCCCTCCCACCTCCTCCGCACCCTCCGCACCCTCCATCCCGCTCGCAGCCCTGCTCCGCAGCAAGAGCGTGCTGTGGGTGTCCGAGTGCCGCTCGCGACGCCTCACCTTCCACCTCAGCGGCCGGCGCCGAGTGGAGTGCAGTCTGGAGGGCCCCTGGGAGGGTCCGCCCCGCAGCTGCCTGGTGCTCGTAGGCAAAGAGGAGGCTGCCGTACGGAGATTGAGGCGCGCGTTTGAGGCGGAGGTGCTGCAGCAGCACCGGCGGGGGGCGCGGCGGTGGTGGCGGGGGAGGAGGCAGCGGGAGGGGGAGTAGAAGGGGAGGAGGAGGAGGAGGCGCCTCTTGCGGTGCGCAGAGAAGTGGAGCTGGTGGGTGAGGGCGGGGCGGGTGTAGGGGGAACGCAAGGCGGGGCGGAGGTCGGCGAGAAGAAGGAGGAGGAGGAGGACGTGGTGAGGGAGGTGGCGGCGATGATCGCTAATGGCAACGAGATGTTGGAGGTGTTGGGTGTGTGGGGCGACAGCGGGAAGGAGGTGGTATGCGAGTGTTTTAGGGGAGTCAGGACGTCTGTGGTGGTGGTGGTGGGATGCTTGGGAAGGGGTGGCCGCGAGGAGGAGTGTCGTAGTGGATTGAGTTGTCGGAAGATGGTGCCCCCCACCAAAACGCCACGGGAGACGAGGGGTGTGTTGTCGCAGGGGTGTCGTTGTGAGGTTGGGGTGTGTGTGATGTTGCTCGGTGGGCCCTGTGGTGGGGGCTGTCGTGGACCCTGTGTGGAGGTGTGGAGGTGGGTGGACAGGGAGGGAGGGTGCTGGGGGGCAGCATGAGAGGGGGGGTGATGTAGGTGCAAGTGGAGGGAGGGAGGCGTTGACGTATGAAGAGAGAGAGAGAGAGAGGGTGAGAGAGGCTGTGAACCAGGTGTGTTAAGAAAACTGGCCAGGGGTGTTTGCGTTGCTGTATGTAGGCTGTATGGCTGCTTGGTTGTATGTACTCTTGCATGCGTTGCTATTGTACAGTCGGGTACAGGGCTGCTGCTCTGTGCTATCTGCAAGGGAGGGGTGTAGCCGTGAGGGTAGATAGTGTAGGGCAGGTACCGGTATGTGGAGGGGTCTCTCCGTCCTGGGAGGAGCACCTTCACCTCGAAGGAGACCAGCACCTTCCTGCACCCTCTTCCTGGTGGGGTAAGGCAGTCCTGTGTCACCAGGCGTTGTATGAGAGTGTCAGTTATAGGGGCGAATGGAAGGACAGATGTCTTGCTGACACACATCGTGGCCCCTGAACTAACGTCGTGCCATACGTTGAAGCGGTGCACTACTGCGAGTGCCGTACACAGACCCTTGTGGGAGCCGTTGCACCGTACACCGGCAGCGTGTGCTTGTGCTTACTACTGGCTTACTACTACGAGAGGTCTCCCCATGAGCGGACACAATGCTGGAAGGAGGCCGAGGACAGTCACTAAGTTGGGCCCCAGAGCGCTCGGTCTTCACCCCCACTCACGGTATACAGCCTGTGTGTACTCGCGCTTTGCATCTGAAGTAAGGAGTAAACTGATGTGTCAGTTAGGAAACAGTGAGCGAAGGTCGTGTGGGGTGTGGGGGTTGAGGGCGAGGTGGATGCACACGCAACTTCCTTGTGCCCTTAAGCTCGCCTACAAGGGCGGGACGTGAGAGCAGCAGGTGGCATGAAGCCCCGCTGTAGCCTGCCAAAGAGCCTGTGGGCGCGGCTGCGGTTGGTGAGGTGCTGGGAGCTGTAGCATGGGTCAGCTTTATACCTTCCAAAGCACCTGGTTGGCCCCGCATCGTCCGCTGTCCAGGGTGGGGCCCGCACATACAGCTGCTTGGAGACATTGGGAGGCAAGCACGGAGCGGGGAGTGTTCATCCCCACAACAACACATGCGGCGCAGCTCTCTGCTGCAGTGGTTGATCCTACGATACGATGAGAATTACACGCAGTAAACAATATCAGGCGCAGGGTTGGGCAGGGCAGGACACTAGCTGGTGGGTGGTTCCCTTGGGTCGGGAGGTCCCCAGCTGGGTGGTGGATAACGGTTTCCCACGTGCATGCACTCTTGCCTTCGGGCATGGGCCTGGAGCGATCAATGTTGCAGGGATTTCTGGAAGCGATTGCGACCCACGGGTCTGGAAGACGGTGTTCGTTAGGATTGCGCCTAGGCCCACACCGGTTTTCCCAGTCGTAGGACCGCAAGGTAGCTCAGTATGGCTCCTAGCAGAATGCAGATAGCGGCTGGACCAAGGGCGACATGAGTCAGCACTGCGCAGTGAAGGTACCAGCCGTTTGCCAGGTCAGCACTTTTCGACGCAGTCCATTCCACCCAGGCTACCCTTTTACATGGCTAGAAAAAGGTAACATACAACCTGATCCAACAACCGTTTACTTTGCGAGTGTCATTTCCCATCCTAGCCCCCAAGCGTGGAGTCCAAGGCGACAGCGCGTCAAGCCGCGGACACGTTTTTGCATACAGCAGCACTTTGAAGGGCTTAACTCCTCTATCTTAATCTTTTCAACTTTCTAAATGTCAGAAACGCAGCAGCAGCAGCCCCAGGAACAGCAGCCACAGGAGCCCGCTGGTCCGGAATTTCCTCCAAACACTTCCCCGCAGCAGCCAATTCCGTCATGCATCTGGCCTCAGCTGCTACCAGAGCTTGCGGAGCGCATCATAAGCTTCCTGCCGCCCAACGAGGTCGCATGCATCGTACGGCTGATCAACAAGGCCGCGGCCGCGCAGTTCCGCGGCCCTGGCTACACCACCGTGAAGCTTTCTTCCCCCGTGCCGCCCCACGCATTCAAGGAGCAATGGGAGCGACCAGGTGCCATGCGTGGGATGTCGCTCCAGCGGCGGCAGGCACTGCAGATGCTTACAGCCCGCAGCGGCAGCCTGCGAAACCTCCAGGTGGCAGTTGCCGTCACGGGAATTCGTTTGATTCAGGCGTACGACGGGCGCTTTACCTCCGTTGCCCATGCTGCGGCCGAAGCAGGCCAGCTGGAGATGTGCCAGTGGCTGGTGCTGCAGCAGGGCTACCCCTTGCATGATGTTATTGAAGGGGCAGCTGGCGCCGGGCAGTGGGCCATCTGCGAGTGGTGCCTGGCTGCCGGCTGCCCCTGGAGCAGGGACCCTGTGTACGCTGCAGCTCGAGGGGGCCATGTGGGCCTGATGGATTGGCTGCTGCAGCTGCGTCCGGCAGAAGGTGCACACGTTGGGGCTAAGATGCTGCTTGAAGCAGCCGCTGTCGGCTGCAAGCTGCACACCCTGCAGCGCCTGTACCGTGACTGGGTGGGCGAGCAGCAGCAAATGAGCGACCTGGGGAAGCAATCTATAGTGGCAGCTGCGGCGGGGAGCTCCACACCTGACTGGCAGGACAAGCTAGTATGGCTGGAAACGCAGGGCTTCCCTGGTTCGAACGCTTGCTCAGGCGCCGCCTCCTGCCCAGACGCTCTGGATCGATTGAGGTGGCTGCGAGGGCGGGGCTATCCTCTGGGACATGGCGTGGCAGCAGAACGGGGCAACGTTGAGGTGCTGCAGTACATGCTGTCTGAAGGTATCGAGCTCCATTCAGTACGTGGTAATGGGGCTGCTGCGTGTGGCAGCCTGGGAGCGCTTACCCTGCTGCATGCCCATGGCTGCCCAATGGATGTTGACACAGTCCGGGCTGCAGCAAGGAAGGGGCACCTGCAAGTGGTGGTCTGGCTGGTGGAGACGCTGGGAGCAGCACTGCAGCTGGGTGCAGAGGAGTTCAGGAGTGCTGCCTCTTCAGGCAACCTGGAGATGCTGAGGTGGCTGCGTGAGAGGGGCTGCCCCTGGGATGCTGATGCCATCACATGGGCTGCGAGCTCAGGGTGTGACGAGGCACTGGAGTGGCTAGTGGAGCAGGGCTGCCCCATGCCGGTGAGTGCCGTGCAGGTAGATGTCTGACTAGGGAGGTGTAACCTGCTGGCGTCGTTTGCCTCCTCAATCCGTTTGGATAGATGTCCGCTTATTGGACATTGTCGTGAAGGGGCATGCTGAACAGCTGAGGATGAAGCCCCATGGTACCGCGGGCCGTTTGCCTAAGCCCATTCCAGTCCATGCAAGTTCCCATGCCTGCCTGGGGATGACTGTGATGTGCAGCCCTACCAACTAGAATGCGCGTGACCCACATTACTCGTTCCAGGACGATGGTCTCCCATACCTGGAAGCTGCATTCAACAACGACCTGGCTACCCTGGCCTGCCTGAGGCGGCTGGGCTGCCCCTGGGGCCCGCCTGGGTGCCTCCTGAAGGACTGCCTCCTTTCCCGCCACGATTGCATTGCGGAGCTGAGCTGGCTGCTAGCGGCAGGTTATCCCATGACGGCGGAGGTGGCGCTGGATGGCATGCAGCGAATAACTGGATGGTTTGGTGCAGATGACCTCCATGTGAGGCGGCTGTGGGGGTGGCTGCAGGAGAACCTGGGCCTGCAGCCGCCCCAGCAGGACCCCTGATGATGGGGTGGCTGGCGAGGCAAGCGTAATTAAGGGGCGGTGGCAAGTGCTGAGCGCTGTGAGGGTACGGTGAACCCATGCTGCCGTACTGCTGCCAGTGGTACATGCAAGGGGGTTGCAGGTATAGATAGGGTGCAGGAGGGCTATTGCATTTGGACTTAGTGCAGTGGAAAGGGTTAGCTCGCCTTGACAAGGGCAAGGTGTGCAATTGCCCTGCTGCTACTAGCTGTGTACATGAGCGATGTGCACGTCTATACGCTGCTTTGACATTGTGTCCGATTTCCTCTATCCATTATAAGATGGAGCACATACAGTAGCTTTGCAGGCATACATGAGCATGTGCATGTTCACAGGTGTGTGCCATTGCTGGTCTATGAGGTGTGGCTGTGTGCTGAAGTGAAGGATTGTACAATATACAGACTACACATGCTAGCAGTGGATTCGGTGCAGGCTAGGGCTGGGCTGGGCGCTAGCAAGGGTTGGTTCCCTTGGGTCGAGCCCTGACAAGCAGCAACACGAGCCGCTGCACCAGCAACTACACTGCTAGCAGCGGCAGCATGAGCTTCCGCACCACACCTCACCTCGCCTCCGTCCCAGCAGGGCGCTGTCCTGTGTTGTTGTGCACTGCACTGCGCATCGCTTGCAGTATACCGGTATGCGAGCATGTAGGACAGCGGATTTGCCCTTGCATTGCCCGCTGATAACGTTGCCATTGTTGTTTGTTTGTTGGTTGGTGGTGTTCTTAGGTTGGTCTAGCTTCTCTGGCTCAGGACTGACTTGAAGGATAGTCTGCATGCATCACTTGATTGGCAGTGTAATCCTGTTCACACCATTTACCATAAGGGAGACCCCGACCCCATACTGGCCCTAGCCCCCGCATCGGATCTCCAGTTGTCGCTCTCCTGCACTCGGGTTTCTCTCTTGTGTTTGCCAGCCAGGTCAGGAAGGGAAGGGGCGGCTGTACATATTATCCAGCCATGCATGTTTGTAGGGCAGCCACACGCAGCAGCCATCCCTCTTGCAGCCCCCTACCTGCGACTGCTGCTGGCCCGCCTGCCACAGCACACTGCTGGAGCCTCTCCCCGCCCGCCGGTCCATCATCTTCGGTAGACGTCCAAAGCCAGTGTTGAGGTGCGAACAAAGACAAGGTTCCGAATGATGTAAGGTGTCTCCGCCCCACACGCAGTACCCCACAGATGTCAGCACATGCATCAGGACTGCCCCGCCCCCATGACGGCACTCTCCTCCTGGCGACTGCATTTTCCCAGCTGACACAGGTGCACACAACCCTCCTATGCACAACCTCCACATGCATGTCCGCCCGTACTTACCAGCCCGCTAGTTGCTAAGGGATGATCATGACATGTATACTTTAACAGTGCCAGCGCCACACTCACACCAACACTCAGCGGCCCAGCCCATGCACTTGCAATATGTACACATTTACCATTCGTAACCCATCCTGCCCCATAACCTGAAAGCCGTACACCGCACACGCTCTCACTACCCGTCGTCTGCATCCGATTCATCATCGTCCCCAGCAGGCATCTGCGACATGAGCATTTCTAACAGCTGCCGCCGCGCCTCCACCCCGCCATGCACCCCCTCCTGCTGCTGCTGTTCCTGACCTGGCACACCGGCTCGATACCCCTCCCCAACACCTGTGGCTTCCGTGCCATTGTCAACATCGACAACCGCTGGCCCCTCCTGCAGTCTGCCGTCCACATCCATCGCCTGGGGCCCTGTTCCTAGGCCTTGCCCCTGCGCCTGTCCTGCTATCCCTGACCCCACGTCCACTCTGCCACTCCCTCCTGCTGCTCCCGTTCCTGTTGCTGCGCCGCCTGCTGTCGCATGGCTTGGAGCCGACCCAGATGGAGCCGCTCCTGCTCCTGCTGCGCCCCCACCAACACCGTTGCCCCCGCCGGCACCTGTTGCGGCTGCAGGCGCTGCCGCGGCCGCTTGAGCGCCAGCCGCTGTCCCTCCCACTGCTCCCGCCGCCGCAGCTGCCCCCAGCCCGGTCATCTTGAGCTGCTTGCGGAAGGGCTCATGGAAGGCCTCCATCAGCCGTCGAACCTGCGGACAATCGAGCACGGTAAGAGGCCAGCATGGAGTAGGGGTGAACCGGCAGCAGGAAGCTGCAGCGCATTGCCCACAGCGGAGTCCCGCGCCGACCAAGGCGGCACGAACTACGGGGTGCCGACTCCCCCCCACACACGCACACACTCGCGCTTTCCGGGGGCCGTGGACTTTGCAAAGAACCTCCTTCTCCTCCTCCTCCTCCCCCTCCCCCGCACCCCCGCACTACCTTTGTGGGCCCTATGCCCGGGCACGCCGAGAACGCCTCCGGGTCCTTGCATCGCATCATGGCTGCCAGGCTGCCGAACGCCGTACCCAGCGAGTGCGCGTCGGTGCGGTTGACGCCGCGCACGCTGCCCGCCAGCACGGCTGCCAGGCGGGAGGCGTAGTCGGGCTCCACTCGCTCCTGGATGGCGGAGGCGGGCTTGCTCTCGTAGCTCTTGTAGGTCTCCAACCAGCGGGCGCACTCCTGAGGGGGCGCGGGAAGCGGGAACAGGAGGAGGAGGAGGAGGAGGAGAGAGGAGTTTGCCTGCTGACGTGAAGGTGTGGGCTAGGCACTAGGGCCGGCCCGGGGGGCCGTGTCAAAGAGGAAGCGTTGCGAGACGAAGCTGCACCGCAGTCCCCCCCTCCCCCTAGCAACACACACACACTTATCACACCACACTTTGGAATTTCTTTTTCCCGCCTAGCAACACCCCTCCCCCACCTCCGGGCTCCATGCGCACACCAGCGTGCAGTCCCCAAACACCGCCGCGCGCGTCACCTCCCCCAGCGGCTTCACCACGTCCTCCACGTCCACGTGCAGCAGCAGCACCGTCAGGCGGAACAGGCGCTGCTGCTCGCGGATGCGGTGCAGGACGTAGTCGGGGTGCAGCAGGTGGTACCTGAGGGGGGAGAGGAGAGGAGGGAGGAGGGGGGAAGAGGGGAAGAGAGGAAGAGGGGAGGACTTTTTATTTTGTGTGACAGGGGAGGGGATGGAGGTTGGATAGAACGAGGAGTAGGTTGCACCCACTGCTGCATCAGGCCGGTTCGCACCCTCTCCTCCTGCCTCCCTCACGCCACGTAAACACAGTCCCGTGCGCCGCAGCGGTCACACGTTCCCGTCTCCCGTCTCCCTCCTCTCCCGGCCTCCTACTGCCGCCCAGCCTGAGTGCCTTACCCTCCCCTCCGCTCCTCCGCCCCTCCCCCCCCCCCGCTGCTCATCCAGCTCGTCAGTTGCTTCGTCAATGTCTCATTAATAATATTTCTACCCCCGCTGCTCACCTGAGGCTGAGGAACAGCGCCGCCGTGTTCTGCCCCAGCTGGTAGTCCGGCACGATGTCCGCGAACTGCCAGCGCACGTTGCGGATGTGCTTCAGCACGGGGTTGCCCTGCTGCCGCCGGTTGACCAGCACCACGTTGGGGGGCGGGGGGGGAGCAGCGGCGGGAGGCGGACCCGCGGGACCAGGGCCGGGGAAGGCAGGGGTTCCGCCTCCCCCGCCGGACTGGGGGAGCGTAGGTGACGGAAGCGGGGAGCGGACGCAGGATTCATATGGAAACAGGCGCAGGATGGGAAGAAGAAGAGCAATGTAGGGAAGGGGTTGAGGGCCAGGGAGGAGCTAGGGTGGAGCAGGCGCGTCCGTCACCTGCGCCGGTTGCCAACGGTCCGCCCTGGTCTCCCTCCCACCCCTGCTGCCCACCTCCCGCTCCCCAAGGCCCCCCCACCTCACCCCCGAGTAGAAGGGCGGCGCCGGACCGGGGCCAGACACCGGCCTAGGCGGACCGTACCCCGCTGCCGTACCGCCTCCTCCTCCTCCGGCGCCTCCTCCCCATCCTGCAGCGCTCCCGCCGCCAAGGCCGCTACCGTAATAGGGCACGCCGGGCCCCGCCTGCCCCGCGACCTGCTGCTGCCCCGCTCCGCCTGCTTGCTGTCCTGGCCCCGCTCCGTAACCCGCAGCTCCTGTGGGCCCCGCTGCTGCTGCTGCTGCTGGTGGCCTCGCCCCTGCCCACAGGACGCACAAGGCACGGGATTCCGGCGGGCAGTGTTACCTTAGGGGCAAGGCATGAGGAGAGCCATAGCGTAGGCGCGTATGGTAGGACGCGGCTGCATGTCTGGGTAACTGGGGTGGGATCAATAGCAGTTCTGAACGTTTGTGATGGCAGCAAACGTACCGTGGTGCGGTTGCTGCTGTTGTTGCTGCTGCTGCTGTTGCTGCTGCTGCTGTTGCTGCTGCTGCTGTTGCTGCTGCTGCTGTTGCTGCTGCTGCCTTACAGAGGCCAGCAGGCCCGTGGGCCGGAAAAGGATGGTTTGAGCGCTCGGCCGGTTCGCTGCCTGAACCTCTTGCCAGGAGGGCAATTGGATAAGGGGCCTGGGCGGCTGCTGGTTGCCCTGCGGCTGTGGCTGTGGTTGCGGTTGGCGCTGCTCCGATCGCCGGCTGTCGGGAATACATTTGAAACGGGTTTCGTATAGTGTCTTGAGTCGTTATATTGTTACCATTTTTACAGTATACAGGCTTGTGCGCCAGCACGAAAGCGACATGATGTGTTTTTTTGTACTCACCCGGATACGTCCCCCTCGACAAAGCTAAAATCCATTTCGTATAGAATACTCTGCTTCAGGCTTATGTGGTTCGGTTTTGGTGCTTAAGTCGCAAGGAACCTTATGTCATGGCATATTTCAGTTACGGTAGTCCCTGCCCGTTAAGCGGCTGCAATTTGTTTCGCCTAGCGATTTGTAAGATTAATCCAATTCCTTTCAGTTATTATTGTTGGTGCTGGGGCCGGCCGGTACGGGGACTTTATCACATGACCGTCTTCATGTTACACCGTGAGATTATCCGTTGAGCAACGTTTACCTATTAGCAGCACGTGTAAGAAATGGTACAAAGCGTCTAGATTAACAAAAGTACCGTGAGTGCGGACCCATGGGGCCGCGTGTCACGTGGCGCACGCGAGCACTTCATAGCTCTAGACCCTGGCTGGCCTCGCTAACACCAACACGGGCTTGCCAATGTCGGCCTTGGACACACCGACAAGCTCCAAAGCTCTTGCCATCGCAGCATCGTTCGGCGGGTCCAAGAACTGTCCAAAGGCACTTCCGGCCCAGTTCATAGATGTAGTTAGCGCATTGATCTTTAGACGAGCCCTTTAAAATTCCTACAAGTAAGCAAGCGACCGCATAATGTTCTCGTCCGGCACGTACGTGGTCTGTGTGAGGGAATCCAATGTCCTGCAGTCCGCTAGCTACTGCTGCTGGTCAACACTGCAAACCTGTCGTCATCGTGTATTTATGTACCGTATAATCCGTATTATGTTCAAGCGAAAACCGGAAGGTGTATAGCCGCTGTGGTAGCCGTCGTCACACTTAACCGCTACGGCTGAGGTACGACGGCGTGGGCGCCGCCTTCCGGCGAATAAAGGTTTCCTAGTAGACAAAAGATTCCGGACCTTAGCTTTGGTGGGAACGCGTGATAAATCGGTGCGGATTACTACTTCAACTATATACATCACAGGGGATTGTACACGTGGGTCCACATAAACAATCTTCTACGCCCCAGGGGGACACCTGACCGGCCAGGGCACGCCTGCCATGTGGCGGATCGACCTCCAGCTACTTATCCTGTGCTTCGTTATGCCGCCCGCTGGAAGGTTAGTGGGTCGCTGCTTAATATCTGGTTTACATGATGTGCATAGTTGGCTAGAGCGCTAGCCGCAAGATAGCTCCTCGGTCATCGTGCTACCTCGTGACAAGCCGTTTGAGAATTAAATTTCATAAGACAGTTAGCAGTGTAGTTAAGTGACCCTGCTCCTTGCTGGTTTCGCCGCCGTGTAAGGGCGGATTACGGTTGCCGACGGATAAGGGACGGATTGCGGTTGGCTTATGCCATCTTCCTACGAGAGCGTCTATCATGAATAAGCCAACCATTAACTTGCTCACGTGTTCTGCCGGAGGCATATGCGGCTCGCGTTGCGTCCGGGCATTCACCGTCGAACGACCGACCGTTTGACCCCGGTCACTTGGCTTCGTCGCGCACAACAATCGCTAGCACCGTTTTGCTAACCTTACCAAAGGACAAGCATAATAATACCCGAAACCATTGGCAGTCGCTATTAACGCAGGGCGACTTACAATTCCCGCCGTGCTCCAGTGCCGAATGCCCTTAACACTTTATCCCTTCGGTGTCACCCTCCCTCCCTCCCTTTCGCCCGCCCGTCCAGCTACGCCGTCAAGTACATCTACGCCGGACCCCAGGAGGCGGACTTCGCCACCGTGGACCTATGCCTTAACCTCATCCTCACGCTGTGCGGTTTCGTGCCCGGTAAGAGCACCTGCTGCTATCGTACAGTTTGCCGTCATGCCGTACCATTCTTTACTGTACGCTAGAACGCACCCATTCTATAGCCCATGTCCTGTTCATTCGTTTAAGCACCGAATAATGCAGTTGCTGCTAGCAGCGCAACTGCAGCCTTAACTTTCCTTCCTCCTCTCCTCCTATTCAACCCATGCTACTGGTCGTTTGGAGCCACAACAACAGCATTCACTCCCTGATGCACCAAGACTAAAACATATCGACCGCAGCATCGCACTACCCTCCAGGCCCAAGACGCCGGGAACATCTGTTGCCGGACTACTAACTGGGCGCTTGGTCGCGACGGTGCGAAACTTCTTATGATGCACAGGTGTGGTACACGCGCTTTACCTCTTCGCGCGCCACAAGGGCTGTGCAACCGTGCTCGCTATGGACGCCACGTGTGTCTGGTTGCTGCTTGGGGTGGAGGCCATCATCGTCCGGCTTGTGGCCCGCATGGAGTTCGTGAGACAGATGAGGCAGCAGCAGCAGCAGCAGCAAACGCAGCAGCCACATGATCAAGGTGCGTATGCCATTTGAACGAGTGAATTCAATTATACTTTGAGATTGTGACCCATGGGTCACTTTCCTATGGTGGGGCACATGGTGAGGGTTGGCATGGCATGGCTTTGCAAATTTGGCCTGACTTCGCCTTAGTTTAATGCTCCTGTCTTACTTGCTCCCAGCAGGCGTGGCTGCCTTCGACGGCTGAGGCCCCTGCTGCTGGGCCACGTTAGGCTGCTGAGCGCTGCGCTGAACCAATCCATCAAGAACGTCCTGGTCTACATGCAGTAAGTTGGTAATTACGACACCACTTAAGGATGTTTAAGGAAGTGGGCGGCGAGCGATAACAACCTGTACGGGGGGTCATCCGTACGGCGATGTATCGTACACACCATGGAATTACGCGAGTACCTTGTGATGTGGTGTTTGGGCGGGGGATGTTTGATACAACAATGCATAGTACGGCAACGCGATGGGGGAGGTTTCAAATTGTACCGATGATGATCGCCTGCCAAACCAGCTGGCGCGACTTTCCTAAGAAGGGGATGTCAATGGTTCATTTTCATGGTACGACGATGTCCCTATGTGCCCGTTACATGTAGAAGCAGCAAGTTGCAGTGCGTACTATATTTTTGGACGGGGATTTCGCTGTTTTGTGAAGCCATAAGAACAGAAGCCAAACTGACATCTCCCTTTCAGTGCGGCACCGGTTCGGCAGGCAGCAGGTTGCCTGGTGGGCAGTAGTGCGGGTAATTGGGTTACCGGTATGGGCTCTTCCTTGGTAGTGGTGGGCATGGCGTGTTCCCGTTATTCTTGGTGGTATCCCAAGCTGTTATGTTGATACCCGTATGCACGCAACGGCGCTGTTATGTTGCCCATTGCTGCTGCTGTGTGTTAAAATAACTGGCTGCTGCTGTGTGTTAAGAAAACTGGCCGCGAGTAGGAACGTACTGCTGGGATGTCGGAAGATGTTCCCCATTTGCTGGCGCCCCGGGCTTACCTCCTCGGGCCCCAGGCCGCATCCGTTTGTTGCATGTGTTTGTTGCATCCGTTTGTTGCATGTGTTTGTTGCATCCGTTTGTTGCATGTGGAGTGCCCTATCGCTAATTGGACGTGGCATATTCCCTACGTAGTTGCATTGAGCATCATTGAATGAGCCTTTTCATTTTGCACTGCACGAAGTTGAGGTCTTGTATTCCCATGGCCAATATGTACTAGTTGCCAGGTATGCATACACGTTCGTTGCATTACATGGTAGTGTGATATGTGGGAGCAATTACATACATAAGACGTTGTCACCAATGCTGTGAGTTGCCGTACCTCCCACCGTCTTTAGCTCATTACATCTGCACGCTTTTGCGAGTACTGCCTCCGGGGGCAGCTTTACCGCAACGCAGGAGCGCATGATGCAGGTAGGCACGATGGCACGCAGGCATGTTCCTGTGCATTCCTTCCAGCAATGTACGGCATTTGGGTCGCGCATTTGCCGCGCTGCCGATCTGGCTGGTGGCTGGGAGGAGAGAATCCAAGTATTGGGTGGTAGGCTTTCGGTGTACACTAATGGCCGTGGTCGGAAAGAATCTCATGGCATGGCGGTTGGCTATTCATGGCACTCCGGTGGCTCTGTTTGTCGTACTAATTATGTGCACGTTCCTTGGAGCGTGCGTGCTCAGGGTTCCTATCTCGGCCTTATCTTCGAGGGGCTTTTGCATAAATAGCTGTGACCCATCACACAATGTTGGGCACCCGCTTTCAATGATGTTCTTACTCATGTCCGCGCTTGCCATTGGCTGGAGTTTACCCCTTGCTTACCTAGCCTGCTACGGTAGCTGCAAGTACCGGTAGCATAGGTCCCTGCATTAACTGGTCTGTCGGTTTGTCGTCTTGCCCAGGACGCGCCTTTGCAGGTGCACAGCGTTGTTGTTGTACCCCTTTTTTGGGTCAGGACGTGTCAGCGTTGCATGCGCGGCTAGTGTGCTTGTCCTATTTTTGCTGGATGGTGAGAACGGGAATGGTAAGCTGAAGTTGGCGTTGGCTTATGTAACGGCTACAATGAGCCCAGTACGACACATGGCGACATGGACTGTATGGTACGGCACTAGATAAAGCGAAGGATGGCACGATGCGCAGTACAATACGGTAGGACAGCTGTTGCGTATCATGACTTCATTGACTACTGTATCGCTTGCTGGCATGCTTGTTGCCTTACTTGCTGGTTCCAATACTAATGTGGTTGTGGATCATGGCTGTGGGTCCGCTGTTGAATGTTTGGATGTTTGGGCACATGGGCAGGGTTACTTGGAAGGGTAGTTTAGGGTAGAGGTTTGGAGGTATGCCGGTCTTGCTTGGAGCCTGTTAAGAGCAGCTTGTTGCACATTGCGTTGATTCCCTGCTGTTGTAGATTCCTGTTGGTTGGGGTATGATGAGTGCAAGGGGGTGCTTCGAAGGTATTTGGGTAGGGGAACTAAGAAGCACGCCGTGTGATTGTTAGAAGCCTGTTGAGAGCGGCTTGTTGCGTTGGGAGGAAACCACGAGTTGAGACGAAGCGGGGGTGCTCTACCCAGTTAAGAAGTCGAGTGGGGCTGCACCTGGTACGGCAACAGCAGTCCCTGACCTGTACGGCAGCCTGCTTTGCCCTGGTCCGTAACGTACGGGAACCCTAATGAATGGAGCCTGCGTGTAATACGAGTTACTGCAGCAGACCCGGGCACGCTTTCCATGGCCCCGACCAGCCAGCCGTATTTAGCGGTACAGGTTGTCACTGAACCTATTCTGTGCTGGTGGCCCCAGACGACTGCCATGTGCCCATGTCCCTGCCGCGCAGGGCACAGCCTCAAGAAATTCCTTAATATTAGCGCGGTGCTAAGGTTCAACTGCGGTTGCGGTCCGCTCCAGCTTAAGTAGCCATCTGATGCGGCAACAGGTGTACGGCGTTCCTGTAGCTTCGCAGCCGACAGCGGTTTGGTATCTGGGAGCTCTCGTTAGCATGCGTGAAGCATTTCAAGCGAGCGAACAACTTGCTGCCTAAACTAAGAACATGCGTGCTGTCAGCGAAAGCTCCGTACATGTACGAATGAAGTGCAACGGATGTAGTCCCTTGATTTCACGCTAGGAATTCGCAAGTAGGTGCGCTGAAGACTTACAATTCGAGGTATAGCTATGGCAGTGCCGTAGTTTGACCCACGGGTCAGACGTCATCGGGCGTTGGACGGCAGCTCGCAGCGACTGCCTTCTTCCTCTATAAACATCCCTTTCATTTACACCTATGAAGAGCTTTTTCTTTATACTTCGCTTTTTGAAAGAAGCAGCGTACGGGCTGCTCATTTATACTATCTGCAGACGTAAAAGCCCACAAGCAAGCCACGACGTAGCGGCCCCAGAGCCGTCGCACAGCCCAACAGAGGAGCTTGAGTCTTCAAGCTTCCAGACATGGCGCTAACCTGGGGAGGTGAGCCTAGCAAAGCTGCGTTGCGCTAGCCTCTGCTGGTCTCTCGGCCCGGTGCGAAGATGCTGCGTCAGCAGACAAGGGTTTGCTTAGCAACTGCGCGCTTTCCGATTGCGTGTTCACAATTGGCTACAATGTTTTCGCTTTAGCTAGGCGTAAGGGGGGCTACTCGGTAGAAACCATCGAGGAACGCCAGTTCCTCAGCTAGGCTTGCTTAGGCTCCCTCGTCTGACTGCGACTTACGTGGACGCTTCGGGCTCGTCCCTCTGATGACAGAAAACAGTGTCTCTAGATTGGATGGGATTCCTGCGTCGGATTCTGTGGGTTTGTTCGCAAGGCGGTACGCAGGAAGATACAGCGTTCTAGCTTGTCCTCTGCACACACCCGCCTTCCTCGCCCGCCTGCCATCCTATCTTCCTCGCCTTCCCTTCTCTCTTCCCTTCCTTTTCTTCCGCCTCCCGCACCGCGCCACCTGCACCACCTGCACCCCGCCCGCTGCGCCCATCAGATATTGGCAAGTTCGTGCTGGCCGTCATCCTGCCGCCGCTGGGGGTGCTGACGGAGACAGAGCACCTCAACCGCACCTTCTGGATCAACGTGCTGCTCACACTCCTCGGATACATACCGGGTACGTGTGGGGGTGCTTACGGAGGGCTGAAAGAGGATGAAGCACTATGCTTACATGGGGGCGGATGGTACAGCATGGGAGGCTGTGGAGCAGAGGTAGGAAGGGACCTGTGCTCCCCAGTTTGAGGTTACCAAAGTATGGATAGATACCGGTACTACAAGACAAGGGTTACCCCCCCTGGCTTGGCGGTTGGCTTCCTGCATGCAGGCATCATCCACGCTTTCTATGTCATCCTGAGGTACTGAGGATGCGTTGCAGCTATGGAAGGTGACAACGTGACCCAACAAGGACAACAAGTGAAGGCTGCGCTGGAGCGCTTACGACTGACCAGTCATAGTCCCCACAGACGTTTCGTCAGTTGTTGACGGCGCGATATGGGCGCAGGGCCTGCGACGAAGGTGTCTATGACAGTAAAGGCTCAGTGACTTGACGGTGGTTGTGGTGGTGATAAGGTTTGGCTCATCATCGTTGTTGACGTTGATGTTGTTGAGACACGTGCTGTCATTGGTTAATTGGTACAATGTGCTACATTATACGGGCTGGGATTATCATGGTGTAAGCGCGGGTGCTTTAGTAGCTTTTGTCATCTGCCTATGTCCTTGCTCGCAAAAGGGGGAACCGACGTGCACATTGGAAGTAGGCGGCAGCTCAACAACGACAACAGTGCGACAGGATCTGGGAAAGGAAGCAGTTGGACGCGCCGATATGCGGATGTCGAGCATCCGAGGGTCAAGTCTGCGCCGCGCTAGTATGCAACTTAGTCTAAACACTGGTACTCCAGGAGGCGTAACGCATGTAAATTAGAGTAACCATACTACCCAGAGGGTCCTAGATATACATAGAAACGGGGAACCGTAGGTGCATGTACCTGTATGTCAGTTGTCCATTCTTTCTGAGGAAGGGCCGGATAGAGATGCATAGACAAGGACAGTTAGCATGGAGCAGCTTTGAGTACTAACTACTAAGCGAGTTGCAGGAGCGATGGAATGCCGAATGCGCCAGCTCCGAAGACACTCGTTTTCGTCTGCCGTACAGCTGTTGGACGCGATGACAGACCAAAGTAGCTCCACAGATTGGGCATGCTTCGCACGTTCAATGTCAACGACAGAAGTACCTAATAACCAACGGTGTTCCTGCACTAACGTTTAACGAGCCATACTTTTTACTTGCTTTAGCCACCTGCGAATAATTTACATAATTAGCTTACCACTCTGCACAATTAATCTTAAACCGAGCCTTTAAGATGCGCTAAGTTGGCGGCGGGCTTTCGCCCACGCCGGGGCTTTGCTGTCCTTTACATAAAAGATTAAAGAGTAGACAATAGGTAAAAATGGAATACGAGCCAGCAGAATACCAGAAGCTTCAAATTCGGCAGTATGCGCCTAGGAGCATCCGCGAGACCGCCGAGGGCAAGTACTGGCGCCGCTTTAAGGCGCCCATTATAGCAAAGCAGGTAGGTTGTTCTGCATCGCCATCCTTGTGCCTTCGCCGCCGAGGAACCATACTCCGCCGCCGAGGCTACCGCATCTGCCGTGCAACGAATACTAATACGCGATACGCGCTCAACGTTGCGCCCAATGCAGTTCGGAGCTGTCAGCCACATCGATTTCTGCCCACAGTACCCATACAACCTAGCAGTCACAGCGTCGACGCGGGTGGGTTCCGGAGCGCCAAGGCTCGGTGGCATAGCCGATGGTCATGCATGACTGCGAGGGTTAGGTTAGCCCAAGGGATGATGGGGGACGTAGCATCTCGTAACCAGCGGCGGGTAGGGGAGTGATAGGGGCTGCACACCTGTGACCCAGCTGTTTGATCCGGCTATGGGGCCACCAACCGCTTTAGCTGCTAACCGTTGAAGCCTTGCAGGCATTTGGGTCGCTGCTGTATCACAATCCCCTTGCTTCATAGCAACTGACGCGCCCGTCTCTCCCTCTTTGTCCCCCATTCGTCAGGTCATCCTCTACAACGGCCTAGCTCCCGCCAAAGTGGGTCGCACCCTCAGCCGCTTCCGTGACATCGCCTACTCGGGCTGCTTCCGCTCCGATGGCAAGCTGGTGGTGGCGGGAGGACAGGACGGGGTGGTGCAGGTGAGGGAGGGGACAGGAGAGGGAGGCCCGGGCTGGGAAGGACTGGGAAGCAGCGGGCTAAAAGAAGCAGCGGGGGTCGAGGACGGAAAGGCGCATGGGACGCGGTTGCTAGGACTCGGGCGCTGGTATGCCCCGACTCAGCAGCAGGGAAGGGCCTTGAGGCTCCCTATTGCAGGCAGTGGACCTGGTGAACGCAACGGCGCAGAGCAGGAGGGACTGGTGCTATCGTAGCTAGTCCAGGCGAGCCCCCGGCATGCCGCAGACATTCGGTACGCAGGCGATTTCCCAACGTCATGTCTGTTGAGCAGCGGAGCCACGCGGTCCTCCATCAGTAGCAACAGCATCAGCATGAGCGCAGGTCACGAGCATGCGTTGCAGCCGCGTTGGGGCTGGCGCCTCGCCGACTTGTAGCGTAACCCGAGTTATTGTTAGCAGCTGTCTTGGCAGCAACTCGCCAGGCTGTGCAAGGCGGCTAGCATGTAACCCTTGCGATCAGGCTTAGGCAGAAGGCCAGAGCAGCAGGCGAGGTTACTAGGCCGTCCCCCCTTGGCTGTTTCGCTCCTCCCAGGCGCTGCGCTTCGTCCCTTTCAGACCCTATGTCGCCGTTCTCAATACCGGTACCCTTTCGGAACCACATTGGCTCTCCTTCTGCAGTCCTTGATGCATCCCCAACCACTGTCACCAACCAACCCCACCCCTTCCCCCCCTTCCTGCATGAGTCGGGATATGGGAATGGGACTCGTTGTTTCACTTATTAAATTTTCCCCCTTCCCCCAGGTGTTTGACGCCAACAGTCGGTCGGTGTTGCGGCAGTTCAAGGCGCACAAGCGGCCTACCCGGGTGGCTCGCTTCGCGCCCGACAGGCTGCACGTGCTGTCGGGCAGCGACGACGTAACCGTCAGGTGGGTGCTGCGGGAAGTGGGTGAAGTGGTGTGCATGGGTTTGCATGGGGCCTTGCGCAACCTAGCGACGTGTGCATGTGTGTGTGGAGGGAGACGCAACGGGTTGTCTGCTGATGCGGGATCAACAATAGCGGCACGCACGGTAGCACGTGAAACCTCATCTTCCTTCCCTGTTCCCTCCCTCCATGCCCCTGCCCCCCCCCCAGGTGGTGGGATGTCGCCTCCGGCACGCAGGTGTTGCGGCTGGACGGGCACCGGGACTACGTGCGCGCCGCCGCCTGCTCGCCTGCCGCGCCCGACACCTGGCTGACCGGCAGCTACGACCACACCGTCAAGCTGTGGGACGTGCGCACGGGCGGGGGAGCGGGGCCGGTGGTGGACCTGGACCATGGGGCGCCGGTGGAGGATGTGGCGTTCTTCCCGTCGGGTGAGGAGGGGGGGTTGGATGGAGGGGCGGTGATGTTGAGCATGGAGGAGGGGAGGAGGGACGAGGGAAGGAGGGAGATGGAAAAGAGGAGCAGCAACCTGTGTAGTGCTAGGCGCACGAAATTCGGCTCTGGTCGAAAACGGAGGAAATGCGGCGGCATCCACTCGTTCGGCATGTCGTCATGTTGTCACTGCACTGCAGCCCCATACTCACGCGCCCCGCTGCTCCTCTGATACCACCACCACCACCTCCCCGCCTGCCTCCCAGGCTCCCTGGCGGTCACCGCGGGCGGCAACTACCTGTGCGTGTGGGACCTGGTCAGCGGCGGCCGGCTGCTGCGGCGACTGGACAACTTCCAGAAGACCGTCACCTGCGTGCGCCTCTCGCCGCTGGCGGGACCCGACTCGGCGGCCGCACCGCGCATGCTGGCGGGCTCGCTGGACGGACATGTCAAGGTGGGCAGCACATGGATACCGGTAGATGCCCCCCCTGGCAGGCAGCTTCCTGCTATCATGCCATGGGTTCCGCACCCGCAACATTGCTCCTTCTCAACTCCCTCGCTTATTCCCTCCCTCCTCCACCCCCCTTCCCTCCCAGATCTTCGAGCTGGACTCCTTCAAGGTGACCCACGCCTCCAAGTACCCCGCCCCCGTCATGTCGCTGGGCATCTCCCCCGACTGCCGGCTGCTGGCGGTGGGCATGGCGGACTCCACCCTGTCCGTACGGAAGCACGAGCGGCCTAAGCGCGCGGAGGGAGGCGCCCTGGGCGGAGCGGCAGGCGGGGCGCCGCCGCCCAAGCCCAGGTGGCAGCCCAAGCTCACGGCCGCCAACTACCGCTACTTTATCCGCGGGCAGAACAGCCGCGCAGCTGCCACGGACTTCCAAGTACGGAAGCAGCGGGCAGCCAAGCTGCAACCGTACGACAAGATGTTGCGACAGTTCAGGTGGGAGCGAGGTGGAGGGTGGCCTACCGCCAGAGCGGCCTTAAAACCCTTCTTGGCCATGGATATTGGTGTACTGCAGGTTCCTCATGTTTGTTTACCAGCTTTGACCATGTCTCTCGTCTGAACCCTCCCATGCATGATCATTGCAACCCCACTCGCAACCTCACCGCACCTCGCCCCTCCTGCCTCACTTTCCCGCCACCTGCAGGTACCGTGAGGCCTTGGACGCTGCTCTGTCCACTCGCACACCCGAGGTGGTGGCCAGTGTGGTGGAGGAGCTGGCGGCGCGCGGGGGCCTGCCGGGGGCGCTGGGAGGCAGGGACGCGGAGGGGCTGATGCCGCTGCTGAGGCACCTGATCAGGCATGTGGGGGAGCCCAGGTGAGCGAGGATGAGGGGGAGGAGGGAAAGGGAGAGCGGAGGGGAGGGGAGGCAGGGTGCGGGTAGCTGGAGAATGGATGGTTGCCTACCCTCCTTACCACCTCGTCCAACACGCTGGGTCTTCCTCTCCTCCCCTCCATGCAGGTACACCCGGCTGCTGTCCCACGTGGCCCACCGACTGCTGGACTGCTACTCGGGGCTGGTGGGCGCGGCGCCCGGGGTGGACCGGCTGCTGCGGGCGCTGCACAGCCGGCTGGGCCAGGAGATGGCGCTGGCGGGGCAGCTGAGCGAGCTGGCGGGGGCGCTGGAGCCCATCATGGCGGCCGCGCTGACGGTGGGGTTGTAAGGGGGTCGGGGTGGGGTCAGAGACCACCTCCATGGGGCTGCATGGGTTAGGTGGGGGGGAGGAGGTAACTAGCGTTTGTAGGGAGGTGGGCATGGTGGTACGGTGGACGTGTTGGCAGTGGTTGGCGGGGATTGAAGGGGGGCGTGTTGGTAAAGGAGGCATGGGAGGAAGTTGGATGGGAGGAGGGAAGCCTAAGGAGGAGGCAGAGGAGGAGGAAAGGTTTTGTGGGTGCGCGCGCGGTGCGGGAGGCTAAACCTAGAAACGGGTTGGGTAGGTCAGTGTGGCTTCCGTGATTGGTTGCGAATGGCGGGAGACGGGGCGGGCATACTGTCACGGGCGCTTGCGGGGGCGGGCGTAATGCGATAGGACGGCTCCACTCTGGGCAAGCTGCGCTTAGCTTTTTCCAAGCAGCTAGGCGTGTCGGCCGAGGATTGGAACGAGACCAAGTAGGAGGACATACAAGTTGACATTGTTACAGTCATTGGCTTGCGAAAACCAGGCCATAGAACTAGAGAAGATGACAACAAAAAGGTTGCGAGGTGTCACGTTGGCACTCATATGAGCTGAGCTCATATAATGTTGCTGTCCGAACGTTCTGGGCCGCTTGTTGTGGCTGCATCTCATGTTTCGTGGGAAGGATTTGGCCGCCCCTTTAAGCTTTCTGGTCACAGCTTTTCTTGTTTCCGCTCAACTACACTGTACACCATGGACCGACCCATGGGACGGACTTCTAAGCAGAAAACGAGGAGGCGTTGTCTCGGGTGCAATCGGCATCCTAGCGAGGTGGTTATGAACCCATCTTGAGGTCTCCTGAGCTGGGAGATGTGCGTTAGCAGTGTAACGGCATTGAGCTTGGAGAATGCGGGGTGCACGCTGGAACGCAAGTGGCATTGGCCCACTTAAGCGGCATGGTTTAAAGCTGACAATCCCGCTCTACTCCGGGGAACGCGTGGGATGAGCTGCAGCTGCTTACCATGTGCACTCCTCTCTCGCTCGTGGTGCCTATGCCAATGCTGCAGCGGGACACAACCTGATCGGCGCGGTGTAGCACTTGAGAACATGGCTACGGACCTACGACAGGACCACGAAGCTATGCATGCGTTAATGGCATGTGGCGTCTTGAGCGCTGTTGTTGCAGCATGGCTGTGGTAATGCCTATGGGATTGGGTGCTGTTCTGGGCACGGCCTAAGTCCATGTGGGTACGAAGGAAAAGCCTGTCAAGGCCAGTTGTGGGTCTTTCACACGACCGGATGAGTAACTTTCCAAGCGTTGGTAGATATGGACTGGCCTGCAGTTACCTTTCATGCTTATAGCGTGTAATGCCGGGGTGATGATGGTGGGGACATTGGGTGTTGCGGGGTTTGCTTGCAGTTGTCATGAGGCGGCGCTATCTTGCTGACACGCCGGGATATTAACGATTTATGTTTTAAAGACGGCCACCAATACAATGAGAACTTGGAAACAGTAGAGGAATTGCCCAAGCGCCTTCCGGGCGCTGTCCATGCCAGGCAGTCGAGAGACCGCATAGTTTGAGAGCGTAACAATGTAGCATGCAAGCGATAGTACAGAGCAAATCTGGGTACATCACTGCAGTTGTAGTGCCCTTGAGAGATACACGTCAAAGCCATTCGGCGGATTGAAACTGTCAGCAAAGTTTCAAATTGGCGGGACGGCGTGCGCGTCGCCTTTCATCAGCAAGCCGTATCATGGCGCGCAGCAGTGGTTATGTGTCAGTATAGTCATGAGTAGCCGGCTAACAGGAGGATTCTCTTTGCCAACTGCCGTGTTACGGTAATGCATGGGCCTTTTGTGTGGTACATACCGCAGCGTCTAGGACCATAGAGATGTATTGGTATACTCGCTAAGCAGGATTGTGACTCTCCCTGGCCGCGTTGCCTAGATACTCGAACTCTTTTGACTTGATCTTCACCACCTTGCTTGTTCCCACCTTGCCACCTTTCTCGGCCCTCCAATTTGTAAACGCAGCATCTAAAGTCACACGTTTTTAGAGTAACCTTGCGCGTCTCAGTATGGCGAGCCCAGATGTGGAAGTCAGCCCCAGCGACTTGCGCTTCCGCTTTCAGCTGAACAAGCAGCTCCTAGCTACTATCACTATTAACAACCCAAGTGGTCAGCGTGTAGCCTTTAAGATCAAGACCACCGCGCCAAAGAAGTATGTTGTGCGTCCAAGCTCGGGAGTGGTGGAGCCCCGCTCCAACGTGAGCATCCAAGTCGTCATGCAGGTAAGCTTATAGGCTTGTATACGTGCCATAGGTTGCAGGCTTCGGGCTGGGACAGAACCTATTATTCCAGTACTATCTCTCCTCCCGTGCTTGAGAGTCATTCCCTGCCAATTCATCGTTAACAGAAATCTCTAATATCGCATTTCGGTTACAGGCGCAAAAGGAGTATGCCCCAGAGAACGCGAACTGCAAGGACAAGTTCATGGTTCAGACGACGCCCCTCGGCGACACGGAGCAAATTGATAAGGACACCTTCAGCAAGGAGCTGCGCAAGGACCTGAAGGAATACCGACTGAAGGTCACCATTGAAGGGCCGGCAGCACCGCCCTCGCCGGTCCCGGAGGCCAACGAGGCGGACGACGAGTCCGCTGGCGCCATCCGCAACGCCGGCCCCCCCGCTGCACCCATCCAGATCAGCACGGTATCCGCTCCCCCACCTCCGCCGGCGCCCGCTGCTGCTCCCGCTCCCGTGTCTGTGCCCGTCCCTGAGGCCCCGGCCGTTGACCCTCGCCTTCGCGCCGCCCTGGATAACCTCACTGCGTCAACCTCGGAGAACCAGCAGCTCAAAAGCCAGGTGGACCGGCTGCAACGCGAGCGTGATGAGCTGCGGAGGCAGTTGGACGTCTTCCAGCTACAGCAGGGCGCCCGGACGGCTGCTCCCGCAGCCCAGCCGGCTGCGGCTGCAATTGCCAAGCCGCAACTCACAATGGCGTATGTCCTGCTGGTGGCTGTCATTGCCTTCCTGCTCGGAAACTTCATGCGCTTCTAGGAGAGCAAAGGCGACGGTATGGGATGCAAGAGAGGGAAGCGCGGCTTGGTAGGTTGCAGGTGCTATGGGCACTGGCAGCTGCTGTATGGGTATTGCATGGTTGAGCCGACGTGGGATTGTCCCATCATGTTTTGCTGGCTAAGCTGGAGTCTGCTACAAGCCATCTGCTGCAGAACTCCCCTTATCGTTTCATCAGGAAATGAAATCTCAGTACGGGCGGTTGGGACTCGTAACTCATCCATGGATGAAGCAGGGAGGTGGTGTGGTTAGGGGGATAGGCACGGTTGTGCGGGGCACGCTTTTGGGATTCGCAGCGCTAGGCCAAGCCGTCGCAACGAGGGCTTCTTCTTCAACGAGGGCACATATGTGTGGGCAGTTTGGCTGCCTCCCTGTCGGAGGAGCGCGAGTCAGACATCTAGGACGAAGGGAACGTCCATGAGCACGTGCAAGGCAATCTAGGACTGGTTACACAAACGGGCACGTAGGGATTGGAAGGTGGGTCGCAATGTGTGCGGGATTGGAAGGTGGGTCGCAATGTGTGTAAAGATGGGGGGTTCTCACTAGGGGCGGCGGTACGTTGCTTACTTGACATCTGTAGCCGTGGTTGTGACTTCATATAAAAGGACCATGTTAGATGTGCCATGCCTTGTCGCTCTTGGCAGCAGTTTGGGCTGCGCATGTCGTCCCTGGCTACGTGAGCTGTGTTTCATGACCAAGGCCTTGGTCTGATGGCTGCATAGCGTGTGAGTTCATTGCTAGGCTGTTCTTCCGTTACTTGCCCTCTCCATTGGCGACTTGACCTCCTCCAGTTCGGGGGCTAGTTGGGGCTTAGGTCACATTCCTAGAATCCGGCCATTTGCAGCGCGGTTACATTTCATGGCGGCCGTGCTGGTGGTAAACTTTAGGCGCATCGCTAGGCTGGGGTGCGTGCGGCGTTTCGCCTGCCTGGTCTTTGGAAGGTTTGTGGCGCCCTGTTGGTGTGGCCTGGAGCCCAGGAGCATCGTAGCTTGGTTGTATGTTATAACCCTGCACCACGCAGAGGCTGGTCGCTGCATTTCATAAATGTCGAGCGGGTTGAGTTGCTTGACACTGGTCTGCTGTGCAACGGTATGTAAACCTAAGCACGTTAATTTACCGGCCATCCACGATGATGTGATGCACGGCAATAACCATAGTGCTTTGCAGATATGACATGGGATGGTGGTGAAAGCACGCCAAAACCCACAATCACGGCTCAGCGTACGGCCGGCATGCATGCGCGCGTATGTGGCATAACGCATAAGCTTTGGCAGTTCCAAAGACGTGTGTATACTACTTCCGTCGTAAACATAGCATCTACAATCAGCAAAGACAACTTTCGAGGCTAGCGCAGGGCTCCTGGCCCATATAGCTCCATACCAGCGGCATCCCAGCTGCATGCTAACATCCCCCTCTGCTCTTTCCCTTCCAACCTCTTCCTGCTCAGGTCCTACCAGCTCGAAGCCTAGCCTCCACCATAGCCTCGGCCCATGCCCGCACCTGCCCGCCCTCCAGGTACTTCTCCAACCAACCCTCCGGCAGCTCACCGCACTCGCCTCCCCCCTCCTCGCCTCGCCCCTCTTCCATGCCGCTATCCCTTCCCCTTCTCCCCTGCCGCGCCACCATAGCCCCCAAGCAAGCTCCCACGTACGCAGCCCTACTGGCACAGCAGCCCCCTTCCCGCACTGCCAGCCGCACCCCCCACACATAGGCCTCAGGAGGCAGGGAAGCCCCCCTGCTGGGGCTGGTCAATTCCGTCTGCATGCTGCTGCTCGTACCCTCACCGCTCCCGCCACACACTGTACTGCTGCTCCCATTGCTGCCGTTACTGTCATTGCTCGGCCTGGTATCGGCACTGCTGCTGCTGCTCAGCTGCGAGGCCATGTGCTCTGTGTACAGCACCACCTGGAGCGGCGTCTGCAGCGCGTTGGGCATGTGGCAGTTGCGACCCAGTACGGCAACCGCCTCCGGTACAGGAGTCGTACGGAGCTCCAGGACGCGGAGCAGGTGAGATGCCAGCTCGGGAGCAAGCGGGCCGCAAGAGGGCGCCAGGCGGCCTGCGGAGCAGGGGGGGGGCGGGTGTGGGGAACAGCCGAGAACGTTAACTTTCGGGGATCCTGAAGGAGCCATACTTGCTACGTTGCTAAGCGAAGCGCTCATGGCCGGACTATTCATCTGCCTGGGGTAGGGCGGTCAACGCTCTGTTGGAATGTACGTCTAACGATTGGCCAGTACGGACTCCTTACTGGTTGGTCCTCCAGTGTAATCCTCGCTTCCTATTCATCTGCACGGGAGTAACTCGGTGAAGAAACACAAATCTCTAGTCGTACCCTGCGGCGACTGCAGGTCTTGTACGGCATGTCGTACAGCCTCCTCCGCTGACGCCCCCAGCAGCACCTGCTCAAGCACCACCGCGCCAATACACGCCCAGGCCACAGCGGCGTCCTGTGCAGGGCAGGAAGAGGCGGAGGTAACTATTAAAGGAAACCGGAGTAGGGCATGCAGCCCAACCAACGCCGGTACATGACGCTGTCCCCCGGGGCCTGCTTTACTTCCCGGCATCGTCGTCGTTGCAGTACACCGGTATTTAGGTAGGGAGGTAGGCACGCAAGACGCGCCTCACCGAGTTCTGAGTGACGCGTGTGGCCAGCTCCACACACCGCAGCAACAGCCCGCGCGTCTCCGCCTCCGCTTCCTGCTGCGATTGCTGCTGTCGCCCCTCCTCCTCCACCTGCCTACCCTCCAGTAGCACACCAATACTGCTAGCGGGAGCGCAGGTAGAGGGGGAGGATGGGGCTGAGGACGAAGGAGCCGCAGCTCCCTGCAACGGCTGCGAGGGAGGGGGCGGGGACGGCGTTGAAGGCGGTGAAAGCGGCGGCGGCGCTGCGGCCCCAAACGCGGCCACCAGCGGGGCCAGTCGGGCGATGCAGTTGGCTTGCGCGTCCGCCGCGCCTGAGAGGGGCGGCGGCAGCCCACGAGCGTAGTTGCGCAAGAACGCCTGGCGCGGGGAGGCGGGGGGGGGAGGGAGCACAGGAAGGGGCGGGAGGGAGAGAGCGGGTGTGGGCACGGGAGGAGCAGCAGGAGGGGAGAATAAGAGTCAGCAGTGGTGGACACGAGGAGGGGCGTTGGGCGCATGCGGGAATTGACATTAGGCTTTACACGGTCGCTCCAACCGTACGTGCTCGCCGCGCGCTACCCAACCCCCACCTTGGTGGACACATCCCGGTAGCCGCTGAAGCCGCTGGCCGGACCGAACGCGCCCTCAAAGGCCGCCGCATAGCCCCCGCAGTGCAGCCCGCCTCCCTCCGCTAGGCAGCGCAGCAGCACGCGAGTCTGCTCGCCGTAGGGCGAGTTGGCGCCGGGCGGGTAGGCGTAGAAGGGGCTGCGGGGGGGATCCTGGAACTCTAGGCCGAAGTGGAGGGGGTGGTCCAAGGGGGCGAGAGGAGGAGGTGCGGCGGCAGCGGAGGGAGTGGGGCCAGCAGTGGGGGTGACGGCGGCAGCAATCTGCGAGGGTAGGGGTACAGCCATGTAGGCAGACATGTAGGCAAGAGGAGACCAAGCAAGCCGAGCAAACCAAGCAATGTCGCAATGTACCGCCATGAAACAGGTATCGATGTCATTAAGCATTGGTCAGCGGGGTATGGTGGCGGTCAAGGTCATGGCTTCAGTCCTAGACGCACGGTAATCCGCCACACACGGGGTTGCAGCCCCATGCCGTCCTTTCCCTGCGTGCCCCCCACACCGCCCACACCACAGGTCGCACCACAGCTCCTGTCACTACCGTACTTGGCCAGCCCCCCCCCCCACCGCCTCCCCACCTGGCTGCTCCTTCCCCCGCTCCTCTCCGCCTCCAGCTGCTCCAATAGGCCCGTGTCGTACACCCAGTGCACCCCCATGGCCGCCGCGTCCCCCAGCAGGGACCCCACCACACTCCCCACGCATCGAGCAGCCAGCCAGTCCGAGGCGGGCCCGATGCCTGGCCCCTCAGTGTGCCTGTCCGGTGCTGCTGCCGGGGCTCCTGATGCTGGCGCCTCTAGCAACTGCGGTGTAGGTTGTAGCAGTGGCTGCTGCTGCTGTTGCTGCTGCGGTGAGTGTTGCATGAAGGGGGGTAGGGGGTGGAGGTGCTGGTACGGCAGCAGCACATCCGGATCCAAACTGCAGAGGGAGGGCTGGGAGCGGGTGGGGCGGGTGGGGCGGCAGGGCAGTGAGGGCGCATGAGGTCACTTGGGGCGAAAGTAGGATACTACCGTACTCGGGGCAGGCGGGAGGTGAAGACGGTGCATGGCTTTACGTGCGAGGGGCGCCAGGAGTTATGAGCAGACCAGCCGGCAAGCCAGGCCAGTCGCACAAGGAGCGAAGTCGGGTGCAGGCACCCATTCTGCTTTCGCTCTTTTCACCTGAAGCGCTGTCCCGTGCCGCTGCCCTTCCCTCCTTCCGTCCCCTCTCACCTGCTCCCCCTGCCCGCCCGCTCCCCCCCGCTCTCCAAGCACACACGCCACGCAGCCCACGCGGGTGCTCAGAGCGCTGGCGGCGTCCTCCAGCTCGTGCATGCGCGCGTAGGCGGCCTGGGCGTCTGGAGGGCAGAGTTCCCGTGGGTCAGGAAGCAGTGCTGCTATGGGGCCACCAATCCGCTTGGCAAATCGGCGTGGCTGGGTTAAGGGCATTGATTTTGGTTAATATGGTTAGGTGTTTACCCTGAAAGCGGCCTTCTTTGTTGTAGCGCTGAGCGAGCTCGTGCAATTCAATGGCTTGCTGCTCTAAATCCCGCACCCGCTGCGCGGCCTTCTCAAGATCGGTCTCAGGTGGAACATCGGTGGTACCTAAGCCGGGTGCATGACCCATTGCCTCGTGCGGTGTCTGCATTGCTTGCATAAGCTGTATAAGGCCTCGAGGCGAGGCATGTGAATGTGTGCCGATATGCGAGGTGAGAGTGGATGGTTTCCGATGTACATAGCAGTGAAGATGCATTGAAGCTACACGGTTAAGCAGGCAGTTTCGGTTAACTGTTCCCAAAGGGTAGTTCATTGCGCGAGGCGCGACGGTTGGTTCTGAGCGCACCAGCACAGTTATCGAGGACGAAATAAATAATATGAACAGAAGCGTACTGTTACAAATTACATACAAGAAGAGTGAAGGAGATGGAGACAAGGCAAGGCGTGTGGCGACCACACCAAATGGGCCCAACATATACCGTACAGGTGTGTAGCCGACATATAAGCCGCCTTTACCACTCGAACATTATCATTTCCCTCTTCTCTCTTGTACAGGTACTCGAGTACTTGTTCACAGGTTTGTTAGCTTTGGGAGGGGCCACCTCAAACGGTGGAAGGATGCAAGTGGAAGACGCGACACCGCTTGTTCCTGGGCAAACAAAGCTTGTTAAGCCTAAGACGCGGCGGGGAAAGCGACACCTAGAAAGACGGGCACCCAAAGCGGTGAGCATGGAGGGGAGCATAGGCACGCATGGCATACATGGCGCTGTGATGAACGCAGCTTAACTTTCTGACACCTCTTGTGCGAGGGCTTACGCCCGCTGAACGTACTATGCTGACAGAACTGAGCGCCTACGCATGCCATATTCATTGCGGGAAGGGTTGGGGTCAAGGCCGATAGTCAAGGCGGCGGCGGGTATACCCGGTTGGGAGCAAAGGCTGTTCGAACATGCTTAACATAATACTTTAGCTATTGTTGCCCACACCTGACCTGAAAGCCGGAATAATGACCTTGTCGCCGCGGTCCGCGCGCGCAGGTTGAGGACGCGAAACGTGCTCTCTTTCTCTACGGGAACCAAACAAGCCAGGTTGTCAAGGATGTCCTTACGGACCTCTTCCAATTGAAGCGGGTGGGTACAGCCTCAGACACTGCTTCTGCGATGAAAGCATCGCTTTACTACAGACCTCCCTTTTACGGTTCTCCTGCTTATTCTTACAGCTTGAAGGCCACAAGTTCACACGTAAAAATGAAAATGTTCGGCCGTTTGAGCCTGGCGGCGAGACCAGCTTGGAGTTCTACTGCAACAAGAACAATTGCCCCTTGTTCGTGCTGGGCAGCCACACCAAGAAGCGCCCTCACAACATCGTAATTGGTCGTATGTTCGACTTCCACCTATACGATGCTCTCGAGCTCGGCGTGGACGAGTTCAAGGCGATGAAGAACTTCGGGGCGGCGGGCGCTGCAGCCCAAATCGGCAACAAGGTATGGTCGTCGTAATGATAGATAAGATTTTGGTAACGAGGAGCTATGGCCCGCTATCCCGTAAGGGTCAGCCAGGCAGCTCTCACGCTGCCGCATCCTGTCATCCCTCACCTGCCCATACTGCGCTCCACCAAGGCATCCTAGCGGCCCTTCTCCCAACGGCTAAGGGCATTGCATCACGGAATCCCTTCTTCTTTTTCGAACCTCCCTCTTACTTTCCACGCCCTTGCCCCTATCCTCCCCTCTCCTCTTGCCCTGCTACCTACCAACCTACCTAAAAATGTAGCCCTGCATCATCTTCGTGGGTGAAAAGTTCGAGAGCGTGCCCGCGCTGGCGCTTGCTAAGTCGCTGCTGCTGGACATGTTCCGCGGGGAGCAGATTGATCGCATCAACCTGGCGGGCATTGACCGAGTAGTCATGGCGGGTGAGGATGGTGGGGGCGGGAGCAGGGACGGGAGCCATGCTCGTCATGGAGGCGCTGGGAGGCTGGGTGCCCCCCTTCTCCTGGCTCCTGGCTGGCATGTGTCTCCTTCTTTTCCCACAACCTCGCCTTCCGTCACCCGCTCCCCTCTCCCCCAGTCGCCCTGGACGACGCGCGGCTGCAGCTGCGGCAGTACGCCATCCGCTTCAAGAAGAGCGGCTCGCGCATCCCGCGTGTGGCGCTGTCGGAGATGGGGCCGCAGCTGGGGCTCAGCGTGCGGCGCTACCGGCTGCCGCCCAGCGACATGCAGCAGGAGGCCATGAAGCAGCCCAAGCTTGGCAAGAAGAAGGTGAGGAGGCCTAAGGATGGCCGTAGGGTTGAGCAGCGAGAGAGGGGACTTAAGGCTTCGGGTTTTCCTTCCCCGCCGCCCTCGCCACTCTCCTGACTCTATTCCGAATCCTCTCGCTGCGGTCGTGTGCCGCCCGGCTGCATCCATTTCACGTCTTGCTTCCTTACGCTTCCCGCTCCCCGCCCACTCCCCACCTTACGCCATTGCTTTCTCCTTCCCTCCCCGCAGCAAAAGAACGTGTCCTCGGACGCTCTGGACGGCAAGATCGGGCGCATCTACATGCCCAAGCAGAACATGGACACGATGGGGCTGTCCAAGTACAAGGGAACCAAGCGGGAGCGGCGGGACAGCGCGCGGGAGTCAGCGGAAGCCAAGAAGCGGCCCAAGACGGCGGCGCAGCAGTCGGGGGCGGCAGCGGCAGGCGGCGAGGAGTGAAGGAGTGGCTGGAGGGATGGGGCGGAGAAAGGGGGTTGCGGCGGTAGAGCGGCTGCTGGAGAGGGAGGGGGTTGGAAAGGGTGGCTATGATGGAGAGGAAGGTTATAGGCGCTGTGGGATATGGAGTTGTTTGTTAGGGTGCAGTTGAGTTTGTTGTGCTCAATAGGTTGCTGCACCGGTTTACATGACTCCAATGATAACCAACCGCGTATGTAGACGTCAATCTTAACCAGTAAGGCCGTGCAGGCTTGTTTATGATCACCAAAAGGGGACTCCAGTTATGCTTAGGGGAAGCTGGTGTAGCTGGGTAGCTCTTTCACTTGCCTGTGGCTAATGCGTAGCAGGGTACATAGGTTGTAGGTTTACGTTGTTGGGGAACCCCATTTCAACCCCCTGGGCACACCTTGCCGGTTGGGACACGACGTGTGCGATAGTATGGCTCGGGGCCAATGATTGGCTTCTGGTCAGTTCAGACAGCATTGCGTTTCATTAATGCATTCTGGCATAGACGTGCATGTCTAGTTTTGATCTCCTGTGGAGGAGGCGCTTGGACCGACACTGGGGCTTCCTGCCAATTGCTTACGGCTGCATGCGTCTTCTCGGCGACGAGGGACACTTATGACGGGTATAAGATGCAAGGAGACAGGAGTACGGATGATACAGTACCTGTCAATGAAGGTCACAGTCCAATGTGGGTGTATTGCTGACACGCGGAGGTAGCTGCCCTCCTATTGATTAAGCAACCCTACTGACTATTCACTGCGTTCTGCAACAGCTACTCATTCAGCAGCTCACTGCTAACATGTAAATAGCAAGACACGTGTTCAATGTTTTGGCTGACGTGTATCTTACGGTCTATCTTACAGTAGGCCGTTAACCTGACGTCCGCTGCCAGCGCCATAGCCTTCCAACTCCACAGCTGCGGGCTGTCAACCCAAACACTTTCCTACACCAACTCCTAGCATGCCACCTAGCAAGGACAGCCTTACACCGCAGCGTCCCATCTTCAAACCACGCCACAACACCAGAACTGCCATCACTCTAACCTCAAAATGCCCAACGCACAATCATTCATGCCACAGCAACTCTGTATCAAACACGCGCGAAAGAATAAAGGAAGGCCACCATCGCTACTTATGCTTTATTGTTGGGTGGAATATTTTTGCAGGCAACGTGAATATCTATATGAGGTACATACAAACGGCAAAGGTCATAGCACACAAAGGCAAGCCTCTAGACATGCCACTATGACTCGTTATGGAAACAGACGTCGTGTGCTACGATACCACTCTCAAAACCACAGCGACCCCGGCGCTTTGCCGTACCCAGCATTAATGCCGTACACTGGCCTTTAATGACCCCCTATAAGAGAAGGCAAGGCGCAGGCAGATCAGCAGCCTTGGCAACGACTGCGACGAACACCGGAGCGCAAAAGAGAACACTGTTTAGGTGTACACAATACGGGTATGACATGGCAAACCTGTATCCTTGTTGGTAAGGCCCGAGGCAAACGTCTACGGTACTCTCTAGCAACAACGCTATATACTACGACAAAGGCGCGCAAAATCTACATCAAAGAAATCATCAGAACGACTAAAAGAAGAAAGTTGTATCATGTCAGATGCTGGGCGAGCCCCAAACCCAACCCCTTTAGGAGTTTGCCTAACCGGGCAACATTGGCTCTGTGACGAATCCTCTTATCACCAGGACACGCACACAGAGAGCATGCCAGCCCCTACGTTGTACCCTCCCTTCCCACGGGCACCGGCACACCATAGAACTTCTGACCACATGTCTTGCCCATTATCTGCCAGGCCCATCACCCGTACACCCATACCCAGCACAGGACCAAATCCGGCCGCATCAATCCGTAGGCGCTGCATCAAAACCAACCATTGCAAAGACTGGTCCTACCGCTCCCCGCCAAAACACTGGCACCAATGCCAAGATCCACACCCTCCCTCGGTCATGACACAAGTTGTATGTATCTAGTAAACAGAGTGTCACCATACCGACCCGCTCTACATGCTACTCCCAGGGAAACGCAGTTATCGAACACTCCTATTCCTACCAAACGTTACTCCAGTGTGATGTGCGCGCCAGCGACCCCACCCATGTCGTCCCAAAGGTCGCCCCCTCCTTATGTATCATCAAACCACAGGCCCACATCCGCAGCAGCACGAAGCACATTCCGCCCCTCACACTGTATATGTACTCTTCCCTCTTGAGCTCCCTGGCCCTCTACAAAACAAACACCAAACAGCAGCGCCGCTAACCTTTTACGATTGCTGAACGGTATGACTTGGAACTGTACAACCAACGCTTAACTGTCAGCGTACACAGCCACACGGGCGCTCTCGCTTGCACCTGCCTCTGATGTGCTGTGCATGCGCGTTGCGCGCCTCTCTCGTATGTTATACAACACACACACGCACACAACCCACACTCGCACACGCCTTGGACTCAGCTCAAACGACGTGGGTAAAGAAGATGTACGATATCGCGCCGCGCCAGAATGTCATGTCAACACCATTTAACAAAATGCAAAAGAGGCACTTGCACGTATGTCAACACACAACCATGCCCCCACCGACATCAGCTGTTGTAACCACTTCTCCCTTTTCCATCACTATAAACAAAGCAAATTGCGAGGCACCCACGCACTGAAGGAAAGAATACATACGTACATGGCCCCCATGCGTCAATTCCAAGACATTGTTACTTTATCTGACAAGTCATGTAGTTGTTGCTGTCGTCTTATCGATGTTGTCGTTGCTTGCAAGCCTGTCAACAACGCTTCCTTGCTAAGCAGCGCTCAAGGAGAGACAACTGCGCCCAGCTTGCCCCTCTCGCAAACACTAGCCAGCGTTGCACACCTCATAACTCAGAGCTGTTGTACATGACCGCCCACCCTTCACACAAACAATCGGTGCCTAAAGCTTTTGCGATGCACCGCTGTTGCTGTTGCTGCTCCCCTCACACGACTTCTCACTCACCAACATGACTGAACCAGCTCAATATGCCCTCCATGCCCTCCTCCCTCCCGCCCTATGGCGCCTCTAGGGACGCCACGGCCACGGCCACAGCCCCAAGACTGACGCAAAAGAAGAACAAGCGGTGAACCTGCTCAGGCGCAATGCCGCCGTAGAGCCTCAATAATGACCACCACCACCACCACCAAAAGCACCATTGCAACAGTAGCCACCACATCGCACTTCCAGACACGCAAGCATCTACCCAGACATGCGTCACACGCAGGCGGGCACCTCGCAACACACCGAATGCCCAAGATGCCTACATGCAATGAGGCAAGCATCAGCTGTGGACCGGATGGGCCCAAGGGGTCTCTGCGCCTTTGCACCGGGCATAAGACTGCACTGCACTGCACAGACCACACGCAGAGCACGAGCAACTCCACTTTTCCACATGCGCATGCAGCATGCAAACGCACAAAGAATATCTACTTTGACATGGGGAGCAGCACTGCAACAACTTCCGCATTTCCCGTCATCCATAGTGTAGCAAGGGCAAGATACGGAAACTTCCGATACACGCACCTCCTCACCTCATCCTCAGTAAAGTAAAAGATAAGGACTTGCCCAGCCAAACGAAGCATGGCATAAGCCCCCCGCCGCCGCTGCTGGTGCTTAAAGCGTCCCCGCCAGGCTCTTCAGCGCCAGCATGATCTGCGCCGCCTGCAGCTCACTGCAGCTCGCCGCGCCGCAGCCTTCCTGCGGCTCCGCGGCTGCCGCTGCCACCGCCGTCGTCGGCTCCCGCTCCTCATCCTCATACCGCTCGAAGTGTTCCGAAACCGGGCTGCCATGCAGGCTGTCCTCCGCACTATCGGTAGCCCAACCCAGTTGCTTGCGGTCGCGGAAACGCTGGGTCCGTGTCCGAGCGCCCTGCTGTGTTGCCGGCACAGCAACGGCTTTGCTGAATGCCACCATGGCTGCACCAGCATTGCCCTCTGCAGGAAGCAGAGGCAGTGGCAGCCCTTCATCCGCAGCTGCAGCAGCCGCTGCAGCTGCAATGGGAGACGGGGAGCATTGCCGGGAAGGGAACGTGCTGCCGCTGCCGCCACCCCGCACGGTAGGGTCAAAGGTGATGATGCGCGGCCGCTTGCGTGCCTCCCCAGTCGAGGGCACCGGCGGCGCCGCCGGCAAGGGGGCTGCCGACGCGGGGGCGGCCTCATGGAGTCGTTGCTGCTGCGCTGCACGCAGGAATCCGTCATGGGAGCTGGCAGAGGAACTCGGAGAGGGAGCCTTACCTGCTGCTGCCCCTGCTGTGATGAGCCCCGGTGCTCCTATTGCTGTGGCTAAAGCTGCCTTGCCACCCGCCGCCACTCCTGCTCCCGCTGCTGCTGTTGCCATGTTAGCTGCGACATGCAAGTCAAGCAGCAGCCCAGGTCCCCGCTCCCCCTCCTCCTCACCCAACGCCTGCTCATCCTCCTCCTCCTCGTCATCATCCAGGGGCTCCATGTCATCGTAGTAAGCAGGTCTGGAGCGAACCCGCTTGGACGCCCTGATGCCAGCAGCCCCCGGATCCCCCGTCCCGGCTGCAGCCCCCTTGCTGGCGCCTGCGGCCGCAGCTGGAAGAACCCCCCTGGTCCCTTTCGGCATGGCCCCTCCTGCTGCAAGGCTTCCGACGCCAGAACAGGCAGCAGCTAGTGCTGAGGGCGGTCCCGGCAGCAGCGCGATACGGATCATGTAGTCCTTCAGCACGCAGGACTGCGCGGCGGAGCTGCCACGACTGCCGCACTTGTCAGTGTCCTTGCGGCGTAGCGTGGCATTCCCTGGAGTGAGCGGTGGGAAGGGGTTCGTGTTATGGAACATGCCCAGTGGATTGGGGCACGGTGCGAAGCCGCTGGGCCACATGAAGAGCATCGCACATGACAGACGCCAACTTTATCGGACGTAGAAGCCACTCCGCTGGGAAGCAGTATGCATGAGGCGACACCTTCCGAAATCCAGCTCATAGTGTAACCCAGCTCATAGGGTGAACTCACAATGGTTCTTCACCGCATTCTCGGTGCGGCCCTGAATCATCTTTGCGATGTCGGACCAGCGGTTGCCGTAGCGCAGGTGCGCCGCCACCAGCAGCGCCTCCTCCTCCTCAGTCCAGGCATCCTGCACGGGAGGGAGGGAGGGCCACCATGCGAGAACGTGACTACTTCTAAGGCAGACAAGACAGCGCATCTAGCGTTGCGGAGCAACACCTTGGTGTGATTCGGCGGCTGCAACCACCCAGCGGGACACTGGACAACAGAACCATAAATTCATCTGTGTGCAACCCTTTAGCACAGTAATATCCGAGTGTACAGCAGGCATAGCGCCGATCGCGAATCCCTGCTGGCTTAGCACGGCTGCTTTCACGCCGGCACACTGAATATCTAACCTTCTTGATGTCCGGACGAAGGTGGTGGTTGTAGCGTTCCCGGCACTGCTTGCCTATCCGACCGGATTCAGCGGGCTTTCCCAAGGCAGCGTTGAGATGTCGAGCGATGACGCTCCAGTTGCCCTCGCCGTGCTCCTCAACCAACCTGCAAGGTGGAGAACAAGCCGGCATTAGCACAGGTGTTCTCCTCGCCACACCACCGGGATGCGACGCAACAGCCATGTGCGAATTTAAAAGGCTGGACGCGGTGGAAAGCTGAGGAGCCAAGGCGGTCGCAGAAGGAGAACTGTTCTTGCCGAGGCCACGTTATCGTTCCGAGACACCCTTGCGTAACGGTGTAACGCCCCACCTTTTCAGCAGCTGGTCCTCGGCGCTAGTCCAGCCGCCCTTCACCCGCGCTAAAGGATAACGCCGACGCCGATCTTGTTGAGGCTCCGCCTCCACGGACATTCCAGGGGCCTGTGAGGGGAAGGCAATCGTCATGCGAAGACCCTAACGGTGCAGGAGAAAACAGAAGAGGTCCGGTGGACCATCACCTGACACCTTAGGACTTGCAAATACGATTGCACTACAAACTTCAAGAACAGGAGCTTGAAACTAAGGCTGAGTTTAATAGCCTTACAACACCAGGTGAAGCGCAAACCAAAGAATGGCTACTAAGTAAGTTGTTAAACGAAAAGCCCCAGTGCTTTAAAGGCACTGTTCTCATGCCTCTGGACGTAAGACACTGTTCGCCAGGTGGTCGTAGGTGAGTTCTGATACAAAAGAAGGTGGACGCCTCCGTTGTGAGGTAACATCCTAGAAATACATTCCGATGAATCGCTATCGCATGCCAGGCTAACAAAAGTGGCGTATTGCTGACCATTCCAGAGGAGCGCTCAACGGACGACCAGCGCGAGCAAAAAATTAATAAGGGACGGAAGCAAGACCCCTTTCCTTTTATATATCTATTTTTGGGGGACAGCGCCTAACCAAAAGGCTGTTGCCACTCTGGGTCCTGGCCTAGCGGGCGTCTGCCAACCCGCCAAAAGTTTGCATATAGACCTAGCAACAAAAGGGAAAGACAAATTGAAGCTCCGAAAGCGGACAAAGACCCCTACCTGCTGTCAGCTATATGTAACTCGTCCCGTATGAGCAATCCAAGCCGCCGCCGCCTTAACTACTAAGGAGCTGTAAGAAGTGTAAAGATGATGCGAGCAAGCCTGATGTTGATAAGGCGCCGTAAGAGGAGGGATGGCTGGTCGAGAAACACATACGCTCAAAATGGCTCAGCCCTACGTCCTCCTAAGCAGTCAAAAGCAGCAGAACAACCGCAATAAAGTTCAAAAAATATCAAAGTCGCCTTTGGCACAGGCATGCAACATTTAGCTTCCTCAATAACCCTCCTGTACGGTCCGTATTCTCAGTGACGATGCCGTCAACGGACGCAATCGACAAATCCTCGCAACCCATCATACCCTGCATACGCTCAAAGCTGTAGTGGATTCCGTCTACAGCTGTTTTAAACCTTGTCTGCTGTTGTATACTTTTTCTTGCAATGGCACGGACTAAGCAGACCGCCCGTAAGCATATGGGCGGTGTTGGTCAACAGAAGCGAAGCTCAGTGCTTCAAAAGCACGCGAAGTCCCCGGAGACAAAAATTAAGAAGGAGAACATAGAAACCAGGGCTGTGAAGGGCGTGAAGGCCGTGAAGGGCCTCAAGGGTGTCAAGAAGCCCGTACCAGCACGGAAGAACCCCATTCACGTTGTGGAGAGGCCTAAGCGGAGGTTTCGGAAGGGCACGGTGGCGCTCAGGTAAAATAGCTTTGCCATGTATGTTTGCGCTCTCGTTTAATCGTTAACCGGGGCTCCCTGCAGGGAAATTAAGAAGTACCAGAAGACTGTAGACCTTCTCATCCGCCGTGCTCCTTTCCAGCGCTTGGTCCGCGAGGTCGGTAACACGACGGGGCTCCGTGTCTTCCTCTTCCAACCTTCTGGATGCGCTTAAACTCTCTGTGGTTGCACTGCAGATTGCCCAGAAGGGCGGCGTGAACGGTGAACTCAAGGACGTGCGGTTCAGGGCCGATGCGCTCGAGGCGCTCCAAGAGGCCGCTGAGGCCCATATGGTGGGTGTTTGACCCGTGCTTAGCTTCCGCATGCAGGGGCGCATTTATGTGGGTGATTATCCCCTGTCGCTTTAAAGATCCCTTGATCTCACTGCTCCCGCCTCACCCGGTCCACTCCGTTTCGCATCTCCTGTCATGTTACGTTGCTCCTCCCGCAGGTGGGGATGATGGAGGACGCCAACCTGTGCGCCATCCACGCGAAGCGCGTCACCATCATGTGGGTCGGGCTTGTGGGGTGGGGGTGGCTGGTTGCGAAGGACCGGTTGGGCACGCGTGTGCACTCCTGCCTTGTGCCGAATACCTTTAAGGACACCTGTGTCAGGGTATGACGTGTAATCCCGGTGTGCAAGGCGTCCTGTTGTGGCAGTGATAGCCAACCGGCACGTGCATGTAGCTGGCAACGTACCTAGCGTGCCCCTTTCGTACTGGCCCTGCATGTCCCCCTTGTTGACCTGTGTCACAAGTTCAATCACCTCCCTCCGCACCTCCGGGCTACTTTTCCCCTCTCTCTCTCACATCTTATAGGCCCAAGGACATGCAGCTGGCTCAGCGCATTCGCCGCGAGGAGGCGCTGGACGACAAGTGAGGAAGAGAGGAGGAGGCCAGCCACCGATTGCGTCTGTGGCCTGCTGCATCGCATCAGCCGCAGTAGCAGCTGCTGCAGCAACGAGGGAATAAGTGTACTACAAGTGCTGCCTGCGGCATGTCAGCGTTGCGTGTTGCGGACGCGAATGCGGGGTGTGTGTGACTGGCGCCTGGGGATGGAGGAGGATGTACATAAGGAGGAAAGGAGGAGGAGGTTTTCCGGGGCGTGGAATGCTGTTGGGCATTGCCGCTCTCTAGTTTGTGTAGAATTAGTTCCTAGGCCCATGGGATGTAGCCATGCGGAATTCCACCATGACTGTTCTTCATTGTTTGTGATGGGGTGGGCTGGGGCTGGCCCCGGCAAGGGGAATGCTCTGTCCAGCTATCCTTACTGACGTATGCTACCTAGCGGCATGCACACGGGGAACGCGGTGCTTTTTGGGGCCTGAGCAGAAGAGGACTGCTGAGTTGAGGGGGGCTTGGGGCTTCTGTGTGTGTGTTTTTCGTCGGCCGTTTGTCATACGGTCTAATGACGTTTGTAGTGTTTGTCGTCCACAGAGCCCACCTGCAAGGCCCTAGACCGCGGGCCAGGGGTCCACCAAGGCCTTGCGTTTGCCGCCACACGTTGGGTTGAACTTCTTCACCAGCCGGTGGAATTAGCTTCTCTCTTGTCCACATGGACATAAGAAATGAGGGTGCATGCATGTTCCCTAACTGTTTCCTAGTACCGGTACATTGACACGTGTACCTGTTTCGTTCTTGTATCTTCAATCTCTGGTAACCATGCATGCATGCCGCGGAACATTAGCCGACACGTGAGGCGGTTGTGGCCTTACAGTTACCGGTACTTGCAACCATCAGACGTTGACTGTAAGCATTCCTCGTTGGCGTGTACGTGTGTAGGATGTCTCAAATGCACAGTGCACATTACCGGCAATCATTAGGAAGCGGAAGTTAATCATTAGCCCGTTAGGAGGAATAGCGTCAATGTACGGCAGAGCTCATAAACATTTGGCGACATTAAGGCGCCTGGCACGTGAAACGCGGGTGCGTTGGGAACGGAAGCTGATCATTGATGTTAAGGGCGAAACCGCAACGCGGAAGGATGCAGGAAGACGGAGAGACCGTACTAACTGCAGATTGGACGGAGGAATACGGAGGGACCGCAATTGTGTGGGACGCCGCTGTGTTGTAAACGGGCCGCAGCGACAAAACCAGCGACTTACCAATAACCATAGCCATCCAGTGTCCCCCTCCCCCGGCCCCCTAGGAAGCCCCGTCATACAGCTCGTGAGATTCCTCGTTTTACCACCCACCCCCACCACCACCTGCGCTGTGCTCGAGCGGCCGTGCAAGCCACGAGGCCCCCCTTGCCCCCGAAACGGTACCCTTCCTAGGAGTGCAAACCCCCCAGCTAGCCGTTACTTGGTCCCCATGCCGTGAGCTAGCAAATCTGCCAAGCCACGCGCAAGCGCCCTTCTTTTCCTATCATCGCCATTGACTGCCATGTACTATGTGCCCTTACATTTGCTTTACACCAAACCATGATTTGCTGCAAGAGCCCGTGTCGTTGCTGTACAATACAGCTGACCAATACACCTTAAGTTGCCTAAGAAAAGAATAACGGGCCAAGGGCTAAGTTGCACATCACAGCACGCGTGGTGCTGCCCTCCCTATCACGGCATCAGCTCTCCTCACTCCATTCCACCGCATACCGGTGCCGGCTTCTTAACAGGGATGGGCACGTGTCCACCTCCCCACCGTTATGGGGACAACAACAGCCAGCAGCCTGTGCACTAACCTGTACCCAGCCAGACCTCTCCACTGTCCAAACGCTGGATCGAACAATGCACCAGCCCAACGTGTCACACTGTTCACGACAACACCAACCCGCGCTTCTCGTGCCCCAGCAGCCACGCAAACAACACAGGTACGGTACGTTCAAGACAAGGTACAAGGTCTCAAGTACAGGTGGCTGTACGGGTGCCTTTGACGTGAGATCGCATCGCTGACCCCGCCTTTAGGAACCCTACCATAACCCTTTCCCCTGTCCTCTCTCGCCAGCCTAGCCAAACACAGCGCCACAAACCTCATCAGCACACGCGCTTCCCCTCCCACTCGTCCTGCAAGCTGCGTAGTGAACAACACCCCGATCATTTGCAAGCAGAACTCCTCCCCCTACACAAGACAGCGTCCCCAGTTAGTTTCCTCGTACGGCACCCCTCCCTCAGCACCTGCACGGCAGCTACCAGCACCCCTGCTGCTACTGCTGCGGGCCCTCTTGCAACCCCGGCCGCCTCTGCCGCAACAGCTGCTCCTCCCCCTCCCGCTGCTCCTGCTCCTCTCCTCGCGCCACTGCTGCCTCTCCCTGCACCTGCTGCGCAGCCGCCCCCTCCCCGTCCAGCAGCTGCACCCCCCCTCCCTGCAGCTCCCACCACTGCGCCTCTTGCTGCCACTCCTGCCGCCGCCGCACCCTCTGCTGCTGCCTCCGCGCCTCCGCCCGCCGCCTCCTCAGCCACATCACCAGCGCCAGCCCTCCCGCTAGCGCCAGCAGCACCACACCCTCCCCCGCCTCCTCCAGCTGCGCCCCCACCGCCTCCACCCACCCAGGCCCCCATGCCTCCTCCAACCCACCTGCACCCCCCGCCTCCACCCCCGCCCCTCCTCCTCCACCCAACCCTCCTCCCAGCCCTAACGCCGAGGCAGCCGCGTCCAACCAGTGCCATACCCGCAGCTCGGCTCGGAAGAGTGAGCCCTGCGGCAGCAGCGCCTGCAGGCGGGCCAGCCAGGGGCCGAAGGGGCTGGTGTGCGGGGGCGTGAGGGCGAAGAGGTGCGCGGCCAGGGGCTGCAACCGCGCCGGCAGGTGCGGCAGCAGCGCCTCCCACCAGCCGTGCAGGTGCAGCCAGGCGGAGGCGAGCGCCACCGGCAGCGCGGCGTCGGCCTGGAAGCGAGTGGGGAGCGGGGAGCGGGGGATGGGAGGATGGAGAGGGAGGAGGAGGTCGGTAATGAATTCATGGATGGGCGCGGAAGAGGAGGCCACGTGGCAGGAACCAAGCAACCACCGCCACCCCTCCGCTACCTCCATGCCCCTTCCTTTCTCCATGCCCTCCCCCCTGCTCCGCACCTGCGTGTGTTTGGCCATGCTGTAGAAGCGCGCTGCCAGCTGCAGGTCCCGAGGCACCCCCGCGCCGAACTCGTGCATGAAGCCCAGGTTGAACATGGCCTCGGGGGAGCGCTCCTGGAGGGGTGGGGGTGTTAGGGTGGGAGGCGGGGGAAGGGGCGAGCTGAGGCTTAGGAAGGCCGTCCCCCGTGTCAGCTGACACAGGGATTGGCGCTCTTCCGTGCGCACATCCGCACCCTTCCCAGCCCCCTTCCCACGGCTCTGCTATCCACAGCATCCCCCACCCCGCCCCCAATAGCACTAGACAACTACACCAGTTTGCTCTGTTCAGCCCGCTCGCTGGAGGGTCGACAGTACATCGCCACCGTCGACTCGGTATCGGTAGGGAATGCTCACCACTTTGTTTTATGGCACCCTACTGTTTTCTAACGATTGCTTTGCCCCAACTTGTGGATTCCCTATGGTTCGGGATAATCTTTGGCCCCCACCTGGTACGCCTCGTAGTAGAGTGCCGCCGCGCGCACCCAGTCCTGCCCCACGCCCCGCCCGTAGAAGTGCGCGTCCCCCAGGGCCAGCAGGCTGTGCACGTTGCCCTGCGCCGCGGACTGGCGGTACAGCGAGAAGGCCAGCTCGGCGGCGTGGGGGCCTGGGGGGGGAGGGTGCAGAGCGGGGGGGGATTAGATAAACCGAGCCGCGGAAACACTGACCCTGACCGTAGATAACCGGAAATTGCTTGATGGTCTTCCAGGGGAGCAGCGAGGAAGGGGTGTGGAGGCTGAAGATAAGCGTAAAAAGAAGGGGACGCTGTTTGCTATAAATGCAAAAAACGGTTGCATAGCCAGTATGCCGCCGGCGGTGCACGCGGGGAGGCAGAGCTGAAGCGAGGGCATGGCATGCCGCATGCAATTCCATGTTGCCATCATTCCACTCCACGCCCCCCCCCATCCTTCCCCATCCCCCTCCACCCCCGCCCTACCGCTCGCATACCCCCGTTCCAGCATCCACGCCGCGTTGCTCTGCGCCACCTCCAGCCCCAGCTCCGCGGCGCGCAGGTAGGCCCACAGCGCGGGGCCGCTGCGCCCGCGGAAGAAGTGCTCGTGGCCCGACTGCACGAAGGCGGCGGCGGGGCCGCGCTCCGCCAGCGACTTGAGCATCGTCAGGGCGGGCTTGCAGTTGCTGCGGGGGGAGAGGGGGGAGAGGGGGACGTGGGAAGTGGCCCGGGGACGTGGGGGATGGGGACGGGGTGGTAAGAGGCGGTGCGCACAAGTGAGGACGCCGCCCCGCAAGCCCAACCGAAACTGCAATGACCCGCTCCTCGACTGACTGACAACCCGAACTCTGCTTGCATCCCTAGTAATCCTCCCCCTCCCCCTCCCCCCGCCTCCACCACGCCCCATTCCCCTCCACCCCCCACCCCGCAAGCACTCCTCAGTTCCCATCCCCTCCTCACCGCGGCGTGCCCCTGCCGCCCAGGTGCATCACCGCCGCGTTGTACGCCGCCAGCGCGTGACCCGAGTGCGCCGCCAGCGTGAAGTAGGAGTGCGCGCGCGGGGCGGACTTGCGGCGCACACCCAGCCCGCGCAGGTGCAGCACCCCCATGAAGAACAGCGCGTCGGGGCGGGCGTCTGGGGGTGGGAAGGAGTAGCGAGGGGTCAAGCAGTCAGGAGGGGCGCTTGGGGGTTGCGTCACGGGGAAAGAAGCGGGCAGGGAGGGGATGGGAAGTGGGGCACTTCCCATGGGGCCCCACTGTGCATGGGGCGACAGCAGTGAGACGCGGCAGCAGGAGCTGGTAAGCCTGTACAGGCCGAAGGAGGGCTCCTTCTAGACTCCCTGCCCAGTAGCAACGTTTCTCCACCCTGTTAACGTCGCCCCAGATCCCAAGCGCCCCGAAACCCAAAAGCCGCAGCCCCACGCAGCGCCTCCTTCCCCACACCCACCTGAGTGCATCTGCTCCGCCGCGCGGCTAAAGTACGTAAACGCCCGATCGTAGTCCCGCTCCACGCCGCGGCCCGTCAGGTACAAGTAGCCCAGCCCGAACAGCGCCGACCCATGGTTCCGTTTGGCGGCGCAACCCCACCACTTGAGCGCGGCGGCGTACGAGCGGGCAGTGCCGTACCCATTGGCGTACATGGAGCCTAAATGGGCCATGGCGTCAATGTCTCCGGAGCCGCACTCGCTGCCGCCGCTGCCGGCACCTCCGCCGGCGGTTGAATCGGAGGCAGAGTCGACGCCGGCGGCGAGTTTGAAGTACGACAGGGCGGCGGCGTGATCGCGATCGATACCGTGTGTGCCGTAATTAAGTACCTAGCGGTGTGAAGAAGAAAGAAGCAACCGGCGGTTAAAAGGAATACAGGGGCTTCTGTTAGTGAGTTGCAGAAGCCACGTGCCGGAGTCCTCCAGCGGCTCACACACCGACACATGTGGCGTTGCCCTCATCCTGCAACACCACACCTGGCCATGCATTATCACCCGCCTCTTGCGCACCCTACCCTGCCCCGACCCCATCCCATACATTTGAACTCTTCCCACTGCCCCACCGCCTCCCTACCCACCCCTCCCTCCCCCGTCCCACCCCGTTGTCCTGCCCTCCCTTGCGGTCTGGGCCCCTCCCTGCCCCTCACCTGCCCCACCGCCGTCTGCGCCTCCCTGTTGCCCCGGTCCGCCGACACCTGGTAGTACTGCACCACGTCGCGGTGCCGCTCGCCCCGCAGCCCGCCCGCGCCCCCCGGACCCGCCAGGTGCAGCCGGATGCGCTCCACATGCGGCAGCAGCCCGCCGGCAGCCTCGCCCTCGGCCCCCTCGTCCGCACCCGCGTCCTTGCCCTCGGCTCCGGCCCCAGGCGAGGGGAGGGAGCCGTGCTGGGAGGCGCGTGCAGGGCGCTTGGGAGCCCCGGGAGTGGTGACGCTGTGGCCTCCCGAGGCGGCGGCGGCTGCGGTGGCGGCGGCGGCTGCACGTGTCATATCATCGTCCTCCTCCTCGCCCTCCTCTGTGCTGGCCTCATCGGCCGCGTTGGGAGGGGTGGAGGGGCGCCCCTTGTTGCTGCTGCCGCTGCTGCTGCGGGAGCCGGAGGAGGAGGTGGCGGGCATGCCGGCTGCCAGGTTGCTCACCTGGGTCGCAGGGAGGGGGAGAGAGGGGGTGGAGGACGCGGGGAGTGAAATGCATGTAAAGGGTGGGTAGGTTCACAAAAGCATGAGCCCCGTTGTGGCAGCGTCTGCACTGCCTTCCCCTGTTGCTGTCCTCTCCGCCTCCCCCTCTCCCCACCTGCTCCCCCACTGGCAGGTAGTACGCCGCCGCGCTCCAGCAGGCCCGCGGCACCCCCAGTCCGCCCGCGTGCCGGTAGCCCAGCGCCATGCGGGCCGCCATGTCGCCGCCCGCCGCACCCAGGTAGTAGTGCAGCAGCGCCTCCTGCGGCTTGGGCTGCAGGGACATGGGGGGGGCCGGGTGGGGGTGGATGGGGGAAAGGGAGGGGCTCCAAGGGACATGGGAGGAGGACTGCAAGGCAAGGGGTAAATCAAGCACAGTAGCCCCGTCACGTCCGCACCCTTGCAACCACCCGACCCCAGATCACCCCTCCGCAACCCCGACCCCTTCCCCGCCCCCCCTCTCCACCTGCCCAAACCCCACGATGCCCTCCGCATCCCAGCTGTCCGCCCCGTCCAGCCCCAGCGCCAGCCGCACCCCCATGGCCCCGTGCGCCTCGGGGTCACCCGCGGCGGCGGCGGCGCGGAAGAGCTCCAGGGAGAGGCGCAGGTCGGGAGACACGCCCAGACCGTCCTGGAGGGGAAGGGGTGAGGGGAGGGGTTATGGGCCTTATGCCATGGGGTGTTGAGGGAGGTGAGAGGGAGAAGCGCATCCCTGTGCATCTGTCCCTGCGTAATCTTCAACCCTACCCCAGAGCCGCACCTGAAACGCCTTTGCTAGCTCCCGAAGCGCCCCTCGATGCGCGCTCTTCGACACGTGAACGACATTGTCGTACCCGGGTAGAGCCACATCAGCATCCTGATGCGAGGCCTGGCCACTACCCCGTACAACCGTCCCGTTAAACGGGAACGCCTTGCCAAGCCTGCGGCTGCGGAAGCCGGTGGCTGCAACTAGAAGCTCCACTGCCTTTTGCTGCTCTTGCCATGTAGGCGAACGCTTCGACCTGTGGCAAGGGAATGCGCGATGGGCATGCGCTTGGTTAGGACAACTGCCAGGGGGTCCTTTAGGACATCATCTGCGCATGCAGTTAATGCGCACACCTTAGCGCAATTGCACGACCGTAGAGAGCGTCTAAGGGATGGGCAGGTGCCTCAAGCTGGGATGCCCGCTGGTGTGTCTCTGCCAGCGAGTGACCAAGGCTGATAGCAAGAAGTCCAAATGCAAGTAGATGCGGCAACCATGGCACTGTCATGGCTGCAAAGCAGTCCTCTGGGACAGGTCAGCGGATGAGGCTATCCATGCTGCAACTGCGAAGCCCTTGTATATTCCTAATAGGGTCACACGAAACAACTAATACCCTGTCTAAAAGCGCTAACGATCACCTAATGTAGAGGATATGCAAATCAGAGCGGTTGAGAGCTGGCTTCTAGCATCGATTTGGCAATCCAGCGATAGATCAGGGTTTATACTCCTTCACAGTAAGCCCATATGACATTTAGACCTTCCCATTAAGCAAAGTGGCATGCTGTTGTCTTTGTCTCCGATGGGGATGCACGGCGGTGCTTCATCTTCCGAAGCCCCTAACTGCTGTTGAACACTTGAAGCGTTATAGGTAACAACATTACATTACGTTACCGCATACCTCTATACCAGTCTTTCATAGGAATCGCGTTGCAGTCGTTCATCTGTGTAGACTCCCTCCGTGTTGTCCTCCCAAGTAGCACTTAAGGACTTTCGAGTTAGCATAGGGGCGGCCACAGAGGCCGTCGGAGTGGCCGCCTCCGCCGATACTGAAGCTTGCGTATCACTGTTATCATCTCCATAGCCTCTGGCTGCTAGATTCTAAAAGCCTGTCACCATGAGGATTATGATCAAGGGTGGTGTTTGGAAAAACACTGAGGTGAGCGTTTGCTGTTCTTGGAGTGCCTGGAGTCTGCGGGCTTGGCGGAGCTCCTTCTCAATTTTTACCGCACATGGCCGACCCGACCAGGATGAAATCCTCAAAGCAGCAGTTATGAAATATGGACTCAACCAGTGGGCTCGTATCTCTTCGCTGCTGGTGCGGAAGTCAGCTAAGCAATGCAAAGCTCGCTGGTAAGTGTGGCCTCGGCGGGTCACAGTTGCTGCCTGGAAACAGTGATCTAGATGGGTGGCGTTAGTCTCCTGCGGGGTGGGCACTGCTTTACATGGTATGATTCAGAGTCTTCCTTGGGCATATACCCTCAATGAGTGCAGCGGATGGGTTACGGCGCACGGGCTTGCATGGCGCACAGTCGAAGCTTGTGGGCACAAGGGGGCATGTCACGGTCCTAACATAGCACAGGGCCGTCCAGATGGCTCATCGGAACTCTAGTCTAGGCCGCCGTGTCATGGTTTCTTCGTAGGCTGCATGCTGACCTACGGCTAACCTTGCCTCAAATTTGCGATGAACCGTCCGTCCGCACAACCGGCAGTCACACAGCGTCACAGTACCCTCCACTTCCCCTTCCTCCTTTTCCTCCCATACCTGCACCTTCTCCGCCCGCCCCTCTCACTCCTACCCCCTTCCCTCTGCCTTCCCCTCCACACTCCACCTCCTCCCCCTCCCCCGCTCCCGCCGCCCACGTCATCCCCTTTATCCTGTCCTGGTTACCTGGTGTCTACTCTACCTGGTTTGGTTTCTCTTTGACCCCCTTTCCCCTCCTCTTCCCTCCTGTCACTACCCGTTACCACATGGCTCCTCCCTTCCCTCTCTTTCCCCCCCTCCGAATGCGCTCACTGCATGAGTCGGGATATGGGATCGGGACTCGTTGTTTCACTTATATAATTCCCCCCCTTTGCAGGTACGAGTGGCTGGACCCCAGCATCAAGAAGACGGAGTGGACCCGCGAGGAGGACGAGAAGCTGCTGCACCTGGCCAAGCTGATGCCCTGCCAGTGGCGCACCATTGCACCCATCGTGGGACGCACGCCCGCGCAGTGCCTGGACAGATACGAGCGGCTGCTGGACCAGGTGGGATGGAAGGAGAAGCTGCTGCTGCTGCATCCCTCCGCATGGCCCCCCCTACCCCACTACCCACACCTGCCACACCGCCCCACACCTCCTCCCACCCGCACCCCACCCCACCCGCTCCCAGGCTGTGGCCAAGGACGTCAACTACGACCCGCGCGACGACCCGCGCCGCCTGCGACCCGGCGAGATCGACCCCAACCCCGAGGCCAAGCCTGCCCGGCCGGATGCAGTGGACATGGACGAGGATGAGAAGGAGATGCTCAGTGAGGCACGTGCGCGCCTGGCCAACACACGGTGAGGGGGAGGGTGGAGGGTCGAGGACAGTGTCCCTCCTCCATGAGGTAGGGGTGGGTTTTCGATAAGGACGGCGATGCCACGGTCTTTTCGAACCCGTCCTCACTTACCTCTTTACCTCCTCCGCCAACGCCATCCGCAGTGGTAAGAAGGCCAAGCGCAAGGCCCGCGAGAAGCAGCTGGAGGAGGCTCGGCGGCTGGCTCAGCTGCAGAAGAAGCGCGAGCTGAAGGCGGCGGGCATCGAGGTGCGCGGCAAGTTCAAGAACGCGCGCGCGGTCGACTACAGCGCGGAGGTGGCCTTCGAGCTGAAGCCGCAGGTGGGGAGGAGGGGCGGAGGGGGGCTGAGCAGTGTGGGAGAGAGGATAGGGGAATAGGACACGCTTGATAGCGTATTGGGATTGCGATAGCGGGGCCTTGGGGGCTAGTTGCGCGCATGGCAGACGTCGTATCTCTGCTTTTCGCTGAATCTACCCCGCTTCACCTCTCCTGCATGGCCCCGCAGGCCGGCTTCTACAGCACGGAGGAGGAGGACCGCATCACGCGCAGCATGCAGCAGGTGGGGGCGGGGCAGGGGGAGGAGCAGGGAGAATGGGTGGGGCCGGAAGACCCGCAGATGGAAGGTCTGGAGGGGGGGCTTCGGGTGTATGCAAGGAAGCGAAATAGGAGCTCCTGGACTGTGAGGACTGGGGTCTAATAGCCGACGTACCTTACCAGCCTGTACCCAAGAGCACGGCCCTGTGCCTTACCTTCTCCTCCCCAAGCTCTACCCTCATTCTGCCTCCTGCCCCTCCCCACCCACCACCACAACCCCACTACCTGTGTTACCACGCCCCCAGGAGTTCCGCCCCGTCACTGTCGAGGAGCTGGAGGGGCGGCGGCGCAAGGACATCGAGGCGGCGCTCATCAAGCAGGACATGAAGCGCCAGAAGCTGAACGAGCTGCACGATGCGCCCGGAGCCGTGGCGCAGGCCATGGGGCTGGACCAGGAGGGGCAGCGCAGGAGGGGCAAGCTCATGCTGCCGGCGCCGCAGGTGGGGAGGGGAGCTGCCTGCTGCCCTGTGACTGGTATCCGCGTAGGTGCATGGCCCTCCTGTGCTGAATGCTGTTGCACTCATCACGTGTCTTATCCGCGGCATCCACACGCCCTGGCTGCACCTGCGGTTATCCTTCCCCCAGGTCTCCGAAGCCGAGCTGGAGCAGATTGCCCGCCTGGGCGTCGACGGGGCGCTGGAGGCTGCCGTACAGGAGGGGGCCGGCGGCGACGCCACACGCACCCTGCTGGGGCAGTACAACCAGACGCCGCGACTGGGTCCCGGAGCCACGCCCATGCGCACCCCCCGCGGCGGCGCTGCCGGCGGCGGCGACCGTGTCATGGCTGAGGCTGCTGCGCTGGCGCGGCTGCAGGGCATGGGAACTGTGCTGGATGGCGGCGAGACGGGGGTCGATGTGGCGGCCATGGACTTTGCGGGCGTGACGCCGCGCAATGTGGTCGCCGCCACGCCCAACCCGCTGGCGGCAATGGCGACGCCGTCGGTACGCGGCGGCGGCGGCGCCGCCGCTGCCGGCGGTGCCACCGGCGCGCGAGTGGTTCCGGCGATTGCCGGAGTGGCGGCGACGCCAATGTCAGTGGCGGGGACGCCGCTGCGGGGCGGCTCCGTCGGCGGCGGCGCCTACCCCGGCGCTACCCCGCTCATCCGCGACGAGTTGGGTCTGAACGAGGCGGATGTGGTGGCGGCGGCGCTGGAGGGCGGCGGCAGCAAGCGCGCGGTGGCTGCCCGGCAGGCGGCGCTGCGGGGGGAGCTGCGGGAGCGGCTGGCGGGGCTGCCGGCGCCGCAGAACGAGTACGCGTTCGAGGTGCCCGAGGTGCCGCAGGTGCGCTGGGGGGGAGGGGGGCAATGATGGAGTGCATGGCGTATGCCACAGTAGCCTCCATGGTGTATCTATGATAGTAAGGTTGGCCCCTCATTCATGACCCACATCCTAGTGGCCCCGACGCAACAGGCACCCACCTGCCCCCTCCTGTGTATTATCCCCCTATCCCATGCCTCCTCTCCTCCATGCCCCTCCATGCCCCCCCCTCCTTCCCCCTGACAGGAGGAGCCCGAGGAGATGATGGAGGAGGACCTAGCGGATGCGCGCGCACGCAAGGCCCGCGAGGAGGCGGAGCGGCGCAGGCAGGAGGAGCTCAAGAAGTCCAAGGTGGGGAGCGGGGCCGGCCAGGGTGGATGCTGGCCAGGAAGGGGGAGAAGGGCAGAGGGGAACAGCATGCGGGACCGACAGGCTTGGTCACAGAAGCGCTGTCTGCACCGCCATGCTAGCACAACATCATTCTTATTAACCCACGCCCTTCTTCCATGTCAACTCCCCACTCCAACCCTCCCTGCCACCCTCCCAGGCCCTGCAGCGGCAGCTCCCGCGCCCCCTCTCCGTCGACTCCCTGCCCGGCCCCAAGCCCGCCCCCTCCTCCTCCGCCCCCGCTGCGGCCCTCCGCGACCGCGCCGAGGAGCTGGTGGCGGCCGAGATGGCGGCGCTGCTGACCCACGATGCCATCAAGTACCCGGTGCGGGACGCCAGGGCGGCGGACGCCAAGAAGAAGGGCGGAGGCGAGGGAGCAGCGGGCGGCAAGGGCGGCAAGCCGGCGGGCCCCGCACCCCCGCTGGAGGAGTTTGAGGCGGAGGAGATCAAGTTGGCGGAGCAGCTGGTGGAGAAGGAGGTGAGGGAAGGTTGGGGTGTTGAGGATTGGCGTGAGTAGGCCATGCCGACCGCTGTAACCCTCTCTTCTTCCCTCCTCCTCACCCCCGTTCCACCCACCACCCTCCCCAGGTGTCCTTCCTCCGCGCCGCCTGGGGCCACGCCTCGCTGGCGCCCGAGGAGTACACGGAGGTGTGGCTGGCGGCGCACCGCGACCTCATCTTCCTGCCCGCACGCCAGCGCTACGAGCGGGCCGCCTCGGCAACCAATGTGGATCGAATTGACTCACTCAAGGTGAGGTGGTGGTTGGGAGGGGGCGGGTGGGGCGTTGTAAGAGGTGGTTCATAGGGACAGCTGTGGCGGGAGGGGTAAGGTATGTTATTCAACACCGCCGTTGTAGCCGCAGGAGTGTCTCAAGTTGACCCACTCAGGCAGCCCGTCACATATCCTCCGTACTTCCATCACCCACCCCCGTCGTACCCCTCCATCATCACCACCACCCCAAACCCCTCCCTCATCACTCCCTAACCCAGTCCGAGTTCGAGTGTGTCCGCGGCGACATGGAGCGCGAGGCCCGCCGCGCCTCCAAGCTGGAGGCCAAGCTGGGGCTGCTGCTGGGCGGGCTGCAGCGGAGGCACGCGGAAATCAGCAGCCGGGGGGCGGAGCTGTGGGGGCAGGTCAGGGACGCGGCGCAGGAGCTGGTGTGCTTCAAGGTAGGGGCGCGGGGTGAGGGCAGGGCAGGGGAGGGAGCGATAGAAGGGGAGGAAAGAAGAAGTGGAGGGATGTGGGTTGGGTTGGAGAGCAGGGAAACACGCCGGGCGGAGTTTTTGCCTTTATTCACCCAGGGTTGTGCCCTGCCGGCCGTGTGTACACTAACATACGACTCCCTTCCGGCTTTCCTAACCCGTCCGCCTGCCGCCCTCCTCCCCTCCTCAGGCCCTGCACGAGCGCGAGCTGCGGGCCGCCCCCGAGCGGCTGGAGGCGCTGGTTGAGCTGCTGACGGCCGCCCAGCGCACCGAGGCGCAGCTGCAGGAGCGGTACAAGAGCCTGACGCGGCGGCGTGCGGAGCTGCAGGAGGCGCTGGCGCAGAAGGAGCAGCAGGCGTGATGAGGGGGGCTGTGTGGGGAGATGGGTGGAAGAGGAGAGTGGAGGAGTAGGGGGAGGCAGAAAGGGGAGGTGTATTTGAGGACACGGACGTGCTGATGTAGGCGAAGGTCGTTAGGGTACAGTTGCCGGAGCAGTCCAGAGGGGCGCTTTAGAGGACGGATCCAAAGTGGCGAGAGTTGTATGCGCATTGGGTGACGTGGTAGACGAGAGGTGGGATCTGGTGTACCCCATGAAGGCCAGCTCCACGTTGCGTGTGTCGTCTATGATCGGTTGTTCCGGCATCGACAGTGCTGCGGCTTGCAGCTGGATGGGGCTGCCTTTGTAGTAATCCATGTCAACTTGTTAACGCTATCAAGGCTTTCTATGCCTTGTTTGGCCTGGACGGGAATCTAGCCAGGCCCAGTACCGGTTATGACCCCGACGAGACGCAAAGTGCCAAGCATTCATGCCGTCCCCGCTTACAGCCCCAAGTCACGTTGTCGCAAAAACTGGCGACAGATACAGATAGATGGATGGTTTGCACATTCGTCCGAGGCCGTCTAGGGTTTTCGTGCCCCCAGCAATGGCAGGGTCAATAGCCTTGGTGTCTTAGCATTGAAAGGGGCAAACTCCCCGTCTTGGTGTGCTCGTTGGCTTGATGCTTCCCCACACCGTTGGCGCCCGGTTGGCGGTTGTGCCCCTGAATTCGCTGTTCCATTAAGCGGCTAAAAGATCAACCACCACCTGCCGAGACACACCCTGTGACGGCAATGGGGCAAATGCCGGTAGCCTGACATGACATGGACTAACCTAACCGACAGCGTAACTGAAAATCTATATTGGCACACAAATGCGGAATGCAGGAGTGTCTACTGGTGCTACCGTATCTAACCTTCGCCATACCTCGCACCTAATTAGGGAAAACGGGATTAAAACCAATAATTAAGAAACACCTTTAGGATCCGACCTGCTAAACAGGAACCACCGCGTGGTTCACTGCTACACCTGTACAGCACTCATTTACCGGCTCGGAGCATGAACAAAATTAGTGCAGCTCTTCAACCCCGCAGTTGCAGCTTCCGCTGCCGCTATACTAGTCTACACGAAAACAAGACGTCGTGGAAGATATCAGACTCCTAAACGACACCCTGCTCGATATGGGGAGTAAAACTAAAACCGCTTGCCGAACGCCTGTGACGGTTCACCAAGGTAACACCTAGCGCGTACCAATACATTTACGATGAACATAGACGGGTTGGGCAATGCTAAGGGTCTAACAGGGTATATACCAATACGCATACACCTGTCGGGCTCATAAAAGAACAAACACCGTCAATCCAGTACAGATACACCCGCGGTCCCGGTACAAATACCCTAATACACGCATAATCAGATGTACAATCACCGTGCCGTGCCGTGTATACAAAGTACGCAATACAAATGCCAAGAATCCGAGCTACCTCAGTAAAAACCTGATCGAGGCGGCAATGGGCCCTGCGGTGGCATGGCAGGCCCGCCATTCTGGCCAACAAAGCCATACGCAGCAGCAGTGGCTGGATCCATGGCGTACACCCTCACATCAGGGACTTGAGGTGCCGTACCGTACGGCAACGTAGCTCCGGCGGCGGAACCCGACATGGGCCCCTGCTGCAGCAACCCGCCCTCGGATCCCCTGTTCATGGGCACCGTATCCTTGCCGCCCTTGAAGTAGTTCGCCAGCGGGCTTCCCGTCATGGACGGGGAGGCCCTGGGAGATGCGCAGCGGTTGGTGTCGCCGTAGCCTGTCGCCCAAGTGGGGGTGACGCCGTAGCCGGGGGTGCCCATGACCAACGGCGGCGGCGGTGCAGGATACGGCGGGGCCGAGGGAGCCACAGGCGGATACATCATTAGCAAGCCATCCGCAGCACCGCCGCCACTGCTGCGCGCACCACCGCCGCCACTGCTGCGCGCACCACCGCCGCCACTGCTGCGCGCACCACCACCGCTGTAACCGCGGCCGCCACTGCCGGCGCCCCGGCTGCGGTGATAACGGTTCGGAAGTGGGTAATCCTTCGGATTAAAGCACGAGCAGCCGCAGCGCTTGCCGACGGGCATGTCATCCAGGTTCTTGATCACCATGATAGCGCTCAGCGCCGCCATCAACGCAAGCAGCCCGCACCCCGTGGCACACACCCATGCCATGAAGACCTTCCCGGCTACACCGCAGCAACCCCAGGACGTGATGCTGTTGTACTGAACCAGCACAGCGGCCCTGTCGCTCATCTGCAGCAGCGTCCCGAGGTTCGACATGACATTCGCGGCTGCGGAACTCATGTCCACCAGCACGCCGCCCAGTTCGTACTGTACGGCACCTAGGCTGCCCGGCCATGTGGTGAAGGTGGTGGAGTTGAGGCTGGTTCCGTTGGGCGGTGCTGGCAGCAGAAGCGGCTCCAATAGCTGGCTCTGTAGGAGGTCTGATGCGATAGTCAGGTGCGAAGTGTCGCCCAAGCCGGCGTTACGGAGGACGGCGCTGAGGGTGCCTCCGACGCCCTGCGTAGCAGCACGGGGGTACCTTATCAGTGTACACATGTAATGGCTGGTAGGGCAGGGTCACTAGAGCAGGCACACAGAAGTGCAGTGCTTGCGGGCACTGTGCGGAATTAGCACTCCAGGCTCTCTTAAGAGGCCTCTGTATCTCCTATGCAGCTCCAGGGCTGCATAACAACCGCACCTGCAGGTAGTACCGCACCATCGGATACAGCGGGGAGCTGGGTGACACCGCCGAGAGGACGATGCTGTCCGCACTGCCGCACGCATCATGCAACATCACCAGAGCGCCCGCCGCCACCCAGGCTCCAGCCAGCACGATCAAGGACAGCAGCAGCTGCAGGATCACCACAGTAAGAAGGCCCGCTGGGAAGTTCAAGAACGCCGCCACGCCCAACAGAATGCAGGAGGTGATCACTGCCGCATAAATGCCCACAGCAACCCAGTAGGCTATGTTGGAGTACTTCCGTGTTGTCGAGCCGCGCAGCGTGTCGACAATGTCTCCGACCCGTTGTACGAGATGTTGTCGTACGGAATCCGTGGCGTTAGAAACAGCGCTGCTAGATGAGGAGGATTGAAGCAGTGAACGGCGATGAGATGCAGGAGGCAAGGGCGACAGCATTGACGAAAGCTGCTTGCCTAGGGCAACATCTAGCTGTTCGGTGACGGCGGCGATACCGTTGGAAACGGTGGTAGCAATAAGCACCATGGATTGTTTCAAGGGCTGCAACAGGGTTGAAGGCTGAGACGCGGTGCTCGCATTGTAGCCGGCTTGCAGCAACAGCGCGCGGGACTGGTTGAACACGCCTTGCAGCTGATTCAGTGCAGAGATGGTGCGGTTGAATACGGTCGAGCTCGGGTCGTTGTTAGTCAGCCACGTCACGGTCTGCGGTACGGCAGTTATCACGTCAGCCAACGTGGTCTGCAGGACTATCGCAGGCGATGTGGCCGAGGTAGCAACGGCCACGATGGCGGTAGTGCTGCTAGGCAGCGGCGTGGAAGCAGACGTACGGGCAGTAGCGGAGGCACCGCGTGTAGAGCTGACGGCCGAGTAGAGGGAGCCGTACGAGGCATCTGTTGGGGCACTGCGGTATGACGTCAAGGCAGTAGCCACACGGCCTGCCGGCGGCTGTAGCGCAGCCAAGGTTGCTCTCAGAGATGTCAAGTAAGAGAGCGTTGGTGAAGAATCCGGAAGGCGACTTGTGCCGTTGGAGGAGGTCAGGACACCTTGTACGGCAGCACACTGCGTCAAAACGGCGGTGCTGTCCATAGCCGCCATGGGCGCCAAAAGCTGTGCTGCTTGCACTACAGGTGCGGCCGTAGGCATCGGCGTGAGCACCGGGGACGTATGGTTGCCTGCAGCAGCAGCTGCTGCGGCTGCTGCAGCGGCGGCGGCGGCGTCCATACCGTACAGCTGCAGCAAGTTGTTTCGAAGGGTCCCTACAGCGCTGATTGCAAAGCGCTCCATGGAGCCGTTGAACCGAAACACCGCGTCGTCGAACTGGGTCAGTTGCTGTGTAACCCTCGACATGCAAAAGCGGCCAACATCCGTCGCGTTCTGCTGTTGCTGCTGGGTCGTCCCCAAGTACAGGTTATCCAGACGGCCGAGGGTGCCGGACAGCGGGGACAGCCAAGCGGTGGTGACACTGGACGCTTGCGACCGAAGTACAGACAGAGACCCCCCGAGGGAACTGTAAGGCCGCTGCTGGGCGGCGGCGGCCAAGATAAGGACGCTGTCGTACAACGTGTCGATTGTGGAGATGAACTGGGTCAGGTTCAAAGCGCCCTGTGCGGCCTGGAGAGAGCGGAAGGGAAATCGAGGGGTAGGAATAAGGGGCAGGAATGTAAGAGAAGAGTGGGAGGAAACCCAAAGACACAATCGCAGTACGGGCATCACAGGTACGCGCCTGACGTCATGAGCTAGACTTGCGTTTAAGGTAGGCGTCGCCATGACAAGAGAGATCGTACTACCCACCTGCAGCGACGCCACCGCCGGATCGCTTGCGCTTGTGGGTTGGCGGGTAGACGGCAGTGCCCCAAGCGCATTGTCGTACGTAGTCAACGCTCTGCTAATACTCGCAATCAAATCTGGCATTGATGAAGCCGTGACTGCCGCGGGTGTCGCGCCATTGGCGCCTGCCGTGGCATTGAGCAGCACCGCCGCAGCTGCCAACGCAGGAGCGACGCCGTTACGCAGAACGTCATTCGCAGATGTGAGGTTGCGGCGCAAGCCACCTGGGCTAGACAGGCCCGAGTCCAGCAAAGCCGAAGTACACTGTGGAAAGCAGAGGCAGCAGGGTCGGGCTTAGGCATACAGAACATGGCTCCAGGCCTGTCAAGTTGATGATGTGTAGAAGCGCAGGCGAGACGGTGCCGTCTCAAGTCCAGGAATGTCATGACCCAAATCACACATTCAGCCTTCAGGCCGGATACACATGCCCCACACAAGACACAACACCTACATCCCACTTGCATCCCGTCCTCCGTTGCACGGCTCTTTCTCGTATCAGCTCTAACCCACATCAAAAATTATCCATATTACTCTGACCAGCATTACTTAATCAACCAACATAACGCACCGTCGGAGACAGGACTCCGCTCGTCATGACCCTCCCCGCCCACCTGACCCACATCGGACCCCATAGCCCCGTACCTGCAGATCTGCCGACAGCGACTGCGACGTCAGCCCCTGCTGCAGCACAGTTGCCGCCTCGCTAATGATCGGTCGCACATCTGAGGCGGCGTTGGCAAGTCCGTCTGCGGCTTGCAGCAGCGTCGTGGCGTACGCGGACACACCTTCCAGGCGCACCGCGAGGTCCTCTGCTAGCCGCGTGCCGCGGGGCAGCGTTGCTAGACCCATGGCGGCGAGGGCGATGCAACCGAGGGCGAAGAAGATGTACACAATCTGGGGAGATGTGGACGATACCGACAGCCGGGTGTCGCGGGATGAGAGGTAACCGTTAACACGGGCGGGATCTGAGCTTGCACTGGTGTACGGCATATGCTACACCTGGGTTGTGCTGGGGATCTTACGACCAGGGTACGGCTATAAGCGGACGATATGGCTACGAAAGATACGAAGGGGACATGCCGTCTGTAATGACCACGCATGACCTCATGGTGCAGTGCACCAACTGCATATGGTGGCTCCTTCGTCCCAACGCGTAAGGAAGCCGCAGCAACGCATACAATGTAGAAGGCATGTACCCCTCAAACACCCTCCTGGCATACCTTGTGACCACGTAGCCAGGGGTCGTGCATCACTTCGAACGAGAGGAGGCTTTTGCGAGCTCGCACGCCAGGGTGTATCCTACAGCAGGCTCTGCAACACCGCCCAAGGCACCCGAGCATTCGCCTGCATGAAAGTAAAAGAAGTATCCTTCACTTTTATGTTGCGAGAACCGTTAGTGTCTTCTAGCACGATCGCAAAGGGCAGAATGCCTGAACGTCCGCAGGATGGTGTGCCAAGGATGCAAAGGGTTCTGCTGCCTCTTTTGAGGAAAAGTACACCATAACGTTATGGCACAGCGTAGGCTACAGTGCACTGATGGGGTGCAAAGGGCTCCGCTTACCATAGCAGCAAGAGCAGGAGGACAGCCAGGACAAGCGCAAAGAAGGCCAAGTTGACTGAAGTTGCAGATAGCAGCGTTCCTTTTGCATAGGATTCATACTGTATGCCTGACCATTGCGTTGGATTAAAGCCAGGCGTCACAGCTGGCAAGAAAGGAACCCTCTGCATGCAACATCAGCGGAACAGGTGCCGCCCTTAATTAGTTCATCCACAAGCCCCTAACACCATATGGGTTGACATAGTAACCATCATCACCTTCCAAGTTGCCGCTGGGCAGCCGTCATCCGCCATCCTAAAGCGCTCAACCTAATATGCGCCCCAATTAAACCTAACTACAGAACTGCTGGAGTAAGGTCCGGAAAGGCTTTTTATATAACATTCTCGGCAAGGAAGCGGTATCACGGTTGATTTCCTGTTTTCACAATATCAGCAGCTGGGCAGGCTTTAATCCTAAGATCTTTCGTAGAACGGAAGCATGTAGTTGGTATGCTGCCTATGGAAAATACGCGGACGAGGTCCGACAGATAGGAAGAAGCCGCACGAAGGAGGAGCCCGTTGCACATGTACGAAAAACTTCAAAAAGGATGCGACATGAGCCGGGCAGGGACTCCATACTTATGCTGCACTACCCTATCGAACTCTAAGCGTCGTCGCATGTTCCAATCACGCGATATGCCTCGAGCTTGTATCATAGCTGCTTCTAGGCTGCGCCGTTGGCTAAGTCAGCCTCAAGCCTTCGCGTACCGGTACAAATATGCATAAAACGTCATGCGGTCCCCAAGACCGCATAACTTGCATGCATGGGCGGCATCAGGTGCACGGTGTGAACCCAATCAGCCAGCTTTCTCACCTGCTTTGCCGGTGATGTTTAACCCCAGCAGGCAACCAAGGGTATACCCATACAGATGAAGAGGCGCTTAGGCTCAGCGCCTACTGTGAGAACAAGCTCTGTCAGGGCCGATGCGATGCACCCAGAACAACCAACCAGCTCATTTATTGGTTGCCTGGACACCAACCCTACTGTACAGCCATCCGGAGCGTTTGCCTGGTCACCTATCTAGGCCATCTGTGTCTGGCACACGCTAGGAGCTAGTGCTCCCTAGGGCGCCCACTGCCGTACCCAGCCTTGTCCCTGCCACCCACTGGCCCGTCACTTCCCCCTTCGGCGTGCCAGCAGCGACGCCGCCCAATGCTTGCATGCAACCGCCGCCAGCAGGTCCGCAACATCATCACAACCGCCAACCAACTCAACTTCCCCTGAAGCAGCCGCTGCCGACCTCCCGCCCTCCTCAACCGGCGCCAGCCGTACGCGCCACACCACCTCCCTGCTCATGGCTGCAGCAGTGGCTGCGGCAATGGCGCCCCGGTCAGCATCCCTTCCTGCGCCACCTTGGCCTCCGCGGCCCACTCCTGCCGCAGCGCTACCCCCGGCAGCCTTGGCATGCATCAGCGTTAGCGGATCCATTTCATGCAACTCATCCAGGTCTACACTCGAATCCGACCCTCGGTCGTTGTCTGAAGGGTCAGGACCCAAGGCCCTGGCTGCTGACACCCGTGATGACCGATGGCGGTGGCGGCGGCTGCGATCGCTGCTGTGCCCCTGGCGACTGGAGTGCCGCCGCCGCCGCCGCTTCCCGTGCTGGTGCTTGCGGCTGCGGCGAGCATCACGGCTGCCGTCGTCGCTGCTGCTGCTCGTTCCGCTACTGGAGCCGCCCCTTGACGACACGCCTCGGCTCCTGCTGCTGCTAGGGCTGCTGCTGCGGTTCCGGCTGGGGCTGTCGCTTGAGCTAGGAGACCTCCCTCGCCTGCGGCTACGATGTCCCCGGGAGCCCCTGCGGACAGGATAGGACGAGATCCACAAGAACAGGCAGTGGGAAGTTGAGGGTACGCAAGTGGCGTGACGCACAGCAAAATATTCCATCTGCGTCGGGTTAACAATTGCAAACCAGGCGTATGACATGGCGTTGAAGCTTGGTAAAAAGCTGTGACTGTACCGGTCGCAATGAAATCGGTTGCTTAGCGGTCATCCAGTACGGTACCGCGCATGCAAAAATTTCTTACAAACATTGCCCCTTACCTCCCATGCCTGTGTCTCCGACTGCCCTCTTCCTCCTCGCTGCTACCGCTGCTGACGGCACTGCTCCTGCGACGCCTGTCCACGCTTCTACTCCTGCTCCTGCTGCGGCTTCTCCTCCTAGACTCGTGCTGCTTGCGACTCTTCCGCCTTGCTCCCTCCTCCTTGCGCCGTCGCTTGGACTTGCGATCCAAACTTGACCCTCGCCGCTGCTTTCGCCGCCGCCCTCTCCTTCGTCCCTCCTGCTCATCTTCCTCGTCCTCCGACGGCAGCAGTTCGTAACGACCTGCCGCTGCCGCTGTCGCCGCCTCTGCCACTGCAACTGCCGCAGCGCTCCTCATCCCGCTCCGCTCAGCTGCCGGAAGCGATGTCAGCCCTAGCCGCGACTGTCCATGAGCTGCGCCCACACCTGGGACGCCCGCGCTGCCGCTGGCCCCAACAGCCGCAGCCCCGCCCCCGCCCCTGCCGCCATGGAGTCGCTCAAAATGGATGCCTCTCACCTCAGCCATGACGCGTTCAAGTACCGCTGCATCGCCCCCGCTGCCGCTGCCGCCACCCTCACCTCCAAGCCCCTTCTCGCCGCCGTCGTCACCTCTACTGCCGCCGGTAACTGTTGCCGCTGCGGCCTCAGGATTGTCCCCTCTGCTCCGCGGCCTCCTCCCCGCACCCCGCAGCGCCTCCCTCAGCGTCCACATCTCCGCTAAAAGCAGCAGCCGGTGCCGCCCGCTGCGGCGGCCGCGCAGCTCCAGCCGGGCCCCGTGCAGCAGCGCCGAGTGGGCCTGCGAGAGGAGAGGGGTTCGTGGAGAGGCATGGGTTGGGGGAAGGGTTCCGGTGGGAACGCTTTGCTAAGCATAGCCGTAGAATAGAGCTAAATTGCTGAGCGAGACTTGGGAACACATGGAAATGAGAGACCCTCATTTCTCAAAACGCATCATGTAGCTATCCTGGACACCCTAGCAGCGGAACCCAAGTCAACGCCGTCCCCTCGACCCCGCCCTCCGAGCGCCACCCAAGCCGTACCTCAGGCGGACAGCTTTTTGCCTGGACATTTCCACTTCTCTCATCACTTAACACCGCCATCGCGTCGCCTCCTCCTCCCTGTCCGCTATCTCCTCCGTCCCTGCCACCTGCCGTCGCCTCCACAACGCCTTGCGTTCCTCCCCAGCCCAGCCCCAATCCATGCAACTCCCCCACCATCTGCGCCACCTCCCCCAACCGCCCAGCCAGCCCCCCTTCCTCCTCCTCCTCAGCCACCTCCGCCAGCATCCGTTGCAGCGGCCCCCGCGCCGCCGCCAGCGCATGCGCCAACACCACCTCTGCTACGGATCCCCATTGCACCCCGCCGCCCAACACCAGCCCCGTAAAGTCCTGCCAACCGCCACCACTGCCGTCAGCATCAGACCCGCTGCTACTGCACACGCCGGCGTAGCCAGCGCGCAGCTGGAATGGCAGCGCCGCCGCAGCCGCCGCAGGAGCCTCCGGCGCCTGCCTGCATGGCATGTTCGCCGCCAGGGTATTGACGAGCCGCAGCAGGTGCGTGTCAGGCAAGTCGTGCAGCAGCCGCTGACAGGTGGGCTGCCAGGGCGAGGGACTGGCGGCCAGGAACTCCCGCAGCAGCACGCGCAAGCCGGCCGCCATGTGGCTGCTGCGCCCTCCGCCCTGCCCTCCCTGCCGGCCCCCTTGTCCGCCTCCCTCCTGCTCCCGCAGCTCCCGCAGCAGCACCCTGCAGAAGTGCGGGCGGTCCAGCTCTAGTACGGCACCGTCCGCGCAGCAGTCGCGCCACTGCGGGCTGGAGAAGAACTGCGGGTGGTGGCGCAGCAGTCGCGCCAGGGAGGGCTGCAGCGCCAGCTCGCAAAAGTAGTGCGTCTTGGCGGCCACTGCGACGGGCGCCTGGGGGTGCTTGCCCTCCCACACCAGCAGATCCCACACCTGGGTGGCAGCAGCAGGCGGTGGGCTGGTGTTACGATGTATGTCAGAATAGCACTGAAGTAAAGCCGAGTAACCAACCAACTGTACCCGATGCTTTCCGCACGTCTACTACGTGCACCAGGCAACCAGGTACACGTCCTCCACCCCTCCCCACCTCCTCCCTGTGCGCCAATGCATAGTGTGCCAGCGCATGCGCTCCGTACTTGAAGCCTCGCATGCCCTCCATGGAGAAGTGGCTGAACCACATCAGCGCGCGTCGGGGGCCGCCAGGACCTGGAAGGGGGAAGGCGGGAAGGGGAGGAGTGAGGCCCGCTCTCCAAGCGCTGGCTGCAGTTCCCCTGCCATCCATTCCCTACATATCCGTCCCAGCTCCACCTTCCTAACCACCGCTACCCCCCACCCTTACAAGCCACCCATTTCCCAGGGCTAGCAACCAGGCCTGCCCCGCCCAGCCCCCACCCAGCCAGCAACAGGGTCCCAGCCCCCAGCCAGCTGGCGCCCAGGCTCGCCCCCGCCCCATCCGCCCGGAGCCCCGCGCCTACCCTGGAAGAAGTCCACAAAGACCTGCGGCCGCTCCAGCAGCAGTGCGACCACCTGCGACATGCATGGGGGGTGGGAGCAAGGGTGGCAGCGAGGAGCTGGGGCACACCTGCACTGCGTGGTGGGCACAGCCGGCATCCAAAACACGTACGGCATACACCTCCAGGCGTGGGCCACTAGGGGCAGATTTCCAAGGGCTGGTAAAGGCAGGTTGAAGGTTGTCCCCACCCTCACCTTGTCCGGCCACACCTCGGACACCAGCACCAGCAGCTGCATCAGCATGTCCCAGGAGCCGGACCCAGCAGCAGGGCCAGCAGCAGCAGCAGCCGAACCAGCTCCTGCTCCTGCAACTGCGCCATCACGGCCCCGAAGAACAGGTCCGTCAGGACCCACATCTGTGATGGGGGCCCTTTCGCCACGGCTGCCGCCACCTGCGCCTTCCTCCCTTCGCCCGTGACCCCCCTCTGCTTCCCGTTGCGTGCCGCGTTCCTCCTTCCCCTTCACGCGCTCTCTCTCCCGCTCCTTCTCCAACCCGGATGGCTCATGCGGCGTGGTCGGGCGCTGCTGTGCCGCCTCCCCCAGCAGTGGCTCCCAGCAGGCTAGCCGGAGCTCGGGGGGAGGGGACTGCAAGGTGGAGGAGGGAGGAAAGATGAGAGGGGCGGGCAGGCGTATGTGGAGATAAGGTGTAGCGCACTGTTGGGACCAGCTCTGCCAATGCACCCAGACATGACCCATGCGCCTGCGTGGTGCGGCTCTACATTGCACCACTTTCTCTTCCTACAGCCCACCCGCGTACGCGTTGCGGCTACATATTCATCGTGCTTGCCAATGCTGGAGGGAGTAAGGTTTCATGATTGCCCCTTCACTCTCGAACCTCTCCTATCGTCCCCACCTGCGCCGCTATGGTGTTGAGCAGCCAGACACGCGCCTCCAGGTACCGTGAGCGGTCCGACTGCACGGGAAAGCGGATAGGGAAGAAAGGAAGACTCAAATGTAGGAAGACTCGAGGAGGATATAGTGGGCGCTTTCGGCATTGCCCATATGACGACGCGTCCTATACAGGGTGAAGGATTCTTAAGGCAAGGAAGGAGGGGACGGAGGGAAAGGTGGAAACACAGGAGGCACTGGCGGGTATACGAGTAGGCACAGCATGGGGCATCGGTAAGCGCAAGCGCCCCTGTGGCAGCAAACAAGTCTTCGCCTGTGGCCCACATGCCGAAGGATTAACAATTCAGATGCCAACAGGAGTGCACCTGACAATTGTTAACATAGCTTACTGACGGCAAAGAAACGATGGCAGACATCCCACCTGAAGGATGGCATCCAGCAGCTTGCAGACTCGTTCTAGTTTGGACAGTAGTGCGTCATCAGTACATGTTGCTTTAGCTGCATTATAGGGCCGCAGGTAAAGGCTCTCCATATTCAATGACGTATCGTGAGTCGCATTAAGCCATCTGAGGGATCTGACTATCGTGTTTAGGAATTGTTACCTCCACAACATAGACCACTGTTCAACAGTTTTGCTTAATGATTTCATGTGAGCAGAAATGCACGCAAAGGAGCACTGGTCGCTCCGAAAGCACATGGAACCTACAGATACGGTAGAAGCATCATTCCGCGCGATTGCGGAGTTGCCAAGCGCCATAAAAGCACACTGCGTGTAGTTCTATTAGCCATGTCCATATATCACTTCCTGTTCCCAAAACTAACGACAACAGCTTCTCTGGTAGCCCAGTGCACAGCTGCTGGATACGGATTTGAGCTCAATGGCTTTCAGCTTTGCCCTTTGCCCTTTACTAGTACCGCCTTAGGGCAGAAGGGTACTTGCCAACGGTATCATGGTGGCGTCTGCTGGTTACTCCGCACCGTCCGCAATCCTTGTTCGGGCGCCCCTGTTACCCCAGGCACTCTCGCGCTCACCGAGTAAAGGCCCGGAGCGTTCAACACCGCCGCTCCGGCGCCACCTAGATCAAGCACGGCTCGCCTGCCTTAGCATCCCATCCATCCTTCAGGGGCAGCAATCGTCGCATGTCGCCTTGCACTGCGGTTCTTGCATTAAGAACTTCTGTTTCACTTTAACTAGCGATGAGGCGCATCCCGATGCGAAGGGCAAGCTAGAGACTTGCTGCGGAGTGCCATGGAGTCGGAGGCTATCCTGGTGTTGGGTTTGGGACGATCGTCGCGGTTGCAAAGTCTTAACTCTACCTTAGCAGCCGACGATGGCCCAAACACCTCCCAACTTTTGCGGCATGGAACGGTGCTTTGCAGCACGTGAGCTTACAGGGCATGCTGTGCCAGCGCGTGCCGACCCCTGCACGCCTCTGGCACCACGGCTAACGCTGAGTCCAAACCATGACAGACCCGCATTCATGTCAGGAGCTCATGTTACTCAAGTGCCCCTGCAAGCCTAGCACCTTAGCAGGACACTATAGCTCCAGGTCACCCAGGCGCTACCGGCCTGCTGGCTGAGCCCCGTCCCACGGGTCGCAAGAAAGGGTTCTCCACGTCTCCGTGGTGGAGGGATTCTATGTACACGCTTAGAAACTTTGGCTGGGAGGTAGCCCGTTATAAGGCACCTGATGCTGCATCCTGGAAACACCCAGTCATACAACTTAAACGGCGTTGTTTACAATTAACGTAACGGTACCAGCGCGAAAGGTAAAACGCCGGAGCGCAATGGCGATCCCCTAGCATGGTTGGAAAAGATATATAGCGATTGGTGCATCTGTGGTGTAGTGTGTGGGCATCGGGGCGACGGAGAGCGACGCGCAACTGTTGCATACGGTACACGATGGACGTGCACCGAAGGCTCCGTCCCGCTCAAGCGCAAAACAGTACTCAGCGAATACTTCAAATGAACACGTCGATGTCGTTACAAGATCCCTAAATTGTAATGCCAAGACAGCGCGCCGAGAGGGCGCATCGAGCAGCGCTAGTAACGTTTGCTCAAGAACAGGTTGCCCTTGCTTACAGCGATCCACAGTATGCTTTAGCTTCTATAGCCAACGAGGTCGACGTCTGCGGTGCGGGGCTGGAGCGGAGGGAGGCCTTCGTCCTCGTTAATTGCGCTAATTTGTCAGAGGAGGACGCGGAGGCTTTCTGCACATGTACGTCGGCAATGTAGAACCTTGGCTTGTTATCTATCATTTGGCACCTGGGTACCTGGGTTATGCGAGCGAAAGCGGTCCCTGCCATTCCCCTATCAATTCCGTGTGATATGTGTGGACAAGGATCTTCAGTATGTGCAACAAGCTAAATCGAAATTAATTAGTTGCTATTGTGTGACTGTTTGTTTCCCGCAGCTTCTGTGCGCCCGTGCTGCCACTGTCCTCACCTGCTGGATGGCCCTAGTGACCGGGAGCCCACGTTGCTGGATGCATCGTTGGGAGCGGAAGGTGCCGTGAGGGTAGTTGCCCTTCCTGAGGAGGACGTCGCGGAGCGGCGTAAGCTGGTGACTCGAACATGGTGCAGCAGTGCTCGCCGTGCAGCTGGTGTGCAACCATTGCCCAGCGGCGTGGAGCATTACTTGTGCGAAGAGCACCTCAAACTCCATTTTGCCCAGTCCCTTTACCTGCGTCTGTCGCTCAAGGTAAAGTCGAAGCGAGTTCGACATGCCTGTGTCAAGCCACCATGGTCCACCAGTGCCGCAAGCCGCCCTTCATAGACCACTTCCGTCCCATCACAACACACCAACCACAATTCACCATCCCCCCGCCCTCCTGCGCACACGCCCTCAACCTTGCAGGTCCGAGACTGGCTGCTACGCGGCTGCTGCCTGGAGTGTGCCTACGCATGCGCGCGAGAGCTGCCCCCGGGCCCCGGCAGCGAGCCCGCGCCGCGCCTGAGCATCCACCAGGCTGCTGAGCTGCGCTCTAGCCTGGCCGGGACCATGCAGACGCTGCTCTACCCGCCCGGCGTTAGCAAGGAGGTGAGATGTGGATGAGACATGGCAGCCGGGGTTGGGGACACAGCATGGGAGTGGGGAAAGGGGTCAGAGCCAGCGTGACGGCCTACCGCTCGCCTGTTACTGGACCCTTGCTTTTCGGCCTCTGCATGCATGTTGCCGCACAACGTGATGCGAATGTACGACGTGTACGAAGCATGCGCCTGCGTACGACACCCATGCAGGAGCTGGATGCCGCGGTGTTCGGCAACGAGTTTCCTGCCACGGCGGACTGCCTGGAGGACCGGGGGGAGGACGGCACGAGGGATGGCCGAGTGGCTCTGCCACTGAGGGGCCGCAACTGGTGCATTGAGTGAGCTGGGGGTTGAGGGCCGGGGTGTTGGGGGAAAGCAGGGTTCGCGTGGGGGACATGCAGCCGCGTGGAGGGAAAGACGGAAGTAAGGTCGGTACGGCGCTATTGTCTTGAAGGCGAGGCAATGTCGAGGGCAGTTCCAGCGGGATGTTGCGGTTTCGCTAATTGCCCCAATAAGCGAAACCGCAACATCCCGCTGGAACTGCCCTCGACATTGCCTCGCCTCCAAGACAATAGCGCCGTACCGACCTTACTTCCGTCCTTCCCTCCACGCGGCTGCATGTCCCCCATGTTCCTAATGTCCCAACCTCTTTCTTTCTGTTGCCTGCCATTACTCTAGCACGGTAACACTTCTAGCTCCTGACTTCCACATCCCATGGAATGGCTCTTTGCTATGTGCAGTTGCGGCTGCAACCCTGCGGTCTACGTCTTCAAGCAGCGGAACAATCTGACGTCAGACAGGTTGCTATGCACGGCTTGCGGAGTCGCGCGCAGAATCGTGGCGAGTCGGAGCTCGGCTGCTGCGGGCACGTCGTCCGCCGCCACCGCTGGCGGCAGCGATCCTGGTGGTGGCAGCGGCAGCGGCGGGCTGGGTGCGTCTGACCTGGTCCTGCTTTGCTGCCTGCGAGAGGAGATGCTGCTCAGGCTGCAACTAGCCTACCCCAAGCAGAGCTGCGGCGGCAGCGGCAGTGGCAGTGCAGCTAGCGGCCAGGGCGCAGGTGCCGGGGCTGGCCCAAGCGGCGCTGCAGGTGCGGCTGCTGTTGCGCCCGCAGCAGCAGCAGCAGCAGTAGCGCCCATGCAGCGACCCGGCGGGTCTGGAACCCGTGCCTGTAACGGCAGGAGCAGCAACTCCAACCGTGGGAGGAACACCAACGGCAGCAGCAACATCTGCCTGGTCAACGGTGATCGCATTGTGCTCCCAGGCACACACGCCGCCGTCGCGGTGCCGGGTCTGCCGCCCCTGCCGCGTCGGCAACAGCCAGCAGCCAGGGAGTGGTACGACAACAATCCGCCAACGGATTCTGTGCCCTACTTTGAGGGCGCGTTACAGCGCTGCGCGCCGCACCTGGGATCCGCCGGCGCCTCAGTCGCCCTTACGGAAGAGGATTACATCTACCTGGTCCACAAAGAGAGGCTGCTGAGGCTTGCGGACCAAAAGCGCGACCAGCTGTTCGAGTTGGCTCGCGATCATAACGCCCGTGGCGGCCCCGTGGTATTCGTTGGACCCATGGGTCAGGTGTACGATCCCGGGGACATTCTCAGCGACATGAGGGCTGCGGTGCGGACTTGCGAGGAGGCGTTTCGGGGCGCGCAGGCCCGTGCGGCAGCAGCAGAGGCGGACGCCGGAGCACAGGAGAGGCTGAGCGAAGGCGGGGGAGGCAGCAGCGGCCAGGGCACAGGGACAGGCGGCGGCGGCGAAACGATGGCGGCTGCGGAGCTGCCGCTGCAGGGGCCGTTCCCATGGACCATGGGCGGGTATGAGTGGGCCAATGCGACGGAGGGGCCGGCAGAGGCGGCGCAGGTGAGGGAGCCTGGGAGGGGCGCCGCTGCTGCCGCAGGTCCTGACGTACAAGGGCCAACGCGGCCTGCGGCTAACGCGCCCAACGGATTACCTGCTCAAGCAGCGGCTGCAGCGGCCATGAGGGCGCCGCCGTCGTCAACGGATGTGCCGGGCAATGGCGGGGGCGTTGGCACCAGCAACGGCGGCACCGACCGGGATCACGTGTACGGCCCCGTGCAGCTGTGTTGCCTGGATATGGCGCACCGGTATGAGTTCGACCTGGGGGCGACGCCTGTTTCCGTGGCCTTTGAACCCTTCACCGGGCGTGGGTTCCCCGAGGAGGAAATCAACCACAGCCACCCAGTCACGCCGCCTCAGTTGCTGCGGTACATGCGCGCCATGTTGGATAAATACGCAGTCCAGGATGACCCACGGGTCGTAGAGCTGAGGGCGCAATGTGCGGCGCTCCGGGCACCGAAGAGGAATCCGCAGCTAGCACAGGCTGTCGCTGCTGCCGCCGCAGCGGCGGTGGCCGCGGCGCCGCCGCGCTCGTCTTCGGAACAGCTGCTTGACAAAGCAGAGGCACTTGCTCGGTCCTCAGCCAGGCGACGGTGGCGTGGAGGTGTGGTCGCGGCTGCGCCGGTGATGTCTCAGCTGGGGAAGGGCGCAACCACGAGGCCCCACACCCCCGGCCAGGCCTTGCTGGCATCTGCGGCAGCAGCGGCAGCGGCCACGGGTGTTCCTGGGGCGGGTGTAAAGCGCTCTGCTGCGGCGGCGGCGCTGCCCCAGCCAGGCGCCAGCTCCAAAGCCGCCGCCACCGCCACCGCCAAGCGCGGCCCGGGCGCGTCCAACGCCGCCGCCGCTCCTCGCAGGCATGGGCATCGCCGCAGACGCTATTCGGACTCTGACGATAATGACGATGATGAGCAGCAGCAGGAGGAGGAGGAGGACAGTGCTGACGACGATGTCAGCAGCAGCGTCACTAAGGACGACACGCGAGCGGACGAGCCGGAGGAGGACGCTGCCACACGCAAAGCGAGGAAAGAAGTCCACGGCAAGGGCAGGAGCAACGCAAAGGACGAAGAAGCGGGCGAGGACGATGAGGGCGGCGGCGACGCGGCCAGCGATGCCCGGTTGCCCGTGGGCCTCAAGGTCCCTGTTTACCCCCTTGCCGCGGACGACACCACCTTCCTCGCCAGCAGTGACCTGATGCGGCTGGCGCATCGGCTGCTGGTGCTGCATGGGCCGCCCTGGCTGCGGGATGTGCTGCAGGAGCGGCACAGCGACGCGCTGGACTTTGGCACCTGCAGGTGGGGCGGGTGAGGGCGGGTGGGAACCACTGCGGAGGCACCGGATGTGGGTTGAGGGTGCAGGGCGGTGCGAGGCACCGGGCGGGGGGGGGGGTGAGTGAGGGTGTACCGGTAATGGGCCTGGCTCGTCTTGAAGTAGGAGTGGCTTGGACTTACAGGAGGTGGGCGTTGCAACTCTAGCAAGGCTTCAGGGGCGGGATGGGTATGTATGTCCCAGGCGGATCAGCTCCGGCATTGCTTCCTGTGTTTGCGCTCCCCTCTTGTTCAGTTTGCGCTCCCTTCTAACCTCACCAAGTTTCCTGACCCGCCTCCGTCGCTGCCCCTTGCAGGCCCGCGGATGGCGGCACCGGCGTCTTCGCGCACTTTGCCAACATGCTGGAGCGGCCGCTGCTGGCAACCGAGCTCGCAACCATTTCCCATGTAGACCGCTCGCAGCCCGCCACACTCATGTGCTTCACCGCGCCATTTGCCGTACCTGCGGACCTGGGGGCGGCCCTGGAGCGGCTCAAGCGCAGCTTGGGCCATGGAGACGCGCACCGCCATGCGCACTGGCTGCAAGCACGCAATCTGGAGGACCAGTGGCGGCTGCAGCACCCGGCAGCTGCGGCTAGGATGGAGGAGAGGCAGCAGCGGCAGCAGGCGGCGGCAGCCGCCGGCGCCGTGCGCGCGCGAGGCGGCGGCGGCCGTGGCCGCGGCACGGGCTCCCGCTCCGCCGCCGCCGCCGCAGCGCGTCAGGGTCCGCCGCAACGGCCACAGCCAGTGCTCAACGCCGACATGGGTCGTGCCGCCAAGCGGGGCTCCGTTTGGATCTTCGTGCCGGGCTGCCGGCTGCGGCAGCTGGCGGCCGCCTTCAGCAAGAAAGCCTGGCCGCGCAACCACAACGGCTTCTTCTCGGTGCGCTTCGGCCGCGACCTGGACGGCCTCATCAAGGCCTGCTGGAGCCAAGGGGTGCCCTTCCACGTGTTCTACCACTGCGAGGGGGATCTGGTGCTGCCTGGCATGGGCGCAGCGCACGCGGTTATGCCGCTGCACTGCGCCAGCATGAAGATGGCTCGGGACTTCCTGATCCCTGCCGGCCCCGCGTTGCGAATCTTGTGTGAGTTGGATGCACTGCGGCAGGAGCATCACCTCTACTGGGCGGCGCGGCGTGCGAAGGAGCTCAGGACGGAGGCGCCGGTCAGGGCGCTGCCGGAGGTGGCGGCGGCGGTGGCGGCAGCTGGAGGGGGAGGAGTAGCGGCAGCGGATGAGCTGGGGGCTGTGGTGGATGTGGGGCGAGTTGAGGAGGGGGAGCGGCGGCCGGAGATTGCGGATGTGGGAGAGCAGCAGCAGCCGCAGCCGCAAGGGCAGCGGCAGCAAGGGAGGGCGCCGCAGCCGCGGCCGCGCGTGCTGTTCTTGCGGCATCAACACCAAGCGCAGCAGCAGCAACAACAGCCGCCGCTGCAGCAGCAAACAAGGCGGCAGCTACAGACGCAACGGCAGCAGCAGCAAACGCTCCAACCGCCGCCTCAATCACCGCAGCAACCGCTACCGCAACAGGAGCAGCTTCAGCCGCTGCCTTCACCACCACAGCAGCCGCAACTGCCACAACCACAACAAGAGCAACCCCAAGAGCAGCCACAAACACAACGACAACAGCCACAAACGCAGCAGGAACCGCCCCTGCAGCCGCTTCAGCAGCCGGAGCACCAGCTGTTGGGCCCACAAGCGCAGGCGCATTTGCTGCAGTGGATGATGTTGCAGCAGCGGACGCAACAACTGCGCCAGCTGGAGCAGGTTGCTCGGCAACAAGCCCTTCTGTTGCAGGCGGCGCAACGACAACAACAACAACAACAACAACAACAGCCGCGCCAACAGCAGCGGAACGGGGTGTGTCTTCTTGGGCTTTCCGTAGTGCAACAGGCGGCACAACAACAACGGCAACAGACGCAGCAGCAGCAGCAACTGCAACCGCGGCAAGACGTGAGAGGCAGTGCGTATCAGGAGCTGCTGGCGCTGCAGCAACAACGGCACCTGCTTGGACAGCAACACCAGCAGCTCTATCTACAGCGCCTCCAGCTGCAGTTCCAGCAGTACTACGAGCAACAGCAGCGACAAGCGCCGCAGGTAGTGCAGCAGGCGCCGCCGCAGCAGCCCCAACAGCCGCCGCAGCAGCAGCCCCAACAGCAGGCGCAGCAGCAGCCCCAACAGCAGGCGCAGCAGCAGCCCCAACAGCAGGCGCAGCAGCAGCCCCAACAGCAGGCGCAGCAGCAGCCCCAACAGCAGGCGCAGCAGCAGCCCCAACAGCAGGCGCAGCAGCAGCCCCAACAGCAGGCGCAGCAGCAGCCCCAACAGCAGGCGCAGCAGCAGCCCCAACAGCAGGCGCAGCAGCAGCCCCAGCAAACGCAACAGCCACAACAGGCGCAGCAGTCGCAGCAGCAGCGACTGCACGTGACCTGGACGGTGGAGGCGCCTGAGCCAGCAGCAGTGGCGACCACGCATGCTGCCGACGAAGCGGCGCGGCCTCCTGCTAGCGAGGCATGGGGGCCGCTTGCCGGATTGGTTCCTTCGGAGGAGGAGGAGGAGCCGGAGGACGAATCCTCGGAACAAGCCACCGACGCCGGCGACGCACCTGGGACCGGGACTGAGACAGCAGCAGCAGCAGAAGTGGCGGCTGAAACTGCAAGCCCGCAAGTTTCGGAAAACGGTGTATTAGGAGCCGTGTCTGGGACTAGGGTCGAGCTTGACCTGCAGTGCCCGGCTGCAGTGCATGTGACGGGCCTGTCCCCCGGGGACTCCGCCTCACCGCCGTCGTCGCTGCACCCACCTTCGGCTGCAGCGGCGGCAGGACCGGCGGTATTTGTGCTGGCAGCGGCCGCCGTCGACCAGAGCCCCTCGCAGCGCCCTGCAGGCCCGCAGACCGAGCCGCAGCTACTGCAGCTAGGGAGCGAGAGGAGAGCGGCCTGCACAGGCCGAAGCGAAGGCCATGAGGACCAGGATGGCGAGGACCAAGGTGATGCGGAACACGGCCCAAGTGCGTTGCTGCATTCGCCGGAGCATTGTTCCGGAGCAGGAATGACGGCAGCGGCGGCGGCGGTAGTCGGCGAGTTGCCGCAGAATGGTGGTCACCACCGCGTGCAGTCTGCTGAGCGGCACCCAGCTATGATGGCATTGGGGTTGGGTGTGTACGGCGACAGTGAGGGCGGCGAGAGCGAGGAAAGGGAAGAGGCGGGGGCGGGGGAGGTGGATGAAGCGGTACGGCTGCTGCAGGGCGTGTACGGGGAAGGGGAGCAGCAGGTGCAGGAGCAGTCAAGCGAACCGCCGCCGGTGTCGCTGCTGCAGCAGGAGGAGCAGCAAGGGGAAGAGCAGCAGCAGGAGGAAGAGCAACAGCAGGAGGAGAAGCAGCAGCAGGAGGAGGGAAACCAGCGGCTGCTGCTTTTGTTGGCGGGACCTGCTAACAGCCATCGTAACACGGTTGGCTGCGACGATGAGGCTGCGCGCGGGGCAGTAGGTGGGGCTGTTGTGGATGCGGCGGCTGCAAACGCCAGCACTGCTGCGGCACTGCCAGCCGTTGCGGTCTGCGACGGCGCTGCCACACCGTCTGCCAGCAGCGGCTCGCTGGCCGTGCTGGGCCCTATGGCCATACAAAACGACATGACGATGGCAGAGGAGGAGGCGCCTTCAGGGCAGATTGTGGTGGCGGAGGCGGCGGAGGCAACAACTGAGGCGGCGGCAAGGGCGGCGGTAGCAGGGGCCTTAGTGTTGGCGCATGCGCAGCCGCCGCGTCTTGACGCCGAGGCTGACCAAGATATCCGCCCTGTGTCTTCGCCAACTCAGCGCAGTAGGTGGTTGTCGGCATGTTGGGCACGGGCTTCAAGGCCGTCGCCACCGTCGCCACCTTCGATGGCGCTGGTGCCGGTTTCCACAGCCATCCGTCCGGCCCACTCCGATCCCTCCGTGCTACCAAAGCAGAGCACAGACGGCTTAATGCAGCGTATGCAAACCCTGGAGTTCCTTGCATCGCTCCCTGCAACACCCGCGCCGGTACCGGCACCGGAGCCGCGAGCTGCTTCCCCACCCTTGGGACTGCCAGCCCCGGAGCCCCAACCCGCGGGCTGCCCTATTGCTGCGGACGCGGGTGCAATCGTGCCCTTCGTCCTACCGCTGAACACGGAGGCGAGTGAACCGGCTGCGGGGGACGTCCACGCTCTCGTCGCTCACGAGCAGCCTTGCATGGGAAGCAGCGGCTGTGTCGAGCGTTCCGCCGCGACCTACCAGTCCCTGTGTCAACCGGCGCAGGCCCAGACGCTGCCGTTGTGCCTCCCCATCGATGATAGCAACAACAACAATGTTGCTATGGTTTGCGAAGCCACTTCGCTGGTCAGTTACATGCATCACGCGTTCAAGGTCGACACGACAGCGGCACCAGCTGGACCTCCCCCGTCGCCGCCTTCATCGTCGCCATCGGCTCCGTCCTCGCAGCCGCAACAACGGCAGGAGCAGACGCAGCCAACAGGGCCGCTCACAATGTCTGCTCTGCTCCCGAGGTTCCTAGGCGGCACTGCCGGACGCCCGGTATGGTCGCGGCCTGCTTCTCGCCTGGACTTGGGTCACGGCGTCCTCGGCCAGGCGTTGCTGCCGCAGCTAGCACCTCCACAGCCGCGGGAAGAGCAGCAGGCACAGCGGCCTGCTGCGGAACCGGTCCCTACCGACGCGGTAGTAGCCGTCACCGCGAGTGGCGATGGAGGTGCGGGCGCAGGGCCCTCCACCTCACCCGGCGACGTTGGTGCTGCAGGGGCCGTCGGTGCCGGGCGCGACGGTGGGCACAGCGAGGGAACATCCCAGCAGCAGCTGCTGCTGCACAATACCGCGCACGAAGGAGTGCTGCATCACATGGAGGAGGAGGAGCACAGGGGCGACGAGGATGAGGACGAGAACGAGAACGTGCGCTTGGCGCAACCGAAGCTCCCAGCCAAGCGGTCGGCGGTCGCCAGAGGGAGCACCATGGCGCCACGGCGGCTTGGCGTGGGCCGGGGTGACGCCCTCAGGGGGGCAGGGAGGGGGGATGCAGTGACGGCAGCGCCGAACGAGGCGGCAGGCGCGGCGGCGGCAGGCCCGCCGGCACACGCAGGCTTACGCGGTCAGCGGTCAGCGCCAGTGGCGACAGCCGTCGCTGCTGCTGCGGCGGCGGCGACGGCGACGGAGCAGCCGTCTCGCAAGAGGCCACCGCCTGCCGTGCGTGCAGTAGCAGCGGCCGCGGCGGCCCAGGGTGAAACTGTCGCCGCCGCCGCCGCCGCTGGCAGGAAGAGCAAGAAGCCGCGTGGGGATGCAGCAGCGGCGGCGGGGGCTGACGCAGATGGGAAAGCGGACGACGAAAAGCGGCGCAAGGGCGGCAGTGCTGGCGGCAAGAAAGCGACCAAGGCGGGGGCGGCGGCAGCGGGTGACGAAGGCAGCGAGGAGCCCCTGTCAGAGGCGGCAGTGGCGCTGCCTAACGCACGTGATGCGTTCCTGACACAGTCTCTGCTAGTGGGCCTTGCGTTGGCCGTGTCGTACACCATCTGCGATGAGGAGCTGCGGTCGCTACGGCGGCAGCGGCACCAGCGGCTGCAGCAGCAGAGGGATGGTGATGGCACGGGGGCGTCGGGTTCATGGCTGGTGGCGGCAGCAGCGCAGATGCGGGTGTGAGCGCTTCGCAGGATGCGTAGGATGAGGTTGGCGGAGCGCTTGGTGGGACGTGAACCCGGATCGCACGTTGGGTCTGCAGGGGCCGTTGCTGACGGCCGTGTCGGGAAGTCGAAGGGAGGTCGAGGTCCCTGGACTCACGGTGGGATTTACTTCTCGCGTTAAGAACGCTTGCATTGTTTAGTAAAGCTGGTTGATGCTGGATTTTGTAGGTTATGAACTGTTTGTAATTTAGCAAAAGAAATGTGCTCACCACCAACCATGGGTTTGGGAGTTAGGCCATTTCAGGGTCTAGTGTTGTACGTCTTAAGAGCAAACTTGATACCGGTATGTGAGGATTGCATGTGACCGGGAGGGAAGCTGTCATTACCGTAGCACTAGGAGATGAGGGAAGACATTCTCGCTTCGAGGCAGGGCGATGGCGGATATGGCAGGCGTTTCTTGGTACTGTTTTTCGTACAGATAGCTGAGATGACGTAGCCATGCGGAGGATAAGCCTGGTTGCACCAGCTATGAACTCGAGTTGTAGGCATGCTGTAGCGGTTGTCATAGCAAGCTTTGTGCCACCACTTCAGTGAATATGGGCCTGTATATAGTTGTTCTGCATGTTTCTTTGCGCGGGTTGCACGGGGTTGTCACGACCACCGCATGGTTTCGTTTGGCCATGCCTGAGGTCGTCTGGCGCATGCCTCTGCAACAGTAGAGGGTGCCGCATTTGCGTTGCGGTTTCGCGTTCATGGTTTCTGAAGTATTGTGGTTACTTCATCTGCATTTTGGGCAGGGCTCATGCGGTTGCATATGACTCATTACCTGTGATGTGGCCTAACTCGCGTTTATCCTGATGCTCCTTAGACGTGCCTAATAAGTTACTGAAGCTTAGATGACTCGTCATGTTGGTTGTTAATCTCCCAATGCGTGGGGTGGGTGACATTTGCCCTGTCGAAATTATCAGCCGACTTGATAATGCAGTGGAATGTACGGAGGGGGTGGATAGACAGTTTCGGTGGCTGCCTTATCTTGCCGATATGTCGTACGGCATGGATACAGCCATGTCGTTACGGGTCTGGGGCGTAGTACGTTTGCTCTTGTGTTGCGAACTGGGTTGCAATCGTACTGACGGGGCAAAGCCGCACAGGACTATTAACCAGGTGTGGATGTTGTAATGCAAACGCGTCGTTCGCAATTCCTAGCAAGTTATCCCCTATCACGGATTGGGGGCAGCTCAGGTAGTTTGCGAGGAGTGCGTCGCCGGAGTTCCTAACTTGGCACGCTTAGGATGGACAACGCTGCGGCCTGTGGGGTGAAGCCTTACCCTGACATCGTGAGGTCGGGCTGTCCGCCTCGATAGCACGTGCATGACAAGGAGACCTTACAGCGGAAGGGAATGGTACGGGGCCGCATGGCCGCATCTAACGGCTTTGCCCGCGTTTAACGGGTTGCCATTGCAAGACGGGCAAGTAGCGACAAGCCTTGCTGTTCCATTTTGCACAGAAATTGATGAACATGAGTGTTTATGCATAGCGCGTGGTCAGGATAGGACGAGGAACCCATTCAGATTTAGCAGAAGGCTCATAACTGTCGAAGTCGTACCGGTACTTTATTTCGCCCTGTAACATTCGCATTCTACTTATGGGAATCGAATTTTACCTTTGCTACATTCCTGACTCATAGATCTACGTCAAGCTGTAACTCAACACGCAAGAAATGCTCACTATCAGCCAATCGCGCAGCTCGACGCGAGTACAGGCACCCCCCGGCGGTCACTCTTCCATAAGCCTCGGCGGTGCTGCCGATCCGCCTCTCAGCCCTACAAAAGCTGCAGCAGCCCCCGAGGCCGATGTTGCACCCCCAGAGACCTCGCCTGTTGTAGTTGTTGCGGAGCCAGAAACTGCGGATGTCGCAGGACTTGCAGCTGTTGAGGACGGGCCTTCGCTAGAACTCCTTAAGCTGCAGGCTATTGGGGCGCTTGCTGGGGCAGAAGACGCTCCGGAAGTGCGGGATGCCATTACCGTTCTTCTGAAGGTACGGTGTATGTTCACGTCTGACACCGCAGCAAGCAGCTAACTTGTCCATATTTCGTAGCACAGCAACTGCAAATCGCTTCGGCGGCCAAGAAGGAAAATTCGGAGGAGCCAGGTAAATGGCTCGATATGCCGTCACCATAGCGCAACGCGGCTAAGGATAACATCCGCTACGGTAGCATCAAAAGGGAAGACCGTTCAGCCCTTTCAAGACCGAGGCAAATGTTTTGCATACCTTGCTTTTCTCCAGTGTACGGATTCCTGCCGACCAGTTTGCACGGTTCTCTTTGGCACACCCGCACGCCCCTGATCCTGCTGGGCTTGCAGCCCCTGTGGATGCGGAGGCCGCTGCTGCCGCTACGGACCCCGGCTCCGTGGCGCTGGCTGCACTGAAGGTCCGTTCCGCAGGGTTCCGCCATGTTAAGGCACCACCATCATGCCTCCTGGGTCTTGTCAACCCAAATCCTACAACACCCCCACTTCAACGCACACACGGCAAATTCAACTATGAGTCATCCCCCAATCTTAGTACACTCCACGTCCTTGCATATCGCGAGCTCTGTCGCTTAGCCCCATGTCGTGTCTCTTAACCTTCCCACGTGTCTCCAGGCATTACCCACACGTTTCCCGTGTCCAAACCTCCTTTCATGCCTACGGCCGTCCAGCATGCGCCTACTTACGGCCTACTGCCTTCCTGTTGCCCTCGCAGACCGCCCTGAAGCTGCGCGGCACCCATGGTATCATCAGCATCGGCAGGAAGTTCCGCTCCATGGATGAGGACGGAGACCGCAAGCTGTGTGAGTACCACTGTGCCCGGGAATGTCCATGTCGCAGTGTCGTTGCTCGCGTACGCGCATGCACCTAACGCTGCTCATACCTTAATCGCACCTTCATCGCACCTTCAGCGTACGACGAGTTCAAGCGTGGCCTGCTGGACATGAAGCTGGGGATGTCCGAGGCCGACATGACGCGGCTGTTCCGCCACTTTGACAAGGACGCCTCGGGCTACATCACCTTTGACGAGCTGCTGTACGGACTGCGAGGGGAGCTCAATGAGCGGCGGCTGGAGATGGTGCGGCGCTGCTTCAAGGTGGGTTGGGGTGCTTGTGGGTTGTGGGTCGCTTGTTCGTGTGAGTGTCGAGAATGGTACAGGCGCTTGTTGGGAAGCGTATGTACCTCTGTGATGGTGTTGCAGGCAAGATGGTCGATGTGGGTCGGGTTTGGGGCGATGTGGGTTAGTGGGGCTTTGCAGGAATCGCAAATATGGCCCATAGTAGGGCTAGATGGGGAACGTGGATCAAGTTTGAAGATGAGAGTTACGTACTGGTTGTTTTGGGTCGGCAAACCTTTGGGTCCACAGGCGATGTGGGTTTGCTAAGCCCAATGTTTGCCACGAATCACGAGGTTAGCAGACTGAATCCCAGATGTTATTACGCTGCAAGCGGCATGCGCGTCTCCTGGCCCGGCCCTGCCCGCCCTCCGACCCATGGGTCCTTCCATACCCCTCCTAGCTGCCGTACTCTCGTGTGGGTCATTTCTCACTACTCATGCCATGTGCCGGTATATGTGTCAGGTGCTGGACAAGAAGGGCGAGGGCAAGGTCACGCTGGCCGACATGGAGCGCCGCTACGACGCATCGCGGCACCCCGACGTGGTGGCTGGCACCAAGACGCAGCGCATGGTGGGGCGGGTTGCGCATCACACGGACGGGGCTTATGTTTAGATGCAGGGAAACAAGGGTGTAATGCGGATAACAACAGCAAGTCGGGAGACCGATATTGCCTTCGGAATGCCTTTCACGGGTGAGTGGTCATGGGACTAGTTGTACTCAACCGGGCAGTGTTACCAACAGTGAAGACTGACGTTTCCACGAAGCTTGCTGGCCCCTCATGTCCCTGTCCGGTGACTGCTGCTGCTGCCGGTCCAGGTGTTGCTTGAGTTCCTGGGTGTGTTCGAGTCGGCGGGCGGCGGCACCAAGGGCGACGGCCTGGTGGAGTTCGAGGAGTTCAAGTCGTACTACACGTGAGAGAGGGAGCATGCTGCGGTCGCGCTGCGAATCTGCTCTCTCGTGCGTGTCCTATCATCAGCGTCATCCGCATGTGTGACCTCCCCTGCCACCCTGGTGCCTTCCCCTCTGCCCTCCACGTGTCGTCACAGCCAGGTCAGCGCCAACATTGACCCGGGCAACAGCGGCGACGACTACTTCGAGCTCATGATGCGCAACGTGTGGCACGTGAGCGGTGGCGAGGGCTGGTGCGCCAACACCACCTGCAAGCGCGTGCTGGTGGTGCTGGAGGATGACACGCAGGTCAGGGGGTTGCCAACTGGAATCCTTTATATGGGGATGCGCCTAGCCTCCCGGTTGGTTGGTTAATGGCCTGCTACAGAAGACCGGTACATTGATTGCTGTGTAGTCGGTAGGCTTGTACAGCTTGCTTTGTGATGGCTGACGGCATGCATGCGCGGCTTACATGTACGGCATACTTGTAACCGTGTTCCCCGACGCTGTAATAATAGGATGTACTAAGCCAGCACGACCTACTGCTCCTGCAACATCCTGCCCCCCGCCCACCTGCAGAATGTGATGGAGCTGACGGATGACTTTGACGTTGACGTGAAGGACCTGACGGCGGTGAAGGCCAAGCTGGCGGAGCAGGGCGTCACGGTGAGGCAACGGGAGGGGTGCTGCTGCAGGGGACGTCATGATTGAGAAGATTGCGTGGGCGAGGGCAGCAGTGGGCGGCAACGACCGCTTGTGAGCGGGAGTATGCGTTCCTCCCTGCACACATGTACAGATATCGGTGATGCTTTTCACTACATTGGGCACAGCTTCAAACGTATCGGGTACTGCCGTTGTGTCAGGGCGCAACCGACACCCCCGTCCTTCCTGGTTCTCCCCGCTTCCTGGGCATGCGCTGCTGCCGCAGGGTATCAAGAGTGTCGCGCTGTACGGCGACATGGCGGCGGTGGACAGCATCTCCGGTGGTGGTGGCTCAGGCGCCTCCACCCCCCGCGGCTCCCCCGCCCCCTCCTCGGAGCCCACCTTCCGGCCCTCCACCGGGGGTCGCCGAGGTGGCGACCACAACCGCAGCAGCATCATTTTTGGTTAAGTAGATAAGGCAGCAGGATTGTGAGTGCTGGAGGATCATAAAGGGCATGAGAGCCGGATAGGCTTGTGTACAAGTCAACGTAGCCGCGAGGAGACGGTGACTGAGACGGGCAGGAGATAAAAGGCCAACCGATGCAGTCCAGTAATGGTACGCAGCCATTTTTGCACCTATGCGTGACACATTCATGGATAAGCCACGCTGCGCTAAGGCGTGCGAGTGTTTATGTTTACCACGTAAATGCACATTGCCCTAACCGTTAGGGCAAACAACGCGTGAACTGGTGTACGTGGCAAGACGTACACCGTAGTACTGCATACTCTAGGATTTGAAAGCATGGACACTTGGTCTTATAGATTGATAAAGCCTGGGCGCTGATTCTGCCTTTCACTGTGAACATGCCGCGGCACTGGGCAAAGAAGCACGCAGGCATGTCCCTGCCCGAGATGCTGGTGGTAGGGGTCAAGGAGGCGGCCTTCATGGCTAAGAAGAAGCTGAAGAACCAAAAGTAGTGGAGGTGTTGTGGCTGACAGCACGCGTTTCAGTGACAAGCTTGGTGCTTTGGCGTAGGGTATTTGGTTTCCTAGTATCTTAGGGAAAGCATGGACAGGTTACGACAAGCTTATTTGCCTTTAATTACAACAACACAACCAGACTTGCTACCATATTGCTGCAACTCCTCTTACCACTGTGACGCGCCCTTTCCTCGCAGCCGGCATGCCACATCTTCACGACCAAGCCCTCCCCCCACCCCACCATCACCAACGCCACCCCGCCCTTAGCTAGCTCCCATGTTACCGCGCTCTTCCTCTTTATCATTACTCCTCTTCCAGAGAGGCACCCCCTATTGCTGTTAAGCCAACATCGACGTCAGCAGGGCTGCCAGGTCCGCCATAGAGCCGTAAGCGGGCTTGACACGTGCCTCCCGCAGCACGCACTCCCGCAGCTTGTCGCCGTACGACAGCGCCAGACGGTTAACGCAGTTGCGGGCAACAGCCTCCAGCGCGAACGCCACCTCCTCCACGGGCTGCAGCGTGACGTTGGTGATGCGGCCAGTGATGGCGGTGCTGACGAGGCCCAGGTGGCGAGCCAGCCGCTCCAGCTTGGAGACGTGACGTGAGCGAGTGGCGGTCTGTGACCCGTGGGTCAGCGGGAGGAGGGACATCAAGGTAAAACAATATTTCCGGGATTAAACAGTAACACTGACTGTTGGGTAAGCAAGAGGGGTAAAGAGCTGCACCATATTTCTGTCCCTGTCGCAATTGACGTGCAGGAAGTCGTGAAGACATGTCCCCCATGCTCACGGCATGCGCCCCGCCGACCCTCCCAGATGCACACCCACCATGAACTTGGTGTATTGCTGCAGCGCCAGCACAGCCGACAGCAGCCCTAGCACAATGTCCGGCAGCGCGGGCTCGCACAGCAGCACCACCCCGTAGCGGTCCTCCCCGCGCTGAGCCGCCACCGTCAGCCCGCACAGGCCCCGCAGGCACCAGCCGATCCTGCAGCACCAGCAGCCGCAGCATGGGCGCATGGTGGGGAGGTTGGAGAGGTTGCATGGCGACAACGCACAGGATGTAGCACGGCCAGTTCTAGCTTAAAAGGGCTGTAACCAGCGAGGAGGGTCTGTAACGAGCCCAACCCAGCGCGCGCCCGACAGCACCAGTACCGTCTTGTGGCGGAGAGATTCACGAGTCTCCCGGCCAGATTCCTGGATCTGCCTACCCCTTATGTTTCTCTCCCTCTCGCTCTTCCCTATCCCTCCAAAACCCACCTGTAGTACTTGCTGCGCACGTTCCACGCCGCCAGGTCCTGCTCCCTGCTCACCACCCGCAGGCCCGTGCTGGGGGACATGCGCAACACATTCCACCGCACCGTGGCCGGAGCACCCGCGCCGGCGCGACCGGCAGCGGCGGCATCGGCTGCAACCGGGGGCCGAGAGCGTATGGCAGGTGGAGGGTCATCACGGGCGCGATGGCTGGGGAAGAGGTCGAAATTGGTCCCATCTCTTCGGATGCCGTGGGTAGCCCGAAGCACTCTTCCTGCCCCTCGGCTGACCGACATGCCAAACGTTCTGGTCGATCCCTTCCGCCCGACAGTGCCCTAGCCCATGCATGCAATCCAGCTTACCAAACTTCGCCCATTTGTTTGATCCCACCTGGCACACGCGACACCGCATGGCGTCTCTGCCACCCCATGACGCTACCCCGCCGAACGCCAGCCATCCCAGATCCCACCCCGCCAGTTTGCACCCGCAACACCGCACCTGCAGCCGACGGCAGCGCCGCAGCTAGTGCCAGTGTGAACTCCCGCACCTCCCCAAGCATGTGCGTCGCCAGCGGGCCCCACGCGGCGCGCCCGCTCTCGTCCGCAAAGATAGCCGCACGGCGCCAAGCCGCCTCGCCGCCCTGCCCCTCCGCAGTTAGTGCGAGGTCCAGCAATGCCAGGTCCTGCAGGAGGACGCAGAAAAGGTGCGCAAACGGCACAGAGCGTGGGGGTGCGTAAGGAGGCGTGGGTGACAGGTGTATAGGATATCCCAAGCGGGAAGGGCTGTGCAATTCGTGGCATTAGGGTTCCCCGTTGATTTGGGAGACATGTGACCAGGCAAAACCCTCATCCGCCTTGTTGCCAACATCACATACCATAGGCACCGCAATCCATAGAGGTACGCATCCTAGCCGCATCCCTCCCCCCTCTACCTGCATGATGGTGTTGCTGCTCGCCAGCTGCGTCAACAGCGGCGTGTTCGGGTCCGGGTCACCCGCCCGCACCAGCTGCAACCGCTCACTGAACACCAGCTGCAGCAGTACGGCACCCAATGACCAGCCTAACGAACAAAGCGCTCCTGCAACCGCCCAGCCGTACAACAGCCGCGGCTGCAGCAGCAGCGACCGCTGGAAGATGACGGAAAGCGCCAAGGCCACTGATGTTGTCCAGAGGGCGGTTAGGACGGCTGTGCGCATTTGAAGGAGGAAAGGGGAGTGGAACTAAGATACATACCGTTGGAATGGCAAAACTCAACGCGACATCATACTGTGGGTTAAGGAGCGTTCAAATTGCAGCTCTTCGAAGGCACGTCCTTCATGTGGTTCCCACAGACCCCCACTTCCATTTCCTCGCAAGCCCAACCCACCCGAGGGTATCCGCTCCTTCAGACGGAACCAACGATGCCGCTGCAGGACCGGGTAGCCGAGGACGTCATAGCCCCTGGGAGAGCGTCAAGATGGGACGACGCTTGGGTTAGTGAGCTGGTGTTAAGGGGGCAGCTGTGTAAAAGATCCCACGGGGGGTGAGAATCCCGTCCCGAGAGCGGGGCGGCATGCTGCCCATGGTGCATCTTCACCCTCCATGACTAAGGGGGTCCCGTAATGCTTATGTTCTAACTCGCCAGCCCCTTTGCATAAGCAAACGAACCTGATGAGGTAGCTGCAGGAGTAGAACATGCCCAGAAGCACGCCAAACCATAGGCTCCATGCGCTCAGGGCTTGGGGTCCCAACTTTAGGCGGGCGTACACGGAGGCGTAGGCAACCGCTGAGAGCACGTTAGCGCCAAAGAAGGTGGCAGTCGCCAGGAGGTGGTTCCACGTGCGCCCACGCGCGACAACCCGTGTGAGGAAAAGCGAAATCCATGTTCGGCCATGGATGCCCAGTTTGGTGGATGTCACCGGCTCAAACTCATTTGACGAAAGCACCGAGCGATGGCCCACGAGAGCCGCAGCTTGGAGTCCATAAAGGAATATATGCGCTAGCACACCGGCTGGCCGAACTAGACTACCAAGGCTTGGCGGCAGCACGAAGGAAGCAAAGCAAGTATTGGCGACGCCGATGCAGGCTGCATGCCAAACAAGAGCCCCTATTAATTTCCATGTCAAAGCCTCTGGATGCGTGGCCGATGGTGGTCGTGCCGGCCGCATTGTGAAGTTGCTGCCCAAGGAAACAAAGTCATTAATATATATGCAGCATGTATGATACCTATGTGCAATAGCTACTAGCCGACGCACACCAGAAAACGATCGGTCTTAACTTGATGGTTGGGATCGGCCAGCTTAAATTTGAGCGGGAGGAACAGCGGATACCCACATTGCACCCTATCCCAACGATCTTGAGGACACCCAACTATTATCTACTCGATAACTTACTGATACCGACCACAGCCTACTGCCCTAAGGACAAGGGCAAGATTACCATCATGGATGGCATCCAGCTCTGAGGAAGTTTTACACCTCGGATACCTTGCACATAGGCAGCATCAATAAGCGCAACGACAATTAGGTTTGAGGTTTCATATCGTCCTGTTGCCTGCTGTGCGTTGCTAGACCTCACAATTGCTAGTCTGGGCGACACCCAGCTGCAGAATATGCAAAAAGGCTATTGGAAACGCTTGTACTGAGGAAGCACGCAGCGCTTTCAAGTTTTCTAGTTACAGCCCGCTGCGCTCTGCGGTTTCGACAGCTCAGCTACACGGCCGGGCCAAGATGGCGCAACCCCGCTTCCCGCAATACCAATTCCACCCACCCACTACCATGGAGGACGCAAACGGACCCACGGGCGATGGCCCCTCCGCTAAGAGGCCCCGGGTCGAGGACGTACTTCAGCAGCATGCGCCGCGTGAGCAGTTGCTGGTTTCAGAGCTCATGGGATGGAGCGGAAGCCAAGAGCCGACATCTCTGTACGGTGGCGCGGTCGCTGCGGGCGCAGGCGGCGCCGGGTAAGGGGAGGGGCCGATGGGTTTTATGCACAACGGGCGAATGCTTGCAAAGGCGTTGCTATGTCACAGGTAGGGCCCAGGTGGCTATGGGTCACGACGCAAGGCCAGCCATCTGCGGCTCGCAACCTCCCCATCACTGACAAGCTACGTCGTCAAGTCCTCCTGCCCATCCTCTATCCAAACCTCCTTGTGCCTCTTCCTTCCCTGTAATCCCTATTCCATGTTCCCTTCCCCTCGTCATGCACCTCCTGCCAGGGCCAGCAACTTCCGTGCGCTGTTCTCCCGCCCGCCCGCCAACCAGCCCGGAGCCACCCAGCGCAGGTGAGGCGGCCCCGGCCCGGCCCAAAACCTTACTAACACACTCAGATCAGGTCCCAGAGGGGTTACGGGCACTACGGGCACTGATGGGGGGGCAGTGGAGGCCAGAGGGGGCTGCTGCGTGCAGCAGGCGCACTGCTTGCTACCCAGTTGCTCAGGAAACAAGCGGCTGAAGTGACAGATGGGGTTGGCCGCCCTCCTTTCATCCTTATCGATCTTCGACTTTGTCAACCCGAGCAACGCCACCAACGCCTGGTGACGCACACGACCTCGCATGCATGCATGCAGGCCCCCCGATGCCTCGACTGCGGGACTGCGGACCTTTGTGGACGTGGCGAGTCGGCCAGCACTGGGCCCAGAGGATGTGGGGCGACAGGACGTGGTAAGTCATGGCTGTGAAGTCCGCCAAGCAGACAACGAAAATGTGTTGCGTGCTCCACCTTCTTCCCTACGATACCACTCCCATTGCAATTGCTTCCTCGCCCCCCTGCCACACCACGCCCATCAAATCCCGCAGCTGGGCGCCATGCGAGCCGCCTACAATTCCGCAGCCTCCTCCGCCAGCCTAGGGATGGGAGCAGCGCCGGGCGACAGCAGCATGCTGGGCCGAGCCGCTGCCCTCTTGCAGCACGGCCTAGCCCCCTACGGCAGTGAAGCCGCGGGGCCGCCGCCGGGCGCGGGGGCAGCAGCAGCTTCCCAGCTAGAGGACCTGGATCCGGAGCAGTTGCCCATGGACTGGGGCATCAAACGCAGCATGACGTTCACGAGCAGTGCGCGCTTCGCCGTGCACGATAGGGCCCAGCAAGCGCCGCCTAGAACACGTGAGCGCGGGCGGGAAAGAGTGCTGGGAAATGGATTAAACCCTTTATTCTGCAACGGTTTGTGAGTGCTCCACTTTCACGATATGGCTTTCCTAACCTCCTAACCTTTTCCATGTGCGATATTTTGCATATGCCGCTCTCTGGGTCGCATCCTCAGGCTGGCGAGCGACGCAGTGTGTCATCAACTGCGACTTGGATCAGGCGGCAGAGGATGAGGTGAGCAGGGGGCGAGGCAGTCCTGCGCGGCGCAGGGAGTGTGTAGGAGGTCTTGCTCGGGAACGTGGTATGGTGGTTGAAGTTTGGTTTCTTGGGCAGTCGGCCGGGATGTGGCTCGTAAGGAGTCTGCAATGCTGTTATTCCCTCAGGGCCCCCAGGCGCCGCTACATCCATACATACGCCCTCCGTACGCACGTACGTACCGTGCCTTTTCCTGTTTCAGGCCCTGCAATACCTGGCCTGCCAAGTCAGTTGGCGCCACCCGGAAATGCCGCTGGACGCGCCGACGCTGGCGGCGGCAAGATCAGCGGCCGCAGCAGCAGCAAGCAATGCCGCGGCTGCCGCGACTGCCGCCGGCGCCGTCAATGGCAGCAACGGTGGGCCCAGCAGCAGCAGCAGCGGTGGTGGGCTGCTGGCGCAGCGGTTGACTGCATGGCGCAGCGCGCTGCATAGCTTGTACGGCATGTACCGAGGGGGCGACTGCCACACGTTTTACGTGGTCAACTCGGTAAGGCAGAGGTAGCGTGCGGAGAATGTCAATGCACAGGCACATGCGTTTATCCAACTGTTCAGCTCCCAGTGCAACCACCAAACAAGCCTCTATGCATGCTAACCAACCCCGCCCTCAGCATGAATGCCTGACCCACCCTTTGCCTTGCCTAATCAGTCGTTACAGTTGGCTTCCTCATGCACCCTTCTCCCGTTCGCCTCCCATGCAGGCGCCGCGCCACCCCTACGCGGTGCTGTTCGCCTCCAAGGGTGTGCGGGGCTGCGAAGAGCTCTGCGCGGTGGTGTCCCAGTCCACGCGGGTGCTGCGGGGCCGCATGCTGGCAGCGGGAGTGCCCTTCACCATGCCGCTGGAGAGGGTGCCGCACCAGGCGGCCAGGGCGGGGGCGGCGGCGGCGGGTGGGGATGAGGGCGCGGGGGGCGGCAAGGCGGGGTACGAGGAGGGGCCGGATGAGCGGGCGGATGGTGACCTATGCGACGAGGTTGGGCAGGTGAGCCGGGTGAGAAAGGAGGTGGCAAGAGGCGCATGTGGGGGTCATGCATACCGGTGGGTGGATAGTATGGAGGAGTTAAGACATGGCAATGAGGCCGGATGGGAGCACGACGTATAGCGGACTGATTGCGGCCGCTTGCTTCATGCTCCGGCACCGGTTTAGAAAGGCAGGAATGCACGTGAGGCTTCGACTCCACTGTCCAAGAATATAATCCCAATGCCCGTTCCACTCACTGCCGCTCGCTGCGGTACCTCGCCGTTGCCAGGCGGGCCCCTCGGGTGCAGCCGGCTCCCAAATCTCAGGCTCAGCAGTGGCCGACAACAGCCGAGAATCGCTGCTGCTGCTGCGGGGGCCGCGTGCCGTACACGGCCTATATGACTTCCTGCTGAACGAGACGTCGTACTCGGGGCATGCTGCTGCTATCCGAGCAGGCGGTGGTGGCGGCCTTGCGGCGGGCTCCCTGGAGGAGCTGAGTGATCTGCCGCTGCTGCTGGCGCCGGTGCCGTTTGAGGGGGGAGCCGTGTGGCGGCCTGGAGTCAAGGTAGGGAGGCATTCGGCTGTTTCTGCTGTACCCATCTTTGCATCTCGCTCCGTCATCCATTCAATGTACCTTCTTTGCCCTTGTCCAGGTGGTTACTATGAGCAGCAAGCTCGCAGGCGACATGACCCATGGGTCAGCAGGCCCCTTCCTGTCTACAGGCATCAGCAGCCTGTCTGAGCTGGACTTCGCAGCAGCCGGTGGCGGCCACGGCAGCAGCGGCGGAGTGACCCATGTGTTGCAGGTGGGCGGTCCGCTGCCCCCCTGGACCGTTCGCCGCATGTGTACGACACTGGCCCGCCTGCACCCGGCCGGCTACAACGCCAGTCTGGAGGCTGAGCCCTTCAGCATACCGCTGAATAGCAGGGTGATCGAGACGCGGCAGGAGGCGGGCAACGCTGCTGGGGGAGGTAATGGAGGTTTGGCACAGCAGCAGCAGCAGTTGCAGCCACTGTTTGCACAGGGAGGTGCTATGACGGTGGAGGAGATGAAGGCGTGGCAGCAGCCGGTGTCACTGACGGGGGGGCGGCCTGTCAAAGGGGTGACATGCAGTGGCACTACGCGCAGGTTGGGGATACGGTTGTAGCGGAGCAGTATGGGACAAAGTGCTTCAGTGTTAGGCTGTGTGAAGAGGTGTGGTTAAGGAGCGGTGGGGAAGTGCTTTTGGAGCTGTGATTTCTATGCTCATGCAGCCGCAGCTTCGTGTGCCCGAGTTGCAGTTCATTCAGGGGAAATAGAAAGACTTGAGTGCGACGCACAACCCCATGGGCCTTACAGGCCATACCACAACGTGGCCAGGAATCCGCTATAACAGCAACACCAGCACTGTTATCTTGCCTCATGACTGTTCTTCCTCCTTTCCCAAGTTATGTCCTCTACATCAACTCTATCCCCACCTCGAGAGCAGCCAGACATACTGTATCCCACGCGAGGGTATGTGCGCCTATTAGTGGTATTCCTAGCCATTGGTTCACCTTGATCCGTTACTTTCTTCACCTTTCAAACCGAGTCATGCAACGCTCTAGCCACCGTGCATTCCCAGGACATGTTCAACGCTGTCTCCCCTCATCATTGAAGCTGCAATGGGCATGAGGAGGCAAGATGTAGGAAGGCAGTTTGTTCCTGGTCTATCACGCTGCTGAAGGCTGGGATGAGGCCCCGCGCTAGGATTCTCGTGAGGGGTCCGGTAATCCGTGTTTAGGAATGTAGTAGCGCGATAGATGGATGGTATCCCCCTCTTTCCCTTGCTGTTGGCCTCGCCTATGGCTGTGGGCACCTCTGCTAGTAAAGGACCTGGAACTGCAAAGAATCGCTGATGAATCTCCACAGGGATGCTGTCTACGCCGGGGGCTTCCCCTGGCCGCTTGTACCTCACCGTAACGATGGGTCCCTGACACTGCTGCTGTGCACGCGCACGTGCGGTCCAGTCCTCGCAAGGTTTGAAGCATTAGCTTAGTCCTGAAGGAGCGTAGCGACGCAGGGACTGAGCTCTGTTTGGTACGGCAATTCGGAGCTGCCTGAGATGCTTATCTTCCTTTCAGTTCCTTGCTGAAGGCCTTCTGTAGAGAGCACTTACATCACTGTGAGTGATTACCTCCCCCCCTACCTCCCTGGCTCGTTCCCCGCCCTTTGTTGCCTCCTCCTCAGCACTGCCCGGCGTCTGGTGCTGGTGGATCGCGCTTTTGGTGCTGCGGCGGGTCGCCGCATGGTGGGACGCGCCTGCTGGCGGCGCTGGGAGCTATTTTTGGGAGCCTGGCGTGCACGGCTCCGGGATTTGTGTTGTGGGCTGGCTCTTGTGGGCAGTGGGTTGGTCTCTGTGACGGGGCGGCGAGCCTGGTTCTTCTGCGTGGTGTTAGCTAGTGTGGTGCCGGGATCGGGGTCGGTTTTTTTGGGCCCTGTTCGCCGTGGGGGTGTTGCTGGGTACTCGTCGGGTGGTTGCCTGGAGGTGTTTATGTCATTTCTTGGTCACCTGCCAACTTTAACTGCTGGCCGGATCTGCAGCGGAGTTTTTGCCCTTGTGCGCCCTTGTTCCCGTTTTTACCCACTGTTTTCGCTCCGTGCTGGTTTGTTTTGGGGATGCAGGGGCTGGCAGGCGTCCTTGGGGCTTGTAGTTGTTTCCTGGGTTGGGGCGGCTCGCACGACACCTTCACACCTTTGCGGTTCAGTGGTTGTTGTGGGTTGGGTGCGTGGCCGGTGGTCGGCCTTCGCCAGACTGGCTGTTTTGCGCGTTGCTGTCGTGCTCGCTCGCTTGCTGTGTTTGTTCTCCTCGTGTAAGGTCCAGTCGTCTTTGCTCCCCGGCTCGCTCAGTTCCGGTCAGCTCTTTTACATCGATAGGCAGCTGCTAAGGACCAAACACGCGTTTCCTGGCATCTGCGTTGGCCGGCGTGAGCGTGCTGGTTAGCGATCCGTCGGGTCGCTGTAGCGCTGTGGGTCGTCTGCAGGCCGCTGGCGGAAGTAACTGTCTGGTAGGCATTGGGGATGGTCGTTCGCCGCTGCGTATCCGGGCATGCCGGGTCCGCCGGGCGGCGCTTGCTACGGCCCGGACGTTCTGCTACTGCTGATCGTGCGGTGAAGACACTTACGTCAGCATAATGTCAGGATAACCAATGCAAAAGCCATGCACCTTGCCAAACGCTATCTTTTCCCGCCATGCACCCATTCCAGCGAAAGGGGCAGCTCAGAGTTTTTGATGTTTCGGCTTATATGTGAGCGTTGTTTTCTTTATTCTTTTATATAGTTTTCCTTTAATTGTGCGGTCCACGAGCTTCCTGTCTTGCCTTGGGCCTTACGAGCCATAGAGCTTGTAACAACTCACTCAGTTCAAAGTCTAATGGGATAAGACGTAAAAGCTCTTGCTATTAAAGCTAAGTTAGGTTAAAGGAGCTTGGTATGCCAACGCAGCCAACCCATTACCCAGGATTATGATGCCAAGGTGCCAACCTCGCCAGCCTGCCGTGCTGTCTGCTGTGCACTAATAAAAAATATAAATCCGAGTTGGTCTCCAGGCAGCGCCATTGCCTTTTGGTGCTGCGTTAGTAACTCCCCAGTAGAGAGTGCGCCGTGGGGCCAACGACGGATATGCAGCGAGTTGGGACGTATCGACCTAACTTGAAATTAGGTATGTACTGTATTTGTTCCAAGCGTGTATTAAGTGATACGGGTTTATATCAACTGGTCTGTTTTGCGATCAAGGTGCGTCCTGACACCTGAAAGCTTACCAGTATTCCTAAATTAAAGGACATCCATAAGCTTGATAAGATCGTGACATGCATCAGTTGGACTTGTAGATATGGCTATCTGACCCTGATGCTGAACCGACTTTTGGTTTTTGCCTTCCTGTACTCTGCCCTCCTTTGAAGCGGACAAGATGGCTCCTCGTGATGCCTAATACGGTTTTGCCGTTTACCTCTGTTTTAAACAACCTCAGGTTTCTTGGAATTGGTCTTCCTACTAACGTCGGTAGTTGCACAACTACCAGTGGAGGCGGCCCTTATAGTACCCACAGATGGGGGCATTTCTGTTGCTGAGTTACTGTCAGCCCAGGGCATTCTGCCTCAGGGTGTCACGTACCTGAACCCAGAGAACGACGATTATGATCCTGCCACCGTGGGGCTACCTGTGTTGCCTGTTGTCCTGCAGGGCTGGGGCGGCATCTTGCCACAGAACCTTTTGGCAATCAGGCCTCCCACCACTTTCGTTCATAAGCCCCCACCACCGCCGCTCCCGCCACATTCTTCAGCTCCACCGCCCCCATCGCCTCCACCACCCAGTCCGAGCCCTCCACGCACACCTCCTCCATTGCCTTACACGGCAATAAATTTTGACAACATGGTTGCTAACTTCTTGTTCCAGACCCCGGTCATCAGCTTGGCACCTGGTAAGCATACTTTTGCGTTTGCGGGTGTTGTCATCAGGGGTGCTCTAAGCTGTGTCCCTGCACCTGCATGGCTTTTATCCTGTGGCTGCCTTGCTGGGTAATGTATCTCTTTTCATACACGCCCAGCGCACTGCGTCCGAGTCGTTGAGTCGTGCTTGGTGTTTGCAGTACCAGTAGCTGTAGGGCTCGTGAATGTATCTCATTTGGTCGATATATACCTTTCCTCTTGCCTTCACAGGTCAGAACCTCACCGTTCTGTCTCTGGTGCTAGATGTGAGCGGCGTTAGTAACTCATTGGGGTCTTACCAGGGCACGGTCCTGTCATCACTGTCACCCATGATCATATTCGAGACTCCGGAGGAGACCGTCCTTACGCTGCAGAACGTGACAGTGCTGATGGATGCTATAGACTTGCGGAACTACCTAGTCCAGCTGGGTAGCGCAACAGATGCATGGCCGTACACCACAACGGTGACCGTCTCCCAAGGCGTTGTCAACATAGACAACCTAACCACACAAGCTAGGGCAACGTCATCAACTTCAAACAATGACTACGACGTCTACGAGACCACTGAAGGCGGCGTGGTGCACTGGAATGCAGTGACGATCACATGCCCTGGCAATTGGATGCAAAACCCGCCAATCGCTGCAGCCGTCCTGACAGACAGTTGGCAGTTGGGTGAATCTGCACTGTCGGAGATGGCGGATAGCATATACCCGACAACCGTGTTCCTATCAATGGCAGCTGACATCTCTTTGCCTGCTGATGGCAGCTGGCAACCGGTAAGGGGGGCGTGCTGGTTGGGACCTAAACACCTGAGCCCGGTTTTGACAGCAATTCACGAAGGTATGGTTGCATGCAGGTGCGGTTACCTACGGATGTGCTACTGGTGCTGCTAGGAAACCCTGTGCGAACCACAATGTTCGACTTGGCAGGGATCAATCGTGCATGGTCTGCTGAGTACAGCACTCCTGGTAGCACGGCACAGCAAGTCGTACAAATACGCTACTTGACGCTCATCAATCTGCCGTATACGGAGATACCTGGTGACACAAGTAGCCTGCTGACAATCAGCTTGCAGAGCTTTGGAGTTGACAGGTGAGGGGGCCTGTCCTACCGTATATTGGGGACTGTAAGTATCCTAACACACTGGCATGAGTCGACGAACACTGCCACGTAGGGGTGGGGCGTTTGGCGGCCGACATGCACAGGGCCACTGACAACGCACTGCCCGCTGCTGCTTTACTTGGACGACCATGCAGGACGTTCTATGACTCGCCGACTCCACAGCTCGTCCTCAAGGACAGCACGCTTGTCGTTCCTGACCAGGAGGTTGCTTTTCTGAAGCGAGTGGTGAGGGGCGATGGAAACTCCCCTTCGACGACAGACCTTGCGCCAGTCCTACGGGTCTTGGGTGTACAGGTAGGGCATCCGGCAGCAGACGAACGGTGTACATACCCTTCCGCCCATGTAGTAGGGTTCCTGCTTTGAACGCTCAGATTGGGCTGGTATTTATCGTTACTTGCGGCATGCCCTCATTTTAAAAAGCTTCAGGCCAATGCTGCTGCTGAGGGCGAGCTGCTAGTGGAACAGTTGCTGATTGGAAGTCAGGTGGGTCCTGTCTGCCTGGGAGCACTAAACGCTTGCACTGACTCGCCCTGTGCAGGGTTGCCTAGACCCTGCCTTATGTATCCTGCCTCGCACTGTTGCGTGTTGCAACCTCTGTTACTGTTTTGTTGCAGATGCAACCCCACATGCCCTCTCCCCGCACCTGCCCGCACGCACAGGTTTCCCTGGTCAACTGCACGCTGCTTTCCGCCAGCCGCTACTCGGCACTTCCAGATGCCCGGCCGTTGCTGCCGCAGTCGCGGGTGTGGCTGCCTGAGGTGTTGCATGGGGATGCGGAGACAGCAGCGCAGTGGGTGAGTGCCGTACCGTACACGGGGGGCTGCACATGGCGGTCATGCGCTCATTCCGCAGCAACATGTGGGGCCGCGAAGGTGGGGGGGTACCAGCCATACCTTCTGTTCCTGGCTGCTGGTTTACAGAGGCTATTTGTGCAGCCAAGAAAGGAGCATTGTGCCGTTGATTGTGTCGGGGTGCAGCATGGTGCCGCCAAGATGGGCAGTGTAGTTTGTTTTTGTTTTCCAACCTAGGCAGCATCACCCGTTACCAATGCCAAACCAGGCATGCCTTGTTGTGCATGAGTGTGCAGGATGCCAAATGATTAACGCATGCTGAGGCACGCTGTACGGTTCACTGCATGTCCGCAGGGCCCCCTTGGGCTCGCCTTCGGTACAGGCCTCCAAGACGCCCTGTCCAACCTCAGCTCAACATGCGGTCCGCTGCCAAGCAAGTCGCCTGTTACATACATAACAAGGTGCATGCTTGGGGCGGGAATGGGTGGTAGTATATGTTCTTATGCATGGTTCTCGGCCACTACTACCGTCTTTCGTTTTATGTCGCATTACTCATGGTGAATACGGCACTTTCTCTGCTCTGGAAGATTACATCTGGACCTTGCTTTGCTTGGACAAGCTAGAGTGCTTCAAGGGTTCCGATATGACGTTTGCACGGTCTGTTTCTCGTGGCCGACGTACTTAACACACGGGTTAGCCTGAGACCCTGGGCCTTATACATCGCCTACACGGTGATTACCCTGTTAGTGTTGCAAGATGTTCGCGTGGTCGTGTGATGACGGCCTTTCTTAAAGCTGTCACCGCCTTTCCGCTGCCCGTTGATGGCTGCAGACGTGACGACCAGAGCAATCCGCTGCTGGTGGCTCCCAGTTCCGGAACCAGCGCCTCCAGCATTAGCATCATGAGCGATGAACCGCTGGCCTCGGCTGCCGAGTGTATCGTCAGCGGCTATCCACAACAGCTGGCGGGAGGCCGAACCTTTACCAACCTCCAGGTATGCGGAGGGTCGCAGTAAAGGATGGCCGCGGATGGCTGCGGCGAGGGGTTCACATAAGTGTTGGCCCCCGGTCAGATAATGTCAACTCGTTGAGGCCTTACCCAGTGCTGCTATGTGCTTCTGCGTGCTTGCTGCCTTCCCAACTACTGCTTGTCAGGGGTTTTCGGCATTTCATAGCCCTCTCAATCCTTACCATTCAACTGTCCAGGGAGCCGTAGGTCGTGCCAACATCATGCGGCCCATCACACTCCGAAACCTGGTGCTGTACAACCTGGCACCCGGCGGTAGTGGTGGTATCGGCAGCCCTGGTCAACAAGCGGAGGACTCTCAGTTAGTGGGCCCTGATGCGGCTTGGACCAACAGTTCCCTGCCTCTGTGGTTCTTCCAAATGGATAGGGACACCAAACACAGCAGTGCCACAGCGACAGATCCGGAGACGTCGTCAAAGCCATCCATGCTAGTCCTTGAAAACGTGACCCTCGTGGTTTCAGAACCAGAATGGCGTGCATTGGTGGCAACCGTATTGACCACTGCAGCTGCATCAACCAGTCTGGAGAGCCCAACACGACGGTCGCTGTTGCAAAGCTCCCAAGGAGTCCAGAAGCTGCATCCAGGGCAGCAGCATGGCCTGACCCAGGGGTCTGCAGACTTGCCCAGAGAGCAGCAGCTGAGCCAGCAACAGCCGCAGCATGTGGCACGTAGGCTTGCCGTGTGGCTTTCAGGTGAGTCGAAATATTACAGACAGTTGGGGCTTCACCCATCCGGTACGCGACTGCATGAACACGGGCAGTGTTTGTCAGGTTTCACACTTATGCTGCTTTTTTGGAAGGCATCGTGCACTGTGTCGCTACTAGTTTTCACCTTGAGCACTGACAAAAAAGGATTGGACTAGACCTAGGGGTTCAGGCTTTTGTAGACGAGCATTTTCCGCCGTCCCTCCTACCCCAAATGCAGCTTCGCCTCCTCCACCGGATGGCAAGCCGACACCGCCACCGAGGCCCCCCTCACCCATGCCGTTGCGACCACAATCACCACCGGTTCCCTCACCAGCACCACCACCACTACCACCAATGCCACCTCGACCGCCGCCGTCTCCACCCTACTCCGACACAACACACCTGGCGTTGCAGGCCTTTGCTGCGGCATCACAGGTCAGGTTTGGTGTCGCTATCTAATCGGTTTGATTGCCGTACTGCTCGGGCACGCTAGTATGCTCATCGGGCCTTGCTTACATTGTGCACGTGAAGGCAAATCCCACTTTGGGTTTGACGCTGCTGCACATTGATGGCCAAAGCATCAGAAGTAGTCCTGATACAACCTCCCATTTGCCTGTTGTGTACAGGTTCTGTCCTACGACTACAATGCTGGTGTCATTACCTTGGCGGTCGCAAAGCACTACGGCTGGGTTGGAACCAACGTGACAGTGACGTACAAGATGCCAGCTGATGCACCCAGCAGTGCGCAGCTTTTGTTGTACCCAGCAGTTGTCCTGCCGTATCAGGATTTTGCAGGTACAGCAGAGCTTGTTGTGTACCTGTTGTTTAGCTGTGTATTAAGAAAACTGTTTAGCTGTGTATGTATGTGCACGCATACTAACATTCTCACACAGCAGCCATGCAGTTGAGGTCCCTCACCATTTCGTCATCTTGTCTTGCCAATCGCCACGCACCCAAGTCCCCTACCAAAGCCCACATCAAAGCCCAGCATAGCAATCTGAGCTGTCCTTGAGCGCAGTCCCATATGCATGTGTCCAGCCCAACGGCTTACACCGCCCTGCACCAAACACGTGAACAGTACCATAGTCGTATAAACATCTTGTCACATTACCCCCCTGCCATACTTACCACGGTAATGCTTCGCCCCGTCCCTCTAATTTGTCTCATGTGCTCCTCCATACACAGATATGGACATCAGCAACGCAGCTCTTTCCCCGCCCCCCGCCCCAAGTCCGTCAACCCCGGCACCAACTGGCCCGCCCGCCTTTAATGACGCACCCACGTCGGGCAATCAGGATACGTCCATGACGGCACCTCCTCCTGCCCAGCGCCCTCCCCCTCGCACCCTCGGCACCGTCAGCAGCCGATATCCACCACCTCCCACTCCTGGTAGTCTGGACAGCTACACTCCTCCCTCCCTGGCAACCGTCCTTCAACCACCATTACCGGTAGCGACAACACCCTCCACCCCCTCCAGCGCCCGTCCAGCCTGGGTGGTCCCCGTTGCGAGCTCTCTGTCAGCCTTTGTCGGCATGCTGTTGCTGCTTGTCGCCGGCATTGCTTTCAGACCGGGCAAATGGCGCCGGGCTGCTGTTACCACCCGTTCGAGCAGCGCCTCCACCCTTGGCTGTGTCATGGTCAGCAAGGAAGGCGCCAGCAGCAGCGCCGTAGCAACCAGTCGCCATTTAAGCGATTTAAACGTTGGGAATACAACGAGCAAGGGCACGAGTTCGAGTGTCCTGGAGGAGAAGCTGCACTCCACTCTTGCCACGGAGGGTGAGGTGGGCGTCTCGGGTGGACATCGCAGTAGCGATATGGCCACTTACGCTTGGATTGCCAACAATCCAAAGGTAATCCCGGCAGCAGTGGCAGCGGCACCAGAAGCAAGTGGAGGGCACTCTGTGGAGTACGCTGGGTCCGGTGCAATAGCACTGGCGGCAGCAACCGAATCTGGTGGAGGGCGATCCACGGAGCCCGGTGGCAAGCTGGCGGCGCCCTTGGGTGCCCCTGCTGCTGATTCGGGACCCGGCAGCGGCCCGGGAGCTCAGGGGGTATGTGTTGGTTCGGGTGCCACCGGTGACATGGTGCTGGCTAGCAGGCATACCTTTGTTGGTGCCGCAGCAGGCAGAGCGTCTGGCGTATCTTGGTGCTCCCTTACGCACTTCAGTGCGAACGACAAGCTAACTAGGGCGGTCCCATCAAATGGACGGGCTTTCAGTACCATGCAAAGGGCGACTACTCTTCTGACACGTTTGTACACTCCACCCGTACCAGGGAAATCGCCCAGTGCCGGCTGCGTCATCAGTAGCAGCTCCTGAAGCACGGAGGCAGCAGGAGGGACGCGCTGGGCAGGGGGAAAGCGGTACAAGCTGCGAAGGACCCGCAGACGGCTCCCTGGCGCTGGGTTCGATGCATGACATGGACACCAACGCCTATCTCAACAGCATTTTGGTAAGTGCCTGGGTGTGGCGTGTGAGCATGCGACTGAATGGGTGGATAGGCGCCAGGTTGGGCCTTATAAGTATATGACAGACAGGCAACGTAACTTCACAGTGTCCCGATGTATCCGTCTGACTGGGAACTGCACCCAACCCCGCTATAGCCCAGACGGCATGCCAACCTCCACGCACGTTCAATACGGTACATGTACATATTGTATCCATATTTTGAATTCGCAATACACGCGCCGCAGGCCTACTACAGCGGCATGCGCCGACGTGCGGACCACAACACCAGCAAGACGGCCGGGGCGGCTATGCAGGCTGCACAGGAGCAGGACGAGGGTGGGCTAGGCACCGCCGGTCTCTCGGTCGACCGCCCTCCCACACTGCCCAGCTGGCTGTCTGGCCCCACAATGAGTGTTCATCGGAATATGCACTTTGCTATTGAAGCTGTCAAGGTAGGAGAACAGAGGGCATGGGATTGTCTGGTGTGGAGGAGTTGGCAAGGGGGTGTCAGCTTTCTGGAAAAGGATGGAGTCTCTTGATGAGGACAGGAAAGTAGGAGGCCACAGGAGCTACAGGTCAAAGATAACTGTGATTGGAGACTCGTACACTCCTTCTTACAGAGGCTACGCCTGGAAAGCCTGGAAAGCGAACATGCTGGTTAATAAGCGAACACCCCTTAACACCCCTTAGGTTAGAGGCTGGTATCCCTTGCTTGGGAAGATGACATCCCTTGTTAGGGAAGCTGGCACCACTTGCTTGGGAAGGCAACACCCCTTGGATTGAAAGGCTGTATCCCTTGCATGAGTTGCTGTAGCTGCGCTATTGGCATAGTAAGACTAGCTGGCGGCCCCTTGTCCAGTGAGGCATTGACACCGTTATCGAAAGAAGGCTTACCCCCGCTAGCTCTCGGTGTGACTAGGGTGCACCACGGTATGCATTAGACCAACTCGATGGTATTGACTCACAGGCACGGGTTGGCACCAGTGCCATGGTCCGGCCAATTTTCACAGGTGGTCGGTAATCAGTACTTCAAAAGATAGCAAGTACTTTGGTAATGCGCGCCCCAAAACCGCAGCGGAAACTCCGCCCAGAAAAAACGAGCAGCACAGGAAACCATGCGGCGTAAACCGGGCCTCTGCACCTTATGACGGCTCCCCGGCTGGTTCACGGGAGCCAGTGCTACTTACTGGGATGGTGGCCTTACTGTCAGTGCTGTATCTTGTTCTTCCCCTGGCACATGCAGCCTGCGAATCAACCAACCTGCCCTCCTCCCCCTCGCCAGGCCGAGTTGCAGGACAAGGATTTGGAGGTATACTCCATACTCGGGGTGGGAGCATTCGGGGTGGTGTACAGCGGCACATGGCGGGGCCTGCCCGCGGCAGTCAAGACGCTAGTGGTGCCGAACGTCGTCGTGAACGGACCCGCGGGTCGCGCCAGGCGGCAGGCGGTGCTGGAGGCCGCGGTATCCATGAGCCTGGTGCACCCCAACATCGTGGGTGAGCCCTGGAAACCGGAGTGGTATGTTTGTGGCTATGCCTGCTGTCCACGTTTGTTGATGCAGGTGCTGTTGAAAGGAATAGAAACAGATGTGCGCTTTCACGCCCTAACTTGAGCTGCACACCCGATGTGGCTCCCCTCATGTGCCTGCAGCCACATACACCTATCAGACCCAGGCACTTGTTCAGGAGCCGCTGGTTGCTGCTGGCGACTTCTTGAATGGGGGCCCAGACGGCTCAGCAGCAGCGAAGGGGCCTGATGTGGCGGCTGACGAGGAGGGCGAGGCTGACGCATTCAAGCTGTACATCGTGCAGGAATACTGCAACGGCGGCACCCTGCGGGGGGCACTGGGTGAGGCTAACAGCATTGGTTGTATGCTTTATACGTTACTTCGTACGCTATATTACTCAACCGTTTTGTTCCCATCTCCTCCTGCTTCCTCCGCCAGAGCACGGCATGACGGGCAGCATCCAGGCTGGTGGGCTGCTGAAGCGCCTTGCGCTGCGTCTGGCTCTCGACGTGGCCCTGGGCATGCGGCACATGCACGCCTGCCGCATCGTGCACGGGGACCTGAAGCCGGGTAGGAGGCGGGAGGCGGTTGGTGTGTTGCAACTGTGTCTGCATGCTTCAGCTTGTTTTTCATTCCTTAACCGCTAGGCTGCATCGTTATATTCCCACCTGCATTACACGTCCCTAAAACGCCACCCCCATCCAGAAAACGTGCTTCTTACGAGCGGACCCAGTGACGCGTCATGCGACAACGAGGCCAAGCAGGAGGGTGTGCCGGAGGATTGGGAGGTGGTCATGTGCTCCTTTGCCGCTGGCAAAGCCGCTGCGGCGGGCGGCGAGCGGCTTGTTGCCAAGGTAGCGGACTTCGGACTGAGCCTGCTGCTGCCTGAGGGAGCTACGCACGCCTCACAGCGCTTCCATGGAACGCCGGCGTATCTGGCGCCCGAGGTAAGGCTGATGTGTGCTTAAGCTTGCTAGACATGCATGCAGGTCCTCTCCTGTTTACTGACTCGTGGGTCACGCACTTAATCACAAATAGTGGCCGTGGTGACCTGGTTAATAGTAACCTTTATACCAAACATGTCTGGCCCTCCCTCAGGTGGCGGTTGATGGCCAGTTGTCCCCTCGTGCGGACGTTTGGTCGTTTGGACTGCTGCTGTTGGAGCTCTACTACGGTTGCGCGCTGGGGAGTGCTGGCATGCTGAAGAGTGCTGGAGCGGGTGGGGTGGAAGGAGGAGCGGAGCAGCAGCAGGGCGCGGATGGAGCTGCTGACGACCGGGGACAGCAGTTATCGCTTTTGGTCAAGGTAGGTGCATGCAGCACGCTGCTATTGATGGTAGATATTAAAAGCATGGTAGAATGGTAGCATGGCTCTGATCCTGCTGTCTTGCGTCGTCTTGCGTTGGTTTCCTTTGGGCACCCATCCCGGTAGCTGCATACAGGCGGGCCTGCTGTTGGTGACCGGGTCCTAGCCCTTCGCGGCCCTGACCCTCCTGATGTCAACCCTATGCACGTTACCCCTCGCTCAGGACATGCTCTCCTCGCCACACGAGCCGTACGGGGAGCTGGTGGCTGCATGCTTGGCAGCGGATCCCCGGGCTCGGCCTGGTTTTGGAGACATCGTGGTGCAGTTGCAGCAAATGCTGGACGACAGGGCTGCGTGATGCGCAACCCAGGAGCCGTGGGGCAATGCGTTTACCTTGAAATGGCTGAAACCGGCAGGAGTCACGATGCGTCGCAGTTTTGCATCGGAGTCTTCCATGGCACGTGGAAACGTTAATGCACGGCTTCCACAACATTGAGCTTAAGCAGACTGAAATTTCCAAGGTACCCAACATGGCCCTAGGAAAAATGCTTAGAAGACATGAAGTAAGCACCGACTGCCACTTCTGTATGTGTGACAGGCATGTACCCTGATCACAAGATTGCCGACGCCGCCTCCTTCTTGGTGCCGTTGCTCTTTTATCATGAGAAAGTACTAATGGAATGGGAGAAGGGGATGTATAATACGAAGAACCTGTTCGGAGTTTTGGCGGGATGACACACGGGGTGGCCGCATGCATCGTGTAGCACCCAGCCGTCTCAGCCTGTTTCGTTTGTTCAGTTGTGCTGCTGATGGGCTCCTTGAATACCTGGCAGCGTGCTTTGTTTCTCTTCCGTTTGCATCCGGCTGCTGGTCCCCTAGCGCTTTTGGCGCCGACCAGGGCGGGGCCTTGTATGGGGGTGGATAGCGCGCCGTAGGATATTCGTCCCGAAGTCATTTTTCTATACAGGGTCAGGTCCTTTTGTAAGGGGTAGCTGGTATTGGGGTATTCCTTTGTGGGGTAACCCTTTCTTGCCGGCGGGGGTAGCGGGTCAATCAGGTTTGTTGGGTATGGAACACCGCTATCCGGTCCCCGTTCATTGTTTCGGTATGGGTTTGGCTGCTTTCGCTCAACTGAAAAAATTTGAGGACATGTGGACTTCAGCGTGTTGCATGCTCCGTCGAGGGATGCCGAGGACAGGGTGCTGATGCGATGCTGTTCCGCACTAATACGCCTCTTTCTTGAGTCGGCTTCTCCGGATGCATGTGCTCTTTGTTCCCAGCGTAGTTGTCATGGTCTACTGCTGTCACTTGGACCTTGTTGCTTGAGTGAAGCGCCTGGGCTTGGGTGGCGGCTGGGGAGGCGTTTCTTGTTGACGGCTTGCCACCCCATTCTCTACCGGCTTCTGTGGATGATGCTTGGCAGGTTTTGGTACGCCAATCTCATGTCGGAATGACGAAAACCTATCTGTTCGGATGGCTGCGGTGATTCAGCTTGGGTCTGGGTTCGATCGAGGAACGTGCTGTGTTGCAAGGGCCTTTATTTGGGAAGTTATGGGGCTACCTGGTTGAGTGTTCTACTTTGGCCCCATCTTGAGTCTGCGAGGTAGGGGGCCCTGCTGGGCTCCTCTGGCGTTTGACGCGCTGCTGTCTCTGTTGGGGTTCTGTTTTTCTGGGCGGTGTTGTCGTGGTCTGGTCTGTGTATTGGTGCCTTCTTTTAGAGGTCTTGCTGAGGGACCGTTTCTTGACTCGATTCTACCTCTCTTGTAGTCCCTTTCAGGCTTTGTTGCCTGTCCTGCTGACCCGTTGTGGTGTTGTGTTCACGGTGTGTTGCGTTTTCCTAGCAGCGTAGCACTCTGCTGGGAAAACTGGGGTCTTCGTTTCTGTTTTATGGGGAGGGTCCCCTTCCGTATTCTCATTCCATGTTCCAGAACCTCGACTTCCGTAATTGCTGTACTTAGATATGGACCCTTAATACGGAGGCCGTTGTGGCATGCTTGACAGTAGATACATGTTTTCATGTTCACTTGTTGGTTCGCGGCAGAGGTTTTCAGCAGTAACCACGCGTTCTTGTGGTTCCTTGTTTGTTTGCGGCAAGGGTTTTTGGTTTGGAACTTCTGCACGAGTCAGGATTTAAACAGGCGACCTTGCATGGGACAGGTTCAACACTGTCGTCCCATGGGTCGGTTGGCGGTTGCGGGTCAGCGAGGCTTCCGTTTGCCGTCTCAGGCTCAGAGAGAGTTCGTTTCAGTGGGGCACCGTTTGGCGCGGCAAGTAGTGCTTCGCTGAGTGCTAGGTTTGTGGTTCAGAGGGGTAGCCGCTGATCGGTTGGTTTTGATCAACGGTGGCCGGTCTTGGGCTCAGCGGGGTTTGGAATTGGTATAAAAAATTCTTGTCTCTACTGGTCTCTAGACGTTTTACAGCTACAAGTGGCCAGTAGTGCCTTCTGGGGTCGGTCAGGGAACCCTTAACCCTCTTTCTCACACGCGTTCGTATATGCCAACAACTGGACTTGGACCAGGACGTGCTACCGTGTGAGAGACACGAGAGGAGTCTGGTCGAGTCACCCGCGTCTGGGCTTCAACCTCTGCCCTTGGCAGTTATACGGTTCGTTACTGGAAGTCATACACCGGTATCCTAACTGTCACCACTTACAGCCTTAGGTTTGACCAATCGGACTTAGTTAGGTCCCGCATTGGCATCCCTGAGTCTGCTCTTTCAATCCTGCAGCTCTGGCCGGCACCTCGAAATGGATTTGGTACAGTGCAAGGACCCGTGATGTGCAAATGAACGGTCAGTTTATTTCCCCAAGCGCAGCCAGTAAGCACGGGCATGTCACAAGACCGCCGACACCGCTTGTCTCTTCGGTGACTTTTTGTGGTAGGGATTGCGTGCTGACTAGATGGGAGATAGGAATGTTTCCTTATTGCGAAGATGGATTGTTGAGAAGATACACGGGATAACGCATTCATCGTACGGCCACCAGCCATCTCAGCCCTTCGGATGTGAGCGCTGTGTTGCTGATTTCGACACGTGTTAAGGTGTGTCCCTCTGCTAGACGTGGTCCTCACTATCGACCCGCCATACATTACGTGTTGTTGTGTTGGTGCTTACCTATGGTACAGTAGTGCATGACTGTGTGCACACACGGCCACTAACGCAATCTACACAACGGGCGGCGATGGGGGGGCGGGTTTGTCGCAGGTTTCACAGGGTTACAACGAAATAATCCTTACATGACGGGCGTCTAGGCTTTAACTGCTGAACATACTTCGGCCCCCTTACTGCTGAACATAAACTGACAGTGATAAGCAGTAAGTGGTACTACAGAGAATACGTCCTTGGAGAGATCATGGCAACCCCAACGGACGGAGGTAACGCAAGCCCTACTAGTAATTGAAGTCCGGGCTGTCCTGCAAACATGTACCCCGCCTGCATGCCTCGAGCCAAATGAGGAAGAGGCGCCCACACCACGTGCCCATAAAATTCCACATGTTGCTAGGTGTCCGAAGACCCGGGGCCTTTCCAAACCTTCTTGTAGCAGAAGAGCTTTCTACCACTGCTCCCTTCATAACCCCACGCCCAATTACAGTCTTTTCACTCGAACCTACACAACGCTGTGCTCACTTCGCGTATCGAGACCAAAACGGCAGCCGAGGCATGCATATGCCAGCATGCACAGGGTCTTCCTCTCCTCTCCAAGTCCTCAGCGCTCGTAGTTGTCACTCACTCTCGCTAATGCATCAATCAGGAGGCGGCTCCTACGCTCCTTCCAATCACCAGCTCTATGCTCCTAAATGCAACTTAACCGCTCACATATTAGACCCTCCTGTAGATGAAGATCTCGTTGTCCGGGCGGGTACGGACCACCCGCAAGTCCTCGTCTAAGTATGTCACGTCCAGCGTGACTAGTGTGGCGCCCGGGCCCCGGACCGCCTCAACTACCTTCTGCACCGGCACCGCCAAACTGTCCAAGAAAGGCAACACATTAGAGTTGCTGACGCGGGTGTTTTCCACCATCAAGGAAAGGCTGCATGGAGGCTCCTGTACGACACTGCAGGTCGTGACGACCGTACCACGGAGGGCTGGGAAGAGCTCCAGGTCTACTTCACTTATGAGTTTTCCAGTGTCAAAGCTGATGGTTTGGTAGGCGGCGCCCACCTTTGCGCCTGGAATGGCGTCTGTGAAGGCAAATATCTTGGCTGCGACCTCACGGTTCTGCACCAGTCCCTCCTGGAAGGCCAGGAAGAAGGGAGACGAGCGGAATTGCTCGACGGAGCTGTACAGCAGCTCCCACTTTCCCTGCACGGCGTCCAGTTGTACGGCACCCTCACCAGAGGAGCTGGTCGCCTCTTCCAGGACCTCTACGAAGCTGGACACCTGCGTGTAGGTTTTGAGTGTGTAAGGAGGAAATAGGGGGAATCAGGACATCATGCTATCCTCTCGTTGGTGGTTTGTGATTGAACCATGGGTCACTATGGGCTGGATTGGGATGGTGACGGCACGCTATCCAAACGTTTAGCCGTCAGATGGATCACTGGAGATGCTGAGGATGTGACGGAAGCGATGCCATTTAGGATATGGTGCAGTGAATGGCGGGCAAATGGGGAGAGAGATGTTAAGCACGATACACGGCAAAGGAGTAAATGGCTAACTGGGAACCTCAACGGGCACACCAAAGGGCAAGATAGCAAATTGGCAAGAGGAAAAGTGCGTAGGGCCTGGCGAGCTATCACGAACCCTTGGGCGCAAAGCCTCAGCCCAATAGTGGCTGCCAACTACAATTAACGACGATGTTGGTCATATACCAATAGTCAGAGGGGGCAAGTAGTTGCAATCCCGCGTATACACGTGGCATCTTCATGGCACGGAGTTCAACGTGGGCCGCAAAAGCAAGCATTGGGGGACGGTCCGGACGGATAAGTGTTGCCATGTTGTATACCTCGTACTTGTCGTTGCTGCTCGCAATAGCTCCACGGTCAAGGCAGGCAACCTTTTTAAGGAGTTCAAGTTTAGTTGGCAACAAGTCATCTGCGCTTGCCGACTCTGTTGCCGATGTTCGCATCCGGCCACTAGGGTGTGACGAAAAAGCGATCCGCCGATAATGCGTATATTTGAACATCGGTGTCACCTGCGGTAATAGCAAGGCCTTTTTACTGTGGCGAAAGAACTATACATTGCGCAAGCCATAAGCCATTCAGAGTCAAGTATTGCTTTGCCCAAAGGCGTGAAATTATACACAGTAGACCTACTTTACGTTCCGTAGTGCATCGTCGTCTGTTTTGAGCCTGAGGCCGGTATGCTGTATTGGCGAGAGCCATTCGTTCCAAGTCCTAGCCAAAAGGTAGAGGCCTAAGACAGTTACCAGAGTATGAATAGTAATAAGAGCTTTACTGGCAATCGGCAATCGGGAGACCCCTCATGCCCGCGGGATCGGGTGACTTTTGCGGAAAAGTCAGCCGTAAAAGTCATCTACAAACGCGGTGACTTTTACCCTTAGTAGCTTAACAGTAGATTGTTAGATTTGGGCTAGTAGTTGACTTTTAGGCTGCTTGTTTAGAATGCGAAAGTTACAAGGGGGACCGGAGTTCCTGAAAGCCTGAGAGCCGTACAAGAGACCCAATCGCTAGCGGTACACGCTAGGCAGCCGCGACAAAGCAACCTACCCCAGGGACATGCCTTGCAAAAAACAAGGAGCCATGCCAGACACAGAACCACCTGAAACCAAGCCCGCAAGGCCACAGCTCCACAAACACCAAGCCCACGAGGGGGAAACAGCACTCAGGCGAAGCCCGCGACAGAAGCAACAAATTATTGTACAGAGCAACTGCCAAGCTGCTGCGTTGTGTCACAGCAGTGCCCAACTGTCACCAAGTCTGTCGACAACGGCGTGAGCCGAAGGTAAGAGCACCCATAGGGGATGTCAATGGCAAAACAATCCAGGGTCAGGGGGAGGCCGGCGGGGACGCAGTATCAGGCGGGCCAACAAACCGTACACGGCCAGCCGCATTTGCAAGGAAAGGGTGAATAGGGGGAACACAGTCCCAGCCGCGGGGAGGCACACCTAAGACAGCAAAGGACTGGAGGCGGGACCAGAAATCAGCAACAACACGAGCACCCAGCACAACAAGGGACCGTCTGGGGAGGGGGGTCCGGCCACTGTTGTCAGCATACAACCACCTACGGGCCTGTTCAAGAGCCGAAAGAGCGGCCAGCGCCACGACATCCCACACACAACCATGCACACCGTCTGGAGGTTGGACTAACCACAAATGTTGCCTAGTAAATGCACTATCAAGTGAGCCCACGGGTGCACCTAAGGCCTCGCCCAGGGCCTCACGAAGGGTACGGGCCACAAAGCACTCCCAAAACAAGTGTAGCTTGTTTAGAGCTAACACGTTAACTATCCTTGTGCTTGCGTTGCCATCCACCACAACAACAACCTACAAACCTCCAGCCTTATTCCTGTTGCCTCCTTTAAGCTTTTTATGCGCTCAGCGCCCACTCATATCTCAGGTGTCGATAGGAAAGCGCAGGCCTAGCCCCGGGGTCCTATCCTTCAGTGACTAGATTTCCGATGCATGGGCGCGCCTCCTACCTCCCCATTCCCTTGCCCGTGCGGCCGCCCTTCCACACGCGACGCCTGCCAACCCCTGGCTTTCCCCGTCGCGGCACCTGACTCTTCATGCCTCTTCTCGTGCGGTGCCCCTGCGGCTACTCTGCCTTTCCCGTGCTGTGCTTGCCTTCCAATGCCCTTTCCCGTGCGTCTGCCCTTCCCCATGCGGCCCTGTCTCCCCCTGTCATTGCCCGTTCCTCGAATTCACTGAACGGATGAACGGTCGCTACAATGTTCGTTTCATGGCTCCTCCTCGTGAATCTTCTGCCCCCAAGTCCCCTCATTCCTGCACGCATATGCGCCAGTTTAGGAGCACGGCAGGGCGCTGGCCTCATGGCTTCGGGTAATTCACTAGGACAGGGGGTGTCTGTATGCGCATGCGTCCAACAGTTTGATAGTTGGGCGCAATTAGTGTGCGTACGACCATGGGCGCCGGTACTTGGGCATGGCGGGTATGCATGCATGGGCCAGGTGGGCATGTATACACACATCGGCATTGATGCATGGCTGGGTGCGCGGGAAATGCCTGGGCGCAGGTGGTTGGGAGGGGTGGTCATGTTTGCGCTCGTGGGTGCCGGTTCCTGGCAGTACGAGAGGATGCCTGCACGCTTGAGCACAGACAGCTGGAAAGGGCGGGATGCATGCACATGCGAGTGCCAATAACTAGTGCTGCTGCTCGCGGCGTGGATGTCCATGAAAGCTGTGTGGGCTATGTTCGCATAAGGCTCATTATAAAAATGCTGGGGCACAGGGCCCTTCACGTCGCGCTGCACGGAGAAAGGCATGGGAAGCAGAAGTCGCGTGTGGGGAGGGCCAGGAGGAGGATGGGCGCTGCACGGGAGGGAGGGTGAAATTAGAAAAACTGACGAACTGGATGATGAGGCACGGGAGGGGGGCCAGGTGCAACGCAGGAAAGGACAGAGGTCAAGGCCGCATGTACATTGCTATGCGAACAGTGCCATACGTACTGTGACAGCCGGACGCGTCATCAACAGTCGGATGTTCCGAGAGGCGGACGCTTCAATGGGGCAACGCATGCCCACGGGCGGACATGCATGTGGACAAACTCCTCACCCCGCCAAACCATGGTGCATGTGCATACCTACCGCGTGATCGAGAGGAGCGAGGGATGTGCGGTCCCTTCAGCGCATGTCTGGCGGTCATCAGCGTACGTGGTGTCAGTTAGTCAGCAGCATGCAGCAGGGTGCATTGTGGTCGACATGTGGGTCTTTGGGCCCTCTGACGTTATAAGGGTTATAAGCCTGGACGTCCCAGACAGCACGCGTGGCAGCAGCAGCAACGCAGTGGAGGCAGTATGACAAAAGAGCGCCCCTACCTCTGGTGTGGCAGAGAAGAAAGGAGGGGTAAAGCACAGGGCAGGTCGAGCAGGTGAAGCATCGGAAAAGGCGTGGGGAGGCAGGCGCCACACGGGGAAGGGTATAGAAGCCCCTCAGAGGGCCGCAGCGGCACCATACGGAGGAGGGCATGGACACTGGCGCCCACGGGGCCCACGGGGAAGGGCATGGGAATCCCACGGGAGGACAAGCGGTATTGCGCAGGGGCAGGCACAAAGGTAGGCTGGGGCCGTGCAGAGACGGGTCTAAGGATGCAAGGGAGGGGCAGGTGCTGCACATAAACGGGCGTCGGGAGGCAGGCCTCGGGCTGGCAAGGCCATGGAGAGGCAGGCACGGTACGGGGAAGGGCATAGGGAGTTAGGAACCCTACCGGGGCCCGCGAAGCGCATGGGAAGGCAAACGCGCATGGAAGGCATGAGGGTGGTAGGCACAGAACTGGCTGGGAGGCGGCAAGGGAGGCAGGGGATGCACGCGAGGGGCAGGGGAAGGCAGGCGCTGCACGGGGACAGATAGAGTAGCACCCGTTCCCGCCTCCCCAACAAGCACGGCCCCGCGGTATGATGGACAGTTGTTAGGTTACATGACCAATCCTTTGGACGTGGGCATCTAGTCGCTGAAGGACCCCGGGGCTAGGCCTGCGCTTTCCTATCGGAACCTAAGATATGTAGTGGTCGATGAGCGTATAAAAGCTTAAAGGTGAGTAAGGCTGGATGTTTGCAGGTTGCTGTGGTGGTGGGTGGCTACGCATGTATGAAAATAAGTTAACGTCTTAGCTCACGAGCTGCAAAGCAAGAAGTCAAGTTAGCCTATATCTAAACAATTTACTGTTAAGCTGCTAAGGGTAAAAGTCACCGCGTTTGTAGATGACTTTTACGGCTGACTTTTCCGCAAAAGTCATCCGATCCCGCGGGCGTGGGGCCTGTGCAATCGGCATCATGACTGTACGACCATTAAAGTTCAAAACCCACATTGGTGATGATTGGTGCATGGAGAAAACTCCCTTTCATATCTCTAACTCAACTGCATGAGGGTTCAATATATATGTAATTATCATACGCGATAGAGGAGCTTGCACGGCAAGGGTGTCTATCTTGCCTGTTCTTGACCAGCCCGGACTCGCCCTTTATTGTGGAACAATGAGCCCTTTCTGGACATGAATTATATATATTGCATATAAGTTGTGCCTACCGTAAATATGTCGAGGCCAGCCAAAAAGCAGAAGGTGGAGCGCCGACCGGTGGAGTGGGAACAGTGAGTCCTTGCCTCGCTGGCATTCCCTCGATAGCATATGGTATATAAGCTCTATGCATTAAGTGTGCACGCTGGACGTATATGCAAACTGGAATCTGCCAGCGAGTTGCTTTGGTGGCAGTCATTGAAGTTGCCGGGTATCGAACTCGATGCGCACATCCGATGATTTTGGCAAGCTGCGACCTATGCCTTTGTGGTTTGCTCCTTTCCTTCGTAGCACGGATGCTATATGCTGGGACCCAACTGCGCTGGTCGACAAGCACGTTCGCGTCTTTTGGCCCAGTGAAAACCGCTTTTATTCCGGCATCATCGTTAAGCACCTGTCTACAACCTTTCAGCACGAAATTCATTATGCCGACGGTAAGTATCATGTGCTGTGCTCTGCGTGCTGTGGTCATCATGCATGCCACACCCGAACTCCAGCTCTACTAACGGATTATCTTACGACTTATGATACAGGCGATGAAGAAGTTCTTGTGCTTGCAATGGAGAAGATACAGCTGCGCCCTGAGTGCATGTGCGAGCTGCCGCCGCCCAGTTCAGCCTACTTGGCCGCCCTAGCTCGTCATCTCGACAGCCTAGGAGACCGGTTGGAGAGGAAGGCGGTTGAGCAGCAAACAGCTCGTGGGCGTACAATGCTGAAAGAGGACGAGCGCAAACAGCGTGAGTAGGGGATGCGCTTCATGGATCTGGGTTTTGGACCTAGCACAGTCTAGGCCCCTGCGACATGGAGGGGAAGCCCTAAGCGGGCATGCCCCATCCAGGTGACATTGCGTTCGGGCTCACGACTGCCAGTTCCCGTCCCCCGTAAACCTAAATTTTTGCAAGGGCCTTCCCCGCATGTTTGACCCTATTTGGTCCTGTGCCCGCAGTCGAGCTTCTTCGCCGCCGCGCTGCTGACGTCCGCACAGCCCGGGAGCGTCTTGAGTTTCGTTGCATGAAGCAACGGCAACAACAGCCCATGATTACGGAACAGCGACAGGCGCACACGCGTGAGACCCCCAAGGGTGCTAACACGTCACATGATCATGGGCCCCATGCGACCGCAGCTCCACGCAGCAGGTCGCAGCGCGCTACTGCAGCTGGCGCCACCCCTGCGGCCGTCGCTGCCTTCTCTGGGAAGCCAGCACCGGGGCCAGCGCTAACGCAGCGGCAACAGCCAAGCATGTCCCTTATACCAGCAGGCGCGTGTGTCCGTGCCGCAGAGGCGTCACAGGAGCCAGCAATGCCGGACCCTTCTCCAGCCGATGCACAGGCCGCAGAGCAACATCCTGAGGTTGCAAAGGACCACCTAGCCGCACCCCTTGAAGCTACGCCCTTTCGCGTGTGCTCGCCCGCCTCCGCCAAGCGCCGTCAGCGAATGCTTCAGAGCAGCCAGCAGGACAAAGCGCAGCATCGCGGCCGGCGCAACAGCATTAAAGACACAGACTCCTTGGGGCTCAACCAAGCAGGCGGCATGGCGCCGGGTGCGGCGCCGCTAGGAACCCCTCCGCTGCCAGTATGTCCTTCAGTGATCTCTACCGGGCGGCAGCTACGGTCCCAGCAGCAGCCACCTTCAGGACAGCAGACTGGGGCGATGGCGTGGATGGGATCCGACAGCAGGGGCGTGCAGGGGTCTCGCGGTTTAAGGGTGGCTGAAGCGGACATTGGGAAGCTGTACGTGCCGAGGCCCTGGCCCAAGCTGCAGGTGACGACCCCCGACGGGGCGCCGGCAGGGGAGACGGGTCGGAAGCGGAAGGGGACCGGGGCAGAGCAGCGCGTAGCCGAAGGCAGGCCCGCAGCTAAGATGGCGGCTGAAGCTGCTGTCCCCAGCGGTTCGGCCCAGTTGGAGCAGCAGCCATACGCACCAGCTGGCGAGCGTGATATGGCAGCAGGCGCATGCAGTAACGCCAATGGGAAGGGCGCTGGGCCGGCCAGAGGCAGTGCGTCGGGGGATGAGCGGTGCCGCTTGGATGCCGCTGGGTCGGAGCTACAAGAGGCGTACAAGCACTTCCGGCTGCATTGCTCCGGGTTCAAGCAGTACCACGAGATGCAGGTAAGGGCTTCCACAGGAGGCGCGTTGTTGAGTCTATGCGGGGCCAGGGACACATCCACGTCCCATTGGAGTTCAGCGCCTCACATACGGGACTCTAGGCAAGTACTGGTGCTTTCATTCTTGTGCTTATCTGGGTCATGTGAGATTGGGGTTTCAGGGTCTCGACAAGACCACCCAATGCCATAGCTTGATAGGGCATGTGGCCTTGTGACGTTCCCCGTGTCGTTGTTTTGCCACAAGACAGCCAAGGACCCGAGGCCTCCTGTGCCGCGTCCCTTTGTAGGTCATGCTGTGGCTGTCACCGCAGCAGCTGGTGGGCCGGGAGCTCCGCGTGTTGTGGCCGGACGAGCAAGCCTGGTTCTGCGGGCGGGTGACGCGCTACGATGCGGATGCTGGCACTCACACGGTGGGTGAGGCTTCCACCAAAGTTCGTGTCGTTCCGCTAGGTGGGCCTTTCTGCTGCCACTGCTCTTTGCTTATAACCGTACGCGTTTGAATGTCCCCAGGCTCGTCCCCGCTTCCACACCACTCCTGCATTTTCTACCTCCCCACTGGTCTCTCCTCCTCGCCGCGTTGACCTGTCTTCTCCTGCTCCTTTCCAGGTCGAGTACGACGATGGAGACGTGGAGCACCTGCACCTGGCTGCGGAGGAACTGCGTCTGCAGCTAATACCGGGAGCCGCGGAGGCCGCCCTGGCGCCGCAGCCGCCCGAGGCCCTGCAGCAAGCCGGGGAGTGCCTGCTGGCGGCCGCGGCTCGTGTACGGCAGCGCATGACAGAGCTGCAGAGGGGCGAGATCCCGCATGGCAAGGAGGGCCAGGAAGCGGAGGAGGAGGTGAAGGAGCTAGCTGCCAAAGGTTCGTGGCGCGTGATGCTATGGCAACTGGGACTCCAGCCTTGCATGTACGTGTTGCTTCCTTACAGCCGTGTTCCTATGTTTCTCAAGTTCATGTTTCTCAAGTGTCCACGCCAGGCCTCATCGAGCCACCAGCACCCTGCAAACTTGGCAGCCTAGGCATTTATGGAGGATTCGATGCGATGGAGGATTCAACGCGACGAATAGACGGATTGGCTAGGTCACGAAGCACATTTCCTTGTCCAGCCCCCCTGTCTGACTGCTGATTCCTAGTGTAGCCCATTCCTTCCTGCTACGCAGCGGAGCGCTGGAGCAGCCGTGCGGCCCAACTGCGAGCCCTGGTAGCCGCCATGCTCCGAGAAGCCCCAACCGACTCCAGAGCCGTGGCACCTTGTGGCGCCGGCCAGGGACCCGCCGTGCTGCCGTCGCAAAGCCACCAAACGCCGGTGCTGTCCGCGAACGCCCCTGCGCACGACGCTGCTACCGGTGATGCCTGCACGGCTGCTATCGACGCCATGGCGGGTGATCCACGAACGGTCGAACCAGTGCTAATCGCCACAGTTCCGGCAACGGCGACGCCTCCGCCGGTGGCGGTAGCAGCTGCCACTTTGCCTCCCTGCTCGGCATCTCTTGGATCAATTCCTGCCATCATCACAGAAGCTGGTGCGGCGGAGGCGGAGGCAGCGGGCCCGGATGCGGTGGAAGAGCAGCCGCAGCTGCCTGCCGACTGGGCGACGACGCAGGTGCTGAGGCCGGGCGAGGTGGTGTGGGCGCAGGTGCGGCGCTCGGCGCCCTGGCCGGCCATCGTCATCACGCGTGAGGAGGCGGAGCGAGAGGGTTTCAACCCGCCGCGGGTGGGGTCCAGCAGCTCGGCACAGGTATGGAGGGTGTCATTGGTAATGTGGCCGCGGGCTCTCGTCTGCCAGATGAGCTAATGACACCAATAGTGCTTGAGTCATGCGCAGTATGCTGACTGCGCAGTATTTTCTCCAAGGGCTGGACAAGTGACGCGATGCAGCTAATTTCGAGTCTGCCGCTGTCTTAGCCTCGACCATGTCTCCTCCACCTTCCTTTGTCTTCCCTCCTCACCCACACACCCACAGCCCGTCTACGTGCGCTTCTTCGGCGACCACACGGTGTACGGCTTGCCCGCGGTGGCCGCGGGGCAGCGCATCCCCGACCGAGGCGGCGTGCTGCCCTTCCTAGCGGGGTTGGAGCTAGGCTGGCACGTGCGCAAGGGGGGCGGCAGTGGCGGGGCGGCAGGAGGTGCTGCTGCAGGGAGTGTTGGGGGCAGCGGCTCGGCGCAGGCGCAGCGCTTCCTGCGGGCACTCTTTGAGCTGCGCACCTACCTGAGGGTGGGTGGGTGTGATGGGGCATGCTGGCTAGCTGGGGTGCCTGTATGGAAAGCTGCTGCTAGGTAGGCTGCTGTCCATGTCGTCGTGACAGGCTCCTAACCGGGTCCCCCCGGCTGCGCAGGACGGCGAGCTGCCTCGCGGCATGATCCCGCCCAACTACGATGACGACGAGGATGAGGAGGCGGAGGACGCCGGCGGTGACGGCATTGCCCAGGAGGAGCCAGCAGCACCTGGCGCCACGGCTGCCGGCGGAGCCTCCGCTGGCCACAAGGGCGATCGTGACCAATGCCGCACTGCCACCGCCAACAACAAACTTGGCCAAACAAATGCGGCAGACCCCCTGACTGCCAGTCGCGTCACTTTTCCGTTTGTCGTGGGCCCCAAGCTGCGGCTCCTGCGGCTGGGTGAGGTGGTGTGGCTAAGTCGCTGGTTCCACGACGAGAAGTACATCTACCCGCTGGGCTACACGGCGGCGCGGGTGATGGCCAGCGGGGCAAGCGGCGGGCGGGAGGTACAGCACCTGATGGAGATTGCGGCAACGGATGACGGCGTGCGGCCGGTGTTCAGGTGCGCGTGGATGTGCTGAGTTGGGCGGCGGCGATTTAAGCTTAGGAGGGGCGCAGGATGGGTTGCTGCTGACGGGGGATACCATGCTGGAAGTTAGAGCGAGGAGTAGCATGCCTGAGGCCTGTGCAACGGGGCGGGTCTGTCAGAGCTGCATGCATCAACGCGCAAGTCGCCCAACTCGTAATCTTTCCTCCTGTCCGCAGGATTACCCCCCAGGGCCACCCGCCTGTGTGCGCCGACACAGCCAGCAGGGCCATGCGCGCCCTGTTCAAGGACGATGCGCGGACCAGTGGCAGGTGAGGCTTGTAGGAGGCGGACGAGGCACCTTCTTTCCCTAGCTGCTCTCTTGGATGCTCATCCCAGCTCTTCGTCGACGTCAGGGGGTGACCGCATCGGAGCTGGCTGGTGTGTTCCCAAGCACCCGTCCTGATGTCCCTTTCCAGTCCCTGGGGCCCTTACTGCCTACCTCCTGCTTTGCCGCGCAACCCAACGTGACCCGACGCCCTGCCCCGGTCTGCAGGGCGTTTGCCAAGACGGGCGCGGACCTGTTCGGCCTCACCAACCCCCGCGTGGCGGCGCTGGTGCGCAGCCTGCCCGGGGCGGAGCGCTGCGAGGCCTTCGCCAACTGGCCAGACCAGGAGAAGCTGCCGGTGCCGCCGCTGGTGAGCGAGGAGTGGGCGGGGCTGACTGGGTTCATGTCTGCTGAGGACCAGGGGTGTTCATGGGGCCAGGCGGGTGTGTCTTATCGACGAGAAGGCTACCTTCGCAGCGTCTAGTTCGTGTCCAAGCCTTGGTTTACAGTGCAGCGTGACTCGTGTAGCCAGTTCACTGGTAAGCCATCTGGACGTACGGAGAGTCACGTTTTCCATGACTGACCCGTCGCTCTCCCTGCCAGACGCCGTACGAGGAGTTGCAACGACAGGCGCTGTACGCTCGCGCGTTGCGGCTGCCCGCGGGTGTGACGGCGGTGCCTCAGACCAAGACGGGCATGTGCTTCGAGTGTGAGGTGTGCGGAGAGGTGAGAGCTGCAGGGGCCGGCGGATGGCGGATGGGTACGTACATGGGAAGGGCAGCGCTGCACATTACACCTACACAGTGTCACCTCAGGTCTCTCTGTCGCCCTTCAATCTCTGCCCTTCTTTCTTCTCCGCTGCCGTACCCCTGGCCCCAGGACGAGGAGTCCCCGGGCGACCTGAAGCTCGAGTGCGACATGTGCCGCTGCGTGGTGCACAGCCGCTGCTACGGAGCGCAGCCGCCGCCGCGGCAGGGCAGCATGTGGCTCTGCGACGTGTGCCAGGTGCGGCAGCAGCTGTTCAAGGTTCGAGGGGCGTATCCTTACCGACGCTTCACCCTATAATGTCTGCACAGTTAGTACTGTATGATCCTTCTGCCGCTAAGCTCCCTCATTACCAGCCCTCACCGTTCCTTTCCGTCCCACGCAGCTGCATGCGGCGGGGCTTCCAGCGGACCGCTCGCCGCCCTGCGCGCTGTGTCCGGTTGCTGGCGGCCCCATGAAGCGCACCGACACGGGCGGGTACGTGCACCTGCTGTGCGCGGTGTGGACGCCGGGGGTGACGTTTGGGGACCCGGAGAAGCTGACGCCGGTCGAGGGCGTTGCAAAGGTGTGCAGGGAAGGAAAGGGTGCAAAGAGGTTGCGGCGAGTGGGGGTGTGGCCCGGCTTGGGGTGAACATGCTTGCAGCCATAATCGCCGCCGCATTGCCGTCGTTTCCATCATTCCATGCCTTGCACTGTCGCGGCAACACGTTTTGCCTTGTCTATGCCACCCCCACAGGCCGTCCAGAATCGCTCCTCGCTTAAATGTTACCTGTGCAAGCAGCCCCACGGCGCCTGCATCCAGTGTGCCGGCGACGCACGCTGCTACCGGTCCTTCCACCCCATGTGTGCGCGCGAGGCGGGACTCGCCATGTGCGAGCTCCGTCTGGGCGCCGCAGCGCGGAAACGACCCACGGGTCGCTCTGCAGCCGCCGCGTGCCGGGGAGCAAGTCGCCGCACGCAGGCAAGCGATCCCCAGCAAGCTGCAGTAGGGCGGCAGGGTCAAGATGACAAACAGTTGGGTGCAGCTTCCAGGGAAGTCAATGGCTCGGTGGTGACGTGTGCGCTGCAGCCGGCGGAGAGGCAGGAGGAAGGGGGCAAGGAAAACAAGCACCCGTGCGGCGCTGTCAATGCCCAGCTGACGACAGGCCCCATGGGAGGGGAAGCCACGGAGGGAGACGCCACTGCTGCTGCTATTCTCAACGGGACATCCTGCAGCGGGACAACGGTTGTGGGATTATCGAGTCAGCCACCGCAGCAACAACAGCAGCAGGCTGCAGGCAACGCCACCGCATGCGTTGCGGTTGCCCCTGTCGAGCCCCATGCTGCAACCGCAGCCATCACAATGCCAACACCCGCGGCCATGGCAGCGGCAGAGGCTGTCCTTCTGCCGCCCCGTCGTGGACGCGGACGGCCTCCCAAGGAGGCACCAGCTGCGGGACCCATAGGTCACGGCGCGGCACCTCCGGGCTCTGCCCGCCCTGCAGCCCTGGCGGCTGCGTTGTGCCGCGGCGGCGGTGTGTCCCTGGCTGACGGCACCTCTCTGGCCTGCTTCTGCCAGCGTCACGAGGAGCTGGTGCTGCACCACACGCAGTTCCGCTGCAGCTACCCGGGCGGGCGCTTTGCGAGCCGCCGAGCTGGGTTGGCGCGGGAGGAGCTGCTGGGTCGCAGACGGCAGCAGCAGGAGGAGCAGCGGCAGCAGCTTGAGCGACAGCAAGAGCAGCAGCGGCGTGAGGCTGAGGTGTTGGCGGCGGCTTCCCGGCCTGAGGTTCATGCGGACATGCCCGCAGCAGCAGCTGCAGGTGGACGGGTCGCGGTTGCAGCCGGGCATGCTGCCCCAGGGGCGGCGAGAGCCGTCTCATTCGCGAACTGGCGCAGTCGCGGGCACAGAGCGCCCGAGGCAGTAGCCATTGCGCGGGAGAAGCGCACGTACGTACGGCAGCTGCCATACCTCGTGACGGGCAGATTGCAGCTAGACGATGAGGCCGTACAGACTGTGGCGTACGGGACCGTATGCCGCACGGCGGAGGTACAGACCCACCTGGAAGGCAAGGCAACCAAGGTGCAGAGTTGTGTCAGGGGAGCCGCGGGCTCTGCCGCAGATGTCCATGCATCGGCAGCACGTGCAGTACCTGTTTCCAACAGCCTGCCCGCAACCGGTTGCAAAGCGCAAAGCGGTATCGCAGGCAGCGGCTGCACGGGCGGCGCCGGCGTCGACAATGGCGGCTCCAGCAGCGTTGACGGGGACCAGGCATTGGCGGGACGACTGGCGGCGGCGGCCTCGACGGTGGGCGCACGGTCAGTGGCTGAGCGTTACGCGGCCATGCGAGCTACGGTGGGGCGGCGGCTGGCGGCGGGAAAGAGCGCCATCCACGGCTGGGGCGCCTTCGCCAAGGTGCCGCATAAACGAGGTACGTCGCCGCATGGGAGGTTGGGGGCTTGGTTAAGCCGTACGGCGGTGCGTGAGGGCAGCCATTTCCCATATGGGTGCATACATTATAAGGTCAGCTATTCAAGACCCTTTGTCCTGGGGCATACTATCGCTTCTAACATGCATGTAGCTTGCAGTATCGCCGTGTTTCAAGGAGCTTGAAGCCCTCTCCCACCCCGCCTCGCTGCCCATCAGGCGACATGCTGATCGAGTACGCCGGCGAGCTGATCCGGCCCTCCGTCAGCGACGTGCGCGAGAAGCGACTGTACGACAAGCTGGTGGGCTGCGGCACCTACATCTTCAACCTCAACGAGGAGCAGCACATTGACGCCACCCGGGCAGGTGCGTGCATGGGCTGGCTGATGTTGGGAGCTCCGTTTGTGTTTGCGAGGCTTCAGGATTGCGTGGGGGTAGGATGGGCGCAAGTTGCGAGAGCGTGATTGGGTGTTCACACAATGGCTCGCTGCCGGGGACCGTAATCGTAATGGGTCATATACTGCAAACGCGCTGTGTCCCACCCCCCTCTTGCCCCCCCCCCCCTACACGCTGCTTCTCCGCGCTCGCAGGCAACATGGCGCACCTGCTGAACCACAGCTGCGACCCCAACTGCTACAGCCGCACCATTACGCTGTGGGACGCCGCCACGGGTGCCACAAAAGACCACGTCATCATCATGGCCAAGGTCGGTACGACAGTACATGCGTGTGACGCTAACGGAATATGCTAAGCTGCTGTTGACACAAACCCGCGTTTTCACGCATTGTTGCAATGAGAGGCATGGGCAGAGGATTAACATGCAGCCCTGCTGACCCATTTGCGCATTCATCCCACCCTTCCAAACAGCGGGACATTGCCGCATGGGAGGAGCTCACGTACGACTACCGGTTTAACTCGGCCGAGGAGCTGCCGTGCAACTGCGGGGCTGCCACGTGCCGCCTGCTGGTGAACTGGCCGGAGGAGCAGCAGGAGGAGGCAGTCGAGGAGGAGGAAGAGGAGGGGAGTGACGAGGGGGAGGAGGTGGTGGAGTGAGGGGAAGCAGGGGCAGGTGGAGATTGCGCGTGATGTGGGTGGAAACTCTGATTATGATTTGCGTTGCCGGTGTTATCTCTTTTAATGCTACCGGTGAAAGAGTCACGCACCTGTTGACCGAAGGAAGCGGGTGAGGTAGGGTGGTGTCAAAAGGAGAGGGGGTGGCAGCGCTTAGCGACGGCTGTGACGGAGAGGCAATAGAGGCCGTGCTAAAGGAGCTGCAGGGTGTGTGCCGTGTCTGCTTCCGGCAGAACCGGTGACTGTATATATCTTTCTACTACCAAAGCATGTGTAGGATTGGGGCTAACGACTTCGGTGTAGATGTGGAGGTGCCCGGGAGTTGATACGTGGTATGGCATGTATAATGATTTGGAGGGACTGGCTTAAGGCGAGGCGGGAATGCCTACGAGGAGTTTCGAGGTCGTGCAGATGCTTATTGGTTGTGAACAGCATAGGAAACCAGGGGCTATGGTGACCCCAGACCCGAACAGTCTTCTCTTCGAGCACCTCTCAGGTGTTAACGGCACTACCCAGCGATGCGGTGATGTCCTCTGTCCCCGGGCTGCTTGCTAAGGCAGCGTACCGTGATAATGTTAAGACCTAGCGAGGTTGCCTCCTAAGCTTTAAGTTGGCACCGCACCTTCAGAGGCGACCGTGACAGCAAAACGCAGGAGTGTGATGATCCGTGCGTTTCTCCTTGCATGGCACGTGTCGCACAGTTAGTATTTTCCTAGGTTAGCTATATCTGTGGCTGCATAGAACACAGTAGCAGTAGTAAGGTGCTGTGTTATACACAAACAGCGGTATCTCAGAGTCCCCATACACGAGCAGCGATATCTCAGATCCCCTTACTTATAATTAGCTAGGAACGGCCAGGGTTCATCAGAAACCCCTCAGTCCCCAAGCGACTGTGTAAAGCCAAGCCGCAGGTCAAGCGCATGCAACATGTCAGCGGTAGCATGTCCCGGCACACAACAGCGCCCTATCTTCGCCCGATGCTTGAAATTGCCGCATTAGTTAGTATTGTTTGTAAAAACATTAGCGTCGGGCCCCTAGCTTTCCTGTAAGCAAGGGGTCGCAAGCAAAACACGTCACTGTGGCACGTGGCGCGCGCTTGGCTCGAAGTCAATCCTTTTCATATCTTATCCTAACTTCGTTTGCTCGTAGAGCCTGTTCGTTTGTAGTAGCAGTTGACAATCATGAGGTCAGGGCAAACATCTAACCTCGTTATGGCTGCGACTACATGTGGGAAGGTTACATATATAAGGCCGGCAGTACGTCTTCGAAGTTCGGTGGCTATGGGCTGATGTCAAGTGCAAACCTCCAACCGTTGCCAGGCCGTAAATGAGAGGCTGATATCTCGCTAAAGTGCCCATACAATTTAAGCGCCCATTTTCCAGTAAAGTTCTATTACCTATACCGATCTTGAGAAACAATGATGCTGCAAGCTCGCGCTCCCGTAGTTACTCGCCCGACTGCAAGCATTTCCGTGCGGCCAGCACGTATCAGCTCTGTCAGGACACGGGCACTTTTCGGATCTGGCAGCTCAGCAAAGACAGCTGAGCCATCCACAAGCGAGTTCTACAACTTCACCGTCAAGGTGAGGCTAGCTAGGCAATCATCGGCTTGCAGGCTGCCTCCGTGCGTTAGGCCTTCTTCAAAGGGACCGAATCGGATCTTCAGTATCAAACTTCCTGGTGTTACGTGTGCTTTCGTGCTCTTACGCGCAGGATATTGATGGCAAGGACTTCAAGCTGTCGACTCTGAAGGGCAAGGCCGTGCTAGTGGTCAACCTAGCGTCGCAGTGCGGCTTCACGCCCCAGTACAGCGAGTTGCAAACAGTATACAACAAGTACAAGGGGCAGGTACGCGACGCCACGGGGACCGTTCATCATCACCCGACGTTTCTTCCAGCTGCCCCATGCTTCACTCACTCTCTTTGCCGTATGCACGAACCATCTCCATCCTTTATCGCAAGCAAAGAAAACCCTTGATCATAACCATTTCCCCACTTTAACCCTTACTCCGCGCCGCCTACGCCCCCAGGGCTTCACCGTGCTGGGCTTCCCCTGCAACCAGTTCGGCAAGCAGGAGCCCGGTTCCAACCAGACCATCAAGGAGTTCGCCGCCTCCAAGTACGGCGTAACCTTCCCGCTCATGGGCAAGGTGGACGTCAACGGACCCGGAGGTGGGTCGCGGCTTCCTTTCCTATGGGGGCGTGCGTCGCTATGATGCGCATCCGTACCATCGTGCTAGTGCGGGGAAATCAAGGCATCCCAGTTGCTGTACCTCCTGGATGGCCACCGGTCCACGAGCAACCTGCACGCAAGAAACCCTACCTGCCTGCCTCCCCACCTAGCACTTGTTCCAACTCTTTTTCCCGTCCCGCCTCGATCGCCGCTGCAGCTGAGCCGCTGTTCACGTGGCTCAAGGCCCAGAAGGGCGGCCTCATGGGCAACGACATCAAGTGGAACTTCAGGTAGGCGGTGGGCGGGAGGACTGGTACGTGAAGCTGGACGAATACCTGCTGGGTTGGCGTGTGTGGGGGGATGGGATGCAGGGTAAAGTCGGCTGGGTGAAGGGGGCTGGACGTCAGCAAGCCTTACCCCCTTGCTGTTTGTACCGCCGGTATGTTTCTCGCATACTGGTATTCCGCTTACGATCAATCTCCTTCTCCTCACCGTCCCCTGCGCAGCAAGTTCCTGGTCGACAAGCAGGGCGTTGTGGTGGGCAGGTGGGGCGTAGGGGAGGGAGAAAGTAGGGAAAGGGAGCAGAGGGTGGTTATGGCTGAGCGGCATGCATGCACGTGTTAAACTAACTAGCCGCGAGGCGAAACGTACTGTGATGCATGTGCATGTGGTAGCATGTTCGGTGGCGCTTCTACCCAACGAAGGTTTAAATGGCCAGCGAGTTAACTTGCCCCACCGAACAGATCGCACAACACCCCTTCTCCCGCACCGCCTCATCAACTTTCCTCACCCCTCGCCACCCCCAGGTACGCCTCCACTGCCAGCCCAGCCAGCCTGGAGAGCGACATCCAGAAGGCGGTGTGAGGAGGAGGGAGGGCTAGTTGGTCCTTGACTCGGATGTGTTGTTCGCAGTTTTGATTGAGTGAGCGAGGTTAGTCTGCGAGGGATGGATGATTGTGTGCATTATCGTATTGGCGTTGTGTACATTAGTGAATTACAGAGGAGAGGCTAGGGGTGCAGTATTCGGGACTACGCTTACAGTATGCACTCCTGACTCCACGTGTATTTTTTTATTGTACCGTAAGCGGCATGCCAATACGGTGGCAAGGAGCGTTAAATAATAACCTGAGTTGGGTTTTTTGGATTGTGGAGAGAAGTTGTTCAGCGACAGTTGCCGAGCTAGGCAGCTAAGGTGGCGGAGGCAATGGTATACATCCTGCCGACGGATGAACCGTGATGACCGGTGACGGTAAAAACCAGATCTCAACCCCTTCGTATGCACTCATGACTGTCACCCAACCAGCAACCACATACTAAGCTTCCAGGGAAGATGAGACTAACAACACATGAAAGCAAACTGGACGATAAATTCCACATACCCCCATGGTCTCTATCCTGATTCTAATAAGTATTGACACCTTACGCGCTGCAGCAGCAAGCCTGTTACCATAATCCTGATGTAGCCTCAGCTCCGAACCCTTATCACCGCCAACCGTGCCATCGCCACATCACGCCATCACTACAGCCGTATATAGCTCAGTGTACACACACTCATTAACACACTCATTAACAGGCAACCATTCTGCATCCGGCCCATACCCGTCCGTACACATCCATACATGTCTATTCCACGTTCAACTATTTCGTGCGTAAGCAATGCTAATGCTTTGCATACCACATGTCCTGCTACCAACCACATCAGCACACGCCCTGCATAGTACATCAACCCATCCACATCGTACCCTTCCACCCATCCGCATCCTTTCCCTGCCGCGCTTCTGATCCATAACCGTTTTTAAACCCACGCCCACTCAAACGGCCGCTCTCCCACTCCCTGCTGCTCCCTCGGGCGCCGTCAGGAACGCAAACACATGCGGCGGGCAGTCCGCAGACCTCAGCGCCGGCGGCAGCCCCTCCCTCAGCGGCTCATGCAGCCGCGGCTCGTTGATAAGGCCCAGCAGCTGCCTCGACACGGCGCCGGCCGGGCCGGGCGCGATGAGCGGCCCGCCCTCCTCGTCCAGCAGGAAGGTCACGATGAGGCCGCCGTTGTTGGCGACAGCGTGACGGCGCTTCATCTCCTCCAGCACTTCCCCAGACACGTTGCGGGAGACGACTGGCGCGGGCGCGGGGGTGGAAGCTGCGGCAGGGATGGTGGTAGAGGTGGTGGCGATGGCCGGTGCGGGAGTAGGAGTGGCAGGGGCGTCGGTGGGGACCGGCGGCTCAGCAGCGGTGATTTCGGTGTTGGTGTTGACGGCCACGTCACCCATGTCGGCTGAGGTGGGTCCAACTGAGAGAGGCAGACAAGCGGCAGCGGCACCAGTGCCGTCGCTGCCGCCTGCAGTGGCGTCGAACCCGGCGGCACCAGCTACCTCCGCGCCTCGCTCAGCGTCGTCCTCCTGTACGCCCTCGCCCAAGCCCTCCGCCTCGGCCCCTCTTCCCTCACCATCACTGTTGTTGTCGCCGCCGGTTGCCACCTCACCCACTTCCTCCTGGCCGCTACCGCCGGAGGTGCCATGTGCTGCCGTGCTTGTCTGCCCATCAGCCTGCTGCAGTGGCTGCTGCTGCTGCTGCGGGGGTGGCAGCGGCTGCCGTGGCGGTGTGGGCGGCACTGGCGGCTGCGGCGAGTCGTCCCAGAAGGTGGTGGCCAGGCGGTAGAGCTGCTGCACGTTGAGCGCGGGGCACATGGCGGTGATATCGTCCAGGCGGAGGGCGCCCTTGTTGGCCAGCACCAGGAAGTGGGCGGCCTGCGGGAGGGGGCGGAGGGGAGGGAGGCGGGGAGAGGGATGCAAGGTGTCGACTAAGTGAAAGGGGCAAGAACGACAACTATTACGCACCCATACGACTAGTCGATTCGCCAGCAAGCATGGCGACTAACCAGACCGAGGAAAGGGCGGGAGCTGCAACCAAGGAGGGGTGGCGCGGATATAGCCCCTGTGTATGTGACCGCCACGATAGAGGCACCCACATTTTCACCCTACAATCAGTCCAGAACACAGCTCGTCCCTCACCTGCCGGATGTGTCGCAGGTCCCCAACCAGCACCGCCAAATCCTCATTGCCCTGCCCACCGCCACCGTCAACAACGGCACCCCCAGCGGCCCCAGGGGCGCCTGCCCCTGCCCCGGCTGCCGATGCTGAGGCCGATGCTGCCGCCGCCCCGCCCGGCGCCCCCAGCCATGTCTCCAGCAGCGCCAGCCCCGCCACCAGGTAGTGCGCGTTGGAGGTGCAGCAGCACTCGGGGCGCAGCAGCAGCTGGTTGAAGAGCTGGCAGTCCAGGAAGGAAAGCGTCTGTGGAGGGGGGAGGGGAGGCGGCGGTGGTGTCAAGCGCGCCGACATGCCCAGGTGATGGGTCGATATCGTTAGCTACCGACAGTGGTACATGCCGGCTTTTCCAAGCGTGCCCCTTCCTTTTGTGTCTCTGTATCCCTTGCTGGCTCACTACCCCACCCACTTGCCCCGCACCCGATCTCACCCCACCCTCGACCGCACCTGTTTGAATAGGCAGCGGATGAGTATGCGCGGCACGTGTGCGGCCCGCATGAGCTCCAGGTGCGCTGACAGCACCGCCACCAGCTCAGCCCAGGGAGCCAGACTGGCGGCACTGCTGGGACTACCACCTCCAACCCCCACTCCTCCACTGTTGCTGGGTACCGCACCTCCGTCTTCATCACCCCCGCCACCACCCTCCACCCCGGCATCCTGCTGCTGCTGCTCCTGTCCTCGCTCCTCCTCCGCCTGTCCCTCCTGGCTGCCGGCTGCCCCGGCTCCTCCCCGCGGCGACATGGGCGACATGGGTGACATGGGCTGCTGCTGCACGCAGCCCAGCAGCACCGCGCTGACGTGGCGCTTGAGCGAGTCGCGCATCTGGTTGTAGGTGCGCAGCAGCAGCAGGTCCAGCTGCTGTCGGAAGCATTGCTGGTTGGCGGGGGGAGCAGCTGCAGCGGCAGGGGGTGCGGAAGAGGGCCCGGATGCAGATGAAGAATAGGGTTCAGCAGCAGGAGCAGCAGCGGAGGAAGCAGCGCCTGAGGCGGAGACGGAGGTTGAGGATGACCCAGATGGGGTATGCGGTCGCGAGAGGGCGGGCGGCGGCGGGGGGAGTGTGGCGGACTGGGGCTGCTCGGAAGGGGCGTGCATGTGGGTTGCGGGGGAAGGTGGGCGGGGGAGAGGAGGCAGCTGGGGTGGTTGCTGCTGAGGCGCTGGCTCGCCTTGCGCCTGGTGCTCCTGGGAAGGGCCCCGAAAAGCAAACGGGTACTTGGGTCAGACAGGAAGGAGGCAAGCTCATTTCTACTGCGGGAAGCATGAGTATAACAGCTGTGGGGATGTAGGTTGTGGGCCAAATTAAATGTGGGTCAGACAGGATGTGGGTCAGCAGGAGACCCAAACCCGCCTAGCCCTCACCCTTGCAACCGCACCTGGGAAATCTCAGCCGCCGCTGCTCCCTCCTCCGCTCCCGCCGCCCCCCCTCCCGCTGAGCTTCCCCCGCGACGCCGCGCCAGCAGGTTCTTCCCGAACACGCTGAATGTGTTGCCCATGCGCTTCTGCAGCTCCTGCATCTTGGCGGCGGCGGTTGCGGCGGCACGAGCCATGGAGGCACGTGCCTCACCCGTCACAACGGCCAAGGGGGTGGGCGCGGCCGAGTGAGACCCATGGGTCGCGGCACCTGCTGAGTAGGAGATGGTGCCAGTGGAGGAGGGCCTGGCCGGCACGAGGGGCAGATGCGGGTCCACGAGGGCTAGGAGGGTGGAGGTGACGGCGAGCCTGAGGGATGAGGGATGACAGGCGGGTGCAAGGGAGGGGACGGATTAGGGTGAGGGTTGAAGCAGAGTATTGAGGCGACGCAGCGTACCATTCCGCCACATTAAAGGGAGCTAAACCTATAGCACCATCATAGCCAGGATCCCTTGTTATTTGGCTCTCTATAGTCTAAACCCACCAGTAAGCCACCTCCCGTGCAGCTGCCTCCGCCACCGGGTCAGCCAGTCCCTCCCGGACGCCCTCAACTGCCGAGACCGCCTCCACTGCTGGCAGCTTGCCCTCATCACCGCCAGCGCTGCTGCTGCCACCGTTGTCGCCTGCAGAGGCACCCTGGTCTGCGGTCTCCGCTGCAGTTCCGCTGCTGCTGCTGCTGTTTGCGGCGGCGGCAGCGACGTGTCTGGCGTTGACGCTGTCGTCGTCCGTGAGCTGGTGCAGCAGGGAGGCGAGGTTGTCCAGAACGGCAGCCGCCTGGGCGTCGCCGCTGAAGCAGCCCCACCGCAGACAACACCTGTACCATGCGACCCGGTAGCGGCGAAACGAGTAAGCAGAGTTGATAAGGGGACGGCAATTCCTACTTTGGGCGTGGGATGTAAACTCGTTGCGGTTCAGCTTCCGCCGAGGGCAGTGTTTACCACGCCCAGGGCTGACCACGTGGGCCTAAGCAATGTCCTCTTGCCCTTCAGGTCTGCACCATGCAGCATAGTCAAGTTTTCATCCATCCCCAACCCCTGTCAGCAAACCACAGGCCGCACCTGTAGACCAACAAGGCTGCAGTGGGTCGGCCGGTGTCGTACCCGAGCGACGACCCCAACGCCAGCACATCCAGTACCTTTTGCTGCTCCAGCAGCCTGCCTGCTGCCATCAGCCGGGCGTGGTGGCGCAGAAGAGCCTGCGATGAAGCGAAACGCGGCGAGTTACTAGGAGCTGCCAGGAAAGCTAATGCATGCCTTGGCAAAATGTTTGTAACCATTTGGCAAGGTGGCAACAGCCCAACGTCGCCTGTACCTGCAGTTGAGCCTCTGTTTCTTCGATGCTCCTCTGGTTCTCACGCACAGCAGCATCGGCTTCAGCAAGATTGCCCACGCAAAGGTCAGCATCGACTTGGGACTTCGGTGACTCCCGCAAGCTGACAGCCACAAGACTGCTGGGCGCAACCGGTGCCTCTGTACAAGTTGGCGTGGGAAAGTTGATTGGCTGATGGACGTCAGCCGACAGCCCAGCCGTGGCATGTCCTGGTGCAGGACGCATTGTGACGGGCTCCGGCGCCAAAGCAGGCTGGGGCTCCTCTTCATCGTCCAACGTAAAGTTGTTAAAAGACGCCATGTTTGGGCGTGATCCCTAACACAGTAGAAGTCGAGGGTAGTTAGAAACGGCACAAAGCGCCAGAGCAGCTGCATAGAACTTGGATCATACCTTAAATCTGATCGTTGTCAATCTAGATATACTATCGAGCACCGGGGAGCACCGGGGCGCCAAGTATCCGAAGCTAACTTACACTGTCACACTGCGATCGAAAAGACGACTGGTATGAAGGTAGAAATACGTGTAGTCCCACAACGCCACACGTCTTAATCTTTGGGGAGCTGGCGCGGGGCGATGGGGGCCCGCTCCGCTAAAAAAAGTGCTGTCGTGCAAGCGTTTGCCGTGCAAGCGATGCAGCAAGGAATTGGCCTGACAGGGATCTATGGAACGCTGGGACTAAATGCAAAAGGTGTGTTGACTGAATTGCGCTATAAAAAACCTGCGATACCGGCCTGTTGCACACAAACATCAGGTTTTCTCTAGTTGCAACTAAGACATTATTGCAGTATTTCGGGCCAAAATATGGCCTATACCATTACATTGACACATCATGAAGCTCGATTGGTGCGGCCTTCAGCGCACGGCGGCCACACATCCCGTTTGCGTCCGTCTGTCGTCGTTAGCGCGGGCCTCGGGGAGTTCTTCAGGGGCTTCTTTGACGGAAGCTGGGCTCCTAAGAGTACCCGAATATGGAGGAGCCACTCCTTTGAGCAACACGGGCCAAGCGAAAACAAGGGTGCGTACGGTAGTGAGCCGGACAGGGTCGTCATCGTGATTAGGCTGTCCTTGCAGCAAGGGCCCTCTGTGCGCATTCAGACACTCCTAATTAGAATAATCTTCGTACCTAATTGTCATAGCTGGGTCCTGTCCATTGCTGTATGTGGCGCGGTTCTCTGCCGCATCGCGTGTGGCTGGTAAGTCCGCGTACAAACACGCCCAAGAACATGCTGCCCGTAAGCCACGCCACTGTCCCCTCCCATGCATTCCGCAGATGGGGGCACTACAGGCAGCGGCGGTGATGGCGCCAGCAGCGGCACATCAGACCGCGCCCTTGACGACCTTCAGGTCAGCGGAGGGAGGTGGGCCCCAGGGAGGGCCCCAGCAGCAGCCGATGGGGGCGGCAGCTGCCAGGCCTTGGCAGCCGAGCACGGGTGCCCTCGGGTCCCGCGTGCCCATGCTTTCCACGTGCCTTACCTAAGTGCCCACCTTTCCCGCCACCTGCTTCTTAACCGGCGACGCGTGTCCCTACAACGGTATGCCGGATGCGCAACCGTGAGCCCAGCCTCAGCCTTCTCCTTGACAAGCCGGCGCTGATGCCGCTGCTGTTCCATCCAAACGCTCCTAACCGCACCCTCTTCCTGATCCCCGGCCCCTAGGCTCGCCTCAGCGGCCTGCCTGCCTCCTCACGGCCCCGACTAGCGCCCGACCAGCAGGAGGAGGATGTCGAGGACCCCCGCGCTGATAGCAGCAGCGATCCGCCAGCATCCTCGGCCTCCGCGGAGGACCTGAGAGGTGGTGGCGAACGCAGCGGGTTGTACGGCAGCGCCGGTGGCAGAAGCAGAGCCGTCAGTTCCTTTAGCGAGGTTGAAGATGGGGAGTTGGCGTCGGCGTTGAATCGGCGCATCGGGCAGATCGCGGCCGGCACGGGGCAGTACGACAGTGAGATGACGGAGGAGGAGATGCGGCAGCCGCTGACGGGTGAGGTGATGAGGGCGTAGGGAGGGCGCTATGAGGCTGGGTGGGGAGGAGCCGCGCTTTGTTGCGCGCTGCGGTTCTCCAAGGCAAACCGGTATTAACTATTTTAGCTTGGGTGCACAACGTGGGCGTACAGAACGACAGGGAACCGTGAGATACGCGGCGTGCGCATTAGGTTGACCAGCACCTGCCCCTCCTGCCGTCGGCCTCACCATTGACAGTCCCGCCGGCACCTTTCCGTCCCCCCTCAGGCGCTGAGCTGCGAGAGCTCATATATACGAAGTACGGCAAGACCTACGACGTCTCCTTTGTACGGCGAGATATTCCCGGCAAGACCTTTGTGTGCCTTAACATCATGTGGAGCCACCTGGAGCAGCGCTCCTTCAAGCTTACAGAGCAGCAGGTAGTGCGACCCACGGGTCAGTCATCGGGTTAAACGGCTCAAGCGTAACAATGTATTGCCCATCACCAACCTTGAACGCTATAACGTCCTCCCGTTGCTGTCGGTATCGCCTGCAGTACATGGAGAAGCTTGATGGCGTGGCCTATCTGTTGGGCGCGTTGGGGCAGACGAACGTCGTGCGAGCTTTCCTACGGGAAAAGGCCAGGAGCCAGAAAGGCCTTCCGGCGCGGCCGGTTGTGGGTACGGCGGTAAGCATACGGTTTTACGTTTAACAATTCCAATCCAGGCTGGCAACTGCTGGTAACCCGCTATATTGTCGTGTCTATTGTGTACTGTTAAGAACGACGAACAGGCTCCACAGAAAAGTGCACATTGTATTTGGGGCGCCACGACCCTACCTTCCTCGTAGGAATAAGGGAGGGCAGCAGTGGCAAGGCGGTCGAACAAGGCCCTTGCAGAGGAAAGGCGGTTCCATAATACCTGCTGGCAGGCATGCACGTGTGTTTGCCAACTCGGATCTTCTCCCGCCTGCTGCTCTTCCTTGCCGTACAGGTCAGCATTCGGTTTGACCTGGAGCAGGGCGTCATTGAGGAGTGGTTCGGCAAGGGCTACCAGTGAGCTTAGGTGTACCTCTGCCCTACGGCATTCCATGTTCACAACCGCAAGGAGAGCGGGTGCTTATAGGAAGCCGGGTTTTGAGGGAAGGATAGTTCCGTGAAAGCAACAAGAAGCACAAAGAGAGGAGCTCGATGCATCCTGTAAGGCCCGGCATACTGGTTTAGCGTCTGGGTGTTCCCACGCGAAGGGCGCATATACGTGTTGGGATGTCGATACGGTAGCTGAATACTATGGTAGTAGGAGAAGTACCATGCGACGATTGAGCAATTTCGTTCAATTCATTTGCTTCGTTGTGTGCTATCAGGTCGTGTATAGGGGTTTGGTGCCCAAACATGTGAGAGAGCAGTGCGGTCACACGTACAGCAGCAGCTGCCGCTTATGCTGCTAGGATGGGGGGGCTCAGCCTCCTTGACACCTGGACACCCAGGAATGAGACTGTCCCAATCGACGGGCCGGTGTTGGCGGTGTTGAATGTGTGGGACTGGACTCGCATAGGTGGAGCATTATGTTGGAAAGGCCAGGTTATCCAGGTAAGATCTGAGGTTCCTAGTTAGGCCCGTGATCGATCCCCGAAAGGTTCGCTCGGCGTTCGGCACCGTGAAGTGCACGGCATGCATACTCGTACGGCGATAGTATGTTGCAGCGTTGCTTAATGCGTACTGGCTGCATGTTTAGTGATGCCGCATGTTTTCAGACCTGAAAGACAATATTTATTGACACTGCCGCTTATGACTACGCGTAGCTAGCAACTTGCTACAAACGACCGCGCCTTCTCAACTGTATGCTTTAGAAAGATGAAAGTGGTAAACATAATTGAAGCTGTTAGTAATTATCTAAGCACACAGTGCAATTCTGTGTCATACTTGCTGGGCGTTAGCAATGCACACGGCGTCACACTGCTTGGCTACGCGCTTTGCCAAGCAACTGCAGCTGACTTGCAAGGCAAGCCTTCAGTGATTAACGTTATGTTCCCTAGCGTAGAAGCATTGACTGATCGCAACCCTTTGTGTGTGCAGATGTCCTGGATGTGCTGCCGGAGCCGCTCTCATTCCTGGGAGCCTTTGCCAAGTCAAAAGATGATGCCGTGACGGCAGCTGGAGATCTGCAGCGCTCAGCGCTATCCGGTAGCAGCTATGTTGCGGTGTACCTGGACGGTGGGCAGGCCCATGCTGTTGGCGTCAACCGCGATGGCACTTTGGGGCCGCAAGTTGAGCTCAAGCAGCTGGCATCCCTTGAAGAATGGTTGAAGAACTATAGGATGCTGCGGTGCGTGTGGTTTACAGCTCCAGCAGGCTGAAGCAAGGGGTGGAGCAAGGGATAGTACAGTACGCACGTGCCACCTGATGCCACCTGTTTCGCGGCTGCGAGGAGCGGCTAGGGCAGGCTCAACCCGTACATCATAGCCAATTGTGGCAGCACCCATAGATAAAGCTACCGTTTGTCCTGAGCTATGTAGCGGCCCCAGTTGCCCAGTTACCGCGCCTGGACGGTACGGCGTCAAAGTGTGACACAACCATGCCGGTCACCTACCTAGCACTGCCTGGCCCCGTCCTGCGTCATCCCGACGCCTCCCATCCCAACCCGCACCCTCCTCTCATCCACGTATCAATGACACCCCAGGTGTCCGCTCCGCGTTCGCCTGGAAGTCGTGGAAGAGGGCTCCATGCAGGCGCTGCAGGGAGGGCAGGCGCTGCAGTTGGCCTTTGGCAACATTGTACGGCAACTTGAGGCACCCGGATTGTCGTACATGACTGCATTCGGGTGGGTAGCTGGATACCATGCCATGAACATGTCAGCACAGAGATCAGCACATCACATGCTTCTTATCGGCCGCTGCCCTGCGCACCTCCGCCGCTGTTGCTATTGATGTTCCAGTGCGGTGCAACCCACCAAGTGTCGCGTAAAGGACAGCGCTAACGCCTCTTCCACCGGATTTCGCCTTTCCAACACGCAGGGCAAACAGCAGGGCGCTTCTGCGACCGGACGCGGAGGGATCCCTAGACTCTGCCTTCTCAGCGCCTCCAACCAACACCGCAGCTTGCCCTGTCGTACACTGCACAGCCCTGCTCGACACAACCCGTCTGGCAACTCCGCCTGCCGCTCCCGCCTTCTCATACCTCCCGCTATCACCCGGAGCCGCTGCCAGCAGCGGTAGCGGCGCCGCTAGCAGCAGTACGGCCACTTGTCGTACGACAACGTTGGCGCTGGACGCGCTTTGCTACGTGCGCCGCGACTGTCCGCTTGGGACGGCGGCGGCGGCGCTGACGCGGGCGCTTGTACGGCAGGTGCAGGCGGCGCAGCGGGTGCTGGCTCGGCAGGGCGGCAGGGTGCTGCCGGTGAGCATGTTGATGGGGGCGTGTGGGGCACGGAGGGTATGCTGCGGGAGAGCGGCGGGGCAACCGTTGAGGACAGAGAGGCAGGTCTTGAACACGTGGAAGATACAGGACGACCCGCGGGTTTAACTGCATGCGCTGCGGATCAGCAATAGCTACGGATTATCCAGGGGTTTCGGTTCGGAGCGCCCCTACACGCCATCAGACCCACGCGTCTCTCACTCCTCGCCTGCACCGCCCTCCGCCCCCAGGTCCGCGCCTACCACTTCCTGCCTCCCGGCCTGTCCCACCACCTCTGCGTGCTCTACCCCAGCCTGCTCGACGACACGGAGCTCAACGACGCGCGCCTGGTGGCGGAGCGGCAGCGGCTGCACGGCCTGCTGGGGCTGCCCGCCAACCGCCCGCTGCTGCGCCCCGCGAACGGCGTGGAGCTGGCGGAGGCGGCTGCGGCGGAGGAGGACGGCGGCGGCAGTGGGGGCGCTGCTGTGGCGCGTCTGAGGGATGTGCATGTGGGTCTCCCCACACCCGGTGAGTTGTTGGGAGAAGGCGTTACGGTGCCGTAGGTGAGCGGAAGTTGGAGGTGTCTTTTGCGGTGCGTAGCGGTGCGCCGGGGGGTATTGCTGATTAGCTCGGGTGGTAGGTGAGGCACAGTGGAGGCCCATTGCAACACAGCTGGCCCATCGTCACTCCTTCCTTCTCCCTACGCACTCTGCTCCCAACTCTGCGGCCTCCTCAGGCATCGGCGGCACCGCGACCCTGCTCCAGGGCTCCTACGAGTACTGCCACTACATGCAGGACCGCTTCAACGACGCGGGCTGGGGCTGCGCCTACCGCTCCCTGCAAACCATCTGCTCCTGGTTCAGGCTCCAGAAATACACCAGCAAGCCCATCCCGACGCACAAGTGGGTCGATGCTTGGGTGGACGGCTGCGGTGAAAGCGGCTAGGAACGGGAATGCGCCGCTGTGCATTGTGGTAGCTTCTTCCAAAGTCTGACCCTCATCGTAACTTTATCGTCACCTTGTCTTCACGGCCATTGTCTGGTAACCCATCGCGGCACGGTCTTGCGCTGGGGTGGCATCGCTAGGTCCGCTGTATGCCAAAAGCCCAGGTCGATTGAGTACTTGGGAAAATACAGTAGCTATCCTCCTATAACCCCGTCCTCTTCTTTGCTGTGAGGACATCCACGCTACGATTTCCTCCTACGCCCCCTACCTGCCTCTTCCCGTCCCCCAGGACCATCCAGCAGATCCTCGCGCGCATAGGCGACAAGCCGCCCAGCTTCGTGGGCTCGGCCAACTGGATCGGCGCGATTGAACTGTCGTACATCCTTGACGAATACCTGGGCGTCACCTCCAAGATCCTAACCGTTAACCGTGGCGCCGACATTCCCAGCCATGCGCGCGAGTTGGCGGCGCACTTTGCGACAGTTGGCTCGCCCGTCATGATTGGCGGCGGCGTGCTGGCTTACACGCTGCTTGGAGTGCGGTTTAACGAGCAGACGGGCGAGGCCGCGTTCCTCATCTTGGATCCTCATTACACGGGAGGTGAGAAGCACGGTGTGGCTGGCGGGGCTTCAGGGCGGTTAGCTTTTGGGTGGGGTGCTTAGCTTTATATTTCGCCCGTAGAATGTTCGTACGTGCACGGTTCGTACATGTGTTCGTACAAGACGCGGTTGGGGTCTAGAGCAGAGGAAAAAGTATGCGAGTGTCCGTGCTGTTGCAACGGGGATGGGTTTAATCGCTACCTAACATGTCTTGCTGTGTTTCTAGTGTGTTCCATGCTCGCCCGTAACTATTCATTCCCCTGCTGTTCTGGCTCCCCTCTCTTCCGTTCTCCTTCCCATTTGCCAGGAGAGGATTTGAAGAAGATCCAGCAGGGCACCTGGGTCGGATGGAAGCGGCTCGGAGACAACGCGGCGGCAGGCGGACCCCTCTTCGTGGCGGACGCCTTCTACAACTTCTTGTTGCCGCAGAGGCCAAACACGGTGTAAGGCGGCGACTTCAGGGTGCGCAGGTTGCTCCGTACATTTCCCTATGTTGCAAGGTGTTGCAATGCATTTGCGGCGAGGCAAGACAGGTGCGAATCGCCGCGAAGGCCTCTGACGCGTCATGCGCTGTTTGGTTGCTACTTGGTTCCCGACCCAAATTTAAACCCAGCAACCGCTGGCAGTAAATACCTGGGTAAGGGGCTTGTAAACTGAGCTACGCTCTAGGTTTGTTGCTTTGGGGCAAGTTTACGACGGTTCGTGACCATGAGGCATGGGGCATGACAGGTAGGAGCATGGTCTGAAGGTGGGCGCAAGGTCAAGTTATTAGGGTAGTGTTGTTACGAGTTAAGTGTTACTAGACTTATGTATACGTGAGGAAATGACTTTGTACGTCAGGCGCAGCTGCCAATGCCTAAGCCCTGAAGATGGTTGTCGCACCCGATTCTCTCAACATACACAGTTAACTGTTTCTGAGTCTTATCCATATAGAGCTTTTCACTCTCATACCTGTAACCATGCGAGGACGCTCTTTGGGCAAAATGTCCAGCAGTTTCGCAAGAGTTCACTTGTAACCTGCGTGTGACCTACCTCCTTTTTCAGCCCCAGTTATCGAAGGAAACTAGCCTATAATTCATAACGTTGAGATTTTAGCCTTGCGGTTGCGAAGTGTGCGACTCTTAGGCAGCATGCCTTACCTCGACATAGGCTGTGCCTCCGTCCCAGGCAACCGTTACGGTGACATGAACCAAGATTACTGCGTAGTACAGGAGTTCTATGCGCCTGGCGAAATTCCACCCGGCCACCGGCAAACGTACATCGCTGCAGTTTGCGACGGTGAGGCTTCCGTATTGCAAGGAGCCTCTCAAAGGATTTGATGCACTCACCCGAACGCCATATGGGCTGGTTTGCCTGATGTCGGCGGCGTTTGGGCTGTTTGGTAGTTGCCATCCCCGTCGGCTCCACGAGAGCCGAGTTACGACGCTCACCTTTTCACGCCGCGGTCTGCGCTGTTGTCTTAATGGGTTTCCTGCATTTACATAACCCCCGCAGTGGAATAATTACATGTCCTGGCCCTTTCACTCAAACCCGTCGTAATCCCGCACGTTCCCTCCTACTCTTCAATGCCTTTACTGTGCCTTCGTCGCAACCACTTCGTGCAATTTAAGCCACCCGAACCTTCAACAATGCATTACCCCGCCCTCTGAACTCAATTCCTTACACAGGTCACGGCGTGTTGGGCGACAAAGCAGCCTGTTATGCAGGCAAGACGCTTGTGCGACACATCTACACGAGCGGTTTGCGGAATCGATTGCTTAGGGACGCGAGGCCGGAGGCGGAGAAGCTAATGGTCGCTGCCTTCGAGAAGGGCCACGCAGCGGCATTGTCGCTGTACAACGATCCGCCCAAGAGTATACGCTACGGCGGCCTCAGGTGTGGGGCATGGGGCTTGTCCGGGGCGAGGGCGGTTATAGGTGCCCAAGTGAAAATAGAAAGGGAATCCCATGGGGCCTAAGTAGCACCATCTGCCACCGGGTTGCGGTCGCATTGTACGAGATATTTGTCGAAGCTGTTATGTTGCGGGACATTCCGTACACGTACCGTACTCGTACCTTGAAACTCGCTAGGACCGCATGTGGAACTCGTGTCCTAGCGGCCCCAAGCCTCATGGCTTCGGTGTCTCAAAAAGGCTTTGGCAGCGTGACGGTAGTGCCCCACGGAAGACGACAAGTTCCCCCATGCCGGTGGTGTACAGCCACAGCATCCAACGAATCATCCTCTCCCGCTTCCTGCCTCGCACTCCTGACCCCGTTCTCCTTAGCCACTTGATATTATCTACACTACCCATTCTACCCACACTAATCTATGCCGGTAATCGCAACCAAGCTTGTGTCTAAGTCTGCTCTCATAGCCCCTACGCCCTCCTGCTTGCCCTCCCTGTTGTGCTGCCCGCCCCATCCGACCTCCTTGCGCAGGAAAACCATGGCGACCTACACGCTCGCCTCCAGCGACGGCATCTGCGTCTACCGCAACGGCTCGGGGCCGGAGCGGCTGCTAGAGTTCGGCTGCACGTGCACCTGCGCCGTGGTGCAGGGGCACACGGTGTGCCTGGCGAATGTGGGGGACAGCGCGGCGGTGCTGGGGACAGACACGGGTGAGGGGGCGGGACGCGGGGGCCGGGTGGTGAGGCATCCGGGCTTAGGCGGGTCCTTCCTCGTGGCCTGACCCCTGACTTCCATCCCTGCAACTACATGCCGTGCCCACGTGCTTCCAGCTGCTCAGGAGCTGTCCCTGAGTGCTGACACCCTGCGGCCCCCTTCCTGCCTTGCGCCTTGTGCAGGTGCTGCCTACACCGCCCGGACGCTCACGTTGCGGCACAACGGGCACAACGTGGAGGAGGCGAGGCGAATAAAGGTGGGCCTGCATCCTAGGGCCTGCATCCAAGGGGCTGCACCCAAAGATAGGAGTAAGCGGGCTCTGGGTTTACTCCTCTTTCCATCCTACGGCCCCGTAACATTCTCCTTTTCACCCTATTGAACCCTGGTACCGGTATCCCCGTCTTACCTCATGCCGATCTGCTGCTGCTGCACGCCCACCCCCTCCGCCTTAGGCCGTCCAACCGGGCGTGGTAAAGATCAAGGACGGCACAGGAGAGGACGGCTACATGCAGGTGAGTGGGGGTCAAAGACCATACCAAACCATAGGAGACCACAAGTTAGGGCAAAACAAGGGGGGTAGGAGTTGGCAGGGTGCCACAAGAGGTGAGTGGGGGGGGCTGTTAGCGTCTAGTAACTCGAGCTGAGCTAAGGTGAGAGGCGCTGACCGGGACTGAGACACTGTCGACCGGGACCGGAACACTGTCGTACACCCAGAGCGATATGCGGGCGCGTTGAAGTCGCCAGAAGGAAACGGTTACAACAGGCAACGACGACTATGGTAGGCTCGGTGGGCCCAAAAACGCGAGAGCCCTGTTATCGGAATGTGTAAGCAACGTATATCGAGGCGCATCCGCGTGCGCTGCACACGCCGCCCGGCTTGATCCCCATCATCCCCGGCATGCCCGGGGCGCGTGCCGATCCCCGCTCTGCCCTGCATGCGCATTCACTCCCTCTCACAACATGCCCGCCTGCCTGCCTGCCCCTGCCCAGGTGGTTTCGGGGCCGTGGCAGGGCTACGAGCTGGCCGTCACCCGGGCACTGGGCCACAAGCACATGGCGGACTACGGGGTGCTGCCGCAGCCGCATGTGGTGTCCCTGGAGGCGGGCAGGGACGACTGCTGCCTGGTAGGGGCCGGAGGGGAGGGAGGGTCCGGAGAGGGGGTGTAGGCGGGAAGGTGGTGGAGTAAAGTGGGCTAGATTGCGGGCGGCATGTGTCGTTATGCCTTGTTCGCGGAGTCGCCGAGTCGCCGTCTATAGCACGGTCTTGGTTATGCGACCCTGGTTATGCTGCCTGCCTGCCTGAGACCCTCCAGCGTCCTGCCTCTACTGTCATCCTACCCCTCCTTCCGGCTGCTGCTGCTGCTTCTGCTCAGGTGCTGGCGTCCGACGGCGTGTGGGATGTGATGGACGGGCCGGAGGTGGTGAACCGCGTGATGGAGGCGGCAGCGGATGGCAAGAAGGCCACGGAGGCGGCAAAGATGCTGGTGGAGGTGAGCGGTGGTGGGGCGGTTGGAGACGCTTCTGTGGCTTTGGAACCAAGCTGTTGCGCATCTAGGACAACAGACACAAGCCCCTTCACAATTAGACTACATAACTATTACTTACGACTTGTTACAATGTGCGCTGCTTCCCTCTTTGCCTCCCGCAGGCGGCAGTGGACTTGGGTATCAACTCGCCGTGTGGGGAAGCGGACAACACGTCTGCCATCGTCGTGTACTTCCCGATACACGGATCGCCGTCGAAAAGCAGCACAAGCACCACCAGCACCACCACCAGCAGCTAGAGAGGAGGCGGCAGCAGCAGCACCCGAGCCGTCCACAGCAGCGGCCAGAAGCCGGCATGAAGGAGAAAATTGCTTTTAGCAGGGCAAAAGGCAAGTCTCATGCCGTACGACACGCGCATATGTTTCGTGTCGTATGTACCTTTCCATGCAGTACACTGTGTCCTACGATGGGTACTTTCTGGGAATAGGGGTGCAGGGTGTTCATGAGTGTTTACATTGTTGGCAGGGTGAAGGCATTTGGCAGGGTTGGCTTGGCAGTTTTGTGACCGCTGGTGTCTCTCGGGTGTTGCGTCGTGCCCTGCGGAAGGGTGCCAAGGTCTTGTAGGATGTGGACTGGCGAAGCCGCAACTGCAGCTGCTGTACATACCGAATTTTGGGTGCAGTGGTTGTTCAGAAGAGCACCTGCACAAAGGGTTTAAGTGATGGCGAGGACTTGCATGGCTGCTTGCTGCTGCCGGTAGTTAGGCAGCAGCTACAGCGCAGCAGGGAGAACATGCAGGGGGGGAGTTGCGCTGGTCCGGTCCTCCTCATGACGTACAGCTTGACGTTTATACTCATCTTCCGTACACTCCTTGCGCTCGAGTTATATCCCTAGACACTTGGTGACGCGACGTGACACAGCATGTATCAGCATCCATTGTCTGTTTTGTGCGTGTAGGTGTGAGTCTGTATTTGTGTGATCCTCTGTTTTTCAGGATATGCCGTAAATTGGCCCACCTGATTGCTGGCCAGCCGTGGGCCACCAAAACATGTACGGTAGCGGCGGCTTCCTGGCGCTTCTGACTGTGTTGACGGTTACTGGTATATGACGGCTAAGGCGTTGGTGTCAGTGAAAGGTCAAAGCTAGCAGCCTGCCGCTTTCTTCTTTTCGTGGAGGCTGTTGGTTCTTTGCGGGTGTATAGAGTTGGGCGGGCGGGTGGGCTAAAAAGGTCTTATATGGCGAACAGCATGGTGTTCAGTTCATGCGTGCAATCTCCCCTTTCCCTGACTTGCCCTGCATACGTATATCTGGCTGTTTAATGCACCACAGTAACGCTGATCGATTGTGGCTGCTAGGAAACCGCCGCTTTTGTCAATATCCTCGTTGAGGCTGACCGCTCTTTTTGCCCCTTGTTTGATTGGGCCTTGGGACTGGGGCTGGAATGAAGCTCCCGCGCTTATGGACTGGATTGATTGCGGATGCTCCTGCGTATTGGTTGCGGAGGCAAAAGCCGCAACTCGGGAGTTGTGTCTGGCAAACACGGGAGTCTACGCCTGGCTTGTGACGTGGGGTAGACCGAGCTCTTGTCACCTGTACAGCGCAAGTGTACGGTTACTGGATTTTGGATCCAAGCCGTACATCCTGCTCCGTGCATGGGGCCCGACGGCTTCCTGTGCAGGGCCGCCATATATTCTATTACATTTAAGGATTAATCCTAATGTATGCCGGTTTAGGGTGCATTGATGTTTGCATTGTAAGCCGGCGACTTGGAGTGCGAATTGGAGTGACTGTGACAGCCATCTTCATCGTTTACGTCCCAGCAGTGGTGATGGTGCTTGTGTATGACGTATGGTAAGCCCGTGTGTTGGTTGTGCAAGTGTTAACAGAGGTAAAAGTCGGTAGATGTTTTGTTGTGCGCGGGGCGAGGGCCGTCTCCCCTGCGTGGGAGTCGTGGCGAATGTGGATGCGTGTTCAGCAAAAGAAAACTACTGTTGTGCTTTTGGCAGCGTTGCCACTGGCAGGTATGAAGTCGATGCCGATGCTTGCCGCACGAAAGTACGACTGTGTTGATTGATAAGACTTACGGTACTTGTTAACTCCATGTGATTGTTTCTGTGTGTACATGTTCCAGGCCCCGAAGTGTTTGGAGAACTGATTCTAGGATGAGATGTAAAGCTCGTTGGGCTTCAAGAGGTCGGCAGGTTTGCTGCATGGCAGGGACGCGCAGGGGGTGCAAACAGAACACTGAGCGTGGGGCAGTGCGACCCAGGGTGTTGCTCACCGCCGACCCAAATATACAAGCAGGCTGTTACGATGTATTACTTTCGTGGACTTGCGGCTGAATGGTGAAATGTCCATGCGGCATGGCTTCCTTGTTGGGCGGCGTGTAAGGTTCGGCGGCCTCCTGTCTACGGGCACTGGTACGCACCCTGGTGACAACCAGCGGTCTAAGACGTAGGAGAACGGCCTACCTACCTGGCTTACTCCACACGGGGATAATGGAGACCCACATACTGTGCAGGTAGTACTGTGCCCAACTTGTCGGGCGGCCAATCGCTGCTGGCCATGCCATGTCCCAACCCGCACCGGCCCACCCTGCTTTTCTTCTGCCGGCGAACTCTCGTACGTCTTCCGTTGGCAAGAACAGCTATTTGAACTCTACCCCTACATCGCATGAGCATTAGTAAGAAGAGGTACCAAAGACATCTCAAAATTGTACGGCATCTGCGTCAGATGAGACCTCCTGGCTGGCATTGTGTCAAGCCCTTTATGCCAGCAAGCAAATGGTTTTCCCTTATATAGGCGCTGGCGCTTTGGCTGGCGAGGTGGTAGCGTAGCTAGCTTTTATACGTAACTGCTGCTAGCAGCGTCTCCGGCGACAAACGCGCTCCTGCAAGCCGAACTTCTTTTTCGTGCATTTTATGCTGAAATTTAAAGAATGTTATATGAAATACGATTTAGCGGCACGCTGGACAGGAGGCTAGCTGTCTGTCTTTTATCCTTGTCCTTCCTCTGGCTGCTGACGCTGTGCAGGACGCCTAGGTACGTGTTACAGGAATAGTATCTACCAAATTATGATTAAAGTTTATCCCCCATGTCTTCTTTTGGTTGAGCTCACTTTCTGTCAATTGCTAAGCTACTCCCTTGTGTGGACTCGCAGCAAGGAGCAACCGAACGGCTACTTTGAGTCGATGTACGCTGTTTTAGAATCTATTGCGGTGGTGAGTTTCAACTATCCAGACATGGCTTGAGTGAATGCATTGCATTCAGTGGCCCTTTTGCGCTGAGCAGGTTGGGAGCCCTGCGCAATGGATAGTCACGCTGCTGGGGTTGTGTCTCTTCCCAGCGCTCAGCCGAAGTGGCCGCTCGGGACCTTATCCAGCAGGTGACGCGTGCACTTGCTCTGCCACGTCACGTCCACACCAGCCTACTGGGATAATCGCTATGACTTCAAAAATTGTGTTTCTATGTACCTTGCATTTTACAAATTACGTATGTGGGCTTATGGTCGCTGACTGGTTGGTTGCTGCAATCCGCAGCAGGCGCTGGCGGGAGCTCAGAGCTCAGCACGCAAGCCACGAGTCGAAAACATGGACCAGGGTCTCACAGCATAGAGATAGGGCGACAATATGGTTACCAAAGACATGGTCGTGGTTCTGCCTTTGGGCTGCTCAAGCGATTGCGGCGGGTACTTTCGGAGGGCCGTGCCCAGGCTCGCCGGCTCTGCGGCCCCGACTCTGTGCTACAGAAGTCGGTTCCAAGCTTCTCTCGAAAACGTAGCTTCGGCAGTCGTTCATCGAAATCGGAGGTGGGGGGGGCCGGGCAGTGGGTTGTCCGAAACCATTGGATGGGTTGCCGAGTATGGTTGCATCCGCAGTGGCCTCCCATAAGGGTCACTCGCTTAATGCGCATCCTTTCGCAACATCCCGGGCCTCTTATGACTTTGCATGCAGACGTTCTTCCCCTTCCTTGCCAACCGCCCACAGGATGTCCTTTCTTCACGGCTTTCCTCGGACTCGTTGCTGCGAGGCGCCTCACAGCCTCAAACTGCGACCGCAGGCGGCCGGCGCGGCTTCTTCCAACGCAGTTTCAACGCCAATGGGAACGGCGGCAATGGCAACGGCAGTAGCAGCAGTCCGGGAATGTCAGGGTCGCGGTGGCGGCCCAGCATGTCGCGCATTGCATCCGGCCAGCACCTGGCGGGCATGGTGCCTTCCGAATCTAGCTTGAGCTCTACGGGTGAGGGACGAGGAAGTGATTCGGGATCCGGGTCTCTGGGATCTGGGTTGTAAGGGGGCTTAGCTTGGTATGCAGCGTAGATCCAGTCCTAGTGTTACCTGCACATGGGTCATGTCATGCCATTATAAGCCCACCCTATCCATGCTTCATACTGACCCACGGCATTGCCCCTGCAGCTGCAGGCAAGCGCTTGGAGATACTGTCGCATAACGGCTTTCAGGCCGTGGACTGCTTGGCACACGAGACTACCGACCCCGCCTTCGCTGCCGTGCGCCAGGTAAGGTGCACACAGTCGCTTGCAGGGTAGACGTTTCATCTTGGCGAGACGTACATCTGGGTCTAAACGATGCGTACGAGCCCCACGCTGCGTTGACTCACCACCTAGGTGGTTCGCTCGCTCCTTCCTCACACGGCTCTGACTCACATCACAACCAATCTTTGTTCCGCTCGTAAATCAAACGTTCCATTCCTCATACGCCATGCCGCTCCTGTCTTCCTCCGTCAACCGTTCGCTCTCCCCCGCCTACCACAGGCCATCACCGACACCCACCTCCTGCAGTTCGGCGCCATGATTGGCGAGGCCTCCGCTGAGCTCGCCCTCAGCCAGGCCGGCAGCGCAGCCGCCGTGGGGCCGCTGCCCGGCAGCCTTCTGGGGCCCTATGACCGCAGGGACCTCTACCGCCAGGGCTGGGAGCTGGTGCTTGAGGAGCACAAGCCGGGGCTGCACTACTGGAGCTGGCGGCGCCCCCTGCGCAAGGGGCTCTACATGTATAAGAGCAAGACGGTGTACGAGGCCGCGACCACGGCGCAGTACATTGACTTCACGTATGACATGGAATATCGCCGTACTTGGGATGAGTTGATGATTTGCCAGATTGCGATTCCGCCGCCGCCGGCTTCAGCTGCCACAGCAGCTGCCGCCGGCGATGGCAGCGGGGCCAGCAGCAGCCAGGCAGTCATGAGCCTGGCAGAGGCAGAAGCCAAGAGTGCCGGTGGCGGATCGGCCTTCATGTTCTCAAGGACCAAGTTCCCGCCGCCCATGGCGGCACGTGAGTACACCTACGTGCGCCGTAGCTGGGCCAAGCCGGATGACGGTGGCTGCTACTGCATCTCGAGGGACTTTGCGCACCCGTCGCCGCCGGCGGCGGGCGGTCGAGCCGTGCGCGTCAGCGACTTTGTGTCGGCCTACGTAATCAGGTATGTGGGCAAATGTAAACAGGAACTGCTAGCCTTGAGCTGAGGATGCCATGCCAGGTACCCACACTTCTCGCCGTCACATGTTTGTCCCTTGCAGCGGGGTGGCATACACAAATGCGCGTGCGGAACTGCTAAGCCCACTGCGTCATGTTCTGATGTAGCCATGCGCCCATGCTTTTGACCGCAGGTCCAGCAAGGGCATCTTCGACACCGCCAGCCCCGCCGTGGAGGCGGTCAATGTGTACTTTGAGGACGCCGGGGTGGCCTCGGGCCTGGCCAACATGAGCGTACGGCGCGCACTGTGGCCCATGGTGCAGAAAACCGAGGTGCGGCCGACCTTCGCCGCGACTTAGGGGTTGCGCCTTGCGCTTTACCTCTCGTCTCTGAGCACTAACGAGTTTGAAGTCGTAGAGTCGCCTACAGTCTGAACCCTTTGCTTCGGTATGCATTGCACCGGTTGTCCATTGCCCCTTCCCTCACCAATCCCTCCCATGCACTCCTCCTCCTCTCCCCTGGCCTTCAGGCCGCCTTCCGTGGCTACCAGCTCACCCGGGTGCACGGCAGCCTGGAGCAGCCTCCGCCCGAGCGCGCTGTGGCTCTGGACTCGCTTGGCGCAGCCATGGGCGCAGGCGCAGCACGCGCAGCAGCAGCAGCCGCAAACGCGGACGCTGCATCCTGCATGGGCGGCTTGGAGCCCGGTGCAGGTGACGGTGCACGCTGGTGGCAGCGGCTGCGGCTGGGGAGTCCAGACCTGTTGCTGTACCGTGCGTACATGGCGCTATGGCGGGGCGGTCGCAGTGCGGTGCTGGCAGCTGCCAGTTGCTGCATGAGCCTGTGGTGTGGTGCTACGGGGCTGCTGGTCAGCGCCGGCTGTGCGGTAAGGAGCGGAGTGCGCGCAACAATGACGGCGGCGCGGGCCGTGCCAGCCACGTCATCCCAGTTACTGTTGGAGGCAGTCCGGTATATCCGCAGTAGCAGCAACCTGGTGACGAAGGTCTTGTCAACGAACTCACCCTCCGAACCTTTCACCCGAGCTGGCCGCCTTGCAGCCCTGGTGCTGTGGCCCTGGGAGGCGCTCGCGGCGCATCACGTTTGGGGCTGGCGGCGAGCGGCTGCGGTTGCAGCGCGTCCCACGGCTATGTCGACCGCGGGAAATGCTGCTCATAGTGGACGCCTTACGCACGGGTCAGGTGGAGGGGCGAGGAGCAGCGATCGTTTGTCGTCGCACCCCTTGTTCCGCAGCGGCATCGAGGACACCGATGCTCACACCGCGGCACCAGGGCGCATCAGACGCCTGTCCGTTACACCGCCTTCTGGCAGTGCCAGGAGCAGCGGCGCGGGCAGTTTGAACTGCGGTCCTAATGCCCCGCAATCGCCCCGTGGTGGGAGCCGCAGCGCTTCCTTCCGAGCGCGGCAGGGCAGCTTTGTGCGGCGGTGGACGGTGCTGGCAGTGAAGGTGGCCAAGGTGGCAGGGGCGGGGCTGCTGCTGGGCCGTGCGGCGCGTGCTGAGGCGGGCGTAGGCGCCGCTGAGGGGCATGCAGGACCCGCCCGGCAGCAGCAACAGCAGCAGCAAGTTGTGGACGGTCAGCAGCAACAGCAGCAGCACTTGACGCAGCGTAAAGCCCAGGGTCAGCAACTGGGTGGGGGTTACACGATGATGCCAGAGCAATGGTGGTAGAGGGCGGGTTGCGGCTTTGCATGCGATGGATGATCTCTGGCATCCGTGATGGAGCTTGACTGCATACTGTCCAATATCGTTTTCAAGGCAACGTAGCTTGTTACCAAGTTCCCCCTCCAATGTACTAGACATTGTTACGGGGTGGTATACCAAAATAGTTGAGGGGAACGTGTAAGAGTGCTGTCTAGTACAAATTTACAATGCGCAATTTGTGCTGCAGCTGTCTTTCCCAGAAGAAAGAAAGAAAGAAATTTGCACCACGGCCCGGATGTGCAACTAAGTGCACCGTGATTGCTAGTGTTTGAGGAGAGTGCGGATGTTGGTTTGCTAACACCAATGCTGAGGGTGCGTGTCTTCCGGGTTTTGCTGAGAGGCATGTGTGTTTACAGCTCGGGAGACGCGGGTATAAACAAAGAGACGAGCGTGTATGTGTGTCATACTGCAAAATACAATGTCTGTGAACCGCCCCTGTGTTGTGATAGCGCGGTTCCAATAACCTTGTCTTTTCTCCGAACACGGTTTGTCTGTCTGTGTCTGAGTGACGATAAGAGGAGTGACTTTGCACGTGTCATAAAACTGTTACTTGTCAAGCTTACAGAGAAAGCGTGGGATCAAGATGTGCGCAAATGTATCTTGTAGCCCTTTCGTCAGCGCTCGTCAGACGCTTCCCTGGAAGAATGTGGCAGCGGTGTGGCAGTTCTTATGCGGCCTGAGCGCGTCACCCCGTGGGGCAAAATGGCTCGGCTCTAGTAGGTTGTATCGTCGGATTTGGGACATGGGCACCAGCGTGTCCAAGCTTGTTGGCCTGTAGTGGCCGTGTTTGGTTGATTCGCAGCTCAGGGTGGATAATGGTGGTTGTCAGCCATTCACGGTGGAGGGCGGTTGTGATGTGTAGTCACATATACTAGCATGCGATATGCTGTGGGGCCGGAATGTGGTCGATTGTACTTGTAGTGAACCTTGCCGTACAATGTGCAGTCGCTTTACAAAGTTAGTAGGGTACATGTTCTTCTTGGTTTAGTGGGTTTTTCGAGGTATAGAAGACCTGAGCAGCTGTGAAGTGGTAAGTGCGCCTTGCCTTATATCTTGTCTCCTGCACTCGTATCAATGTGCATTGGCATTTCAATGGGGTAAGGGGTGGGAGGTTTAGGGGTGATGGTACCCCAGGCAACTCCTCCGCTGCCGTTTAGGGAGCGTTGCTTCCCTAAGCTTGATGGAAGCCATAAGCGCTAATCAAGTGAGTCGCCAAGTAACAGGTCCACTGTAACAGCCGTTTGAGTAAAAGAACATGCAGACTAACGCGCGTCCCTGGCACGTTGGTCGAAGGCCCGGGACATCACGGTCATAGAAGCGGCAGACAGCCTACCAGTCGTCAACCAATCGCGCCCAAATCAAGCGTCCATTCCATCCTCATTAAGCGCCTTGTGCGGCAACCTGGCGACAGCAGGCGCCACAAGGCCATCACTACTAGCCTCATGTGCATTGAATGCTGACGCCTTGATAGACATTGAAGCAGTTTCCGCCTATCACAGGGAGGATCGACAAAACTGACTTGTCGACTGTGTCCGAAGGCCCCCACCATTTGCAGAGGCCTCCTGTACTGCAGCTTGGTATTGTCTACATGCAGCTTTGGGTTCTGCACTGAAACCCGGGCTACGGCCATATGGCGCGTCGTATCCTTACTCAAGGGTCCGACCTAAGGTCTCCCGCCCGACACTGACCCGTGGGTCACACACCGCGCTTCCTCGCCCTGGTCGCTACTTAAAGATGAGGTACCACACCAGGAACAATGCCGTGACCGAGGCAACCACCCCGTAGATGAAGCGCTTGTTTGCCTTGTCATTGTACACCTGCGTGAGTTCGGGCACGGGGCGGAGGGAGGTTTTAAGGGGAAAGCAGCATTAGTGGAGTAGGTCATGTGGGTCGGAAGGGCATGCACGCAAGTCCAGGGCGGCTGGGCGGCGCCTCTGGGCTTGCTTCGAAGCGTCGAAACACTTCCTCCACCACAGTGTGCTTAAACTAGCCGCCATTGCTTGACTGCCTGGGACCAGCACCCAATCTTGTCACCGCTCATCAGGTGTTGCCCGGCTACCCCAGAACCCACCACGCGGAACTTGTCGGCTACTGCGCCCATGAAGCCTCCAACGTTAGCGAAGCTGCCGTCCTGCGCAGTAGCACAACAGACAACGTTAGTGACAGACTGAAGGTAAGAGGGAAAGACTGTAGTAATGGTTTCCAACAAGAAAGCGTACGGGAAGGCCAGCTTAATGGAACAGGGCACATGGTGTTGAGGGTCAGCAGCGCCTGGCGCCTTCCTTTTTATGGGAACTGTGCAAAGCAAACTGTCTACCCGTACAGCGGGGCTGCTGCACGATGCCTCACCATATTATCCAGCAGCTTGTGTTGGTCGCCAACCTCTTTATTGATTCCATGCGTTACCTTTTCGGGGTAAAGTGTGGGCGGAAATGGGGTGAAGTGACATGCGGGCGAAGAATGGCTTCCGTACAAATCCTGGCTGCCTGAGCAAGTGCGGAGCCCTTCGACGCATAGGCGTAATGATTTTTCCGCCCTTAGTTAGCAGTGCAAGTATCGTCCTTTGGATTACTAGCGACGGGACAACCATGTCCAACATGTTGCCATACCCCCAAACCCCAACCCACATTCTTCAAGAGCGCTACTCGGTCCGCCAGGTGGTCAAGCTCCCGGTCATTCTCCTGCTCTAAGGATTCGACGTCCATCTTGTCCTACGTGCGTAGCAAGAGGGGAACATCATGGCCCTTCCCATGTGGTCCATTGTAGACCGTCTTGAAATCTTACCCGTGAGATGCCCTTCCTGTCTCTGCTGTGAGCACATATAGGAAAGCCACACGCACGTGAGGACATCGCTCACTCTTGGAAATTAACCGTCAGTTTGCAGCAGCTGCAAGCAACTAGGACAAACCTTGCGCCCAGCATGATGTGCAGACACTACAAATGAAGACAGGAGTTTGCTGCAACGCCGCTGTTTCTACGAGAAGCTATGCTGCAAGCTGGCGAGCGAGTATAGGAAGTAGTGAACTATATAAAACTACAGCCTATCCGTCGTTAACTCCTCTTTACTTATTGATCCTATAGGTTGAAGTGTTTAACCAGGTAGGGCGATCTTTTCAAGCTTGTTGACGCTCCCAGCTCAATGAAGGGTGTTAAACAGTTTCTATAACCAACGAGCAGGCAATGGAAGCAGCAGAGCGTTAGTACATTTCCGTAGAATAGATGGAGGGAACTTGTCCAGGTTAACCACAGCTAGGTGACCAACATGTTACGGCAGTGCGGAACATAGGACCCTGAAAGCGTATGCTTCGGTCTCAACTCTCCTCCACACTTGAGATAATACGAAAGCTTACATCTAAAGTTGTAATTTTATCAGGCTTGCACCAAGCGTAGGCTAAGCACCCTTGCTTGCAGTGCACCTATCGTAGACCACCGCGCGTTGTTCATACTTCTTCGAGTATGGCGCCATTGCGGCGACTTGGAGGCTTGGCGCAGCTGGCCCGCTGCCCCCTCGCGACGTCGACACCATCCCTATCCCACATCGCAGCCGGTACTTCTAGCGACTCCTATGGCGCATGGCCTCGGTGAGGCCCTGCATGACATATCAAGGTTTAACGTCCGTACTTCCAGCCAGAGCGCCATTGCCCTGCCCTCTAAGTTCTAACCCACCACCTCACCCTAGCCGCACCGCACCGGCCCCCACATGACATAGCTTATCCCTCCCACACTCATCAAGCCTCGTTCATCTTCCTCCTCCCCCATCCTTCTCCCCTCCCGCCTGCAGTAACAACCTGAACAGCCACCACGGCGTCCGCCACAGCAGCACCTCCACCTCCTCCAGCCTCTCCGACCTGCCCCCACTCGCCGCCTCCTCTGCCCTAGAGGACTCAGCCGTGGCCGCCCTCTTCAACCCAGCGCAGCTAGGCACGCAGGTACCATGCAAGGACAGCCCCTCGCACGCTTACACACACATCTGCGGCATTGTCAGCCTCTTCCTCACTGGCGCCCATCTGGGTCGCCCTTGCCCCTCTTCCCTCTAGCAGGAACCTTCCACCTGCGCGCTGCCTAGGATTACATTACCTCCCCTGCGAGCTGCGACCCTCCCTCCGTGCTTTCCCGCATGCCCATTAAGCGCCCTCAAGGTCACACCCGACGCCCCTGTCCCCTGCTGTCTTCCCCCTGTTCCCTCCCTCCCTCCCCGCCCGTTGTTTCACTTATATAATTTTTCCCCTCCCCGCCCCGCCCCACCCAGGTTTGGGAGGGCGCCCACGCCGCCTGGGGCCTCCCCTGGTGGGCCACCATCCCCGCCGCCACGCTGGGCCTGCGGGCCGCGCTGCTGCCGCTCAGCCTGCGCGCCTACGCCGCCTCAGCCAACGTGGCGCTGCTGCACCGGGCAGTGGGGCTGGCGGGGGAGGTAGGCCGCGCGGTGGCGGAGGCGCAGGCGGCGGGGCGGCGGACACAACAGCAGGAGGAAGAGGACGAGGGGAAGCAGCAGCAGCAGCCTAGCAGTAGCAGCAGCACCGGCAGCGTTGAACTGGGTCGGGTGGATTTGGTTCGGCGCGTGCTTGCGCACCTGCGGCAAGTGCACGGCGCACCGTCGTTCGGCTGGTACCTGGGCAATGCGGCCGTGCAGGCGCCGCTGCTGCTGAGCCTCACGTCGGCGCTACAGCGCATGTCGGACACCATGTGGCCGGGCCTGAACACGGAGGGGACGCTGTACTTTGGCGACCTCACCTCGCCGCCGGTGTTCCTGCAGACCATGTCGACTCCGTACGGTACGGCAGGTGCCATGATACCGCTGGCTCTGGTGCTGCTGTACGTCAGTGCGGTGGATAAGTCGGCGGGAGGTGGGTCAAGAGGGGTGGCAGGGTGGGAGTAATGGTGGTAGGGATGGTGATGATCCTGGGGAGTGGGGTCTGGGGTTGGGTTAGTGGAGGCGAGTTGGCAGGAGGCGGGTAATGGGGAATCCGTGAATGGGTTGTTGGTACGCCGTACCCGCGATCTGGGGCGCCATGACGCTTAACGCGTGTCAAACCTACCGTCACTCCCACGCCCAGCAAGCCTCCCATACAGTCTAGCCTCGCACCCCACTCACTGCACCTCCCGAACTTCCAAACCATCTTCTAACCCACCCACTCCCTCCTCCTCCCTCTCCCACTTCCCCCCTCCTTCCTCCTCCCCTCAGCCGGCAGTCCCGGCATCAACGCCGCCCTCAAGCTGCTGGCGGTGCCCCTCTACTGCGCCTCCCTGCTGCAGCCGCACGCGGTGCTGCTCTACTGGCTGACCCACGCGGCCAGCCAGCTGGGGCTGTACGGCGCGCTGGAGCGGCTGCCGGGGCTGCGGCGGGCGGTGGGGGCGCCGGAGCTGCTGGTGGAGGCGGAGCGGGAGGAGCAGGGCGGCGGAGGAGCTGGGGCGGGGCAGCACCAGCAGCAGGGGGCAGAGGAGGGTGAGGAGGGGAGAAGGCGGGTGGGCGGGAAGGGAAGGGAAGAGGAGGGGCCTGTCCTCAGCAGCGCTCGACGTGCAGTCATGTGTGCCGCACATCACCCCACCGTCTAAACCCGGCTCTCATGCGCATGCCCTCCCTTTCCTGCCGCCCCCAGCCTCCTCCCCCGCAGGCCCCGCGGTGGCCTCCCCCTCCCTGGACGACCTGCTGCTGGCGCTGTCCGAGTCCTACCAGCGGGCGGGTCGGCGGGAGGCGGCGCGGGGCTGCCTGCATGCGCTGCTGGCGCGGCAGCCGCACCACCCGCAGGCGGCGGAGCGGCTCAGGCAGCTAGAGGCGTGAGAGGGGGAGGGGGGCTGAGCACTGCTGGCGCGGCATCTGAGCTGAGCTGGAGGGAGCAGAAGCAGCAGCAGCGGGAGGAGCGCTGCAGCAGCTGGAGCCGACAGGAGCTGATCGGGGCCTGCAGCCACGGCAGACGGTAGTAGAAGCAGTAGAAAACGGCAGTTGGCAGGAGTGTTAGGGAGTAAAGAGGAGAGTGATGACAGCTTTTGGAGAGCGTGCGTGATACGCGTACTAAGCTATGAGCAAAACGGACCGAAACACGTTTATGTGTGCGTTTTGGTTCCACAGATGCTGCATGCGGTCGCAGGCGGTGGGGTTCGGGAGGCGGGTTTGGCGCCCCCCTGGACCTGCTTGCTGGTGCCGGTGTCGGTGCGGGTGGGCCTGACGTGGCCCATGTAGCGGGGGTGGCGGGTGCGGGGAAAGCACATGGGGCTTTGGTGTGGTGTTTGTGGAGGTGTGCCGTACAGGTCGTGCTAGACAGCTGCGCGCTATCCGGAGTCCGGTGGGTAGGGCAGAACAGGACGCTGCATGTGGAGGCGGGGTATTGGGGGAGGCCACGCACGAGGACAAAGGGGTTTAGCTTTCTCAAAGCTGGAAAGGGCGGAGCCCCTCCTTCTGCTCAGTACCGGGACGTGTTACGATCGATTACTGGGTTGTCACCGCATGCGCTCCTGTCAGGGCAGCGGCCACCCCTTGTCCAACACTCCACGTCACCCTAAATGGCGCTCCTGAACACCGCCTTCTCGGCAGCGCTACCTCCGCTCAAAAACACTTGCGGGCGGCTCGGCAGCGCCCCATCACACCCGAGCACAATCACCGCTGACTGCCGCCACCGCCGCATGTCACCGCGAGAACAAAGCCGGTCACACCGGTCAGAAGCTGCCATGTGCGGCAGTCGACGCACCAAACGGCACAAGGTGTCCGCGCGCAAACGCAGCCCCGGTCAACAAGCCAAGCTCCAGCTCCAAATTCGAGGAGTGAGAATCCCAGTCGCAAGAACTCCTGCGTAACCTTTCGCCGCATAATCATGGTGGCCTCATCACCTACATCCTTAGGATAGCCCCCGCTTCCCCCAAGACCAGTCGACGATACATGGAGCACCGAACATACACGTGCCGTGCCGGTCACACCGTTAGCTGGGGGTCATCTTCCACTTCTCTTCACTGCCGCCTCTGGAAACAACAACATACACTCCCCTGCTCACTGCCCCACGCCCGCACCCACCCCCGATGCATCCCTCCATGTTGGAGCCTTTTGTCCCACGGTTAGCTTCTTTCCATCTACCCAATCCGCCATCCCTCTCCCACCGCTCACACCCCGCACCAACTCCCATGCACGGCTAGGCCGTTTCTCCCTCTTCACCCCCATGCCTCCCTCATCCCCTTCCCCCCCTTCACTGCCCCCTCCCACTGCTTTTCAATTGATTTCCCGTCCCTCACTGCTTCCCCATGGCCAGCGTGAGCTCCGCCTCCACCACCAGGTCCTCACCCACGTAGCCGCTGGCGGCCACCTTGACGATGCCGAAGCGCTTGTTGAACTTGGTCACCTCGGCGCGCATCATCTAGAGGCCGGCCGGGGGGGGGGGTGACGAGGACGGGGGCGGGGAAGTGGGATGGAGGCGGGGAGCGAGCTAGGGGGCAATGCATGGGACAGGAAAAGCAGTAAGGCTTCCATTCACGCTTCACCCCCCCCCCAACACGCATCTCTCTCGCATGCAGCCCTGCCTCACCAGCACATCTCCCGGCACCACCGGCTTGCGGAAGCGGCAGCCCTCGATGCCTCCGAAGAAGAACAGCCCCTTGGCCGCCGTGTCCTCGGGGTCCAGCATCACGATACCCGCCAGCTGGGCCATGGCCTCGATCTGGAGCACACCTGGGGGGTGGGGGGAGTTGGGTGTGACAGGAGCGGGAGGGGGTGAGGGTGGGACGTGGGAGGAGACCTACCAGCCGCTGCTTACGAGGGCTGACAGGGCATCCCCCGCTTGCCGCCCGGGAGTGACAGGTCTGCTCCCTCGCCCTCACCCAGCCACCCCTCATCCACACCCCCCCTCCCACCCCCACCCACCCGGCATGATGGGTCGCTCCGGGAAGTGTCCGGTGAAGAAGTTGTCGTTGATGGTGACGCACTTGTAGCCCACAGCGTACTTCTCCTTCTCCCACTCCACCACACGGTCCACCAGCAGGAAGGGGTACCTGCGGGGGCGGGAAGGGAGGGAGGGAGGGCGCGGGAGGGGGAGGGATAGGGATCGATTGCTGCTTAAACGGGGATTCTTGCAGCATGGTGGGTGCGTTGGGAGGTGGAAGGGCCGTGGGCGTTACAGAGGATGTACCCAGCACGGCCGGTAGGCAGCCTATGCAGTAAAGGGGCCGAGGGCACACGTGCGGCAAAGTAGGAGTGCCGCAAGGAGGGAGATGAAGCTTGCCATATTGCGTAAGAACCTATAACCTTATGTCCTTTCACGGAATTGACCATGGCACCTTACATCGCGCAACGCGCAAAGCCCAGTACGCTTAAACTGAGATAAACCGAGTTCGCTCGTGATACAGATGCAAAGTAAGGGGCAATTTGTCCAGTATTTATCGAGTCCGTAAGGCACATGTAACGCCTACGCATGCGAACCTGTGGGGCAGGGTCTGCATGATCTGGTTGATGTCACGTAGGGCCTTGAAGTTGGGTCCGGTCTTCTCCGTGGACACTGCCTTGGGAGCCTCAGCGGGCGTGGCGGCGTTAGCACGCACAATCGGCATCGTCCGAGCGGGGCGGACTGCGACACAGGGCCGCGCAACGGCTTGCCGGGAGCTCACACGTCCGCATTGCATGTTGCGCATAGAAAGGGCCATGGTGTCAGGCTAGGTGTGCAAACGCTGACTGTGACGCTGCAAATAAGCAGTTTACAAAGACTGCAGCGCAACGAATTCCTTTAGGACCCAAACACGTTATCTATGGATGAATGGAGTTGCGTGATTTGACCGGCGCGATCCTGTACCGGCCTTGCCGTGCACGCTTGCATCGTATATGCACCGCCTCGCGCAATTTTACACCAATCAAGGCTGTATACAGATAACGATTATAATTTCATATCTTTACGCTTGTGATGCAGCATGGCGCAGCAAGCATGCAAGCTTTAGGCAGTGAGCTTTAGCGCATACTGTAAGTGCCCTGGCGCAAGCTCAGCGAGGCGCGCCAACACGTGTTTTGTCCTGTTGGTATCGCGAACAAACGAAGTTGTGATCCCAGAGGGTATACATGTGCTCCCGTACATTTAGGCACGGTCAGGTGTTGGGCCGAGACCCGCAAGGCAAGGTTGATACCGCTATCAGTCGTGTTACACTGCACGCTCCGATTGATGCTCACTAAGGGATAGTCGTGAAGAGCCATACACCAACCAGGTGCTGTTCTCCAGCGGACGAGCCAAGCAGGGTGTTACTCCGGGCTCTGCACCGCACTAAGGAAATCTAATCTCTTTGTGGACACCAACCAATACTAACAGCCCCGGCCCTGTAGGGCGGCGGGTCATTTCAAGCTTCCATATATGTCCGTACACCGCACACAGGGCCCCTTGCATACTACCGTACCAAAACCACACAACACACATGTTGCGGCCTCATGCCTGTTGCTCCTCTCGGTATCACTGCCTCTTTTAAGGTGCCAAGCAGCAACACAGATGTACATTTAAGAAGGACAAGTACATGCTTCAAGGCAATGTTCCGTCTCCGGTTGCTTTAGTGAGGCGACACCTCACAGCTTAACCACACACCATGCTCTCCACCTGCACCTGCACATTAACCTAATTTACAACACACCCCAACCGAGCACACTGCAACACACGGCGCCTCTCCCAACTCCCCTCCACACACCTCCTCGCCACTCCCCTCACTCCACTCCACTCCTCTCCACTCACTCTCACAAGACGCGGTAGATCCGCCTCCCTCCCATTACACCCGGGTCTCACCAAAGCAACCCTCCAAGCTACCCCTCCTGTTCTCCGCTGCCATTTACCCAACACTCCGCTCCAACACTCCCTTCCCCTTGCCCGCACCTTTCCACTCCCGCATTGTCGTCCACTCCACCCAACTACCCTACCCCTGCCAAAACCACCGTACGACGCATACCGATAACCCCCATCACCCCAGCCTGACCCACGGGTCGGCCCCCTACTCCAGCCTGGCTTCCGGATCCGCCATGTCCAAGACGAACAGGTTGCCCTTGTCGCCGCGACTGATGCGCAACGACTCGTCCAGGTAGGTGACCGACAGCTCGCCTGGGGGGGCCGGAGGGCGGGGGGCGGAGGGCCGGAGGTAAAAGATGACATCCAATGTGTGGCGCGATAGTGGTAAACTAGCTGACAAGCCCCCAGGGAAGATCCGTGAGTCGTGAGACGGAGGGTTGGATAAGCATCGGAGGGAGGAAAGGAGGAGGGGTGGTCAACCAATGGTACGGGCAGGTACTGCATTTGGTCGCTGGTTGTACGTTGCTGGCTCGCCTGTCCTCCCCACCCCCCCGCACGCCCATGCATAATATATATAATTTTACCCCCCCGCACGCCCACTGCATGAGTCGGGATTCGGGATTGGGACTGTGCTGTTGCACTTATTTATAATTTCCCCCCCGCACGCCCCGGCTCGCACTTCTGCCGGTATGCTGCCTCCCCTCCCCTCCCCCCTACCCACCCCTGGCGGAGGGCGGTGCGGTGATGGGCAGCAGCCCCAGCAGCTTGAAGGTGCGGAACTGCACGGTCACGCGGTTGGAGCTGAGCGGGGTCAGGTCGGCAGTCACCTGGGAGGGAGGGAGGGAGGGAGGAAAAAGAATATAATGAGACACTGACGGGAAGGAGGGAGGAGGGAGGAGCGGAAGGGCGGTGGTGGTGGGGCCGGGGCCGGGTGGGGTTGGATGGACAGTGAAGGTACCTGTAGAGTGTAGACGCATTGGTGGTAAGTGCAACGGCTTCGGAGCAGGATTGGGACGTCGGAAACAGGGGGGATAAATGAGTGCATCAACTGGAGTCCACGGGGGGTGTGGCATGCAGAAGGCTACAGTGGAGCGGATGGGCGGATCCCGCGAGGGGTAAGGCGAGGCTTGTGTTTGGCACCTCGCGTCAGCACCCGCAGTCAGGTTAGCTCATTACCCCACCTGGTTGAAGAAGGGCCAGGTCTCCTGGTTACGGGCCTTCAGACGCCCGGCATCTGGCAGCGGTGGTGGTGGTGTTGGAACAGGCGGGGAGCGTTTTAGAGGTCCAGGATCAAGAATTGCATCGCAGGCATGGGTTCAGGTCGGAGCGAGGTAAGTCGTGGGATGATTGCCAAGGTGGGATGCGGCCTCCTCACTGTGGCTTTCCGCAGCCATGCGAAGCTGCAGGACCACCCAATGACACATCGTAGCGGGTGCTCACCTATGGTCTGGTAAATGGGTCCCGATGGCCGCAAAGGAGGAGGACGCTTCGTAGCTAGGATGGAGTCTGATGTGGTATACAGCAGACGCCATTTACCGCTCAGGAGCTCCGGAGCCTTCAGCGGCTGGGGCGTGGGATTGAGCCGCTCTAACTGACTTGCCAGGCGCTCTACATCCGCTTTGTCCTCTGCATTTCAGGCAGTAAGCGATAGCTGAAAATTGGAGGATGAGCTGCCAGGTTCTGGTCAGAGCATGGCATGGAAGCATGTGGAAGGAAACGTAAATATGATCAGCACTGACAGCAAATCTAGATGTAGGTCTAACTTAGCGTTTTAACGCGACCAACGCGTGAAACCAAAACCTGCGGTGGCCGAAGCTCCTCTGTTGAGGCCCTCCAGGCGCTCTAGGAGCTGTTCCTTTACGGCAGTCCTCTGTTCCGCTTTCGCAGCTGCTGGCCTTAGGAATGATAGGAATGCAGCCTTTGGTGCTACGTGCGGACGTGCGGTAGACAACTTAGGAGCGGCTTGACCATGCATAAGCGCCATCCTTCAGCAGCAGCCGGTAAGTAATGAGGCTCAAAAGCAGAGTGCGAACTGCAATGGGACTGATAAGGCTAGACAGGCAGTAGCCGTTAGATATGCGAGCAAAAAACACACGAGAGCAATATGCACAGTAGGATTTTAATAGAAAGCGTCAGGTGACTGCAACAGGCGAACAATTTCATACAAACGCTCGTTATGAATGAGGCCGGGTGGCGGATGCCGTACAATAAACATCGATGGCCATAAACGACGCATTCATACGTCCAGGATTCAGTTGTTAGAACCGATACAATTGCGCAATTAACCCTACCATCGTGCTTTGCCCTGCACAGTGTTAGTATCACTACAAATCCGCAAATTTGAACCGGTAAATGCCGGGCGAAAGTGTGCATACGCACTATGAACTTGAGAAATCTGAAGTCCAGCCTATGCTTACTACGATAAGCAAAGCGCCAGACTCCTGCATTTGAATTCGTGCACCACAGCAGACAGCTGCACCTAGCGGCTAGCTATAACGACCAGTTCCTGACGTGATGACAAGGCGCAGCAGCCGCCAAGCCCGCCATCGGGCTCCTGGCAACCCTGCTCTCGATAATAGACACGAACGCGCCATCCCCGCCCGTGTCAGCGCCAACATGCAGCGGCTGCTGGATGCCACGGAACGCTTGCTTTCCTCTTGGGCTGAAGGCTGTCCATCCACGCAAAGAACGGGAGCGTCGTCGGAGCTTGAGGATCTTGTGTTGCAGGAACTAGCCTTGTCTACCTTCCCTCTCGGCTCAGACATGTCCCCATGTGACAAACAAAGGACCGCCACCGAGCTGCTGGGCGACACAGTGGTTCAAGAGGCTCTGCTCCGGCTGGTGGCAGTGACGGTCCGGCTCTAGCCTGAGGACATGCTCTTGCCTGGCCGTCGGCTACACCTGGATGAATCTTTTGTCGATGTAGCTTCGCTGCTTTTGATATACGCATCGAGGAGAGCTGCCACGACCATGAGCTTCGCCCGCAAGCTGCTGCGCATGCACACGCTGCAGGCCGCAAGCCGCCAGCTGGCAGCAGTCGCGGACCTGTTGCGTGCAGCGATGGCCGACAGTGCACCTTCAGGCAACTTGGAGCAGCAGCAGCGGGAGGAGCAGCAGGAGATGCACCAACCACAGCCCCCGCAACAGGAGCAGCAGCCCCCGCAACAGGAGCAGCAGCCCCCGCAGCAGGAGCAGCCGTCACAGGGCACTGCGGCAGCTATGTTGCTGGTGTATCGCCTGGCAGCACGAAGGACTATAACGGCCTTTCGGCTCATCAAGGCACTTGTGCATGATGCTAGGCATTCGGCGCCCCCTCAGCAGGAAGCAGTGCCACGCGAGCTGGAGGAGGACGTAGCTCGGCAAGTGGAGGAGCCGCGTCAGCAGCAGGAGCAGGAAGATGGGGACGAGTGCTTTGTCCAGTACTGTTTCGAGCTGCTAGCCGCCCTGCAGGACAGCTGTGTGCTGGAGCATGCTGCCCGGCTGCTGCTGATGACAGCGGAGGCAGCGATGGTGGTGAAGGGGGCGGATTCGCTGCGTCTTGTGCGCACCGTAATGCCACTGGTTGTCGAATGTTTCAGGGAAACCTATAAGGACTTTGACTTGACCATCGCTAGCTTGTCGCACTTGGCATCGGTCCAGCCCCCAGCAACATCATCCCCAGCAGCCGCGGCAACAGCGACAGCAGCCGCATCCCTCACTGCGCCCTACACCGCCCTGCTGCTCGGTCCCTGCATGCGCTATGCGGCTATCGTACACGGTCTAGCGGCGCTCTGCGAGGCTGACGGCGGGCCCACGTACGGCCTGCCGAGGGAGCTGCTGCAGCGGGGCATCCCAACCGATGTCAAGGCTTGCAGTTACGTTATGAAGTTCAGGCCAGGATCATCATCATCATCAAGTCAAGACGCAGCTTCAAACACGGCCACGGCCAGGGATGTCACATTCCATCAGGTTCCTGACTGGCCGCTGCGGGCAGCCGTGACAGCAACCGTCCCCGTAGATGGCACGCACCCCGGGCTGCTGGGCAGGCGTGCAGCGCTGTCGCTGCTGCTGAGGATAGGGCGCCTAGCGGTGGCGTCAAGCCGAGTGTTCGGAAGTTGTGCGACCATGCTTGGGTCATCGACGACCAGCACAGTGCTGATGGCGGTCCCCGGCCCTAGAGCGCTGCTACCTGTATATGCAGTGACGGATATGTCGCTGGCCGCGCTAAGCCTTGCGAGTGGCCGGCTGAAGCCCCCACCGGGCCCTCCGCTGCTGCAGCCCGGCTCGGTTGGGTGGGAGCGCTGGGTGGAGGAGGCGGCGGAGTGGTGGCGGCTTGTGGTGGCATTCATGGACCAGAGCCTGTGGTTGGCCACGGCGCCTGAGGAGCTGGCCGAACTGGCCGGCGCTTTGCAGCCGCTGCTGGATGATGGAGAGCCGGTGTGGGTGGACGGTAGGCCTTTGGGATCCGTGTTGGGGGGCTGCTGCTGCTGCCTCTGCTCATAGTCGTTGGGCCTAACCCCACAGCCGTTTACTGCGCCGTTTACTGCACCATTACTTGGCACGCGCACCGAACTGTTGGCACGTGTAACTGCAAGGGTTTACGCGTACATGCAAGTAAGCCACGAAATGCACAATCCTTGGCCTGCCTGCTTGGGGGTCACTGTGTGTTGTGGGTGGCTATCGGACTCCTGCAAGGCCGGGGCCCGATGGCACAGTGATAGGGGCCGCTCCTGTCCTGCGCCTAGCCGAAGCCAACAAGCCACCATGTGTCCCCTCCCTTCAATGCGACCCCCTGCGCCTCTGCAGACCTCTGCACCCTGCCGTCGCATGCGCCCCCGAAAACCGCGGCGGCGCTGGCGGGCGGCTTGCTGCCCTGCCTGGAGCGCCTGCTGCGGCGGGCCGGCCGGAGCCCGGGCGGCCTGGATGCAAGCTTCCTGGATACCTGGTTCGGCTGCAGCCCCTGGCGCCCGCTGACGTGCCTGCTGGCGTGCGGTGAGGTGCGCCCGGCTGCTGCGCTGCTGGTCTCCCTAGCCAAGGGGCTGCGGAGGGCTGATCCGGGCGGCGCAGCTTGCTGGCAGCCGTGGCAGGATTTCAGCAGCAACTTCGCAACCTGATTGATGAGGTATGCGTTGTGCGCGATGGAAGGGCAGATGCAGGCGTCAGGGGAAGGTGGAGGCGCCGCCGCGACCGAGGAGGCAGGGGCCCCGGCTGACGCCGCCACCCCACTCGGCAGCTGCTCCGCCAATGTACGGCAGCTGGCCCTGTTGGCGTCGTGTGCCGTGTGCGAGTGGCTGCCGTCGCTGGCCCACCAAGCCCGGTTCGCCGCCGACAAGGGCCTCACAGAGCATGCGGTTGTGCTGCTTGCCCGGGTTCTTACATTGCTACCAGCAGTGGCTTTACAGTGCTGCGCAGTGACCCACGGGTCAGATATGTCACAAAGGGGCGCCATCAGCGGCAACTCAACTGCAGACGGAGCGGGCTGCAGTGCCGTCTTGACCGCTGCAGCCAGGTACGATGAAGGTTGTGCTGGCGGCACCGACAATGGTGGGTCTGCTGCTGCTGTTGACGGCGGTGGTGGTGGCGATGGCGGCTGGCGGCATCTGTTGCTGGCTGAGGTGGATGTCGTACCGCTGCTGGGTCTCGCCATGCAGCTGTTGGAGGGGCATCGGGGGGTAGAGCTTTCTGATTGGCCCTCACGATGGTACGCATGCGAGCTAATCTGCAGCTGTTGCGCCTTAGCAGCGGCTTGCCCAGAGCAGGTGCGGCAGGCGGCGGCAGCAGGAGCGGGAGCAGCAGCCGCTGCCAGTACTGCTGCTGGTACGGCGGCGCAAGCGGTGATTACGCCCCCCTGGAGGCCTGAGCTGCTACGCGCGCTGGCAGCAGAGCTGGGAGAGGCGGCGGAGGAGGTTGGGAGGGACGGGGGAAGCAGCAGCTGTGGAGACGGTGGCAGTGCTGTTGTCGGCGATGGCGCCGGCTGTGCCTGCGAGCCTTTCAGCGGTGTCCCCAGCAGCGGCAGCACCGCCGACGGAGCCGGCCAGGAGGGTGTTGACCACAGTGGCATCCACCCCACGACCCTGTCGGCGGCAGCGCATGCAGCGGATCTCCTGGCGGTGCAGCTGGAGGGGTGGCGGGAGGGCGCTGTTGCAGGTGCCGTGACGGGGCTGCTTGATGCGGCGGCACGGGCTATTGGGTGGCGGGGGGAAGATGGAGCGCTGACCGCGGCGGTCCTGGTGCCGCCGGGGGAGCTGCGGCGGCAGGGGCTGCTGCGGGGCTGCGGCAATCCCGGCTGTGCGAACCTTGAGGGGGATAGCGAGGCGGGGGTGAAGCTCAAGGGGTGCGGGCGGTGCGGGACGGTGGGGTACTGCTGCCGGGAGTGTCAGCTGGAGCACTGGAGGGCGCCTGGGGGGCACAAGGAGGCATGCGGGAGAGCCGGGGGGGAAGAAAAGCATAGGTGCTAGTTGCTAGGGTAAGTGCGAACACTAAGGAGGTTTGCGGGGCGGGTGCAAGGCCCGGCTCCTTTTGAGTCCCAGGCGTGAGCGTTGCCAGCGCCCAAGCGGTGACAGCGACGCAGGAAGGGGTGTTCCCAGCATTGATGGTTAGCTGATGTTGTACGGACAGGGAGGAGGTTTGCGGCTGGGAGAGCATTGGGGCATGCACTGCTGGCGGTACGGCACGAACCTATCCTGCTTGCATGTGTTGCTGCTGTTGTGATACAGTACGCCGCTTATGCAGGATGCTGGCTTCGCCCGAGCCGCCCTATACCTTTGCTGTCCGAGGTTGAGCATGGTTGCAGGACGCTGACATGTTTGGAGCGATGTGGCCCGGCTGTCCCCCCTGTGTTTTGCAGCCGGTTTAGTGCTACGCGCAAAGGTGGGGGGTAGACAACTCCGGGACCCAAGGGCAACCCGAGGGGTGTGTGAACTGCGAGGGTGTGAGCCCGCATGGCCTGACCAGCCAGGGGCAACACGAGGGGTGTGCGACGTGCGGGGTGAGCTCGTGCAAAGATGCAACCCTCAGCTACATGGCATCACGTGTGGCGGAGTCATTTACCCAAGAGTCGAGGTTAGGGCCCCACTTCAACGGATCGATTGGGGGCGATGGAGCAACCTGGGTATAGTCGTTTCCAAAAGGCGTCGCCCAAACAAGGAGCAACCCTGCACGTCAAGCAGTAATGGATCCCCTGTTTGCCGCCAAACAAGCAGCTGCGCTATATACAGCGCAAGGAACAGTAAGCTCATGGCTCGCTAGCCCCTCAACACGACACTCAAAAGTAATCGGTGCTGGGCTCCATCCCACTCCCCAACCCCTTCCAAATGGGCGGGAAACGGTCCTGGGACCAGATGACTTCTAACCCTCTCCTCCCCTCGTCCTAACTACACTGTATTGCGTAGCGCCCACCTCTCCCTGCCCTCCCCTCCTACGCTAGCTACAAATCAGCAACGCAGGCGCCCCTTCCCTCCTCTCACAGCACCTCCCTCTCGCCCACCTCTCTCACTCCCGCCTCTGAATGGGCTCCCTTCAACTGTCCGAATACAGGTACAACTGCCAATTGCCCCGCTCCAACTGCTACCAACTGCCCCAGCCCAACTGCCAACTGCCCCACTCCACAAGCCGCATGCCCACCAGCCACCACTCCACTCGACATAGCTTTAGTCACTCACCCCTCACGCCCCTACCCCTGCCCCTCGGGTGGCAGCATTCCCTAATTACCCAGCCGCCACTCGCCTTCCCACCACCCGCTACCTTCTCCTTCCTACCATTATTCCCCATCCACTCCGCCACTCGCTATCGCCTCACTCGCTCCAGAAGGAACACATTGCCCTTGTCGTCCCGCCCCACACGCCAGGCGGAGGTGGGGGCTGCAGCCGCTCCTGCCGCTGCTCCTACCACTCCTGCTGCTGGGCCCTTCGCCGCTGCTGACCCCGCCGCAACACCACCCCCGTCGGCACCTCTCCCAGACGTTCCTGCTCCCCCTGATAACCCTGCCGCGCATGCTGCTCCTCCCTCTGCCGCTGCTCCTGCTCCTGTTCCCGCTGCCGCCGCCGCTGCCGCTGCTGCCGCCTGCTGCTCCGTCTCCAGGTATGTGATGTCCAGGTGTCCCTCGGGGTTGAAGATGGAGAGCAGCAGCTGCAGGTTGGCCTCAAACAGCTGCTGCAGCTGCGGGGGGGCCTGGGAGGGGCGGGGGAGGTGGGAGGGGGAGGGGGATGAAAGGAGAGGAGGAGGTGGTGGTTAGGAAGTGCCTGAGGGGATTGCTTTCTGCTTTCACGGGCCTTCCCCTGGCGTTGCTCTTCCTGTAGCTGCGGACCCATTATCATACAGCCCCCACACCACACAACACTCCCTGCTACCCCTGCTTCTGCTTTTCCCCACCCTGCCCCCCCCGCCCCCCGCCCCACCAGCTCCGTCTGCATGCCGCTGATGTCCACCCGGCACCCCGACACGGGCTGGTAGGCGGCGCGCAGGGTGAGGGCGCCGCGCAGGGAGCCCAGACCGCTGACGGAGAACTCGATGCGGTTCACCGCCGTGTGGGAGGCAGTGTCGATGTGTTGGGTGAACTCCCCCAACCGGATGAACTCACGGAGGCCCAGCTTGGTGCGCTTGACGCCCTGTACGGCGCGACGGTTGGGGGCGGGGAGGGAGGAGGGGGGAGGAGGAGGGAGGAGGAGCTTGGCGGGAGGGGGAATGAAGGGAAGCGCATAGCCCGGGGGAACGGTAACGAAAGCACATGGAAGGGGATAGGTATGCAAAGGTAATGAAGGGTCGTAATGAAGGAAGGGTCGCAGTGGAGGGGTGGGTTGAGTAGTTGGGGAAGTGAGGCTAGGGAAACGGTCGCCCATGGGTGACCCGTTGGTCAGCGCATGGACATGTCGGTTGGACCGCAGTCGACTCACCGTAATGGTGATTGTGGAGAATAAAAGGCGCCATTCTCCAGCAATTAGGTCAAGGTTTGAGGTCGGCGCTTTGTGCGTGTTGTGTTGCTCAAGCTGGCCGATGAGGTCAAGGATGCGTGCTTTCTTGGCCGACTGCACAGTGACAGCAAGTTGTCAGCGCAAGGTTGCGATTGCATATAAAGAATTGAGAGTGACTGACCGGTACACCGAAGATGCCTCTGTCCAATCCTTCTAATGCACTTAACAATTGTGCCTTTATCTCATGTGGCCCACCCGACGGGCGCGATGGGTCGGCTAGCGCTACTGCAGATGGTACAAAGCCATTCGTGGATGAGAAAGCTATGTGCGACCGTCTTGCAGCAACCGGCGACGTGTGGACAGGTACATGGAGTCGACGCTGCAAATTTAATGCGTTTTGCATCTTACTAGAACAGTTCGCGGTGTAGCGCAAATGGGTATGTTGGTCGGCTGAAGGCTGATGGGATCAACACAGCAACCCATGCTGTGCATGTCCTGCAGGGCCGTTCCATCCGCTACCTTGCCATTCTTTAGTTGGTTACATTGTAGGCTTTACGAACATATTTCTGCGTCTTTTTGTATAATGAAAAATCAGGGCACTCAACTGACATAGAACTCCAACGGAGCTGGTTCTTTCGCAAACCAGGACTGAACAACAGCAAGAATGTCGGTTTTCGAGGAGCTCGGCGTTATGCCGGAGCTATGTAAAGCTGTGGAGGATCTAGGCTGGACGTAAGCATGGCTTGTCGCGGCAATCGCACGGCACCAGCAACACCTTGCAGACGACGCAGCGCATGTTCTGTGCATGCAGGCTTCCGACGCCTGTACAGGTGGAAGCGATCCCGCTTATCTTAGGAGGCGGTGATGTCATGGCGGTGAGCGTGCATGGCGGGGCAATGCCATCTCGGTTTCAGAACGCGCACAGCAAGAACCGCATTCCACAATTTGCTTAGCTATACCATTACATTGCATTGATACTTACTGCAATACGTGGCAATGGCGAAGAAACTGGGCCCCAAATGCTGTAACCAACCGCTCCTCCTCATGAATCCCCGCTCGTAGGCAGCGGAGACGGGAAGCGGCAAGACCGGGGTAAGTCCCTACAACCAATGGCATGAAGGGATAAAACACATGATGGAGCTGTGACATGATTGGTGCTGCTGCTGCCACCTGCGTGCCCACCCCTGCGGCGGAGCCGCGGTGTCCTGCCACGCCTTCAGCCCCTAACCCGGATGTCAGTCGTTCCCGTCTAGCCCCCCCTTGTGTGAAGATCTCCTCTTTCCATGCATGACACACTCTCCCTCCCTTTCCCCTCCGCCCACAACCCTGCTCCCCCACCCTGGCTCCCTTTTCCCTCAAAAGGCCTTCGCAATTCCCGTCCTCCAAATCGTGCATGAGGCCCTCCGACAACGCATGCGCCCGCCTTCAGCTGCCCCCGCCGCCTCCTCCGCCTCCTCCCCCGGCCCCGGCCGCAGCAGCAAAGCCGCCTCCGCCTCCTCCACCGCCGCCACGTGCAGCCTGAGTGCGGACGACCGCGACCCTCACGTGGCCGTGTCGGCCGACGGACGCAGGGCGCAGAGCCGCAACGAGAAGTCGTGGGGCGGCGTGCGGGGGAGCGTGGGGGTGTTTGCGGCGTGCGGGGGCAAGGTGTATTACGAGGTGAGGGGCGGGGCCATGGGGAATGGCGTTGCAGGGGCTAACGGTGAAGAAACCAGCTACCAGGCTCACACCGGTGCCTTGCCTGGCCGCTTGCTGCTGCCCTCGCAGGTAACGGTTAACGACGAGGGTTTGAGTCGTGTGGGGTGGAGCTGCCGTACCGCCTCCCTGGATCTGGGTACGGACAAGCTGGGGTTCGGGTACGGCGGTACGGGCAAGAAGAGCCACAACCGACAGTTCGACACGTACGGAGAACCGTAAGTCTGCGAGGTAGCTGAGCCGCATAACCAACAAAACTCGCGACTAGTTTGTAGTAACACACTGTCGTGCGTGGAGGCATGTTTGCATCAAACGGGATTGTGCCTACCTATGCACGACACAATGTCGTACGGTATATGAATCGCACACAGCGCGCCACCCACCCATGTGCCCAGACTTAAGAGTACCGTCCACTGCTCCCGGGCGCATGTCCGCATGACCTACGTGCACACTGTCACACTGTGTTTTAAACGCCCTGGACACCCCCCGGATGTATCTCTCCTCCCGATCACGCTCCCGCCCCCACTCCCGCTCCCGCTCCCGTCCTCCTCCCCAAACAGCTTCGGCGCCGGTGACGTCATCGGCTGCTTGCTCGACTGCTCCTCCGGCGGCGGCGGCGTCTCCTTCACCCGCAACGGCACGCCGCTGGGTCCCGCCTTCTCCCTGCCGCCCGCCCTCTCCAACCAAATCCTCTACCCCACCATCTGCCTCAAAAACGCCGAGGTCTCCGTCAACTTTGGCGCCCCAAGCGGGGATCCGCCCCTCGCGCACCCGCCCCCGCCCGGCTACATCCCCCTAGCCAAGGCGCCGGATGCATGGGTGCTGGCGGCGCCGGAGGCGGGGGGCGGCGGCGGCGGAGCCGCCGCCGCCGCAGGCGCCGCCAGCGTCCGCCTTCCCGTGTGTCTTATTCTGGAGCCCGCACGCGACCTCGCCGAGCAGACCGCCAACTGCATCCGGGACTTTGGCAGGCACCTGGCTGCTCCCAGCCTGAGCTGCGGGCTGTTCGTGGGCGGGGTGGATCCGGGTCCGCAGCTGCGGTCGCTGCGGGAGGGGGTGGACATTGTGGTGGGCACCCCGGGGCGGGTGGTGGACTTTGTGGAGAGCGGCAAGATCGTGCTGGACCAGGTGGGTGGGTGGGTGGGAGCGGGGAGGGGCGGAGGGATGGGGTGATTGTTCCATGACCCCAATGCATGGGGCCATATGGGGCCATATGATAACCACCCAAGTTGGGCGGCCGTTGCAGGGGGCAGGAGCAGAGGCTGACTTGGCTCTGGGTTGATAGCGGGTGGGAAGGGTTGTAGCCCCCTGCCGTCGCATGCGCTTCCTCCGTTCCCCGGATGTTGTTTCTTCCCTCCCTCCCTCCGTTGATGCACTTGTCGATATGTTTCCCTCCCTCCCTCCCTCCGCATGCCACCATGGGTCACCCCAGGTCCGCTTCTTCGTGTTGGACGAGGCGGACAGGTGGGCCGGGGGCACCTGGGCTGGGGGCACCTCAGGAGCACATGCGTGTGTGTGAAGCACTGGCCGCATGCGCAGTCGGGATCATGCCTGCCTGCATGCCTTCACGCCTGCCTGCGTGCCTGCCGGGTTTGTGGGTAACGGTGTGTCCTCCTCTTCCCTCTCACCCCACCTCACCTCCGCTTCTCCCCCCCCCGCCCCCCGCCCCCCAGGCTTATATCCGACAACCCCGATGTCATTCTGAAGCTCTTCGCGCGCCTGCCCAAGGGGGGCACGGGGGTCAACCGGCTGCAGGTGGGGGGCGGGTGGGTGGGTTGGGGAGGGGAGGGCAGCACCGCAAGAGGCCGTACACACCTCCCCTTTCCGAGACCCCAACCGTTAAAAACTCCAAAACGGAGATGCGCTGTACGACCTTCCCCTGCTCCCATCCCTCCCATTCCCTATTCCGGTCAGTTGGTTTCCTCCTCACTACACCCAAACCCCCTCACCCCTCACCCCTCTCCCCCCCCCACCAGGTGCTTCTGTTCTCCGCCACGCTTCACTCCCCCGAGGTGCGCTCCATGGCCGACCGCATCTGCGTCACCCCCACGCTGGTGGACCTGAAGGGGCGGGACGCGGTGCCGGAGACGGTAGATCATGTGCTGGTGAGGGGGGGAGGGGGGGGGCAGAGGAGGAAGGTAGGAGTGTGTGGGGGGGAGAGTATGGGTCCATATCCTACTGAGCTGACAACACCCTGGCAGTGCCGGTACTGCTACTGCTACAGCAGTTGACGGTGCTGTCGTTGTTGTTGTTGTTGTTGTGGATGTTGTTGATGTTGCAAGGTGCCTTGTTGGTTGTCCCCTCTGTCCCCCGCCCCCCCCCGTCCCCCCCCCACTAGATCCGAGTGGACCCGCGGGAGGACCGAAGCTGGCTGCAGAGCCGACCGCAGGTGGGAGCGAGAGGGTTGGGAGAGGGGGCGGGTGGGGAAGAGGAAACAACTAACTGACCATGTGATAAGGCATCATCATGGTTTGCGTGGGGGGGGAGGGGGGAGGGAGGGCCGTCCACCACGTGTGCCGGGTGGCTCGTGTGCCGGGAGCTCAGTAGCCCAATCTTCATCCCATTCGTACGCACCCAACACGCACGCACCCCTCCTTTCTCCCCTCCCCTTTTTTCAGTTGCTTCCTGTTTACCCCTTTTCTTTTTGTTTCTCCCCCCCTCCCGGCCCCCCCCCCCCCAAGGTCTACACTGACGGCTGTCACGCGCTCGACCGGCTGGACACCTCCTCGCCCTCCCCACCCGCCGAGACCCTGTCGGAGGCAGTCAAGCGGCTCAAACCCCGGCTGCTGGTACGGCTGCTGGAGTCCCTGAAGTGCGATCAGGCGCTCATCTTTTGTCGCACAAACCACGACTGCGACCAGCTGGAGAAGTACCTCAACGGGCTGGGAGCAGGCGGCGGCGGCGGGGGGGAGGAGACGGGCGGGAAGGGGGGCGGGGGAAAAGGGGTTGCGGGAGGTGCGGGTGTGTTTCGTGGCAAGCGGGAGAGCGGCAAGGAGAACCCCTTCAGCTGCGTGGTGCTTGCGGGGGCACGGAGGTGAGGAGGGGGGGGGAGGCGGGAGGAAGAGGAGGGGGGGGAGCTAGGCAGGCGGGGCGTGAAAGGGGTTAGACGACTGGTGATGCAGGGCGGCGACATGGTCAAGGAGGGAGGAGGGAGGGAGCTGTCCTTGCACCCCACCTTTCCCCCCTCTGCCCTCGCCTCCCCTCCTCCCTTCCCCCCGGCCCCACCGCAGTGTTGACGAGCGGCGCGCCGCGCTGTCCGCCTTCAAGGAGGGCGACGTGCGCTTCCTCATCTGCACCGACGTGGCGGCCCGCGGGCTGGACATCCGCGAGCTGCCGTACGTCATCAACATGACGCTGCCGGACCGGAGCGAGGACTACATACACCGGGTGGGGTCAAAGACCATACCAAACCATAGGAGACCACACCGGGTGGGGGTGGGGTGGGGTGGGAGCAGACACACTGGACGGGGTAGGGGATATACACACCAGGTGTGGGTGGGGGATGAGGGGGCCTCCTTCGTTGCAACACAAACCCCTCCTCCTGCTCCTTTATGGTTGTGCCATTAACGCCCATTACACCTTCCTGTCCTTCTCCTCCGCCCCTCCTCCGCCCCTTCTCCGCCCCTCCTCCTGCCCGCCTCCCCCCCACCCGCAGATCGGCCGAGTGGGTCGCGCCGACACGCTGGGTCTGGCCATCAGCCTGGTGTCGCAGGTGCCGGAGAAGGTGTGGTACTGCACCGTGAAGGGGCTGAAGCCCTGGCTGGCTCCGGACGCGGCAAACACCAAGACCACCGACAAGGGGGGACACACCATTTGGTGGGGCAGGGGGCGGGGAGGAGGGGGAGAAGGAGGAGGAAGGGGAAGGAGGGGAAGGGGAAGAGGAGGAATGCTACCGTTGCCTATGTGGCTGCGTAGGACCGGGTAGGGCCTCTGGAGAGAGAGTGAGTGGGTGGGTGAAGCACCTGAAGGGGCACCTGAACCCCGCAATCCCTACGGCACACATCCCCTCCCCTCCCTCCTTCCCCATCCCCTCCCCTCCCAGGTACGACGAGCGGTCCCTGCTGTCGTCCATTGAGACGCGGTTGGGCCGCCCCATCCCCGCCATGAGCGAGGACCTGACCCTGCCTCCGGAGCTGAGGGAGCGGCTGGCGGCGGGGGGGGAGGCGTACGGGCAGCAGCGGGGGGGAGGTACCAGCAAGGAGGTAGGGTAGAGGGGGGGGAGGGGCGGTGGGAGCTGGTGTCGGCTGCTGGCTGGTGCTGCTGGTTGCCCTCCCCTCCCCTCCCACCGCCCCACGTGCCGGTGCTGCCCAGAGGGAACCTGCATGACTGGGGCCCCAACCTGCCTGCCGGCGTGACTCAATACGCCACAAGTCACCCCCAACTCCTGTCCCTATGGCCTACCCGCATGACCTGTTAACCCTGCATTCCCCATCGCCATTACCGTATGCCAACACTAACCCCAAGCTGCCCCCACCACACACAGTCACACAGCACATTGACATTCTTCTTTTCCCCCATGCCCATACCCATGCCCATACACACACGCCCCCAGGTTTCGGAGCACCTGGAGCAGATCGCCGCCAATGTGGCCCAGCTGGCTTCCCTGGAGTGGAGCGTGCAGAGCAGCTTCCTGCGACTTAAGCAGCGCTGGCAGAAGGTGTAGGAGCGGGCGGGATGGCTGGGGAAGGGGAAGGGGGGCGCGTGCGGGGACGAAGACGGTGCAGGAGCGTTCTCGAAGACCAACTGTTGAAATTTAAAGACTTTATAATATATTGTACATTGCAAGGAAAGCTAAAGCTGTGCTGACTTCAGCCAGGCCTGTAGCAGCTAATAGTGCAGCTGATTAGGTTTGATGGTGGTGAGCTAGCTGTTGGACTGGGATGGGTACGATGATGGGGGGCGGGTGTGTGGGGGACTGTCATGGGTGTCATGCTGCGTAAGGCACGTGTCCATGCCGCTGAGGCAGCTGAGCGGCAGTGGAGGCGGTATGCCCTACGTGTGTAAGCATCCTTGGGAGTTGGGGGAGTGTGGGACTGGCCGGAGGTTTCGCGTAAGTAGGTTGGTAGGGACTTACCAAGGAGCAAAGGAGCGAAGATGACCGGGTTACGCATGCTATGAGGAGGATGCGGGGTAAGCTACCGGTGCCGTAGATTCATGCGGGAAAGCGCAGTTGGAATTGTTAAAGCTGTAGCTGGCTGTAGATTGTTGGCGTGCTGGGGCGTTGTGCTGGGCGTTGTGGAGGGGATCCCAGCTGGCGAGGATGAGGCCATGCAGCAAAGTACGGGTGGAGGAAGCGGCAGGATGAGGGATAAAGTACGATGCATATTGTGGCTCAATTGCAAAGTGGTGCCGTACTAGTTATGCAGGGTATCAGAAGTGGCGCGCTCACACGAACAGCAGACTATGTAGCAAGAGAGTGTTAAGAGGCCTCCTGTTTTATGCTACAACTGCTTCAGCAATGCATTTTGTTCTGTTGGGAGGACGCCGCGGCAGTGTTTCGCGTTAGGAAAGGATGCAGTCAGGAACAAGAACGACCTGGCATATTCCGAGCATCATGATTATTTTTTGGCTTCCTGATCGCAAGGGATGTAGGTTGGTGCGTTCCAGCAAGTGCGTGGACGAACCCACGTTGAGAAAGCCTAGGTTCTTGTGAAACTTGGGACGCGTGTTTCACTGCTTATGAACTTCCACAAATGTCGGACGTGTTGCATAGTGTAGTGATTACTACGTTTTCTGCCCGTTCATGCTTCGTAAGATCGTAACGAAGGTTTCCGTCCGTATGCAGAAACGTACGGCCCAGTCGTGCTCAATTTCTCCATCTGCATAGCTAGCTTCGTTAACGCAGCTGTCTTTGGTTTGTACAGTACAGGACATACTTGCTTGGGCCACCTGAAGAGCAGCGCTTAGCTCACGTGCGGTCCGCTTTTGCAGCGGTCGCCGGAGTCGTAACAATTGCCGCTTAAGACTCGCTTACTGTTTATGAACTCAACCAGTGAACCGCGCTTATTATTTAGTTAAACTTGGACAGGGGCCCACGTCAACAGCACAGAGCCAATAACTTGTAAAGATGATCAGGATAAAGCAGTCTGGTTGTTACCATGGCTTGCAACAGCGGAAAGTTGCGTTGCGCCCAACGCGAAGCAGTAGGCTAGTCTGCCAAGGGATGCTTCCCATGGGGGTTCCAATAAGCGTTCTCACCGATAGCTACAAGGCAACGCACTTTTTGCAATACCCCAAGGCGCAAAAGATGGTAGCGGTAAGCCTCTGCCCACGGGTGCGCCGGCGAATCCCTGATGGACTGGGACACCAACACAGTGCCCTGCCTGCCACAGTATGGGGAGTTCCGCCAGGGCTTCAATAAAGACAAGGTTGACACGCGTATGGTGTCATACGGCATGCGCTACCTGGTAGAGAACTATATTGCAAGGCCCTGGACCATGGAAGATGTGGAAATGGCCGAGGCTTTTTACAGGTTTGTGCCTGCAGACGGATTCGTGTTTGCTGGTCTTCACAAGTAGCTCACAAATTATATAACCCTTTGCAGGACGCACATGTCCCCCAACTACACCTCTTTTCCCTTCCCGCGGGACCTTTTTGAAAAGTTTATCCGGGAGAATGACGGTGAGTGATCCGCTTGCAACCTTGCATCACGCCCCCCCTCCCGGACCTTCCTAGCACTTTAGTCCTGCACTCAACCGCCCGTGCTCATGGCTAGGTGGTAGCGGGCTGGCGGGGCACGTAGGGGCCAGGGCAAATGCTAGAGCTCAATCTCTTGTGCCTTGGTATGATAGCGGCTGGCATCCGTGCTGGGGTTTGGCTTGGGCTGCGGGAAACGTATATGATGAGATCAGCACAAGGGACCGGGCATCCTGATGCATGTGCAGATCGTTGTTGCTGTCAGGGGTAATAAGAAGTTGAATGGTCGCCTGCGCCAGTCGCTATGCTAAGGAAAGCACGAAGGGCGCCACCTCGCCCCACCCCCACTGCAACAGCGAACGGCATCCCATGGGCTGCACGCGGCGCCTCCTCCCTTGATGCTCTACCCTCTCCTGCCGCCCTCCCCAAACCCCAGCCATTCTCTGCACCAACCACCAATCCTCTTCCCTCTCCGCCCCGCTCCCCTTCCAGGCTACTTCCCGGTCACGTTGGAGGCCCTGCCGGAGGGCACCTGCATCCATGCGCGCGTGCCGGTGTACCAGGTGGGGTGGGGGGAGGAGGAGGAGCTCCATGCTGTGCGGGGCGGGCTGGGGCGAGGTTGGCGGAGCAGTACCCTGGGTGGGGCACCCCAGGGGTGAGCCAGGGGTGTGGTGGGGCAAGGGGGGCGCAGGCTGCATGCCTGCTCAGGGAGTAGGGAGCTCCGCAGCACCGGGAGCGCCTCTTCCACACGCGGCCGGGGGCGGGTCTGGCTGGACGGGGCACGAACGTGAGCAGGAGCGGCCTGGAGCGGCTGACTGACAGGAAGGGCCGTGCGCGTACTTCAGGGAGCCGTGCCTCAGTGCAGGAGCTGGTGTGCATGCCACCAGGTGCAGCTGACGCGGCGGGGGGTGCGCAGGAGGAAGCAGCGCGCAGCGGCGAGCCCAGGGGCGCAGCAGCCGGGGCTGCAGGTGGCGGAGGGGGATTGAGCAGCAACCAAAGCCCTTCCGATGGAGGGGGTAAAGGGATGTGGGAGGAATGCCGGGCATTCGGAGATTTACCCAGTATGCCATTCCTTGCCCATCGGAGCAGCAGCAGTAGCAGAGGTGCAGGTTGTGGGTGGTTTGTTAGCCCTGTCGCGCAGGCGGGGCCTGCATGCTGGCGGGCAGGGCATGGTGGGGTGTGGCAGGGCGGGGTGGCCGCTGCCCTGCCCCACCTGGAGTGGGAGGTGTACATGGCATTGGGTTGGCAGCGGAGCAAGGGCTGATGGATGGTTGACAGAGGGGAAAGGAGGGGATGGAGGAGACGGAGAGAGGGGACCAGGGGCGGGGGCGGGCGAGCGGCTGGGTGGGGCCCGGCTGGGTTGGGCGGTGGGGTGGGAGCGCTCATGGGCGGTACGGGGCTCCACTCCTGGTTTCGTCGCACTGAGCCCAAGCTGCCGAGCTAAAGTGAGAACCGGGCAGCGGCGGTGGTCTCATCTCCATGCGCCAGCCAAGCAGCGGCAGCGGCCCGCCAGACATGGTCCACCTGCATCGCTGCCACCGCCTGCCGCTATGTATACCTCTTGCTTCCATGCACACCTCCTTCCTGCTTGCTTCTACCGTTTGCTCCACCCTCCTCCCCCACCTGCCACCCCCTCCCCCAGATCACGGCGGTGGGCGAGTACTCACCGCTGTGCACCTTCCTGGAGACGCTGCTCACCATGATCTGGTACCCCACCACGGTGGCCACCCTCAGCCGCCGCTCGCGGGAGGTGGTGGAGGCGTCCTTCGAGCGCACCTCGGACGGCGGCCCCGCCTCGCCGCTGGTGGAGGGGCGGCTGGTGGACTTTGGTTTCCGCGGCTGCACCTCCCTGGAGCAGTCCATCATCGGGGGCTGCGCGCACCTGCTCAGCTTCAACTCCTCGGACACCATGTCGGCAGCGTTTTATGCGCAGGTGGGGCGGGGTGGGTTCAGGAGGGGCGTATGTGTGTGTGGGGGAGGGTGCATGCATGCATGTTGGGGGGTGGGGGGTGTAGGGGTTTGGCAGGGGAGCCATCTGGGGCGGGTTAGGCAAGGGCATGTTAAAGACAAGGGGGCGGGTAATACATGCGGGAAGGGGCGGTAGGTAGCTGTACGGCAACGCAGGGGGCAACAGGTGGAGAATCCAAGGGAGAGACACACCCTGTACTGCACTCCACAGCAAACTCTCTCCGCCTCACCAACCGCTTCGCCCCTCCTTCACCCCCTCCCCGCCCCCCCCAGTTCAAGCTGAACGGCGGGCGGCCCGTTGCGCAATCCATTCCCGCCACCGAGCACAGCGTGATGACCTCCTGGCCCACCGAGGCGGCGGCACTGGACAACATGATCGCCAACTTCGGGACCGGCATCTACGCGTGCGTCATGGACAGCTACGACTATGCCAAGGTAGGGGGGGAGGGGGAGGGAGGGAGAGAGGGCGGAGGGAGGGGTACACGTTGGAAGGAGGTGAGGGGCGCTGAGATCCCGATCCAATGCTGGCCTTGCACCTCCCCGCCTCCTGCCCCTGCGCTCTCTGTCACCAGCCTCGCCTTACGGTGTTGTTGCACGTGCCCCCTCCCTCCTCCCCTTCCTCCTCCCCTCCCTCCCCCCTCCAGGCTCTGTCCGAGGTGCTGCCCTCCGTTGCGGCTCGCAAGGTGGCGCGGGGCGGCTACCTGGTGCTGCGGCCCGACAGCGGGGACCCCACGGAGGCGGTGCTCATGGTGGGGGGGGGGGCTGGGGGAAGGGGTACGGGGTCTAGGGCGTTGGGGGGATAGGGGGCGAGCACGTGGACACGTGTCCTGAAGGGAGGTGCTGGGCAGCGCATGTTGGGCAGCGCATGAACAGGTTGCGAAGGGGGATGGTGTAGCACTGCCACATCCATAGCTCTGCCCATGCACCCTCCCACCTTCATTGCCATGTTTCCTGTCCACATGCCCCTGCACCCCCCCACCCTTCCCTTCCTTCCCCACCTCCCTCCCCGGCCCACCTCTTCCTCCCCCCCACCCAGGCTCTCCACGCCGCTGACAAGGTGTTTGGCAGCGAGGTGAACAGCAAGGGCTTCAGGGTGATCCGCGGGTGCGGGGTCATCCAGGGGGACGGCATTGACCTGGCTACCATGGAGCAGATCGCGCAGGTGGGGGGGAGGGGGGCGGGAGAGGAGGAGGGAGGGAGGGAGAGGGAGGGAGGGAGGGAGAGGAACCAAACGGGTTACGAAGGAACCCACACATGGCGGGAAACATGGCGAAAAATGGAAAGGCAGAGGTTGAGGGACCAGGAAGCTGAAGGCTAGGTAGAGGAGGCTGGGGAGGCAGCATGGCAGGTACACCGTATGCATGCGCGCTAAGCGGAAGAGACTAAGAAAGGAAGTGAGCAGAGCTTGGGCATTCGGCTTTCCCCTTGCGGGCGGTTGGTGAATACGACGCCCGGAGGCTGTTTCCCGTGTGCCTCCGGGAGAAGAGCCGCCCGCTATAGCGACCCAGCAGCCGCGTCGTGACAATCGTTGGCTGGGCCCGGGGCCGTGGCGCAGTCAATACACATCCGATGTACAGTCTTGACACAGGCACTGCCGCACTAGCACACAGGCCGCAGCGGCACCACCTGCCGCACATGCATGCATGCACTCTAGGGGTAATGATATGCGATAGGGGGGTGGGGGCCACGCCTCGCCTCACCACCCCAACCCAATGCAGAGCAGGGAGACCGGAGACCGGCCATGCATGCCATGAGACCATCGGAGACTTCCACGATACCCACCCTCCACCCCCACCCTCAGGCCTTCGAGGCGGCTGGCTTCGCGGCCGACAATGTGTCGTACGGCATGGGCGGCGGTCTGCTTCAAAAGGTGAACCGCGACACCATGTCCTTCGCCACCAAGCTGTGCCACATCGTGTACGAGGACGGGCGGGCGGCAGACATCATGAAGCAGCCGCAGACGGATACGGGGAAGTTCTCACTGCCGGGTAGGTGGGGGGGGGAGGGGAGGGAAAAGTGGAGATTGACCAGCTGTATGACGAGGCTTCACCAGGGGTTGCTACATTGGACCCGGCCCAAGTAGAGGGGCGGGAGAGGGCTGTGGTGAGGTGGGGTGTGGGGTCGAATGATGGGGAATGGCGGGGGTGGGAAGGTAGCATTCAGGCCATTAAGGTGGTAAACAATTATCAGTTCAGCCTACCCGGACCATCCCCGGCCCTTACCCCCAACCACGCGAAACACGCACACGCCGCGTTCTTTCCCCTCCCACCTCTCATATATTTTTCCCCTGCACCCCACAACCCTCACACAGGCGTGTTGGCGGTCAAAGTGGTCAACGGGGTGCCCACCGTGTTCCCCGCCGACACCGGCGAGGTGGCGCCGCACGAGAACCTGCTGCGGGTGGTGTACGACAAGCGGCCGCTGCCGGGCGTGTGGGAGGACTTTGACAGCGTGCGGGCGCGGGTGGCGTCGGAGTGGCGGGCGCTGCCTCGCAGTGCGGACAACATCAGCGCCTCGTTGAAGGAGAAGGTGCGACAACAGATGGCGCTGCGGGGTAAGGTGCCTGCGCTTACGGCACGCTAGGAGGGGGGAGCGTGTGGGGGGTTGAGGGGTTGAAGAGGCGTTGAGGAGGGAGAGAGGGGGATGCAACCGCTCTACTACCGTGATACTAGCAGTGTGATAGATGGTGATCGCTGTTGCGTAGCTAGGTGCAGGCGGACCGATGGTGTTGGTGGCTTCGCAGCGTCTTCCAGTAGTGCGCCTTCTAGTTGTGGTGTGGCAGCGGAGGAGGAGGTGGGTGACGCGGCAGAGGTGGGGTGCGGATGTATAGAGCTGCTTGTTGGGCCGAGTTGTTTTGCTCAAGGCAACCGGGCGGGTGTTAGATGACTGGACTTCCACCTGGGTTGACCCCCCTGTCCGCTTGGACGGGTCGTTGCAGCGCAGCGGTGGTGCTGGGGGGCGTGTACTGTTGTTTGCAGGAGGCCTGCTGGGGTGGAGGAAGAGGAGGAGGACGGGGGGCTCTGGCTGTATATGCTTTATATGCCGTAGGGACTGCGCACATGGAAACGAGGAAGGCGTTCGGCTGGGCAAGAAGGGCAATGAGCGGACATGTGTACGAGCTGGAAGTGGGAAGGCGCAAAGGTGGAGGAGAGAGTGAGGGGCGCACAGGCGTGAAGATGGGGGCTTCCTGCGTGAGCGTTTTTCTTTCGCCATGCGCGCGAGCCTGGTTTCCAGAAACTGTCTAGAACGTTGGGGTCTGCTGTGTGCGTTCCTTTGTGTCCGTACTGCAAGGCCCTCTTCAGAATTGCATTTTGGTGCTTTCATGATCCTGACTTGTCAAGTCCACACAGGGGTTTGGAGTTTGCATGGCCTTTGGGGGAATGGGTGGAATGGTGGGATGGGTGTTGCAGTGTGTTGCATTCATAAAATGACGGAGGCTTTGCCCTCCTCTTGAGAAGCAGGCGAGCGTCTGAGGGTGGGTGCATCGGGTCGTGCGAGCCACCGGTGCTGCGATGCGGCCACCGCTGGGGACGTCAGAGCCGCCTGTGTTTGTGTGTACATGTGCATACGTGTGTTGCATGGGTGTATTCACGCATGGGTCTGCTTGGCTAGGAGCAGCCGGGCTCCTCCTTGTAGGGGCCGGCCAGCAAGCAAGCAAGGGGTTCAAAGGGCCGTACAACTACCCGAGGCTCTTTTTCCGGTTTGGGGCCTTACTAAGCAGCCCTGTCGTACTCTTGATCCCATGCGCATATTAGCGGTATGTGAGCCCTTGATCGGTGTGGCCCCGGGACCGGCTGTGGGCAGATAGAGGCGGGTGGGCGGGCCTTCGCTCTTGGTGCGCTGCTGAGACACATGACCGCGGGGACACGCCCTAAGTGGTGTGGGTGCATGGAGGGTGCTTGCTCAAGAAGTGGGTAATGCGGACTTGGGGGCTTGCTGTGGCTTCTTCGGCCCTATCTCTACACGCTGCATGGGGGTGGGAGCCTTCTATGGATGTACGTGATTGGAGGCTTTGCGTTGGGCTCGTGAAAGAGCGAAAGACATGTTTTCATGCAGTCGGCGTGGCGTCAATTACCGGAGAAGAGGGCGAGAAGGCGACAAGTTGGGCAGGTGACGACAGCTGTGGTGGACCTGATGAAGGGAGTTTAGCGCATTCTCGAGGGCGAGGGCTGTGTGTTGCGTTTTGTGCGGTCGCGGGTATTAGTAATATACATCGAGAGAGGATATGTAAGGCGTTGTGAGCAGGCTGAGGCAGGTTAGGCTGCTTGTGATCGCTCTTGTGTGGTTCTGCTGTGGAATGGAATGGCTCTGACGACAAGAAAGGCAGCTCACGCTACTGGAAATAGGTGAGCTAATTCGGAGGGGGGGTGGTTGCTGGAAGGGCGGTCTCTGTGCCCTTGGAACCCTGGCCGGAGGGAAGCGAAAATGCTTGTGGCCTTGCGGGCATGGGTGAACACCTATCCTATACTAGACTGTGTTAGCTGCTGCTGCTCTTGTTCTGCTACGCGCCATTGCCGCTGTGTGTCATCCGTTGTGAGTGCATGCGTGCTGTTTGCTTTCCAGAACCTTGATACTAGAGGGAGCTTGTGAGGAGGCTTGCCGCCAGGTGTGAGTATGCATGCGACTGTTCGTCAAACAAAAGATCGAGGGGCATGTGACCTGGTGTTACTATCTTGAGAGCTGGTGAAGGGCTGTGAAAGATGCACGAATAAGAGATGTAAGGTGAATGAGCCAGTTGTTTGCTAGTGACCCCGCTTTTCCCTCGACGCTACTCCGCCGCCAAACCGAAGGAAGAGCGGGCTTGCATCCCCTGCAGCTGCTTCACAGCTCCCTAAGCAGCTTCCGTGCTTCTTCATGCAAGCCAACACATGTGTGAATGGGGACCGGCAGTGTGGCGACGCTTTTCACAAGCTTTATTCTTTGGGTAGGTTGCACGGCTACGGCGGTAGTGTAAGGCCGCAACCATGCTGATGGGTCTGATGCGCAAGCACATCCATTGACCGCACCCCCTCAAAATATTGAAGTTAATCGCAGGTCCTCAATGAGGACCATGTAAGCGATTAGACTTACAAGAACAGATACTACACATGATCTGAGCCAAAAGGCCGAGAAAGGTATGAAGTAAATGCTCGCAGCGTTGCCAACTACACCTACTGCACTAGACGCCCTTCAAACCCGGCTGTGATGGTGGGTGGGGGACGTCGCTTATCAGTCTTACCACAAACCACCACCACCGCCGCCGCAGCCAGCAGCAAACTAGGCGCCATAGCTGAAGGCCATGCTGCGAGTTGTGATGGTTCGCGCCGGGGGCCAGCAGGCGGGGGGCGCAGTGACGTAGCCTCCTCGGCCTGACGGCGTGGGCGCGTCCCCTTGTTGTGGCGCGTTGCAAGGAATGCGTCCACCCAAAATTGCCGGCGATCTGCCAACGCCTTTGTTGGGGCCCACGGCACGGGCCAGTAATTGAATGAGGGGTCAACTTTATTTGCAGTTACCCGTATGTATCCTCGCTTTCATGGCCTGGTATGACTGGAGCTTCCCCGGCGGCATCCATCCAGCCAGCCAGCCAGCCACCCCAACCACCCATCTGTGACCAGCCGCCCCTCACCTCGTCCGCATCCCCGCTGCTCTCAAATGACAACAATCCACCTCAACACCCAACTAACACCCAACCAACACCCTAGCATCAGACAACCAATGGTCTGCGGACACGGCCAGGGCTTCAGCCCTGCCCACCACACTCTCCATCCCTCTTTTGCCTCATCACCCAACACCCGCCCCCGCCACTACCCAACAATCCTGCTGCGGCACATGCACGCTACCACACCTGCCGCCGGGGTCACGACGCCCCTAGCTTAACAACGTCAACTCATTCGTTCTTCTCAAGCTGCTGTAGCACGCAGCCAACACAGAGACGCATCCTGCGTGCCGCTGGCAGACATCCTGATGATGTACCGGTATGTGATGCATGTCAAAGCAAGGTCAACAACACATTACGGAGCCGCCCGCGCGTCTCTTGCTGCGGTACGCGGCATGTTGCTAGTAGGCTCCATGTTGTGCCGGATCGGGCCGGGAACTAGGAGGAGTCTGCAGCTGGCACTACCGCCGCCGTCGTGGTTGCGGTCTGCGGGGCCGGTGGTGGCGGCGGTGGTGGTGGTGGCGGTGGCGGCGGTGGTGTTTGCTGCTGCCGTTGCTCCGGCTGGTTGGGTGGCTGCCAGTCGCGCTCCTTGACCATGGTCCAGAAGCTGGCCTGGTAGACGGTCTTGAACATGGAGCGGTAGTCGGCTGGGGCGGGGGGGTGGCGGTGGGGGTGGGGTAGGCGGGCGGGTAGGTGGGGGGACGCAGGTTCGGGTAGCGGGGAATGCCAAAGAAGGAGCGAGAGGATGGAGGAGGGAAGGGACGGGAGGAAAGGCGAGGCGAGGCAGTTGCTTTGGGGGCGTGGGGGCGAGGCTAGCCATGACGACGCATACCTACCGGACATACCGTACAGGGCTCAAGCATGGAGCACCTGCTTGAGCCCTGTACACTGCGAATCCTCCCTTGCTGGAGAGTCTTACCCGCCATGCCCCCCCCACCTTCCGCCCCCCCAACCCCACCCACCCATGTACGGCACATCCAGGCTCTCCTCGCGCACCAGCCGGAAGCCCATGGCTTGGGCCGCGTCGCGCAGGTCCTCTAGGCAGAGCTCCACGGACAACTCGGGGGTCTGGGGGGGGCGGCGGGTGAGGCGGGTGGGGTGAGGCGGGTTCGTCGTACGCTCCGTGCAGGAAAAACACACCGTATTGCATGAGCACGCATGTACATGTGTGCAAAGCGGCACTTGCAAAGCGGCACTCGCATCAAGGACGGCAAGACTCGCGAGGCGCCACAGCACCACCCCTCCGCTCTCGTCCCCGTCCCCTCCGTTCTTCATTTCTTTCTCCCCCCTCCCTCACGCCCCTCCCTCCTCCCTCCCTCCGCACCGGCAGGTAAGTGTGCGCATCCGCCCAGTGGTACAGCAGCGGCCCCAGGTTCACCCAGGCGCCCCCCGGGGCCAGGCAGTGCGAGATGACCTCCAGGTATCGCAGCGGGTTGTGTGCAGTGTCGATGAAGAAGCAAGTGACCACCGCGTCGAACATGCCAGCCATGTCGGGGGCGGAGTAGACCTCCTGGGGGGGGAGGGGACAAAGACATACCGGAACCACAGTCAGGGTCAGGGCAAAGCAACTGGGATATAGTGAAGCAGGGGGGGAGGGGTGCGGAGTGCGGGGGTGGGGCGGGAGGAGAGTTGGGTGTGGGGACATCGGAGAGGGGGGTCGGGGGGAGACATGGTAGGATGCTGGGCAAGAGACATGGTTGTGTTTTGCTGCCATATCCCTCCCTTTCCGTCCCTCCTCTTCCCGTCCGGGATGCCCCATGCCTCTTCCCCCACCCCTTTCCTCTGTCTGAGTAGCCAGCCCTGCTCGGACCCCGCCCGCCCGGACCCCTCCCCCCACCCGCCCCTCCTCTCCGCCCGCCCCGCCCCTCCCCCTGCCTCTCACCACAAAGTCCCCCGCGCACATGCTCAGCAGCCCCGGCCCGCGCACCACCTCCCCCGGCACCACGTCCGGCACCGGCAGCCCGCGCAGCTGGTCCGCGTCGCGCAGGTGGTTGCAATTGGAGTGTAGCCAGGGGTGGATGGTGTACTGGTGGCGCTCGCAGGTGTGGTTCAGGATGAAGGAGGAGCTGCAGGGGGGGAGGCAGGGGTAAGGATGGGAGTAATAGCAGGGTGGGAGCCTGAAGGAGGGAATGGGCGGGTTGGACAGTCGAATAGCTGCGGCAGTAGGTAATAGTAGGTGAACAGGGAGTCAGCATGTATGCAGGTATGGCAGCATGGCAGACAGCACAAACCCAAACGCGGCGATGAGCGCCTCCGGCTCCCAACCTCCCTTTGTCTTTTACCTCCACCCCTTCCTGCAGCAGCCCAGAGGATTCAGCAGGGTTTGTGCATCTCTCTCTGCCCCCCCTGCCCCCCTCCGCCCCCCCTTACGTGAGCAGCATGAAGTAGCTGAACTCGTTCCCCTGCGCCTCCAGCCCCATTCCCGCCACCTCCACACACAGCCGAGCCAGGCCAGCACCCGGGATGAGCGCGCGGGGAGGGCGGTGCGGGTTGGACCTTTGGGGTGGGGTGGGGGCGGGGTGGGGTGGGGGTGCGGTGGGGGGAACGGACATTGCAGGGCAGGAGGGAGGGGAGGGAGAAGGGGGAGGAAAGGAAGAGACTTGCCCTGCGGGTGTCCGTCAGGGTGTGATGAGAGGTATGGGAGGTGGTGGGCGAGGGTGGACAGGGGGACGAAGAGGGATTGCGGGCAGCACAGCAGCGCGGGGCCGCTTGCATGCTCCTGTACCGCCCTGCATGGGCCCTACGCCCCTACGTCAAGCTGCCTCACAACCCCTCAAGGTCCTGTCGTACCACGCCCTGTTGCCGTACCAACCCCCTGTTGTCGTACCACGCCCTGTTGTCGTACCACCCCCTGTTGTCGTACCAGTCTTTGAAGATCTCCTTGAGCTCCGCCAGTATCCTGCCGTACGACATGGCCCTCTCCGCCGCCCCCTCGTCCGACCAGTCGCGAGCCAGGTTCTTGAGCACGTAGCGCACCTGGGGCGGGAAAAGGAAATTCCAATGTGTGTTGTGATAATGATACAAGTTGCTGACAATCCCTGGTGGAAACAACCGTGATTCGAGCCGAAATGGTGGTGAAAACAATGCGAGCTAAACTTACCGAACTTACCATTTATGGAGCAACCTTACCGTAGTCTTGGGCAAATGGGGAGTCGGCTGAAGGTGAGCTGGCGACCCACCGCGCCGTCGGGCATAGGCAATCAACAGGAACAGCACAACACGAGCACGCAAAAACATGGACTGACACACGATAAAACACGTACCTAGGCACCTGGGGGGGAGGGGGGTCAAACACCATACCGAACCATAGGAAACCACATGTCAGGGCAAGACAATGGGGATAGGAGCGGCAGGGTGCCCTTTGGAGGGGGGGGGCGGGTAAAGGGGAGGGGTGTGGGGATGAAGGCCCGCCTTCGCCCTACCCACCCTCTCAGCACCCCTCCCTCCTCCCTCCCTCACCTTCTCCGCATCATGTGGGCTGACCGGCGGGAACCCCTGCTCCTGCTCCTGCTCCTCCTCGCCCCCTTCCTCCTTCCTTTCCCCACCTCCCGCTTCTCCCGCTCCTCCTTCCGCTGCTTCTCCGTCCCCCTCCAGCAGGCTCCGAGGCACGGCCAGGTGTGGCGGCAGCGGCCCCGCAGCGCAATCCGGATCGAACGCTTGCAGCAGTGACTTTATGAAGAAGGCGTTTGTGGCGATGGCGGCTCGAGCTGCGGCTAGCTTGGCGGGCTGGGCGGGTGTGAGGAGGGCCTTATGGTGGGGCGGGAGCTGCAGGAAGTTGGAGCGCCAGCGGGCCACCTCCCACTCCGCGGAGTCGGCGTAGTCGCGGAATGCTAGGATGATGCTGGGGAGGGAGGGGGAGAGGGGAGAAGGAGGGAATCTGCCGTGTTAGGCAGTACGCGAGGGCCGAGGGGTTGCTGCCGTAGGTGGGCGAGGCGCAAGAGGAGAGGTCGTTGCTGTACAGGGCAACATGCCAGCAGCTTGACGCGTTGCGCCAAATCCTCAAATCCTCGCTAATGAACAATCAAGCAACCAGGCCTTAGCTTCTGCCGTTCCAACCCATTGACTGCGCCCATCGCAAGACACGCATGCGCACACCCTCTCCACCCTTGGAGAGGAATCTGACCGCGAAGACACGCCCTAACGCCTCCCTCTTATCGCACCGTGCAAGAGCCGCGCGTTCCTCTTCATTCTCCTGATAGCTCTGAAGGCCGCCCTCCTCGCGCGGTCCGGCATCATCCTCATCGCCAACGCTTTGCGGACGATCCATCAACAGGGGTTGCCAATTGTGTAAGCGACGTAAGTCTTATTAAGGTATAATCTTAAGGGATAGCTTCGCTGACGTCAACAAGCGCAAGCATTGACGCCGGCCGAGCCTTTTGCACGGCCTTCCCCTTGTAGGGCCCGCCTAAGATGAAGAACACGCGTTTCTACGTAAAACGCAAAATAAATTCATTTATTATCTTCCCCATCAACGGGGATTCCCGCCTTCGTGTACTGCTGTACTGCATTACACACTCTCCGATCTCCACGACAAAGCGCCTTAACTGCTCCTTACAGAGCCAGCCTGGGGGTTCTCTCCCGGTTGCCTTGCTTAATCCAGAATCACAGCCTATTCGCAGCCCTATGAGCAAACCGGCTCGCAGGGCAGCTCAATGCATGGCACCAGGCCCCTAGTGGAAGGTAGGGCACCCTTGCCTTGGGTTTCAGCCGCGGTTCTGCCTCACGTGAGTTGCGACCCTCCCCGGATAAGCTGTAAGGATGCTGTTCAGATGTAAGAGATGAGGCTAGCGCATTTGGTGCACGAAGCATCGCAGGAGCCCTGCACTTTAACGTCTGGGGCACGGACAGGGGCAACGCTGCCCAGCCCGCCAGGACAGAGGGACTCTTGGCGGTGGCAGTCCCGGTGTCTGAGGGCGGGATGATTCCTCTCATGGATGATATGGACGTTGCAGCTGGGGGAATGTTGACGTGTTGCTCCGGGGCAAACACGATGGCTCGCAGCCAGCTCCCCTGCGCTTTCCTTGTTGCTTTGCATCCTCATACGAAGAGGACGGGATTACCGGTAGTGGCTGAGGTGGCGTGCCTCTGCATACAGCGTTGTAAGCCTCGGAACGGACTCAAAAGTCCAAAACACCGCCTTGTCGCGCACGTGCGCTAACCGTACGAAGTAAACTTTGACTGTCCCGCGACTCGGCTGAAAAGCTTGTACCATCATCTTAGTTCTATGGCAAACGCCTTAACGACTGTATTCTCCAAAGCCAAATAAAATGTCTGTAGCTAACAAGGATCGGTTCAAGAGCTTCTCCGAATTCTATCCCTATTACCTAAACGAGCATCGTCGCCTCGGTACACGTCTTCTGCACGTGCTAGGAACTTCCCTGGTGCTGCTAAACGCCGGTTGGGCTCTCAGCTCTCGGCAGCTTCGGCTGCTGCTGCTGACACCGCTTCTGGGCTATGGCCCCGCCTGGATCTCACATCTGCTGTGCGAGCGCAACCGACCAGCCACCTTCAAGTACCCGCTGTGGTCCCTCCTTGCGGACTTTAGGATGTTTGCAAGCATCCTGACGGGCAGGGAACCGCTGTCAGCACCAGAGCGGCCCTAGGTGAACAGAGCCTGACAACCAACATGCTGCTCGTGCGCACCTGGTGGGGTGGTGGTGGTGGTGGTTGACACGGGTGGTTAGCATGTACGATGCCCAGTGGGATGCGGGATGAATTGGTGTTGGTTGTCGCCAAGTCGCCAAAGTTGCTTCGGCTGTGGATGTCATGGTGGCATGGGTTGGAGGTCGCGGGGAACTTGGAAAGCAGCAAGATGGGGGCCAGCAGACCCATGGGTCACTTGGTCAGCGTGTAAGGGTAGCGCGGTTGCAATGCAGTGCATGACGCCTTCCAGGTTGTTGAGGAAACGGCCATTAAGTTCCCACCTTAATTTCCGGTGTAATAGTCAACAGCTGCTCATTCACCGGCGCCACCCCTGGCAATGTCCAGGAAGACATGGTCTTGTAACCCATAACACGTGCTCGGAATCCTGCTGACTGACCTGTACAAGTTGTGGTTGTACGGCGGGTATCCTCCTCCTGAAACCGTCGTACATGGGTCGTACGGCACGCGGCGTTGGACCAGGTGTACCTGCCTCTACCTTGTCGTACGAAATACCAGCAACGCAGCCGCAGCACCGCCCCAGACGTTTCCATTTGGCATGATTATGTCTTGAACCTACATCTACGCCTACGAAGCTTCAGCTGCCTGCTAGGAGCTGCTTACTTGCATGTCAGCAGTATCCTCAGACCGTTCTCATCCAACTCGCCGGATCTCTCCACCACTGCCTAATACCCGTAGGCTTCTGCTATCACTCACCGATACCTCAATGCTGCTCAATGCTACCCTGCGTCATGATTGCATGAAGAGGTCGCCTTCCATCGACCGAATGCAAGTCATCAATGCGCTTCGAGCTTAGGCCACTTATTCCCGCTGCTGCAGACTCCCACCCCCCTATGCGCTTTTTAACAACCTGCAAGACACGTCTACACTACTCTCCCATGTGGTAAAGGGCATGGAGGTTGACGCCGCTCGTGTGACACCCGCTCCAACCCCCCATTCCCCGCTCCACAGCAGTACACCCCACCCAACCCCCGTCAGTCCTGTGTGCACCCCATGCGTGTTTCGACCCTCCTCACCAGCCCTCGTCCTCCACATCCAAGCACGACACATCATCCTCCCCGCAAACCTCCCCGCCGTTGCACCCTCCCTCTCCCCCTCCCTCCTCCACCACCCCCGCTGCCCCCTCCTCCTCAGCTGGGGCTCCCCCAGGGCTGCTGCTGCTGCTGCCACCTCCACCACCGCCTCCACCACTGCCAGCAGCGCCCCCCTCAGCCGCTGCGGCCTCCATGCGGTTTATGCAGCTCACCAGCCCGCATACAGCGGCGGCCGCCAGAGGGCTGCCGTCCTCGGGGACCTGATGAGGGGCAGCGGTGGCGGCAGCCGGGGGTGAGGGGAGCAGACGGGGGTGACGGGGGAGCAGGTGGGATGCAGCACAACCCGAACTTCTTGCAGCTGCACTTACCGCCATACCGCCGCATGGACAAGTTGCATGGTACAGGACCCGACAGAGCCCCTACCCAGCGTGCACGGCCCATGGCGGTCTACTGGGTGCCCCCGACCCCACAGCACGTGTATGCACTCCCAGCCTCCTCCCAGCCCCCCTGCCCTCACTACTCACCCTCACAGCCTCCTCCCAGCCCCCTCCTGCCCCCATTCCCCACCTCCTGCGGCTCTATCCAGCGCAGCCCCACCACCTTGCCGGGCGGCAGCAGGTCGCGCGTGTCGGAGGCGGTTCCCGTGTTGAGGCTGAACAGCTGCCGCAGCTCCTCCCGAGTGAACTTGCCACCACCGCTCTTGCCGCCGCCGCCCGCCGCCCCCGGCCCGCCTGCCATGGTGGCGCTGGCCAGGTCGGCCTTCATGAGCTGCCGCTGGTACACCTGTAGGGCAGCGGGCGGGAGGCAGGAGGGTGAAGAGGAGGAAAAGGAAGTGAAACGCTGGCTTTCCGCTCCCCGGTCCTCCCCGACTCAGACAGTAAGCGAAAGGGGGCGTGGGAATGACGTTGTACGGTAGTTGTAAGACCGGGCTGGATCCCGCCAAGGGGCGGGTTGCGTCCCAATTGGGTCATCCACACCAGGTTATTTGTGGCCAGGGGCAGGGAGATAGGGAGAGAGGGAAGCGGACAAGCAAGGGGGCGCGGCGAACGGGTGCGGACTCCTGGGCAGGTTGTGGAGCTAGGCATGCTGCCGGCTGCTGCGACCTGCCCCGCACCTTCTCCTCGATGGTCCCAGTGGTTAGCAGGCGGTATACGCAGCAGGGCTTGGTCTGGCCGTCGCTGTGAGCGCACAGGAGGTGGGGGGAGGGGTGGGGGGAGTGAAGGCCCCGGGGGTTGGCGGAGGACACGTTAGTAAGCGTGGTAGCAGACCCGCTCTAGAGTGGGTACCATAAGCCACTTCATGCTTCGAGACGCCGTCTACTAAAACCCCACGAGCAGGACAGGAGGGTTGTGCTACGCCCTGCCGCGCTCCTCCTGTTCAAGCCATGCAGCGCCGGTTGTTCGCACCCCACCCCCCCATTGCCCCATGCGGCACCTCCACCCCAACCAGGCAGACCCCCCCCCCTCACCGCCAAATGCGCGCCATCGCCTGCTGGTCTGCACGGCGGACATGCACCAACAACAGCGGCAGAGGAACGGTAAGTGGCGGTTGTTACCCTTGGAAGGGTTTGACGGCATAAGGACTCGCAATTTGCAGCGCGTTTGTAGAGGGCGTCGGGCTAGGGGCAAAGCCAAGTGCATGCATGAATGCAGTGCCACTACGACCCATGGGTCATGCGCTCATATCCCATGTCATTTAACTACCTTGTTTACATGACTGCTTCCCCCCTCACCATCAAGCAATTTCCGGTAACCTACGGTCAGGGTCAGTGTTTCCGCGGCTCAGTTTATCTAATCCCCCTCACCACCGCACCCCCTTTCTGCTTACCCATCGCGGGGTTCCAGTCGCTGTTTGTCGTGGAGGAGGCGGGAGGTGCATGCAGGGGGGCAGCCAGGGCAAAAGGGTGTGAGGGGTCATGCCAAGGAATATAGGAACAAAGGGACTAGAGGAGCCCTCAAGGGGGCTTTCAGGGAAGGGGTTGTATCATCTGTGCTTGCACAGTTCCCAGCGCCCAGTGACTGACCGTTACAATGGATCTCCCAAAGGAAGAACCACCTGCCGTACCCACTCCCTGCCGTACCTGTCGTACAGTACCAGGTGGTTGGCCCCCACCAGGTTCAGCCCCGCTCCGCCCGCTCGTGTGGACAGCAGGAACACCTGCGCGAGCGGGAATTGGGGGGCGGGGACGGGGAACATCAGGGAGCATAACCTGTGGGATCGACAGACCAAAACCCAGCGCATGAACCTCAGTGCGCTGCATCTTCACCATCACCCTGCCTACTATTACCCGGAAACCTACCCGAGAAACGGTTGTGGGTTAAAACCGTGCCCTTCCCTCCCACCCACCTGCCCCAACCCCAGCTTGTTAAAGTTATCCACCACCGTTTGCCGCCCGTCCACACTCGTTGCACCGTCGATGCGTACGGTGCTCAGCCTTGGGGGGGGGGGTTGGGGCATGCAGGGCGGCAGCGCAACGGTGGAGCGCAGCCCACACCACGGCAACGCAACACTGCACATGCGGGGCGCGCACGTCCCGGCAAGCGAGGCGACACAGGGGACACGTCCCAACCTTTCCGACTCCCTGTTGTCACCTCGTTGACCCCCCTCCCTCCCCCGCCCGCTCCCTCCCGCTCTCACCCCAGCTGCCTGCACACCCGGCTGCCCACCAGGTCCAGCGTGGCGGTGCTGGTGGACACCACCACGCAGCGCTCGCCCCGGGCCGAGATGCAGCGCAGCAGCACCGACAGCACCCGCATCTTGCCTGGACGGGCGGAGGAGGAGGGGAGGGGCGGAGGAGGCGGGCGGGGTGATGCGGACAGGGGCTGGGGACGAAAGGGCACTGGGGTGATGCGAAAGCACTACGTGCACCCTGCTGGTGAAGGGATGGGAAAGGAACATGGTTGGAGGAGCGGGTCACGTGTCACGTTACGCAGGGATGCGCACATAGCCGGTTTCCTGAACACCCGCCACACGCACACCTGCTGCCTCGTGGGATCCCGTGGGAGAGAACTGCTGGTTGAAACTGGGCAGGCAGGAGGAGGTGCTGGAGCGGGGCTGCACGGCAAATCGACAATGGGAGGGGCAGCAAGGTCAAAAGGGGCATGGATAGGCCAACGGGCTCCCAGGATCATAGCTGCTGACCCCACCAAACTTCCAGAGAACCGCAGCAGGGGAGACGAGGGCACCCGAGACACCCCATGTCAGGGGTTCCACAGGCGTGCAGGCAGTACTGGGGTTCCACCAAAGTACGACACCCCGACACGGCCTGGACGGAGCCCCCGATGCGGCATGGCATGGCAGGAGGGATTCCAGAGTATTAACGCCGTTTGCCGTACACCCTGCTTTGCGGCTACAGTAGTAGCAGTCTGCCCACGCACCTGCGCGGGTGCGTCCCCCTGCTCCCCCGCCTCTGCGACATCCCCGGTGGGGTTGAGCAGGAGGTCGGGGTGGTTGGCCACCTGCGGAGGAGGGGAGGGTGGGGGCAGGGGGATGCGGAGCGGTGGGGGAGAGCTGTATCGGGCAGTGCAAGGGTGAGGCAGGGACACAGCACGGGTGCGGAAGGAGCTGACCTGGAAATGACATCTTGAAAGCAGCAGGATTCCATCGAAGACCAAAGAGCATATGCTATATCTAGCCGTGTATGAAACCTCGCCGCACGAACGCAACCCCGTACAACAGCAATCAGTGCAACCGCAACCCTCGTATAACCCTAACCCGTACATCTCTACCCTCGTACGGCAACGGTACGACAACCTGTACGGCACCAACCCCTCGTACCTTCCTCAGCGCCGTGATCACCGCCAGCGTGTTGTCCTCCCCGCCCCCGCCTCCATGCAGCAGGCAGGTGACCGCCTTGGATCGCAGTACGGCGCTGTACAGCCCCACCTGTCGTACACAACATGCAGTCGGCACGATGATGTGGGCATACCATCCTCATTTCATGTCTTTTGCAATGTGCTGTGTTGTGTTAAGAACTGGCCGCGAGTCTGAGCGTACTGTCGGAACGTACGGGTTGTGTGTGGCCGTACACGGGCTGTACTGCTTTACGTGCCGTACTGCCGTACTGCTGGACCCACCTGCTGCTCGGTGGGCTTGCAGAAGAGCGTGAGGGAGGTGAGCTGCGGGAGGTGCTTGGCCAGTAGGGCCTGCGTGCGGCGCAGGATGAAGGCCGATACCTTGGCTTGCAGGTCGCTGCATGGGGGGAAGGAGAGGGAGGAGGAGGTGGAGGGAGGGGCCACAGGTCAGATAGGGTTGTCAGCAAGGTAGGGCGGGTGGGGACACGGTGCGGCCGAGAGAAGGACGGTCCCCGAGGTAATGTTCAACCGAGGTAATGTTCAACCAGCAAGCGCGCTTGTGCATAACGTCTGCCCGTGTATATTTCTGCCCACATGACCCCTCCCCATGCAACCTAAGCTCGTCCCACAACCAACCAACCGGCGCTGTTCCCTTCCCCCCTCCCCCAACCTGGCCCTGGATGCCCCCAGCTCCTTCTCCTCCTCCGTGGCAGTCCCCTCCTGCGAGCGGGTGATGGGCAGCCCGTACACCCGGTTGAACACGGCGGGCGACCCCAGCACGTCCGGGACCACGAAGGACAGCAGCGCTGCAGGGTGAGGGGTGTGGGTGGGGGAGGAGGATGATAAGGTTGAGAAGGAAAGGAGAAAGGTAAGGAGGAGAAAGGTAAGCAGCCGGTGTAACGGAGGGTACGTGATGAAAGACACGAATCTGGGTTGGTTGTAAAGATGGCTACATATGAGCTGTGCACGACCGTAGGTTGCGGTGGAGAGGCTCAGATATGTTTTGTGCGGAGGTACAAGGTGGGGCCAACCCATGGGTCAACAGGGGCCAGCAGGTTTGCAAACAGCAGGGGACCCGACATGTGAAAAAGGTTGCGTTGCAGGGCAGTTGCATTGCGCAAACGCGCGCGCGTGTGTGTTTGTGTAGTTGAGTAAAACAAGAGCAAGCAGTTGGGATAGGTTCGCATGTGAACCGCGAGTACAGGCAAAACAGAGGGACGTGTGTGTTTGTGTGTGTAATGCCGACATACACGCACCGTAAAACTCTTGCAGGTCGTTCTGGACTGGCGTGCCTGTGTGTTGGGGGCAGAGGGTTCAGCACAGGAGATAGCATGTTGTTGGCGGGCAGAGGCGGCCTGGGGCACAACCGATACCGGTAGGTGTGCCCGATCAGCACAGTGCCCGAATCCCTGGCACCATGTGCACCTGCGCCTTCCTAACATGAACTGGTTGCATCTCCAAGCGGCACAACGCAACGCCTTCGCCAAGCAAGCGCGTGTACGCAGCAGCAGCACTACCGCCAAGAAAGCTGCAGCAGCACTACCGCCAAGCAAAAGTGTGTAACGCAGCACAGCAGAGCAAGGAGCAGCAGCGGTGGGGAATCAAGCTGACTGACCCCCTGACCACGGGACCCACCCGTGAGCAGGATGCGGCGGCTGCAGCCCAGGCTCAGCAGCGCATCGATCGTCTTGTTGCCACCCACCGACTTGAGCCTGCATGCATGCGTGGGTGTGAGGGAGGGTAAAGAAGGAGATGGGGGGAGCTACAGCTGCAGAGCTGCACGTATGTATGTATGGTGGGGAGGAAACAGGCGCCCCGAGCACACGCCACCGCCGCCGTCTGCTACCGGTAGCCACACCCCCACACACATCTCCACACGGCCATTACCTCCACCCGCATGCCCGCCCGCCCTGCAGCAGCCCACCTCCCTCACCTGTGTCCCTCGTCGCACACCAGCAGATCAAACACGCCCGTCAGCTCCTTGGCATGCTTGCGCAGCGTCTCGTAGCTGCATGCATGCATGCATGGTGGGAAGGCAGGCAGGGGCGGGGCAGGAGCGGGGAACGCGAACGGGAATGGGGAGGAGGTGTCGGGGTGTGCGGAAAGGACGAAGGAGAATGCCACCTGTTCAAAGCAGAACCTGCAGCGGCTGGCGCAAACTCCCTTTGCAGGCGGCTGGCGCAAACTCCCTCCCCTCCGTCCCACCTGGTGATCATCATGCGCTGGTGGCAGCCGTGCCTGAACTCCATGATGGTCTGCTTGGCGGCGGAGGACTGCTGCAGACACAGCGCCTGCAGCAGCACCGCGAGAGGGAGGGGGTAAGGTTTGCAGTCGTGATGGGGAAACTCTAACAAACCCATGTGACCCAAGGCTTCCACATGGGAGACAGGGATGGTGGGAGGGAGGCGCAGTAGGGTTCACAGCCGTGGTACAGCCGGTAGAGCTCGCAGAGGTCACGTCAATCCAGCGCAGCCCGCCTGCCCGGTGTACGGCCCACCTGCAGTCGCTCCGACCCCAGCCATTTCTTGACTTCGCGGCCCCAGTTATCCACCAGGGTAGCCGGCGTCACCACCAGCACCTTGCTCGCGACAGGCCGACCCTGGGCAGAGCATGAGGGTAGCAGCAGCGGCAACAATAACACACAGTCACATAGGATAACAGCAGGAGTCGTTACGGTGGTTGTGAGGGTGGTATGGCGTACTTTGGACGATAGCAAGAAGAACAGCAATAGTCAGCGCTGGGAGTCCTACAGCTCATGCGCCTGTCCCGTGTACCGCTATACCGCACGTATGCGATTTGGGTCAGGTCAGCCTTGTTGCAGAAGGTCCCCCGCGCGTATTTTGCCATGCAGGGTGCGCAAGAGGGGCAAGCAGGCAAGCAAGCAGCAAGGCTGCCGCAACCCACCTCCGGACCCTGTCGCAGCAGCGTCCAGGCGAGTGTGATGACCTGGAGCGTCTTGCCTGCGGGGACGAGTGGTGGAGCATGCAAGTTTGGGGCTGGGGGGCGCCGCATAAGGTTTCGGCATGCAGACGATGCAGTGCCGTACCGGTAGCAGCACCCACAGCACCGACCACCTGGGCCTGGCTCAGCATTGAGGTTTCCGTTGAGCGCCCTGTTCGAGCTTATCGTCTTATCACATGTCCACATACCATCTACTAATCTACCGGAATCTCGCCCCCACTCCTTTCGTCCCGACCTATTGCTAGACTTCAGCTATCTCCATCCCCTCCTCCTCCTCCTCTCCACCCGAACCATCTCCCCATGCCCCACCCCCGCACCCCGCCCGCTCACCCAGCCCCATTTCGTCCGCCAGGATGCACCCCGCCCTGTCCGGAGTGCGCAGCCCCATCACAGCCTCGTACATGAACCGCACACCCTCCTCCTGGTGCGGGCGCAGGTGACGGCCCAGGTAGCTGCGGGCGGTGGAGGGAGGGGTGTGTTGCGGGGCGGGGTGGGGCGGGGACGGGCAGATGTGGGAGTGAGGGATGGAGAGGACGGCATGCGGCCGGTAGATGGCCTCAGACTGACCATGGGTCGGGTGTTGTGAGCAGGAGTGAGGGATGCGCACGTTTCTTTGTAAGGAAAGGCAGAAGGAGAGTGGGAGACACGCAGGGGAGCTAGTAGGACGGGGAAACGCAGATGTGGCTACTACACAAACATGTCAGTAAGGCTCCAAGGGTGTACTCGCGGATACTCACGGATCGATAACCACGGGCACAGCCAGCTTGCCGCTGCGCAGTTTCCCACGCCCCTCTTTCCACTGGCTCGCATTCAGCACCACTGCGCCCGGCATGTGCGGGTCATGCAGGCCGGTGGGTGCGGGTGCCGCGGCGGCGCCAGCTGCGGCTTCGGAGCGGCCCCCCTTGGATGCGGCTGCGCCCGCGGCGCCGCCTGCGGGCGCGTGTGCCTTGAAGGGCTTGGATGCGGGCTTGCGCAGCCCGGGGGCGGGGTCGGACGTGCCGCATGTGGCTGCGGCTGCTGCAGCTGCGGTGCCGGCCGTGCCGGCGTTGTGCATGAAGCAGGCGCCGCTCCTGGGGCGGGAGGTGGGGAGGTGGGGGATGAGCAACGGATGGGAGGTGCCGGAAGTAACGCCTCATCTCTGCTCCGCGATCCCACCCAACGCCTGTCGCGGCTCAGCTTGTCTGGTCCCCCCCTGCCGACCCACTTGAAGTCCTCGGTGCCCAGCTCCCGGTCCACCTCCGCGTGCCAGTTGCCGACCTCAAACACGATGTCGCAGTTGGCAGCGGAGCCGAAGCGCTTGAAGCGGCCCTTCGTCACCACCTTGCTGTCCTGCGGGGTGATTAGATGAATTGAGCCGCGGAAACATTGAATCGGGGTGAGGGTCGTGCCAAGACAATGGTAACTCAGGACGGGCCCTTTTCAGCTCATGGCTCCAGGCCCCAAGGCCCCAGGGAGGTGTTATTGAATTGGGTCGGGCGGTTTGGCAAGCCCATCAGCCCTAACAGGTGCTGCGGACCCTCACCTGATCGTACAGCATGGCGGTCCCATCCTCAAAGGTGGTCAGCACGCCGTCAGCGAACTTCTTGCTCGCCTTTTTCTGTCGCGGCAGGGCAGCACCACAGACGGAGACAAGCTATGTGGGCCATATGCGCTAGCTATTAATTACTGACACCCACTACGTCTCAGACAAAATTGACCCACCTTGGCCAGCAGCTCTTTCTTTGTGTACAGAACAGTGAACACTTCGGTCATCGTGGGACCTCCTTGCGCAGCTCCACCACCGCTTGCTGCGCTCGGACCGGTTTGGGAGCCATCGACGCGCGGGACTTTGTTGGTTGCTGGCTTGACCGGCCGTGTTGCAAACAGCGGCCTCTTGGCTGGCAAGGCCGGCGCATCGCCTCCGTAAGCTCCATGGCTGTTGCTTATGGTTGTGAGCGGAGCACGGTCAGCCAGCTGCAAGTCGACACCCCCTTCTGACTGATGTTCTGTATGCAAATCTTTGATTTGCTCGCTAGGCTCTGATCTCCCTGCTGGTAACTGCTCGTCTACAACCGGCGCAGGCACCGCTTTTACTGGTGCAACACCAGGTGCAGAGCTTCCCAACTTGCGTGGTGCTATAAAAGGCTGGCGGCCCTTCATGGTAGGCGGGAAAAGCAGGCCGACCACGCGGCTGTCGAACAAAACCACGATAACGCAATAGCTGGGTAGATCCTTCACGTTAGGTTACATAATGTAGTAATCACGTTCGAGTAAAGTAGGCTTGCAAGTTATAGCATAACCCTGATGGAAATGCAGGCTCCATCTGGCGTTCCAACGAATTTAAAAGGCTCCGAAACCAGACCGTGGATAGGAAAGCCTTTACTTGGTCTAGCTGCATACGACATAAGGTATATGTATATTGAATGCATGCGTGCTACGACTAGCGACCGGAACGAGTGCATCGAAACCCTTCTGCATGGAGTTGCACCGATTGCTCGTTTCAAGGGCTTGGGCACATCCAAGCTTATAAACTGAACGCAATGCACTTGTCAATTTGGACGTCCTTTGCGTTCTATGCTCTAGCGACCCTCCTGCAATGCTGCCAACGAGCTGCTAGCGGAAGCGACATCCCACCACCGTATCGTGTTCACGCGTTCTACTATCTATGGTGCGGGCCATGCTTAATCATATGTTGGTACACCGCGAGACCCTTTACGCCCGCGGGGGCCATCGAGGCAACCGCTATAGGCGGTTGCGCGGCCTTTGGTCATCCCTGGTGTTAGGGAGGGGGATTTCCGGCTCGCCTAGATAGGAGGTGCGCCTGGCTTAAAGGGAAGACGGAGGGCCGGCAGGCGACTTGTCTTCTCCAAAGCAATCCCCACGCAACCCGCTGTGTCTACCGGACACTCAGCCATGGCCCCATTGCTATGGACCATCCTGGCTTCAACCGCAAGCTTGAGGAAAGTTTACCAGTAACGACAACATTAGGAAGTCACCGTATAATGGTTTCCTAGCAGCGACCGGCTCCCAACCCTCCCATGTCCCCATCTCTTTCTCCTATGTCCCATGTTCCTTGTCTACGGTAGGTATGGCGAGCCCAGCACGGGCACCTGGGCTCACTGGGATCATGAGGTGCTGTCCCATTGGGACCCCAATGTGGCTGCGCAGTACCCCCAAGGTATGGATGCGGAGGGCTCGGCGGCTGCCGGTATGTCCCGGGTATGCAAGCATGCTGACCCGAACACTGGCGCCGCCGCATGGCCGCATGTGGGTTTATTTCTTCGCACATCCACGCGGCCAGGAGCGCGTGGGCTACGCTCTTTCTGGGTATTTTACCATAAGCACTTAACCGCTCGGCACCTTGGGAGCCGCTAGCTGCCCTGCCTTGACCCTGTCGCGCGAACAGTCCTGGGCAATCCTGCACCTGCAAACCCTAAACCTAAGAGACCAATTGCTGCCCTAAATGACCGCGTTTCCCACACTCCCGCTACCCCTAAGTGCTGCTGCCCACGCAACACTTCGCTCCGCTGCCTGCCGAACGCAGGCATGCGCTTCGAGCCTCCTGACTGCCTGCACAGCCCCTTCTACCCGCTGCGGGGGCCCTACTCCTCCGCCAGCACCGACCTCATCCGGCAGCACCTGCGGGAGATGGAGGCGTACGGCATAGGCGTGCTGGTGAGTAAGATCTGCCGTACAGAACATCGCTCATGGGCAACATTATGGATGCACGTGCGCAGGGCAGCTGAGGGCGCGGCGGGAAGCACTTCGCTTACGCGCGCGCTCACCATACGGTACCTCCTACGACAGCCACTCCTTGTGCCTTACTTGGTGCGCCATGCAAAGCATGAGTTGCACGAGCCGCGGTACGACCACGGTGCTTACAGCGGCAGGGCCCCGTGTGTCAGCCCCTGTTCCCCGCTGTGTTCCCGCCCCCGCAGGTTGCGTCCTGGTGGGGCCCTTCCTGGCGGCAGGGCAGCCATGACACGCAGCGGATCAACACCGATGATCGCATAGCAAAGGTACGACACCCTCCTTACTCCGGGCAGCCCTGCTTCTGTGTGTCTTGCCGTGTTGCTCATATGTGCCTTCTGCCATGGGCAAGGAGCTAAGGCGGCAGCAACAGCAGCAACCGTGAAGTGGCCGTTGGCTGGCCTGGTTGTCTGCCGTGTAGGTGATCCGGGAGATTGAGGTTACAGGCAGCCCAGTTCGTGTTGCCTTCCATTTAGAGCCGTACGAAGGTGGGTCCCAGCAGGTTCCAGCACGGTGTACGGCTGGGATGTGCTTGTACGGCAAAAGTGCCAGTCCTTGCCGTGGTTTAACGACTGGTTGTGTACCGCGTTCCTATGCCGTGTCCTAAAGCAAAGCATGCATGCACATGTAATTGGACAACACAACACATCTCCTAGGTGGCATCTTGGCGCAGGCGGGTGTGCAAAATGCAGCACGTCATGCGTGTTGTCTATCTGTGTTCTCCAACCGACCGACGATACTATAGCACCTATAGCGCCTCCGTTCTGCATTTTGGACCACGTGTCCAAGTAAACCAACTGAGCTGTGTGACACTGTGCGCAGGCCGAACAAAGGAAACGGTGCATGCCGACCTGTCGTACCTCTCGTCTAGGTACGGACAGTCGTCTGCCGTGCTACGCATAAACGGTACGTGAGGCCAGGCACCTGTATACGTTGATGGAATGTTGCCGCGTTATTCATGAACAGACGAGCACGCGCATGTCGAGTGCCCAACCGTGGGTGATGGCGATGTTGGTCATAAGTTGAATGTTTTGGGTTTGCTACTTTGACCTGGCCTGCTCTGCGCATACGTTCCCGCGCAATGAGCACGGCAGCATATCAGCAATCCCTAACCTTGGCATTGTATCAATAAGGGGGGGTTGGACTCGCATGCGACGCGCGCGACTTTCTACCCGTACACGGTGGTGCTTGCGCCCGTAGGTCGGCCGGCGTACTATGTGTACGACTCGTACCGGTTACCAGCAAGCGACTGGGCGCAGCTGCTGCTGCCCGGGGCTGGGCCGTTGAGTGTAAGGGGTACGCCAGCCGATGGTAGGTGCATGCTGGGTGCTCATTTTGGTTAAAACGGTGTGGTTATGTTTGCATGATGAGCTGCATACCTGGCTGACCCAGAGGCCTTTCATTGTTGTACGAATGTAATGTACCAGATCAGCAAGGGTTCCAGGCTCCCTGGAGAATCCGTTGGCTGTTTAAGCGACCCGGGGGTCACCGGGCCTTTCCTAACAGATCACCTCGACATGTTCTGTGCGTTGGCTTTCAGGTTTCTTCCTCGGCCTTTGGTTGAATAAGAACGATGGAGACGATAACATTCTACCGGGCGGTAAGCGGCCGCTCTCCAGGGCATGTGTCCCGTGCATTTGCTCGTGTGTTTGCTGTGCTCGCCGGCCGAAAGAGAGGCCGAGGCTTACAAGCTGTGCGCCACGCTAGACCCCATGCCTGGCTGACAACAGCTTCCCTTGCTGCATGCCTTGTTGTCAACAGGTTTCGAGGGATTCTACACCTATTTCAGCAGGTCTGTGGGGTTCTGTAGCCAGCTTGCGGATTGGGCAAACTGACTGGGCCTCCCTCTTCTACCGGCTTACACCGATTCAGTAATACCATGAATCAGCCTATTGCCTACCAAAGTAATAATGCTTAGCACGATTGTTTCCTCTTCGTTGAGTATTCCCTATCCTTCCTGGTGTTCCCGCATCCCGCCCAGTGAGCAAGTGTCGTACGGGAGCAACCCCCAGCACTGGCCCGCAATGCAAATGTAAGCTGGGGGTGTGACCCGTACAAAACACCGCCCCGGCCCCTTTGTCCTTGCCAAAATGGCCGACCGGCTTGCTGCCGCCTGCTAGCCTGGCTAGCCCTGCCCCCTCGGTATCTACGTGTACAGCGGTAGCATGGGCGGCTGGGTGGGTGGGTAGGACTGCAACTAGGACCCACAACACGCCCCTTGTAAGCTTGGAAACCTGGACCCGACCCGCCGCCGCTACTGCGATGCAGGTGGGCGACGCGGCACGGTCGCATCTTCGTCCCCAGCATTGGCCCCGGATACAATGGTAGGTGCCTGGCGCCGGCTGGGACCTCCTCGCTGACCCTGCCCATAACGCGTCTTCTCCATTACACTTCATTTGGTTCGCGGCCCTGTTCACATTGTGGTTGCAACGAAATGCCGCGCTAACAGATGGCAAGATTCGGCCGTGGAACCTGCAGGCGACAAGAACACGGGATGACGGTGACAGGCAAGTGCAAAGTGCGCGCCACCCGCTGCAGGCTGCTACATGCGCCTTGCCCCCCGGTGTCCCCGCAGCTCGCCTGACTATCGCGCCCTTGTTTCAAGAGCCCCGCCAAGCTACACATGAGTACTTCCCGCATAGCCCGCAGCCATTCCCCATGCACGCCGCCGCAGCGACACACAACCTCCGCCCGCACCTCCTCACCCTTCACTCCCTCACCTCCTTGCACTTACCCACCACTTCCCATGCGCCAGTCCCCTTCCCCCTTCCTAACACACGCTACCCGGCCCAACCCGGCGCCCGCAGGTACCGTCGGCTGTGGGATATCGCCATCGCGCTGGGGGTCCCCTTCGTCTCCATCACCAGCTACAACGAGTGGGGCGAGGGCACGCAGATCGAGCCCGCCGTACCGCGCCTGCCGCGTCAGGAGTGCGCCTACCTGGACTATGAGCCACAGGGCGCCTACCTGTACTTAGAGATCACACGGAATGGGACGCAGCGGTTGGCAGAGAGGTTGGCACCGGGCAGCGGCGAAGGCGAAGGCACGGAGGGCGGCGGGGTGGCTGAGGAGATGCAGGTGGAAGGAAATGGAGGTGGTGGTGGTAATGATGGCGGTGGTGGTGATACCGGGCGTGGTGAGGCCGAGGGCAGTGAGGGTGGTGCTGCTGCTGCGATGTGTGACAGCACTGAGGGTTCAGGAAGGGAAGGCGGCAAGGGTGAGGGCAAAGAGAGGCCGGGGTCTTCGTAGTTGAAATGCTTGAGGAGTGCTTGTGAGGAGAGCCAGAGCCGTGAGCGCGAAGGTGGGTTTGTCGAGATGGGCGGCTACCGGTGCAGCGCTCATCACGACACACGCATGAGGGAATGCGATGAGGGCAGCGCATGAACAGCAGCGAGACCCGTGTCACTACCGTAGCGGGTGAAATAGGGGACAGGAACACTGCCGGCTCTTCCCCCAATACACACATGCAACCAGAGCGGGGGCTCCCGGCGTCGAGTTGGTCAGCGGGCTTTAGTTCTCGGTAGTATTTTAGTTTTCCGACAACCATCAGCATCCCCGACATGCGTCGTCACTCGTCACCCGCCACTCTTCTTACATCCAGCAACAGCTAATTAAGCAGCTTTTGAATTACGGTTCAGGTTTGGTCACCTCTGTTTTTGCCTGTACTCGCGGTTCACATGCGAACCTCTCCCAATTGCTTGCTCTTGTCCTACTCAACTACACACATGCAACGCGGTGCAGGTGGTGTTTAGTTGTGATGTCTGCAGCAGCTGCACGGTGCTGTTGTGGAGGGGGCAGTGCAACCTGGGAGCTGTCGGGGAGGGGGGCGGTGCTGGCGCACGGCACTGCTTCTAGCTAACCATGGACAAGCAGTTCCTTGTGAGCTGTGCAGGTGCCGCTCGAATCCAGGTTGCCAGGTTGCATGCGCTGGCAGGATTGCTGGTTTCTTTAGGAACTGTAATGGGTGTGGTTTACCCCTGCCCAGGCGCGTATGCAGGTTTGGTGGAGGGAGGAAAGGGGTTTGTGAGGCGAAAGTGGGCTACAATTTGGTTGGCTTTATTGTGGTGGTACGGCAGCATGTGGGTTTCATGGCACGTCTACGCGTGTACGCACGAGAGGGGGCCATGCGGCAGGCAGTTGCTTCTTTACAGTGAAGGCTTTCGTGCAGGTGGCAACGCACCTGGAACTGGTTCAAAACACGAAGAGCACATGGCTAAAATCCCTCCTTCGAACATCCTACCCGTGCATGCGCAGTTATGAATCCCAGCTGCCCTATCCACCCAATGGCCCCTATGCTACATGACGAGTTGACGGCGCCTACTTTCTCGGCTGAATCCCACCACGCCAACAGTGACGGGTACAGGCTGTAGGACGCCGGAGCATGGTAGGGTGGCGGAGCGCAGTCCTTCGCGTACGGAGTATTGTTACATGACTATTCCACTCGCCACGCAGTGCATGTACGGCGGCAGGGCAGGATCCTGGACGATCGCGCTGTATCGTACGTACATCTGGGTCTCACTTCCTTATAGCGTCTTTGAGACCATGAAGGATTACGGGTTGTTAATTGGCAACGCTGTAACTAGCTTGTACGGCGGATGATGTAACGACTGTCGCTCTTATTACGCATTGTGAAGGCTGTACTCCACAGTTTAATAACCGACGTTTGTACTCTAGTGCCTACGGGCAACACTTTTGTAAGCAAGATAGACAGCCCAGCCCGGCTCTCTGCGCTGCAAATTGCGAGAAACGTTTACCTCTAGCCCTAGTCATATATAAGTGTAGGGGTACCAAACAGATGGCTATGATGCAAGACGAACGACCAGCAAAGCGTGCGAGGTCCCTCGAGGCTATCGACATGGTCATGACACAGCTAGCAGATAGCGAGGAGGCTCGATCTCTTCTATCCCTTCCTGACGGTGTCCTACACCATATTATGGGAAAGCTACCGGCAAGCTCGCTACTGGCGTTGGGCTCGGTCTGCCGGTATTTTCGCAACCGTGACCCGACCAGCGGGCTTTTGCTAACGCACCGGTTCGCAAAAGACAATCTGACGCGGATGGTAGGCAGGGAGCAAGCGGAGCGCTGGAGGTATGTGGCATGGCGCCCCGTTTTATTACGGTCTGACTGTTGCCAGTCGCTCTGTGTTGTTAAGTAACAGCAATCAGCATACTGCTATAAATATCGATGCCGTTTTCTACATAAAGCATAAAGCAAGCGCTTAGCGCGGGAACCGGGAAGTTAGACGGGTCTATCGCATGTCACGCTTCACGTTGGTCACCTTCCCTCTTTCATGGCCTACGCAGGAACTATAACTGGATACGACGCCTCGAAATTGAGGAAACATTAACTGAGTTTGATAGAGATCGGAGCGCTCAGCAGCAGTTCACGTTTAAGGAGGCCGGAAGTGGAGTCGTTACTGAGGTCAGCTTGAATGAGCCAGGGCCCCGAATGCTCCTCAGCAACACGTCCACTGCCGAGTCGCCCATTTTGCGCTGGAAGCTTCAACTGCGAGGGAATAATGCTGCTGAGGTGGGCCAGGGCTGCCGCAGGCCGGCACAGTGCACTGGGCAGACCGGATAAACAATTTGTAACGCTTGGGGTGATGGGCTCTGACCCCTCTTGCCGCCTCCATCACCGCTGTCCGTCCTTCCCCTGCTGCCCCCATGTTCCTGCAGTTCGGCGTGTTGCCAGCGGACATGCAGGTGAGCGCTGAGCGCCCCGTGAAAACAGTCCTCATTATATTCACACGCCACGTACCCTAGCAGTTCTGCGTGCCGTGCTGACCCTGCATGTTTGCTTTGCGGCAGCCAACGTCTTACACCCTACAGGTTATTGCGGCTTACCCTGCTTCCGCACCCTAACCCAATCTCCAGGACACCTCCAAGGCGTTACACAAGTGCCTGCCTAACCCAGCGGGGGAGCGCGCCACGGGCTTCAGCTCAGCCATCACCGTGGGCAGTTTGCTGCCTGCGCGGCTGCCTGTCATGCGGGGCACGGTGGTGGAGATCTTGGTAACGCCGCGTGAGGTCTCCTTCATAGTGCTCAATCCGGAGGACGGCAAGGAGATGATCTGGCAGAACAACTCCACCGTGCCTCGGAAATACACGTAAGATGCGGTTGCTGCCCTGCGGTTTTGCGTGCGCGGGTGGCTATACGGTAGCACGGTCGCGTGCGTGTGTATGACGTGTGTGTCGTGTCGGATGGACTGTTCATGCCAACTGGGGCGCCATGCCGGGGCCTGAAAATTGGAATTGACTTAAACGACTATGGGATGCCTTCCAACCTGCGTGAAAAGGCATTCGCTTGCACCTTTGGGGTCTGAAGCACGGGTCGGTTATGTTGCATTCATTCATGCAGGGGACCCCGAGAACTGCGGCTGCAGCTCCCGTGCAACTACACTGGGCCCGTCAAGCTGGCGGTCACTGCCTGGCAGCGCGCTGCCTTTGGCGTGCTGCACAGCTCACCAGCGGAGGAGCCACGCCAGCAGGACCAGCGGCCCGGGGAAGGGGCAAGGCAGGAGGACGCGGCGGCCGGTCAGGGGCAGCCCCGCTAGTGGGTAGATGCCGGTAGCGCGGCTGGTCTGTGTACAGCACCTGTAGAGTATTACCATGTTGAAGTACTGGATTTCGTCAGAATTCATGGGAGGAATGCGGGGTGGCTAAACTGTGTCGCACAAAAGGCGTCAAGACCTGGTGAGACGGAATGCAGTGATTGATGGAATGCAGAGATGGGTGGAAAGAGAAAATTAACTATGGGCAGCAGGGTGGCAGAGATGGGTAAAGTGGAAGAAAGTAACGAACCGGGTGGCCTAAGTAGCCGTGTGCCATGTGCAGCACGTAAGGGCAAAGCAGGTTTTTGTTGCGTTCTGATGCCCGAATGGCATACCGTCTTGTTTGTTGCATTTTTGCATTTGGGTCTTTTTGCATGGTCTTGCATGTTGGAGGACAGCCACAACTGAGGTGTCCTGATGGTGCTGGTAAGCTAGGGGGTGGCGGTGTCTGATTGAACCAAGCTGAAGTACTGAGGGATGGTTCCCTGCTGCCGTGCACACCTCGCCACACGTTGGCCTTGGATTTGCGTGCTGTTCTTTGTAGTTTGTACGGTTTATCTTCGTTTGGGAGGTGAGCGCGCTTGTCCTTTTGTAAGAGAGAGGTAAACATGGTTATCATTGCGAACTGCTATGATGGTGGAGGCTGTTTGATAGGGGGCTCACCGAAAGGGGCCCATGGTATGGTCGCGGTGACAAAATGGTGATTGTGGCAGAAACGTAGCCAGTTGGGGGGATGATCCAAGTGATGCTAATGTGCTATGTACAGCCGGTCATCCATCCATTGTACACTACGTACATGTATCTTGGTGGTGGGGATTACTGCTGTCAACAAGCTGTGCTGGTGCCCATGGGCCTCTTACTGGGCCTGTACGAAGCAGGATCCTGCTGAAACCTTGGGTGAGGTGCGTGTAAGCATCCTGGGTCTGAGCTCTAGCACGTTGCGCATATTGGCTTACAACTGCACACCAGCAGGGCTCACAGCCTACCGTAACTTACAAGTTACAGCTCCCAACCCCTTTTCTGCGGGAACACCTCTCACCACACTTATGAAACTAGGCTAGGATTGACGACATGTTCCAATGTCTTGGATATGTGTTCAACGCGCTCATAACTGTCACCTCAGCAACCTCCCTGCTTGATGCCCATCGGATGGGCTTTCTAATACAACCTTCGCCACCTTTATCCCCAACGACATAACACCAGGTCCGTAACACCGTGCACTATTTAGAAGCCCGAGCCAGAATCGGCCTTATGTGCCGCCCGCTGCAGAATGTATTGTGTCGTCTCAACGAAGCGCTTCGCGCAGTTCTCCAAGCACGACTGCTCCTTGCTCGACAGATAGCTCCCAGGAGCTTGGACGCAGGTGTCCCAGCAAACCTGCGGCAGAGACGATGACTCAGATTGCACCGCCACCGCCGCAACCGACCAAGCCTTATGGAGTCATGCGCACCTCGGTGAGCGTAGCAATCATGCTTTGAATCTGAGCCACTTGAGACTCCCGGGCAATGAACTGCTGGAGCTCGGGCGAGACCTGTTGCCCATCGGGAGACGCCATTTCTCTGGTTGTGGGTCGCACGCTTCAAGCAACTAGCTGTGTCGTAGGTTAAATGTATGTAAAATGGCCCTGAAACTTGTGCCAAACTTATTTACAGTCTTAGCAAGGTAAGAGGCTTGCGGCGTTGTCGTTGACTCCGCCCTTAAATGTTCTGATAATACAGCAATACAGTAACGGCTATGTAGTATTATTCCACAAAAGGCATGTTATTTCCCTATTAGCTGTATCCGTGCAATCCTTCCGTGCAAGTTGACAACCTTGCATCATTGGCTCCATCCGCCCCACGGCAAAAACCAGCTATCAAAATCAGAGCCGGGCTCGGGAAGAAAAAGTGGAGAAGGATCCACTACCAACAAAATCCCTCCAGCCATCACTTATGTGCAAGCGTTTCTGATCACGCCTTCGGCCCGTTCTTCAGGTTCTGCGCGCCGTCCACAATCTTGATGTACTCAATCTTGTCGCCAACCTGCAAGGGGCAAGTCACGGCAAGGCTATTAGCATTCAACCACCACGAGAGACCCCCATGCGCTGGCCCACGGGTCTCACATTCCGCCCGAAACCCACACGCCAGCTTGATATCCCCGCATACCAACGGCGGCAGCAAAGCGCGTGCCTAGAAACCTACACAGTCCTTACCTCCTCCCTACCCCCACTGCAGCTAGCTGCAGCCCTTCCTTAACACTACCCAACACACCACCAGACACATAACCCCGCAGCCCTGTCCTTCAAGCTAATCACCACACCCACCCTACCATGCACGCTCGACGCATGCTCCCTCCTCCCAACCCAACCCGCCAAACCAACTGTAATCCCCCAACTCTTCCTCCACGCGCCCCGCTTCCTACCTTGAAATCCGCCAGTGCGTCCTGCCCCTCCGTGATGTACCCAAACACCGCGAAGCGCCCGTCCAGCAGGTTGGACCCCGTGGGCGTCAGCTCGCTCTCCTTGAGCAGGAAGAACACCTGGCTGGAGGCGGAGTTGTTCTCAAACTCGTTGCGAGCCCAGGCAAGCGTGCCGTACGCGTTGAACGGCAGCACGGGCTGCTCGTTGACGCGGCCCAGGTCCTCCAGCGTGAAGTCGTAGATGGGCTCCTTCTCACCCACCACCCGCACCTCGAAGGGGACTCTGGAAAGGGGTCAAAGACCATACCGAACCATAGGAGACCACAGGTTAAGGGGGGGGCAGGGGCGGGTGGAGAGGAGGAGGGCGGCGGATGGAGTTGGGAGGTGTGCAACGCCTCTCCTCCCTACCTCCCTACCAGCAACGCGAACGGGGTACCGGTTCTTCAACGACATGCCACCACCGCTCGCCATCCTTCAACACACTCCCACGCACCAAGATTCTCCGGTTTCCCCGCTGTGCGACATGCCCCTCCTTTCAACCTTTTCACGCCACCTCGTCCGCCCATCCACGCCACCCCACCCACGTCCCCACCCCACCTGCGGATCTCCCCAGTCGCGGGGTCCACGAACCCCTCCGCCGGCCCCTCGGGGTCGCCCGTCTGCACCACGAATCCGTCCGCCCTCTGCACCTCCATGCCGTCGTAGAACCCGCGCGCCACCAGGTCCGCGAACTGCCCCGCCGACACGGGCGCGTTGTAGCCGTCCAGCACGATGGTCTGCAGCACCTGCCGGGGGCCCTCGGGCGTCTCGGCGCAGTCGACCTTCATCTGCAGCGTGGCGCGACCCTGGGGGGGGGGCAGGGGACGGAGCAGGGAAGGGAGGCAGTAGGGAGGAGATGGGGCGAGCGGGTGGGTTACTAGAGATGGGGTTACCGGTACTCGCAACGGGCTGTACGGGCTGTAGGAATTGAGAGGCGCTCACGACCCGCCTCCTGCCTTGCCCCCATTCAGCACCTCCCCACCACCACCACCCTGGGGCCGCTCACCAGCAGCAGCGGGCGGTCCGCGTACTCGGGCGGCACCTGGAAGGGGAAGCCCTTCACCATCGCCTCCTCGATGTCGCCCACGTAGCTCAGCACCTGCAGGGAGGGAGGCAGGAAACAAGCAGTGGTGGTGTGAACTGTGAGGCGGGCATCAGGTGGGGCAACGAGGATGCAACGTCGTCATCATCCTTCACGTCGTCCCCCACATACATCGCTCCTACCCCTTAACTACTCCCTAAACGAGCCGCGAACCGTCAGCAGGTTCGCGAAATGGCAACGCATGTTAGAACCCTCGATCCCGAGCTACCCTGTCACCTGTTACGTCCACGCTACGCGGTCAGTGCGCCCACAGCGGTGTTTGCCTGCGTCCCGCCCGCAACTCCCACGCGTCCCGCGTGGGAGGTGCAGGCCGCGTACGTTCCGACTCCCGGCCTGTTTTTTATCCCACACGCCCCGTGCCTCCCCACGCACCCCCCCCTCCTGTCCGCACCTGCCGCTGCTTGTCCGGCACCGCCTGCTTGTCCTTGGCCTCCACAATGGCCTGGAACTCGTTGAGCCCCGCCTGCAGCCGCTCAATGCTGGCCAGACCGGCAGCCTGGGGGGAAAACATTATTGGGGGGGAGAAGAACATCCAATGGGTTGTGTGACAGTGGGGGGGAGGGAGGGCGAGGAAAAGGAAATGAGGAGTGAAGCACACAAGTTCCATGTACCGTCTCTGAGAGAGGGAGGGAGGAGGGAGGGAGGGAAGGCATGAGGGCCCCTGTACATATCGGCAGCCTACCATTGAACAACACACTGCATGCATGAGGGAGGGTGCAGGTGCATGGGCGGGTGGGAGATGATGCAGAGTTCATGCGGTTGGCGCATGCGCGGTGGGAGGCGCGAGGGGTGAAGTACACGAGATAGGATCAGAATGGGGCCCATGACAGGTAAGGGTAGGCGCGCTGATGACAGGCGGAAAAGGACCGTCCTGCAGGTGTAACTCTAGCAGGCTGACTCGCTGACAATTGTACAGGCGTTGCGTGCGTCAACGTGGACAATTTATCAAGTAACGTTGATCCCTGCTGTCAGTAGTATGGCGCAGTAGCCGATACACTTTGTACGCCCTTCAGTGCCGGCATCCTTCGCAGTTTAGCACTGTGCTTCCACCCAGATCCAGCCCGGAGCCACTTACCTTCTTGTCAGGGGCGAAGTCCTTCACGATGGCATCCCGCTGGCGAGACAGAACATCCTGGGCCGCCCTAACAGCCTGTGGGTCAGGAAAGAATATCGCGGCAAGAGTTCGTTGTTGTACCGTGCATTGTACCTTTTGCGCAAGCCTCGGAGCCTTGCGCTTGCTGCCTTGCGGTGCTGTCTCTGAAGTCATGGACGTGTTTGGTGCTAGCGCGGGGTGTCAGCTGTGGCGTTGACCCAAGGAGGAAAGCTCTTACCCGAGAGACCGGCCCAAGGGACTTCGAGCCCGGAACCTTCAGGGCCTCGCTGATTCCCTCGAGTTCTTTCTGCGCGCGTTACGGGTTCTGTAAGTAGAGTTCAGTTAAACGAGGCAACCAATGCGCGTCTGAAGGGCTGACCTGGATTTGACGAATGGGTTTGTTCTCGATTGGCAACGCGTAGCGGAGGATGGCCTGGGCGTTCTTGATCGGGTCGCTAGCAACCAGAATAGCGTGAGCAGCTGGCGGCTCCAGCTGCGCTCAGCGGTGCACAATTGAAGAGTCGCAATGTGCGCGTGCAAGCACCACACATGGCGAGACGACCGACACTTACCACGAGCGGGCTAAATGTGCCCATTACCAAAGCTGCAGCCGTTGCGATACTAACAGCAGCCCGCTCCAGCGGGTTGCGAGTGCTGACCTGCACATTATGCGCCCATTTGCCGAGTGTTGCGACGCCAGTCGGATCCTGCATTATGGCGAGAGATGCCCATAACCATACCTCTTCTCCATAGCCTTGCTTCTGATTAAGAGCCCTGCATGCGTGTGTTGCAGTCCTGTGCAAGCGAGGCACCGGGCATGCAAACCCATTGCGGGGGACAGTGCTGCGGCTGGCGAGGTTTGCTAGAGCCATTGTTACAACCCAGATTACTTAGCGAGCAAGTCTGCCCTATAGATGCGTCGGTATCCGGAACGACGACGCACCACCAATGCCGTAGGGCCCTGCCTCGTTTAAACAATTCCGCTTCCTTCCATGTTTTTTCAATAATCCTCAGAATCGATTAATGCTGTGTACGTATATCTGTGATCTAATGGATTTGTAACTGTCACACAAGCAACACCTTTGTGCCCGCGCAACTACCTAGCTATTCGGAACAATGGTGTGGACCGTGAGCGTTGAGCTTGCCGGCAAGCTGCAGGGGGATGCATTCCTACTTACTTCCGGTGAAGAAGGGCAACAGAGGGAGAGTACGGTTGGGCGTCCACCTTCAAAGGCAGACACGAAACCAGATATCGTCGTTAACGAGAAGAGCGTTAGCAAAATCCATGCAATTCTGCGCGTTGAGCCTGGGAGCGGCGATGGGGACCCCCAGAACCGACTCATCCTCATTGGTACGTTGCATAAAGGCGGGCAAAGCGAAGGCGTCAAAGGCTTCCTTTCCCACTAGCTGCGAGCACCTGTCTTTCCCCGCCTCGTGCATCGACATCAAGGCTGCGAACAGGATGTCATCCGCTTCCATGCCTGCAGACAAGAGCCGCTTTGGTACCACGGTCAACGGGCAAAAGATGCCAACAGGGGGCTCTCAGGAGCTAGCTGCGGGGGACGCGGTGCAGCTGGCGCCCAAGACGTTCCTCATGTGGGTCGCCGGGCGCCGGGTGAGCGTGCCCGGCCCGTCAGCAAGGGCGGGGGGCGCAGGGCTGCGGTTAGGAGGCAGCGGTGGTCGGGCTGCTGAGTTACCTGATATCAGGTGCTTGACGCCCTGCGCTACAGTGCAAGAAGCCACCACACAGCAGCATAAACGGCTTACCGAAAAGGAGAGACGCAGCGGCCTGCCCCGCTTCAATGGCTCCTTAACCTTCTCCCTGCTCCTTCTCCTTGCAAACCCCACGTCTGCACATGCAGGATCCAGGACCTCCCTCTGGTGTTGGCAGTGCACCCGCAGCACCCGCAGCTGCATGAGCTACGGGATGCCGCACAGAGAGCAGGTAGGGACAAGGCTGGCGCGAGCTCCCGTGTCGCCCTTCTACCCTTTTTTTGCGGCGGCGGCTGCCAACCCATTGCTAATGCCACCTTTCCTAAGTCCTTAACCCCTGCCTGCCTGCCTGCCTGCCTGCCTCCGTACAGGCGCTCGCTTGACGCACGTCTTCTCCGGCCAGGTCACCCACGTGCTCCACAGCCCGGGGGACCCCGTCTGGTCGGCGCTGGTGCTGGCGGCGCTGCGGCGCGTGCGGCTGGCGGAACCGGAATGGTGGGTGCATGGAGGCCAGAGGATGACGGCAGGAGGTCCCGCGGGGGTGCGAACGCTCCTCGCTTTCCAGCAGGAGCTTCTTGCAACACAAGACGTGTGTGCTTCATGTCTCCAGCACTGTTTCCCACATCTCTGCGTCTCCCTCGGCACAGGTGTTGAACCTGAGCACTGTTTTACCTTACCCACTCGGTCTTGGCCCTGTCTTGGTCCCCCATGCTCCTGTCCCTGACGTCAGGTTGCATCAGCTGGCCTGCGCGGGCCTGCTGGCGGGGCCGCTGCCCGAGGCCCATCAGCCGCCGCAGCTGCTGCTGGGGCCGCAGCAGCCGCCCGCTCGCGTAGCCCTGCCGCCCCCGGCTGCTGCTGGTGTTTCTGGGGCCGGCGACCGGGAGCCGCTGCTGCTGGCGGGGTTTGTGTTTGGGTTTAGCAGCCGATGGAAGGTGAGGTGGTGTGTTAGCCAGGGAAGAGGAGGACCTGCTGTGGGCGTGGACTCGCGCATGTGTGCCCCCCTTCCCCGCGGAAGGGAAGGGTCTAGGCTGCTACTGAACAATAAGTCGACTTACTCGCACTGCTTTGTCCCTGTGCTGCCATCTTTCCGGCTCGCAGAGGGACCCCGGCTTGGCGGTGCTGGTCTCGGAGCTGGGTGGCCGGGTGCTGGCGGAGGAGGAGGAGGTCCGGCGAGGCGAGGCGGCCGGAGTGGTGGTGGTAACAGAGGAGGAAGAGGAGGGGATGGAGCAGGGCAGCGGCAGCCGGCGTGCGCTGCATGCACAGCAGTTGCTGGTGGGTGGTGCTTTCGGGGCCCTGTCTTGCTGGGGGCACTTTTGAACAGGCAGTAATAGCAGGCTGTGTGCCCTGGAGACGAGGGATCGGGCTGTCGGGTCGTTGATGCCCAACGGCTCTTGGCAGCACGCAACACCCGAGGAACTGTGCGTTTGTGTCATTTAATGTGAGCTGACGCCATTTTGCCATGCCAAAACGTGTCCTAATTTCGGGTGCTGCAGATGAGCATTCTCACGGCGGCTAATGCGGCGGCGGTTCGCGGCTTGCTGGAGTCGGTGCGCAGCCGCGTGGCGGGGGCTGCAGGGAGCGCGCAACCAGCTGACTCGGACATGACGCAAGCGGCCGACGAGGAGGAGGGGGCGGCGGCGGAGGAGGGGGCTGTGAACCAGGGGGCGCAGCAGCCGGGGCGGGGATCTGCGGGTGGAGGCGGTGGTGGAGGTGGTGCTGTGTCTGCTGGCGCCGGAGTAGGCCAGGTAGGCAGGATGCATTACGGGCGGCTGTGCCGAGTGGGAAGGGGCGCATCTGGCGTGTGCGTGGTGTATCGCTTTGTTGGGGCCTGGAGTATGAGGTGTTGCGTGCAATTGTTTGGTGCCTTCTCACGTGGTACAAGGACCTTACGAGGGTGGGGTCGGGTGCGGGCCTGCAGGTGATGGTGAAGGCTGAAAGCACTGCAGCAGCAGCAGCGCCGGCGGGTGCGGATGGGTGGCTGGTGGCGGCACGGAGACCGGAAGGTATGTGAGGCTTGGGCAGCCGTCTGACGCTTTCGGCTGTGCTCTTGTTACCCTACATGCACTGTCGCACACATAAAAGTCCACAAGGCCCATGTGCTTAATCCACTCGCAGTTTGTACCCGTCCGTTCCACCTCCATAGCACCTTCCTAAAGCTCCTGCCTTGCCCAAACATCTACAACTACTAATCCACTCCACACTTATCCACTGTGTGTGCTACGCACGCCTACACGCCCTACCCGCCCGCTAGCTGCCAGCCAGCACGCCACCACACAGCCGCAACCCCAGCACCCGCACCAGCAGCTGCCCCAGCAGGAGGACCACGCACCCCATGAGGACGCGCCCGCCCCCAAGCGGCGCCGACTGGGCGCTGCCGGCTCACAGCCCCTCACCACCACCACCACCAGCCAGCACCTTGCAGCAGCCCCAGCAGGGCCCTCCTCCTCCCGCCTCGGCGCCTCCACACCCGCTGCCACCCGCGCCGCTCCCCAGCACCCCGCTGGCACCCCCCCGCCCTCCTTCTTCCCCGCCGTCAAGCACGAGGAACCGGGGCAGCAGGAGGAGGTGCCGTGGGTCATGACGCAGCACCCGCCGCACGGCCGCGGAGGCACCGCCCGGCGCAGCAGCGCTGCTCCTGTTCCTCCTCCCACCACTGCTGCTGCTGGCACTCAGCCTGTGAAGGTAAAGGAGGAAGCAGCAGCAGCGCCCACACGGACCGCAGGGGCCGGCAGGGCCGCCGCAGGCAAGGCTGCCAAGGGCGGCAGCAGCAAGGCTCTGGAGGAGGACCTGGCGCTGGGCCTAGCCTCCCGCGTGAAGCTCAAGGAGGAGGAGCAGCAGCAGGCGGGGGTCCCCGAGGTGCTCGACGCCTCCGCGCAGGAGGTGCTGGAGGTGGACCTGATCGCACCCACTCCCGAGCAGCTGCTGCACCCCTCGCGGGTGCGCTGCGGAAGCGCGGAGCCGCCGCCCCCCCGAGGAGGCAGCGGCAGCAGCGGGGAGGGGGAGGGCAGCCACCCGGACGTACACATGAGCTACGGTGGTGGTTGTGGAGGTGGGGAGGCGCAGGGGCTGCTGTCTGACTTCAAGTTGTTCCGCAAGCAGCAGCAGCAGCTGCCTGGCTCGCAGGGGCAGGGGCAGCAGCCGCATGCCGTACAGCCGCTGCCGATGTTTCTGGTGGACAATTTCCACAACAGTGAGGACACGGAGGCGTTCCTCAGGTGGGGGCGGGGGCGGTGGGCGGGGGTAGGGCCTGTGGGGCGCCTTTCTGGGCTGGGTGTAGATGGCGGCGTGTAGGAGACGAGAGAATGGCTGCTGCGGTTGCTGCTGCTGCTGTTGCCCAGCAGGCCAACACGACAGTGAGCACCTCGAGGTTGACAACCTCCAGCTCGGCCAACTGGCCGATGTAGTTGTGTACTTTGGGGTTCTTGGGATCCCACTAGACACCCTAACAGAAACGTAAAAGCTACAACATCCTGCCTGACACAAAACTCCCTTCACGGCGGAGAGCGGTCAACATGCCGCTCTGGCCGGGAGCTAAAACCGCAGCAAGCATTTGTTACGTCATTACTATATAGTAATAGCAGTCTACAGTTCATCCGTTCAGCAGCCACCCTGCTGCTGCTGTGGCACCCAATGCACCATTGATTCTCATTCCTTCCCCGCTGCCTCCTCCTCCTTGTCGCCTCCCCTCCACCTCCCGCGCCAGGAGCGAGGAGGACGCCGCCAGCCGCAAGCGCCGAGCTGACGACATGTTCCGACAGACCGGCCAGGCGACCAAGAAGCCACCCCGCGCACCCAAGCGCGCCTAGGCTCCCGCACGCCGGTCACCACCCAGCCACTGAAATATATAACTACAAGTACGGCACCAACACGGCACCGCTAACATGGGGGCGCCGTGGGGCAGACTCCGCAGACCTCCCTCTGGCTGCCTTGAGCTGCTGCTCTGACCCTAGCCCGCCCATGATGCATGCGTGCATGCATGCAACCAGGTGCTGCTGCTACCCTTGCCCTCCGCTTGTCGCCACTGGGCTGGCACCGTAGTGGGTTGGGGCAGGGAAAGCTGTGGGGGGTGAGGTCCCACCTGGCGCCTGGCGCTGCTGTGTTGTGATGCTCACTGCTTGGCGCTGCTGAGGGCCCGGGCGAGGCGCTCTCGGTCCAGGCTCTCCGTCTTGTTCTCAGCTAGTGGGTGGGGCACGAGCGTTCCCCTGCAGGCGGTGGCGGGAGGGGAAGATCTTGGCTAAGTCGTGGGTAAGGGTAATGGTTATTGTGTTTGGGGGAAGGATGTAGGAGTGAGCGGCGCAAGGCATGCTGCACAGTAATGTGTGGTGTTCAGCTGGTCTGGGCTCGAACTGTTATAGCCGTTGTGACTTAGAGCACGCATGCACATGCAAAAAGCAGTGATGGTGGCTCAATAGGCTGTAGGAAAGCGTCAGCAGCAAGGAGGGGTTGTTCGCATCAGCAGGTTAGTTGCCGAGGTGTTGCACGGAGTTATGCTTGGGAGTGTTTGAGTGGGTGTTCTGAGTCCAGGGCGAAACATGCTGCAGGCTTCCCCAGCAGCACTGCAGGAGGCTTGTCAGGCATGTGTAGAGGAGTGTAAACTGCCTTCAATTAGTGGCGTGTGCTGTCCTGGCTTCAATAGAAACAACGAGTGTGGGGCATTGTAAAGGCGCTTGCGTTGACCAGCCCGTGTCCTTGTAAGGCTTCCTTCTTACGGCACGCACCACCCGAAAGCCACATCAACAGCCTAAGCTGGAGCCATAGATACAACAGCCGAGTCGACAGCTGAGGAGTAACCCACCTCATGGCCGCCTTCCAGTGGTCATCACCCTTTCCTTCGGCTATGTCCTTCAGCATGGTGCTCAAGCGCTGCTGCTGCGCACTTGCAACACGCTGCGTAGGGGGCAAGCGTAAGAACAGTTGGGGTGGGTACGGCAAGCCGCAAGGTATGTGAATTTCGAAAAATACTTGAGCCCTACCTTGTTGTCATATGACATCTGGCTTGACACAATCTTGCTCTGCTTCATGTCGAGGGGTCCAGTCGTCGCTTTGCTAAATGCTGTACCGACTGCATACGTTCCACCAATGCACAGCGCTCCAAACGCAAGGAGACGGCCAGCGCTTTGTGACGTGTTTGATATAATATAACCCCACAGAGTCATGTTGGTCAGGCCAGCAGCAGCAATGCTGCTGATGTTTCCCGGATATAATTGCTATTAAATGTGCTTGAGACCTTCCTTGCCAAAAAGTAAAACATGGAAAGCTTAAAACCTTTAAAGCGCTTGCATTCCATTGGTAGCCTGTACGGCAAGTACCTGACCTGGTACCCGAAACTTCCCGAAAGCCTTTCTCACCGTGGCAACCATTTCGTGCGTCCTTTTCGCGCCCGTACAGATTTACACGATCTTCTACACCTATTAGTCACTGCGGTCGGCGAACACAGCACCCGCAAGCCGGAGATCCCTCCACCTCATTCCTTATCGCGGCTTGCAGCAAGTGCCCATCATGTCCGACGAACTCAAGGTGCCGCTTTGACGCAAATATGCTCATATAAGCTACTATTCGCGCAGCGGTAGTAACACGTATTCCCGATGGAGCGCAGGCTAAGGGAAACGCGGCGTTTTCAGCCGGGAACTTTGAGGACGCTATCAAGTTCTTCACACAGGCGATCGAAGTCGATCCTAACAACCATGTACTATACAGCAACCGTTCCGCGTCGCAGGTGAGCCCGCGTGTGCGTGCCTGAGCCGTGTCGGCCGCCCCTTGCGTGTATCTGTGAAGCTTCTACCCGCACCCTGGACCTGTCACACGCTCCTCAGCTTGCATTCTCCGTCAGGGGCAACCACTGCACACGTTGACAGCGCCTTAGGAGGCCCCAGGTCACAACTTCCGCACGTGAGCACCTTCACACTGTCGTACCTACCCGCAGGCTAGCTTGAAGAACTATGCGGCTGCGTTGGCGGATGCCCAAAAGGTGCGTCCGCGTCCGCGCCCCGTGTGTTGGCGATGCACACCCCGCACATTGCTGTGACAGCAGCAGCAGCAGCCACCTCGGTAGCCGCCGCCGGGGTAGTGCAGCCGGTTACTGCAGCTCGCTGGGGTGTAGTTCCGGGGTGACACCTGGCGGCTAGTGGCGGCAGCGCCGCTACACACGACGCGGCCCTCCGCCTCCACACCCCCGTTGATCTCTTAACGACCAACCCTTGCCAGGGGTGACACCCCCGCTGGTGTATCCTTCACCCGCACGCCGAGTGCCCAACGAGCAGCCTTGCTGGGCCGCTGCTGCCTGCCCTCCGGGCTCTTGATACGTCTCTCCCTGCGCAGCCCTCTGCAGCGCTGTCCTGCGCAGCGCTGCACCACTTGACATGCACCCTTGCTGGACCTTGCTGGACAACAAACCTACAAACGTTGCCCCACAACACTGCGCGTCACCAAATACGCACTGCGCTGCGCTGAAAGGCTTTGCGAATACCTGGGTGCGCCCCTCCTTACCCTCCTCCCCGGCCTTACCCCCCTCCCCCCCCGCAGTGCGTGTCGCTCAAGCCCGACTGGGCCAAGGGCTACAGCCGGCTGGGCGCAGCGCGGTACGGACTGGGGGAGTTTGAGGAGGCGATGGAGGCGTACGAGAACGGTGAGGGAGGGCAAGGGGAACAGGGAGGGAGAAGAAGAAGACCCCTGCCGCAGAAGACCCCATGAAGGGAGAGGAAGGGAAGGAGGAGGTGCCTGGGTGCCTGCTACCAAGCAGGGAGGCGGGCACCGTACACAGCCTGTTGCAGGTGCTACGCCGCAGGTGCATGGCAACCGCAGGTGCTGCAACCGAACCTGCTGCTACTCCTGTTAAGAGTGGTGTAGGAGCGGCCTTACCTGCGCCTCCTACACCTGTCCATGAGCCCACCGGCAGCACAAGGTGCACAACCCATGCATGTGCATGGTGCCCTTCATTGCCTCCTCGCCCACTTCCTCCCAACCTTCTCCCGTGCTCATTCATACTCCTCACCTCCCCTTCCCCCTCCTCCCTCTCAGGTCTCAAGCAGGACCCCGCCAACGAGCAGCTCAAATCCGGGCTGGAGGAGGCTCGTGCCGCAGCCGCGCGCCCCCGCAACCCCTTCTCCTCGCCCGACGTCATCCTCAAGCTGGCCACCGACCCGCGCGGCAAGGCGCTGCTGCAGCAACCCGACTTCATGCGCATGTTGGGGGACGTACAGGCCGACCCCAGCCGCATCAATGGATACCTGGGGGACCCGCGCATGCAGCTGGTGGGTTGGGGGGGAGGGGAAGAGGTGCTTGCAGGCTTGATGGGGTCGTGAGACGGCGACTCGTTGTCCTGCGTGGGCGGTCGGGAGGGTTGTGCAGGGCCGTAGCTCGTCAAGGTTGATCCGAACTGGAAAGCGACCCATGTAGCAGCAGGGGAGCTGTCAGGTGACACGCGTGAGTGTATGTGTATGTGACGCGAGTGCAACTCCCCGCCCGTTGCCTCCCACCTCCCCGCCTTCCCCCCCCCCGCCCCACCTCGCAGCTGTTGGAGCTGGCGCTGGGCATCCGCATGACCCGACCTGGCGCCGAGGAGGAGGGCCCGGGAGCGAACGGCACCGCGCGCGAAGAGGTAGGGGGCGGATGGAAGCGGGCCGGCAGCAGCAGCGCGGCTGATCACAAACACTGCGGAAATTGCTTGCCTGCCATGCTCTGCCTTGTACCCCTCTACCCACCCGGCGCTACCATCTTGCAGCGTGGCTACGTCCGCAAGTCCTCTAGCACTCCTCCTCGCGACTGGTTGCCTGCACGGCACGGCACTCAACTACACACGGCAGCATCCTGAACCAGCCAACCCCTGTCTGTTGCCGACTGCCGCTCCCTCACGTCCTTCCCCACACAGTGGGGCTCAGTTTATCTCATCCCCCCTCTCTCCCACTCAGGCGCCCAAGCCCAGGGCCGAGCCCGCGGCGGCCTCCAAGCCCGCCCCAGCTGCTTCCGAACCCACCCCCGCAGTGACCTCGCAGTCCGACGTTGACATGACGGACGAGGAGCGCGAGGCGGCTGCTCGCAAGTCGGAGGCGCTCAAGGCCAAGGAGGCGGGCAACGAGGCGTATAAGAAGAAGGAGTTCGAGGCGGCCATCGGGCACTACAACCGGGCACTGGAACTGTACGACGGGGACGTCACCTTCCTCACCAACCGCGCGGCCGTGTACTTTGAGCAGGTGCGCGGATGGCAGAGTTTGCGTGTGTCGTTGAGCGGAAACAAGAGCAAAACAATTGGGATAGGTGTGTGAAAACAAAACTGGTTGTGTGTGTGTTCAGGTAACTAGCCGCGAGTGCTTGCGTGTGTGTTTTGAGGGATGGCCGGTTGCAGTGGTGGGCGGGGGAGAGTTGTATGAATCCCTATTAAACCCCACCTGTCCTGTCCTCCTGCCCCACTGCCCTCCTGCCTCTCCCCCCCCCCAGGGCAAGTACGAGGAGTGCATTGCGGACTGCGATGCCGCTGTTGATCGCGCCCGGGAGCTGCGAGCGGACTACAAGCTCATCGCTCGTGCGCTGGGTCGCAAGGGCAACGCGCTGGTGAAGCTGGACAGGTGCGGGGGCGGGGGGCGGGGGTAGCAGGGAGGCGTGGGGGCGTGGGGGCATAATGGGGAGGGAGTCCTCGCTTCGCTCCCTCTCTCCCTCCCTCCCTCCCTCCTTCCCGTCATCCTCTTTCTTCTACCGCATGTTACCCCGTTCCTAATTCAATCGCTTGCCGTTCTGAGCCCTCACTACCTCTCTCCGTCTAGACATTTTCCTCCCTCCCCCACCATCATACATTGCATGTGGTCTTCTTCTTCTCCCCCCCAACTCCCTCCCCAACTCCTGTCCCTGATCTCTCCTCGCCACCCCCCTCCCCTCTTCACCCTGCCTCCCCCCTCCCCTCTTCACCCTGCCTCCCCCCTCCCCTCTTCACCCTGCCTTCACCCCCTCCCCCCCAGGCTTGAGGACGCCATCTCCGCCTACAACAAGTCCCTCATGGAGCACCGCACCGCCGACACGCTGGCGCTGCTGCACAAGACGGAGCGGGCGCTCAAGGAGCGGCGCGAGCGGGAGTACATCGACATGGGGCTGGCGGAGGCGGAGCGGGAGAAGGGCAACACCGCTTTCAAGGAGCAGCGATACCCCGAGGTGGGTGGGAAGGCAGGGAGGCAGGGAGGGAGGCAGGGAAGGAGAGAGGCCTGGTCCGCCATACCGTACACCGCGTCAAGGGGCGTGTAGGCGGCACCGCAGCAGCTACCGGTAGCTTCCTGCCAAACCCCACATGTTCCCCCTCCTGCCCGCAACACCAACCCGCCCACACACCCGCCCCGCCCCGGCCCGGCCCCACTGCTGCAGGCGGTGCAAGCCTACCAGGAGGCGCTCAAGCGCGGCCCCCCCGCTGTCAACCCGGAGGCCTACAAGCTCTACTCCAACCTGGCTGCATGCTACACCAAGCTGGGAGCCTACCCGGAGGGGGTCAAGGTAGGTGTGCGGCTGCCCGGCTGCTGCTGCTGGCCTGACGTGATGTGATGTGCCCGGCTGCGGCTGCCCTGCTGTGCCGTGACGTGCCCCCCTTCCTTGCCTGCTGGCCGGACTCTACACCCACGTCTGCCAGGGTTTTTTGCCAACATCTGGTATCTGCTTATTCTGAGTAGGAACGTTTGTAGACGGCTTGTGCGGTTATCTTCCAATGGCGAGAGTGTGATGGGCTGTCACATGGCGCCGCGGTCATGTGATGAGCTGAGCAGGTGTTGTGAGGGGAGCGCCCTCAACCCTTCATGATGACGGATGACCAACCAATGGCTTCCCTCCCGCCTCCACCCCCCCCCCACCACTTCCCCCTCCCTCCCACCCCACCCGCAGGCCGCTGACAAGTGCATCGAGCTGAAGCCCGACTTCGCCAAGGGCTACAGCCGCAAGGGCACGCTGCAGTACTTCATGAAGGAGTACGACAAGGCCATCGAGACGTACCAGAAGGGTTTGGAGCTGGAGCCGGACAACCAGGAGCTGCAGGAGGGACTGCAGCGGGCGGTGGACGCTATCAGCAGGTGCGGGAGAGCGGGGGGGAAAAAGGAATTCCAAAGTGTGGTGTGATAATGATATAAGTTGCTGACAATCCCTGGTGGAATCAACCGTGAGTCGAGCCGAAATGGTGGTTAAAGCAAAGCGAGCTAAACTTACCGAACTTACCAATTATGGAGGAACCTTACCATAGGCTTGGGCATGTGTGGAGGCTGCTGAAGGTGAGGTGGAGACCCACCGCGCCGTGGGGCATACGCAAACAGCAGGAACAGCACAACACGAGCACTCATAAAAAACAACACGGACCGACACACGATAAAACACGTACCTAGGTACACAAAGAGGTGTGTACCGGGAAACCACGTGAAGGGCCAGCCGCCATGTCCAGGGACCAATCCAGAGCGAGGCCAGCCAGGGACGAAACGAGCGGGGGGGGGAGGTGGAGTGGTGATGGAGTGGGCTGGGGGCTGGGGCGGTGGTGGTGTTGATGAGGGGTCAGTGGAGTCGGGTGAGGGGCGGGTGAGGGCGCGTAGCTCGGCGGCTGATGTGCGGCGCAGTGGCCTGGAGGGTCAGGCAGCTTCTTGTGGTGCATTACGTCCTTGCCTGTACGGCCCCACTTGTGCGGCGATTCCCTGGCGAGCTGCTGCTGCTGTTGCTTCTGCCGTACCCATCCTGTCCTACAGGTACCTCATTCGAGGCTAGAAAAGGTTTGCATGCCTTTTCTTCTCTCGTCGTATCAACTCATCTTTCAACCTCCTTGCAGTCCTTGCCCCCGCCCCGCCCCCTGCCTGACGGCTCGACTCACGGTTGTTTCCACCAGGGATTGTCAGCAACTTGTCTCATTATCACACCACACATTGGAATTCCTTTTTCCCCCTGCCTGACAATGCTGATCCCACCCTCATCCCCCCTGCCCCATGTTGCCCCCTGCCTCACCCCCACAGGTTCGCCACGGGCCAGGCGAGCGCGGAGGAGATCAAGGAGCGGCAGGCGCGCTCGCTGGCGGACCCCGAGGTGCAGGGCATTCTGAAGGACCCCATCATGCAGCAGGTGCTGCGCGACTTTCAGGAGGATCCGCGCGGCGCGCAGAAGCACCTGCGCACGCCTGAAATCATGGCCAAGATCAACAAGCTGGTGGCGGCGGGCATCATCCAGGTCAAGTAGAGGTGAGGGGTTCAGGAGGGTTTAGGAAGTGGGGTTTCGGGGGAGTGGCATTTGGAAGGGTGGCTGAGGTGAGGAACCGATGGGAGACAGCGGTTCAGGACGTGTCCTAATGCTGGCGACGGTGGAACTGGTGATGGGGAGAGCAGGGGTTACCGGCGGGAGTGGTGTGGCGTCGAGGCGTACATACTGGTGAGGTAGCCTGGGGTTTCGGGCATAGGGTGAAAGGACAGGGCAGATGACAATCCGTTGGTGGCTTCGCACTTTCTCGTCCGATTAGGATTGATCCCGTACGTAGGATTTGTCCGTAAGTTTTCCCTTGCTACGGTTGGTGGGGACGGTGCTCTAAGACCAACGTATGGCTTACTCTCGCTTCCCTGCATTTATCGGTTTGGGTTGTTGGCTGCCGGTTGGAAGAGCGTGGAGTGTGTGAAAGTTGTCTAACTGCAATCGGGGAAAAGAGCGTCGGAGGGTGTGTTGCTGCATGCACCTACACAACCACCAGCATGAGCAGGTGGCGGCTGTGCGGATGGGAAGTTGGGCGCTCCGTAATCGCAGCACATATGTTGGGACGAACACCGTCTGCAATGATACCGCTAGTTGCATGCAGTGACTGAGAGGACGACTGACTGTTGCAGGAGTGAGTTTCAACCCAATCCAGAGGCGGTGACATGAGGGAGATGGAAAGGAGGTACAGATAATTTACATGACAAGCAGCGTTGGCCCATGTAATGACTGTGTAGCTGCATTGTACTGTTTCAGTGCCCCTAATGAAGTTCTAACCTCACAACTTCTCTCCCTACACTTGCATCACACAAAGCGACAACAGGTGCTGTAATTAGCAGCAGCTTTTGCCCTGGGTATCAACCCTACACATGTATAAACGTTTCCTGTTTCAAAAGGCGCTTACCTTGCAGCCAAGTAGGCGATACTTCCCTAGCTGCCCCGGGCACACCCTTCACCCGCACATCACGTCACCCTGCGTGTGCAATCTCTGCGTGCAACCGCCTTGCCCACACAGCACGACGAAGGAAAGAAGAGACACCTGACACCGGTCCGCCAAAATTGTTGGTCCACACGCACACACGCACCATGCGTCCTTCAGTTTCCAACCTTATTCCGTCATACAATAGGAATGCCGCAGATGGGGAAGGGGACCGGCTTAGCAGGCACACACCTCCTCTGCAGTTGAAGGCGCATGGACAGACAGGTAGGCACACGCGCCAGACGAAATGACGTCAGGAAGCCAACAGGCTACAACGAAAGGGCACGCCAGGAGGACACAACTCACAAAGCCAGTAACACGGTCATTGCAGGATCGCTCAACAAAGCGTTCTCGCAAACCCGTTGGGACAAGGTCATGTATGTTTATATGTTGAGGTGCAATTAAGCGGGTGTCATCTCGAAATAGTCTGCGTTCCTACTCCCCAAGCCGCGGCAAAACGCACGGGCAGGCGGCAGCGCTCCTATCAACGACATAAAAAGTGTGCTATCTATAAAAGATTGGAAGGTAAGTTGCCAACCTCTCCTGTCTATCTCTCAGTGTCACTCAGCTCCGCTACGCTACGACGTTTCATCCTGCCTTAGAGCGTACGAACAACACCCCGATGGCCCTTTTGTGACATCACAGCCCCAATGCAGTCTTGCATAAACAAGTGACACCGCTCCTAAGAGGCCCTACATAGCAGCCGTGTACCAGCGCCACTTCGCGCCTCACACACAAAAGCACACAAGGGGCACAAAAGCTCAAAAGGGAATGCTCACATGCAACACACACGACTCAAAAAAGGACCCCACGTTACGGGTCAGTACAACAATTGTTGTCATTTCACACGTCAGGAGATCCCCAGAATGTCCGTGTCATACCTGAAACACCGTCATCTAAATGCTGGTTCTTTTGTCTTCTCTTTTTGTAGGTATGGCAGCACCAAGCAGACAAAGGCAAAAGCCCCCAACGCATTCCCGAATTCAAAAGGAAAGGAAAAAGGCAGGATGCTCTGACATGTCTTGTCATCGGAGGTCAACCATCGCTGGAAGAAGAACTACCCCCACAAGACCACGCACGTGCCATAATGTCACCAGACTGCCACCAAACTGCAAAGGACGACGCACATTCACACCAATCAACTGACCAACTACCCAACAGCAACTCGACCCAATGAAAGGACTCGACAAGTCCTCTTTCCCACCCTTTACAACTGAGGATGCAACGTGTGGTAAGGGGTGACGCGTAACGCTGTCACATGTGCTTAATGCCACAAAATGACCTCCCAGCCATGCCTGAATAAGCCCCCCATCAGGTTCCTTAGCCAAGAGCCGCTAGAGGCCCAGTCTCACCTCACCATTCCTGGTATCATGTTCCAAATAAGCCAAAGCAGCGCAGATGCGCGCGCCTCATAGTTCCGGTGTCAATCAGAAGGGACTGACCACTTCTGCTATTAAACAACACCATATGAAAGCTAATCGTGATGGTAACGGCAGCAGCGCCACCACTACTGCCATTAAAGAACCAACAGTGTCTATCAAGGAGTCTGCACCATCTAAATACCCATAGCTAACACCACACGAGGCACACTAATATTGCCCAACCAACCCTCCCTGCAAGCGCAACCCCAGGCCTCCTCAAGTCGTCTCGCTTCGAGTTTACACCTCTTGCAAGCGCCCAATGCGACAACGTTCTCATTGATGCATTACAAACGCTGCCAATCGTGTCACCCCGAAGCCCTCCGAGCCCCTGCAAGCGCAACCCCACCACCAGAGCAACACACCATCACTACCGGTAACACCGAAACACCATGTCAAAGCCCCGGTCATACACAGTCAGCCCACGCTAGCATAATCTTCTCTCCTCACAGCTGCCTTACAGGTGCCGTACCAGCCCCGCACCTCCTAGCACCCCTGCAGGCACCGGGGATGCTCCCGGGCTAGGACTGGGCACCTGCGGTGCGCAGCCGGCACCCGATGCCGCCAAATCAGCACTGGCGTTGCTGCTTGACCTCCGAAGGGACAGCACGCTAAAGCTCTGCCTCCGCACAATGGGTCTGCGGCCAAAGCGCAGCACCAGCGCCGTGATGTTGTCCACAGACCCCAGACGACATGCGCGGTGGGTGACCTCGCGAGCTGCATCTGCGCAGCTGTTGTTATTGGTCAGCTGACGAAGGGCCGTCTTGCAAGCCTCCGAGTTGTTCATTCGGTCAAACACGCCGTCGCAGCCAAGCAAAACCATGTGCCTGTCGTCTTCGACCGTAAACTCGAAGTCGTCAGGTTCGCACGTCAACTGAAAACCGCCGCCTAGGGTACTAACGGATGCTAAAGAGGCGCTGCGGATGGGCAGATCGCCTCCCGGGAAGCCTCCCGCCCCGCCCATGCCCATGCCACCATTCAAAGGCTCGTTCAGTGGGAGCTTGTCCGACGCTGCCGGACAGAGGGAGGCCGCCACCGCCGCGGCAACCGCCCCCCCAGGGGAAGCAAAGCTGGTGTTGTTGTTGCCGTTGCTGATGTGGTAGGGAAGGCTGCTGCTGCTGCTCAGGGTCCTGTCCTTGAGGGTGGTGGCACCGTTGCTGCTAAACCGCGGAATGCTCGAGGGGGACGGAGAGGCTCTACAAAGCTCCTCCCCTGCTGCTCCCGTTGCTGCCACTGATGAGGCAGCTGTGCCCGCAAGCCCCGCAAACTGGGACTTCCCGGGATGCTGCTGCCGTTGGTGCTCCTGCTGCTGCTGCTGAGCTCCCGCACCCGAGGAGCAGCACATGCGGTCGCACATGTCCGCATCCACATCCTCCGGCCCCGCAGGTGCAAGCGCAGAGCAGTCCTCACTCACGCCACTCATACCGCTGCCGCTGGCTACACCGCAACTGATGGCATCCACCGCTGCCAACTCGATATCCGCATCCGCCGCCGGCGCCATTCCCGTATCCGTCGCAGCCGTAACCGTCGCGGCCAGCAACACCGCACCGTTGCTGCCCGCGCGCTCGCAGCACCCGCCCATGCCGCTGCCCGTGCCGCTGCTGGAAGCGAAGAAACACGAGGCCAGGCCGGGTGCCGAGGTGGTCTTGAAGCGGCTCTCCGCGCCGCCAGCATACCCCGCCCTGAAACTCCCTCCCAGTCCTCCGAGCCCGCTCCCCATCATGCCGCCACCGCCGCTTCCTAGACAGTCAAGCAGCGAGGGCCGCATGGGGTCCGCATGCGGGTGCGACCGCTGCTGCTGCAGCCTCGGCAGCGAGTGCTGCTGCGGCAAGCCACCTGCCTCGTGCGGGTGCTGCTGCTGCTCCTGCTGCCGGTCCAACTGCTCCTGTATTCCGGCCAGGGAAGTCATCGTGTAAGACCTCTGCAGTGCCTTCACGCTTGCGTGCCCCAGAGCCTTAGTCACCCCCAGCAGCTTCGCGCCATCCATGGGGCACGGCAGCACCACGTAGCCGCCACAGCCGCTAATCTCCGCACCCTCTCCGAGCACCCGCTCGCGCTCGCGGCTGCTGAGCAAGTTATGGTCCTGCGTGACTTGTACGGCACGCTCCTCGACCCAGTCGTACAGGATGCAGCGGCAGTCGCCCGTGTTAACCACCGTGATGCGGTTGTTGACCAGCAGCAGGGCGTTGACCGTTGTGCCGCTGTTGTGGCCGAGGGCGGTGAGCTCCTCGTCGATACGGTGAAGGGCGGAACGCATGGCGGCTGCGGGATGTGACCTGCGTTCAGGTGCGTGTGCAGGTGGGGGAAATGGAAAGGTGAAGGGAATTGCGTGACGTAAGGGCTACAGGTAGGGAATATAAACCATGGTGTAGAGTGAGGAGCGGATGAACGCGTATGTACTGAAAATGTGTGATCCCTCCGACAGCGCAGCAGGGTTTTTAGCCCCACAGTGCCTATAATGAGATCATGGATGTTAATTTGCCACCCTTTTTGACAGCGACCGCAACTGTCCGAAGACATGCAGCAGCTGCTTCGAACGGTGGTGGTGAAATGACAGCAGGAAACCAAGCATGCAACAGGCGCCAAGCTGTGTCTGTAGTGCAGGTGACCTGCGGCAACGCTCGCCTCTTGCCCCGTCCCACCCGCGCAACTGCTGTCATGTGTTCAGGCAGATGCTCATGGCGTACCTGAGCCGTGGCAAGTCTGCGAGGAGGTAGGAAGGAAACCGCTCGGCTACGTATTGCACAGCGCCTGTTCCGCCATGACCGTCTAGGACGCAAGCCAGGCAAGCGCGATTGCAGTCGTCGAAAGGGGCGAACAGGTCCGGGCCCAACGCCAGATGGAGGACGTAGTCCTCGCATTTCGGCTGCCTGCCTTGTATGCCGTGAAAGCCGACTCCATAGTTGCAGTTGACTCCATACAGCCCACCGTCGCTAAAGGTTTCCTGTGAGGGAAAAGGAACAGTCGCACGGCGATAAGTGTCGGAAACCAGGACGAAAGCGTCCGGCAGAAACATTTGGTTGAGGCTAACAGTCCTAACTACGCCTACCCTGAAAACAACTTGCCACTGGCGGAAGATACAAGTGTTGCTACTGTCGGGATTGGCGGCTCAACCCGAGCTTGTACCGTTACTTAATACAGTAACGGACCAGAACAAGTAAACACACAATGAGCATGGTAACAGGTGGTAAGGCCCCCGCCTCTGTGCCCGCCAATACTTACTCTGAAGGGGTCGTCATTGACCTGTGCTGCGGAGGAATGAAAGGCGCGGGCCGCCTTCTCTTTCAAGCTCTGGAGTGTATCCCATAGCAGCTGCTGCTGTGCGCGAGTCGTCGCCCATTCCTTCTGTGGGTTCGTTGTTTCAGAAGGAATCCAATCTCAATAATTGGTTACATACATAACAATAGAGCCAAATGTAGACATACCTGCTGACATAGCAGCTCCACATCTTCGAACGGTAGAGGAGCCTGGCGAACTGGGCAAGGCGAGGCTACACTAGCCCACGTCGGCCCGCCGCAGTGCCCTCCGACCGTGCTGGCCTCACTAATTACCATGCACGTAAGGGCTAGGTTACTATGCGCCTGCACAGACTGTACCTAGGCTACTTCTTTGTGACAGACTTCCTAAGATGTAAGGAGTATGAATGTCAACTGCTTCTGACAAGCTGTTGATAATCGTCAGATGAAGTGGCCAGTTGTGGGAGAAACCAGTTGTGATAAGCCGGCAAGTCCGCAGCAGTGTACAACGTCGTACGGACAGGAAGATCAAGCGTTCTTGCCTAGCGCCAGGGTACTGGGCGAAAGGCAAGTTATTCGCCGAGTACGATTTCGCCGCAATTTGCCTATTCGCCTGCCGGGCCCTTCCAAGTTGGCGGAAAGGCGAATTACCCGTACGGCAGCCTTGCCGTACTGAAACTTGCTGAACATTTGCCCCTTAGAGCCCGTTCCCAGGGCTTCTCTGCCTCCCCGTGGGCTCGGCCAGGCGTTCAGGAACCTGAATTTGGCTAGAATCGTAGCAAGCGCGTGTTGATAGGCGCTGCATGCGCAAGTTTGTGGTTGGGTATGTATGACCTTTAGGGGTTGGCACGCAGGCTGCTCGGGCGTGCTTGAACCTACAATGAACTACGTGTGAGCTACAATGAACTTACTACGAACAAGAATGAATGAAGCGATTTGTCGAGCTATTACTGTCAAGTTGTCGGTCGTGATGGTCAGATGGACACCTTGAAACCGGACTGGAACATAAACTGGTGATGCAATAAACAGAAGGGCAAGGAAAGCGTTAGATACGGTGAATTGCAACACGGAAAGGGCTTAGCCGAGCGCTAACAAACCAAAATAGCATTGCCGTACAGCTCGCCTTGCTCGCCTTCTTCGCCTATTTCGCCTGTGATTATTCGCCTTTCGCCGCCCATCTTTCAAATGCGCCCAGTACCCTGCCTAGCGCCCTAGCCCCAGCAAGAAGGGCGCCCGATGCTGTGTAGCCCTTGATACTAGCAAAACCAAAAGATTGTCCGAGCGTTGAAAGCATTTGTGGCGCTAAAGGTCGCTTCTTGCAGTTTCCAGGAGCAGCGATGGAAGAACTATGCCGCACTACTTCACCCACTACTGCCTCCTTAACTCAGCTTTTTAGCCCTTTTTATGATTACATGTAACGGGACGGGAGAAGCACGGTACTCATTAGGACTTCGCACTTTGAGGACTCGCCATCGGGTTCCTTCTAGGGTCTCTACCTGAAGCTCTAGCCAATAACTCGCGTAATGTAATGCGCACCTTTTGGCTTACAGCCTGAAGTCGAGCTGAGCTCGGCTTAAGATTGCAAATTCGGTCACGGTTTCCCCCAACAGCATGTTGCGCAGGGCAAGGGAGTTGCTAGCTCTTTCTTAATTGTAAGCATTCTATTTCAGATGGACACATTTACACGAAGAAGCTCAAGTCGCACATCCGAACACATCTGTGGCATGGAAGTCGACAAGACGCCCTGAACCAGAACCATGCGCACATGCGGCACACCACGGCTTTTCATAGTTTGGTATAAAGGCAACAGTACCTAACCTTGCATAACTTTAGTTCCTGCCCGCGCCGTCCTCACGCAATTTCCATCGGGCCGGCCTAAAACACCCACGTCTCCAACAGCCGCTGGAGTAATCCCAGGCCTGACAGCCTAGACTTAGCCTGGCCGGGCCTGGTTCCAAGTCATGTCAATCAAGGAACCAATCAAACAAAGCAACCCTGCGGGCAAAAGAATGCAAAGATGAGAGCAGCTCACAGTACCACTTGTGTCCAGGTCAGCTCGCTTTATTGCCATGTTATCCCCTATTCCCAAAGCCAACAGTGCCGCAACCTCCTCCCTCAGCACCCCCTCTTCCACTTCCAGGTTGCCTTTTCGCAGTCTACCCTCCTTATTCGTAGGCCAGTCACAATTATTTAAAGAGCGGGGTCCACAATCAGCGCCGATACCAGGGTCCCTTCGACAATCTTCGACTCGTGCTTCAGTACGCCTGAAAATGCAAAAACTGCTGCAGTTGTTGTTCAAGCAAGTGCCCTCCCTGCGCCTAACTCGCTGTCCACCCACACCTCATGTCCATCGCACTTCCTAAGGCAGATCACTCATCCCTTTCTCCCCAGCACCCCTTGTTGGCATATGTGAAGATGTGACGCTCTATATGCCAAGTACCCTCCAACTATGCATGCACCTCCCATTCCCCATCAAGTTGCGTCACTTTTTAACTGTTTATTCCATATCCACAAAGCCTGGCCGCCGGCCCAAGTTACGTACAGTCGGTCTTTCCAACAAACCCATCCCGTTTGCCTTCTCAGACCCCCCCCTAGCATCACACGATGCAACCCTCGACGACGGCATGTCATTAGCTCATTACCCGACTGTTCCCTCCTCTACATCGGCGATGCCAGCCCCGCCCTCAGCCCTTCTTCCCCTTTCTTACTCCACCCCAGCCCACCTTCAATCCTTCTTCCCCACACGCCTCCAGCACACCCACCCCCACACCCACCCAAAGAATACCCTTCCACCCATCCCACGTAACTCCACCACACCCGCATAGCAAACACCTCTACCCATGCTTTGCCCCCGCGCTGCCGCCCCGCGCCGAGTGCAGCAGCGACAGCGCGTACTGCACCCGCTTGGCCACCGAGTTGCACGGCCCCGTCAGCCGTACCGCGCGCAGGCTGGCGACGTGGCGGCGGCAGTCGCGCGCCAGGAAGTCCACCTGGTCGTCCACCTGGCGCACGGACAGCTCGCTGCCATCGCAAAACAGCACCTGTGTTGGGGGGGGGGGTAAAGAGGAAACAACTGACTGACCGTGTGTTTCAGGAGGGGGGCGTGAGAGATGGCAGGGTTGGTCAGGGTTGGTTGCCGGCTATATCTTTGTAAGCCCAGGTGTTCAGGTAAGCAAAACTGAATGGAAGCGGGGGTCAGGACTTTCGGCCCGGTAATGTAGGGAATGCCACTCATGCTGGGGTTGAGGGCTGCCAGGGGGCAGTACAGAGCAGGAGGCAGAACGGCAGCCGGTTACCGGCAGTCAGCCCACCTGCAGCGTCCCAGCGCTGGTGCACACCGCCAGTGCCTTGGGAGTGCGGGTCCACCAGGTGATGTACACCGCCGGGAGCTGGGTAGGCGGCGGTGGTGGCGGTGGCGGCGGAGGAGGGGGTGATGGCTGCGCCGTTGCTGCAACCTCCTGTCCGGCTGCCTCCCCAGTCGCTGACGTCTGGCCCCCCGGCGTGCTTGCGCCGCTGCTGTCACTCGGGCGCTCCAGCATGCCCCCCTCGCCTGACAGCAACATGCCCTCGAAGCTACGCAGCAGCCGCAGCTTCTTGACCACGTCCCGTTGACGCGGGGAGGCGCCGCCGCCTCCGCCGCCGCCAGCCCCGTCGCCTGACGCCCGCGCGGCCTCAGCTTTCGCGGTATCCAGCAATAGCGGCTGCGCATGCATGGGCGGCGGCTGCGGCAGCAGCAGCGACGCCGGCCCCCCGCCACCAGCTCCTGCTGCTGTCGTGCCGTAGGAGCCGCCAAGCAGCCACGCGTAGGCGCAGCCATGCTCCCGGATCATTTGCGTGCCGTCGCGGAACATCACCCCCACGGCGCCGTTCGACAGCAAGTACGACAAGCCGTATTTGGACGAGTAATCCAGCCACTTCACCATGAGTACCTCCCGAAGCCCCGGGCTCATCTGCGGCTGCATGGGGGCCTGAGACTGGACCAGCAGCTCGGCCTGCTGGGCCTGAGCGGGCTCTACCGTTAACATGGTCGCATGCATGTGTAGCGGTTGCTGCTGGTGGTGGTGGTGGTGGTGGTGGTGGTCTGCTTCCACTGTCTTTGCCTGTGGCTGCAGGGGGCTCTTCGGGCTGACTAGGCCCTCCGCAGTCCGCCGCTTTGTCACCCTGCGTGTAGGGCTGCTGAACCGAGCCCCCTGCCACGCTGCTGCTGCTGCGCACTCCCCGCCGGACGTTATGCAAGCGACCTCGGTATAGCCGTTGCCGCTACGGGTAACCCCGAAAGGGCTACTTCCAGGAGCCCCGGCTGCTGCTGCTGCGGGGGCAGCAGCAGCACTGCCCCCAGCCGCTGCACCAGCCGCCACCACGCCAGCCGTGCCTCGCTGCGAGAAGGTCCGCAGCGTGGCCGGCATCATGCGGCTGGGGCGGTAGGAGAAGCTGCCGTTGCGGCTGCCCGCCGCGCAGTCCTTGAAGGAGCGCGTGCGCAGGCGGCTGGCGAGCTCCGCAAGCGCATCTGGGTCAATCTCGGGGACCGGCTCGGGGACGGAGCTTGAGGGAGCTATTGCTGCTGCGGCCAGCGCAGCAGGACAGGCAGCGGCGTGTGCGGCTGCGGCTGAGGTTGCGCGGGTAGCGGTGGTGATGGTGGTGGTGATGGCAGCAGGGGTTTCGGATACGGACCCCAGCGCATGAGCCGTGGAGGTGTCGTGGGAGTACGGCGGCAACTGCAGCGGCATGGGTTGGGGTTGGGGTCCGGGTTGTGGTCCGGTGCTTAGGAGTTGGGGGCATAGGCCTGAGGCAATGGCCGTGGCTGCGGCGCCGCCTGCAGGTGACGTGGTACCACCGCTGCAACAGTGGTGGTTGGTGGCGGCGGCGGGGGGGTTGGGGTTGGGAAGGGCTGCCATTGCGCTTGCAGCTGAGCCCGACAGGGATGCTGACTGCCCGGGAGCAGCTGCTGCTGCTGCCGCTGCTGCCAACACAGGCACTCCTGTAGGCCGGTGAGCTGAGCTGCTCGAGGGCGGGTGTGTGCCATGCGGCAGAGATCCGCAATGCGGGCAGCCGCCATCAACACTTGGTGGTTCACCCGAAGCGGAGAGGCAGGCCGCGCCGCTTGCAGGCGCCGCTGCCGTTAATGCCGCCCCCCTTAAGGCTTGTGCCTGTGCAGCAGCTGCTGGCGGCTGGGCTGGGTAGCAGTTACCCCCGGCGTAGGCGTCGCCCTTGCCAGCGCCACTGGAACTGGCCGCGTCTTGTAGGGCTGCAGGCATGGCACCCGCAGCCGCTCCTGAAGCCTGAGGCCCCTGCGCAAGCGGTTGTTGAAGCTGACAGGCCGATGCAGGGGAGGCATGCGAGCCGGCCTCCAGGGGTGCAGGTTGCGATGCTTCGCAACCGTCGCTTTCTCGCTCAGTCGGCAGCTGCTGCGGCGACAGCTTTGAGGGCTGTTGCTGCAGCTTTTGCTGCGGATTCATGAACCGCTGGAACAGAGGTTGCGGCCAGACGCGCCACCCAGACGCAGCCCTTAAGGAACGCGCCCGGCTCCCATGCCCCTTTCCATCGGGGCCCACTGCCATCTCCGTTGACAGCTGCTCGCCTGCCGACCCTGCTCGTTCCACGGGCCCGTTCCTGGCCGCCACCGCCGCCGCCGCCACCGCAGTCACCTCACCGCTGCTTCCCGCCTTGCCGCCAGCCTTTGCATCCCCGGGCTTACCCGCTGGCGCCGCCGCAGCTGTCGCGGCTGCCGAGCGCCCGTCTGCACTCACCGGAATGTCGCCCACAGGTGCCCCCAACATGCCCTGCCCGGCGGACCCCATCAGCCGCTCCGAAAAGCTCGACGGCATGACCGCGCCCAGCAACGTGCCAGCCAGCGGCGCGCCGTCCGATGAAGCCAGCGCGCCCGCAGCGGTGAAGGCCAGAGGCGCGAAGTCGTCTGCGTCGCATGACTCCAAGTGCCGGAGCACCAACTCCACCTCCAGGGAAGCACGCACCTGCTGCGGTGACCCGCCCTCAACCCTGCCCGCAGCAGCAGCGCCGCCGTTGTCGCTCCGCGGCCTACGATGCCATGCCCAGGTGGTTGCAGAAGCGTCACGCCTGCTGCTGCTGCTGCCGGCGGCGGCGGCCTTACCCACGGTGTTGCTACTGGTCGTGCTGGGGCCGTTCGCAGCGCGGCGACAAGGGCAAGGTGCCGCAATGGATGCGGTGCGTGGGACTGCCGGGGCCGCCTCGCGACCCGTGGGTCCGCAGGCTTGGCCAGCATCAGGCTTGGTCGAGGTCGCGGTGCTGGCGCCCCTCCACGCGGTACCATTTTCCTCGCCTGTGGCCCTGCTGCTGCTGCTGGTACGGCAAACGCCGATAGCACTGGCTGTCCAAGGCTCTTCAGCAGCGACTGGACTTGCGACGTCAGGTCTCATCGCGGAGCGGCCTTCGCCTGAGCTCCTCCTCATGCCGTTGGCCCTCTCCGCATCGTCCTCGCTGACCTCACCCTCCGGCTCCTCCAGCAGCAGCGCCGCCAGACGTGCGGCCTCCTGTTGGCGCTGCGCTAGCGCCAGCGCCCGCCAGGGGTGCATGTGCGTGCTCGGAGCGGCCGATCCCAGCGGTCCAGTGCTGGCTGTCGGTGCAACGTCAGCAGCTGCAGCTGGCGCAGTAGCGGGCCTTGATGCTGCATCTGCGCCCGGCCTGCTTGGCCTTGCAGCTGTATGGGGCTGGGCGGCGTAAAAGGTCGGCGGATGTGATTCGGATCGCAGCTGGAGTTCAGAAGCGCCGTCCGTTGCTGCATCCGCATACACTGGGATCTGCACCCCCCATGCCCCGCCCCACGCGCCAACAGCATTGCTCACAGGCTCCCCGGAAGCTTGGAGTGGCGCCGCACTAGCCGGTGATGGTAACATGAGCAATGCAAACGATGGCGGCCCGCTGTCGTACCCCGCCGCAGGAACAGTCGCCGGATGCGGCGCCGGGGCTTTTTGCATGGCGGCCGGAGCGCTGGCCACAGCAGCAGCTGTAACACGGCAGCGTGGAGAACCCGTCTGTGCAGCATGCATTGGCGCCGGGGCTTCGCAGGCGCCGAAACTGAAGGCAAGCTCGGGTCCAAGCTCACTAGCAGCTTTCGCCAACCCAGCCCCGGGCACACCTCCGTGTTGCACCCCGGGGGCCAGACGCCGGTCAAAGGGCATGGACCTCGAGCTCAGAGAGCGGCTGCTGTGGCGAAGGGCGGGTGATAGGGCCAGGTTCACCGCGACCGGCGCCATGTTTCCTGAACCCACCGTCGCCGGGCTCCCTGAAACCGGCGGTGGGCTGCTGGAGTCCAACCGCTCATGAGGCATGCACGAAGACACACCGCTGCGACTCATCGGCCCCCCAACAGAGCCCCGCCCATGGCGAAGGACTACCGGTACGACGGGGGCCATCCCTGCCGCCGCCGCCGCCCCCGCCCCCGCCGCCATCGTTACCGGAGCAGCCGGGGCAGCAGCCATGGCAGGCGCGCCCATGCGTGTAGTAGCCGATGGCGCCACAGGTGCCGGTCCGCGCCTGGCTTGCGCGGCGGCCGCACGCGCGTCGCCCCCAAGCAACACCGCCTCCAAGCTGTCAGCGTAGGAGGGGCCTGTGTCGCTGCTGCCGTCAATCTCCCCGTCTCCCTCCCCGGTGGCGCCGTACCCGCTAGGCACGCTGCGCAGGGCGCTAACGTAGCGCAGCCCGCTGCGGCTGTTGCCGGAGCGGCTGGGATGCAGGCTGCCACGACTGTACGACGCCATGGGCCGGTGACTGTAGAACGCAGCGCGCATCAGCGCCGGGGCATCCCGCACACCCGGGCCCGTGGTGCCTGCGTCGGTTCCTCCACTGGTGCATGCACCCGTGCCCACCGACGTGGCGTTGCCGGCGCCGCCGAGGTCTGACAGGCCCACCGTTGAGCTGCAGGCTGTGGCACGTCGGGCGCGCCGGAGGCCGGATAGCTCCGGGCGCAGCGGGGGTCGTGGACGAGGGGAGCTTGATGCCAGGGGCGAGCTGTTCTGGCGGCTGGAATGGCGAGGGCTGATGGAGACGGAGGGACGGCCGCTGATGCAGCTGGTGCTGTGCATCAGCTGCGGCTGTTCAGCTGATGCCCGCAGTGCACTGCTGCTGCTGCGGCTGCTGACACTGGCGGCCTCACAACGTGCGGCGGGTACGCTAGATGCTGCTGCGGCGGCGGCGACGACAGCAGGAGCAGCAGCAGCAGCCGAGCTGGGATCAGGACAGGGGGCGCTAGCGGGGGCGTGCTGCTCAGGAGCAGCCGTATCCGGGGCCGCAGCAGGGCCGGTGTGACAGCAGGTGGATCGCTTGCCGCTGTTGGCGCAGTCACAGCTACAGCTGCTGGCAAGCTGAGGAAGCATGTCACGCAGAAGCTGCGGACGCTGTTGTACGGCATACGGATGCGAGGACTGCAGGGGTTGTGCATGGTGGTGATTTAGGTGCTGGTAGTGCTGCTGGGAGTACGGGCGCTGCCGCTGGGAGCAGCAGCAGCAGCAGGGGGCGGCGGGTAGGGACGACGACGGCGGCTGCTGCGGTGGTACAGCGCAGCCGCAGACGCACCCGCAGATGCCGCCGCTGGCAGCCGCGTCCAACCCCAGCACTGAGCCCGAGGCTGCGCGGTAGGTGGTGCCAGGAACGCTGCCGTGCGGCCGGAGCGGCCTTTGCGGTTGCGCGGCTTGGCTGGACTTCGCCGCCTGCTGCTGCTGCTGTTGTTGCTGCTGCTGCTGCTGCACCAACAGCAAGTGCTGTTGGTGCGTCCCTTGCTCCGATCGGTGCGTGCGCTGCTGCAATGTGCCAGTGTGCGCATGCGTGTGGGGGCGCGGAAGCCACCGCGCCGCGTCCTGCGGACTTGCGCAGGGATGCGGCGGCGGCGGCGCGCAGTGCTGTCCCTCGTGGGGGCTGGCTGACGCCGGGAGCCACGGGCCCGCCTCATCCAGGCAAGCCGAGGTGGTGACCGAGGTCAGCGCACTCAGCTGCTCGCTCTGCGATATCTCCATGTAGGACCCGCTCGTGCTGTCATCCGCACAACAGCCCCGATCCCCGCCGCCGCCGCCCGCGCAACGGCCCGCTGCTGCCGCCGCTGTCACGGCCGCCATAAGCCCCGCATCCGCCAGCAACATCGGCGCCAACACATCAGCCTCCACACCCGCGCCACCATGCTGCTGATGATGATGCTGGTCAGCAGCTGTTGCCGGCAGCAAAGCGGCGACGGCCGCCGCTGGCAACGCCCGCGGCCGTGGCGGCGCCGGCGTGAGGTGCCGTACGAAAAAGGGGTGGCGGCGTACCTGCGCCAGCGAGGGCCGCGCCGCCGGGTCCACTACCAGCAGCTCAGCCACCAGGCTGCGCGCCTCGGGCCCCAGCGGCACCTCAGCATCCTCCGGGAACGCATACAACCCCTGCAGAATCCTGCCGTACGTCGTCTGCACCTGCGGCCCAGTCGCCGCCGCCGCCGCCGTGTTGCCCCCACGTGCGGAGCCCTCGCCCTCCGCACCCCCTACGTTCCCACCGCCACCGCCACCCCCTCGGCCCGCGCCGGCTGCGGAGAACGGCGGCCGGCCGACCAGCAGCGTGTACAGCATCACTCCCAGTGCCCAGATATCCACCTCCAGGCCGTACCCCGCGGGCCCGGGCCGCAGCACCTCCGGCGCCATCCAGTTGAGGGACCCGCACGTGGAGCGCCGGCGCGCGTGCGGCGTGGGCAGGTAGCAGGCCAGCCCCAGGTCGCCCACCTTGATGGCGCCGTCGCGGCCCAGGAACATGTTGGAGAGCTTGAGGTCGCGGTGCGCCACGCCGCAGCCGTGCAGGTGATCCAGCGCGGAGAGGACCTAGCATGCGGGGACACATGGGGTGCGAGGACACGGGGTGAGGAGCAGGAGGCGCGCAGGAGCAGCGGGAGAGGGACATGTGCATGAGGACGGCAGTGGGGGCAAAGATTGGGAAGAAAGGGACTCATGTCATGCTTGCTGCCTCGTTGCCCCGTTTTCACCCCTCCAGCTGCCTCCCCAACCTCACCTGCCAAAGCACCAGTGCCGCCTGCAGCTCGCTCATGCGCCCCACGTGCTTCAGCAGCTCGCACAGCGTCATGCCTGCGGGGTGCGGGGGCAGGGCCGTGGGTCGTGGATGGGGTTCTCAGGGGGGCAGCAACGGACTGCAGCAGGAATGGCAGCACTGGCAAATTCCGTAGCGCTGCCTGGCAACACCCATGACAGCCGCCCGCCCAGACAGACATGCCGGGACAGACAGCCCCCATGCACACATCCTGCCCTCTCTCCTGCAAATCCATGCAGCCCCGCCCCCTGCCCCGCCCTGCCCCCCCCCGCTGCCTCACAGCACAGCTCCTGCAGCAGGTAGACGTTCTGGTCGTCCTGGAAGGAGCCCAGGAAGGTGACCACGTGCGGGTGGTGCAGCAGCTGGTTGATGTCGATCTCGTTCTGCACGCGGCGCAGCTTGTTGGGGTCGGCCAGCGCGCCCAGGGGCAGCACCTGCGGGGGCGGGGCGGGGCGGGGTGAGGGGAAAAACAACAAGTGGGGGAGGCGGGGAGGAGGAGAAGGTGAGGCGCATGCTGGTTGGGGTTGGATGCTAGGGGCGGAGGGCAGCCGGCGTGTGAGGGTCACATGCTGTTTACCTTGGCGGCCAGGCGGCATCCATCCGAGACGCGCTCCACCTCGTACACCGCAGCCGAGCCTCCGTAACCCAGGAGCCTAGGAATGGGAACCGGACGGACGGGGTTGGATGCCGGGAAGCGCGCGTCACCATAGTGGCTGGAGAAGCCTGGGGCAACCCAGTTACTAGTACGGTGAAAGCTGGGGATGATGCTGACAGAAGTCGGCTGTCCCCAACAGTGCGACCTAGCGAAGGGAAGGAATGGCGCATCCCAATGGAGAGGCCGACAGTCCCAACTCACGCCTACCGGTGCTTAACGAAGGACTCCTGTTCACCATCCTCCGCGTAGTGGATTGTTGGTGGACAGGCCTGTATGGCGCAACCGGATGCTTGCCGTAAGATATTCGCCGATGGACTGAACATGTTGTGTGCCACAGCAAGCACTACGACCCCTACTCACCACGACGGGACGACGTTTATGCATAATAACCCGAAAGCGTCGTGAATTGGCTTAAGGGTCCAGAGCACATGAACCGAGCCGGAAGCCGTGCACAGCCAAGGCCCCAAGGCCTGACTGAAACAAAGCTATCATAACAATGAGTTAGGCATAATTGTTAGAGCCCGGTGTAAAAGAAGAAGTAACGGTGAGGTTTGTGAAAAAGACTCCGGTTGTATGCGATATTCGCAAAGTTGCGCAAGGCATGTATAGTCGACTATTTTAACATGTAAATGCTAAGATGTATACATAACTTGCAACTGGGCCATGCGGCATTGTGGCCGACTTGCAGCTCCGTAAGGCCGGATTTTGCCGTGCTCGCTGTTTCAGTCTACCTCCTATCCTGACGCTGGTCACTGTCCTTTTGCCATACTCGTTTGTCTCACTACTTTTTACGTAGTAACAATGGTGCAAGACATAGATCCCTTTTCGGTAGCGCGGGACTTGTTCCCGGACATGCCTCCTGGCTTCCCTTTTGAGAACTTTGAACTCGAGGAGCTTATCTTGCCAGATGGCGATGACTTGGGCATTAAGAGTGATGACGATGATATCAAGGAGGAGGATGTGCAGACGCAGTCTGGCTTTGGATCGTGCATCGGTGAGAGATGGCGGCTGTAGACACCCCGCCTCTGCCAGAAGGCCAGATCAGGGCAGCATCAGTTACTGAATTCCCTTGCGTACAGTTATCCAAAACCTGCCCAAGGCGCCGGAGGAGAAGTATGAGAAGCTCATGAACGTGGTCCGCACCATTGCCAGCAAGCTGGGAGACGTACGCGACAGTGAGTATGGCATGCTTGGCTTTAAAACAGAGAAAGATTTCCTTGATGTTTTCGTCTATTTTGTTTGTGCTATGGGGCGGCGCTTGACGATTTCGGCGCGCTTGCCCTTTCCTACAATATGCAGACGGGATTTTCATGCCTCTTGACGAGGCGACAAAGCTCACGAAGGGATTTGCGTTCGTGGAGCTGGCGCGCAAGGAGGTGGGAGCATTGCTGCAAAGCAGGGGGCTACAAGCTAAAGCAGCTTTCCAGGCATGGCTTAACGCTGAAACTGATATCATGTGTAGGATGCCGATGCGGCTTTGCTCGATGAGCGCTTCATCAACGGCTATCAGCTTGACAAGAACCACAAGCTGACGCTGTGCCGGTTTGACGACTTTGACAAGTATGCCAAGGTGCCGGACGAGTACTCCCCCTTGGAGCCAGCTCCTTACAAGCAGCCGGTGCGTTGGGGCGTGGTAGTAGACATGTTTTTGGGGTACCAGGATATCAGGGGTGGCGTGGAAGCTCTGCGCCTGCCACTGCCAGAAGCTGGCTCCGCCAGTTCGCCGCAGCGTGATGTCTTCTGCAGCAGAGGCAGTATGGGGACGGCGGGGGAAGGCGGTCGCAGCCGGCAGCAGCCACGCGGAGACAGCGGCAATGCGTTATGCGTCCACACGACGGCGGCAGCACAACCCGCTGCAGCAGCAAGCATGGACAGCGAGGAGGACGAGCGATGCTGCAGGCGTTTGAGCCGCAGCAGCAGCAGCAGCAGGAGGGAAGGAGGGGAGCGCGTTGACCCGCTTCGGACCCGCACGTGCATGGAGGCTTGCAGTCTTGCTTCTCGGCTTATGCAGGGCACGGGGGCGCCGACTAGGGGGCGCGTCCCGGGGTTCCGACATACCAGCCTTGCCCCTGCGGCAACGCGTCAGGCAACACGTGTCCCCCGTTGGTGGCTGAAGGTTTGCGATGCAGACGCACCCGTGGCGGTGCATGTCCCTAAGTGCATGAGGGCATGCGCCGCCACGGATGAGCATAGCACCGCAAACCCTCAGCCGCCAAAGGGAGGGCACGCATCCTCTGACAAGCGACGCTGCTCGTCACAGCATCCCCCATTCCCATGCACCCGTTTTACATCCCTCCAACCATCGTCCCCGCACCCTCACCCCACCCCGCACCACGCCACGCAGGAGAACCTGCACAGCTGGCTGGCAGACAAGCTGGGGCGCGACCAGTACGCGATGCGCCACGGCGACAACACCATGGTCTGCTTCAACGACGGCAAGCGCGGCCGCGCGGATGTCGCCTTCCAGCGCGAGTACTGGACCGAGTCCTTCGTGCAGTGGTCTCCGCAGGGCACCATGCTCGCCACCATGCACCGACAGGGTATGGCGGTGTGGGGCGGCCCCTCCTTCACGCGCCTCAACCGCTTCGCGCACCCCAACGTGCGCCTGATCGACTTCTCGCCCAACGAGAAGTACATCTTGTCATACACCAGCCATGAGCCCGTAAGCGCGCGGGACTCCTTCCACGTGCTCATTAACATCTGGGACGTGCGCGCCGGGAAGCTCCTGCGCAAGTTTGAGGGCCCCGCGGACGAGTACGCGGTTGGATCCTCCGCGGGCCCCAACGGCGCGCTCAAATGGCCGGTGTTCAAGTGGGCTGGCGGCCGCGACGACCTGTACTTTGCGCGCCTGGGCCGCGGCAAGATCTCGATCTTTGAGTGCCCGCACATGGGCCTGCTGGGCAAGGAGTCGCTGAAGCTGGACGGCGTGCAGGACTTCGAGTGGAGCCCCTCGGAGCCGCTGCTGGCGGCCTACTCGGCGGAGCAGGGCAACCAGCCGGCGCGCATCGTGGTGTATAAGATCCCCGAGCGCATCGAGCTGCGCCAGAAGAACATGCTGAACGTCAGCGGTGAGTCGCAACTGGCGGGGGTGGGCGGGTGGGTTAAGAGGGGCTTTGCATGACACGGTTGTGGGGAAGAGCTAGTTGCATGGTTCTGGAAAGGGGGCTAGAGGAAGGACGAAGGGAAAGGCAAATGCCTGGGGCGGCCAACGTTGGCAGCCGCAACGACCCAACGGCAGCCTCGGTATGTGGCGAGCCGCACGGCAGCAGCAGCAGCGGGAGAAAGACGTCTGGCCGTTAGCCAGGATGTGGGAGGCTCAACCGGCGGCGAGAGCAGGGGGCATCATCCAGCTAAGCTTGGACTTTGATTACAGCTCCGCAGTTCAGCGGCAATCTGGTTAAAATTACAAGCGCGCGGAGGTGCAGCAGCTGCAGCAGCTGGACAGCAATGCCGGCGGGTGCATGGGTATCTTGGCCCCCGCCTCAGCTGCAGGACGCCGCTGAGAACCTGCACGCAGGCGACCCCAGCAGCGGCCAGTTCGCAGAGCGCCAGCAGCAGCCATGTGGGCCACATGCTTGGTGGCGTCGTGAGGGGCTTACCTTTCCTTCATGGCTATGCAACCGCTCCTGCAACCGCCTCCGGGCTCCCCCTCATTTCCAGCACAAGCTCTGACCCCTTTCCGCCTCCCACCTGCTCCCTGTCTGCCCCCTCCCGTCCGCCCCCCCTTCCCGTTCCTCTGCTCTCCTCCCGCAGACGTGAAGCTGTACTGGCACCCCCAGGGCACCTACCTGGCGGTCAAGGTGGAGGCCTGGACCAAGACCAAGAAGTCCACCACCACCAGCTTCCAGATCTTCTGCGTCAAGGACAAGGACGTGCCGCTGGAGGTGAGGGGGATGGGATAGGAAGCAAGCCGTGGGGCCAGGAGGGGCCGGATCTAGGGCCTAGGGTGCGGGGTCGAAGGTGAAGCGGAGGACAGCGGGGGGAGCAGCGTCAAATCTTGACTCCGGGTGGTGGTATACAACCGGACGGCTGGCTTTACAGTTGCGTGTGGAAGGATAGCAAGCTGATCGCTGCAGATCTCCCCTCACCCTGACCTCCGTCCCCTCCTCGTCCCGCCCGCCCGCAGGTGTTTGAGCTGAAGAACAACAAGGAGCGGGTGATCAACTTCGCGTGGGAGCCCAAGGGACACCGGTTCGCGGTCGTGCACGGCGACGGACCCCGCCCCTCCATCTCGTTCTTCACCATGCGGGACGACAAGAACCGCCTGGGCGTGCGCGAGCTGAGTAAGTGGTGCGGCGGGGCTCTAGAAGAAGTACCGGGGGTGCCGGGTGTCCCAGGAGGGTAGTAAGGAAAGGAAATCGACAATGAAACACGCACACTGCTGGTGCGGTTGGCCTCCGGTAGCGGAGGGGTGCACGAGGTGTAGGGGGGCGGCGAACAGTTAAGGACTCCAGTACACCCCCCTTGCTATTGCTACATGCACCGTCTCACCCAGCCGAGCAGCCCGCATGCCCGCATCTGCCCGCATGCCTCCCTCCTCACGTGTCACCTCTCCGACCTCACCCCCACCTCTCCCGCCTCACCCCCACCCCCACCTCTTCCCTCCCGCAGAGGTGCTGGACAACCGCGCCTGCAACGTCATCAGCTGGTCGCCGCAGGGCCGCAACATCGTGCTGGCGGGCCTCAAGAACTTCAACGGCCAGCTGGAGTTCTTCAGCGTGGACGAGATGGAGACCATGGCTACCGCGGAGCACTTCATGGCCACCGACGTGGAGTGGGACCCCACGGGGCGCTACGTGGCGACGGTGGTGTCGCACGTGCAGCAGATGGAGAACGGAGTCAACATGTGGTCGTTCGGAGGGCGGCTGTTGTACAGGTGAGGGGATAAAGAGGGGGTGTGGGGTGCCGTGGCGGGCGGCGGGGTGGGAGCGGGGCGGGGTGGCTACCATGGGGTGCAGGAAGGTGGGAAGAAGGATGGGGCTTGCAAGGTATTGTGAGGAAAGCGGCAGGAGGTCCATCATCACCCCAGCTCCTTTCCTTTTCCTCCTCCCCGTTACCGTACCACTACTGCCACTGTCTCTCAACGCCTCTACCCCACCACCCCCACCCCCACCAATACCGCAGCACGCAACGCGACAAGCTGTACCAGTTCAGCTGGCGGCCCCGCATGCCCAGCCTGCTGCCGCCTGAGAAGGAGGCGGAGATCGCCAAGAACCTCAAGCAGTACACGAAGCGGTACGACGAGGAGGACGAGCAGCTGCTCATGCAGGTGGGTGTACGGCGGATGCGGCGGGGCATTGGGTATAAGTTGAATGGTTGGATAGTGGAGGGGTATATGTCATGGCTCGGTGTCATGTAGGTTAGTGCTGCGGGTCAGTGGGGCAACTGCTCCTGTTGGGCGGGGGCGGGGTTACGTCGTCAGCAGCCTCCTGTCCTAACCTGAACCTCTCCTCCGCCTCCTCTCCTAACCCCCGCCCCTCCCTGCCCCCCTCCCTCCCCCCCTCAGGCCGACGCCGACGTGCTGCAGGAGCGGCAACGCGCGCTGGACGAGTGGAAGGCCTTTGTGGAGAGCCGCCGCAACTACGCGGCGCTGCAGCTGGACTTCAAGCGCGAGCTGTACGGCGCGCGGTTCGCGGAGAAGGAGTTCTCCATCCAGAAGGTCATGGTGGAACAGGTGGTGGACGTGAAGGAGGAGCCGTACAACAACAAGTAAAGCGGCGGTGCTGGGCGGGTCTTTTGCCTAGGTGGCGGTGGGGGGTGCGGAGGGCGTGTGGGGGGTATTAGGAGGAGATGGTTTCTGCGGGTGGTTTGGGGCTTGCAGGGGGAAAGAAAATGTCGGAATACACACACAGACAGCGCCGGGGGGAGTATATGGAGGAGGGTGCGCCGGTCCGTTGAGCCCGCAACAGTAGCTGTATAGATATGCTGGGAAGGAGGAGGCGGAGGTCATGTTAGGCAGGTACATGCAGGCTGGCGCCACGTGGGGTTTGCGCCGCCGAGGGGGTCATCAGTTGCCCCTGGTTATCGACTTGTACCGTTGGGGCGGAACCATTCTCTCGCTGTGCTGATTGCATGTCAGGTGCTTTCGGCAACACGAGTGTGTAGGGCCTGGTGGCATGGTTTGCAGTGGCCTGCGGTCCTGCTGCCGAGGTCATCAATAGCAATAGCGTACTGGGGTTGGGGTTACAAACGCTGAAGGTGTTGACGGCGTGTGGGCACGGTTGCTTTCAGACGCAACATCTGGAGTGTTGGGAGGTGGCAACATACGTTGCACACGGGGTTAGGTGTGTGGGGTGCACGGGCAGAGTATGTTCCTGGCGAGATAATTCGGTAGAAAGGTGTTGCGAACAGCTTTTCGCGGCAGGCTGGATCCTTTAGGTAGCTGGCATGGATGAAAGCGGCTGTTGGGGTTAGGGGCTTAGTAATGATTCGGCTGAGCGCTGAAGCTTAAGGGATTAGATGGGTAGGCATGCGCAGGTGCGTTGATCTTTACGAATGACGGATGTAGGCACATTGCGATGACTAAAAGCGACAAACATTTCTGTCATGGCCTAGAAGGCCGGTACTTATTGCAAGTAATGCAAGTGCCTGCATTGTTCCTTCTTGGGAGTGTGTAGTTCCCACGCGGTGAGCATATGACAAGTAGTCTTATTGCAGCAAGGACTATAAATATAAACACCTCTTGAGTCCATAGTTCACCTTGCAATGCTTGGACATCGCTCAGCGCTATGGCAAAGCAGGCAGCACAGCTCGCGTGGACAATGCCTACGCCATGCTCCTACAAAACACCGCCGAACACTTTGGAAGTCGCGAGCGTCAGGAGATGACCTCCCACCTGTGACACGCCTATCAGCGGAGGATGCCTGCAAGCTACTTGATGTTAGCACTAGCGCAACCTTTGAGGAGATAGTGCAAGCGAAGAATCGCAAGCTTTCCGCAGCAGATGGAGATATGGACAAGGTACACGAGCATGTGCTTCATGCTTGCCGCGATGATCTATCGACAATGCCTATGTTCCTGTGCGACCTTGGTGCCGATGGATGGGTGGTCGCGCGGTTGGTGGACCTATTTGCGTGACCCCAATAGGCAATGAGCACCGCGCCAACATAAAAGCAATGGCGCATCTTCCTTAGTGAACTGGGCTTGGCCGTGCCTGGACGAAGCCTTCAATCGACTGGAAAAGTCCCTGGCAAACCGGGCAGACCGTTTCAAACCTACATTTCTTACTGAGGCTTTAAAACGCGCTGTTATGTCTTGGTAACAACAGATACATTTCTGTCCATCTATCTGCTTTATGTCCCTTCCATGAGTGCTTCATGCGTCCAACACAACCCTCTGGCACTTGTCCCTGCCACAGGTTGTGGCTATCGAGAATGCTTACGGTGCGTGGATGGCGCGGATCAGCGCGGCGTTGCCGCGACTAGGGCTTAGGGATGTTGCGTAGCGTGTGTGGCCGTCTCTGGCGTGTGAGACATCTCGGGTTCGCAACACAGCGAGTACCGGTACCGATACCCGGCCCAGTGGAATTGATTTCCGCTTGGCCGGGTATTAGGTTTCGCCGGGTTGCAAACTCAAGATGCGTCAACCGCTGTGGCAATCCATACGGCACCCTCACACAACCAAGTGCGGGCCTATCCCATACACTGTACGCCCCCGCTTCAACGCCTCCTCCTCCCACATGTCACTCCCTCCTTACCGGGGACGTCATGGCAGCGCACGCGCAGAGCAGTGCACCGCCCCCGGCACATCTGTGCACTGTCCTACAGGCGTGCGACCCTACCTTGATCCTACCACATGCTACCGCTCCCCTGGGCCCTTCGCCAGACACTGCGCCTGCCGCTCCCTACCACGTTCCCATCAGCCCCCGCCTACCCTGCCCCTTACTGCCCTCCGCTCCTCGCCGCTCCCACAGACACCCTCTTCATGCGCAGCATGAAGAAACGCATCTCCGGTGAACTGGAGGTGTCCACCAGTGTACGCTATGCGGATGTGCCCGCCGCACCCAAGCGTGGGAGCGCCGTCAAAGCAACGGTGGGTCGTTCGCCCGCCGTCCCCCCGTCGTTCCCCCGCGCCTGGCCCTTTCCATGACACCCCTTCCTCTCCTCACCTCTCCACCCCCCCTCCTCACGCTGACCCAGCACTGGTTTTGCGGCACCCTGCCACTCCTATTCCCATTGTCTTGCCCCAACCTGTGGTTTCCTATGGTTTGGTAATGGTCTGTGACACCCCTCCTCACAGAAGCAAGCCACCGCCGGCAGCAGCAGTAGCGGCGGCGCGCCCTCCCTCAAGTCCCCGGCTCCCCGCCTGCCCCCAGGCGGCCTGCCCGTGGGTCTGGCGCTGCCTGCCAGCCGGCGGGTGGCCCTGGTGCAGGGCGGTGTGTTCGCGACGTGCGGGCTGTGGGCGCTGCTGCAGGCGCTGCTGGAGTCGCCCGAGGCGCAGCTGGGGGACACGGCGGGGCTGCAGGTGGCGGTGGCGCTGGGGTACTCGGTGTACAGCATGCGGGAGGACAAAAAGATGGGACTAGGTGCGGAGAGGGGGGGGGGGGGTAAACATTAGTGACACACTGACGAGGCAAGGAAGGGGGGGTCAAAGACCATACCGAACCATAGGAAGCCAAGGAAGGAGGGGGAAGGCGGTGGGCGGAATAGAGGTGGGCGGAGGTGAGGGTGGGATCACAGGATTGGGAGCCCGCACCTGCTCAGGTCTGCACCCCGGCCAATCCGCTGCTGTGGCTGTGTCGTGCTGTGCTGAGCTGTGTTGCCCTGAACACGCCTGTCTCCCTGTCGCACCCCGGAGGAGGCACGGTGGTGGCTAACAAACACCGGGTGCGGGAGTGTGTACCAGCACGCAGCCATGCACCCCCCCTCTTGTTGCAACCCATGTTGACGCCTTATCCCTCAGTCAGTTAGTTGTTTCCTCTTTACCCCCTCTTGTCGACCCACCTGTTGCAACCCACCCGCAGGCAAGGCGACGGCACTTACGCTGGGGTGTCTGATTGCGGGGGCTCTGGTGGGCACGGGTGTGGAGGGCTGGCTGAGAGTGGACATCGTGCCCATCGGGGTGAGTGTTGACCGGCACTGCGGTTGCGCTCGTCGGCAACCCAACGTGGCCCGCCCCTCCTCGCATCACTTTCCGCTGTTGACTGTTGCTGTTGACTGTTGCTGTTGACTGTTGCTGTTGCTGTTGCTGTTGACTGTTGCTCCCCAGCCGACCCGCAACCGCCTTCCGAACCCGATCCACCGCCGCCCTCCACCGCTCTCATCCAACGCATGGTTCTTCTCCACTTCTCGTCCCCTCCCCTCCCAATCCCCTCGCAGAGCTTCAGCTCCCCCGGTGTGTTCGTGTCGGAGGCGGTGCTGCTGCTGATGGGGCTGGGCTGCGTGTTCCTGGTGTGAGGGCACACGTGGCGGGAGGGGAGGCAGCGGGTGTGAGGCATTGCAGCATTAGTGGCGAGGGAGATACAGTGCGCGGGTCAAAGGTGAGGGAGATGAGTAGAGTTGGTAGAGGCTGTAGCGACGAGAAGCCGCCTGGTGTGAAGCGTGGTGCGTGAGGGTTTCTTGGAGTAGGTGCGGTGCTGGTGAGGGCAGCGTGTGCAGGCTATGTCTTCATAACAGAGCGGTGGGAACGAGCGAGGCATGTGGAGAGGCCAGTTGCAGTTGCGGAAATGGAGAAAGCAAGGTGGCTGGCGGGAAGGGGTGAGTGCGGAGAGAGGGACCCTGCGAAGGCGAGGGATGTTGTGCTGCCCGGCGGCTGTTGGTGGGATATCAGGTGCAGGGGGCTGTATTACCCTGCAACTGGCGCGGCTCCTTTCCGTCAAGCGTCTAACAGCGGTAGTGTGGAGTGTGGAGTCGAGGAAGTAACATAGTAACATACGAAGACATGGGTATAAGCATTATATGAGGGATGATAAGGCTCTTGTATGCCCTTGTGTACAAATAACTTGTGAGGCTGTTGTGCAAGTCATAACCCTGAGGTCATTGAGGAGTGGTGTGAGAGGCGCTTGGTGGCACAACCCGAGGTTCGTGTGTCAGGTCTCAGGGAACGAGGCTTCAGGACATAGAGCTGTTTCGAGAGATCGAGGCACACAACAACGTTTAGACTACTAGAGGTGTTGATGCTTGAGGGGTGTTGCCCGTGAGAACAGACTCAGTCGTCTTTGCGGCTACCGGTTCACGTGCTGTACGAATCCCTTTCTTGCTGAAGTTTATAATCCCTTTGTTCCAGGGATGCCTGATCTCCAAGGTTGGGCTATGGTGTCGTACACACTTTAGTTTCAGAACCAACCGGCAAAAACTTAATCCGACGCCACATGTAACATCCCGGCATACGGGGGACCAGGTACCACCAGGACGCATGCAGGGAGGGCGCAATGAGCTTTGACAGACGGCTGCAGATTTGGAAATGGAATATACATAAAATCGCATGAGGGGAGTACGGAAGCCGACCAGAGGAGCCGCTACCCGGTTACAGCCCTTTCATACAGTGGGCCCTGGGGGCACCTGTCCGCAGGGGCTTATTAGGAGCCTCGTGCGTAGCCAGGAAGGAAGTGTCATGCCAGTGCTGGCCAGTAATATAAGACTTGGCGCCATGCGCCTGTCAGAACACGTAACACACACAAGATGGTCAGGGAAGATAGTACATGTGCACCGTAACGGGCTGTGTGCTGCTGCCGTAAACCACACAGCAGCCGTAAAAACAGGTGAGGGATTGTGTCCTCCGGTGCAGCCAGCGCCTATAGCGGGAATTCGTCTCGAAAGAGGTCCAAAAGGAAAGCGATCCAACGTCAAAAACACCACCACCACATTATAAGCTTTAGCAAGCGTCTGCAACCAAGTGTGTTTCTGTCCTGTCCTTGTGTGTGGCCATTGGTGTGCGTCCCTCTCGCTCCTGCACTTGTGCGCAGGGTAAAAGCCCACGTTCGCAAAACGGACATGCTTAAACACTCACACACAAACACGCGCACCGTAACACTCACACTTCCACACACACAACACGCAAATCTGCGAATGCTGAGGCACACACGGCTACGCACAAGGACTGCCCATGAGGCACAGCCACGCGGCTCTCTTTTGCGCTCGCAGCGTTTGCGGTGAAAATGTCAGCGTATCTCCCCGCTCAAGAGCCACGGATTGCAGGCGGCGCAAGAGCCCTACGCCACACGCCGGTTGCTGCACGAACCGTGATTTACTAAAAGGGCCCAACTGCTCTGGTCTTATAGCATCCCGTCCATCGCCTATAGTCCCCCATGCATGCCACTCTCATCGTCCCTGGTTAGTACCGTTAATCGCCCACCAGGCGTCCCGACCGCAGTGTTTCTGCCGCACGGAAACCGCCGTTGATAAATCATCATGGACAAAGAGTGCGCATGCGATTATAACTGTGTGCACACCACCACCACCACACACGGCGCCCTTCCACCGCCCATCACACAAAGTGGAATGAGCGCGCCGCTGACAACATGGTCGAATCCACGAATCCACAATCCATATAAAAAGCTCATCATCCCTCATCCGGTCGCAATGTTTGTACCCTGCTGGAGCATCCCCAACCCTTCCAACCCAACCCGAGGGCATGGAACAACGAAACGAAACAAGTGTACAATCAACGCAAGCCTCCGGCCCGTCCTCCTAACAGTCCACTTCCTGTTCCACCAACAAGCAGCCTCTCGCCGCAACATCGGGCCCTTACCACTAGCAGCAGTGCCGCTACAACGAGGCCGCTGCAAAGCAGCGCTAGCTCGCCAAGGATCCCAAAAAACCGGCCCCAAGCACGGGCGGCCAACACTCTCAGCATGCCCGCATGCGTGTCTGCCACGGTGCATCTAACAACACAGTAACAGCCGTAAGCAAGACCACACATGCAGCTCGGCCGACACAGCCAAGCTACCTGCAGCAGCTGCGCCCGCGGCGCCAGCAGCCGGGTGGCCGCATGCATGGTGGGTATGGGCCGGGATGCAGTGGGTCCCCGGGTATCTACATGGCAACCTGCTGCCGGAGCATCTGCGCGTACGCGGCGCGGCGCTGCTCCTCCTGGCGGTTGGTCTGACGCCGCCGCAGCTCCTTGAGCTCTCTGCGGGAGTGGAGGGGGTGGGCAGTGGTGGTGGGGTTGGGTTAGGTCAATCCTAATCATGGTACAGGTCGCAGTGGGGTAGAAGGGGATGACAGAAATGGCGACTACCATGGATGGGCGCCCCCATGCAACCCGGGCTCTATGTGACCTGGATGTGAACGCCGCGGTGTTGTGGCAAACGCGGATGCGCAAACTATGCACGCCCCCCATATCCTAGTTCCTTCCATACTTCCTAACACTCTGCCGTACTCATATGCGTCTTTCTCATGCCCCAAATGCCGCCTCCACGGCACGCTTCCCCACTCTCCCATTCGTCACGCTTCCCCGCTCCCAACTCACTTGCAGCGCGGCACCGGGCAGTCCGAGCGCGTGCAGCTCTTGGCGTGCAGGTTGAGCAGGCACCACATCTTCTTGCACAGCTGGCAGCCGCCCGTCACCTTGGCCTGGCAGTGCACCGCGTGCTGGAAGAGCTGCTTCACCTTGCGGCAGCTATTGCTGGTGCAGGCGTTGTTGTGGCAGCTGCACGCGTGCACCAGCAGCGCCAGCGTCTTCTGCAGCTGCTCGTTACGCTCGCGCCGCTCCGCCTCCGTTAACCGCGTCCGGGTCTCGTCCAGCGCGCGCTTGTGCGGCTGCGAGTGGAGTGAGGAGAGAAGGAGGGGGGGGGCGTCAAATCAGGAGAGTAGGCAGCCAGTACGCAACCCCCACCTCCCTTCCACATTGTCCCTGCTGTGACCCGCACCTATCACCAACAAACCAACCAACTACCCCACCACCTACCACGACGGGGTGCGCATGGCCCACGTTGAGCTTGCAGCTCTCGCACATGTCAAAGTCGGTGCAGACGGTGCAGCGGAAGCCGCACCCCGGCGCGATCTCCGCCTGGCACACGTTGCAGCTGCTGGCGAAGGCGGGCGAGTGCGGGTTGTGGAGGTGGTAGAGCACCATCATGCTGCTGTGCTTGGCGCGCCGCAGCGTGTCGAACTGGTAGTGGTTGCCCTGGCAGAGCGAGAGGAAGGTCTGCGGGGGGAAGAGAGGCAGACACACAGGGCGCAGGGAGGGGGGGGCGCAAGGGGTGCGGGTGGTAAGGAGACATATTGGTTCACCAGTCACGTGGGTTCCAGGTGAACCACCAGCCCTTCCCTTCCAAAGACCTCTCCCACCAACACAGCCGCCACCCCCAACCCATCCCCATCCCCCCCCCCACCACAGGTACCTGCCGCGTCTCGAAGAACTCGCTCTCCATGTCGCCGTCCGGGTCTCGGTCCCACAGCGGCTGCTCCTCCAGCTTCTCCACCACCAGGTCCGAGGGCAGTACCCCCGCCGGCAGCCGCAGCTGCTGGTTGGTCATCAGCCGCGTCTCCTCCTCCCGGAAGCACGCCTCGCACACCGTCAGCTGCGTCACGGTGCCCACGGGGACGCACATGCCGCCGCCCTCCAGCTTGATGCCCTCGAACTTGCGCTCCGGGGCGGCCTTGGGCGGCGTGGCGCCGGGGGGTACCCGGTAGCTGGCGGGCGGAAGGGGGAGAGGGAAACGGGAGGGGGAGAAGCAGTGAGGGAAGCGGGGTGGGAAGGGTGAGCCGACGGACAAGCGGGCGCTTCTGTTTCGGATCTTGCGTGCCAAGGAAAGCCTCACGGCTGAGTACAGCCGCCATGCCGGTCATTTGTAGCCGCCATGCCCAGGCGCAGATCCAGGCACTCACCGGTACACGATGTTGGGTCCGCGGATGTGCGTCCTGCAAAAGGTGCAGGGCTGCTGCATGTGCACCACGATGAAGTCCTCGCGCATGTTGCCGCCCAGGATCTCCCCCAGCCGCGACATGAGCTGCTCGTCCGTGGTGGCCGGCCCGCCGCCGTAGCGCTTGCCCTTGGAGCCCGCCTTGCGGCTGGGCAGCACCGCGCCCGTGGAGCTGGTGGCGCCCTTCTTGGGCCCCTTGCCGCCGCGCTGGTGGTCGGCGATGGAGGCCAGCTGGTTCTCCGCCTCGCCTGCGGGTGGCGGTGTGGGGGGAGAGGGAGAGGGAGAGGGAGGAGGGAGGAGGAGGGGGTAAAGGGGAGGTGATAGCACAGTGCGCATGCTGCAGGATGTGCATCGAAAGGAGTGACACTGTATACCATTCGCTCCTGTGCACGGTTGGTGGCAATCCTGTCTTTGCCTCTACAGGCACCTTCTATCCGAACAGCCCCGCCCGTGCCCCGCCTCCCTACCCGGCCAGTAGTCCCCCTCCATGTAGGGTATGTGCGTGGCGCTGCACTTCTCCATGCGGTGGTCCCGCCCGCCCTCGAAGTACGAGTCCCACAGCGTGGACAGGTGCACCACGATGCCCTCCTCGCGCGCCGACTTGAGCATGTCGATGTACCACATGCGCAGCCGGTCGGAGCGCGGCGTCTTCTGCTTGGTGGGGTGGCAGTACAGGATGTAGTCGTCGCCCTGCAGCAGCAGCGAGACAGGGGGGGGGGGGACATGGCGCAGGAACGCAGGTTAAGAGAGTGAGCCAGGTTCGTGGATAGCGGAGAAGAGAGGAGTCTTGGTTGCCAAGCATGGATGCCCTAAAGGGAGAGACAACAAGCAAATGAGCTTTCATGCTCATGCAAGCATTTTGCACAAGGTGCCAACGGCATGAACCCACGAAACCAACACGGCAACATGGGGATCATGGATGCAGCTGTTCTTCTTCCGCTCCTCCGCAAACGCCAGCGCCCACCCCCCGCACCTGCATGGGCGGACACGCCCAGATGTACATCTGCTCATATCCCATGTTGCGAGTGAACTCCACGTAGCCGATCAGCAGCTGGTGGTACACAAACGTGCGCAGCGACACGCCGGGCCCCATGGCCGAGGGGATCTCCGGCCGGAAGTACTTGACCGAATCCAGGTACGACAGGTACACCACGTTGGTGTTGGGCGCGGGGCACTCCCTGCCGTACTCCTGCACGTACATGCAGAAGAGGCAGACGTCCACCCCGTCGAGGCTCTGGAACAGCAGCAGCACCTTTTGCCGGTAGGGGAACTCCGAGGCGTAGCCGTCCGCCGCGAAGGTTTCCAGGAACTTGGGCTTCACCTCGCACTTCTTCATCACGCTGTTGATCATGCGCACGGTGAGGGGCTCCGGAGCCGGTACCTCGTGCGGCTGCTTGCCCTGGGGGAGGCAGTGCGGTGCAGGAGGTGGGAGGAGGTGCGGTGCAGCAGGTAAGCATGGGTAGGCAGGGGGGGTGCGTAGAGCAGTTCAGCGGCTTGGTGTCCTGCGGGGACTGCTTGACGTGGTCGGTGCCGATGCTGTATAGGGCTGTCGCAGGGCTCTTCTCGCGCTTCGAGTACACGGGTATGTAAGCGTTTTACATCCCTCCCCCCCAGTATCAAACCCAAGGAACGTGTTGCAAGAGGACGCAAAAGCACGGAACGTGGCATCGTTGGCCGCGTGGATTATGGCAGCAATTCTTTCCTGTTCCCAAAGCCCTCCCAACCGCATCCCATATCCCGCATCCCACCCAGACGTGTGCGCTGCATGCCCCCACCTGCTGCTCCGCTCTCCGAATGCGCTCCCGCTCCAGCTCCCGGTTGAGTCGCTCCGTGATCCAGTCGCTCAGCTTGCTGGTGGGCAGGTCCTTGGCCTCCAACATGGCCTGGGGCCGGATCTGTGAGCGGCGGCGGCGGTGGTGGTGAGGGGCAACGCGGGGAGGAAAAACGCGTGGGGGGTTAGCACGTCCTGAAAGCACGCATGGGCGTGGTCAGGAACAGGGGGAAGGTCACCCGCTTGGTGGAAAACAGGCCGCCGTCAGGGAGGTTGCGTGGTGACCCTTAAGCCTCGTAATTGCCGGCCCCCCTACCCTTCTTCTACGTCCCAGCAATACCGCCCCCCACCCAGCCATGCGAGAGGGTTCACTCACCACCGTCCGTTCTCGGTGCCCCCGCTCGAAGCCGTACGCTAGGCACTCCGGACACAGGTAGTGTACATCGTTGTTGTTGCGGCCCTTGTTGAACATGCCGCAGATCTGGTGCACCCAGCCCTCGCAGTTGTCGCACTGCACCCAGCCCTCCTCGATCTCCTCGTCATTTTTCCGCTTCTGCGAGGTGTCAGGACGGGTTGAGTGGGGGACAACGTGAGGGCCCATTTTGTGAAAGGCGGCATCCCTGGGCGTTCAACCGGCCAGGAGAAGGCAACAACTGCCGTGGGGGCCCGGGACAGCTCGTAGCTATTGGTGTAAGCCAAAGCCCCCGTGGTTGAACCCGCAACAACCAGGCTCGCAAGCACTTGGCGCACCCTACTTCACCGATCGCCCTCTATACAGCGTGTGCAGCCGCCGTCCCAGCCCACCCGAGGGTACTTGGCGCATCGCACTTACCACCAGGTCTGTCTTCTTTATGGACACCCCCTCCACCACGATCCGCTCCCCCTTCTGGTCGGTGAAGCACTGGTGGCAGAAGTAGCCCTTCAGGTCGTTGCCGTGCTCCGGCGGCGTGCTGTAAAAGATCTGCCCGCGCTTGATCTTCAGCGCGCACGCCGTGCAGTAGATGACCGGCGGCTCGAACGAGAGCTTTGTTAGGGTGCACACCTGGGGGTAACCGCGGTGGCGGGGCGGGCAATGCAACCCGGGAGGGTGCGTCAGCAAACCCCCGAAAGGCGCAATGCTGGACACGGCGGGTGGCTAGGTGGACACCGCTCTGGAGCTGCACCTGCGGCAGCCAAACCCTTAACCTGCGGTGTCCTGTGCCGTTGCTCCGCACCCAAAGCAGTCCTTTGCATGTTGGCCAGATGAAATTACCGACCGCGGCGCAACAGGCACCCACAGCTGTTGCCTACTACCCATAACGTGACTAACGCATAAGAGCAGTCAGCGTGCCAGTCAGCGGCACGACCAGCTGACCAGGATGCGCGGTATCCCGCCCCAACCCAGCGTTCAGCGGGTTGCCCAGGCACCCTACGCTACGGCGCTAGCCGACCAGCGCCCTGGATCCACCCATGGCACGACGCTGGACCCCGGGCCCGGCCCCGTCTCCGCGAGCCATCACGCACCTTGCAAGCGTCCTCCGGGTTCTCCGGTGGCGCCTGCTGCGCCTTCTGCGTCACCGCTGCCGCGCGTATGAGGTCCACGTGCACCCGGATCTGCTTCGCGTCAAACGTCTCCAGCAGCGAGGTACCCGTGTTCTGCGCGTTTGGTCGCAGCGGTGCGGTGTGGTGCGGTTTGCGTGAGGAGGATGGAGTCAAAGCCTAGCGCTTGCATGAGGAGGCAATCTATGCACAACCCTGCAACCCTGCACGCAAGCTGCTCACGCCAGTTGCTCACCCAGACCTAACCCCGCACTTCCCACCTGCCGCAACACGTCCTCCGTTTTGGGCCGTTTAGGCGCGGGCTGCTGCTGCTGCGGCTGCATCATGGGCGGCTGCCCTTGCGCCTGCGGCTGCGGTTGCGTCGGCTGCATCTGCGGCTGCATGGGGTCCGGCATGCCCATGCCCACCCCCACGCCGCCCGACACCGGCACCATCCTGCTCATGCCCTCCATGCCCCCCGGCCCCACGCCCATCATGTCGTGAGTGCGCTTCGTCCCGCCCAGCCCGCTGTTCATCCGCATCGCCTGCGGGGTGCGGAGAGCAGGTCGGGACACGGCGTTAGGTGAGGAACACAGCCACACAGGCACCACGTTTGGTTGTGTCACTGCCCCCAATCGGGCTTTCGTGGAATAGCTGAGGTCCAACGGGGCGACAAGGGGCAGGACCGAAGCAGGTATAAAACCAGCACCCTTTTAGGAGAGACAAATAAAAGGGCTCACCTGCTGTTGCTGCTGTTGTTGTTGTTGTTGCTGCTGCTGCTGTTGTTGCTGCGTGGGTATCATGCCGTTGGGGATCATGTTCGGCTGGCCGGGCATGTACGGCCCACCCGAACCCTGTTGTTGCTGCTGCTGCTGCTGTTGCTGCTGCTGGTGCGTCGCCTGCCGGGTCTTTTTAACGTAGTCCTTTACCGGAGCGCAGATGGGGCATGCCGGCGCCTGCAGTAGGGCACAGCCAGGCTCATCGTAACTTTGCACCCCGCCCATGCAACCCTCCCATCAGCGCTTAGGAAAGGCCGCTTCCGGCACCTGCAACCGACTTACCGTGCACTTTTGGTGGTGCTTTAAGAGCTCCTTCGAGCTCGTGCAACGCGGGTAGTCGCACGCGGCGTTCTGGCAGGACAGGATGTGCTGCCAGAGCTGCTTGCCGAACTTGCACTGCGTCTTCAGCTGGCACTCCTCGCCGGGCGCCCGGCACTTGGCGCAGTGCCGCAAGAACAGCAGCCAGCGCTGCTGCTTCTGCACGTACTGCTCGTGGACCTTCGGGTTCATCTCCTCCGGCACCCCTGTGTAGACGGGAGGGACCGCAGCAGCCGGCAGGGCAGGGGCTTCAGGGTGACTGCGTGGTTAACGGCTTGCTACGCACGCGGGCCGCGTACCGAGTTAAACCCAAGGCACCCCGCTCATGCAACCCAACGCCCCAGCCAACCCAAGTTACCCAGCAACCCAATCCCAATGCCCCTGCCAACCCACCTAGCGCCGGAGTTGGGCCCGAGTTGGGACCAAGTTGCGGCATGCTGGGGTTCATCATGGGCCCACCCACGCCGCTGTTCCCGGAAAAGCCGGGCGTGTTATTGTGAACTGGCATCATCCCCGGCAGCGAGGAGCCAGAGTTACCCATGCCGCCAACGGGGACCATGCCCGGCAGGCTTGGCCCCATTCCTCCCATGCCTACAACACAGCCACGGGAAGCTGGTGTTACTTTTCGTACTAGGCCAGAGCCGTCAGCATCAGAACCTACCTCCGGCTCCCACGGACTGCGGCCCACCAAAGTTCCCGACGCTGCCCAGCAGGGGCGAGCCGGCTGTGTTCATAGGCAGCCCCGTGTTCATCGGCACCATGCCTCCATTCGGCACCATGCCGCCCGTGGGGACCATGCCACCGTTGGGAACCATGCCGCTGTTCGGTACCATGCCGCTGTTAGGCACCATTCCGGGGTTTGGCACCATGCCGCCGTTGGGGACCATGCCGCCGTTAGGGATCATGGGCACCATGCCCCCGTTGGGCACCATGCCTCCCGTGGGCACCATGCCGCCGTTGGGAACCATGCCATTGTTCGGTACCATGCCGCTGCTCGAGACCATGCCCCCGTTCGGCATCATTCCGTTGTTGGGGACCATGCCGTTGTTGGGAACCATGCCGCTGTTTGGCACCATCCCGCCGCCAGGAACCATGCCCCCCGTGGGGACCATGCCCCCGTTGGGCACCATGCCGCCCGTGGGGACCATGCCTCCGTTGGGAACCATGCCGCCACTTGGCATCATGCCTCCGTTGGGGACCATGCCGGTGTTTGGGACCATGCTGTTCCCCATTGGTATCATGCCACCAGGACCGCCTGTTGAGCTGTTGGGCATGAAGCCGGACTGCTGCAGAGGTTGCTGCTGCTGCATCATTCCAGGTCCAGTTGCGAGCTGACCCGGGAGGAGGCCTGCGTACAAATACTCGTTGAAAATCGGGATGCATGAAACGTGAAAGTAACCTCCAAACCTACCGTTAATTGTTAGCTTGTTCATGTTTTGCTGTCCCTGTTGTCCCTACGTGCATATCATTAGATAATTTAGCGACCGCGCAAGGCCAAACGCCATAAAGAGAAGAAATTCTTACCCCAAGCAGCTGCTGCCCGGAATTCCCGTTCCAGTCGCGTTGTCCACGTATAAGCACCGGAGCTCCATTGCTCATAACGCTCTGGGGCATGGTCGCGGCTGAGTTAAAAGTTGGGTTGTTTCCGCCCAAGAGCTGCGGGTACTGTCCAGTCTGGTCCAGCTGCTGCATTGGCTGCGTGGGAACCATGCCACCTAATTGTGGCATCTGGTTGCGTAGCGGGTCAGGTAGGCCCATGCTACCAGGCAGCCCTCCGGTGCTGGGCATGAAGCTCTGGGTCTGCATGGGCTGGCTTTGGGGAACCTGAAACTGCGCCGGCATGCCTGGCATACCCATATTCATCATGCCTGGCATTTGTCCAGAAGTAGATGAAGGCTGCTGCAGTCCGTTCTGCTGCATCGGGGCTCCCTGCAACACTCCTCCAGGCGCTCCGGTCTGGGGAGCCTGCTGCTGGGACGGGCGCCCAACAAAGCGCTTCGCGACATCGTGCAAACGCTGTTCAAGTGTTTTCATATCAGTGTATTCCTCCTACAAAAGTTAATGGAAAGCCGGTCAAGCGGGAGGACTTGCGTGACCTCCTTAACAAGCTCCACTTGCCTTGCTATTTGCCGACCGATACAGCCCCTCCTCCAGCCGCTTAACAAACTCTGGAAGCTTTGCATTATACTGCTGTGTTGACGGTCTCCTTGCCTGAAATATCTGGTATCTGTGTGCGTGGAGGAACAGTTCTTTCGTCAACCATGCTTCCAAGCACCCTAATAAAACGCGAAACCTACATATGTTCCGTCATCATTTGCCTGTCCGCGGTGTCCGCATCTGACTGCCATGTTGGTCTAGCAGCCATCGCAGGAGGAGCCTGAGGAACAGATAGCATGTTTCTACCCCCACTATTCAAGTCTGGCCTAAAGCACGTGTCAGTCCATCTTGATGCTAATGCACTTAATTGAAGCACGAAGACTTTTGGTTGGATGGTGTCTTTGGTGTGCACCGGGGTCTACAGAGGAAGCCGGCTACAGGGAGGCGTTAGTTAGCCTTGCTAGTTAGCCATGCTAGTTCTGCTAATCTTCTTTACTTACTCGCCCTACGTAATCTTAAGATTCTCACTGTCACAATAGGCTTTCCTTTCTGTGGCCCTCAGGAGTAGCGAGCTACCTAACCCATCGACGGGAACGTCCAGCCTAGCACGCCGTAGTAGCATACTACCTAGAACCCCAAACGTAAGCTGCAATTGTAAATCCCCTTGCAGCGTAACAGTCGGCGCTCTTTGGTGGCCATCGGTTCCCAACCGACACGCGACGCACAAGAGCCAGCGACGTACGTACTCCTGGTCGCACCTTTCCATGCTTCCTCAGCAACACCGCATACAGCAAACCGTATGCGTGGATGAGCTTTATTAAGGCTCAGCACCACCAACTTCGCACGCTCTTACACTTGTCGCCGTACCAACATTACGGCTATACGTGTGCCTTGTGAGGACCAGCCGCAATCGCCCCGCACCAAGGGTACACCTATGGGTGTAAGCTAGGTGTACACAACGCGATTGGGAGAAACGCTGGGGGAATCCAAGGCGGCGGAGATATGCCGCCTGCTCGTCTTCTGCATAAACCACGTGACCCCTCCGGCTGCGCCCCATACCCCACAGCAGGGAATCCAGGTCCCCTGTTTCTGGGGCGACGTACTCTGGTATGTTACTTGCATTCCCGACAAGGCAAACCAACACACCGCCCCGTAGGGTGACGGACGCCTGGGCTTCCCTACGCCGTCTGCACTCCGCGCCGGCAAGCATGCGCAGGCTTAGCCCTCACCTTCGTGTGTAGCTGGCATTCCAGGTGCCCTGAGACGCTGTCATTGCCCTCTTTTTCCCTTTGAAGGCAACCACAGCTTTTCAGCTCCTGGGGGGGAGCGCCTGTAGGTTACATGTATGCTATCTGTGGTCGCAAGTGTGTAAAGCCCCAACAACACAAATTCACGGCTGCCTGCTTGACGGCTGCCGGTTGCTGTTGTTACCCGGCACAAGGAAGAGGACCACAGCACGCACCCAGCCTCCCCAGCACATGCATCGCATCAGCTCCCTGTGTGGTTGCTTACCCACCACTGTGCTTAGTAGTGGCGTGGGGATCCGGCAACTGATCGCTTGCTACTCCCAACGTCCCAAGGTCTGTCTTTCCTGCCCCTCGCCCCTTATTTCTTTCCCAAGTATTCCGCCCATGCGTGCAAACACCACCACCCTTCCCAACCACCTGCGCCCAGGCAAGCAGGCATCCCTGTCGTACCCACCTATGCAGCAATACCAATGCGTGAATGCGTACCCACCCGGCCCACAAACCGGCACCCATACATGCATGCATGCATGCATACCCGCCCTGCCCAACCACCGGCAGGTATGCGGTACCGAGTTACAGCGCTGGCTTACGCATGCGTCCCCGCCCTGCCCAAGTACCGTATGCATGCGTGCATGCAAACCAGTGCATTCCCTTCCCACACAACCACTCGCGGCCATGAGACCAGCGTCCCCGACCTGCTATTCAACTGGCGCATATGCGTGTCGGAACCAGGTCATTTGGAGGCGGGAAATGGGCATGGGAGGCAAGCGCCGCGCGGGTCAGGACAGCCACATGTATGGGAAGGGCATTTGATGGCAGGCACTATACAAGGAAGGGCAGAGAAGCCCCACAGTGGGCCACTAAAGGCCCGCAAGCGTGCTGCACGCGGAAGCTCATGGGGAGGCAGGCGCTGCACGGGAAAGGGACCCCAGCCGGAGCCCGCCGCAGTGCTGTTCCCGAACGCATGAGTGCAACACAGCGGCGAGGCGACGTACGAGGCGGCGGCGCTGGACGGGCGCCGCATCAGGGTCGTGGCCCTGGGCCCAGGTAGTGTTGTTGCGAGTTAGGAAAAGGCACGCCAAGCCGCGTGGCCGAAGGAGCTTGCTTAGGCCACGGGCGTAGGGTTAGCCTTGCCGGCTAGCTGCACCGCGAGTGCCAGAGGTAGGAGTCGCTGAAGGGGGCACACTTTGGCTCGTTGTTATCTTGGGTATGGAAAGGCACGCTAAGCCGCGTGGCCTGCTGTCTGAGGTCAGAAGCTGGCGTAGGAGTCTTCGTTGTTAGTGGCCTGTTGGCGTGCCAAGCCAGGGATAGGCGCAAGCTGGGACTATGTGTAGGAGAAAAGGGACGTGTGCAAGACGCGTCGGGTAGGTAACTGACCTGCGCGTGATGTGCAGTGGGCATTTGTCACGCGAATAAGGATGGCTACGTTCGACCGTTAGTATCTGCCAGCTGTGCCGGGTGTTGCATGTAACATGTGTGTGGTTACTTCTATTGCATTCGGCTCCCAGTCTGTACGTTGTCTACGGTCATGGCATGCGCGTTGCGTGCGGCACGAGCGTAGAGTAAGGGATGGCGCCCAGTAGATTTTGCCCCAGTGGTATATGCAGCGGTTACTCTGGTTACCGGTAGACACGGACAGTGGACGCAGGGGTTTAGTTCACAGGTCCAGCTTGCGCGGCTTGCGGTCGGCGCTTGGTGTGTAAGACAACCAAGTCTAGGGACACCATTCTAAGGGACCACAGCGTGCACAAGCCGCATGCACGGGGGCTGTGCTAAAATGGCAAACGCTCAAACCGCAGACAGTAGTGCGAAAGGAACACTTCCGTACTACCCCCTTTACGGCACCGTCTCGACAACGACCTACCGAGGGGGTTGCATATGCCTAGAGCTTTTCATATATGCCTAAGCTGCGCTCGTTATACACCTAAACTAAATAACACCGAGGAAGAAAACATTTCTTTAACGTTAAATGGACTTCTCTGAGGAGGACCTTGACAACATGCGACGAGAAGTGGTGGCATATGTTGGCCCTCGTAAAGCGGAGCAGTTTAACTCCGAGCACCTAACTAGTCTGCTGCGAGGAGGGTACCGCAAGGCGGACTACTTTTCATATGCGTCAGAAATCGGGCTTACGCGCTCTGGTTTGCCACCGGAGCGTGTGCGTGACATTTTGTCTATGCAAGGTAATTTGGAGTCAGGACTTCAGGTGGCGAAGGTCCTCTTGCTGCTCTCCTGCCGGTTTGCGCTATGCTATCAAGCTGACTTGTTCCTGTCCTCGTGCAGAGTATCTTAAGGCGTTGGATGAGACCGAACCGGAACGTAAGTCCTTTACCATATTGGGGCTAAGTCTGCTGCGGACGAGCCGCAGCTTTTCTTGTCACCTTGTTGTACATAGCTGACTAACTATACGGGTATGGGTTTACGCGCTCTCTTTAAATCGCACGCAGGTGAAGTCAGCTGCATCTCGGCTATTTGGGGGCAAATGACTAGCCTCCTGCTTTCCCGGGAGCCTTTCCCTGCAAGGCCTGAAAGTGCTCCAGCCCAACACCCTATCGACTCGGCGTCTGGCAGCTTACGCCAACGTATCCGAGCTGTGCCGAATTAACGGTGGCGCTGTTATCCTGATTTGAGGTAGTTGGTTGTGTACTATAGGGTGTTGTAATTGGCCACTGTTATTTTTACGTCGTGGTGGTGTCTGACGTGCTGACGGTCTCCAGCTACCGGTATCTTTGTCCCTTTTGAGGCCTCCCATTTCGACTGCACAGCTGTTGTTTCGATGGCGTAGGATCACTGGGGCGGTCACTCATTCAGCGTAGTCGATCAGGCGCCCTATTAAAACCCTCGGCTGTGTCATACCGGTATCCTCCATGACATACATCCTCCAAGTAGGGGTTGTGAGTTAACGGTTGTGCACCCCGCGAAGCCTTCCATACCGAAAGGATTAATGTGGGATTAATTAGCCCTTTGCTACATACATACAAACACGTCCTAAAGACGTATCCAAACATCCCGGGTTGTCTTTTCATCTTACATAATGTGTGCTGGAAACATCCGCACAATCATGTTAATTGGAAAAAATGTTTATGTCGCTCTCTTATGCCGGCCTTGCCAGTTCTAAATGTTGGCCCGTGAGCCTTCTGAGCAGGATTAGACCTCAACTTTGCGTGCAATGAAGGCGGCCTACAGGAAGTAGACATCATCCACACGTCGGCATTCAGGTGCCCTGATACGCTGTAAGTACCCTCTCCCTGTGTCTTTGGAGGCAACCACGGCTGTTAAGCTGCTGTGGAAAAAAGCCTGTAGGTTAATGTATGCTATCTTTCGCAAGTGTGTAAAGCCTTAACAACTCTCCAACCATTCACGGCTGCCTGCTTGACGGCTGCCGGTTGCTGTTGTTACCCGGCACAAGGAAGAGGACCACAGCACGCACCCAGCCTCCCCAGCACATGCATCGCATCAGCTGCTTGTGTGATCGTTTGCCCACCACTGCACGGAGTTGTGCCCGCTTGGCAATAGATGCGCAAAGAATACTTTTTTATATGTATGCGACCGACTCCTCCATGACGACGAACAACCCTAGCCCAACACTCCAACCACCGTACTGTAAATGCGCATAGGCAACCTGGGAACAAACATCGGTTTTGCAAATTACAGCAAACAATAATATACACCTCAGCTGTTGGCCTCAAACCTCCAAGCCGCAACCTCTTACCTTGCATGCTGCTCCCTACTACTAGCACGTCATCACCCTCTCCCATCTTCAACCCTCAACGGCATGCCTTGCATGGAGTTGCAACCAACGTGCTCTGGATTATGTGCATCCTCTCCCCACCTGCCTCTCTCTAACAATGTAAGAGCTTATTCCATGTTTCCAGCACCCTTCCAAACACAGTCACGCCCTCGCTCCCCTCCTGCACCCCGGCCGCTCTCCAGGTCGGCACCGCCCCGCTCCTCCAGCCAGCACCCCCCTAGACCAGCCGCCCCCTCGCCACCCTCACAGCCCCCATGCGCCCTGGGCCGCAGCACCCCGGGTCCCCCCGCCCATGGTCAGGGGGTGTCCGCTCGCTGCTCGTGCTTCTGCACCACCCGGGATAGGGTCTCGTGGTGGCCTGCGGGACGAGGGCGGGGTTGGGGGGATGTGGAGGAGGGGGGGTGCGGGGGCGGGGCGCAGAGGCAGGTTGCGAGCGGTGTGGATGCGCGTAAGGGTGCTCGTCATTTGATCCCCAGCAGCTGGTGGTGTGATCAGCAGGTGGATTGGAAAGGTGGAAGGGACGTGACAAGTGCGGAGGGCAGTTCATGTGCCCGCAAGGCCCCTCCCCGCTAACCCCTGCATCCCTCTCGATAGCCTTACTTTGCAACCGTACGCAAGCTCCCCCCGGTCGCTAACCGATCCTGCCCCATCGCTCACTGGTTGCTCACAAGCCCCTTCCGCAGCCCTTCCTGCCCTCCTCAACACCCCTTCCGCAGGCCTTCCTGCCGCCCCTTTTCCCTCCCCCTGCCACCCCGCCCCGCCTCACCCCCCATCATCTGCATCACGCGGTGCCAGTACGCCGCCCCCTGCCCCGGCGCCACCGGCTCCAGCAGCAGCCGGGGGCTGGCGGCGGCGGGGAACCACACCCCGCGGCGGCACTCCGCCTCCAGCTGCCCGGGAGCCCAGCCGGCGTAGGCGTTGAACCACCTGGGGGGGCGGGGAGGGGGCATGCGGGAGGGCATGGAAGATGTGCTGTAATCGTAACACGTGCTGTGCGGAACCCCGCGTTTGAAGCCAAGTTGCTTCCACGCAAACCAGCCCCTCACAAGCACGCATCGCCAAGCCCGCATCGCAATCGCAATTCGCATCCGCAAGGCCATGCTCGCATTCACATCCAACCTCATCCCCTACTCCGGGCCCCCAGCACCCCGCACCTGAAGTCCCCCGCCTGCACGCTGCCCGCATCCACCGCCTGCCGGGCTGCCTCCATGCCGCCCGCATACACCCCCTTCACCACCTCCACCGCACCTGGCCACCGGAAGGGGTTGGGGGCGGCATGGGGTTTGGGGTGTCGAGGTGGGTGGGGTTGTCGGGGCGAGGCGCTCCTGCCCGCACTGTTAGGGTGCTGCTGGCAGGATGAAGAACCGGACATCGTCAGGCGGTGTGAACCCCTGTTCCTTTCCAAGCACACCTCCCATGCCCCCTTTCAGCCGCTCATACCCCCACCTGACAGGTGGCCGTGGGGGTGCAAGATCTGCATGCGGCAGAGGGCAGGAGCAGGAGGAGGGTGGCAAGAGGAAACAACTGGGTGGGGGGGGGTCAGTGTCGGATGGGGGCAGCGGAGCCGCTAGCAGCGCCCAGGCCACCCCTCTGCCACCCTTACCCCCAGCAGCAACCCCGGATAAACACCGCTGCACGCTACACTGACATTGCCCGTCATTGCATGTCACTGTGCCAACCCAAACCTCCTTACAACGGCATGCAGCGCCCCGCAGACCAGCACAGCACCCAAGCACCCAGCTCGTACCTCCTAATCGTACCCGCCCCACCCTTCCCGCCCCCAACCCTTGTCACACGGCGATTCAGGACGAGCTTCTTTCCTCCTCCCAACCCACCTGCACCTCCCCCTGCCCCACGTCTCCCCCCATGTACACCCGACACTCCCCGAACTGCGGCTGCGGGCGGCTGAGCTGCACGTCGCGCAGCAGCAGCGGGGAGGGGCGGTTCAGGATGAGGCCGTAGCTGCCCTGCGGCCCGTGCTCCATCACCAGGATGGCGGCGCGGTGGAAGTAGGTCTGGCTCGTCTGGGGGAGCGGGATGGGGAGGCGTGCGGAGCGGTGGGGGGGGGCCGGACCAGGTTGCACGGGAGCACACACCTGCCCCCCCCCCCGGGCTGCTCCACTTCCACCTTCCTCCTTACCCCTCCTTACCCCCAGTGCCACCCCCCAACCTGGAACAGCTGCGGGTGCGCCAGCAGCAGCGCCCCCCGCTCGGGCCGGGGTACCGCATGCGCCCACTCCTCCCCGGCTGCTGCTGCGGCAGAGGGCAGCCCGCGCGCCTGGGACACCAGCTGGGCCCTGAGGGGGGGCGGGGTCAGGGGGGAAAGGTCGGGGGGAAGTCAGGGGGGATGGAGAGTCCGCACTGGGCTGGGGTTTTGGAGTTTTGGGTTGCGTATAGACGGCATGGTACTCTTGATAGGGTTTAATAGCAGTAGCAAAATGAAGGCCGTGTTGAAGGCTGCACTTGCTGGCGGCCGACGTCCTGCGCACTGCAATAAGATATACGGCAGGCATACGACGCACCTGAACTCCCGCCAGTCTGACTCACTCCCCAAGTACGGGAGCGCGTCCGGAATACTGCTACTGCTGCTGCGGTTGCCCGCGCCCAGGGTACTGGGCGAAAGGCAAGTTATTCGCCAAGTACGATTTCGCCGCAATTTGCCTATTCGCCTGCCGGGCCCTTCAAGGTTGGCGGAAAGGCGAATTACCCGTACGGCAGCCTCGCCGTACTGAAACTTGCTGAATATTTGCCCCTTAGAGCCCTTTCCCAGGGCTTCGCTGCCTCCCCGTGGGCTCGGCCAGGCGTTCAGGAACTCGAACTTGGCTAGAATCGTAGCAAGCGCGTGTTGATAGGTGCTGCATGTGCAAGTTTGTGGCTGGGTACGTATGACCTTTAGGGGTTGGCACGCAGGCTGCTCGGGCGTGCTTGAATCTACAATGAACTGCGTGTGAGCTACAATGAACTTACTACGAACAGGAATGAATGAAGCGATTTGCCGACCTATTACTGTCAAGTTGTCGGTCGTGATGATCAGTTGGACACCTTGAAACCGGACTGGACCATAAACTGATGATGCTATACACAGAAGGGCAAGGAAAACGCAAGATACGGTCAATTGCAACACGAAAAGGGCTTAGCCGAGCGCTAACAAAGCAAAATAGCATTGCCGTACAGCTCGCCTTGCTCGCCTTCTTCGCCTATTTCGCCTGGGATTATTCGCCTTTCGCCGCCCATTTTTCTAATGCGCCCAGTACCCTGCCCGCGCCAATGTCCTCCAATTCGGGATGCGGAGCGCGCTTGTGGGGCTCCCTGTCGCCGCTGCTTGAAGCATCCCTGACATAAGGGTGTTGTGCAACACCAATAAATAGGAAATAGCGAAGGGAAGAGAGCGAGGGGGCCAACTTAGCTCGTCTCAGCATCACAGATGCGGAATCCCAAGCAGGTAGCGTTAGCCGGATAGTAACACATAATGACAAGCAACACATAAGGACAAACACAACCAGCTTACAATGCAGAAGCAAGAAAGTGAGGCGTTGCATACAGCATTGCCGAAGGATGGATGTCGGTTGACAAAATACGAAGCAATGGCTTGCTGTCATTCGCTCGACAACTGGATGACACTTGTGTAAACAGAGCGCCTACGTGCACGTACCGAGGGTCATTTGGGGTCAGGGCGCATACGGGCTGCGCAAGCGTTCGGCCGCGTCGCACACCAAAGCCCTGCCCAGTCGATTTCAGCATGTAGAGCCTCTGTTGGTTACTGCAAAGTTACGTGTATGCAGCGCTATAGGATTAAGCTGGCCGTCTCACCCCGTGCCTTCGCGCCTTTTCGCAGCGAAGCTTCCACGTCGGCCCTAAGCGACAGCGTTGATAAGCGTGCGAGAGCATACTTCTTTACCAATTGCTAAGCATGCTATGGTAAAAGCAAAAGGGGGGCCGCAAACCTCAAATCGGCGAAGATAAGGCTAGGATACGGTCCTAGGTGTTGACCAGCAAATGGCGAAGCGAAGCAAGGCACAGGTCTTCCAGTCTTTCATGTGGGTAGAGAGCTTGCAGCTAAATTAGCACGCCTGTGGCTGCCTTGTTTGCACACGCGCTGGTGCACAAGGGAAAGGACAGCTGTACAGTACGACAATATACGTGAGGATTGGGCCTGAGGAGTGGATAAGGACACCGTCACCCTTTCCGGCTATAGGATTATGCTTAGACCCACTTTAACCTAGCTAAAACCACGTGCTACTGTGGGATGTAGGTGGTACAGCGGATATGCCGCGAATCCAGCCACGCACGGTGCTAACCATTCACCATTCGCATATGCGCCTGGCGTTGCCCTTCTACAAGTATAAACGCTTCCTAAACGCCTTCCTCTGCAATGTAACTTAGCCTAAACTCCGCTTGAGCTGGCAGCGATTAATTGCAATCTAGACATCACCCGTCACCAACTGCACCCTGATACGCTTCCACGTCCTTCATTTGCATACCACATGAATGCAGTACGTTCGCCCAGCAAATGCGCAGCACTGCACGCTATGTACCGCTCACTCGTTAACGGTGACGCTCATGCTGCTTGGCTGGCTATGCTGAGCCGCGTAACCAGTGGCGCCGGATTACATACAGAACTTCACCCGGTCAAACATGGGTGTCAAGTTATGCTGCCTTGCAGCATTCTCAAGGTACACAAACGTAGACGGATGCTAGCAAACATGTCAGGTTGCGAAAAGGGACAGTAGTGCTTGTATCTGACAATGAGAGGAACACGTGGTTCGAGGGAGACAAAGCAGGAAGCAACCCGACTGGGAGGCTGCTAGTGAAGCCGTGACGAACCACCCATCACCTGCACACTACCCCCGCTGCACCATAGAGCGTGTGTGCCATCACGATCGCCTGCTGCTGTAACTGCGGATCTCCCGCCATGCCTCGCTGCATCATGGCATAATGCTGGTGGGAGCAAGCCTCCGCCTCTTCAGCTAGCGTCGCCAGCCGAAACTGGCCTTGGAGGGCGCTGGAGCAGGTGATGGGTCCCAGCGCGCCGGGCTGCTGCAGCTGCAGCCATCCATGGTCCCCATCCCCAGACGACCTGGACACGGCTGAGGACGAAGGTGCAGCGCCTGCTGACCTGCCGGCATAGCCCAGTGCACTGCCGGCGGGTGCGAGCGGCGGCTTGGACGCATGGGTCATCAGCGGCTCGTCCGCTTTGTCTTGGGTCAGGAGGCGCATGATGGGTGCTGGCGCAGTGCCCTCATCGGATGTGACCGTACGGCGCCGCCTGGGGTCGTGACACTGACGTTGCCGCAGCTCCGCAGCGAATTCCGTCAGGGTGGCGCGATCGGCGGGCCTGTCCGCACGACCGGCTAGCATAGCCATCAGCGATGCCGCCGCACTGATGATGCCCTCCTGTTGCATGGGCATGGGGTTGCGACTGGCTGAAGAACTTTGGCGGTTGGGAGCAAGCTTCCTGCCAAACAACCTGCATTCACTATAATGACACAAACCATGATACCGATATGCCATGGCAAGGATTCCTAACCTAAAGGAAGGTGCCACCAAGGCAATGACGCCAAACCCGAAGCCAGCACGGCAGGTTGGAACGCAGTAACGCACCTGTCGGAGAAGCCAGCGGGGATCGACGCCAAGAAGAGGGTGTGGTGCAGCTGGTCTCCGCAGGAAGAGGTGTCTGGCCGCCGCTGGCAGCTCCAACCGGTGTGGCAGCCACATCGAGAGGGGCAGGCCGCTGCCGCCACGGGGTTCTGACGTCGCTATCCGCTGGTGCTACAACAGACGGTTGTACGGCAGCGGAAGAAGTGGCAGAAGGCCCACAAGCCGAAGCAGTCAAGTTGTCACCACTGCCCTCGACAACAGCACCACTGTCGGCGGGTGCTGCAACCCTCACGGTGCGCTTAGTTATTGGGGATGGATCACATGGATTGCTAGTTGATACCTCCCCTATCCCGTCATTGCACTTCCCGCAGTTCCAGGTGCTGCTACCCTCGCTGTACTCAGCGCGGGCACAACCACGCTCAGCTGGTGGATCACCGTTCGCAGCAGTGTTAGCGGCTGTCTTGGGATTAGTCTCGACCCTTGCCACAACGTCGTCAGGAAGAGTTGGCGAAGGTGCTTCACCGCTCGGTCTCTGTGCTGCTTCGCTACTTGTTGGGCCAACCGGAGGACGGCTTGCGCTAAAAAGGTTGCTCCTCCTAGCCCAAGCCACGCCAGTGCTTATGCCCACAACGAAGCCAATCAGCAGGTCGCTTAAAAAAGGCAGCGCTTGGCAGTCCCACAAGTCCTCGCTTGCGGGAGGAGGCATGCCTTGTCCCAAAGCTACATGCAGGGGGCACTTGTAAGGAAGAGAAAAGTTAGTCGGCTGGCATGGCTGTAGCTGGTGGGCTGTGGTGGTGGCAGGAGCTTGTGGCGGTGTTGCCTGAGGCTGCTGCCTGAGGCTGCGTTGTAGTGTCGTCACCTGGTTCCACTTCTTCAAAGCCGTCTTCTTCAAGGGTGGACTTTTGGGAAATCCCTGAGGGGCATAATAGGTAACACCGTATTATGGTCATGCATACTCAAAATAGAATCACAGTCGAATATAATATTACGCATATTGACCCACGGGCCTAGCCAACGTGGATGCGTGACGCGCCCAGTCACTTACTCGACATCCTCGTGCGGTATTGGGCTTACGGAGGAATCCGAAGTCCAGTGCAGTAGAACTGCTGCTAAAGGCGAGTTGGAGAGGGTGATCTGCGGGGAATGGAAATGATGCAATGGAGCTAGCAAAGCGCCATGTCCAAAACGAAGTCCAATCATGTAAGCATTGCCACTAGTTGATCGCAACAATATGACAGAACAGCTGTGAAGCCTGCTACTGCGACATTAAGAGAAGAGATCCTCCGATGGAGCGAAACTCCATTGTACCACAAAGCATTTGTGAAGTTGCTTACCTCCTGCACACAGAGCTTGTCTTGATGTGTGTAATATACTTTTCAGCTAAGGATTTGGTGCTCTATTTAGGCCGCACGACCTATGGTTCTGTAACCACTGAAATTGAGCATACCGAAAGAAGTAATTAACGTATTACCGTAACCTTTGAACGTTTACATAGAATTAAGATGTTGTAATGCGTTTTGGAGGGATTTGGCCGAGTCATTGTCCATCGGGCCCATCTGAACTCGCCCAGGCCTTAGGGCCTTAGGCGGACCCGCTAATCCAGCCACGCACGGAGCTAACCATTCACCATTCGGTTATGCGCCTGGCGTTGCCCTTCTACATGTATAAACGCTTCCTAAACGCCTTCCTCCGTAAAGTAACTTCGCCTAAACTCCGCTTGAGCTGGCAGCGATGAATTGCGATCTGGACATCACCCGTCACCAACTGCACCCTGATACGCTTCCACGTCCTTCATTTGCATACCACATGAATGCAGTACGTTCGCCCAGCAAATGCGCAGCACTGCACGCTATGTACCGCTCACTCGTTAACGGTGAACGCTCATGCTGCTTGGCTGGCTATGCTGAGCCGCGCAACCAGTGCCGCCGGATTACATACAGAACTTCACCGGATGCGTGGCTCGAACGGCCCGGCGGATCGCACGCTCAGCTCGCAGGCCCCCCATCTGCCACACCGTCCACGCCAACGCGCCACATATAGTAACATGCCGCAGGGGCTGTCGCCGCTTCTCTACACCTCCTCATTGCCTTCTTCAGCCTTTCACAGCAGATAGCGTTGGGCCCTGACAGGCCACAGCGCACCATCCTATTCCTCCACACCCCTCCCAAAGCCCCAGGCAGGGCTTATCCCTCAGTCAGTTAGTTGTTTCCTCTTTACCTCCCAAAGCCCCAGGCATGCGCCACCACTACCTCCCGGCTGCAGCCCCGGCGGGCCCAACAGCCCTCAAGTTGACAACAGCGGAGACCGCTGGGTCCAAGCATGTCGCAGTACGCCCTTCAAGTCGCGTGGTCAAGCGGCTAATGCCGCAACACGAAGTCATCCATCTACCTCCAAAATCATGCCAAACACCCGTGTGCTTGTTTGTGGACGGTTAGCTGTTGGCCCATAAGGCCTGCCTATCATTCAATGGTGAAGCAGTGCCGATCAGCAAGCTTGTTCCGTTATCAACTTCCAGGGATGTTGCATGCTTGGGTAGGGTTTGCGACGCACTTAATGTTCCCAAATGTGGTACTCAAAGAGTCAAGCACAACGTCTTCATGCGTGCGAGACCGTGGGTTAGCTGTAAGGGTCTCTACGCGCTTGCTGGTAAACTGTAGAGACAGATTTTGAATATGGCAGAAGGGTGTACTTGTGAAACACAGTCGCACTGCCAAAAGCATTCTTTGTCATAGCCGCTTCACATCTACTTTTTTCATTGCATGCATTGTCTTTCATGTTGACGTCACACTTGGCACTTGCGCATACCTAAGGAGTACAGCTTTTCTTCCCTGATCAATGCAAAGAGCGCTCATAGCATCTTACCGACTGCTCAAAGGAGACCCTTTAATACAACAAGGTGTCAAAATGCTGTCCACTCTGCCGGGATGGAAGCATGTGTCGCAGCCCCACGCCTCGGCTTCGCGGCCAGGCACGTGCTGCGCTGCAATTAACGAATCCATGCCAAGTATAAGGGCGTCAATGAAACGCGCCTGTCCAGGTGCGCCTGTCTGCATCCGACGTATCGCAATGCGAACCTTGTCACGGAAGAAAGTGCGCAGGCCACCTGCAGCTGTAAACAAGCGCTATTAATACTTATCAGATTAGCTATAGGAGCATGATACCACAACTTCATGGAGTGTTGCACTTGTGCTGGTGTTGCCAGTTTTGCCATTACCAGTCAGAGTTCGCCCAAGGGAAACAGCAAGCACGGCCCCTGCAAACCACCCGGAACCCCTCGTTACTTGCGGCACCCTCCTCCCGCCTCTCGGCCTAAAGTTATCGACTATAAGGACCGCAGTGGCCTTTCCGCCCCATCGGTGCAGCGAACAGCGCTGCAGCCCCTCTCCCTCTCGGTTGCCGCTGCCGCATCCCTACATGCACCTCCCCTCCCCCGCACCAACCCCTTCCCACACCGCCTCTCCCCTCTCCTTCCCACTCCTCCCTACCCTCCCAGGCCTCCCCACCTCCCCCTTCCACCTCCCCCTCCACCCCACCTCCTCCTCCTCCCCACGCCGCCGCGGTGACACCACCCTCGTCCGCTTCAAAGGCAGCACCCCCTCCCCCGACTCCACCCCCTCCACCCCCTCCACCCCGTCCACCTCCCCCATCTCCCCGCTGCCCCCCGCCCCCGGCGCGCTGGCCCCTCTGGCGCCGGTGCTGCTGGCGGTGGCGGTGGCGTGTTGCGGCAGCTTCGCGTTCGGGTTCAACCTGGGGGTGATCAACGGCCCGCTGGAGGCGATTGCGCGGGAGCTGGGGTTCGCGGGCAACCAGGCGCTTATGGGGGCGGTGAGGAGGGGGGTGGGGGGCGGGGGGCGGGGCGGGGGCAGCACACTGGGCTGATAGGTTGCGTGGGGAGTGGGAGTGGGAGGGGTTGGTATATGAACAAAAGGGGGGGCTATCCCGAGTGCGGACTGTCGCATTGCGGGGCATTGCGGGGCATTGCGGGGCATTGCGGGGCATTGCGGGGCATTGCGGGGCATTGCAGGGCATTGCGGGGCATTGCAGGGCATTGCGGGGCATTGCGGGGCATTGCGGGGCATTGCGGGGCATTGCGGGGCATTGCGGGGCATTGCGGGGCATTGCGGGGCATTGCGGGGCATTGCGGGGCATTGCGGGGCATTGCGGGGCATTGCGGGGCATTGCGGGGCATTGCGGGGCATTGCAGGGCATTGCGGGGCATTGCAGGGCATTGCGGGGCATTGCGGGGCATTGCGGGGCATTGCGGGGCATTGCGGGGCATTGCGGGGCATTGCGGGGCATTGCGGGGCATTGCGGGGCATTGCGGGGCATTGCGGGGCATTGCGGGGCATTGCGGGGCATTGCGGGGCATTGCAGGGCATTGCGGGGCATTGCAGGGCATTGCGGGGCATTGCGGGGCATTGCGGGGCATTGCGGGGCATTGCGGGGCATTGCGGGGCATTGCGGGGCATTGCGGGGCATTGCGGGGCATTGCGGGGCATTGCGGGGCATTGCGGGGCATTGCGGGGCATTGCGGGGCATTGCGGGGCATTGCGGGGCATTGCGGGGCATTGCGGGGCATTGCGGGGCATTGCGGGGCATTGCGGGGCATTGCGGGGCATTGCGGGGCATTGCGGGGCATTGCAGGGCATTGCGGGGCATTGCAGGGCATTGCGGGGCATTGCAGGGCATTGCGGGGCATTGCGGGGCATTGCGGGGCATTGCAGGGGCATTGCGGGGCATTGCGGGGCATTGCGGGGCATTGCGGGGCATTGCGGGGCATTGCGGGGCATTGCGGGGCATTGCGGGGCATTGCAGGGCATTGCGGGGCATTGCGGGGCATTGCGGGGCATTGCGGGGCATTGCGGGGCATTGCGGGGCATTGCGGGGCATTGCGGGGCATTGCAGGGCATTGCAGGGCATTGCGGGGCATTGCAGGGCATTGCAGGGCATTGCGGGGCATTGCGGGGCATTGCGGGGCATTGCGGGGCATTGCGGGGCATTGCGGGGCATTGCGGGGCATTGCGGGGCATTGCGGGGCATTGCGGGGCATTGCGGGGCATTGCGGGGCATTGCGGGGCATTGCGGGGCATTGCGGGGCATTGCGGGGCATTGCGGGGCATTGCGGGGCATTGCGGGGCATTGCGGGGCATTGCGGGGCATTGCGGGGCATTGCGGGGCATTGCGGGGCATTGCGGGGCATTGCGGGGCATTGCGGGGCATTGCGGGGCATTGCGGGGCATTGCGGGGCATTGCGGGGCATTGCGGGGCATTGCGGGGCATTGCGGGGCATTGCGGGGCATTGCGGGGCATTGCGGGGCATTGCGGGGCATTGCGGGGCATTGCGGGGCATTGCGGGGCATTGCGGGGCATTGCGGGGCATTGCGGGGCATTGCGGGGCATTGCGGGGCATTGCGGGGCATTGCGGGGCATTGCGGGGCATTGCGGGGCATTGCGGGGCATTGCGGGGCATTGCGGGGCATTGCGGGGCATTGCGGGGCATTGCGGGGCATTGCGGGGCATTGCGGGGCATTGCGGGGCATTGCGGGGCATTGCGGGGCATTGCGGGGCATTGCGGGGCATTGCGGGGCATTGCGGGGCATTGCGGGGCATTGCGGGGCATTGCGGGGCATTGCGGGGCATTGCGGGGCATTGCGGGGCATTGCGGGGCATTGCGGGGCATTGCGGGGCATTGCGGGGCATTGCGGGGCATTGCGGGGCATTGCGGGGCATTGCGGGGCATTGCGGGGCATTGCGGGGCATTGCGGGGCATTGCGGGGCATTGCGGGGCATTGCGGGGCATTGCGGGGCATTGCGGGGCATTGCGGGGCATTGCGGGGCATTGCGGGGCATTGCGGGGCATTGCGGGGCATTGCGGGGCATTGCGGGGCATTGCGGGGCATTGCGGGGCATTGCGGGGCATTGCGGGGCATTGCGGGGCATTGCGGGGCATTGCGGGGCATTGCGGGGCATTGCGGGGCATTGCGGGGCATTGCGGGGCATTGCGGGGCATTGCGGGGCATTGCGGGGCATTGCGGGGCATTGCGGGGCATTGCGGGGCATTGCGGGGCATTGCGGGGCATTGCGGGGCATTGCGGGGCATTGCGGGGCATTGCGGGGCATTGCGGGGCATTGCGGGGCATTGCGGGGCATTGCGGGGCATTGCGGGGCATTGCGGGGCATTGCGGGGCATTGCGGGGCATTGCGGGGCATTGCGGGGCATTGCGGGGCATTGCGGGGCATTGCGGGGCATTGCGGGGCATTGCGGGGCATTGCGGGGCATTGCGGGGCATTGCGGGGCATTGCGGGGCATTGCGGGGCATTGCGGGGCATTGCGGGGCATTGCGGGGCATTGCGGGGCATTGCGGGGCATTGCGGGGCATTGCGGGGCATTGCGGGGCATTGCGGGGCATTGCGGGGCATTGCGGGGCATTGCGGGGCATTGCGGGGCATTGCGGGGCATTGCGGGGCATTGCGGGGCATTGCGGGGCATTGCGGGGCATTGCGGGGCATTGCGGGGCATTGCGGGGCATTGCGGGGCATTGCGGGGCATTGCGGGGCATTGCGGGGCATTGCGGGGCATTGCGGGGCATTGCGGGGCATTGCGGGGCATTGCGGGGCATTGCGGGGCATTGCGGGGCATTGCGGGGCATTGCGGGGCATTGCGGGGCATTGCGGGGCATTGCGGGGCATTGCGGGGCATTGCGGGGCATTGCGGGGCATTGCGGGGCATTGCGGGGCATTGCGGGGCATTGCGGGGCATTGCGGGGCATTGCGGGGCATTGCGGGGCATTGCGGGGCATTGCGGGGCATTGCGGGGCATTGCGGGGCATTGCGGGGCATTGCGGGGCATTGCGGGGCATTGCGGGGCATTGCGGGGCATTGCGGGGCATTGCGGGGCATTGCGGGGCATTGCGGGGCATTGCGGGGCATTGCGGGGCATTGCGGGGCATTGCGGGGCATTGCGGGGCATTGCGGGGCATTGCGGGGCATTGCGGGGCATTGCGGGGCATTGCGGGGCATTGCGGGGCATTGCGGGGCATTGCGGGGCATTGCGGGGCATTGCGGGGCATTGCGGGGCATTGCGGGGCATTGCGGGGCATTGCGGGGCATTGCGGGGCATTGCGGGGCATTGCGGGGCATTGCGGGGCATTGCGGGGCATTGCGGGGCATTGCGGGGCATTGCGGGGCATTGCGGGGCATTGCGGGGCATTGCGGGGCATTGCGGGGCATTGCGGGGCATTGCGGGGCATTGCGGGGCATTGCGGGGCATTGCGGGGCATTGCGGGGCATTGCGGGGCATTGCGGGGCATTGCGGGGCATTGCGGGGCATTGCGGGGCATTGCGGGGCATTGCGGGGCATTGCGGGGCATTGCGGGGCATTGCGGGGCATTGCGGGGCATTGCGGGGCATTGCGGGGCATTGCGGGGCATTGCGGGGCATTGCGGGGCATTGCGGGGCATTGCGGGGCATTGCGGGGCATTGCGGGGCATTGCGGGGCATTGCGGGGCATTGCGGGGCATTGCGGGGCATTGCGGGGCATTGCGGGGCATTGCGGGGCATTGCGGGGCATTGCGGGGCATTGCGGGGCATTGCGGGGCATTGCGGGGCATTGCGGGGCATTGCGGGGCATTGCGGGGCATTGCGGGGCATTGCGGGGCATTGCGGGGCATTGCGGGGCATTGCGGGGCATTGCGGGGCATTGCGGGGCATTGCGGGGCATTGCGGGGCATTGCGGGGCATTGCGGGGCATTGCGGGGCATTGCGGGGCATTGCGGGGCATTGCGGGGCATTGCGGGGCATTGCGGGGCATTGCGGGGCATTGCGGGGCATTGCGGGGCATTGCGGGGCATTGCGGGGCATTGCGGGGCATTGCGGGGCATTGCGGGGCATTGCGGGGCATTGCGGGGCATTGCGGGGCATTGCGGGGCATTGCGGGGCATTGCGGGGCATTGCGGGGCATTGCGGGGCATTGCGGGGCATTGCGGGGCATTGCGGGGCATTGCGGGGCATTGCGGGGCATTGCGGGGCGGGGCGAAGAAGCGCCCCATCCTGTCTGCCCGCTGCCTGTTTGCCTCGGGAGTTGACGGACGGGGGGTCCGTCTGACAGTGGCCTCACTCCTCATGGCTTCTCTCACCTTTCCCCTCCTCCCCCCTCCCTTCCCCAGGTCGTCAGCTCTACCCTGGCCGGCGCCGCGCTCGGCTCCCTGGCCGGCGGTGCGGTGGCTGACAGTCTGGGCCGCCGCGCATCCTTCCTGCTGGCCGCGCTGCCCATGGCTGCGGGTCCGCTGCTGTCGGCGGGCGCGGGCGACTTCGGGGGCATGACTGCGGGCCGGTTCCTGACGGGGGCGGCCATCGGGCTGTCGTCGGCGCTGGTGCCCACGTATATCAGCGAGGTGAGGGGGCAAAATGAAAGATAAGTGTAGGGGGCGGGTAAGAAGTAAAGTGAGACACTGACGATGCAAGTACGAGCTGTATGACATGTAGGCTTCACCATGGGGTGCAAACATGGGGGAGCGGGGGGGACGGGGGGTGTTGGAAGGGGCGCCAGGTGTGTGAGGATCGAGGGTGGAGGCCCTAGCGCATGGAGTGTGCTGGAGGGGCAGGCTGGCAGCAGACCGGCACACCGCCTGCCTGCCGGCCTGCCTGCTCCCGCCTGATGCTCCCAATACCTCGCCTTCCCCTCTTCTCCACTAACCCCCTCTCCCCCCCCCCAGGTTGCCCCCACCCGCATCCGCGGCACGCTGGGCACCCTGAACCAGCTGTCCATCTGCGCGGGTATCCTGGCGGCGCTGCTGGCCAACGTGGCACTGCCTGCGGAGCAGTGGAGGAGCGCGTTCAGGCTGGCGGCGCTGCCGGCGGTGCTGCTGGGGGCGGGTGAGGGGAGGGAGGGGGGGGAAGATAGCCCAAACCGTAGGGGCCACGAACGAGGGAAAGGCAATGGGGGGAGGAGGCGGCAGGGTTCTTTAAGACAAAGGGGAGGCGGGTGGGGGCTGTGGTGCTGGTGGTGGTGTTAGCGGGCCCGCTGTGTGGTGGGCTGGGGTGCACGAAGGGAGCCATGGAAGCCCTGCCTGACCCCTCTTTTGTCCCGTGACAAACTGCTTCCCTCCCTACCCATTGCGTTTTCCCCAACCTGAGGTATTGGAGGTACATCTCTGCCGTCTGGCCCCCTCCCCCCCCCCCATGCAGGCATGCTGCTGGGTCCCGAGAGCCCCCGCTGGCTGGCCTCCCGCCACCGGGATGCGGAGGCGGCTGCGGCGGCTCGGCGGCTGTGGGGGCCCAGCGGCCCCGCGGAGCTAGACACCTCGCGGCCGGCGGCGGTGGCGGCGGCGGCAGCTGGCACCGGCAGGGCGGCGGCAGCGGATGTGGGCGGTACGGCACCGGGTGAGGGGGGAGGATGGGGGAGGATGGGAGGAGGGAGGGAGCTGGAAGAGTGAAGAGAGGCCTGGTGCCTTTGATTAACGCTGGTATGTGTTTCTTCCTGACCACACCACACCAGCAATCCACACCAGAACGCCCTCCATATGCCTCATCCCCCCTCAGCCCCTCCCCTCCCCGCCCCCCCCCAATACAGGTATCGCAGTGGTCCAATCGGGCGGCCTGGCTGCCCTGAGTGGCCCCGCCGCCAAGCCGCTGTTGATCGGCATGGCGCTGTTCGCGTTCCAGCAGTTCGCGGGCATCAATGCACTCGTGTACTTCTCATCCTCGGTGTTCAGACAGGTGCGGGGAGGGGAGGGGAGGGGGGAGTTTATAATGAGGCAACGGACGAGCTGTGCGGGGATGGGGGGAGGGCAAGGTGGGGACAGGGGGGAGGGAAGGAAAGGGGGGAGGGAAGGAAAGGGGGTTGGGAAGGAAAGGGGGGGTGGAGAGTGAGGAAGGTAGGGGAGGTAGGGACCACAGGAGGCTCGGTAATTACGCCCTTCTACCCCTTCCACTACCCCGGGTCTTCGCCATTACGTCCCCCACCTCCGCCTCATTCCCCAACTGTATTGCCCGTCCTTGGCTTCGTATGATTTTGAGTCTATTTTATCCCCCCCATCTCCCCCCCCATCTCCCCCGCCCCCCGCCCCTCCCCCTCCCTCTGCGCCAGGCCGGTGTGTCCAGTGACACGCTGGCCAGTGCGGCGGTGGGCGCCACCAATGTGGTGGGCACGCTGCTGGCAGCGGGGCTCATGGAGAGCGCGGGGAGGAAGCAGCTGCTGGTCAATAGCTTCATGGGGCAGGTGGGGGAGGAAGGGGGGAGCGGGGGGTGGTGGTAAGGGAAGCCGCAGTTATGTACAGTGAAGCACGTGCGGCTGTGCCGGGTGTGTGTGTATTTGGCGGCCGCCATGTAAACCATCGAGCTGGACTGTGACGGTCGGTGCTCCATGAAGAGGGTCTCGTGCATCCCCGCCAGGCAGCTCACTGACCCATGGGTCACTCCCCCCCCCTCTCCCCTTCTCCCCCCTCCCCAGGCCGCCTGCATGTTCCTGATGGCTGCCGGCTTCAGCCTGCCCGCCCTGCAGCCGCACGCCGGCACCCTGGCGGTGGTGGGAACACTGGGATACATCCTGGCGTTCGCGCTGGGAGCAGGACCCGTGCCCGCCACCATTGTACCGGAGCTGAACCCACTCAGCACGCGAGGTGAGGGGAGGGAGGGAGGGAAAAAATATATATGATGAGACACTGACGAAGCAACTGACGAGCTGTATGACAAGGCTGAGCTGTATGAGGGAGGGAGGGGGGAGGGGGAGGGAGGGAGGGAGGGAGGCTGCGGAGGAACTGCGGAACTGGAACAGCGCTGCAGTCTCTTCTTCTGATGGTAGCGCGAAGAGGCGGAACAGCAATAGCAACTCCCATGCAAGGTTGCAACTCACCTCCGCTCCCTCCGCACAAACTCTCCCCTCCTGCCCCTTCCCTGCCCCCGTCCCTCCTTCCCCTAACCCGCCCCCCTTTCTGTGGTTTCCTATGGTATGGTATGGTATTTTACCCCCTGCTCCCCCCCCTGCCCCCCCTGTCCCCCCCCGCGCAGGCAAGGCCGTGTCTGCCGCCTTCGTGAGCCACTGGATCTGCAATGTGGCAGTGGGGCAGGCCTTCATGGGCGCCGTACAGGCGATGGGCCTAGCACCCGTGTACGGCTGCTTCGGGCTGGTAGCGCTGGCGGGGGCGGCGTTCGTGAGGAGGATGGTGGGGAGGGGAAAGGGAGGGAGGGAGGGAGGGGAGGGGCAGGGAGGCCGAGGGCACGCGAGGAGGCAGGTGGAGATGGGGAGGGAAAGAGGGGATAGAGCCCCGGGTAGGACAGTGCTGGGTGGTGTTGTTAGGGGTGGTCAGGAGTGCCGGCAGCTGCTTGGAACACGGGGTGGTGGTGGTGGTGATGGGGCGAGCGTGTCTTGCGTTGCCATGAGCTGTGTGAAGGCGCTGGGCGAAAGGCTGGGAGGGGGCATGAGAGCTCGCAGTGCCTCTCAGCCCCAATCCTCACTCTCCGCCTCCCCAACTACGCACCCCCCTCCCTCTCCCCCCCACAGGTTCCCGAGACCAAGGGCAAGACGCTGGAGCAGATCGAGGCGGAACTGCGCTCCGGGGGCAAGACGGTGTGAGGGGCGGGGCGGGGCAGAGCTGCGTCAGAGGTGGGGGCAGAGGCGGGGCGGAGCATGGGAGTTGGGGGGAGGCGGGTGGAGAAGCGATGGGGATGGAGGACAGGAGGACACGTTTTTTAGGATTTTGGCCAGACCTCCGGTTGAGTGCACAAGGGTGGAAGGTCGGAGTTGTGTGGGAGAGGGTTGCAGAGTTGCATTCGTTCGAAGAGAGGAGGCGTGTGGGAGGGAGGGAGGCAGCGCATATAAGAGAGGGGCTGTGCATGCCGGGGTGGCGCAGGGAGCATACCGGCTAGGCATGTGGAGGGAGAGGGTATTGGTACGGCAGTGAGTGGGTGGTATGGAGAAGGGCAACGTAGGTACGACATGTCACTTTTTCCAGGGCATGTAGTCGGTAGGAGTCGGCGGTTGGCGGCTTGGCCTGGCTTGAGGGAGCAGGGCGAGGCGAGGGAAGCCCCGAAGGGCCGCGGCCTACTAGCGCCAGTCGCCAGGATGTTTGCGGGATGGAGCTCTGATATGCTTCCTCCCCATAGCTCGTCATGTGAGGTGGTCGTTGCTGAGGCTGATACCAGCAGCCAGTTGCCGCGCTGTGCACGGCGCGAGTTGAGGAGGTGGGCTTTTTGATGAAGTTTAGTGTACAGCCTGTACACCTGGACCTGCCTCCTCGAAAGGCCTGGTTGGAACCGGTTGGAGGGAGATGTTCTTTTCTTCTTTTGTTTTATCATGCCATGGAGAGAAGTTCTGCCGCTAGTTGAAAAACCCTTTGCAAGTAACCCATGCAGTAACGATGTTAGGTAGGCATGTAACCCATGCAGTAACGATGTAAGGTAGGCATGAGGTTTAGAGTCATCAGGGGGGCCGACCAGTTGCGCCCCCCACCCCACGAACTAGCTAGCTATGACACCCCTGCCGGAAGGGGCAAAAGCCGGCAACTAAGCAAATAAGTTGAGAAGATTGCCTGGTTGCCCGAGGGTAATGAGTGGTTGCCTTGTGCATGGTTGCCTGCATTGAGGAGTGTTGCTGTTCGCCCGGGCAGGGTAGCAAGGCCGCCGTACAGAGGTGTACAGCGGGCGTTGGAAGCCGTTGTCAGGTATAGCCCAGTTGGTGTCGTACATCCTCCTCACCTTCGTTTCAAGGGTAGAAGGAAAGTCCTTTGTAAGCTTTTCACTGTTGGATACTACGGTTTAATATAGGAAGTCATGCCAGGATTCCTTAAAACACCAAGACGACCCACGGGTCACGCGCAGTCCTGCCTTCCGCGCGCAGAAGTATCCGCACATGCGCACGCGTCACGCACCTGTGCCCGTGTTCCGTGTCCACCACCCTCCCTCCTTCATGTACATACCCTCCTACACATACCCTCAGCCCACTCCTCCGCCCCCCAACGGCCGCACCGATAGCGGCAACCCTGCTTCCTCCCCGGCCAACGGGCGCCACGTCAACCCCCCGGACACACACCCTCACGCACGGCTGATTGGCACACGCAGAAACACACACGCGCATTGCTGACATAACCGCACCCGTACCCTCCACCTTCCGCGCACGCACACCCAACACACCGCACATACCACCCTTCCACGCCGCACGTTCCCGCACCCCCACCTAACCCCTCACCCCTCCTCCTCCCCCCCGCACCCCCCCGCCGCCATCACCCTCGGCAGCCTCACCCCGTACACCCAGCCCGGCAGCACCCCGAACCAGCCCACCAGCGCCGCCAGCCCCGCCCCCGGTAGTGCCGCCTCCCAGCGCTCCGAGGCCAGTCGCGGCAGCACCAGCAGCGCCGGCAGCAGGCCGCACAGCAGGCCGCCCAGGTGGGTCATAGCGGATACGCTGGGCTGGGGGCGGGTGGGAGGGAGGGAGGTGTACGGAGGAGGGGTGAGTTGGTGGTGATAGGGTACGCGTGCCGGTTCCGTTAGCCGCCCTTCCCGCCCACCTCCTCCCCCCCCCAACCCCCGCCCCCGCCCCCACTCACTGCATGAGTCGGGCTATGGGATTGGGACTCTAGTTGTTTGCATTTATTACATAATTTTTGCCCCCGCCCCCACCTGCTGAGCCACCATGGTGTACACGAAGAACCCCAGCAGCACCCCGATCAGTCCGCAGCGCAGGATGGGCTGGCGCAGGGAGCTGAACTGCAGCACCGTGTCAGCAACGAACAGACCCAGCAGACCGAAGGCACCGCCGCTGCAACCCACCACCTGAGGTGGCGGGAGGTGGGGGGAGGTTGGGTCCGAGGGCGGGGGTAAAAAAATTAAATAAGTGAAACAACGAATCCCAATCCCATATCCCGACTCATGCAGTGAGCGCATTCGGAGACACTATTCTAAAGACACGCATGGTGGGTGGGGGGCGTGGGAGAGAGGGAGGATGGTAGGGCGGGGGGTGCCAGGGAAACTGATGGTCAATGCATGGGGGTGCAACGAATGTAGATGTGCCCTAACCCACAGCTTCTCCTTTTTACACCCTCCACCCTCCACCCCTCCTCCACCCCCCCGCCCCCCTCACCAGCCTGCACGGGTCCTCCACCGCCGCCGCCAGCAGCTCCCCGCCCACCACCGCCACCACCCACACCGCCGCCACCCGCGCGCTGCCGTACCGCACCTCCAGACTCCCCCCCAGCGCCGCCAGCAGCGCCAGGTTGGCAGCCAGGTGACGGAAGTCGGTGTGTAGCAGGTGGGAGGTGAGCCACCTGCGCGGGGGGGGATGGGGGGCGGGAGGGGCGGGAGGGGAGGTGCGGGTTCAAACACTGTGACCCACTCGCGCCACCCTGCCCCCCGGCCACCCACATATCCTTACATCCGTTCCTCCTCCTCTTAAGGTTCCCATGCACAGCACGCGCCTTGACCACCCCAACCCCCCACCCACACTGCAGTCAGTTAGTTGTTTCCTCTTTACCCCACCTGTACGCCTGCCTCCCCCCGCTGCCCAGCCCCGCCGTGCTCCTGCCGCCCCACGCCGCCAGGTACTCCGCACTGAAGCGGGTGGCGGGCAGCGCACCCGGGTGCCCCACCACGTCCGCCAGGAAGGGCGGACCGCTGCGGGGGCTCAGCAGGGCAGCTGCCCAGCACCGCTCCGACACCGGACCCTGCGGCTGCACCTGCCCCTGTCCCTGTCCCTGCTGCTGCTGGTTGGATCCTGTGTAGCCGCTGCCGCCGCTGCCGCCGCTGCCGCTGCTGCCGCTGCTGCCGGCGCACGCGGCCAGCCCCCTCAGGGCCGCCCAGTAGGGGTAGTGTCCCGCCATGAACGCGAAGAGCAGGGCGATGACAGCGGCCTCGACGGCGGTGAAGAGGGGCCAGTGGGCGCCCATGCGGGCGGGGGTGCACCTGGGGAGGGGGGGGAGGCGGGGGGTGAGGTGGGGGTGGGGACAACGGTAGTGGGGGGGGGGCTTGCAACAACAGCAGCAAACGGAGGGACGGTCACAGGCTGCCCCCCACCGGCTACTGCTCCCAGGCCGCTACGCATGCTGTGACCTGTCAGGCACCAGCCAGCTTCCAGCGGCCCCCACATACCAGCGGCCCCAGCAGCCCGCATGCATCCCCCGCAGCCCCCCCCCACAGCTCCCCCCCCGGGCCCCCCAGCTGCGGGCCTCACCAGTCAAACACCATGGTACCCGTGATCACAAACTCTGCAGGCGCAAGGAAAAAGGAGGGGCGGGGCGGGGCGGGCAGGGGGATGGGGAGGGGCGGGGCGGGCAGGGGGATGGGGAGGGGCGGGGCGGGCAGGGGGATGGGGAGAGTGGACTGTGAGGGGCAGGGCAGGGCAAGCCGGGCAGGGCGGGCAGTGTACGACAGCAAAGGGAGGGCACGGGAGCCTTGGGTTGGGGCTTGACCGGTATGGTGCAACCGCTGGGTACGTTGAGGTGCGCGCCACTTCGTCACTCGGCTTGACTGACTGTCAACAAACCCTTTCCCCAGCTGCGCATGTGCGCATCCCACACATGCAGCACTCCACGCCTGTGCGCACCCACACCCCACCCCGCCCCCTGCCCCACGCACCCGCCTCCAGCCTCTCCCACACACTTCCAAACGCGCCCGCCTGCTTCTTCGCCACGTAGTGCCGCAGCAGTCGGCGGTGCGGGTTGGCGCAGGCGGGGCAGGCGGCCGCCAGCAGCCGCCGCCAGCACCGCCGCTGCAGCGCCAGACCCACAGCGGCGAACAGGCGGTCTGCGCGGGCGGGCGGCAGGCGCGCGGCAGGCGGGGGCCGGGGGCCGTTGGTACGGGAAAAACGTTGGCAACAGGTAGAGAGAGAGAGGGAGGCAGGTAAGTGGCGGGGTGTGCAAAGGATGGAGGTAGGAGGGGTGAAGGGGCAACGTAAAGCAGCAGGCGAGGGGGGCAGTGCTGCATGCCTGCTGCGCCGTGCGGTGCAAGGGGAGCTCCCTGGCTCCTGCCCCCTGCACACGTGCTGCTCCGCATGACCCTGCCGTACTCACACTAGACTGCACACGCCACACCGCCCCCAACACAACCCAAGCCAACCCAAGCCCCTAAGCCCCCCCACCCTCTCACCCCCCGGCGCCGCCCCCCGGTCCGCCAGCGTGTGCGCCCAGCGGTGCAGCTGACGCACCTCCGCCACCGCAGCACCCGCACGCAGCCAGCGCTGACGAGCAAGAGAAGGAGGCGGCGGCCAGAGAGCCACGCCGCCGTCGTCGCCGCCACCGCCGCCACCGCCACTGCCGCCGCCGTCAGCAGCGCTGCTGGCGGCGGCGCCGGCGGCTTTACCGCCGTCGGCGGAGGAGGACTGGAGGGCGGCTGGTGTTGCGATTGCTGGTCGGAGGAAGGAAGGGGAGTGCTTGATTAGGTCCGTCATGAGGGGCCTTGTGCTGTACAGCAAGAACGGCATGGGGTCATCGTCGCCGTCGACGTCGCCATCGGCGTCGTTGCCGCCGCCGGCGTGAGGTGCCTCGTGGTGGTGTGGGTAGCTGTCGCCCTGGACCCGGGGGTTCCCAGAAGGCTGCTGCTGCTGCTGCTGTGGCGGCGGCGGCGGTGGCGGCGGCGGGCGAATGAATGACGGGGTCCACCACTTGCGGCTGCCAGCACCACTACCGCCCCCACCTGCCGACCCATGGGTGGCAGCAGCAGCAGCAGCAGCAGTGCTGACGTCTGATGTTGCCGGCACATCCGGACTTCTACCGCTGCCGCCTCCGCCGCTTGTCTCCCGGCCCGCAGCCCCGCCCCCGCCACCAGCTCCCTCCGCGCTGACCCGCCCACTGCTACGTGCAGTGCTGCCCCCTCCTGCTGCTCCGCCTCCCCCACCGCTGGACTGGCGAGCAAGCCGCAGGTCGGCCTCCTGCCTGGGTCGCTCCCCGCCTCCGGCTGCTGCGGGGGCTGGGTGCTGCTGCTGCTGCTGCTGCTGGGAATGCTGCAACTGGAGGGGCGGCGGCGGCGGCGGCTGGGTGCCAGAACGGCGGCGGAGGTTGCGGCTGGTAAGGGCGGGGCCGACGGGGGCAGTGCCAGCAGTAGCGGCCGATGCGAAGGCGGATGCGGAAGCGGAGGTGGGTGCCTCCGCCCCCTCAGCGGTTGCATGGGGCCCATGTGGTTGTTGCTGCTGCTGCTGGTGCTGGTGGTGCTGCTGGTGGTGCTGCTGCCAGGAGTCGTTGAGTGCAGTGAGGGTACCGGTGCTGCCCCATGTGCCGCGGCTGGGGCGGGCGGAGGAGGCGGAGGAGGAGAAGGATGGGCCGCCGCCGCTGCGGCGCAGGCTGACAGCTAGCGGGATGTTGCTGAGTTGTCGTTGTTGTTGTTGCTGTTGTGGTGGCGACAGCAGTGGTGGTGCGGGGTTGTTGGGCTGTTGTAGCAGCAGCTGGGGTACCTGCTGCGGCCGGGGTCTCGGCTGTTGCAAGCCAGGCTGTGGCGGCCCGGACTCTGGCTGCGGGTTTCGGAGCTGCTGCTGCTGTTGAGCGGGGCATTCGTGGCTGATGGAGTTAAGGGAGCGGCGGCTGGGGTGCCTGGGTGGTGGTGGTGGTGGCATGAGGCCGGGGGCCACTGCAGCTGGGGGAGCTGAGGTGGGAAGAGCGGGCGGGCTTTGGTGACGACCTGCGCCGTCAACATTGCCGGCAACATGGCGCTCCTGGCTACCACCATCACGACCTGGTACATGATCGCGGCTTTGGGTGGCGGCTCCTGCGAACGTCGCTTCAGGAGTAAAACTATGAAGTCCTGTTGTTGTGGACGACTGTTCAAAAGGCGCCCGCAATGCGCGTGCGAATGGTGCTTGGTTTGGTTGTTCAGGAGGAGCGATGGCGCGGGCTAGAAGCGGCAGCCGGAAGGACAATTCCTCGGAATCCGGCCTTGACCTGAATGATTAAAGGGATTGTGGAGTTTTGCGGCCACAGTATTAGAAGCTACCATCGTGACATTGTTTACGGAACGTCGCAGGGCAGCTGTCAGAGGCGTGGCTGGGGGCTTTCCCGCCTTACCCATGGATCGCAGGGAGAAGTGCAGCTTGATCATGTGGCTGCTGCTGCTCTTGTCCGACGTTAAGCTGTGTCTCTCCACCAGCCTCAGGAGTCTGTGATACCGGTAAAGCCGGTGCCTGGCGCGGCTGACCCACGGGGCCGCGAGCCATCCCCGAAGATCCAGCCGAATGTAAATCCATAATTACCTAAATATAGGGTTGGAAAGTGTAGTTTAGGTCTGCTTACGTCAAGGAATTCGCTGGGGGATTAGGAGCATTATTAATGCCGCACAGCTTGGAAGAGCTTTACTTTGCTACACGGACTTCTAATCTATTGCATAAAGCTATCTACCTAACTATTATTTTACTTTAGTGCTAGCCATTTTACCGGTATGTATGAGCCCTAATGGTTACTTGAGCATTGTCGAGCAATAACCTTTCACTGATAAACATGGACGACGAATTAGAGCTAAACATCTCAATACCTGCACCATCACAGCCTCGAAAAGCAGCTGCTCCAGCTCGGAAAGACGGCGGCGCAAAGCAGAATGGCGATAGCGGCAAGGCCCCCGCGAAGCCACAACCTAGACCACAGGCGAACGCCAAAACTAATAACGGCAAAGTTGCACCAGCACAGCAGAACGGCGGTGTGAAGCCGGCTGACCGTCGGCAGCAGCATGCGAAGCAGAATGCCGGTGCACCAGCCAAGCAGCCCCAGCAGGCAAAGCCAGCCTCCCGAGGTCCCACGCAAGCCACGCCTAAAGGCCGAAGGGACCGCCCCAAGCAGCAGCCTGGAAAGGAACGCTTCAAGCGAGCAGGTGGGTCCGGCATCCATCGAACCCCTAACCCCCCTCTTACCCATCCGCCCATCCTTACTCTCTGCACGTTTCCTCCTATCTTGCCTCTTTCCTCCACGACACACAGCTGGCGGTCGCAGCATGGATCCGGATGACCCAGATGAGCTGCTTCGCGCGGACGACGACGACGAGGCAGATGACGTGGCAGCTGTCATGGGCCTCATGGCGCAGCGGGAGGCGGTGCTTCGGGAGGAGGAGCAGCAGGCGGCAGGAAGAGGCGGGAAGGGCAAGATGCGGGCGCCGGCAGCGGTGGGTTGGGGGAGGTGCGGGTGGGGTGGGTTGCATGGTGGCGAGGCGCATGGGAGGGGTTAGATGCTTGGAAAAGAAGAACGCTCAAGCATGCCCGCACCGACCGCACGAGAACCAGAAGGAGTCACCGTACGCTGGCTTACCTGCCCCGTTCAGGAGCTCGAGGGGGTTGTGGACTTCGGGGACGATGATGACGAGGGCGGCGGAGGCCGCAAGCGCCGCCGCCTCAACGCGCCGGGCGGTGGCGGCCCAGGCGGCTCCAACGCCAACAGCGGCGGCATTAAGGCCTCGGGTCGCGGCAACTTCACCCCCGGCAGCCTCATCCATGCAGCTCCCGCCGCCGCCACTGCAGCAGCAACAGCTGACGGCGCCGCCGCTGACGGCTCCAAAAAGGCCAAATCCAAAACTGGCGCTGAAGGCGCCGCCACCGATGCTGACGGCACGGACGGCGGCAGCACCGCCGCCTGGACGTCCCTGGGTCTGGCTCCCTCGCTGTCGCAGCAGCTGCAGACGCTGGGTTTCGCCGCGCCCACACCCATCCAGCGCGCCGTGGTGCCGGTGCTGCTGTCGGGTCGGGATGCGCTGGTGCGGGCGCAGACGGGCAGCGGCAAGACGCTGAGCTACCTGCTGCCTGTCATACACGACCTGCAGGTGGGGCAGGGGGGGGTGTCAAAGACCATACCAAACCATAGGAGACCACAAGTTAGGGCAAAGCAGGGGCAGGGGGGGGGGTGAGGGAGGGACGGGGGTAAAAATAAGGAAACTGACGAAGGGGGAGGGATGGGGGGCAGGGAGGCGTGGGTGGGTGGCGAAGGAGGCTGTGGATGCTGGAGGGAGAGACACGCCCCGACGATTTGCTTCTAGCATCTGTCTTTTCCCCTACATCTGTTGAGTCATCCGTCCTCGTTCCCTTGCTCCAATGCTCCATCACCTCCCCTCCCTTCTTCTTTCCCCTCCCCAACCCACTCCCTCCCCCCACCCCCCACCAGGCCCAGCAGCCGCGCATCAGCCGCGGCGAGGGCACCTACGCCATCCTGCTGGCCCCCACTCGCGAGCTGTGCCTGCAGGTGCACGACGTGGCCTCCGGGCTGCTGCGGCGCTACCACTGGCTGGTGGCGGGGCTGCTGATGGGCGGGGAGAACCGGGCGCATGAGAAGGCGCGGCTGCGCAAGGGCGTGAGCGTGCTGGCGGCCAGTCCGGGGCGGCTGCTGGACCACCTGCAGAGCACAGCGGCGTTCAGGACATGTGGGTGATGTGGGGGGGAGGGGAGGGGAGAAAAGGATACCCAATGTGTGTAATTAGGGGGAGGAGGTTGGGGGAGGGAGGGATGTGATCTGTAGGGGGATGGGTAGCTGGGTTGCGAGAGGTTCCGGGCGGCATGCTTGACGTGAGGGAGCTTGACGAGGGCGGTGCTGCGTTCGCTGCTTTCCTGTAACACCCCAACACGTATGCGAACCCCACCACTCCCCTTGTCCTCTTCGCCCATGCAAACCGCATACCTACCCCCCTCCTCCTCCTTCCTCTCCCCTCCTCCCCCCCCCTCCCCGCCCCCCAGCTGAGTTGCGCTGGCTGGTGTTAGACGAGGCGGACCGGCTGCTGGACCTGGGCTTCGAGGCCAAGCTGCGGCAGATCACGGAGCTGCTGAACAGCAGGGCGGCGGCAGGGGGCGGCCAGGGGGGAGGAGGGGAGGAGCAGGACGGGGAGGAGGAGGGTGCAGAGGAGGAGGTGGAGCAGGCGGACAAGAAGGCCAAGGGGAAAGGAAAGGGGAGAAAGGGGCAAACCGGCAGCAACAGCGCCTCCGCCCCGCCGCCCACCACCTCCCCCTCCGAGCGGCGGCGCACGGTGCTCGTGAGTGCCACCCTGCACCGGCAGCTGGGGGCGCTGGCGGAGTTGGCGTTACGAGACCCCGCTGTGGTGGGCTTCGAGCGGCAGGGTGGCGGCGGCGAGCTGCTTCCCTCCACCACAACCCTGGCAGCAGCCACCGCCAATGCAGCAGCTGCAGGCGGCCCCGCTGAGGACCCACTCTCCAGCTTCAGCCTGCCCGCCTCGCTGCGTCAGACCTGGCTGGAGGTGCCGGCCAAGGAGCGGCTGGTGGCGCTGGCGGCGCTGCTGCGTAACCGCACCGCCCGGCGGCGGGTGGGCGGCACCAAGGTGGTGGTGTTCCTGTCCTCCTGCGTAGGAGTAGAGTTCCACCACCACCTGCTGGGGGAGCTGTGGAGCGGGGCGGCGGGGGCGCCGCTGCTGCCGGCGGGGTGTCGGCTGCTGAAGCTGCATGGTGACATGCCGCAGGCGCAGCGCACGGAGACGTTTGCGGGGTTCGCGAAGGAGGGCGACGGTGTGCTGCTGTGCACGGATGTGGCGGCCCGCGGCCTGGACTTCCCCAACGTCTCCACCATCATTCAGTACGATGTGCCCGGAGCGCCGGCGGAGTAAGTGTGGTGGTGGGGAGGAGGAGGGGCGGAGGAGGAGGAGGGGTTGGGGCGGGAGTGGGGGAGGGGGGATTTGGTTGGGCAAGGGATGGGGGGCACAGCGGAGACATGAGCTCTGGGGGTGCTGCTGCATGGGCCTGGTGAGAACGTTCCGTTGGGGCCAAGGGAATCCCCCTAGCACGCATTCCCAGTCCATCCGTCGTGGCCTGCTCATCTAGACCAACTCGCGATGATTAACCTCGCTGATTCATCACTCCCAGCCCCGACCTTCAACCCAACCTGCAACCTGTTGAAGCCCCGTCATACAGTTTGTCACTTTCCTTAATTTTACCTCTTCAACCTTTAACCTGCTGCACTCCCTCCCTCCCGCCCTCCCTCCCGCCCGCAGGTACGTCCACCGAGTGGGTCGCTCCGCCCGCATGGGCGCCGCGGGGGAGGCGGTGCTGCTGCTGATGCCGCACGAGGTGCCGTACGTCTCACTGCTGCGCTCCCGGGGCGTCATGCTGGAGCAGGAACACCTGGACAAACTAGCCAGGTGGCTGCCCACGCCACCGCCGGAGGCAGCAGGCGAGGGCGGCATGAAGCGGCGCCTGAAGGGTGGCGCCAGTGACAGCGGCGGCGCTTGTGCTGCCCGTCAGCTGGCTCAGCACTTCCACCGTCACCTCTCGGTGGCCGTATCTCGCGACCCGCATGCTGCCAAGCTGGCCACGGACGCGTTTCGCTCCTACGTGCGTGCCTACGCGACGCACAGCGGCGACGTCAAGCGCTGGTTTGCAGTTCGCAACCTGCATCTGGGTCACGTGGCGCACGCGTTCTGTCTGCGGGAGACGCCCACCGCGATGGGGAGCTCGGGAGCGGTGGCGGATCGGAAGCGACGGAAGCGCGAGGCGGTGGCGGCGCAGGAGCAGGAGCGGTATAAGAAGATGAAGCGGGCGGCGAAGCGGATTGCGGGCTGAGGGTTGTTTGTGGAAGGAAGGGGGTGGTATGGAGATGGGCTGGGGATAGAAGGTTCATGTTACCGTACGTAGTGGGATGGTGGTATGGCATTGAACAGGGTGGGGGATACGTTGGTGTCCCCAGGACGTGAGAGCTGGCGCCGCGATGCGATGAAACGTGGTGTACGGAGGGGCCGGAGGTGCGAGTCAAAGATGCTTCCCAGCCTCTGGCTGCTTGATGGGGTCGGTGGTAAGGACTATCGACGGTAAATACCATCCTACGTTGACGAGGAGGTTGGGCGCACGATGCGGTGAGGGAGGCGGTCTTCACAGCGTTCACAGCGCGGGAGAAGCGGCTCCAAAGGTGTGGGGGGGGAGTTGTATCAGCAACTGCAAGTGCAGGCCAACAACATGCATGATGGCGGCGGCCAGATCGGTCCTGTCCTTGTTTCGTGCTTGCCTGGGGCTTGGTGCTGGGTTCACGGCTCCAGACTGGATTTGGAGGAGACAAGATATCACGTTCGGGTGTGTGCGGGTTCACGGCGGCTGGCGCCCCAAGCAGCTTAACAGATGTGGTGGCGGGTGTTACTTAACCTAACCTAGCTGCTGTGGACAGCCCCAAGGGTGTGTGCATCTCTCGTTGCATGAGTCCCAACACTGCGCATGTACGGCATCATGTGGTGCGGCCGTGTTGGATCTTGGATGCGAGGTATCGTACTGTACCGGTACATTCAGCAGGCGCTTATTCCTCGTTGCCAACTCAACAACCACGACTGTTTATGCAACTGCTGCAACGAACGCAAACCACGCATGTACACCCGAGGCATGCAGTCACCCTCCCTTGCAGCTTTTTTACGGTTCATGACTTACATAGAAGCAGGAGCTTGGCTGGATGCAATGAGGTCGGTCGCATGTGCGCGGATCCTTGTTGCATGCCGCCGCAATGTTGCATCACCGCTTTGACTGGCCGGACTGGCCGCTTAAATGATGGCATGCCCTTTGCACGTTCTCGATACCAAGCTGCAACTAGCCAGGGCAGCCCAAACCATTTCAGTACAGTGCAGTTAACGTCCTTGACCGGCACCGGCACCAAGTGCACCTACCGGTGGCACCAGGGGAAACCGTCAGGCTATGTACATTTGTTGGGAAGTCAACAAGCACTCCTAAGCTATACCTTCCCCCTCCCTCACTTTTATATAATTTTTCCCCCCCTTTGTTGCTCCTCCAATCCTAAACCCTCCAGCTCAGCAACCTGAACAAGTGCCCCCATGCAGCCAACGGAGTCGCATCCGCGACACAACCTCGGTCGCTCAGCCCCCCATCCTGCTCACCGCAGAGCCACCAACAACCTAGCAAACAAGGCAACTAACAGCAGCAACCGTTCAAACAAGTACGTGCGGGTGATGCCTTTGCCAACGCGACCGGCCGCTACACTATGTGCGTTTCTTGGTGCGTATAAGCATCCCCGGCCTCTCCTTCCCCACATCCCACACCTCCTACTACTACTTCATCCTCCGACTACCGGTACCCCCTGCAGCGACTAAACCCTTCCTCACCCACCTCCCCCTCCTTACCGCTCCCCTTACCGCCCCCTCAGCTCCGCCAGACGTGCGCTCAGGTCGTCCTCCTGCCCCGCCCCCACCCGCGCCCCCGCCGCCACCCGCCCCGCCCCCGCCGCCGGCAGCCCCTGCGCCAGCTCCAACCCGTGCTCCTCCGCCACCGCCGCCACCAGCGCCGACACCTCCTCCTCGGGGGTGGACAGCGCCGCCTGCGCGCCCATCACGTCGTCCACCACCTGCGTCTGCAGGTCCAGGTTCTCAAACTGCTTCTCGAACTGCGGAGGGAGGAAGAACAGGGAGGGGGAGCAAGGGGAGGGAAGGTCAGGGGAGGGGCCAGCATGGGAGGGGCCAGCAGGCGGTGAGGATGGGGCGGAAGGGTGAGCAGACGTCAGAGGAATGTACTCGCGAAAAGTGACGGAAGGGGCGACGGCGAACAAAGCCCAGCCCAGCCCTGCAGCCCAGCCCACCTCCGCCTTCCCTTCTTCCCAGCTCCCCCCCTCGCCTACCTGCGTCATGGTGTTTGCGATGGTCTCCAGGTTGTTGCTGGCCATGGCCTTCTCCAGGCTCTTCACGATGCCCGCCATGTTCTTCTGAACCATGGCCATCTTGGCTTGCGTCTCCAGCCGACTGACGGTGGCGTCCAGCCGGCTGGCCAGCTTCATGTAGTTGAGCTGCTCGTTCTTCTTGCGGATGGCATTCTGCGCGTAAATCTTGGCGCCCTCCATGTTACCCTTCTCGATGGCCTTCTTGACCTGCAGAGGTGTGGCGGGGAGGGGGATGGGAGGGGGAGGAAGGGGTAGTGCTGTCAAGGATAGGGAGTCGGGAGAGAGGAGGAGAAGCAGAGGGGAGAGGGGAGAGGAGCACATGGGAGGGTGAGAGTAAGGGGTGGATGAAAAGCGAGGGGGGGCGTTGTGTTAGTAAGGCTGATGAGGGCAGGCGCACTGGGAAGGGGGCATCGTCAGGGGGCAGCAGGAGGTGGCGAGGGGGTCAGGGTGTGCGGTGGGGTGAGGGGAGACATGTATGGGGAGCTGAGGGGCAAGGAGAGATGAGGTGCGGAAGCAGGGGCAGCGGGGAGTTAAGGATACCGGTACATAGGGATGATGCAGGAATAGAGGAAAAGAATGACATGGGATAGGGGCAGTTCGTGTGTGTGCGGGTGGAAGGATGGGGCGCGGTGCACTAACGGGAAAGGGGGTGGGGCACCTTGCACGGGTTGGCTGGACCACAGGTCGCCAAGGCAATCACAAGCTCACGTACTTCGGACAAGCAGGTATGTAAGGGGAAGTTGCGGAACAAGTAAGGCGGATCTTCACAGGGGAAAGGAAAATGCAGATTTGGGGAGGGTTTGGCTTGCATGATGCTGCTCGCCCTAAATGTGGTTGGACGATGGTAGGCTTCCGAACACCGTGTGTTGTTATGTACAGAAGTTACCCCAAACTGGGCGTTTAAGTGCCTGCTCTGTAACCGGTTGGTCGCAACTTTTAAACGCCTGTTCGAGGCGGATGTTGCTGCGTCTCCCTACCTTCAGCTTCTCCGCCTTCTCCTCTTTCTCGCATTTTACCGCCGACCGTGCGAGCTGCTTTGCTGTAAACTTAAGGTTAAAGATCTGGTCTAGAAGCTTTTCACCACCCATCGTCGTGAGCTCCTGTCAAGTGTCTAGCGGAGCAAAGGGCAGCTGCCGAGGGTCCTGAAATATCTTTGCCGCTGCCTCAAAAGAAGTATGAGGACAAGCTTATCTAAGTAATACTATAGTGCACAAATTCCAGGATATTTCAACGACAGCAGGTAAAGAATAAGCGAGCAGTGTCACGTCAGCCTTTGGTTGAGCTCTAATTGTAGATTAGGACTTGCGATAAGGGAGTCGAATTTCCATACGCTTACAAGTATTACTCGCCCAACTTCGCAGGCTTTCCCAGGGGATACGGACATACGACACGGCATTGTTCTAACGATCGCAGGCCCAATCCTACACGTGCACGTCGTGCGTCCTACTTAATAGCTAGGTTAATTCTAGTACGTCTCCACTTGTCTGATCAGCGACCATACAAATTCGGGGTTGACCCACCACGCCTTAGCGTTAGCTGTCGCTTTTATCTGTTCTGTTGGTTATAATACTATGATCAGGGCTTAGTCTTAGTACGCCTGCATTTGCGGGGCCATCATGAGTAGCGCAAGTCGAAGCCCACTTGACCAGTTCTACAGGGACTGTTTGAGGGTCGGATGCCTTAAGGTACGGTTATATACACTCATGCACACTGCATCTAGCTCTTCCTTTACATGCAAAAAGCTTCAATGGAACGTTTCTCAACGCGTCTCATCTCCGTCAATCGCAGTGCTTCACCCATTTCCATCTTTACCTAAAAGGACGAGAGGAGCTTGTAGTTACGATTTACACAGGTTCACAGGTCTCCCCGCGGACGTTGCCTAACTTCAGGGCCATCAAGGGGTGAGGATGGGTCGAGGGCGGGTAACGGACGGACACGGCATGCAAATCGATGGTATTGGGGCATGCAGCTCAAGCATGCTGGCTATGCTGGTTTTGGGTTTGCATCCGTGATCCATCAACGGGTTGTGGTATACTGTAGTATGAAACCCGTCCTGCGACGGCGTGCTCTTCCGGCATGGCGCCCTTCCCTTCCCTACCATACCGTACATTTGGATCCCAGAAGACGTACAAGAGTACAGCAAGATACATGCACGAACACATGCGGCGCTGGTTGCCTGGTCCTCTTCCTCTCCGCTTCCATACCCCCCCTTTACCGGAGCCCCCCCTTCTAACTTCCCTTGCCCCAACATATCTGCCCCCCGGGCTTCCCCTCCCCGCCTCCCCGCCTCCCCCCCCTTCCAGCAATGGCGACCCGCTGCTGCCCGCCAGCCCCGCCAGCCACGAGCTGGACATCCACAACCCCGACGTGACCGTGTTCCTCATCGGGGCCTACGCCAAGTACAACTGGCCCTACGTCTGGGTGGGTCGCGGGGTGTGCGACATACAGGGGGTGGCTCACAACAGGGGGCTAGGTAGACTGAGCCGCTGAAACCTAACAACAATAACAGCGGGGTGTCCCATGGAGGCCCCTCCTCTTCGTGCTCCCTCCTCGTTTGCAAGGGTCCATACAAGGGTCGTTACAAGGGTCCACAGGGGGATGCTGTGAGGCCATGCTGCCCTCCCTCCATGTTGCCATGCCTAGTACAGCACCCGCATTCCTCCACCGGGGCCACACCCAGTGCATGCACACCCACCTGCGGATGCGAGCACTCCTCCCCGCCACACACCCACACACCCTCTGCCCCCCTCCCTCTTGGCCCCCCTCCCCCACCTTACCTCCCACCCTCCAGCTGCGCTCCGTGACGCGGGGTCGCGCCAGTGATGACATCGATGCGCCGCTGGACCTGCCCACGACCAAGAACTGGAAGAGCATGGGTGGGTGGCGGGTGTGGGGGAAAAAAGAAATTCCAAAGTGTGGTGTGATAATGATACAAGTTGCTGACAATCCCTGGTGGAATCAACCGTGAGTCGAGCCGAAATGGTGGTTAAAGCAAAGCGAGCTAAACTTACCGAACTTACCAATTATGGAGGAACCTTACCATAGGCTTGGGCATGTGTGGAGGCTGCTGAAGGTGAGCTGGAGACCCACCGCGCCGTGGGGCATAGGCAAACAACAGGAACAGCACAACACGAGCACTCATAAAAACAACACAGACTGACACACGATAAAACACGTACCTAGGTACACAAAGAGGGAAGGACAGGGAAGGGAAGGACAGGGCGGTTGCATGGGGGGGTGGATGGGTGGATGGGTGGCGGGCCAAGACGGGGACGGGGCTGTAAAGGCGAGGGGCTGTTCCGGTTCCCAGCGTGTGGGAAGGGCCTTCCATTGGGGTAGTTAAGGAGGTTCTGAGCTCAGGGAGGGCACGGCAACTGCAGCGGGAGCATGCGCTGACCCCACAACGCGTCGCATGGAGACGTGGCGTGATAGGGCTGCACCTCCTCCCCTTGACGTCCCCCTCACCCTCCCCCTTCCTTTTCTGCCCCCTCTCCCTCCCAACCGCTCCTTCCCTTACTCCTTCCCCTCTTCCGCCTCCTCCTCCTCCCATGCTGCCCCGCCCCCGCCCCCCGCCCCCCAGGTCTGCGCGTGTGGCACATCCTGGAGGAGCTGGTCAACCTGAACATGTTCCCGCCGCCCGCCAACCCCTTCGAGGTCAACTTCGAGGCGCTGCGGGAGATGCCCGAGCTGGAGCGGGCGCTGCAGGTGGGGGGGGGGGGACGGTAGAGGGTGTGGAATGTGAGGAGAAGGGTGGAAGGAAGCATGCGGTTACTGGCAATGCATCCGACTGCAAGCTGCCCTCCTACTCTCATGACCTCCTCTATTCTCATGCGCAGCCATCTATCCCTGGCACCCATTCGCACCCCGCCACCCATTTGTCTTCTCACCCTCCCTCTGTCGTATGGCACCCTTCCGCCTCATTTCCCCGTTGTTTAGCCCTAACTCGTGGTCTCCTACGGTTTGATCTTCATTATCTCCCCACCCAGGCCGGCGCCCTGGCCTCCTTCCTTCGCGAGCTGCTCCTCAGCAGCAGCTGCCCTCACGCCGACCTGGTGCAGCAGGACTTCCAGGAGTGCGTCAGCACGCACTTCAGTACCATGCCCAAGCTCGTGCCGCCCGCACCCGGGCCCTCCGCGGCGGCAGCGGCGGTGGGAGCCATCGCGCAGCAGCAGCAGACACAACAGCAGCAGCAGCGGGAGCATCGTCAAGAGCCGCAGCAACAGCGACAACAACAGCAGCAGCAGCAGTCGCATCAACAACAGCAGCAGCACCGGCAACAGCATCAAACGCATACAGAGCAGCAGCAGCAGCAGTACCACCAGCAGCAGCAGGCAATGATGGCTAGGCAGCAGCAGCAACACCGTTAACCGTTAAGAGACTAGGAGCGGAGGAGGAGGAGGAGGAGGGGCGCGCGTGTGCCGTGCTGTAGCGTAGCGAAGGCTTTGGCGGGGTAAGGGAGCTAGGCAGCGATGGTTGGAAGTGCAAATGTGGGGTGGGAAAAAGCCGCGAGCGACGTGCTGGTGGGGGCGCTGTTCATCAGGCTAGGGTGATTGCCGAGCAAGCAGCATGGCGACGTGCTGGTGGGGTGCTGGCACCCCGCTTGCTTGCCTGCAGGCCTAGCAGTATTAATGGGGTGCGGTCAGCAGGAAACAGCAGCCACTTGGCACGGTTCGGACTCCAGGAGGGACGTTCCCGAATCATGCATGCATGCTTCTTGGTTCTTTTGCACTTTGTTCACTCGGGGACAAGAGCGACTGGGTCGCGTTATGTGCTGGGCCGAGGGGTTGGCCCTTGCTCAGCAGTGGGACCACTGGGGTCCGGGCGGGCGGCGACGTGCGAGCCAGGCATGGCATGGATTCCCGAGTGGGGTATGGCGGGTGCGGGAGCAGGCGTTGCTGGGGCGTGCTCCGCAAAAAGCAGACTGCAGCCTGCTGTTGGCATGCAGATTGACTGTGGACGGTGGCTCTTGGGGACTTGGCAAAGCGAAAGCTAATGGTCGCATCTCACTTTGCTTTAAATGCGCATTCAAGTGCAGATATCAAAAAAGCGCTTCGCTTCTCGGACACTAGCTCACTGCGTGCGACGCGGTGAGCACCCATGTACGGATGCCCGGTGTACTTGGTTCGCAGCGGTATGTCACATGGAGCTGTCGCGTCTCATGCGCAGTTACTTGCCGTGGGCGTGTATGATGCGCTGCCGCTGGCCGGTATCGTGTGCGCATCTGGAGGCGTCATGTAACACTGGTCGACTCTTTAGGGCCCGGTTCTGGGGTAGGCAGTTGGTAGGGCCCAAGATTGCATCTCCCTTCTATGCTTGTCTGCAGCAGCAAATTATTACAAGAACGGCATCGAGGAGGTTATCCAGGGGCGTTCCCAACTAAAAACGGCTCTAAGCCGGAATGGGTTCGCTGGCACATGTTGCACATGTCAACGCAAGGCGACAAGTTGACCGCGTTACGAGCGCTGTCATCACGTGCCGGAAAGAGCTAAATGACCAGTGTTGTTGAGTAACACAGTGTCCATTAAGCTGCGGTCGCAAGCGGGAAACCCGTCTGCCGTACAAGTGCTCCGCGCGCGAGGCATGGACTCAACCGTCAATGCAAGCCCCCGGGGGGAGCAGCTGTGCATTTGGGGCCTTAACATATTATACGTGCGACAACATGTATATTTAAGCCATACTTTTCTATCGTGGTGACCTGCAACTTTTACATAGGTTACAGGGGGCTCCCGAGTGGAGCTGAGAAGAATGAACGTTACAACTAGACGCCTGCAATGTAATATTCAAAAGCGTGAAGCCCGTATGTTAGGGAGGTGAGAGGTCCTTGACATGGGAGGGATGGAACCTTCGGCTTGCTCATACTTGTTCCGCTTTCTCCAGCCGCAGTTGGACCTTACATAGTATGCAATTAAGATCAGCTTGCGTCCTTACACCTAAGGTATAAATGCCCTTTCGCTAGCAGCATACGTAGGCTGTTGCGACACCGAGCACTTGCTTACCAACCGTCAGTTATGTGGCGACCTCCGCACAGGATTTGTTCGTATCGAAGAAGGCCCATAACGTGCTTACACGGGCGTCGGAGGTGCGCCTTCAAAGCAGGGCCTTTGTTTGACACCATGGCATTGCACAGTAATTCGCAAAATAGGTCTCAGTAATTACGCTACGCTTTATTCCAGGTCGATAACGAAGCTCCCAGCTCTCCAGCAGAACCAGCCCAACTGAGCGCCCCGCTTGCTGTGTCCGTGGATTCCATCAAGGTACGGCTTCCCTCCTGTTGCCCCATTACTCTCTTGCCTCTCACGCGCTGAGCTAAGGCCTGCTGCTGTGCCACATACAAACAGGGACCGTCTCACGGGCTACCTTCTCTGTCACTTAGTTGTTTCCTCTTCCTCCCCTGCACCCCTCCCCCGCCCCTGCCTCCCGCTGCCTCCCGGCCCCCTCCCCCCCACCAGTCGGCGCTGTTGGACTTGATTTGCGGCACGGAGCGGGGTGCGGTGGCCCGGTCGGAGGTCCGCGCGGAAATCAATGAGCTGGTAGGTTTGGGTGGCCTGCTGGGGTGGCCTGCTGGTGGTGTTGTTGGTGCTGGCGTAGTGGGGTTGGAGGTTGGTGAAGGTATTGGGCCGACAGCAGCACCTGACACAGCCGGCAGCGGACACATGACTTGGGACGCTCCCACAACTCTCCTCGTCTCCACCTGCTTCCCCCTCCTGCAACCTTCCCTCCATGGCCCTGCCAGGTGAACCAGCTGGAGGTGGCGGGCGGCCCGCACGCCGACGTCTCCTCCGCCTCCCTCGGCGGCACCTGGGAGCTGCTGTACTGCAACGCGCCGCAGCTGGTGGCGCTGCTGGGCCTCAATCGGCTGCCGCTGCTGCCGCTGCGGGTGGGGCCGGTCACGCAGCGCATCCAGCCCGCCAGCAGCACCCTGGAGAACTGCGTGCAGCTGCAGGTGCGCGGGTGCGGGTGCGGGTGTTCAAGTGGGGGTAGGGGAGGGGTGCAGGCCCACATGCATTGGAACATTTCGCATGCAGTACACATGTGAGGGCGCCACGTGCAAAACACCCCGAGCGCCCCCTAACCGCTCCCCCTCTCCCTCCCTCTGCAGTTCCCCATGTTGCAGACCTCCCTCTCCACCCTCAGCTCTTACACCGTGGCCTCACCCAAGAGGTGAGGAGGGGGCCGGGGGCCGGCATGAGGTGGTTAGCTGCAAACCTTGGCTCCGGCTCGGGGTCCGCACCACCCCACCCATTACCTCTCCCCTCCCCCTCCCCTCCACATTGAATATTCTTCTTTTCCCCTCCCTCCCAGGCTTCAGTTCACCATCCAGAGCGGGCGGCTGCACACCCCCTCCATCGAGGCCTCCCTGGAGCTGCCCGCCACCCTGTCCCTCATGGGCCAGACGCTGGACCTGAGCCCGCTGCGGGAAGCCCTGGCGCCGCTGACCCGTGGGGCGGAGGGGCTGGCGGCGTCGGCCAGCGACCTGCTGGGTCAGGCGCCTGCGCTGGAGGTGCCGCTGGAAGGGCTTCAGGCGGCGGCGGGGGAGGGGTGGCAGCTGACGACGTACCTGGATGAGGAGATGAGGATCACGCGGGGGGATGGCGGCACGGTGTATGTGTTTAGGAAGTGTGCGTAGGAGGTGCATGCGGGTGGGGCTGGAGGGGGAGGGGGAAGGACGTGGAAGGCTGGAGCAAGGAGAGGGGAGAGGAGGAGGTTGTGAGAGAGGTGTTCTAGGGTGCGAGCTGTGCTCAAGCCTGGTACGAGGGTGTGACGATAGGTATTTTATAGCAGCGACACCTCTGTTGAATCATAGCATGCCAAGCGAAGGAGTGATACGCGTCATACGCTGCACTGCCGGTAATAACCCCGGTCGTGAAAGGACATCATTACTGTACAATGATACGATAGGTAATCGGGTGGTGGTATGGAGTGTCCTTGGGCCGGCAAGGTTCTTTTTATATTTCGCTTAGTCCTGCACCCCCGCAAACGCATGAGCATGCACTCTGGGCCTAGCAGCAGAGACGCGGTGGGGCAATGCTGCGTTGGATGGCTGGTGGGTGCAGTGCAATACGACATGAATACAACATCCGAGCGCAAAGCGGCAAACGCTGGCCCCCATGGGACTTCCTCTGTCTCATCCTAGCGAGCGTTACAGGGCCGTCGGCCGGGGTAGGCGGGTTGGCGTGGTTAATATGCAACGTTCTACCTGTAATTATTAAACAGTGTTGGAGATGTCTGTACTTAGTCCTCTACCCACTAAGGCCGGCAAATCATGCGGCCGCCTTCTTCACCCCCTTGTGCTTGAGCGTGTCTGTACGCGTACAGCAAGTCTTCAGTGCCTAACCTACCCTTCGAGCATCGTTGCCACCCCGCCACCCATCCATTCCCTTGTTCACGGCAATTGCCGCTCCAAGCCTTTCCCACGCCAGCCCCACGCCGCCTGACCCTGCACCCAGCTAGGCATCTCACCGCCCCAACACAGGGCCCTCTAGCCTCCGTCACACGAATAGCCCGCCCACGTCCCCCACACCACACTCTGTACTCCTCTCCCCAACATGATTGATGATGACTAATGACGAACATCCATTATGACGGATGACGGATGGCCCCGCGCTGCTGCATTACTCATTCGTCCGTCCGCAACAACCCGGCGACCATGAAAGCAAGGCCCACCACCGTTGTTGCTGCTGCTGCGCCTGCTGCCGCCGCTGCTGCAACCGCCGAGCTAGCCAAGTCCGTGACGCATGCCGCACAAGCACACATCACATGTCAGCTCTGCCCTGGCTGTCAGCCGCTTAGCTGCAGCACCCGCCCTTCTTCTTTCCTCCGTCCTCCATCTGCTTGTCAATGACAATCAGGTCCCGGCCCTCGCCAATCTGCAACATCAGAGCAGCGCAGGAATACAGTTACAGGGGTGGAATGAAGGTGCGACATGCATGAAGCAGACACCGGCTCGTTGCCTAGGGACCCCGGCAACTCGTCACTACAGTCCGCACACGCGAGCACGCCCCCATCTGCCCTCAGGGCCACATGGGATTTGTGCATGTGCAACAGCCGCACTTATAGTCATGCCCATGAATGGCGAGGTCCTGCCTTGTGATACTGCCAAACCCATGACATCTTCCTCCCCACACGCACGCAGCTCGGCCTTTACCTTGGGCCGGTTGTCTTCGCTGTCTAGCACCTTCTTGCTAACAATGTGGTAGATTTGCGTGAGGATCTCCTGGAAAGCCTTCTCCACATTGGTGGACTCCAGAGCGGACGTCTCGATGAACGACAGCCCCTGGCAGTTTTCAAACCCGCAGAACGTCAGGTGTAAAACCCCCGGGTCACATGTATCAAGTATGGGAATAGGTAGGGATTTGCGCAAGTGCTCACCTCCCGCTCGCAGAAGCCCTGCGCCACCTCCGTCTGCACGTCCCGCAGGTGCTTCAAATCGCTCTTGTTGCCCACCAGCATGATCACGATGTTGGAGTCAGCGTGGTCACGCAGCTCCTTCAGCCACCGCTCCACATTCTCAAACGTCACTGTGAATAATTGGCAATAAATGTGAGCTTCAAGGCCCTGATCGATGATGACCATCGCATATTCGTTTGCAAAACTACGATGCAACGCAACGCACGCACCCGACTTGGTAATATCGTAAACAAGCAGCGCTCCGACGGCTCCACGGTAGTAGGCACTCGTAATGGCGCGGTACCGCTCCTGGCCCGCTGTATCCCAAATTTGCGCCTTGATGGTCTTGCCGTCCACCTGCCGACCACCAGACGTGTAAGGCCTCCAGCATATGAGCTTACGGAGTATGTGCAGGCAGCGCTTGCCTGGATGCTGCGCGTTGCGAACTCCACGCCAATGGTAGACTTCGACTCGAGGCTGAACTCATTTCGCGTAAACCGAGACAGCAGGTTCGATTTACCAACTCCCGAGTCACCAATTAGCACCACCTTGAACAGGTAGTCATAGCTGAGGAGCAAAGGGCGGGACTAGTAAGTGGCCTGCCCTTCTAGGAGGAGCGTAAAAGACGGGTTCTGAACACTCACTCATCGTCAGGCTTGTGGCTCATCTTTGCGTTTATATTTAAAGGATATTCTCTAAGGGAACGCCTCAAATAGAGCTTGGAAGCACAGTGGTCTAGGCTATTGCGTCTGCGTTGGCGCGAACGCAAAGGAAGTTGGCACTATATTACAAAGGAAATGTCAGCACTGCTTAATAAGCCTTCACTAAAAGAGCCTTTCAACCAAGAGCAACCGCTGGCTCTTGTTAACCGATGCCCCAAGCCGTACAGCTGTACTCGCTGGTTGTTGGCAAATGCCGGTGCTCACATTCCATAGTCAATACCCAGTACCAGTTGCCTTTCGTGCTCCCATCAAATAACCACCAAGTAATCAGGAGTTGTATATGTGTGTGTGTGTGTGTGTTACAAGCTTCGTACCGAGCTCGTAAGATCCGTCCGAGCCAGAAGGCTCATGGATCGCGAGCACAAAGCGACAAACAGAAAGAAAGAAAGTCTTGTGCTTCTATAATGACAAATCCGTATCTAGCTTCCACCCAAAGGTGAGAGCAAGAAAGGAACCAGCTCAGAACTGATATCGGGTGAGTTTGCCTGCATCATAGTACTCGATCTCCGCACCATTGCACCACCTGGGCCTTAGGGCCTGCTCTTGGAGCTTTCTGAAAACCTCCGCTCTCTCCTTCCGCAGCTCACGGCCAACAGTAGTGAGATAGGGAGTAATAGTAACCCCTTCCCTCTCCCTCAGCTTCTTAGCCTCCTGAATCAACCGGCCTCGCTCTAGCGGTTTCACCTCCAAGACAACACTCCAGCTCCCTGCAGCAGACAGCCAGCAACGCTGGTACTTGACTCCTTCACCAACTCCAACGGCCCCCTCCCCTACCAGCCAGTTGTATTCGTTAGCTTGAAGCCTAGCCAACTGCTCTCGTTTCACGTTTCGCAGCAAGACCTTGTTATCTTCCTCCATCCCCTCAGCTCCTGGTGGGCTGGGGTCCCCTTCCGATACCGCCATGGAAGCCACCTCATCCCTCAAGCCACGTACGCGACTCGCCATCTCCTGGAATTGCGTGTCCAGTTGAGCTGCTTTGACTTCTAGCGCGTGCATTTGCTCCTTGAAGGCAGTTGGCTCCTTGAAGGCAGTCGTCTTACGACCTTGCAACGCTAGTACAGCGTCGATTCTAGAGAGCCGGCGGAAAAGCTCGCGTAGAATCTGCCCAGTTGACATCTTCTGTAGAACGCATCTCTGATATGCCTCATCGCCTGTCTCCCAGCTACCATTCTCCCATGTCTTCGCTGCTGCTCGGAAGGCGTCTACCAATGCGCTGTCTTCTTCCTCATCACTCTCATCCATCCCATCGCTATCTTCAAGAGCAGAGAACGAGTTCTTGAACTGTACTTGTGGTGAACCTGATCCAGGCGCCGCCATTCGGGATGCACCGACTTATTCTTGTGATGTTCAGGTAAACTTGCACCCACAATCTCGTCAAAGGTGTAGTATATGTAGCGAGTATTGTAAGCGTAGCGTAGCGTAGTGGCGTAGTGGGGTAGTGGGGTAGTGGGGTAGTGGGGTAGTGGGGTAGTGGGGTAGTGGGGTAGTGGGGTAGTGGGGTAGTGGGGTAGTGGGGTAGTGGGGTAGTGGGGTAGTGGGGTAGTGGAGTAGTGGAGTAGTGGAGTAGTGGAGTAGTGGAGTAGTGGAGTAGTGGAGTAGAGGAGTAGAGGAGTAGAGGAGTAGAGGAGTAGAGGAGTAGAGGAGTAGAGGAGTAGAGGAGTAGAGGAGTAGAGGAGTAGAGGAGTAGAGGAGTTGTATATGTAAAGTGAAATTACCAAACAACACTAGCATAGCCTGACAATGTTCCCTCTCTTCCCTCGCCCAGGTTATAAAATGTTTCCGTATGGCGCCAGCGCACCTAAACCCCTCTTGCAAAAGATGAATCCCCTCATACTAAGGATCACGATTGCACAAACTTCTTCACCAACCGCTTGCCATCCTTCAATCCATCCTCACCCCACTCACATCCACCAGGTCCCACCTATCCAGCCATATAATAGTAGCAACGCACCTCACACTCAGTCTCCTGCCCTATACCTCATACCACAAAACGATCACCTACTTTACTGCCCATCCCCGCAAGCCCTCCTCTCGCACAAGATGTTGCACAGCGCACATGCCCCACACTGCCACATTGCCAAGCGCTCTTACGCGCTCTGCGCCGCATTGGCCGTCTCAATGGCTGCAAGCAGCGCCTCCTGTGGCGCCTCCGTGAAGAGCGAGGCGGGGTACACGGCGCTCCCCCAGTCGGGGTGCAGCAGCACCTGCGGGGCGGTGGTGGACATGTCGGCAACCCAGGACAGCTTCTCGGCTGAAACCAAGGGGTATTGCGGGAATACTATTCCGACGGCAGCACGAAGGGGGCTGCTGTGGCTGTGAGCACGCGGAACGCAACACTGCTGTCGTACCTTGCAGCAGCCTGCATTGGCGGTCTGGTAGCCCAGGAGGATGCTGAGGGCTGCCACCTCGGGGTACACGGTGTTGAGATCCGTGTGGACCATCTGAGAAGGTGGAAAGGGTGTGGGAGGGTTGTGTATCGGAGGAGGAAAGGGGCAAAGAAGGCAGGAATACAGCATACCTGCATACGCAGCAGCAGCGATGAGTGTGGCAGGCACTGGCCTGGGGACGACATTTGCAAGCATAAGGACAGACTACATCGTATACGCTCGACAAGGAGACAGCTACCAATCCATAATTAAATTGGCTTACCGGCAAGCCAGAGCAGGGGTCGATGTAGTCAGCCCAGTGCCCAGCGGAAGTTAGCTGGTCGCAAACTGTCTTCGCCCAAGCCATAAACTGCAAGCAATTTTACAAATAAGACCATCATCGAGCTATACCAACAAACACCTGTAACGCTTATCCTTACCCGCTCTAGCAAGCGGTCCTTCTCATTCTCAACATTCTCGCCCGTCTTAACAAGGTCCACCGTCGATCGCTGGCATGTTGGCACAATCAGGAGCTTCTCAAGATCAACAGTGGGGAACACAGTCTGGATTTCGCGCTTCATCGAGGCTGGCACGCCTGCGAAGTCGGCGCAAGCATTGCGTTTTGCAAGTGGTTGAATTGTCTCTGAATAAGAATCAGCCCTATACTTACCATGAACGCTGTACTCCATACCCCATGGCGTAGCGTTTTTATGCAGCGGTGCCATCGCCGAGGCAAGTCAGTTAGAACCGCGATAAGTATGCCCTCAGGAAGCCTTCTTGGAAGCTAAGCAGCGCAAGCTATATATTCTCAAGATTATCTCTGTTACAGATGAGCAGTATTGCCATAGTCGCTCCGCACATTATCTAAACTTTACAACATCCGTACGGGGTACAGCTACCCTTGCAGCTGGGGCTATGTGACAAACAGCAAGACATTACCCACCTGTACCATCCTCCTAATCGTATCAGCTAAGGATTCCTCAAGAACTGCTTTGGGCCCCAAAATGAAAACCACCTAAACCCTAACCCAAACCCGGGCAAGGCCGAACCAGTCCGTTACACCGTTACCTCATAGAAAGGACCTCAACCGTCTCAACCGTTTCCCCAATGCCTCAACCTTCAACCTCCAAACAACGTGTTTGTCCCCAGGGCCATTCTCACATATGGGCCACCCATTCCTTCTCTGCATTACCTCTCTAGCTTCCCCGTGCTATGCTGCTGCCGCTGCCACCATCCAGGCTCCCCTAGCCCACTGCCCCTCCCTGCCAGCACACCCACCACCCTCCGTGGCAGCCCCCAACCCGCACCCCTCCCCTACCCCAGCATCACTCCTTGCAGCACCTGCAGCACCGCCTCGAGCATCCCCTCGTAGGACTCACCCTCGCCACCCTCCTCACCCTCCTCCTCCTGCGCCGCACCCCTCCTGCTGCCTGCACTCCTCCACCCATCACTCAACACCCCGCCCCCACCCTCCACGCCACCGCCACCTCCCATCCGCCCCTCACGCCGCGTCCCCACCCCCACCCCCTCCTCACCCTCCGCCCCGCTCCCCTCCTCCTCTCCCTCCTCCCCAGCTCCCTTCCCGCCCTCTCCCTCCGGCCCCGCCACCGCTGCAGCCTCCAGCTCCGCTCTCCGGTTGAACCCCTCCGCGCCACCGTCGCCGCCCCCTGCCGCCCGCAACGCCGCCGCCAACACCTCCCGCGGCACCCGCCGCAGCACCCGCAGCCCCACTCGGGGCGGCAGCTGCAGCAGCAGCTCCAGGTGCTGCCCCTCCAGCACACCGCCGTGGGTGCGGGGGCTGCAGGGGGGAAAGGGGGAGAGACCCATGGGTCAGCATCTCAGCAAGCATGGGTCGTGGTAGTGAGCAACGCAACCAGAAGGCAGCACCCGTCAGCAGCCCCCCCCCAGCCCTCCCAAAACCCTCAGCCCGGCCACCCAGGCGGCTGCTACTGGCCTCATACGAGGTAAGGAGCCTCGCTGAGGCTCACACCGCAGGCACCCTGCCAGCCCCCCCTCCTCCCCTCCCGCCTCCTCCACTCACCATCGCCACCAGGACAGCACGTCGTCTTCTCCCTCGCGCCCTGCCTCCTCCTCCTCCCGCATCTCCCGCACGGCACCCTCCTCCGCGGGTCCCGCCGCTCCCTCAGCAGCTGCCGCTGCCCCCATCCCGCCCTCCTGCATCACTACTGCCCCGGCTGCCGCCCCTGCACCAACTGCCGCCTCAGCTCCGCTGCTTGCCGCCGCGCCGCCCTCGCTCAAGGCTGCCGCCTCCTGAGCCGCCAGTGTGCCATGCAGGGGTGCCGCCGCCTGAGCCGCCTCTGCCTGGCCCCGCTCCTCTCTCTGCTCCTCTCCCCGCCCCCAACCCCACCCCTGCCCCTGCTCCTCCCTCATCGCCCGCTCCAGCAGCACTAGCAGCGGCGCGGCGGCAGCGGGGCAGGGCGCCAGCTGCTGTACGGCACCGCTGAGCCCCGCCAGCAGCAGCGAGGGGGCGGAGCGGGGGGGCGGAGCCGGCGTGTCTGGAGGGGTTGGGGAGAGCAGAGGGGGTTGGGGTTGTGGGGTTGCGGAAGCTGTGCCGGATGAAGAGCATACCGGTATGCAATGCGACATGCGGTGCATGACGGATCGCGGAAGGAAATAGGAGGGATACCAAGCGGGCTGTGTGTGCGGAACTGGGGGTGGGGGTGGGGTGTGGAACAGCGGTGCGGTCTCTGGCGTGCCGTACACACACGTGAGTGACACGCGCAGCGGATCCCACCCACCTGCGTTGTACCGGACCGTAGGTGACGGCAGCAGCGCCCGCAGCCGTAACCCCACGTCCGGGCCCTGCGCCTCCGCCAGCACCGTCAGGTGGCGCCGAGGGGGCACGCCGTGCGGGTCTGGCGTCAGCAGCAGCAGCCGACCCGCCGAGTCAGTCACGGCAATCACAGGAGGCGCCGGCGGAGGCGGCTGTGATGTCGCTGCCGCCGCTGCTGCAGTCACGTTGTTTGCAGCGCCACCTTGTGATGCCGCCCCTGCCGCTGCCGCTGCCGCGGCGGCGGCGGCGGCGTCTTCGGCACCACCAGCTTCCGGCTCCTCCATTTCCATTGCTTCCGGCCATTCCCTTGGTGTGCTAGCGCCGCTTGCATCGCCAGCCTCCGCCGCCGCCGTCGCCGACGCAGGGCTTCCTTCCTCTGCGTCCTTCGCTGGAAGCGATACCGGCGGCGGCGGCAGCAGCAGTAAGCTGGTGACGGCTCGCGGTACCGTGTCAGCGGCGATCAACCGCAACGCCACCGGCGGGCCATCCGGGCCGCCGGGCGTGTCCGCCTCCGCATGTACGACACCGTACAGTACGACACCTGTCGTACCGTCGGTTGCCGCCAGCAGCCGGCGGTTAGCACATGCCGCCAGCTGCGTGGCGGGGTTACGTGTGGCATGCCATCCTGTACGGTGTAGCCTCGCCTCCCGCAGGCGGTAGAACAGCAGCCGACGGCCCGCCGCTACAGCGAGCGTGCAGCTGTCGTACGGACAAACGGCGGTTACCGGTTTCGGCACCACCAGCCGCTGGATCATCTGCAGGGGTGCGGGTAGTACGGCGCCCGCTGGCTGATCTGGTCCATGCGCGGCGGCGGCGCCGCCGCCGCTGCCGCTGCCATGAGCGCCATGCAGGTCTCCATAGTGTCCATGGCGCTCCCGAACGCTCCCGAACCCCTGAACGCCCGTGGGAGATGCAGCACCTCGGCCGGCATGCTCAGCCTCCGCCGGACGCGTCTGGGGGTGCTCGGCGGCTCCCGGCGGCAGCAGTCTCAACAACATGACCACGCCGCGGATGCGCCCCTCCGTGTCCCGCCCCGCGCAACCCACCACAATCAGCGACGCAGCCTCACCCGCAGCGGGCCGTGCCGGCGCTGGCACGACGCGTCTGGCGGCCGCACCCCTCGCCGCCGCCGCTATGGGGCCGCCGCCGCCGCCGCCCAGCAATACTATTTCCGGCGCTCGGCGCTGCACCGGCAGTTCAGCGGCCTCCGCCAGTCGCCGCAGCCTCCGGAGAACCGCCTCCACCTCCTCCTGCCCCCGCGCAAACCCACCTCCGCCGCCGCCACCGCCTCTACCTGCACCTCCTCCGCCGCCGCCCCCATCCCCGCCCGCACCTCCGCCTCCGCCTCCACGTCCCGCTCCTGCCCCGTTGTCCCCCTCCGCATCCCCATCCCCATCCTCGTCCACCATGACCACGTTGGGACCCAGCATCCGCCACCGCTGCCGCAGCTCCGGCACCTGCGGCTGCGGCTGCTGCGCGGGCACCTCCGCATCCATGGGGCCCGCACCTCCACCTCCGCCGCCTCCACCGCCGTCGCCGTCGCCTCCGTCCGCATCCCGCTGGCGCTCTGCCTCCGCCGCCGCCAGCAACGCCTCGAACTGACGCAGACCCTCCGCACCCTCTGCATCCTCTGCATCCGCCGCCGCCGCAGCTGCTGCCTCGCGCCCCTGGCCGCCGCCCGCCCCCGCCTCCACCTCCACCTCCGCCGCCAATGCGGCATCATCCATTTCCCCAAGCTGCGCCGCTGCCGCCTCCGCCTCCAACTCCGCCCGCAACGCCACCATCTGAGCATCCAACGCCCGCTCCGCAAGATCTAAACCCAAGAACCGCGGCCGCAGTCCCCACGGATGCTCATGCATCCCTCCAAACCGCCCGAACGCTAAGCGCCTTCCAGGCCCCTCCCGCGCCGCCGCCTGATCCTCCATTCCCCGCTGGCGCTGCCTCTCCTCCTCCTCCTCGTCCTCCTCCTCCTCCTCTCGAAACAACCAGAAGAGCCGACCAGCAGGCGGCCACCCCATCTGTCCCCCCATCCCAGCGCCGCCGACTGCCGGGGTCGACCGCCGTTGCGGCGGCGGCGGCGGCTGCGGCGCACCCACGCCCGCCTCCGGCCCCACCTGCCAAGCCTCCGCGCATGTGGCTAGGAAGGCCCCCATGACTGCGGGTACATCGAAGCTGGCCAGCTGCCGACCCGTGGCGGCATCAAGCAGGTGCAGCCACTCGGAGCCGGCGGGGAGCGGGCAGCCGGCGGGCGGCGGCACGTCGGCGGGCGTGTGCTGCGGCCGCGGCGGTGCCCCGGGGTCATCAGCTAGCAGCAGCAGGTAACCAGCGGTGGAGGCGGCGGAGGTGGCGGCAGAGGATTTGGAAGAGGTGGCAGCTGGCAGTGAGTGAGTGGGAAGCTGCGGCGCGGGTGTGGAGGGGTGCAGTAACGTGCCGGCAGGTGCAGCAGCAGAGGCGGCGGCGGCACCACTGGCAGCATCTGCACCGGCGGCGGTGGCAGCAGCAGCATCCGCCGGGGGAGGCGGCTCGGACGGCGGCGGCGGCGGCAGATGCAACAGCACCCGCGGTCGGCCTATGGGCCATGTGCTAGGCGGCGGCAGACCCGGCCGCCTCAGGACTGTGCCGTCGACGCCTGCGCCACTGCCACCACTTCCCGCCGGCGGGCCCAGTCCTAGCACGCATGGCGGCTGACGCCCCAGCCGGCTGAGGTGCTGCAGCGAGAGCAGCCGCCAGGAGCCGTCGTGCAGCACTACCAGCGCCAGCTCGGAGGGGCAGGGAGCAGCAGGCGGCGATGTCGCCAGGGGCTGCGGCGGCAGCAACGCCGCCGGTCCTGGGTACCCCTGCTGCTGCTGCGGCGGCGACTGCGGCGGCGGCAGTGGCGCATGCCGCAGGCTGGGTGACGTCACCGGCATGGGCGGGAGGCACAGCGGCACCGCCATCAGAACAGAGGGCTGCTCACCGCCACCACCACCACCACCACCACCACCACCACTGTGGGCCGCACCAGCCTCAGTCGGCGTCCACTGCCCGGAGGTGGGCAGCACCGCTGAGCACACCAGCCGGTACCCACCGCCGCCACCCTCTCCCCCACCCGCTCCCGCTCCCGCTACCTCGACCCCCCGCTGCTGCAGCTCCACCAGGTGCATGGCCGACCCCACCGCCAGCGCCTGCCACGGCCGCGAGGGCTCCAGGGGCGCCAGACGCACCGGCACCTCCTCCAACGCCACGTGCCACAGCCGCCGCAACACACCGCCACCCGCACCTGCAGCGGCACCTGCAGCGGCAACAGCTGCCGTACAGCCAACGCCGCCGCCGACGGCTGCAGCTCCAACCTGCGATGCCGCCGGCGCTGACGGCAGCAGCGACAGCGACAGCGGCGGTGGCGGCGGCTCGTATCCGTACAGCCCCAGCCCGCCGGTCCGCAACCCCGCTAGGAACAACACGCCGGCATCTCCGCTGTTGCTGTCGGCCGCGGGAGGGGTTCCGCTGAGCGCCCCTGCTACCTCCGCCGGGCTCGGCGGTTGGGACAGGAAGACGACGGACTCGGGCACACCCGGGGTCTGCGGCCCAGCCGGACCTGCGACCGGATCCAGCCCCCGTGGAACGGCTGTGATGATCCGAGCAAGGGGTGTGCAGCAGAGCCCGGACGACCCATGGGTCAGCAGAAACAGCTGCACGCTGGGTGCATGGTCACCGACAAGCAGGTGGTAACGCCAGGTAGCTGCTGCCGCCGCCACGCCGCCTGCTGCTCCTACAGCGCTGCTTCCACCGCCGCCAGGACTGGCACGAGGTGGTAGCGGGGGAAGCGGCGGCAGCAGCGTCCCGGTAGCAGATACCGCGACGGGAACACCGCCGCTGTCGCCCCCGGGAACTGCAGCAGCAGCCGCAGCGGCCGCTGCCGCCATGCCCCGTGTCGTGGCTGAGTGAGCCCTCCGCAGGGAGGGCTGCCGCGGGGTGTGGGGCAGGGCTGCAAGCGACGGCGGCAGCTGCCGCAGCGCGCAGCAGGAGGGTTCATGCTCCAGAGGCGGCAGCAGCCCCAGCAACCGGAGGGAGCAGCCGCTGCGGGGGCGCTTGCGGCTGCTGCGGCTGCGACACAGCAACCGGGATGACGGAGGCGGCGGCGGCGGCGCGTTGACGCCACCGCCGCCTCCGTCGCTGCCGCCGGCTGGCTGGTATTCTTGCCCGGCGGCAGACACGACGCCGAGAATCTGTAAGGGGAGGGAAAGCGGCGGCAGGAGGGACGTGACGTGCGGAGATGACACAAGGCAAGCTAGCCATGCGGCCTCTCAAGCAGCCGAAGATTTATTACACCCTCTTGTAACGCCCCCCCTCTTCCTTGCTCCCCATCTGTACTTGCCCCTCCTAACCCAACCCCAACAACCCATCACACCCCGCAACCCCCCTCCCCAGACCCACCATGATCCTCCGCTGGTTCCTGCGCACCAGCGCCACGCACCCCGGCGCCACCGCACCCAAGGTAACATCCGGTGCTGGGCTGCCCCACCACACAGCGGCTCCCGGACTCAGCTCCACCTCCTCCACCTCCTCCGCACCAGCATCAGCACCGGCAGCAGCGCCCCACTCCGCACCTATGCCCAAAGCATTGGCAGCAGCCTCCTCCGCCCCTCCCAGCCCGATACCCGATATCTCGTTCCCGTCGTCATTAACGTCGTCGACTCGCATCTTAGCTACCGCGCCACCGCCGGCAGCAGCAGCGTCCCCATCTTCTTCAGCCGCCGCCATGGCTGCCGTACTTACGCTGCCAGACCTCGCCGTTGGAAGCGACCTCGACCCGCTGGCTCCGTCGCCGCCGCCGCCGCCGCTGACGGCATTGCCGCCACCGCCGCCGCCGCCTCCTGACACCGAGATAGACATGGAGGTTGCAGCGCCAACGGAACGAGGCGGCGTTGACGTGAGATCCGCCAGCTGCCCTGCCGCCGTACCCGCACCCGCACCCGCCGCCGCTGCGTCGCCGCTAATGCTTCGGTCCTCGAAGCGGCTGCTCTTGGGGCTGGGCCAGGTGCTCCTGGGGGCTCCCTGCTGTGGATAGGGCTGCGGGTGCTGGTGCGGGTCCGCCGCTGCATGGCGGTGGTGGTGGGCGGGTGGCAGGTCGCCCTCAGCGACGGTAGAAGCGGCGGCGGCGGCGGCTGCAGAGCCTGCTGAGGGGCCGGCATAGGCCAGAGCGTCCAAGCAGGAAAGGAGGACGCCTGAGGGGGTGACCTACAGGGAGGCGTGCATGGGGTCGTGGGGGAAACGCAAGGCGTGGATGACGCTCTTTGCAACAGCTGCCCTTCAACGGCACAGCCGCCCAGAAGGCACTCGTGCGAGGGGAGGGCGGGCGCTCACGGCACCCCGGTTAGTTCCCGCAGGGGCCCCGTGCTGGTCCCCCGTGCCGCATATGCCGCGCATCGCGCTGTTCCCTCCCTTGTATGTTGTATCCCATGCTTCCTCGCAGCTGCCCTACCCAGCCAAGCCGCCAAGCCCGCCCCGCCCGCCCCGCCCTCGCCCCTCCCACCTGCGCCATGAACCCCTCCGCCACCCGCCCCGCCACCAGCGTGGGCTCCCAGCACCGCAGCTGCAGCGCCTCGCTCACATCGCGCAAGCAGGGCCGCGGCGGCACGGCAGGGGCAGCAGCAGCAGCCCCCGCCGCTGCCGGCCCCGCTGCAGCCCCCGCTACTGAGGCTGCAGGCGAGGGCGCCGCCCCCGCTTCCAGCTCGCCGCCGCCGCCTCCCTCCGCAGTACCAGCACCAGCAGCAGGTGGGAGGTCTAGGTAGGGAGCCAGGGCGCGTGAGCCGCCCAGGAAGGACATGACCACCAGGCTGCCGCCAGGGGGTGCTGCTGCTGATGATGATGATGAGGCCGCTGGGGTTGCGGGCGTGTGGCCGGCTGGCGGGTAGGGTGCGTGCGGGGGTGCCGAGGTGCCCGGCGGGTGGCTGGGGTGGTGGTGGTGGTGGTGTAGCGGCTGCTGGTGCAGCGGGATGGACCAGACGCCTGCAGGGGGGAAGAGCGGAGGGTGTGAAGAGGAGGATGGTAGAGGGTTAGCACTGGTAGGTGGGTTGGTGTGAGAGCAGGCCATGTACCGTTTCCAGTGATGATGTTGCGAAGCAAGCAAAGTAGACAGAGCTAAAGAAATAACACATGGGCGGTGGCGGCCAGCGTACACCACCGACAGGGCTACAGCAGCACACGGGCAAGCCACCAACAAGCAGCCAAGGAGCTGCTACCGAGACGAGGCGGGCTGGCGGGTAACCCCCGCTGCACCGCTGCTGTCGTGCCTCTCCCGGCGGTACCGTTATCCCCGCACCTCCCACTCAGGACCTCACCTGTGGGCGTGTCCCCCTGCCCGGGCACCCGCGCCAGCACCGGCGCAGCGAGGCACGTGCGCAACACCTGCAGCGGCGGACCCCCACTGCGACCACTGCGGCCTGGGAGCCCCTCCAGAGAGGCAGGCCAGTCAGCGGTGCCGCCGCTGGCCCCAGCCACCCCGGGCAGGTCCAAGATCGCTCCTGTGACCTGCGGCGGCGGCAGAGCGGCGGGCAGCGGCTTGTTACAACCAACTATCCTATGGGGCCTGGAGGAGGATGGAGGTTGCTTTTTGGACAGTTGTACAGCTATGACATGAAACGTATACCGTACCATGTAGACCCCTGCACTGTATGTCGCTCCCTCCCTGATATCCTCCTTTCCCCTTCACCTCCGTCTAAATCCACGTGCAGGTGCCCTCACCTGCAGCGCACGAGCGCGCCCCTGCACCCCCGCCGCCGCCTCCGACACCACAAAGTCCACCATGGGCCGAGGCTGCGCGGTCCGCCACAGCACCCGCAGCGACAATACCGCTGCCGCCGCCGCTGCCGCCGCCTCAGGCAGCGACGGCGGCAGGGAGGGTGCTGACGGCCCCGCCGCCGCCGCCGCCGCCAACCCTGGGCGTCCTGCCACACCTGCCACCCCCGTTAAGCGCGATGGCGGCGGCAGTCTTAGCCGCTCGTCTACCTCCATGTTGGCGAGGATGGCTCCACCCAGTCGTACGGCGACGGAACCCGGCGGGCGGGCGCAGGCCGCCGACGCGGAGTCCGCGGGACCCGACAGCAGTCGCCCGCCCCCGTTGAGGCTCACACTGCCGCCTCTGACACCCGCGGCGCCGCTGGGCTGCCCCGCCGAGACAGTGCGACGCGGCCTGGGAGCAGCCGCCGCCGCCGCAGCGGAGCCGACGGCGGCGACGTCTTCCGTTTGCCGAACAGGCTTCAACCCCCGCCGCTGCTGCTGCTGTTGCTGCTGATCCGAGGCAGGTTGCTGCAGCCCTCGTTGCTTGTGACGCACAATGACCACGTCACCGCCCTCCTCCGCCCACACCAGCATGCCACGGGTGCGCCTCCGGCTGCAGCACTGGGGCGGCGGCAGCACCGCTAGCGCGCGAGCTGGACGCAACAAGGGCCCGCCGCCGATGCCAGCACCATCGGTGACACCTGCAACCGCCGCAGCCCTTGCCACCGCCACCGCCGCCGCTGCTGCTGCTGCTCCCGGCAACGAGCAGGGAACCGCATTCAGCTGGACCCTACACAGCTGGCTCTCCTTGCCGCCGCCACCGCCGCCGTCACTTAACCCCACCGCATGCGCAACAGCCGTCCCTCCCACCTCACCCATGCACACATCCTCATCTTCCGCCTGAGCTAAGCGCATGGATGCATCACCATCCCCATCCGCCCCTGTCGCTGCGGCCGAGGTCATACCGGCATCAAAGGCTGTCGCGGCCGCTGCCTCCGCCCCCTCCGCAGCCTGTGCCATCATCACGCCCACCGTCAGACACAGAGCAGCGCCTCCAGCGGAACAAACCATTAGGCGACGACAGGCGCTTCCGTGTGAGGTACGGGATTGCGGATCCGAGGCGGGTGACTTGGAGCTACCGGCGCGGCCGCCGCCGCCTCCGATGTGCCCCGTTGGTGCCGGCGGCAGCCACTCCGCGGCCGTCAGGATGTGGCCGGGCTGCGAGGGCTGCGGCAGCGGCATCCTCTCCACTCCCATGACGGGGGCCGCCTGGGGGGAGGCGGGGGAGGAGGTGGGCGGGGAGCGGGGTGATGAGGCAAAGGAGCGAGAGGGAGGGCAGGCGAGGAGGAGCATGAGTGCCTTGCGCGTAAGAGAGAGGCAGCTCACGCCGTGAGAGCGGGGCTCGGAGGTACATCATACCTTGTACCGGCATGACTAATGGAAGCCCGCGAACAAAGACAACTCGGGAGCTGTCGGGAGGCTCAAAGTACGAGCAACCACAGCAAAGCAAATGCAAGCGAAGCAACTACAGCAGCATCCGGAGTTCCGGACACGGGCCGCCGCACCTGTTGCAGCGGCTGCAGCGGCTGCCCCCCGCGGATGTCCTGCTCCTCCAGCAGCGGCACCAGCATCTCATGTACGACAGCCTCCGTGTCGTACGGCTCATGGTCGTACAGCCCGGCCCCGCCCAGCTGCCGCCAGTCCAGCTCCATGGTGTGGGCGCCTCCCCTCCCTCCACCTGCTCCTGCCCCCGCTCCTGCCCGCCGGAAGGTTCCTGCAGCGGACAGCGGCCGCGCAAACGCCTGCCACAAGCCGTCTGCATCCCTGTCCTCGTCACCTCGCCTCTGCTGCTGCCGCTGCGGGTACGGCAGCTGGTGATGGTGGTGGTGCCGTGTAAAACCGCTGCTGGGGCCTGCGCCGTCACGCGAGCTGCTGCCGCTGCCGAAGGGACGTCCGGGGGGACGGTAGCCGCTGACCTCGCCGCTGCGACGGTGGCTGCCAAAACCGTACCGGCGAAGTAACAAGCTCAAGCCACCGCCTCCTCCCGCACCTCCGGCTGCGACTGCTGCTCCCCCTTCCCCACCCATGGCGTCACGGGGCGTGGAGCCCCGGCTGCTCCGTCCAGCAGCCCTGCTGCTGCTCCCGCGGCGGGGACCGGCAGCAGCAGCAGCGCCGTCATCCGCATCCTCATCCACCTCCATGTCCACCTCCACATCCATGTCCATGTTCGCTGCAGTGCCGCCCCCGAGGGCCTCCTCCGCACTACCTGGCCAGCCTGCCGCAGCCGCCTCAGAACCATGACCAGTAGCAGTAGTGCCGGTAGTAGCAGCCGCCACGGCGGCGGCGGCAGCAGCAGCGGCGGCGCTAAAGTGCAAATCGGAGAATCGCAGGTACGACCAGCCCCGACCCGTCGCCGCCGAGGGAAACCGACCGCTGTTGGATGCTTGCTGCTGCTGGTGCCGCCGCCGCGACGTCACTCGCCCCGTCGCCAGCTCCTCCTGGTGTAGGCCGGAGAAGAAACGAGTCGCGGTTCCCTTGCTACCAATACCGCCAGCAGCACCGCTTCCCCCTGCAGCACCGCCGCTGCCGCCGCTCCGGGCCGCTGGCGTGCCCCTTGTCGTGCCCGCATCCCCGCGTTGAGCCGCTGTCCCCTCCTCCTCCCCAGCGCCGCAAGAAGCCAACAGATCCCCCAGGTACAACACTGGAGGAGGCGGAGGCGGCAGCTGCGATGCAGGCAGCGCCGGCGGCACAGCGGCGGAGGCGGCACCACCACCGTCACCGGCACCGCCAGCCGCCGCGGGCTCCGGTGCGGCAGATGCAGCAGCGGCATCTAGGTCGGTAGCGTCACCGCTGCCAGCGTGCGTTGGGGAGCGTGGGGCGAGGTTGGTGTCCTGGGTATGTGTATGGGTCCCGGCGGCGCTGTGCTGCAGGAGCAGTGCGGTCTGCAGGAAGAGCGCTCCATGCGTACCTAGCACCATCAGACCTGGGAGGGAGCGAAAGCAGGATGAGGTGAGGGGGTTGGGTGCATGAAACATGCGGTTGGAAGGTGGCTGCTACGTTAAGCCCTGCTTTAACACCCCGCCGCAGCCCTCTCCTGTTCGTCGGCCGTGCATGGACACTTACCTGAAGCGTCTGGTGAGAGCCCGCCCTGCTCCTTCCGCTGCTGCTGCTGCCGCTGCTGTTGCGGCAGTGGGGGCGTGGCGCGCAGCAGGTGGGGCGAGCCCAGGGGTGCCCGCCCGCCGCCGCTGCCACTGCCTGACTCCACACCCAACCCTGCGCCTGCTCTTTCCAGCCCTCCCAGCCTCAGCACCAGGCAGCACTGCAGGAGGGCGGCGGAGCGGCTCCAGCGCAGCAGCAGCACCTCCCCCGCCCCGCAGCTGGACCTGGGGGAAGGCACACGAGGTGGGGGTGAGGGAGGGGAAGGCCGGTGGTGAGGGTCGCTGGGGGGACGCGTGTCCAGCAGCCAGAGCCGACCAGGTGGTTTAGGTTACGTCTATAGTACACACCAAGCCCAACCAAGCTACAGTACTGGTACTGGTACTCACCGCTGCACCAGCACCGCGATACGCACTCCTCCCACATCCAGTGCGGCCCCGTCGCCAGCCGCCTCCACCGCCACCTCCGCTGCCTCCTTCACGCCCTCATCCTTGCCACTGCTCCTCCGCCCCCGGACTGCCCCGCCAGCCGCCGCCGCCGACCCGCCGGGTCCCTCCAAGATCGCCATGTCCCAGATCGCTCCGCAACCCGGCTCCAGGGGAAGCGGGAGCACCGAGGGCGACACTTGAAAGCCGCCAAAGCCGCCGGACGTGGTGACCCGTGGGTCACTGCCAACACCAGCTGCCAGCGCTTCGGCCGTTGCTCGCCGCAGGTTGCGAGGGGGCGCCCCAGGTACCGGTCCGGCGGTGAGACGCGGCTCCGGAGGTGCATCTCCATCTGCTGCTGCCGCTCCTCCTCCCGCTTCCGGACGGCCACTGCCGGCACTGCTACCCAGTCTGCAGCTGTGGCCCGCCTCCCTCTGGTGCGGGTGGCGCGGGTGGTGCTGGTAGGCCACCGGCGGCCCCAGCAGCAGCACCGGCACACTGCTGCTGCTGCGCTGCATTGCGCCCTCAGCCATCCCGCCCCCAGCGGAGCCGCTGGCAGCGACATGGGCAGCAGTGGTACCATCGCCCGCTTGGGAAGCAGCGGCCGCAGCGGCCGCCTCCCCCTGCTCCTCCTCCTCCCCTTCTGCCATCGCCGTATCCACAGGGGCCATCGCCTCCGCCGCCTTACTTTGCGTCCCTGTTGCCGCTGCCCCAGCCACCGCCGTTTCTTTCACTGCTGCTCCTGCCGCTGCCACCCCTGCTGCTGCTGCGGGCGGCAGGTAGAGTATGTGGTCCTGGAATGCCGCCGCCGCCAGCCCCAGCCTGCCGCTCGAGCCCACCGCCAGCAACCGCGGCATGAAGCGAGGCGGGGTGCCTGTCAGGGCGGGGAGGGGGCGGGGGCCATGTCAGGAGGGAGGTAAGGGGGGTTGGAAGTGATGGCACCATGGTGGCAGAGGCCTAGTCCGCATGTCGCCGGCCCGCATGCATGCATGCAAGCTTGCAAGGAGGCAGGGAGGCAGGCGTGCATGCATGCACCCAGGCACGCCCCGGCTGCCTCACCCGGCGGCACCAGGAGCACCTCCTGGAGCGATTGGAACCTGCAGGGAGGCGGGAGGGAGGAGGCAGGGAGGGGAGCGGGAGGGAGGAAAATTATATAAGAAATGCCAACAACTCGTCGGGGCTAGGCGGCGCAGCAGAGGGACGTGCGGACTGCATGGGGGAACAACAACACATGCTGCCATTGTTACCACTGCTGCCGTCAGCTGCCCGCAGCGCTTGCGCCCTCCTCTTAACTCTCACAACAAGGTACAAACAGGTGTCCCGCTGCGGGGCCCCATCCTCATCCAAACTGCATCCGTGTTGCTTGCAAGCCCGCGAACCCACCCACCCGCCTAGCACCGCCCGCCCAGCACCCCGCCCACCCACCTGTTGCACTCCGCATCGTACCCCAGCAGCGTCAGGCGGCCCGACCCCAGCAGCACCGCCAGCAGGTCCGCAGGGGGGCCGACCGCTGCTCCGCTGGCGGGGTGGCAGCAGGCGGTGGCGGTGGTGGTGGGGGCAGCCTGAGAGGAGGTGGGGCGGGCGCAGTGAGGGTGACAAAGGTCTTACGATAGAGGACCAGCTTAGAAGAGCTTTTCTTAAAAACATCTTTCCTAGTTGTCAACGTGACCTTAGCACTTTGCGCGGGCATAGCATTTGACTGGTGCCCAACTGAAGATGATGCGATGCGTGCTTCCTGCGGGGCATGTGCTTGCCCACTGGTGACAGCACTTACGGGATGGCTAGCGTCGATGCCTCCGCGCAACACGCGCATGTCCTGTACAACGTCACCGCGCTGAAGTGGTTGCATGAAGATGCTGACTGCTGCACCTGAGGGCTCCACCGCCAGCAACTCCAACCCGCTTCCGGCGTGCGAGAGAACCACCTGACATTGCTCCGCCTGTGCAGCTATGAAATGGCCGCAGACGACGTGATCCACAACTCCACTGTGAACAAGCGTCTTCGATATCCACGTTGAGGCCATCGCAGTTTGTTATTTGATCTGGGCCAGGCCTCACACCGTAGTTTGCCACCGTAGGTACCCCGATAGGGCTATCTTGCCGACATGTCCATTTTCAAAACGTATGCTACCTGGATCTAACAAAGCTACGCAGTTGTGAAGCCCCGAGTATAGTTTCATGGCAAACTGTGGTACCAACGTCATCGACACGGCATGTAGCCTCCGCAGCTTTATACTCATAGTGTGGTATACACTTCATAATCTACTTACAGGTAAAATGAACCTTGACTAAGGCCCTTGATACCAGAAAGTCGTCGCTTCCACTTCGCACCAGTAACTTCCATACTTCCTCATATAACAATAACTTTTCGCTCATCTTCTGGCTGAAGCTGCAGATACTCTTACCTACTTCAGTCGCGGAACATGTCAGCTAATCCTGCTTTAGTCCAAATCTCGAATGGCGAGCTATGGCCTGCTCCATTCCCAAGTGAAGTTTTCGTCCTCCGCCGTGAAGGTGTACAGTGTGAACTTCATGGCGTCCAAACAAAAATAAAGGGCTGGCAGGCGCGCGGGGCGCTGTACCTCTCCAACATCCGCCTCGTCTTCGTAGCATCCAAGACAGACGAGTCAGGTCAGCTTGTACGCCACCCTTGCGACTCCCTTACTGAGTGCAGACGGGTTCTCTGCGGTGTGCATACCGCCGTCCATGGTTCCACCCGTCGGTTGGGTTTCAAATAGGTTGCTGGGGACTTCTCGACACTAGGCCGTGTATGTCACAGTTGCATACATGCCGCATCGTAAGGGCTGCTGCTCAAGTGGAGCCAATCGATAACCCTGCATGTGCTGTGGATCCCATGACTCATGACCCCGTGAAGCCCTCCCACCTCTCCTCTCGGGGCTCCTCCCGTGCAGCCAAACACTGTCTTGCATGCGGTCCGCACGCCACCCCCCAACACCCCTGCCGCCATCCTGTCCTCCCTCCTCCCGCAGGCCTGGTTGCGTTTGACTTCCCGCTGGTCTACATCCGCAATGACTCACTCAACCAGCCCATCTTTGGCTGCAACAACCTGGCAGGTGGGGCCACAGCGTGCAGGTGGGGCGGCAGCATGCGACTTGCAGGGCACGTGCGGGCGCTGGCGGGGGCTGCCCCCGGCGATGGGTCCACCAGCTGTCATGGGCGGCGGGGTGTTAGGGTGGTCAGGGACGTGAGCCGTTACCCCTCTCGCCCTCCTCTGGCCCTCCCTGATGCACGCGCCGCTGCCCCCCCCCCCCTCAGGCCAGGTGTGGCCCGCAGTGGAGGGCGGCGGCCCCGCCGGCAGCCTGCCCCCGCACGACTTCCGCGTGTACTTCAAGGAGGGCGGCATCGGCACCTTCTACCCGCTCTACTACACGCTGGCGGACCGAGCAAAGCAGGTGGGAGGGAGGGAAGGGAGGGAGGAATTATGTAGGGATATGTGTTCCGGAGGGAGGGAAGATAGGGACTAGGGAGGGAGGGGTGTTGACAGGTTTGAGGCAGTGTTCATGGCGCATATTTCGTGTAACTGGGAGAGGTTCCCTGACATTAGGATGTTCCTGGCATTAGCTGGTGCGAACAGGGGGGATGAAAAGGTGGGCTGCTACGATAGTTCCCGGCTCATGCCTGCCGCCCTGTCACGCTGTTTGTAAAACGTGTCCTACGGGTATGAGCGCGCTACTTGTCGTTACCCCCTGCATGCCCCCACCGCCCGCAACCGGCCACACCTGCCAGCCGCTTCCCCCAACCTTGCATGCAAGCACCCGCCCCCACCCGCGCACGCATGCAGGCCTTCGCAGCAGCGGAGGGCCGCAACCGCGCCGACCCCAACCCGCCCACCTTCGTGGCGGGGCTCGTGTCGCACGCGTGAGTGGGGCGGGGGAGCTGGGACTGTCCTGGGGCATGGTGGGGGTTGATGGCGGGCGGCCGGGCATGTGAGGGGAACAAAGGTTTGTGTCTTGTGGGTTGGGCTCCCCATGTAGGTTAGAAAACCCGTTTTCCCATTGTTGAAAGCCAACCCTCCTCCTCCTCTTCCCTCCTCCTCCTCCGCCCCTCCCTCCACAGCTTTGTTGACCCCGCCGACCCCTCCACCATCTACCTGGCGGAGAGGCAGCCAGTGGGGGAGGAGCAGCGGCTACCGGAGGCACCCAGGTGGGGTGCGGTGGGGGTGGGGGTGGGGGTGGGGGTGGGGGTGGGGGTGCGGTGGGGGTGGGGGTGCGGTGGGGGTGGGGGTGGGCACCACGCTGAACCGTGTCTATGCGCACACGTGTATGTGTGTCGTGTTGCGTTGCGGCAAGCTCCTTTCACTGCCGGCTAGCTGCTGGGCTTTGGGGCGAGCTCTGTTTGGGCGCTGCGACCCATGGGTCCACACCACGTGTGGTTGCTTTGAGATTGCTCACATGGCCCTCATACACACCTCCTCCTGCCCCCTCCCTCTTTCCTTCCCCTCCCCCTTTCCCCCGCGATCAGGTACGCGGCCAACTACGGAGAGGACGAGGTGTACGAATCCATGGAGCCGGGGGCGGCGGGGGCGCGGCAGGGGCCGGGACAGCTGCGGACGTGAGGCGGGAACAGCAGCAGCAGCAGCGGACGTGAGGTGGGGGAGCGGCGGGGAAGTGTGCATGGATTGGCGCCGGTGCTGCCGTGTTGCATGCCCTGATTACGGGTTTCATGTTACGTGCGTTAAGCATGATACTTTGCTTACCGGTAATTACTTTGGGGTTGCTTTTGCGGCGGCGGTCTTGTTGTATAGGTAGGAGGTATGAGTACGGCTATAAGGTAGGGGGCACCGTTGGGAAGGACGGCGGAGGGTAAGGAATTGGCTTTGTACGTTGATGTTGTTGTATTGGTACCATCAATTACATAGGATTGTTCCCATAATGTATGTGTGTCTTCTGTGGGTTTTGCGCTGTTTCTTTTTGTACGGCAGACCAGCAGCTGGGCTGTCCATTGCCCGTACTTGTCTGCCATCCTTTAAAGCGTTACACATGCATACGTACTATGTTACAATCTATGATCATGGAAGCCGTGTGTAAACATCTCGTTCTATAGGGCTGCAGATGTGACTACTCTAGGAACCCACCAACCGTGCGGAACGTGCCATGCAAGGAGAGGCGCACGGAGGCTTCCCTCCCCTCCACGGCTTGCGCCAGGAGGGGAGGGCGGAAAGCGGGTTACATGGATCTGCCAACAGACGGACAGCGGCCCTCAAGGGCTATAAACACCCATCCAGAAAACCCTAACAAAAGAAGCATCACACGAGGAATAAAGAACACAAGAGGCCGAGTTCCATTTTCCTGACCATAGCACGACAGCCGCTCTGCTCACAATCCACGAACCAACAACACCAGCAACCCACATGAGAAAACCCCTCGAACCAGTGAGGTATACATGGCACATGGGTCGCAGACGTGCAGCATACAAATTGCAAGTCATTACAGTCCCTTAAACCTATCTACCGGTACCTAACACGCCCCAGCCATATGGTTGGGCGCATTCTTCCGCAAGCATGGACACTTTCCTTGCCGTACGCTCCCAAACCACCCAATGACAGTCCCACTTACATGGGCTCCGGGGCTCCCTCTTGGCTCCAGTGCTCCAAGGACGTGCATCATGCGACCATGCGAAGGGGAAGCAGGGGCCGGCATGTCAGCAACGGAAGCTATTGAGGGGACGACCACAACGTCCAACCAAAACACAGGACATGCCCACAGCCCCGAAGCCTGCCGTGCTGTTGCTGCTCTGCTGGCTGCTTCTGCTTCTGCTGCTGGCTGGCTGGCTGGCTGGCTGATTGGCTGGCTGGCTGACAAAATGGCTGGCTGGCTGGCTGATTGGCTGGCTGGCTGGCAAATGGCTGGCTGGCTGGCTGACAAAATGGCTGGGACGACCTTGGGCTCTGAAGCCGTGGGCCTGCTGAAAGGCTGCTGTGGCGGCTGGGGCTGGAGGGGCACGCCTGGACGAGCAACAATCCCTGACAAGTCCCCTGCTCGCTACGTTCCCATCCGCAATCCCACCAAGCAGCGCCCTACTTACATCAGCAACGCGTCCATGCCGGTCGTGACGCCCCGCACGCTTCCGTCTTCCAGAACGTGGATATCGCTCGTCCTCACGTCATCCGCAGTCGACCAAGCAGGGGCCAGCATGCCGGGGGAGGGCATGCCTTGAGAGCCGCAAAAAGCTGCCGTGATGCTCGCTGCGTAGCAGGCGACATCTGCGAACAGGGAAGGACGGAAAGGGTGTACGTGTAAGAAGCTGATGTGAATTATGACGAGCCGGATGTGGAAACGCCTCTGAACGCACGATCAGAGGCTGGGATACATGCGTGAAGCCTAGCTAGGTCGCTTGTACCCACCTACCGTACATTCTCAAAGAGCCCGAAGCCGTACCTTTACAGGAGGTGTACGGTGCACTTGCCTAAAGACACCGATGCATTTCGAGCCGCCGCAAGCATCCGGATAGCCGCAGGTCCATGTCGACGAGAGATTCCAGAGGTCCACAAGAAACGTGGCAGGCATGACCCGTGGGTCATCTGGGCGTCATGATTGCCCCCGTGTGGTCTGTACCATTCGCATGATCGCCATGAGGCGCACGCCTCATCATTGCCCCCGTGTGGTCTGTACCATTCGCATGATCGCCATGAGGCGCACGCCTCATCATTGCCCCCGTGGGGTCTGTACCATTCGCATGATCGCCATGAGGCGCACGCCTCATCATTGCCCCCGTGTGGTCTGTACCATTCGCATGATCGCCATGAGGCGCACGCCTCATCATTGCCCCCGTGCGGCCTGTACCATTCGCATGATCGCCATGAGGCGCACGCCTCATCATTGCCCCCGTGTGGTCTGTACCATTCGCATGATCGCCATGAGGCGCACGCCTCATCATTGCCCCCGTGGGGTCTGTACCATTCGCATGATCGCCATGAGGCGCACGCCTCATCATTGCCCCCGTGCGGCCTGTACCATTCGCATCATCGCCATGAGGCGCACGCCTCATCATTGCCTCCGTGTGGTCTGTACCATTCGCATGATCGCCATGAGGCGCACGCCTCATCATTGCCCCCGTGTGGTCTGTACCATTCGCATCATCGCCATGAGGCGCACGCCTCATCATTGCCCCCGTGCGGCCTGTACCATTCGCATGATCGCCATGAGGCGCACGCCTCATCATTGCCCCCGTGTGGTCTGTACCATTCGCATGATCGCCATGAGGCACACGCCTCATTATTGCCCCCGTGTGGTCTGTACCATTCGCATGATCGCCATGAGGCGCACGCCTCATCATTGCCCCCGGTTTTGTCTGTACCATTCGCATGATCGCCATGAGGCGCACGCCTCATCATTGCCCCCGTGGGGTCTGTACCATTCGCATGATCGCCATGAGGCGCACGCCTCATCATTGCCCCCGTGTGGTCTGTACCATTCGCATGATCGCCATGAGGCGCACGCCTCATCATTGCCCCCGTGCGGCCTGTACCATTCGCATTATCGCCATGAGGCGCACGCCTCATCATTGCCCCCGTGTGGTCTGTACCATTCGCATGATCGCCATGAGGCGCACGCCTCATCATTGCCCCCGTGGGGTCTGTACCATTCGCATGATCGCCATGAGGCGCACGCCTCATCATTGCCCCCGTGCGGCCTGTACCATTCGCATGATCGCCATGAGGCGCACGCCTCATCATTGCCCCCGTGTGCGGCCTGTACCATTCGCATGATCGCCATGAGGCGCACGCCTCATCATTGCCCCCGTGTGGTCTGTACCATTCGCATGATCGCCATGAGGCGCACGCCTCATCATTGCCCCCGTGGGGTCTGTACCATTCGCATCATCGCCATGAGGCGCACGCCTCATCATTGCCCCCGTGTGGTCTGTACCATTCGCATGATCGCCATGAGGCGCACGCCTCATCATTGCCCCCGTGGGGTCTGTACCATTCGCATGATCGCCATGAGGCGCACGCCTCATCATTGCCCCCGTGTGGTCTGTACCATTCGCATGATCGCCATGAGGCGCACGCCTCATCATTGCCTCCGTGTGGTCTGTACCATTCGCATGATCGCCATGAGGCGCACGCCTCATCATTGCCCCCGTGTGGTCTGTACCATTCGCATGATCGCCATGAGGCGCACGCCTCATCATTGCCCCCGTGGGGTCTGTACCATTCGCATGATCGCCATGAGGCGCACGCCTCATCATTGCCCCCGTGTGGTCTGTACCATTCGCATGATCGCCATGAGGCGCACGCCTCGTCATTGCCCCCGTGTGGTCTGTACCATTCGCATGATCGCCATGAGGCGCACGCCTCATCATTGCCCCCGTGTGGTCTGTACCATTCGCATGATCGCCATGAGGCGCACGCCTCATCATTGCCCCCGTGGGGTCTGTACCATTCGCATGATCGCCATGAGGCGCACGCCTCATCATTGCCCCCGTGGGGTCTGTACCATTCGCATGATCGCCATGAGGCGCACACCTCATCATTGCCCCCGTGCGGCCTGTACCATTCGCATCATCGCCATGAGGCGCACGCCTCATCATTGCCTCCGTGTGGTCTGTACCATTCGCATGATCGCCATGAGGCGCACGCCTCATCATTGCCCCCGTGTGGTCTGTACCATTCGCATGATCGCCATGAGGCGCACGCCTCATCATTGCCCCCGTGGGGTCTGTACCATTCGCATGATCGCCATGAGGCGCACGCCTCATCATTGCCCCCGTGTGGTCTGTACCATTCGCATGATCGCCATGAGGCGCACGCCTCATCATTGCCCCCGTGCGGCCTGTACCATTCGCATGATCGCCATGAGGCGCACGCCTCATCATTGCCCCCGTGTGGTCTGTACCATTCGCATGATCGCCATGAGGCGCACGCCTCATCATTGCCCCCGTGGGGTCTGTACCATTCGCATGATCGCCATGAGGCGCACGCCTCATCATTGCCCCCGTGCGGCCTGTACCATTCGCATCATCGCCATGAGGCGCACGCCTCATCATTGCCTCCGTGTGGTCTGTACCATTCGCATGATCGCCATGAGGCGCACGCCTCATCATTGCCCCCGTGTGGTCTGTACCATTCGCATCATCGCCATGAGGCGCACGCCTCATCATTGCCCCCGTGCGGCCTGTACCATTCGCATGATCGCCATGAGGCGCACGCCTCATCATTGCCCCCGTGTGGTCTGTACCATTCGCATGATCGCCATGAGGCACACGCCTCATTATTGCCCCCGTGTGGTCTGTACCATTCGCATGATCGCCATGAGGCGCACGCCTCATCATTGCCCCCGGTTTTGTCTGTACCATTCGCATGATCGCCATGAGGCGCACGCCTCATCATTGCCCCCGTGGGGTCTGTACCATTCGCATGATCGCCATGAGGCGCACGCCTCATCATTGCCCCCGTGTGGTCTGTACCATTCGCATGATCGCCATGAGGCGCACGCCTCATCATTGCCCCCGTGCGGCCTGTACCATTCGCATTATCGCCATGAGGCGCACGCCTCATCATTGCCCCCGTGTGGTCTGTACCATTCGCATGATCGCCATGAGGCGCACGCCTCATCATTGCCCCCGTGGGGTCTGTACCATTCGCATGATCGCCATGAGGCGCACGCCTCATCATTGCCCCCGTGCGGCCTGTACCATTCGCATGATCGCCATGAGGCGCACGCCTCATCATTGCCCCCGTGGGGTCTGTACCATTCGCATGATCGCCATGAGGCGCACGCCTCATCATTGCCCCCGTGTGGTCTGTACCATTCGCATGATCGCCATGAGGCGCACGCCTCATCATTGCCCCCGTGGGGTCTGTACCATTCGCATCATCGCCATGAGGCGCACGCCTCATCATTGCCCCCGTGTGGTCTGTACCATTCGCATGATCGCCATGAGGCGCACGCCTCATCATTGCCCCCGTGGGGTCTGTACCATTCGCATGATCGCCATGAGGCGCACGCCTCATCATTGCCCCCGTGTGGTCTGTACCATTCGCATGATCGCCATGAGGCGCACGCCTCATCATTGCCTCCGTGTGGCCTGTACCATTCGCATGATCGCCATGAGGCGCACGCCTCATCATTGCCCCCGTGTGGTCTGTACCATTCGCATGATCGCCATGAGGCGCACGCCTCATCATTGCCCCCGTGGGGTCTGTACCATTCGCATGATCGCCATGAGGCGCACGCCTCATCATTGCCCCCGTGTGGTCTGTACCATTCGCATGATCGCCATGAGGCGCACGCCTCGTCATTGCCCCCGTGTGGTCTGTACCATTCGCATGATCGCCATGAGGCGCACGCCTCATCATTGCCCCCGTGTGGTCTGTACCATTCGCATGATCGCCATGAGGCGCACGCCTCATCATTGCCCCCGTGGGGTCTGTACCATTCGCATGATCGCCATGAGGCGCACGCCTCATCATTGCCCCCGTGGGGTCTGTACCATTCGCATGATCGCCATGAGGCGCACACCTCATCATTGCCCCCGTGCGGCCTGTACCATTCGCATCATCGCCATGAGGCGCACGCCTCATCATTGCCTCCGTGTGGTCTGTACCATTCGCATGATCGCCATGAGGCGCACGCCTCATCATTGCCCCCGTGTGGTCTGTACCATTCGCATGATCGCCATGAGGCGCACGCCTCATCATTGCCCCCGTGTGGTCTGTACCATTCGCATGATCGCCAACTTGGCCCCATTGGTGTCGCGGACATCCTGCCGTGCCATGGAGATGCTGTTTGACGCGTTGGTCTTGGGCGCGTTGGTCTTGGGCGCGTTGGTCTTGGTTAAGGCTTCAGACGTCCCGAGACGCCCAGGTTGGGAGGCCGTGGATAGTACTGGTGAAGTAACGAGTGAGCGGAGGCGAAGGTGTCTTGGATGGGAAGACGCTTTGAAGGCTCCGCGCAGTTGTAGCCTATAGGAGGCAGGAATTGGGCAAGGGGCATTGTCAAGTTACGCTCCAGCCATGGAGAACAGTTCAGCGTAATGTATTGCAACAAAGTTCAGCGATACCTGATACAATATATGTACAGGCCTAAATAAAGTACAGTTGAGAGCAACTCGCGTAACTTTACACACCTGTGCCATTACCGAAATGAAGCAATGCCAAGCGTCGGATTCCTGCCGCTCCACTGAAGAACGAGCTTTCCCCCAAGGTCTCCTTTTTAATGGAAGGTGTTCACGGTGTATTGGGAAACCGTGAAAGGTTGAACTTAATAAACCTAAAACTGCTGCAGACGCCAAAAGTTGCCGAATGCGTCGTAATGGACTATTGAATTGCCCTGATATATTCCTGAAGATAACGCTTGCAACGATAGTCCTTCGCGAAAGGAACAACGCAGTTTTGTGGTAAGCTGCCAACCAAGCATCGTAGCGACCAAAACTCAGCATACGCCCTGCTTACCTCTACAGCCCTTTGAGTGATTGCTGTGTTGTTACTTACGATTCTGTATGCTCTTGGGGCGATAGGACGGAAATTGCAGCCACTTCTGTATTAATGACCTCTGCACTTGTAAGGCTGCCTAGAATGTAAGCTGTATTATAATCTGTGTCAAAAGGCTTCCATCTGTTTATGTGTTATATTGTAAATGCGTAATGGCCTAGCACTTGCTTTTCTACAAGACTGACCGCGCCTGTCGTACGGCCAGTAGCGATGCCCGCATTCAAGGCGGAAGGATCCGTTGAGCATAGCATAGAAAGTACTACACAATATTATCGACCATCATCTTCTTCGCTGGAGGTGCTTGGCGAAAGCTCCGGGAAAAAGTTGTCTGCAGGCGACCTACCGACCCGTTAAACTGACTACGATGAGCTCCTTTGTCAGTAAGTCTGAACTACAGTAGTCCTACCCAAGCAACCGAAGCATGCGTGGAATAAAGAAGGAGAGGGGCCATCAGGTGGCCATTGCAATGTCATAGGAAACATTCCGAAAGCTGCTTCCGTCGTTCAAGCCGCTCCTTCCTGTTCCCTCAAGCTCCTTCCTTCCTCTCCTGCAGTTGTCTCCCGCATGCATTCCGCAGTCATTTAATCACCGACACGTTTACCCATGTATCATTGGCAACAATGCTGATGTAACATGTCAGGGCTGCCTCCGCGCTTCCTCAACCAGTGTAATAGCACCGCTGACCACCCGCAGCTGCCACCGCGACCACCAGCCGGGCGACTGCTGCAGACGCTGCTGGCTCTCCGGTGCAAACGTCCAGGCTACTCACCACTGCCAGCTTTCACGCGTATGCACACATATGCACCTCGCCACTGCTCACATCCTGTTTCACACCCTCTCTTGCTGTCATGCAACGTCATTCTCTCTCACGTCTTCACGACTTGGGGTATTAGATAAACTGAGCCGCGGAAACACTAACCCTGACCGTAGACAGTCACAGCTCACAAGCCCCGCAACCCTGCACCTCTAGCCCCCTTACATGTCCCCTGCCCCCCCCACCCTCAGCCGGTACCTCCCTGCCTTCATGTGCACCACCCCCACCTCCCATCCCGCTGCCGTACACGCCGCCTCAAACTCCCCGAACCCCGCTTCAAGGGCCGCCAAGCTCTCAACCACCCACCGCAGCTCGGCACCACGCTGCTCCTCCTCACCCTCACCACCACCTCCCACAGCTCTACCCGCCACCCCAACCCCTACCATGCCCCCACCTAGTCCATCTGAACCCCCCTTGCCAACGCTTCCTCCCACCTCCCCTCCGCTCCTCTTTGCATTGGCTACCCCCCCACCCGCGCTGTCCCCACTGCTGCCACTGCCGCTACCCCGCCAGCAGTCCAGCCACGCCGCCTGCCACACCGCCCGCAACAGGTCCCGACCCGTGTGCCCCTCCTTCAGCACCACATGTGCCGTACCTGCTCGCCAAACCAACACGTAACCCTCCTTGTCGTACAACTCAATGTACGACAGCAGCAGCGCCACTGCCTGTGATGATGCTGCGGCGGCACCTGGCACGTGTTTTGTCCCCTCCTTGTGACGCCCCTCATCCCTATTCCCGGTCACCCCCGACCCGGCTACTACCAGGCCTCCCGTCCACTGCTTTAACGACCCAGACAAGGACCCAGACGTTTCGCCCCCCTCATCCCCCCTACTACTACCAGCTCCGAAACCGGATCCATACGCCTCGGCAACGCTGCACCCCATTCGCACCCGCGGCCGAACGTCCCACGGATCGGTCATGACGGGCTCCCTCGCGTTGCCGGCTGCCACGTCAGGCAGCGGCCTGCCTCGCACCCACTCGCTTGCCAGCAGCGCGGCCCGTTTGAGCGAGAGGGAGGGGAAGGTGAGGGTGGTGAGGGCGCGGTAGCGCAGGGCCACGTGCAGGGTTTGGATGGCGGCCCACAGGGAGAGCACGGAGGCGTCGGAGCCACCTGGGAGGGACAGGTGGGGGGGAGAAGAGGAGCAGGAGGAGATGACCGGAGAGGAGGGGGACAGGTTTAGCAAGAGCGGAGAAGATGGATTGGGTGCCGGATGCCGGAATGTAACGCGCAGCCCACCACTACCGCCCACCATACATACCGGTAGTTACATACGGCACCACCTACCCGCACATCACCCAGTTCGTCAGTGTCTTCCTCACCTGCCCGCTGCACGCCCCCCAGCAGCGCCACACTGGCCGCCAGCCCCGCCATCTGCGCCACCACCTCCCACACCTCCTCCTTGGCCGCCACCGCCCCCACGTTGGCCGCCCGCGCGAAGTGCGTCTGAATGACGCGGAACACGGGCTTGCCCATGCCCTTGCCCAGCGCCTGCCCGGGGGGGGGGGCAGGAGGGGAGGGGGGTTAAGAAGGGGACTGGCGATGCGCACCTAGGCCATACAAGCGCCCCCAACCCAGAAGGGCTGAACCCAGAAGCGCCCCCAACCCAGAAGGGCTGAACCCAGAAGCGCCCCCAACCCAGAAGGGCTGAACCCAGAAGCGCCCCCAACCCACCGCACTCGATAGCTGTAATACTCCATAGCCAACACGCCGCTGCCAACACTCCACCCGCCCTGCCTAGCCCCTCTCCCTACCCGCACGCCGCATCACTCCCACCCCACCCTCCGCCCCGCACCACCCCCTACCTGGCAGAACTTCCCCGCGCACGCCAGCTGCAGGAAGAGGTGCGGCGCCAGGCATGTGGACGCCTCCAGCGCCAGCCCCGCGCTGGTCAGCACCTCGGCAGCCAGCCGCCAGCGCCGCGGGTCCTCGTCGAACTCCGCGGAGAAGCGGCTGGCAGGGAGGGAAGGGGGTGGGGAGGAGGAAGCTAACGAACCGGAGGACATGTAGCGACACCCCATAGCTCCATAGCTCCAGCACCTCTTCGTCCCTGTGTCCTACTCAACTACACATGCCCTACCTGCTTCCGCCTCTATACGCTGTACCCTCCCTTCCCCTCACCTGCCCACGATGAGCCGCCCCAGCGCGCCCACCCCGTCCTTCACGATCCACTTGATGGAGGCGGACAGCGCCACGGTGGCTGCGGGGCCACCGGTGCTGACCCCCACCGCGGACAGCAGTGAGGAGGTGACGAGCGCATGGGAGAGGTGGCCGGTCACATGGGTGGGCAGCGACCAGAGCTGGTAGGGCAGGTAGTCCGGGGTGACGGAGGCTGGGAAGCCGGGGGGCAGGAAGAGGTCGCGGAGGGCGGTGGGGATGGGGGTGGAGAGTGGGAAGGAGGAGGGGGAGGCGGGGGATGGAGGATTGGGCTGGGAGGGATGAGAAGATGGAGCGGTGGTGGGAGTAAGGAGGTTGCGTTCCTGCGAGCCGTGGATTTCAGTAAGAGTATAGCTGGGGGATGAGGATTTGCTGGGAGGCCGGAGTGGAGGCGTGGTCTTGGGAACGCTCTTTGACGAGGCGGCATGCGGAATGTGAGAAGACCGAAGGCGAGGCCTGCTGCCGCCAGTCCATGCAGGACTTGTTATTGGCGCCATATAAAGCATTTGCGTCGCTTTAGAACGCGCTGGCTGTTAGGGAAGCTATTATGTGGCTAACCGAGCGGGGTCGTTTCTAGCCATGACGATTATGATAAAAGCGCTGGGAGGGACATACTAACATCTCTGTGGATTACCTAAAGCGCTTTCCCTGTGCGTATTGTCTTTGTGGGCAGGTCGAGTGGTTGAAGTGAGTTGATGGATCCACAACTGTTAAGTTCCGCTCTGCACTATGGGACTTTCAGGTTATTCGATTCACTGTAAACCGGTACACGTTCATCTATACATATCATGTCTTTCTGTGGCCATGGCTCAACAACACCCGCGCAGCACACATCGCATGCCTACCATGTAGGAAGCAGCGCCATATTTCTGCTGGTACTGTGAGCAGCATTAAGAGATGAAACAAACCATCCAAGTGCGCAGTCTTTCGGGATGGTCCGAAAGCATCCCGTTGGACAACGATGGAGAGACGATTGCCCACTTGCGGAAGAAGGTTTCATCGCTCAACCCACAGTTTGCGCGCGCCAAAATCTTCTTCAAGGTGAGTGGTTGTGCCGTCAGGGGCTGCTGGCAAATATAACTGGCAGAACATCTTCACGCATCGTTTGGGGCTTCCGTACGACGCTACCTCGCCGCTTCTTCCCCGCAGGGCGTTGCCCTGAAGGACTCCACTCCTCTCTCGTCGCTGGTGATGGGTCCCTCCGACTTCCTGGTAAGCAGCGCCTCAACACGGCTGCTTCCATGTTGCGACCACAGCTCCCAGGCCCGCAACTCCGCCGTCCCTCCCACCTTACACATTCCCGTTGCCAACCTTCCCTCTCCTTCCTCATAGACGCTCATGGCGCTTGCATCGGGCAAGACCGCTGCAACCCCTGTCGCCAGCGCTAATACCAGCGACAACAAAACCAACGCCACCGCTGCTCCCGCTCTCACTCACCCCGCTCCTGCGGCTGTTGCTGCGGCCGCTGTGACCGCGCCGCCGCCAGCTGCTGCCCCGCTGTTGGTTAAATCCCGCCGGCGTCCGCCCCCCATCCAGCCCCCTCCGCCCTCCCTCTCCGCGGACCAGCCGGTGCCGTACAGCGGAGAGGGCCTCATCTCCCTGCTGCCCGGGTACGAGCTGCGACCCAACCGCACACCCACGAAGCCCAAGCCCCAAGCCCTACCCGACCCGCATGAACCATTGCCGTTACCGTTGCCGTACTTGCCTCCCTGGCCGTTGCAGCAGCAATTAAAGCAACACCCCCAGCAACAACCGCAACCTCAACTGCAGCAGCAAGACCAGCAGCTATCATGTTCAGAAATGGCTCAATTGTCGCCGCTGCTGTCCCAGGCAGCTGCCGCCCCAACCGCCGCTGTGCTGGCTGCTCTGAAGGCAGCTGCTGCGGCACCAGCTGTGGGGGAAGCAGCTGTGAGAGCACCGGCTGCTGCGCCCGTAGAAGCAGTAGCAGCGGCGGCGGCAAGGAAGGGTGTTGTCAAAAGGGACCCTGTTGGTGCTGCCAAGCGTGCTGCCGGGCCTACATGCGGTCTGCTGAGCAGCAGCCCCACTGCACCGCCGGGAGTAACCGCAGTATCGGCGGTGGTGACGGTAGTGGCAGCAGGGGTGGTTGCGGGGGTGGCTGCGTGGGTGGGCGGTCCGCCGCCTCGGTGCAAGCAGGCTGAAGGAGCGGGGGATGACGCTGACTGCAAGCAAGCCCTGGCCGCAGCAACAACAGGGGTACCAGCACCCGCGCCACCACCCGCTCTGTCAGCACCCAAAGTGAAGCTGCAGCAGCAGCAGCCAATCACGAGTTGCGGTGGCGGGAGTTGTGGCAAGCGCGAAACGCATGTTGAGGCAACGTTGCCTGATGTGGACTTGTTTTCCGAGCTACGAGCCGAGCTGGCGGCTGCACCGCTGTGCAAGGAGGAAAAGGAGGAAAAGGAGGAAAGGGAGGCAGGGCCTGCGCTTGCACTTGGCCCTGCCCTTGCCATTGCCACCCCGGGGGCACACGCCCTTGCAGCAGCAGCAGCAGCAGCAGAAGACCCGGAGGCGGCGGTGACTCAGCCCAGGAAGCGCCCGCGAAGGGCGGCGGCGGAGGCAGCGGCGGCAGCCATGGCTGCCGCCAGTGCAGCTGAGGTGGACGGAGGAGCACGCGGCAGCAGGAGGAACAGTGAGGAGGAGGAGGAGGTGGAGGAAGCGGAAGGGCTTGAAAGCATGGACGGGGAGGGGGGCGATGAAGGGGAGGAGATGTCAGAGGGGGCTGCGCTGAGGAAGAAAAGCGGCGGCCGGGCGGGAAAGCAGCGCGTGGCTGGCGGTGGTGGTGGTGCTGCTGCAGCGAGGGCTGGTAAGCGGCGCAGGAAAAGTGACGACCCAAGGGCCGCCAAAACGAAGGCGCATCATCCACAACGACAACGAAGGAAAGCAGCCCCTAATGACTCCGATGACCCCGCTGCTCACACCGACATCAAGCCCCAACCAACATCTGAAACCCAAACCGCAGCAGCTGCAACCGCCGCCGTATCAGGCGACCCGCGCAGCAGCGACCTGCGAGGTCGGGGCCCTGGTGCCACAGGCAGCGGCGCTGACACAGGCAGCCGCAGCCGCAGCTACCCTCGCTCGGGTCCCCGCTTTGAGCTCGCGGTGGCTGCCTGCGTGCTGCCGCTGCCTCCGCTGCTTCAGCGGTTGGAGCGGCTGTTTAGCGCCCTGAACACGTTGTATACCTTTATGAGCGGGCAGCAGGTGCAGGTGAGCGGCGGGGGGGGGGTAAAGAAAGGAACATGGAGGAGGGGGATGATTTGGGGGAGGGGAACGGGGTTGGGAGTTGGGTAATACCCTAACAACGGTGCTTCTCCCACCCCTACAACATTCACAACCCGAGCGTCCAACCACATGAACTCCTCACCCCCTCCTCACCCCAGATGACCTGGGCCAACAGCTGCGCCGCCCTGCGCCGCCAGCTCCCAGCCGACCACGTCACCCTGGATGACGTGATGCTAGCGGCGGAGCTGGCGCCCGACGTAATCGTAGCTAGGCAGCATGGCGGCGGCGGGGGCGGAGGAGGCGGTGGGGTTGGTGCTGGAGGGTTGATGCCGCGGGACACATCAGCACCGGCGCCAGTCCCCCATCCCTCCGCCGACCCGTTGGCGGGGCCGCCCGGCGGCGGCGCTGGTGACGTGGATAGTAGTGCGGGGGTGCTCGGAGGCGTCGAGGGCGGCAGTGGCGGCGGCAGCGGCGTCGGAGGCAGTCATCACACGGCGTTGGCAGCGCAGGGCTGGCGGGAGGGGCTGGCGGCGCCAGTGCTGACGTCAGCAACGGCGGCGGCAGCGGCGGAGGCTGCCGTGCATGAGGGTCACGGTACGGCCTGGTACGGCAGCGGTGCCGTGACGCTGGAGCTGCTGGATCCGGGCAGGTGGGAGGGGGTTGATCTGCCATGGGGAGGAGGGGTGGTGGAGGCGTGGTTGTATGTGTTTGGTTCTGACATCCGGGGGTAGCGGCGGATTGCGCAGTGGGAGTCCGTGGGGACTTGAGGGGCATGACGCATGAGGCAGAGCGCGTGCGACAGGAGGGGCGTTCGCTGGGGCCCGTTGGTGTTAAGGAAACTGCCGCCCGTTACTGCCCGCCCTCAGGGCCTCTCCATTGTTGTATGAGGAGGTCAAGGAGGAGGTTAGAGAGGAAGTCAAGCAGGAGGACAAGCAGGAGGGTGGGAAGCGAGAGGAGCGCAGCAGCAAACAACAACAAGAGGAGGAGGGGGTGGAGAAGGACGAGGAGGATGACGATGAGGAGCGGGGGGGCACCGGGGCGGAGGCGGGAGGTGCTGGCAGCAAGGACAGTGGGGCGGGCGGGGGGCCGGCTGCACGTCCTTCTCGGGCTCGTAGGAGAGGTGAGGGCGGGTAGTGGGCTGGTGAGGTCTGGTATGGGATGATGGTGTAGGCTGGCGACGCGTGGGAAAGGGAAGAGGTGGGAATGGGAAGCCGTCTTGACTGCAGCCCAGTGCCCCTAGTGCCGGCCCCAATGCCCCGCCTCCTCGCGCCTCCCTGCTGTGGTGCTCCCCCGCAGGCTTCCGGCCCGCACCTGTGGTGTTGGAGGGCGGGCGGCGGCTGTGGTTCTGCACCAACGCAACCACACGGTGAGAGGGGGGGCGTTGAGATGTACAGGTGGCAGGGAAGGACAGGGAGGTGGGCGGTCAGGGAACAGGGTGGGTCTGGGCACCCAGCAGCCCTGCACCGACCTCAACACATCCCCTGCTCCTCCCTCTCCCTCCCCCCCTCTCCCCCCCCACAGTCGCCAGGCCGGCTTCCGGCGATCCCTGGTGGCGCTGCTGCAGCTGCTGCACACCGACATCACCCGAGGCATGGTTGTGGGGGCGGGGGCAGCAGCCGCAGCAGCAGAAGCAGCAGCACCGAAACCTGAGGGACAGGAAGCCTCGCAGCACCAACCGCCACCCACCACCGCCCCAACCACCGCTCCAGCCAACACCATGCCATCACCTCCAACCGCCGCCACCACCTGCACCTCACCTCCCACCGCCGCCCTCCCCCCCGAACGCGCGCCTTCCCTTCCTCCTCCCCCCCCTGCCGCCCCCTGGGACCCGCTGTCCCGCCGCTGCTGGCACCCCGCCTTCGCCGCCCTGCTGGCAGCCGACCGCATCTCACCCGCGCAGCTCAGGTCCGCAGCGGCGCAGATGAGGGCGGCAAGCAGGGAGCGGGGGGGCGAGGAGCAGCATCAGGCGCAGGGCGGTGCAGGAGGTGGTGGGCTGCTGGGTACTGCCTGCCGACCCGCGGGTCTGTTGAAGCGGCACGAGAGCTGCATGTCGTGTGCGGCTCTGAGTCCGGGGGGGCTGCTGCGGCACCTGCAGGAGCTGCCCTGGTACCGCGGGCAGGTGGTGCACGAGGAGGTGGCGCCGGGCCGCCCCGCCCGCTTCGCGCGGCCTGCCGCCCCGCTGGCAGCCCCCGTGTGGCGGGCGCTGGAGTGGCTGGGGGTGCGGGAGGGGCGGCTGTACACGCACCAGGTAAGGGTGGGGGGGGTAAGGGGGGGTGGCAGGGAGAAGCCAGGTGGTGGCGGTGGTGGTGGTGGTGCATGAGGAGAGCGAAGAGGTCAGAGGGTGCGTTACGTTGTTGTGGTTGTGGGTCCACCCTCTCATCCTCCACCCCCCCACTCCCGCCTCTCCCGCCCTCCCTGCTCCCCGCCCCCTCCCCGCCCCTCCCTGCTGCTGCCAGGCTGACGCGGTGGATGCGGTGCTGGGGTACCGGCGGGTGTACCAGGGGGGGCAGCAGGAGGGGGAGGGGCAGCTGGGGGAGGAAGGGAGGGAGCAGCAGGGGGAGGGACAGCAGCAGGGCCACCAACATGGGGAGAGGGTGCAAGAGCAGCGGGGGCAGCAAGGGCAGGAGCAGCAGCGGGGCCGCGATGAGGAGAAGGGCCGGCCTGCCAGCAGCAGCAGCAGTCCCGTCGGTGTTGGGGGCGGCTGTGGCCCCCCTGACGTCGGGGCCGGGGGGCGGGATGAGCCGGGCGGGACTTCCACCGGCGCTGATGCTGGTTGCCCCGGCAGCTCTGCCCGTGCCCCTGCTGGTGCTGTGGAGGCGTGTGGGTGGCGGCATGTGGTGGTGGCCACCTCCACTGCCAGCGGCAAGTCGCTGTGCTACCTGGTACCGCTGCTGCAGGTGGGGGCGGGCAGGGGGGGGCGGGGGGGGGCGGGCAGGGGGGCGGGCAGGGGGGCGGGGTTGGACAGAGTGTCACTTGGACCCTGCTGACCTGTCTGGCGCCGCTGCGCCACCACCACCTCCTGCCTCCCGCCACCTTGCACCCCCCACCCACCTCCCCCTGCAGGCCCTCAGCTCCGACCCCGACAGCTGCGCGCTGCTGCTGTTCCCCACCAAGGCACTGGCGCAGGACCAACTGCGGACGCTGAGGGGGCTGATGCAGGCGGCATTCGGGGGAGGGGCAGGGGGAGGGGGCTTTGTGCCGGCTGTTGAGGTGAGGTTGGGGGGAAGGGATTAATACCAATTTGGCATATGGGGGGAAGGGGGAAAGGGGAGAGGGGGGCACTGGGCCGCGCAGCGTAAACCCTCATAACCCATCCCTGCTCCTTCCCTCATCCCCATCGACCCCCCCCCCCTCCCCCCCCCTCCTGCAGGTGTACGACGGCGACACCCCGCAGTGCGACCGCCCCGACCTCCGCGCCCGCGCCCAAGTGCTCCTCACCAACCCCGACATGCTGCACACCTCCCTCCTCCCTGCACACCGCTCCTTCGCACGCATCCTCACCAAACTCACCCTGCTAGTGGTGGACGAGGCGCACGCCTACAGCGGCGTCTTCGGCAGCCACACCGCGCTGGTGCTGCGGCGGCTGCGGAGGCTGTGCGCGCATGTGTACCGAAGTGACCCACGGGTCGTGTTCACCAGCGCCACGGTTGCGAATCCGCGGCAGCTGGCGGCGAGGCTGTTGGGTGTGGGGGAGGAGGCGGTGGCGTTGGTGGGTCCGGAGCGGGATGGGTCGCCGTGCGGGGTGCGGCGGTTTGTGTTGTGGAACCCGCCGTTGAGGGAGGGGGCGGCGAGGTTGGCGGAGGAGCAGGAGGAGAGGCGGAGGAGGGAGGAGAGGCGGGAGGAGAAGCGGCGGAGGCGGGAGGTGCTGCGGCAGCGGCAGCTGAAGCGCTGCTTGGAAGCAGAGCGGCAGGAGCAGCAGGAGGGTGAGGAGGAGGTGCAGGAGGGGCAGCAGCAGGAGCAGGGTCCGCATGGGGTCCAGCAGGTTGGCAGGCAGCAGCGGGAGCAGGGTGAGGGTGAGGAAGCAGCAGCAGCAGCAGGTCGGGCTGGGCACGAGTCGGAGTCGGAGTCAGGGTCGGAGGTAGAGGACGCAGGGGATCAGGACGATGAGAGCCATGAAGCGGACGAAGACCTTGAGGAGGAGGAGGAGCAGCTAGCGGAAGACGGTGCTGGGCAGCACCATCACCGCCGCCGCCGTCCCAGCAGCAACGCTATGCGAGCCTGGCGGAGGCGGATGCTGCTGGAGGCGCGTACGGCACCCAGACGAGCGGCGCAGCTGGCCACGGAACGGCTGACGACGGTGACGGCGGCGGCGGCGGCGGCGGGAGGTGACGGTGCTACCAGCGGCGGCGGCGGCGGAGGTGGCGGCGGCGGCGGCGGTGGGGACATCCAGCAGCGGCTGGCGGCGCTGCATGCGGAGGCTCTAGCGGTGGCGGCGGCGGCGCGGCCGCTGCAGCGACTGCGTACGGCGGTGTTTGGCGGTAGTCGGGCGGCGCGGCGGGCGGCGCAGCAGCGGGTGGTGGCGGAGGTGACGGAGGCGGCGGAGGCGGCGGTGACGGCGGCAGCGGCGCTGAGTGCCGGTGTCACGGGTGTTGAGGGCAGCGTTAGTGTTGGTGTTGGTGTTGGGGTGGTGGGAGCAGCAGCCGGGGCCGGCTTGGAGGCAGCCGCGCAGCATGCAGGTCAGCAGAGGGGCGGTGGTGCGGGCGGTGTGGCGGCGGCGGAGCTGACAGCCGCCAACAAGCAAGAGGAGGAGGAGGAGGGGGAGCTAGGGGAGGGCGCCATGCAGCAGCGGCAGCAGAAGGAGCAGCAGCAAGGGCCGGGGCAGCAGCAGGGGCCGCCAGCGGGAGCAGCAGCACCGAGGACCGCCCCCCTACCGCGGGAGGTGGCAGCGCTAGCGGCGCAGGCTCGAGCCGCCCTCAGTGCCGCTGTGGACTGCAGAGGAGGGGGAGGAGGTGGCAGCAGCACCGGCCGTAGGTATCAGCAGCAACAGCGGCAACAGACGCTGCCCTCCCTCGCCGCGCCCTCCACCCTTCCCCCAACCCTCCCTCCCTCCTCATCCGCCCCACCTCACCACCTCCCGCAGCGTCCCCTCCTCTCCCTCCTCTCCTCCCCCTCCGCCGCCCCCTCCGCCGCCGCCCTCTCCTCCCTCCTCTCCCGCCTGCCCTCCTCCGCCGCTTCCGCCTCCTCCTCCTGGCGCCTGCCCCCCGAGCAGCACGGCGCCGCGGGCACCCCCGCCGAGCTGCGTCGCGAGAGCTCCATCCTGGAGGCCGCGTTGCTGGTTTCGGAGTGTGTACGGCACGGGCTGAGGTGCCTGTGTTTCGCGGGCAGCCGCAAGCTGGCGGAGCTAGTGGTGAGCTACGCGCGGGAGGTGCTGGCGGCGGCGGGGGCGGGCGGGGAGGAGAGGGTGGAGCGAGTCAAGGTACGGGGTGGGGGTTGTGTTTGCAGCATGATAGGGGAAAAAAGAGGAGGGCAGCCCCCCGGGGTGGATGTACACAGGTACACCGTACACGAGTACCCAGGGTAGGCTGCAGTGAGATGCATCAGAAGCACGAGAGGCAGCACCCCTTCCCGCCTCTAGCCCATGTTGTTCACGTCCCCTCCGCTCCCCCCCTCCCCGCCCCCCCCCCCGGGCAGGTGTACCGTGCCGGCTACTCCCCCTCCGAGCGCCGCGCACTGGAGGCGGGGCTGCACAGCGGGGCGCTGCTGGCGCTGGCAGCCACCAATGCGCTGGAGCTGGGGGTGGACGTGGGGGGGCTGGATGTCACCATGTGAGGGGGGTGGGGTGGGGGGGCTGGATGTCACCATGTGAGGGGGGGTGGACGTGGGGGGGCTGGATGTCACCATGTGAGGGGGTAAAGAGGAAACAACTAACTGACTGAGGCATAAGGCGACAACATGGGTTGCAACTCATGGGTGGGGTGGGGGAGGGAGGCCGGGGGCTTTGTGCCCATGGCCGGGGATAGAGAGCTGAGGTAATCGCGGTGTAGCGATGGCACATGCAAAGTGGACGTGAGAGATCCAAGCCCCTGCCTCTTCTCCCCTTCCATACCTACCTGCACGCCCCTCGACCTTCGACCCCTCCTCATCCCCTCCCCCCTCCCCCTGCTCACCTCCCCCCTCCCTGCACAGCCACCTTGGCTTCCCCGGCAGTGTCGCCTCGCTGCGCCAGCAGTCGGGTCGTGCGGGCCGGCGGCAGGGCGAGAGCCTGAGCCTGCTGCTGGCGTTCGAGGGGCCGCTGGACCAGCACCTCATGCGCCACCCGGAGCAGCTGTTCGGCAGGAGCGTGGAGAGTGTGCAGGTGGGGGCGGGGGGCGGCGGGGAAGGGTTGCCTTGAGTTAGGGGCAGGGAGGGATGTGCGTGTCTTTTACATGGGCTCACGTTTGCTCCGTCGGCCTCCTAATCTTTCTTTCCCACTGAGCGCTGTTCTCCGTCCTAGAAACCTGCTGGCCCCAGCAGCACCCTTCCACGCACCCCTCCTCTTCTTCCCTTCACTCCCCGCTCCCCCCCTCCCCCCCAAACCAGCTTGACGTGCACAACCTGGACGTGTTGCAGCAGCACCTCACCTGCGCCGCCGCGGAGGCCCCCCTGCTGCCGCACATGGACGCCCCCTTCTTCGGGCCGCGCATGGGGCCGGCGCTGCAGCTACTGACGGGGGCGGGGGCGCTGGCGCGGAGGCCGCTGCAGCAGCAGGGCGGCACCCAGGCGGGCGGGAGGGATGCGGGGGTGGGGCTGCCGTACATGCAGCAGCAGCAGGAGCAGCAGGAACCGGAGCATGAGGCGGCTGGCGCCGCCTCCTCCCCCTCCTCCTGCCAATTGCTGTATGTGTACAGCGGTGCCCCTGACAACCCCGCCGCGGGTGTGTCGCTGCGTGCGATCGACCCCGACCGCTTCGTGGTGTGGGACGAGGCGGCCGGCAGGGCGCTGGAGGAGATAGAGGCGGACAAGGTCTTCTACCAGGTGGGAAGGGGGAAGGCGGAGGAAGAAGACCAAACGTGTTGGGTGATACCGGTAATGGGTGGGGGTTGGGGTGCGGTTGCTGGGGCACATTACAGGCCAGTCAACGTCGCCCTCATTCGTAAATGCGTGGGTAATAGCTGTGCGTACCGCACCGCATGCCCAACCCACCTTCCCACCCACCCACCACACGGCCACAGCATCGCATGGTTGGTCTCCTCAACCCACCCGTCCATGTACGGCGTTAGCACCTGTTGATCTTTCCTTCTCCCCTGCTTCCCCTCCCCCTCCCCCTCCCCTCCCCCTCACCCCCCCTCAGGTGTACGATGGTGCTGTGTACCTGTTCCAGGGCCGCTCCTACCTGTGCAGCGCGCTGCGGCTGGGGGAGCGGCTGGCGCTGGTGCGCCCCGCCGACGTCAAGTACTTCACCCGCCTGCGGGACTGCACGGAGGTGCATGTGACGGGAGGCCGGGTGGCCTACCCGGGCTGCCCGGCAGCCGCCCGCAGCCCCGCACCCGCCGCCCCTCACCATGCTGCTGCTGCTGCTGCTGCTGCTGCTGCGGTGGCAGCTGGTGGCGATCAGGCAGATAGCAGCAACATGCAGGGCGACATACAACATGTGGCCGCCGCCGCCACCCCCGCCACCCCCCCTCCCGGCCCCACCCCCACCACCGCCCGGTGTGAGAGCGCGCTGGTGGCTGTGCGCTTCCTGGGCTTCTTCCGCGTGTGGCGCGGCAGCAACACGGTGTTCGATGGCGTGGACCTGTGGCTGCCGGATGTGGTGTACGACACACAGGTGGGGAAAAAATTATATAAGTGAAACAACGAATCCCAATCCCAGGTGGGGGGGCGGGCGGGGGGGGTGGCGGGGGGACTGTACGGCGGGTGTGTTTGTGGGTTTTGGTTAGGAGCGGTGGGCACATGGGCACCACATGGTCATGGATAGAGGCCCCCAGAGGACTCGCTTTCTATCGCGTACCCGGCAGATTAGGTACTTCATACTTCATGACTCGGGTTAGCACCTGACTGCCGCACACATCTCCTTACTCCTTACTCCTCATGCCGCGTCATGCCGTACCCCTTCCCTATTCCGTATGCTTCCAGGCGACCTACGTCCGCGTGCCTCCCTCCGCCCGCCGGGAGTGCGAGCAACTCGGTCTGAGCTTCCGAGAGGGCGTGCACGCCGCCAACCACGCCCTTCTCAACGTCGTACCGTTATTCCTAACCGCCAACGGTAACGACCTCGGGACCGAGTGTGACAACCCCTACGACTCGCGCTACCGCATTGAGCGGTTGCTGTTGTACGACAAACACCGCGGCGGCGGTACGGGTCTGGCGGCGGCAGCAGCGCCGCGTATGCCGCAGCTGCTGGAGGCGGCGTATGGTCGTGTGGTTGAGTGCGGGTGTGAGTACGGCAAGGGGTGTCCACAGTGTGTGCAGCACCTGGCGTGCCGTAACTACAATGCGGTGTTGAGCAAGGCGGGGGCGGAGGTGGTGTTGAGGCATGTGCTGATGCAGGAACGGGAGCATGCGGCGCAGGTGGCGGGGCAGGAGCAGCAGTGAGGAAGGGAGGGGCGGTGAGGAGGGGTGAGGGCGGTGAGGAGGGGAATGTGAATAGGTCGAGAAGCAACCGGATGAGGGAAGGGAGGTGATGGGAAGTCTGCTGCTGGTAGAAGTGAGCCGCTCGACCAGCCGCGATCAGCCCTGTAACTGAAAAGGAGGAGACCTGTACATAATGCAAGTACCTACGGAAACATGGTGCTGTTCCATATATTACTTCAGCTTCCCAGTTTGCATGCTGACTCGTGCGTACGTCTTTTGCGATTCAGCCTATATAGAACCAGCTCTTATGCTAATCCGTATACAAATCCGGCCACCGATTGCCGCAAGATGTCCTGTTAATAGAGGCGCGCTGTCGCCGAAAAGCGGTCGGTACGGGGCTACGTGGTAAATTCGTAGTCCCAACAACTCAGCAATAAATTAGCTGATATCAATCGCGAATCTGTTTTCATACAAGAATGGCTCAAACTGTTGAAGGCACTATCGCGTCTACCGCAAACGGGAATAAATGCAGTACAGCTGCTAGTACGCAACAACAGATTTCACTAAGCCTGGTTTCATCACAATCGACAAGAGCTTGCTCTATCCAGGTGCCGCTTGTTGTCTTTCTAAACACGTGTGAAGTTGTTATACCGGTAGGCGATTTTTGAGGCGACATGGGGGCAGGTTGTTCGACCGGATCGTCAACCCAGACGGGATTGCCGCCAACAGAACTCCCGAAAACAGAGAAATTGTCATCGGGCACTGAGCAACCACCAGAGAGTGCGACGTGCACTGTGGGGGAGGCCGCACGGACTGAGCCTTCGCCAGCCGGAAGGACAGCCGAGACTTCACCCAGCATCAGTGCTCGTAAACTTACAATTCTCCATTTCAATGGTGCGTAAATAGATGCTATCGCCTTTGGGCACCTTCTTTCCATGGATTGTAGGAATCGTACATGGTGTCCTTTTGCTTGCAGATGTGTACAACATTGAGGAGCAAGAGCGCGAGCCCAAGGGCGGGGCGCCGCGGCTTTGCGGCAAAGTGAGCCCAGGGTTTGGTCATCCCAAACGGCTTCCCGGCTGCCTGGGAACAGCCACCTAGCTGCCTGGGGACATGCAATGGGTGACTGCACCTTTGCACCCGCCGCTAGCGGCCTATCGCCCCCTCCACCACCTTCAAGGCCTCCAGGGGCTGAAGCACTTGCGCTCGGATCCCCCAAACAACTTGCTGTTCCCATCTGACCATCTTAACGCCAACACTACATGCTGCCGCCGCACGCACCCGCACGCGCCCCCACCACCCAGGTCAAGGAGTTCCGGCAGCGCGGGGTGAACCCGCTGGTGCTGTTCAGCGGCGACGCTTACAACCCCAGCCTCATGTCCACCCTCACGTTGGGCAAACAGATGGTGCCCATCCTCAATGAGATTGGGGTGAACGTGTCCTGCCTGGGGGTGAGTGCAAGGATAGCGGGTGCGGTTGCAAAGGGGGACGAGCGCTGCGTCTGCTTTAGCGAGGGAGAACCTTTTCTGCTGCTCCTACTGCTGCTGCCCCCACTGCTGCTGCACTCGCTTGCGTCATGTTGCCCGCTGTTCACCGCCTGCCGTACCCGCGTACCCACTCACTGCGTGAGTCGGGATATGGGATTGGGGCTTTAGTTGTTTGCACTTCTTATATAATTTTACCCCCTCCCCCCCCTCCCCCCAGAACCACGATTTCGACTATGGCTTGGAGAACCTGCTGAAGCTCAACGCGCAGTGCGCCTTCCCCTGGCTCATGGCCAACGTGTTTGAGCGGGGAACAGGTGGGAGCCGGCGGGAGGGTGTGTGTGTGGGGGGGGCGCCTAGTACTGTACTGCGAGCAGGGTGGGCAGGTGAACAAGCAGGGTTCGTGCACGGTACCAGGTCCACCCTCCTGCCCTCCTGCCTGCCCACCTGCCCTCCGCAGACAAGCCCTACGCGGGCGCTGCCGCCAGCTGGGTGCAGGAGTGGAGCGGCGTCAGGGTGGGGGTGGTGGGGCTGGTGGAGGAGGAGTGGCTGGAGACGCTGGGTGCGGTGGACGTGGAGGACATGGAGTACCGGGACTTTGTGGAGGTGGGGCGCCAGGCGGCGCGGCAGCTCAAGGTAGGGCGGGCGGGTGGGGGTGGGGTGCTGCTGCCGGGACCCTGAGAGGGGCGCTTCGGTCCCAAGAGGGGGGTTGCAAGGGCAAGCGCCCTACCTCGTGTTGCTTCCTGCGTGTTCTCCCTCCTTGCGGTCCCATTACCTCTTCCTCCTGGCCTCCTATCACCGCCGCCTTCCTTCCGTGTCTACTTCCCTCACCGCATCTCCTCCGAACCCTGCCCGCCTCCTCCCCTCACCCCACCTCCCTCTCCCTCCCCGCCTCCCCTCCCGTCCCCCCCCCAGGCCCAGGGCGCGGAGCTGCTGATCGCGCTGACGCACATGCGCGAGCCCAACGACCGCAAGCTGGCTGCCGAGGTGCCGGAGTTCCACCTGGTGCTGGGGGGACACGACCACCACTACGTGTCGGAGCACATCCAGCCGCACAACAACCTGCTGGTCAAGTCGGGTGAGGCGGGGCGGCGGGGTGGGTAGGTGAGTAGCGTCGGTTGCCACGGTGTTTACCGGCCTGCCGGCATCGGGGTGTGTTGGATGTACAAGTGGGCTGCATGGGGCTCCTTGCCAGCAGCGTGGAGAGGTGGGGGGGGCGCAGTTCTGGCGGTGACTCGGCGCGTTGGCCGCTGGAACGTACATGTGATGCTCACGTCGATTACGATTTGTTGGTCGATCTGTTCGTCCGGGTGTGTATCGGTGTATGTGTACGACACGCCACAGGCACGGACTTCCGGGACCTGTCGGTGGTGGAGGTCGAGTTCCCCGCGGCGGCAGCGGAGGGCGGCGACAGCGGCGGTCCCGCCTCGCAACAGCCTCCCAAGCTGACGGCGCAACGCATACCCATCGACTCCTCCGTTGAGGAGGACCCTGCCACCAAGGCGGTGAGTGCGTGCAGGAAGGGGGGTGCCGGGCGCAGGGTGCTAGGTGCTGGGTGCAGGGTGGCCGTAGCACAGCATGACAACAGCTACACGGCTCACTACGGTCGCAGCTGTTTGCGTTGACCTGCTGTTTGCTTGGGGCGAAATCACACACACCCCTCACACCCACATCCACATCCTCCTCCCTGCTCGCCTGCAGATAGTTGCGGAGTACATGCAGCTGATGGGCGAGAAGATGGGAGAGGCAGTGGGTGAGTTCGCGCCCTGCCCGCCCCGCTAACCGCCTCCTACGCCGTACGGCTCAGCGACAGGCCACCCAGTCCGTGAGGGCGCCTGTCCCTCCCCTGCCGGCCGCATCCTCAGTTTTCCTGGAACCTGGTTGCTGGGTCCATGGCTGTGCGCTGGCGGGTCGACCTACCCGCTGGGTGGCCCCCAGCTGGGTCGCCCCGCTAGCTCCACCACCCACCCACCTCTACCCCGCTGCTGCTGCTCCGCCTGCCGCCCCCCAACCCTGCTGCTCCCACCCACCGCTGCCCCGCTGCTGCTGCATGTGCTCATGCCCCGTGGGGGTGCAGGTGAGACGCTGGAGCCGCTGGACGGGCGCTTCCAGACGGTTCGCAACCGGGAGTCCAATCTAGGCAACTTCGTGGCGGATGTGTGGCGCAAGGCGGCGCGGGCGCACATCGCCATCATCAATTCGGGCAGCCTCAGGTGGGCACGGGTGGGGAGCGGGTGGGGAGCGGGGAGACTTTGGGAGGGACGTACGCAGGGGCCTAGGGGCAGAGCACCTCTGTTGCAGCCATGCGTGGTACGAGAGCGAGAGGAAGAGGGAACGGGGCGGCACCCTGTCCCCGCTCCTCCCGCCTTCATTGTCGCTTCCCCTCGCTGCCTCCCCCCCACCCCCACCCCCTTCTTTCTTTTCCTACCCCCAGGTCTGACCAGGTGCACCCTGCCGGCACCCTCACCGCCAAGGACTTCGTGTCCGTCCTGCCCATGGTGGCTCCCACCGTGGTGCTGCAGTGCACGGGCGCGCAGGTACCTGAGGCAGGGAGGGATGGGGACGGGGAGGGATGGGGGCTTGCAGGGCTGGAAGGCTGGGAGGCTGGCCGGGGGGGCCGCCGCGGCGGCAGCAGCGCTGACGGGTCGGCTCGGTCCCTGCTGCCACGACTACCAGCACCACGATGTGTGTCCTCCAACTTCCACCCCCAACCCCTCACCCCCAACACCCGCCAACCCCGCCCCCTGCCTGCAGGTGGTCGCCGCCCTGGAGAACGGCGTGTCGCAGTGGCCCAAGCTGGAGGGGCGCTTCCCGCAGGTCAGCGGCATCAGCTTCAAGTTCGACCCCTCCCTGCCCCCCGGCGCCCGCATCCTGCCCGGCAGCGTGATGCTGGTGGAGGGGGGGAGCGAGCCGCAGCCCCTGGAGCCGGAGCGGGCCTACCGAGTAGCGGTGCCGGAGTACCTGGCGACGGGGAAGGATGGGTTCAGGGTGTTCACGGTAGGTCGGGAGCGGGGAAAGAAGGAAGAATACCGGTACCCAATGTGGTGGTTGACAGTGGCAAGATGGGTGACAAGCCCGTGGGGAATGGATTTGGGAAGGGGAGGGGAGCCAAGGGGACAGGGTGGGCGACACTAGCTGCATGTATGTATGGGGAGGGAAGAAGGGTGCGGGTAGGTGCGATTTAGGTCCGGGGCAGGGCAGGGCCGGAGTCCTCGGCTAGCCATTTGCACGGTTGGGAGCTCTTGCCCCATTGGCGCCCCAGTGAATACGTGCATGCTTGCCTTGATCTCGAACTCTTACGTCAGCTATGCTCTTGCTATAGCTTGCCGACCCATGGGTCACTGCACCCCATCACCCCTCACCATTCCCCCCCTGCTGTATGTCCACCTCGCAGGAGTGCAAGACGCTGGTGGACGGTGAGTCGGGTGTGGTGATCCCCACCGCCGTCCGGTGCCACTTCCTGCAGCTGGCGGTGCTCAGCAAGTGGGAGGGCGGCGGCAGCAAGGGGGTGCTCGCGCCGCTCACATCCAAGTGGCTGCGGAAGGCGAAGGAGTCCAAGACGGCAGATCAGTGGGTGCAGGGAGGGGAGGGGGGTGCAGGGAGGGGAGGGGGGTGCAGGGAGGGGAGGGGGGTGCAGGGAGGGGAGGGGGGTGCAGGGAGGGGAGGGGGGTGCAGGGAGGGGAGGGGGGTGCAGGGAGGGGAGGGGGGTGCAGAGGGCGGGCGGTTGGAGGGCAGGGAGTCCATGCAAGTGACCGGACGGAGGGAGGGGGGGAGGTGGCTGTGCGGCAAGGGTTAGCTTGCATGGTCATACGCGTTCAAGGTTGTTGTTAAGAGGACATGTCGACCCTTCGAGTGGCGGATTGGCAGGCACTGGATCATCGTGCACAGCGGTCATGCGGTGTTAGCACGATGTTAGCCCAATGGTACACAGCTAACGCCAGCACTTGTCCCCCACTGCACCGCCCCCAACGCCGCCCCCCCTACCAGGCTCGATGCCCTGGAGGCCGAGGGCTCCGAGGGGCGGCAGCTCGGGTCCTCGGCGCCGGGGCGGCAGCAGCTGACACAGGGGCTGGCTGTACGGCACCCCGAGGGGGGGCATTACGTAATCGCACCCCGGCTGGAGGGCCGCATCGTGAATGTCAGGGAGCCGCTGCAAGAGGAGGAGCAGGACGGGGGACGGAAGGAGGAGGAGGGGCGGAAGGAGGAGGAGGGGAGGAAGGAGGAGGAGGAGAAACAAGGTGACGTGGAGGAGTTGCAAGCGTAAAGGTTCTGCAGCTTTCGTTTCTGCATGTGAGTTCGAGGCGCGGGCGCGCGGGGCTTCAGCTGCGCTCATAGCTGGCAGGATGTGATTGCATGTTTTGTCGGAAGACGATTGCCAAGAGCTGTTGTTGTGAGCTGGGGTTTTACGTGGTATTGATTAGCGTACCAAGTTATAGTTGTGACCCGTTGGACTATTCTGTACGATTATGCGTCGGGTGGTTATGTGGTCTGCATGGTCGGGGCGCGGGTGGCAACTGCACGGTAGTGGCTGGTTGGAAACATGCACATCCCGAATGAGATTGTTGTATATCTATGGCATTTCACAGCGTACGTGGCCGGAACTGTGAACGGGACAGCACTGTTAACCAGCTGCATGTTGCATGTTGGGGCATGACGGAGTGCATGCGTCCCACTCAAGGACGTGGGGGGTGGTGGTGCCGGCATGTTGTGTGCCATGTGGCAAGTTTAAGCTCAAGCATGAATGCAATGGCTAGGACAAGGACTAGGTACTAAGCATGTTGCGGGCGTTGGACTCTGAACAACGGCGCGGTGAACAACGGCGCGGTGAACAACGGTGCGGTGAACAACGGCGCGGTGAACAACGGTGCGGTGGACAACGGCGCGGTGAACAACGGTGCGGTGGACAACGGCGCGGTGGACAATGGCGCGGTGAACGATGGCGCTGGAGTCGCCGTGTGTTGCCTAGACCGCTTGCATGCGACTGAAACCTCATTGGGTGCTGGTGACGTGACCCACTGACAGGCATTCGTACAGCCTGTCAGGCTATGCATGGGTACTTGGGATGTGCGTGATGCCGCTGTGCAGTACTGCATGCCAGCGCTGCACGAGCGCTGCTAGCCTTCAGTCCTGCTGCGTGCTGGGAACTGCTTGCGTGTGATGCGGACTGGCACCGTCGTGACACGCGATGAAGTGTGAAGGTGTTGTACTTAGGAAAAACGGTGTGTTGCCTGTCTTTTGGCATACTTCTGTGGACCCTGGATTATGTCATTCCCACTCATTACCCTGTATATCACGGCAGCAGGTGGTGCGTCTACATTGCGCTGGGAAGTGTTTGCCACCTGACGTTCTGGCCCCCAACGCTGCTGCACGGTGCCGCTGCTACAAGGTTACCGGTGTTGGCTCCGTGATTGCGCATGCGACCGGGGCTGGTGCGCCGAGTCGGTGTGTGTGGAGGGGTAAAGGGGAAACAACTAACTGACCTGGTGTGTGGAGGGTGGGTTGGTGCTGCTTGGGACGAACCCTGTCTCCTGCGTGCTCAGATGCCTAGGCCGCCACATCCCAACGCTGTTGGAAGCTCTTTGTTATGCGGCGATGCGACATCCAATACCGGTATAGGTTTACACGCCAGTGTGCCATGCAAGCCACTGGCATGCATGCTCTGCACACTGGCCCAAGTGCTCCGCACCCTCCTCTCACCTGTAAGAGCTGTTTCCTCGCCGGAAGTCGTCATCAATCCGTGAATGCACGTCTATGACACCCCAACCATGCATACCACCCAAATAGTTAAGACGACGTATACGCGTCACACGCCAAACCCCCCACACACATGAACCGCCCGGACGACCGCGCCTTACGTACGGCCCCCCCTGTGGTCTGGTCTGGTATGATCTTTGACGCCCCTTGGCAGCCCTCTCCTCCCGCGCTCGTTACTTTCCCACCCACGTGACATGGCTCCCCCTAGCTCGCAGTTAGCCCCCCTCAACCGCCTCGCCCGCTCCATCTGTGGACGTCAGTTTAATTGGGCTGCTGCTGCTGCTGCTGCTGCTGCGACTGCTGCGACTGCAGCGGCAGCGGCGGTGGCAGCAGTTCATAGCACTCCTCCAGCAGCTGTTGCAGCTCGAACAGGCTGGACACCTGGGGGGGTTGGGGCGGGGGTGCGGGGGTTGGGGCTGGCAGGTGCGAGGGTTGACACAGACCAGGTACCAAACCACAGGAAACCACAGGTTGGGACAAAACAATTGATATGAAGCGGCAGGGTGCCACAAAACAAGTGTTGGCAGGTGCGAGAGGGGGCAGGGAGGAGCGAGCAGTGGAGCGAGCGGAGGAGGGCACGTAGGTAGGAGACGCAGGAGAGGTGGGCCCGAGGGGAGGAAGAGGAGGGCCAGGAGCGCGCAGCGGCGGGGGGAGCCGTGCAGGCGGGCACACGTCCTCCCTCCATCACCAGCACGCTGCCACCACGCATCCAGCCTCATCTCATCCCACCCCCGCCTTCGGGCTACTCCCCTCCGCCCCCTTCACTCCGTCCCCCCTCCTGACCCCCCACACACCCCCCCTACCACATGCGTGGGCCGCATCTCCCCCCGCAGCCCCCCCTCCCCGGCCCCCTCAGGCAGCGGCGGCCCGCCCCGCCCCGTGTTGTCCAGCAGCACCGTGATGGCGCCCGCGCGGTTGCCGCTGACCTGGGGGGAGCGGGGGGGGGGGAGCAAATGAAAAGTGACGCGGGAAAGGCAGCTGAGGCTGGAGTCTACCTTGAACCGCCGCAACCCACCCCTCCGACCCTGCCACACCTCCCAACCCATGTTTCCTCTTTATCCCTTCCCTCCCTCCTCGCCCTCCCCCCTCCCCCCCCCGCACACGCACCACATCATCCTTGGCGCTGTCCCCCACCATCACCAGCTGCCCCGGGGGCACTCCCCAGCTGGCTGCGATGTGGTGCAGGGCCGCGGGGCTGGGCCTGGGTGGGGGGGTGAGGGTGTGTAGTTGAGCGGAAACAAGAGCAAGCATTTGGGATAGGTTCGCATGTGAACCGCAAGTATAAGCAAAACAGAGGTAAAACAGAGGTAACCAAACCTCAACCATTATGCAAAACTGCTTAAATAGCTGGTGCTGGATGTAAGAAGAGCGGTGTGTTGACGACGCATGTCGGTGATGCTGATGGTGTCGGAAAAACTAAAATACTACCGAGTACCTAGCCCGCTGACCGACTCGACGCCGGGAGCCCCCGCTCTGGTCACGCAGACGAGACACCACAATGCTGTGCATGCGTGCGTGCAAACGCGCATTGCGTACCTGCGAGCAAAGACGCCGTAGTCAGCACCAGGGCCAGCAGCCGCAGTAATGCGAGTAATGCCATGCGCAGAAACATGAACCAGAGCGAGGGAGGGGGGAAGAGGGGGGGGGGGAAGGAGAAAAAGATAAGTGCATCAACGAGTCCCAATCACATATCCCGATGGTGGAGCTAGAGGCGGGTGTTGAGAGCAGCAACTAGGCAAGCAGGCAAGCGGCCAGGCAGCCAGGCAAGCGGAAGCGGTTGCGGCCGCCCGCGCATGCACCGCACACCCGCCCCTCCCTCGCGGCCCTCAGTGGCATGCGGGTACCGCTCCGCCTCCCCCCCTCCCCCCCCCCCCCTACCCCCCTCCCCCCCCCCATCCTCCGCTGCGTCCTCACTTGTAGGGGAACTCGCACTCCCGAGTGATGGCTGGTGAGAAGGGAACCAGCCCCAGGAAGTCGTGGAAGTACTGCACACTGCGGCGTACGTTGCGGGTGATGAGGCCCCTGGGGGGTGGGTGGGTGGGGGGGCACAGTCGTCACCTCACTTGGTGGTCCAGCCATGTGCCTCAGTCCTCACCCCACCTCACCCCACACCCTCCACCACCCCCACACAACCCCCCCCCCACAACCGCACCACGCACTCCACTCGCGGCCCGCACTCCACTCCTAGCCCACCTGGGCAGTCCCCGGGCGTCCAGGAAGGCGCACAGCTCCAGGGCGCCCGGCATGAGGGCCATGTCACGGAGGGCCTTGGTGGGGAGGAAGGAGGGTGGAGGGGAGGGGAGGAGGAGGGGGCAGGACGGGAGGAGGAATGAGGAAAGAGGAATGAGGAATAAGAGAAGAGGAATTAGGAAGATTATGAGGCTGTCGCAAGTAGGGGAGCGAGGAGAGAGGCACGACTCAGCGTAAATTCGCCATTTGAGGACGAGGAGGAGGAAAGGAAGAACCAAGGAGCTGCAAACCCGGCACGCAGGTCTTCTAGTGCTGTACCCCATACACACCGGATTCCCCCTCCACTCCCCCCACCTACCTCCCCCTCTCCCCCCCCCACCTGCTCCTCTATCTCCGCAATGATGTCGTACGCCCGCTGCCGCTCCTCCGCCCCCCAGCCGCTGATGACATCCAGGATGTCCCCCTGGTGGGGCAGCACACCCACACGCCGCCTGGGGGGGAAGGGAGGGGAGGAAGGGAGGGGAGGGGAGGAAGGGGCGAGTGAAGGGGCGGAGGGTGCCGAGGAGGGGGAGGGAGGAGGACAGCAGAGGAGGATGGGGGCGGATAGCTGATGGGGTGCTGAAGGGGCGCCTAGGAGTGGAGTGGAGGAAAGAGAATGCAGCAAGGCCGCTCGGGGGATGGTACGGCTAGGGTGTGGACCCATCTTAGTAGCGGTAAACCGCATCCCCTGAATCCCCACCAAGGCTGCTCCCGACCTCATTTCCGCAAAGTCTATGACGGGCTTGAGCAGCGTGCCATCCATGTCTGCAGCCGCAAGCAAGGGACATGGGGAGCCTGGGTACCGTCCAGCAATTAGTACAAGGAGCAGCCAAGTATTTACCGAATACCACTCCGCATGCTATAGGTTTCCCGTTGGTCTCCATTTTCGTGGCGAATGTGCGAGTAACGCGCTGGCAATGCTGAATACTGCCGCGGCTAAAGTACCGTCCAGCGGCCGTTGGAACCCGGAATAATGAAATCCGTCCGGCCATCGGGTTAAACGCATAAAAGTAACGAAAGACTGGCTGCCAGTGCTTGTGTGGCTAGCCTGTGAAACCAACCGCTCAACGTACAAACGGCCGAAAAGACGTCGTTGCCCGAATGCATAGTTTGGAACTAAGTAGACGTTGATTAATACCCACTATTGCCGATTGTTGGCATCATCAGTAGCAACCATGGCGCAAGAGCTTAAGCTAGACCCTGAGTTAATGCATACGCAATTCAGCAGCTGGCGGCTGCAACCCTTCGCTAGAGTCAGCAGATATGAGCTCGAGACTGCAGGTCACGCATCGGCCCTTGCAACGACATCGTTGGACTTCCTTCATACGCGCGCATCCGTGCTGCGCAACCATCTCCTGCAGAGCGAGGGCCGGCTGTTCGTGTTCACGCAATCCGAGGAGAAGCCCGGTCATTACCTCGTCTACGAGCTGCTGCCGGCTCTCGCCTCAGATCAGGGCCTGCTACCGCGGCAGGTCGCAGGCAAGTCCCCATCGTGAAGCTTCCACTGGCACTTTATAGGCTCGCCCCTTACCTTGCGATACATGCACCAAACGATGGCGTTTATATACAACTAGAGACTCTATTGTTTGACGGGCCAAACCGGCGCTCCTGAGGCTCAGCGTCTATGCTACTGCTGCTCTTTCGTACGGCTGACTTTTCCCCAGCAGCAGCAACGTCCTACGCCTCCAAGCCTGGACCTCACCGTAACCCCCCCCTCCCTTTCTCCCCATGTACCACGCGTCCCTCGCTTCCCCTCCCACCTTTCAGAGCTGGGACCGGATGCGGGCGAGCAGGCGGCGGGCGGGGCGGTGGAGGCGGTGGTGGACTGCAGCCTGGCAGTGGTGGCGGAGGCGGCCGGCGGGGCTGCTGCTGGGCCTCAGCAGCAGCAGGAGCAAGTGGAGGGGGCGGCAGCAGCAGCAGGTGCAGGTGCTGCGGCACCGCAGCCCCAGCAGCAACCACCACCGCCACCATCACCACCACCACCGCAGGGGCAGCAGCATCAGCTGCAGCTGCTGTTGTCACGTGGACACGGCGACATCGTACTCATGCGGCGCAGGGGGGACTCCGTGTTGTACAGCAATGTCGTACATCCCATCCGGCCGAGGTTGCCGTACACTGGCGTGCGGCCGTTCGTACTGGAGGCGGCCTTGGCGCACCCCAGCGGTAAGACCCTGAGAGGTCTGGACTGGTAGCTGCTGCTCGCCCTGCTGCCCTGCGCCCTGCTGTAGCGGGGAGAACTTGACCCAGAGTCCAGAAGACCAAGAGGGCCATGGAAGGGTTCCTTGCCTTTCCAGTAGCCCCTTTCTCGCTGCCACACCTGCCTCCGAGCCTCTCACCACCTTCCCAACCTGTCCTGTCCAACCCCCCTCCTCTCCCCTTCCTCCTCTCCCCAGGCGACATCACAGCAGTGGTGTGGGCCATCCGCTCCCGCGGCCCCCACCAGGAGCCCTGCTGCGAGGTGTTCGCGGTGTGCCTCAGGCCGGAGGGGCAGGAGCAGGGGGAGGCGGAGGAGGGGCAGCAGCAGGGGGGGTTGCAGCTGAGCACTGTCGGCGTGCGGCTGCTGCTGGTAGGGTGCGGGGTGGGATGTGGGGGTGCGGTGGGTGGGGTCGTACGGGTGGGATGCGGGTAGCAGGGCATGGGGCTCTCCCGGGCGCTGCACAGGTACCACCTGGGGCCACCTGGGGCCGGGGAGGGGGGAGAGGGGGGGGGGAGGGGCCGGGGAGGGGCCGGGGAGGGGCCGGGGAGGGGGGAGAGGGGGGGGGAGGGGGGGGTCTGTGGCGCCCGCGGACTGCCTCGTGCAATCATGCAATCGTGCGTCCTCAGGTTCCGTAGCGTACCGGAACATTTGGGTTGTTTGTTGGTTGGGTGCATGTGCGACCTGATGGCCCTGCCTCCCCCTGCACCCCCTACACCCCGCCTCTCCCCCCCCCCCTCACCCCCCCCCTCCACCTCCAGCGCACCAAGCTGCCGCCACACCTGGTGCGAGTCTTCCCGCCGCAACCAGCGGCAACAGCAGCAACAGCGGCAGCGGCAGCAGCAGACAGCAGTGGGGGCGAGGAGGGTGCGGTGCTGCTGGGGTTCGACCCCAACACGGCTGGGCTGGAGGAGGAGGAGGAGGAGGAGGGGGATGCAGACATGGCAGGTGAGGCGGCAGCAGCAGCGGCGGTTGCAAAAGGGGTCGGAAAAGGGGGGAGCATGGAGTGGAGGGATATAGGAGAAGGGCTGATGTCGGGGTTGGAGGAAAGTTCAGGAAGCGGCGATAGGGTGCTGGGAAGATTCCTCTCTCTCCACCTAGCAGCACAACTCCCTCCCTCCCTCCCTTCCTCTTCACCAACCCTGCTGCATACCCCTCCACCGCTCCCACCCGCATGGACGCCCACCCAGACGGTGCTCGTCACGACCCTGCCGCCGCCGCCGCCGCCGAGGGTGCTGATGCTGATGATGACGACGACGATGGCGACATGGACCCGCGCACCCTGGCGCAGGCCGCCGCCCGCCTGGAGCACCTCACCAGCGAGCAGCGGGCGGGGCCGCAGCCGCCCGCGCAGTGGGCCGACATCTACAAGGAGAGCGGGCCGGACGGGGTGGGCGCCATGGGGGGCGAGCCGGGGCTGGACCTGGCGGCGTGGAGGGTGGGCGGCGGGGGAGGCAGCGCGACGAAGGTAGGGCGGGGGCGGGGGCGGGAGGGTGGAAAGGGCGGGGCGGGGTTGTTGATGCGGAGGTTCGAAGCATGGAGCGCTGCGTTGCGGTATTGGTGCCTTCCGAGTCTTCATGCCCTCGCCCCTGACCTACTGCCCCTTGCAACCCCACACACACACACACGTGTGGCCCCCTCCCGCGTCCCGCGCCCCTCGCCCCTCCAGGCTGCGGCTCCCTTCTGGCGGCTGTGCTGCGGGGCGCACCGGCTGCTCTCCGCGGACAGTCCGCTGCTGGTGCCGTGGGGGCAGCAGCATGAGGGGCAGGAAGGGGGGCAGGAGCAGCAGGGGCAGGGGCGGGAAGGGCGGCCCCAGCAGCCGCTGCTGCTGGGTCTCACGGACGATGTGGACTGCGCCGTGGTGCGGGTGGAGGGGGCGGGGGGGCGGCGGCAGCAGGAGCAGGAGCAGCAGGAACCGGAGCAGGGGAGGGCGAGGGAGGGAGCGGCTGCATTGCAGGTGCGCGAATGGGTGGAAAAAAGAAATTCCCGCGAATGGGTGGAGGGTGGCGGCTGGGGAGGGTGCGAACGGGGGTAGGTCGAGGGTCGAGGCGCGTGGCCGTCGACCCAGAGGTCAGAGGCGGACCCGGGTTGAGGGGGGGGGCAAGAGCGGCTAGGCACTGCTGCCCTGCCCCACCGCTGTTCCCACCTGCTTACCCCCACGAGCGGTTAGGCAGCACCGCCGCTCTCCCCTTCCTGCCTCCCTGCTGCTGCTGCCAGCCCAACCCTGAGTTTCCCCCCTCCCACCCCACCCTGTGGGTGTATGGGGAGAGTGTGGTTAATTGTACCATTATCACACCACACATTGGAATTTCTTTTTTACCCCACCCCCCACCCCTCCCGGGGCAGGCTGTCCACGCTCTGAGCATCCCCGCCCTGGCCTACGTGGCAGCCGGCAAGACTCACAAGCGCCACCTGCTGCTAGCCACCAGCGCGGGAACCGCCACTGCCGCCGCCACCTCAGGTATTGCTGCTGGTGCTGCTGGTGGTGCCTCCGCAGTCCTGCATGCAGCGAGACCGGGAGCAGCAGCGGGAGCAGGAGCGGCGGTGGGGCTGGCGGCGGTGCTGGTGGAGGCGCAGCGGTTCATGTACCTGTACGGCAGCACTGCGGCGGGTCAGGAGTACGGCAGGCAGCAGGTGGTGGAGCTGGGGCTGGAGGGGGGGGAGGCGGTGCTGGGGGCGAGGCTGGTGGAGGAGGAGGCGGGGGCGGGGGCGGGGGCGGGTGGGGGAGGGCCGATTGTGGTGGTGGCTACGCAGCGACGGCTGCTGTCGTACCGTCTGCGCATGTGAGGTGGCTTACGTAGCATGTTGGGAGGTTTGGAAGGAAGGAGAGGCACCCTTTTTCGCGCGTGGTAGGGTGTAATGGGTGTGCAGCAGGCAGTTCGGATAGGCTTAAAAAGCTTTGTTGTTTGGCAAGGGCGCATGGTAAGCTGCACATGGGTCCCGTAACGCTGTCAGGAGGTCTGTATGTTGCTGCCATGTGTTGGTATGTTGGTTGCAGCGTTGGCTGCTCTGACGGGTCGAATGCTGTTGCTGCTGCTGGCGCCTCTGGTGAGCGGTTGTTGGGGTATGTGGGGGCGGCCTCGAACAACTTGCGGTTGCTTGGACGAACGCAAAACGAACGCTGACACACGCACATTGCTCGAGCGAAGCAATCACATAGCCTCCATTGTGTTTGTTCTTTGTTGTGAAAACAGTACAGGAAGAAAGGAGACCTTTACTGTCAGGCTTGCATGCTTGCCAGAAGACGCGAGCTTGGTGGTATATGAGCATCGGGCAGTTCTGACAGCTGGTTAACTTCAAGATTATACCCTGTAAGTTATGTGCACATTGAGGCGTGCTGAAACGGTTATGTGTCAGGATCTTTTATTGTTGTGTACGACGAGCGTCATAACGCGCCAAGTCTTTGTTCATCCAACAAAGCATATGGGTAATGGAAATAAGTTCAGCTGTAGCGTTTAAACCATGTGAGGTGTTTTCTGGTGGTTGTTTTTGGATACCGCGTCAATCGCCTCATAGTGACTCTAGTCGACTGGGTCGGTCATCATAGTAATTCTTACGTCAGACGCAACAGGGTGAAAACTCTTATTCGTTTGCCCATACTGCAAACGGCTTGTCGCAAGGGCAGCTTGCCGCGCAGGAAGTTGGCACGATGGTCTACGGGAACCCCCCATGGGTCTTCAAGGGAAAGTGGGTACGAGCTATTGTTCTTGAGGGGTAGCAAATTATTTCTCCTTTTGCAATCCCTGTTTAACTGCCAGCTGTAAAACATCGCAATCCGTCCCGGTGCAGGGCGCTGTACCAATTGCAGCTAGTCAAGAGCGAAGAGGTGATGCCTGGGGTTGAAGGAGGTGACTCCCATACGGTCTTGCACCTCTTCTAAACACGTTACTAAATCCCCCATGCCTCTGCGTGGTCGTCCATCTTGTCGCTGTGCCTGTAAGCATCCCTTTTCACAGGCATGTCCGGCGTGGCAGCTGCGCACTGGTCTAGGCCCTGTAGCCCCCGCATGACGTAATTCCTCACTCGGGAATCCTCACCGAAGACCGCCGGCCCCTCCCCCCCCCAGGCCCGCAAGTACATCCCGGAGGACTTCAAGCTGGTGGAGCTGGGCGGGTAGGGCGGGTAGGGCACTGGGGCACTACTGGGGCCACTGGGGAGCCGCACTGGACTCATGGAGAGGGACTTGCAGCCGCAGGACGCAGCAGGCGCAGGGGGCGCACAGCTGCAGTCTCAGGAGGGTGCATTCCCAGGAGGGTGGGGTGTGCAGCCTGCTGTAGTCGTGGCGGCGTGCTGGGAAGAGCTTCCCCTCCCTGGCGGGCTCGCACACACCTGGGCTGCGCCCTCCCTGGCCTCCGCCTGCCTGCCTGCCTGCCCAGCAGCCGTCTGCCCTGTCCCCGGAGCACCTCCCGGTTGCCCCTCCCACTCCACCCACTCCACCCACCCTTCGCCTCCCTCCCTCCCTCCCTCCCTCCCTGCCCCCTGCCCCGCCCTCAGCTACACGCTGGGCGGCTTCTACCTGGCCCGCTACGAGGACAGCCCGGTGGGGGCGTTTGACGAGGTGCGAGAGGGGGGCGGGGAAGGGGCTGGGCGGGGGCTGGGAGGGGGCTGGGAGGGGGCTGGGCGGGGGCTGGGAGGGGGCTGGGCGGGGGCGGGGAGGGGGCGGGGAGGGGGCGGGGAGGGGGCGGGGGGGACCGATTGCTGCTGGGTCGCAGGGCGAGCGGATGGGCGAGCAAAGGCCCCTTCTCCACCCCAAGCAGTGCCCCACTCCTCCTGCCCTACCCGCCGTGCCTCCGTCCTCACCCCACCTCCCCCACCCGCCCCTCCCCCACCCCCCCACTCCCCCCAGCTGGTTGCTATGGCGGGTCTGGTGTGGAACCCGCCCACCTCGTGCGCTTGGGCGGCGCGAGTGTACGTGAACAACAGGTGGGGGCGGGGGCAGGGGGAGCTGGTGGGGGTGGGGGGATGGGGGAACTGTTGGAAGACACGTTGGGAGCCCCTTCCGGTCCCCCTGTCTCACAGCCCCGCGCTGTGCCCCCCCCCCCTGCACACTCGGATGCCCCGCGTGGTCCCGATCTACTCGTGTTCAGATTCCAGCACCTCGCCTTGCCCTGTCCTATCCCGCCATCCGTCCGTCCAGCGGCTTCTGGCCAATCTCTCCTCCGGCTCCGGCCTCTGCCACACGCTTCTCGTGTTCTTCCTTCTCCTCCACTCAATCTCCCATCCTTCCTCCGCCCATCCCACACTCATTCCTTCCCTCCACTTCCCTCCACCACCCCCGCTCCACCAACCCCTGCCCCGCTCCTCCAGGGAGGCTCGCGACCACGGCCTGCACCACGTGGGCCTCCCCTCCCGCCTGGCCGCATTCAACCTCACAGCCCCCACCGCCCCATCACCATCACCTCCAGCAGCAGCAGCAGGCGCAGCCAAAGGAACCCCCAGGCAACACAAGGAGGTGCAGGCGCGTGCAGCAGCAGGGTTTCGAAGCTGGTGGACTGCGGGGGCGGGGGCGGCGGGGCCGCACCACCAGCACCACCACCACCACCATGTGTTGGAGCTGAGAAATGTGGATGGGGGCCGGGGCCGCGGCCTGCCAGCAGTGCCCGTGTGCCGCATCTTCCTGCCGGCGGAGGCGGAGGAGGGGGAGCGGCCTGTGGGGCCGCGCATGTCGCTGTCGCTGCCCAGCTTCAGGTGGGGGAACGGAAGAATAGCCAGTGTGTTGAGTGAGAATAGCAAACAAGATGAGGGAGGGAATTAGGGAGGTGGGAGGGGGGGCTAGGAGGAGGAGTTGGGTATCCCGCAGATGCGGGTGGGTGCTGGGGTTGTAAGCAGCAGCATCTGGAGGAGCCAATCACGGGCTGCTGGGTGCGGGTGGGCGGTGCATGAGGTGGCAGCAATCACGAGCATCCCATCCCCCATCACGCGCTTTCCCCAGTTCCACGACCCTCCCCACCGCACCACTCCGCTCCCCTCCCCTCCTCCCTCTCCCCCCCCAGCGGTGCCACCCCCGAGGTGCCCGGCCTGCGCCGCTACGCATGCCAGCTGCACACCGCACTGGGGCTGCGGCGGCCGCTGAGGCTGGAGGCGCCGCCGCTGCTGCCACCGCCTGCGGGCAGTGGTGGGCGGCAGGGGCGGGGTCGGGGCGGTGGGCGGCAGGGCGGTGACGGCAGCAGCGGCGGTGGCGAGCTGGAGTGCCTGTCAGCGGTGCTGGGCGGGCGCCCGCTGCTGACTCTGGAGTTTGCACAGATGGAGGTGGGTGGGCGGGTGCGGGTGCGGGTGCGGGTGCGGGTGCGGGTGCGGGTGCGGGTGCGGGTGCGGGTGCGGGTGCGGGTGCGGGTGCGGGTGCGGGTGCGGGTGCGGGTGCGGGTGCGGGTGCGGGTGCGGGTGCGGAGGAGGGGGAAGGGGGAGGAGTCCGGGGGGGGGCGGGGTGGGAGACGATGATAGCATGGTCGTAAGAGCGAGCGGAGATCCGACCTTGCCGGCCTCCCACCACCTGTCACGTCACGGGCTGCTGCTGTTCCCTCCCTTCTCTTCTCGTCCCTCCCCTCTTGCTCGCGCAGATGCACGTGGAGGAGCCCGAGGTGCTGCTGCTGGCACCGCACACCCGCGGGCAGGGGGGGCAGGGGCAGGGGCAGGGGGAGCAGCGCGCCGGCGCCCCGGTGGCCTCCCTGCTGCTGGCTGGGCGGCCGCAGCTGTGGGCGGCGGCGAGCAAGGCGGCGGGCGGAGGAGGGGCTGGGGGCGGGTGGGCTGCCGGGAAGGCGTGGTCGGCGTGAGGTGGGGGAGCTGGGGGGTGGCACTGGGAGCTGGGGTTGGGAGGCCGGCCGGGGATGAAGAGCGCTGGTTGGGAGGGGGTGAGAGGTGTGTTACGGGGTCTGCAACTCGCTGCGTGTTGGGCTTGAGACGCGGAGTGATGATGTGGAGTGAGGGGGCCGAGACGGCACCGGGCACGCCGAAAAGAGGCGTGGTAACGCTTGCAGTCGGTGGGGAAGGAGTTGGAGTCGGGTGGTCTGGAGGGAGGAGGAGTTGTAGGGGTGCGCAGGGTTGGTAAGGGGCGGCGTGTTGTGATCGGGTGTAGAGGGCTACAGGGAATGGGGTGGTCGCGCACGAGTATATTTCGGCAGGAACCTGCAGTTGTTTGTGCCTGGTAGACCAGTGTTGTCTGTGTAGCAAGGCGTTAAGCGTAATATGGACTCCATGGCGGCCGCGGATGGCCGTGGATGCGACAGTTCAGACATGGCGAAGGCCTAACGTGGGACATTGGCCCCGATAGACAGCAGCTATTGAGATTGAAGGGAGGCATGGCTGTTTGATGAAGGATGCAATCTTTTGCAACTGGGATGGCACATGGCAGTGGCATGGCTTGCGAGACCCGGGGGTCAACTGGCGCGAAACAGCAATACCGATGCTGTAACCAAAATGCCGTAAGGCTTTAATATGCGGTATGTCGTATCAGTCATGGTAGCCCCCTTCCCAAACAGCCTTCACGTAGCTGACAAACTTTAGTCGCAGCCTAACCGACGCCACAGGAGCCTTTACTTCTTTACCTAGTGAGAACTAGTATGCAACGCTATATTTTTTGCATTGGCTGAAATGCAGGTTTCTAGCAATTTGGTGTTTGTCGTTCATGAAAGTATCCCTCTTCATTAACTAGGCGCGAACGATTGATTTCTTTCCTTTCCGGACTTAATTAGTCGCACGTAACTATAGGCATAGTGTTGTAGGGCCGACTTGGCTTTTAACAAGACTTTCCTTGAAAATGCGCCCATACCTTCTTAAGGGCCATGAGCGCCCTTTGACGCAAGTCAAGTGAGTTTCTTACCTACACCTAATTTAGGATTGCTTGCTAGCTTTGATTCTGTAAAGCGAACGCTTTTGGACGTGGCGGCTGCGCAGGTACAACCGCGAGGGCGATCTGCTGGTCAGCTGCGCAAAGGTGGGCAGCTAGCTTGGATTTGGAGTTCTATGAGACTAGGATCGTAAGCAGCTGCCCTTATGGTGGAGTCGGGCTTTGTGCGCAGAACTTGCAACCTTGCCTATGGTCTTCGGAGGACGGCCGCCGCATTGGGACCTACGAGGGCCACAACGGTGCTATCTGGACCTGCGACATCACCTGTAGGTTATATTAAAAAGCAAACTGTGGAGGAGCGTGCTATTCTATATCTGAGGAGGTCGGTCTGCTCGCAGGGGACTCCGACCGCCTAATTACGGGCTCGGCTGACCAGACTATCCGCATTTGGGACCTACCAACGGGCAAGGAGCTTTTCCAGTTCCGTCACAGGGAGCCTTGCAGGGCGGTGAAGCTATCGGCTGGCGAGCGGTTCCTTGCTGCCACCACGGATGCGTTCATTGAGTCGCCCCCAGCAATCCATGTCTACAAGTTCGCGGAGAACGTGGAGGACCAGACTTCTACCCCCCTCAACACCTGGACGGTGCCAAAGGGGAGGGTGACTCGCGTGTTCTGGACCGACTGCAACCGAAAACTCATCACGTCACACGACTACGGGATGATCCGCCGATGGGACGTGGAGGCAAGCATTTTGGGTTTGATGGGAGCAGGGGGAAAAGGAAGAAGATGCATGGAAACCGGCCTCTGGCCGCAGATGACAGCAGCAGCAGTGGGGAAGTATGTCTGTCGGCGTGTGTTTTCCCTGTCGGCGGACCTGCAGCAGCACTCCAGTTTCACTCAAAGCACTAGTGTTGCAGCTGGCTAATGGCTGTTCCACTGCTACTGCTGGTCTGCCGGCGGGGAAAAACACACGCCGTCAGTTCCTAACCTAGCAAAATGTTGTCTGTACCCTACACGCACGCACGCGGGGCATGCTTGGGACCTATGGCCACGACGCTTAGGAACACGTTACGCTTCCATGCATCACATGTGCGTTTGCACGCTTTGCGGCCGTATGGCATTGGTGCTGTAACCGTCTACGCACCCCGCACCCCTATCCCGTTTACTCGCTGCTTAACTTGGCATTCGCATCCCATCCCATCTGACCCATATCCGCTCTTGCCTGGTTCCGGTTTCCTTCCCAACTGCCTGATCTCTCCTGACTGCTCTGTTCCTTCCGCTGCCTCCCCATCCCCGTCACCCCCGCAGACGGGCCAGCTGATAGAGGAGAAGCAGATCCACGAGGACGCCATCCAGGACATGCAGATGTCGCCCGATGAGACGCACGTCATCACGGCGTCGCTGGACAAGACGGCGCGCCTGGTGGACATTGAGAGCTTCGAGGTGCTCAAGACGTACAAGACGGGCCGCTTCGTGCAGTCCGCAGCCGTCTCGCCGCTGTTCGACCATGTAAGGGGGGACAGCGGATTCGAGGGATGGGTGCTTTGGCTGCGGGGTGCCACGGGTGGGGTGTTCAGGGAGATTGGAAAAGGACTGGCGGCTGGGGTTCGGGATTCCGAGGTAAATGTAAAGGTGTGAACGCAAGGTGCGGTTTTGCTGAGATCGCCCTTCTATTCCTTGCTGCAGGTTGTCTGCGGTGGTGGCCAGGACGCGTCGCAGGTGACGACGACGGCGGCGCAGGCGGGTGGCTTCGAGGCCAGGTTCTTCCACAAGGTGCGTGGGCCGGGCTGGTGCGTGGGGGTGGACAGAAGCCGGTTTTGATGCCACAGCATCAGGGGAATGCCACCGTTTTCCAGCAATATACGGTGGCGTGCCGCGAGGCAACAAGGAAACGTACATGTTGACTAGGCAGACCAATTTGCCAAACTCGCTGAGCCCGGCAGATTAATTATGGGCGATTGCATGGGGCAACCGAATGGGCGCACGCAAGGCCGCATCCGTGCACGAAGCAGCGAGTAACGGCGTGCTGAACAGCTGAGCTCACAGCAGCCTAGGGCTGTTCCCTTATTCAGGATAAGGCAACGTTCGTCTAGCTTTTCTCCCCGGAGGGTACCCCCATGCTAGCAGGGCCCTGTGTCAGCACCAACCGCCGGTGGCTGGTGACCGCTATGAATGCACCCGAACGCTTGCTAACGCATTCTCGGGACTCGCTGCGCCGTGCAGATCTTCCAAGAGGAGTTCGGACGCGTCAGGGGCCACTTCGGACCCATCAACACCATCGCCTTCCACCCCTCGGGCCGGAGGTGCGTGCGGGTGCTCCTAGCGCGGGTTATCATGGGCTCCTAGTACGGCTGGGGTTGGAGTCCGCGGAGTAGGCATGGGGCTGTAGCTTGCTGTTGTGTGCTCGTCCGCGAGCCAGGAATGCCCGAAGACTGACGGGATTTCCCTGTGCCCTTCGCCGCATGGATCACAGTTTCACGACGGGCGGCGAGGATGGCTACGTGCGCCTTCACCACTTGGACCTTGACTACTTCACGAGTAAGTGGTGATGCTTCCGGGACTGCGGCTGCGTGGGGTTAATGGCCAGCGGCTTGGTTGCCCGACCGGTAGCGTGTGCTTGTGACAAGATGTAGATGCCCTCAATGCCTGGGTTTCCTTCTTGTCGCTTGCTGCCAGGCTTTGAATCAGGGTTTCTGCCCATGCGGCTGCCTTACTTTCTGGTGTTCTGTTTCCCTCCCCTCTCCCCGCAGCGAAATTCTTCTAAGCGTAGCAACCAGCACAAGCAGCGGTGGCGACACAGCGGCGGCGCTCGCCTGTTGAGTTACAGTTGGTTGAAACGCGGACGTGGCAAGCTTTGCTGGTGGAGACGTGTGGGCCAGCATGTGTGTGCCGAGGCAGGTTTCGTATATTCAGCAGGTTTTTAGGCTGGGGTTAGCATCCGTGCCTAGGTGCGAGTTGCCTTTCCGAGAGGGATGCTATGGGTATGCCGCCCATCGGGACACGCGTCCAGCCTTCGCTTACAAAGCGAGACCACACTACAGACAGATGACTTCGGATAGAGCTGCGAGCTCTAGTTTAAACCAAACAATGACTATCATACACTATCTGGGAAATGATTTGGGTCATGGGGTTAGGGGTAGAGCTACCATTGCTGGGAGAGTGAGGTGTTTGCGAGGTTTGTGCTTTCAATGGACTTTGCATGTACTGCTGAGTCAGGTTTACGTTGTGATAGGTGGGTGCTGTTGGAGGAGAGTACTCATAGACGTCTAACGGGCGTTTGTGTACACTCCACGTGTTTCATGCAGGGAGTTAGCTCTTACTGAGTTAAGACGGTATCTGAGGATGTAAATTTTGTGACGAAGCTATATATACAGTCTCGATCACCATGATCAGGTATTTACAGCTGCGTAATTTATGCGCAACAAAGAAGTCCTGTCACAAAGCAGCATTCGAGCACGGCGTTGTATGTACCAGTCAGTCCGCATGTCTCGATGGGAGAGGAGAGCTGCCTACTGCTCGTTACGTGGACATGGCGAGCCTCCAAGCCGTCCACACACCCTTATGCAACCACGCATATCATCAGTACAAGATATACCAAAAAGATTATAAACGCTCGTACAGCCCGAGCAGCAGGCTTAGTCAGTTCACGACGTTGGGTCGAATGCTGCGTCCACATCCTTGTGCCTTCCCGGCAACATGCAAGCGGAGTCAATCCGCCGTGTTGGCAACCCCGCCATTTGACAAGTGCACGCCCCTACAGCCTACGCTTAAGAACCGCCACTTAGAACCGGGAATAACCCATGCAACATAGACCAGAGTGGAAGCGTATAGCATGTCGTCATCCTGCCCACTACACTCGAACCAGGTCGAGCTACCAAAACATCGGAAGTCAGTTCTAGCCACTACCAACCAGACCTTCCCAGCACCATCACAGGAAAATGCGTTGGAGCTGCTCTAAACCGCTGAAGAGGCAGTACTAGTCCAGCTAACTTTAGGCGCGTACCGCCATGATAACCAGGGCCAGCAGGAAGATGCCCAGGATAACGGCCATCGCCCACAAGCCCACGTTCGTGTTCTTCGTGAGCGCCTTCCAGTGGGCGTACAGGTCGTTACCCGTCTGGCGCTTAACTGGCTTGGCGACCGCCGTCAGCTGCGACTTGGCAATGACCTTGGCGGCGGGGTTGGAGCTGAGGGCCTTCGCCTCGGCAGCGGCGCGTGCCGCCTCTTGCTGTGCCTTCCGCTTCGCCTCGGCCTCCGCCCTCTCGGCGGCGAGCTGCTTCGCCCGCTCCTCCGCAACTGCTGCTTCCTGGGCCTTACGAGCCTCCTCGTCCGCCTTCTTCTTAGCCTCCGCCTCCTTCCGCTTCTTCTCCTTCGCCTCTGCCAGCTTCTTCTTGCGCAGCTCCGCCTCCTGCGCCTTCTTGATCTGCTCCTCGCGCAGCCGCTCCTTGTCCAGCGCAGCAGCAGCCGCCTTGTCGGCCTCACTCTTAAGGACCGGCGGCACGAACTCCTCGTCCTCAATCTTCGGCAGCTCCACCATCTTCAGCAGGTCAGCTGGCCGGGCGCTGGCAGCTGCCCGCGGCTTCACCGCCTCCGGCACGGGCACTGCGGGCGCCTCCGCCACCGGCGCTGGGAAGTCCAGCTCGTCGTCAGCGTCGCCCGAGGACTGCACGTCGTCCGCCGCCGGCCGCCCAGCGGCCTTGCGGCTGGCCTCCGCCTGCGCCTCCGCCATCAGCTGCTCGATGAGCAGCTTAGCCTTCTCAGCACCCTGCGGCTTGGGCGGTGGCGCCTTAGCAGCCTTGGCGCCATTGCCTTTAGCGTTCGCCTTGTTAGCCGCGGGCTTTGCCTCCTTGACCGCCACGGTGCTGTCCGGCAGCAGCTCCGAAACTGCGTACTTGCGCTGCTGCGCCCAGAGGCTGTAGTACTCCTTGCGGTAAGCCGCGTCAGAGCCCAACTTGGCCACCATCGCGTCGGCTTGGGCCGCGCACATGGCGCGCGCCTCCTCCACCTGGCCCGCCGTCACCAGGTCGCGCACCTTGAGGCCGAAGGAGCGGTTCTCCCGGTACTCCGCCATGGACTCGTTCAGCTCCGTGCGCGCCTTCTCAAGTGCGGCTAGGGCGTTGTCCTTGACGGCCTTGGCGGCTTCCAGCTCCTCGGTGATGTCCTTCGCCTCTTCCTCGCAGGCCTCAATCTTGCTCTTGATCTCCTTGATGATGCCGGACGCTTGCTCGCGCTCGTTGTGGAGAATCTTGAACTCGCCGTCCATCTCCTTCAGGGTCGCGTCCACCTTCTCAATCTCGGCTTTAAGCTCTTTGAGCACCCCCTCCTGGCTCTGGTACTCGCGAGTCTAAGGAGCATGAGTGGAAGAGGGCAGGCAGCCGGGATACCGGTTAGTACTCGAAGTTTGCTGTTGAGTTTATTGCTTATCAATGGACATAATAAGACATACCAAAGTTCTTAGCAGCGTATCCGGAAACAACCCATATGCTGCATGCAGCTAGCGTAGCCCCAAGCCCCCCAACCCCACGGCTTGACCTTGCAGGCGGTCCTAAGGGCATGTCCGGTATGCTTGCAGTTCGGTGGCTGTAAATAGTAACTGCGATTAAAGGGGCGACTCCAAGCCACCCCATGCAATGAAATGGAACCAATGGAATGGGGCGACTCCAAGCCACCCCATGCAATGGAATGGAACTAAGTACTCGGACAGCCCGCATGCTGCCCGCCTTGAGCCATGCTTTAGCTCAAAGACGATGGGTCTCATAACCCTTGCAAACCCTTACCCCATACCCCACCCGTACCTGCGCACGCTGCGACTGGAGCTTGCTAATCTTATGCACGGCGGTCTTCTCGTCCCGGAGGGAGAGGCCCTCATGGGTAATCTGGTACTGCAGCTCCTTCACTTTAGCATCAAGCTCCTCCTCGCTCTTGCACTCCAGCCCCCTCAGGTTAGAGGTAATTTCATCTATCCTGCGCCGATAATCCCTGCGTAGGTCACGCAGCTGCCTCATCCGGTCTAGCTTCTCCCCGTACTCTGGCTTCGAATCCAACTTCAAGGAGTAGCCGATAGACTTTTGGTTGCGAAGCTCACGCAGCTCCTCCTGCACATGTCCACATCCAAGTAAGATCAAACTACACCCATAATACATCTATGAAACAGGCTCGGCAAAGTATATACTTCATAAGAGCTTATATCACCTGAAACATCTTACCCGCTTTGTCGCCAGCCTAGCGCTGACGGCCTTCACCTTGGCGACCTGGTCTTGGAACTGCGCTGAGAGCCTCTTGACCAGGTCATCATCGATAGGAGGGCGGGGGATGCGCACAAAAAAGATCCGGTTGCTGGAGGTTGCGCTGTCCTCTACGTCCTCTTGTGCAGGGGCGTCCGTCGAGTCCCCGGCAGGCACATCAGGGCCAGCGAAATCTTCGGCAGCGGCAAAGTCCGGCACATCAGGCGCATGTCCGTTCTCCTCAGTAGCAGCAGCCCTACGCTGCTTGCGGTCGCGCTGCTCAAGAACAACATCGTCTGACATTTTGATCTCGACACAGCTGACACCCTATGAACCCAGCAAGAGCTAACAGGTATGCGAGATGGGTCTACCGTCCTAAGGTGAAGAAGTGAATCACTGGTAAACGTCGGTGCAAGCTTTGGTGGGAGTCATGCAACAGCATACGGTGTCGTACCTCCGTTGGTGTCCCCTGACTCAGGGGACAGGGGCCCTGAGCCTACATGCATAAGACTTACAACTACAGCGGCGCTGAAGATATACTTTCCTCTTTTTTCATGGTCAATTTTTTAAGCTGCGGTTCCTGGTCTCGGCCGGTATCGTAATCCCAGCCCTTTGCTTTCCATGATAGTGCTGTCTTGGAAAGCATAAGGTCGAAGCTTGTTCAACAGTACGCTTAGTTAGTGTGGCACACCATGCACGCCTTAAAGGACCAAGGCCCGGCGCGGCTGCTGTTGGCAATTGTGTCGCGGCGACAAACCCTTCCTGCGATTGTCCATTCACGTTCATACAAGTCCATTCCGGACGATTTGCGCCCAGCGTTCGGCTACTGTGTGCAGCAGGTCAGGTGGGTTATCAGCTGAGGGGTGAGCCTGACACTACATTGCAAAACACGCTTGGGTGCACGAATTGGAATTGGGTATACTCCCCCCATCCCCTCGCCCCTTCGCCCCCTATCAGCCCCTTCACTTTAATACCTTTGCCAAAGCTCTTTAAGGTTGCGTACCTGTATACTAACCGGGCCTCCAAGGGTCTTGCTCGAGTTGTCATGCATCCGGTCATGCATGCCGCTGCCGCATACTTGCTCCGCTTCTAGCTATATGGCAATTCCAAGGGCTGTGCACCTGTTACTGCAGTAGGGAGCCGTACCTGAGGCGAGGTAGCGCGGCATACCTACCCCATTGGCCCGAAACACGAAGCCATGTCACGTTGCATTGGTCCAGGCGTTTTCAACTGCACATCTGCAGTGCAGAATCCACGGCGGCGTGCGCAAGCATGCGGCGGTTACATCCAAAACCCGGAACCAGCCATAGAAGCATGCACACCGCCCGAACCCCCCATGCATGCGTCCCGTGCTGCATGATGCTCCCTCTACCTCGTCAGGTGCTGTCTCCCTCGTCCGCTTAGCACCTAGCCGCCGCGTGCTTGGTCGGCCGATTACGGCACTGCTGACCCCGCCTGCCACTGCTGACCCCGCCTGCCACCGCGTGCAGGGAGTACGACTACCTGAACTACATCTGGGTAGCGCAGATGCCCAAGGTGAGCAAAACCGCGCGCGGGGCGGAGGGAGCGGGGCTACCCAGGGGTCCATGGCGGGTATAACGGATCTGCTCACCGGGGTTTCAAGTGATGCCAACAGCAAGCGGTACCTGGGGCACCAGGGGGGGCGGCAGTGGGACTACGTGTAGCTCTTTGCAACTGAAGTGCATGGACACACGAAACCAGTAAGATGCTGCGGCCCATCCTGGTCGCACATAACAGCGGTTACCGGCAAGCCGCGTCAAGAACCGCTACCTGCCACAAAGCCCGCTGTCCCCTTGCCTCCCCGCCACCTGCACCCTGCTCCGACCCTGATGGGCCGCCTCCCTGCGATCGCAGCCATACATAGACCCCTGCCCTCAACACCCAGCTCCCACCACCTATCTGCACGGCAACCCCCTCCTCTGCCTCTGTCTCCATAATCCCGCCTACCACCTCATCCCTCACCCCCCTTATCACCTAGTTTGCCACTCTCACACAACGCATTGGTTATTCCTCTTTTCCCTCCCTCTCTCCCGCCCCCCTCACACAGGACCTGCGTCCCGCCCTGTTCGCCCTGCGCGCCCTCAACGTGGAGACCGCGCTGGTGGCTGAGCACGTGCGCAGCCGGGAGTCGGTGGCGGCGCAGCTGCGCTTCCAGTGGTGGCGGGAGGCGGTGCGGGCGGCGTACGAGGGGCGGCCGCCCAACCACCCAGTGGCCGCCGCGCTGTCGCACGTGCTGCACAGCCCGCCGCCCGCACCCCTGGCTGGTGCTGGTGGTGCTGCCAAGGAGAAGGGCGGCGATAACAATGGCAACAGCAGCAGCAGCGGCACTGATGCAGGGCCCTCGTGCTCCAGCAGCTGCAGTAGCAGAGGCTGTGCGGGCAGCAGCACCGGTAGCAGCAGTAGCGGATACGACAACGGCACGGAGGGGGGCAGCAGCGCTAGTACTAGCCGGGCCGGGGCCAGCAGCAGGGCCGCGGGTGTCAGCAGCGGTCCCGCGCGCTTCAGCCGCTACGCCTTCAAGCGCATCATTGACAGTCGCGAGGCGGATTGGGCTGACCCGCAGCCGCCTCTGGACCTGGGAGCGCTGGAGCAGTACGCGGAGGGGACCGCGTCGCAGCTGCTGTACCTGCAGGTGTGGGGGGAGGGGCGGGACAGGGAAACAAGCCGACTGCCTCCTGCCTATTTCTAGTGAAACCGCAAGCCATGACAAGGGAATATGGAAGGGGTGTTGGAGAGGGGTAGACGCAATTTGGAAGAGCTGCGAAGGAGTAACATTGCGGGCTGGGCGGGCGTTTTGTGTCACATGGCGGTGTGCACGGGGAAGATGGCGCATGCGGTTAGAAGGGATGAGCGGGACACGTGGCGCAGCAGCCGGAGTTTGCCGTACGGCCGTATCCCCGCCCCTCCTGCCTGCCTTCCTCCTTCCTTTCTCATCCCCGCCCCTCCTGCCTCCCACCACAGCTTGCCGCAGCCGGCATCAAGCACAGCGAGGCCGACCACGCCGCCTCCCATCTGGGTCGCGCAGTGGGCATCTCCACCCTGCTCCGCGGCACCGCAGCCCACGCAGCCGCGCGCCGCTGCTACCTCCCAGTCGACCTGTGTGCGGAGGCGCGCGTGTCGCAGGAGGACGTGTACGGCGGGGTGGTTTCGGAGGGTCTGCGGGATGTCGTACACAAGGTGGCCAGCCTAGCCAAGGGGCACCTGGATGAGGCGCGGCGGCTGGCGCCCAGGCTGCCGCCGGGGGCCGCGGGGCTGATGCTGCCGGCTGTGGCGACGGGGCGCTACCTGGAGGCGCTGGAGGCGGCCAACTTTGATCCGTACGACGCGCGGCTGCTGCGGGAGCACGGCGGCGGCAGCGGCGGTGCGCCCCTGCCGTACGTGTTGGCGGTGAAGTGGCACCAGATGCGGGGCACGTACTAGGAGTGGGGCGCGTACTACCGGGTAGAAGAGAGGGAGTTGAGGAAAGGGAAGGAATACAATGCCGGGGATGAGAACGGCGCGGAGGAGAGAGAAGGCAGAGGCAGGATATGCGGCAGGGCGGCTGGCGGATGTGAGGATGTGAGGATGAGGCGATACCGGTACCTGTAGTGTCGCCGCCGCTTAAGTTGCAGGGCCTTGGGGTTAAGGCATAGATTGGTAGATAGGGCCATTTATAACATGTAGGTGTGGTGTAGAAGACAAGGAGGAGAGGCCGATGGGCGCCGGTGTGCAGCAGGCGGGGGTGGCATGTGAGGAAGCGCAGGATTGCTACCTGGTGCGGAGGCATGACTGGTGGTAGGGAGAAGCCTGCAGCCCCTGAATGTGAATATGCGTGCGGAGGGGCAGCCATGCGTGTGTAGGTGGCGGTGGCGGCCTCTTAACTCGTAGCCATTATGCAGCAGCTTTTGTGTGGCTTTCATGCATGCGGCCTCTAGCGGCCTGAGGAGGATTCTGTACAGGTGAACGGGTGGCTTAACGTTTGTTAGTTGTGACGAAGAGCTGTGCAGTTTGTGTTCGGCTGGGCCGGGAGTTGTGGGAACGCAGGCGTCGTGCAAACCCGTGCCGGCAATCCCACTCTGAAGTTCCCGTTATGGTCGCTACTGGTTGCGAACGTCATGCAAGCCACTGCTTGTCGAGGTCACAGCAGGGCGATCCTGTTGGTATGAGAGGCATAGTACGGCAACCCGCTTTTTTGTAATGTCCCATACCTTTGCGACACGAGCCAAACTGCACACCTATGGTACGTTGTGAGGCAAACAGCTTCTGGGCATACTCTTGTGGATTCGGACACGATGACGTCTTCAAAGAAATGGGTCCCATTAGAGAGCAACCCCGAGGTCTTGAACGAGTTCGTCACAAAGCTAGGGCTTGACGTGTCCAAATACTCCTTTTCGGACGTTTTTGGTTTAGATGAGGTAGATAATCCGGGGTGCGGCGGGGCTATGTGCTGACTTGCATGAAAGCGACTAGATCTGTGACATGTGGCACTGCAGGAGCTACTAGCAATGGTTCCGCAGCCTGTCATTGCGGTTATCATGTGTTACCCTGTCACGCAAGAGAGCGACGCGCTGGCGAAGAAAGGTGGGCAAAGGGTGGCGGTTGCATTGTCACAATACGGGTGCGCGGAAATGTCCGTTCTTGCAAACCACTCTCTCTAAATAATACTCAATGTCACAGAGGATGAGGAGGAAGCTACAAAGGGCGCTGTGGTGGACCCAGACTTGTTCTACATGAAGCAGGTCCGTGGTTCAATGGCTTTGATAGCTTGGGGGCCACGCAAATGATGGGACGGGTTTCCCGCATTTTTGGATGTCTCCCAAATTAATCAGTATGCTCATGGGCCCTTGTCCTTTCGCCCGCTGTAGACTGTGGGAAACGCCTGTGGCACCATCGCCATCCTGCACTCCATTGGAAACAACCAGAGCACCCTCAAACCCGGTGAGCACGTATTACACCCCTGCAAGTGCCGGCTAACTGGCCTTACTGCAGCGAAACAAACCCAATCCACCTCGTGTCTACAAGCTATCCTCCACGCTTCCTCACTTCAATAAGCTACATAATCCCAACACCTTACAGCGCTCTCCCGCACGCGGCAATCGCTCCCGCACCCTTCCCACCCGCGCCTGCACCCTCTATTCCCCATGGTCCCCAGCTGAGGGCAGCTTCCTGCAGCAGTTCTTCTCCGCCACTGCCGGCATGTCGGCAACGGAGGCGGGCCGGTTCCTGGAGGAGCCGCCGGAGGGGGCGCCGAACATAGAGGAGGCACACCAGGTGGGGCGCTGACGGGGAAGGGAAGGAGCGGGGAAAACGGGGGCGGGTGGGCCGGGCTGGGGCGAGGTCGAGGCAGCAGGGACGGGCGCTGCTGCTACATCGGTACAGCTGCGTCTCATTGCTTTGCTCTCCTCTGCCCCTCCCGCCTCCACCTCTCCTTGCTGGCTCTCAAGCTTCCTCTGCTCCCATCCCACCGCGGCCGCCCTGCCCGCACCCCTCACAACTGCATCCCGCCCCCCCGCCCAGGCGGCTGCTGCCGGGGGCGCCACGGCCCCCCCCTCCGCGGATGAGGACGTGGACCTGCACTTCGTGGCGCTGGTGCACCGCAACGGTGGGGGGAGGGAGGGAGGGGAGGGAAGGGAAAGGAGGGAGAAGAGGAGGGCTAACTGGGTTGCGGATTAAGTCTGGGCTGCTTCCTGGCTCTCTGCCTCCTACATGTCCTGTGCTTGCTGCACCTTTCGCACCGTCTTCCCCTCTTCGTCGCGGCTACCTCGCCGCCTAGCCCCCGCGTTCCCGCGCCCGCCCCGCCCTGCCAGGCAAGCTATGGGAGCTGGACGGGCGGCGCGGTGGCCCCGTGTGCCGCGGGGACACCAGCGAGGCCGGCCTGCTGCGGGATGCGGCGCGGGTGGTGCAGGAGTTCGTGAGCAGGTGCGGGGGTGGAGGCTGGGAGTGGTGGCGGCGGTGGTGGTAGTAGTGGTGGTGGTGATGGTGGTAGTAGTGGTGGTAGTAGTGGTGGTGGTGGCGGCGGTGGCGGTGGTGGTGGCGGTGATGCTGGTGGTGTCCCTGTTCAGTGGCTGCTGCTCAGCTGGCGCCGCATGCAGCGTTGTTGCTGTCCGCTGTGCGGGTGGGGCGGGGTTGCTTCCCTCGTGCTGTGTTGCCTCCACTGCCGCAGCTCGCTACACCCCACTCACTCACCCAACCAACCACCTGCCTTCCCCCGCAGGAGCAACAGCATCAGCTTCAATGTGCTAGCGCTCACCGCCACACCTGCGGAGGAGGCCTAGGTGGCCTAGGCGGCCCGGGCTGGGTGGCTGGGTGGGTGGCTGGTTGAAATGTTGTGCTAGTATAGTGGTGGTTTGGTGGGAAAAGAAGGATATCCAATGTGTGGGTGGGTGGGTGGGGTTAAGGCAGCGCTGTGGGTTGATGGAGGTTGCAGTGGCGTGGGCCGCGAGCGGTACGTCAGGAGGGAGCACACGTGCTAGGAGGCATGCGTGGCGACACATGAGCTCCGTGGGCAGCAGCAGCAGCAGTAGCAGCAGCAGCTTGGTGCGCTGTAACACGGCAAGGGGCGCTGCCTGAGAGAATTTGGGACGAGCGCAATTGTACTGTGCGCTGTACTGTGTGTTTGTTTGAGGTACCCGTCGGGGGTGGCAGTGTAAGGAAAGCAAGAGTGCGTGATTGCTTCAGTTGCGAGGGGGAGCAGGCGATCGCCTACAAGTCTTTTACTACCAATCTACAGCTGCTTAACGGAACTGATTGGAAATATGTTTGCGTTTGAGAGGGCGGGCCGCAGCCTGTGACGGCTGCGGGGTACCTGTAGGTGGTGGCGCAGGATGTGGCGGCAATTGTCAGTGCTGGTAGTGGCCATAGCTGGTATTGGCTGTGTGCAGGGTGGCGCTTACGACTGCTTTGGGAAGGGTGGTTGCTGTTGTTGCTGCAGGAGCGGCTGCGAGGCCTGGGCTGGTTGGGAGGCCGCTTGTTGGCTAGTTGGGGACGTGCCCCTGCAAGGGGAAAAGACACACACAACAGCATCCGTGTAATGTTACAAAGGGGTCTTCATGCGTGCATAATGTAACAGCCACTTCTGTTCTTCAAAGCAAAACAAGTCATGACCCTATAAGACAACCCAGGACACAATCACCGAAAACTCGACCCGTCAACAGCCCCTATAACCCCCGGTCAGAAACCCCGGGGGTTAGGGTCAGGCCATGAAACCTCCCAATGCAGCAGGCTGCCTCTACTGCCCTGTACGTGATATGTATCAGGTAGCACACGAGACTCTTCCGACCACTCGCCCGGCCGTATCAACCCAACTCTCCTCTACGACGTTTACTTCGATATGCGTTCCATACAATCACTCAGTATGAATTCTTTTTTTGCGATAATCGGTCCAATTGGTTAAGTGACACTGCGAGCCGTACGACTGACTGTGTGCATGGAAGAGCCATGGCTATTGTCGTACATCGATATTGCGTCCCGTACAATGCTGTACGAGCAAAAGCCGCCCCGCACCTTGCATACGACCCTCCTGCGCGGCTTCATTTTACCTCAAAACCTAACCCGTTCCCCGCTATTAACCTCACCTCACTCATCAGGAGAATGGGGCGCCCGACACCGAGCCAGCCTCCCTCGCTCCAACGGCCCACTGCCGTCACCTTGCCGCCACCCGCACTCCGGCACAGCCCCCCCCTCAACGCCACAACACGTCCCTCTCAACTTCTCTCACCGTTCCGGGCGCGCGCACTCGTACACTGCTACCTCGGCCCCAACACACCTCTCTCTCACTCATTCCCTCTTTCTCTTCATACTGGTTGCAATCCCCACCGCCAATCCCTACCAGCTTCCTCCTCCTCCTCCTCCTCATCCCTCCCTCTCCTTCCCCCTCCCCTCCCCTATCCCCGCTCCTCACGCCAGGGCCATCGCCCTGCTGCCGCACACCCTCTCCACCGCCTCCACCACCTGGCTGGCCTGCACGATGGTGGCAGCCTCCAGCTCGTACGCGTAGGCGGTGGGCACGTCCTGGCTGCTCAGCCGCACCACCTCGTGGTCCAGCTCGTTGAACAGCGACTCGTTGATAACGGCGGAGAGGGAGGCGCCGATGCCGCCTGGAGGGAGGGAGGACAGCGTGAATGGCCCCGGGGGTAGGACGATTTCCTTAGCCGTACCCTCCACGGCACGACCTGCTTCCCCAAAGCCGCAACCCTGTGCCCATCGAACACCCCAACCCAGCCGCACCCCTCCTCCTGCCCAGCTCCCCCTCCCCACCCACCTGTCTTCATGCACTCCTCCACGATGATCGCCTTGCGGGTCTTGCGGATGGACTTTGAGATGGTCTCCATGTCGAAGGGCTTCAGACTGATGAGGTCCACCACCTGCGGGAGGGGGGTCAAAGACCATATCAAACCATAGGAGACCACAAGTTAAATGGAGGGGGGGAAATTATAAATAAATGCAACAACGCAATCCCAATCCCGGGGGCGCGGGGGCGGGGGGGAGCACGCGTGGAACCCAGGGACGTGACACGGCGCAGGGGTAGTGGCCCTTGTGGGGACTGCGCGAGGAGACACAAGGGCGGCGGGTGCGGCCCCAGCAGCCGCTCACCTCCGGGTTGTAGCCCTTCTTGACCAGGTCGTTGACCGCCTGCATGACCACGTAGCGCATGCGGCTGTAGGTGAAGATGGTGACGTCGGTGCCCTCGCGCACCACCTCGGCCCGCTCCAGGCAGGCCAGCTCCTCCGCGCCGCCCGCCTCGCCCTTGACGTTGTACAGCAGCACGTGCTCGAAGAAGATGACGGGATTGTCGCTGCGGATGGCCTGCGGACCGGAGGCCGGGGAAGGTTTTAGGGGCAGGGGAGGTGGTTGAGGCAAGGAGCGTATTGTTATACCCGTTGATTAGGGAGGAGAAGAGGCATGGGGAGTAAGGACGTGTGCACGCCCAAACGCCCAACTCAGATGTACCGGTCTACTCGTGCGACTGGTCCCCTAAGTAGTGTGTAATGGCTGCTTGGGCTCGCGCGCTGACGTGTGCCGGTGCTGTTCCCGGCAGGTGGTGGGGCCGCAGCCCCCGGTAACAGGTGAGGGGACGGCTGCTCACACAGCCTGCTTGGAGATGCCGGCGCTGATGCTGTCACAACGCCCTGCGCCTCTCCTTTCCTCGTCCACACAACCGCAAAGAGATCGAGCCAGCCCTACACTCCCTCTACTCGTGGCAGCGCGCCGCAGCGAGAGCAGTCCCACCCATGATAGCCGTATCGCTAGGACCACGTGCGCATATACCACGTCTGACCGCTCGTGTGCTGTTACGGCCACGTCCGGCGTTGATTGAGACGATGGGGCTATGCCTCGACACCGACCCCGACCAAGTCCCCGCATTAGCCTCCACGCCACACGCTTACTCGCTCACCGCACCTCCTTCCCTGCTCCGCCTCTTCCCCAACTCCTCAACCATCCAACCAACCACAACCGTACGGCACCCCACTCACCGCCTTGAGCAGCGCCTTGGCATTCCGTACAGTGGAGCAGGCCACCAGCTGCACGCCGGGGATGGACTGGAAGTACGATTCCAGCCGCTGCGAGTGCTCCGCGCCCAGCTGGCGGCCCACGCCGCCGGGGCCGCGGATGACCATGGGCACCTTGAACTGGCCGCCCGAGGTGTAGTGGAGCATGCCGCAGTTGTTGGAGATCTGGTTGAAGGCCAGCAGCAGGAAACCCATGTTCATGCCCTCCACGATGGGGCGCAGGCCGGTCATGGCGGCACCCACACCCATGCCCGTGAAGCCGTTTTCTGCGGGAGGGGAGCCGGGAAGAGAGAGCTGGGTGAGTGTGGTGAAAGTGAAGGCGGTGTCGTGTTGTGTCTTGCGGGAAGAGCAGGGGTGCGGGAGGAAGGGGCGGGGTCAGGATACAGGCCTAGCGGTTGGTCAGGTGAATAAGTCCGGAGAAGAGCCCGGACGGTGAGGTATCTGGGCTCATGAGGGTGTGCGATTGTGCGGCAAGGTCTCTTCCAGGCGCATTGGGTAGGAGGGGGAACTGTTGGGCTGTGAGATCGGAAATGCTCGCGGCGTATGCGTTACTGATACGGCAACAAGGTTCCCTGGTACAGACGCACCGCAGATGGGGGTGTCCAGCACACGCATATCGCCATACTTCTTGTAAAGACCCAGGGTGCACTTGTAGCTACCACCATAGTGCCCCACGTCCTCGCCTGCACACGAAGAACGGGTTGGCACCGAGATCTTCCTCGTCAGCAAAAGAAGAAAGCTAAAGGCTAAAGCCAACAATGTTTTGTATGCAATATATTAAGATTTGTGGAAAGGTACCGAAGAGAATACAGGGGAGAATCTGAGTATGCGCACAAGGACCTGAACGCTCACCCATCACACAGACGGTGGGGTCGCGCTCCATCTCCTCATCAATTGCCTCACGCAGAGCTTCCCACATCATAATTTCCTTCTTTTGCGCCTTGGTTGCAATCAGACCGCATCGCCCAGGGCGAGCTGCCAGAGCAAACAGGATAAGCAAGTAAATCGTAAACGTAAGGATAAGGTACAAGGAAGCACGGATGCAACCTACAACACCAACCTGCTAGGAGTGCACGATTTACAGGGGCTGTGGCCACGCGGTGGCCCACAGCGACGCGAGCGTTGCGGGATGCGAGCATTGTTAAGTCCTCGGCGTATTAGGTTATTAGATACGCAAACTTCTCACAGAACTGAACCAAACGGTGTTTCACACAAGAGCTTAATCGGGTGCACGCTGAGGATACCTCGCTATCCTATTCCGTACCTGTACGGAATATAGGTCGAGCCAACCGTCGCAAACCCTAAGAGAGTGTGAGCCAATGAGCCTGTCGGCCTGATCGGGCCCAATAGGCATGTCTAGCGTTACTTTACTTGCCTCGACGCCGTGTGCTTACGAAATGCAGATACGTGCGAGGTAACTTTGCGCTTGTGCGTAACAACGCTTAATACTATCGCCCGAAGAACATACTTGAAATGCAATGCCGTATGATTAAAGGCCTTTAGCCCTTTGCCGGCAATGCAAAGGGGTAAACGTCAACGACTTTTTGTCCTGTGGCATCTTTCAAGCATGGCATGCCTGGGCCCTGGGCTTAGTCTGCATTGCATTGCTTTTTCCACTGCCCCTGTTGTTTGGCCCTTCCTTTCGTCTGTTGCCGTTCGAAGCAGGCACGTCCCACCAAAGCACCAAAAGTCGCCATCGGTGTTAACATACCGTTATTGACGGCCCCGGGACTCCCAGGAACCCCTTCCAATACGGCACCCGGAACCGGTATCCCGAATGGCGCAAACCGCGCTGGAAAATTGATTGCAATCAATAGCGGAAATTTAATTCTTTCAGACATGGCAATCGCGCTGCAATGCTAAGCGGCCAAGGCACTGACAGTTAATGGCGCTGCCCATGTCAGAGAAAGAAAGAGCGCGCAGTCTTTCCTGTTACACCAAGGGCATAGTTATACTAAGATAACATTCCCAATTGTAAAAGCGTGCTAGCTTTGCGGCTTGTAAAGCCGGGACCCCATTGACCCCGATACTCGTCCAAGCATCGGGGTCCAGTGCCGTACGTATCGGGGTCCCGGGGGGTCCCGGTAGCGATCATATCCTATCGGTACAGTCAACAAGGAATGGAAGGTGCCGGCGGACCAGCCATCCAGATGGGTACAGTCCGCACACATATGAGCTGCTAATAATAACCAACGCAGCAGTAAAGTAAATAGATAGCCCGGCAGCGCCATGGGCTCCTTGTGGGCTTTGTGCGGCTCACACGCCTCGCACTAGGGTACCTGCACCTCACACACCCGCAAAAGCAAAATCCAAGGTGCCTACAACCCGCACGCGTCAGTATCCCTGCCCCAGCACGCACTGCACGTCTGCATGGCACAGGCACATCAGGCGACCGCTGGACAGAGTGGAGCTTGCGCAAGCCTGAGCGGTGACCAGGACTCTGCCCCCATTGCAATTGTTGCTTGGTGCAACGCCAGACAGCACAAGCATTGCTCCCCAACCTCAGGGCAAGCCCGCCGGCCTGCTATACATCGCGCCATCAATCACTCAGCCCAGCCTCTCATCTTCACCTCAACTTGGTCGCCCACGCCGCTGTATGCGCCTACACGCCAGCCCCGCCCGGCCCGCCCCCTCAGTCGCCCGCCCCGCGGTCCCGCCCCCTGCCTCAGTCGCTCAGCCCCACGGCCTCCAGGAAGCCGCTGACCTCCTCAGCCGAGGACGCCAGGCCCACGTTGGCCAGCCACTCGTCGATCTCGTCCGTGTGGTTCTGAGAGTTGTGGCCCTGGGGGGTATGGAGTATACGATGCCGTGTTACATGGAGTCGCTGGTGAACGGCCATGCGCAGCCAGCATGCAGCCGTCTGCCTAAGGATAGGTCAGAGCACGATGACGGTTTGAGGACCAGCGCGCAGGCATCAGCGTTAATTATGGAAGGCAATGGATGGGCAAGCTGGGTTACTGCTAGCTGCTGAGCCAAGTGCCAAGTGGTTGTAGGCGTAGATCATTCAGCCCAGACCAGCCGCGCACCTTGAGTCTGCAGAGTGTGCAGCGGTTCCTGAGCCGCAGCCCCCTCGTCAGCGAGTGCGTGCGCTTGGCGTACTCAAGGCACACGGCAATGGCCAGGGCGGCGCGCTCGGGGTCAAAGCCCAACTGCGGGGGAAGGCGGAAAGAATGGTCAACTCCGAGAGTTGAGACGGTGAAGGTGAAGCTGAAGGTGAACCGGAATGGTGGAATATGGCATGAGTGTCTTAATTAGGCACACGGCGGCATACAGCGGGGTGTCTGGGAGCACCACTGGGCGTGCCACGCTCAGCGGGACAAGGCGACGAGAGCCCACCTCTTTGACGATCTTGCCCACCACCCAGCCCACGAAGCCCGGGTCGGGGATGCCGCAGACGTTGAGGGCCGCGGTGATGGCCGCGTTCAGCCCCTCGTCTAGCACCGCGTTGGTGGCGTCGAAGATTTCGGCCACCAGCTCAACGTCCACGGGCGCCATGGTTAGCTCCTGAAAAAGTACAAATCGAGAAACAAATGAAGCGTTGCGGTATGCACGGTATATTAACGGAATGGCCCGCACATCACTTGTTTAGGCTAGCGGGCCGCGGCACCGACGGTGCCAAAATACCCGTGAGGTTGCCGTTTGTTTGCCCAGGCAAACGTACATAAGGCGGAAGGATTGGATGGTGATCAGTAGGGCAAGTGCAGGTTGTCTCGATGGTATAGCGTTCCAGGAAGCGCCGAGGATGGTGCGATAATGTGTCATTGGCCCTGATGACAGGACGAAAACTGTAGCTTACTTACCTTACAAGTTTGCTCTTAAGACAGGATTCAATAGCAGGTGGCTTGGGTACACCTGCTTCAAGGTAGAAGCGGCAGGTAGGGTTCCCAGCTCCGCGATGGTCGTCCAGTTGGTATGTGAGCAGCGGTAGATGTAAGGCAAGCTTTGTGCAAGACAACCGGACGGAGCAGACTCCGCCTCACTAACCCACCCTGGAGCCTGCCAACCGGCCCTGCCACCCAGCACCGTTCCGCTAAATGTGGATTGATATTCCCCTTGAAGTACGTAAAAATTATGGAATCCGGACGAGATGCAAATAAAAGCGGCTTCAGAGTGTCATATGCGACGATTTGGGTGGCCCGTGCGTTAGCGGGACGTAAGCCCTAGGCCCCCAGCACAGGATGACAGCAGGAACACTGAAGTACCATTTTCCGGCCTGAACACACTCGTCCTCTCCTGAGTTCTGTCCGAAAGAAGTTTCCTATATAAGCCGTGTCGGCGACTGAGGTAACCGCGCAACCGGCGCAAGAACAAAGAACACTCGTCGCGTACACATAAACCCTAAATTGTCTTTATTCTACGGTCTGATATAATACGCCCACCCTACAAGCCCCTTTGCTGGGGGTGGACGACATGCTGTAAGCTGACTTTTTGCGCGCTGTTCGTTGTGCTGTCCTAATGAATAAGCTGGATACGCCTGCTTTGCGTTCTCGTTTATATGACATGTGTGCTGCAGGTGCGATCTGGTACAGGGTTATCAAAACCACGAAAAGCGAAACACCAAGCGGTCAATTCTGGTAAGGAGGAGGAGGAGCGCCAACGCGCAGGGGCCGGGGAGCGTTTTGGCCTGCCCTTGATTCCAAACGCTCCGCTAGACCGCGGCTTGGGTGTAAGGGAACAGCCATAGTGATACCTCGGCGGATTCCTTGAAATGTTTCCTCCGAAACCCACAACCTCAAGCCTATGTCGCGTAAAATAAAGCACGTTTCTAAACAACATAGTTTTACACTTTGCGGCATTGTGGTGAGCAATCCGGAAGTACATTAGCTTTCGGACGACTTCGGTAGGTGCTTAAAGCGTAGAAGGCTCCAAAGACAGTCAACAATAGTAATATTGGAGCGTTTTGGAAGGATTTACTGGATTATGCCGGAGGTAGTACTGCTCGTCCTTCGAGCCCATCTGTAGTCGCACAGTCGCACGACGGCACGAGCATTACTACCTCAGGCATAATCCAGTAAATCCTTCCAAAACGTTTTTTTACTTTGTTTGTCTGTTTGTGTGTGCGGTCCATGAGCCTCCTGGCTCGTCTGGGCCTTACGAGCCATAGAGCTTGTAACAACTCACTCAACTCACTTCCAAAACGCTGAACACTATTTTCCTTTTCAGTAAACTAAAAAAAGGTTAAGCTGATAGGTTATACACTTTTTACGGTTTGCTCAACTTCAGTGGTTAGAACTAGTACAGCACCATGTCCAAAACGAAGCCAATCATGTAATCATTGCCAGCAGTTGATCGCAACATTATGGCAGGGTAGCTGTGTAGCCTGCAAATGCGGCATTAATAAGCAATAAAGGAGACCCCCGATGGAATCAATGGACATTGTACCACGAAGCATTTGTGAAATTACACACGTTATACTTACAAAGAACATAATTTAACTTGTGAAATACGCTTTTCAGCTATGGATTACGATCTAAGCAGGTCGTATGGCTCGTCCATCGGGCTAGTCGCACAGGCTTTATGCCGACCGTCAGGGCCATGGATCCAGCAAGAGTCGTCGTAATGGAGGCTCCAATGTTGGGAGGATGGAGTCGGGGCGGGGGAACAATAAGCTGGTACAGACTTTGCTAATAACATCTTCCAGGCTGGCATGCCTTCCCCGACCACCCACTTCGCACTTTTGAACATATCGTTTACACCAGCATGGCACCAAACACAAACTTACAAGCCAGTCGATGTAGCAAACACACACCCCTTCGCATCCAGACGCACGCCCAGCCAATGCATGCATCCCCACGCGCGGGTGCACAATACATGGGCAGGCCGTGAGGTCGCTTCGGTCTGGTGGCAGTAGCCGCGCCCAGGTAGACTTCATTGGGAAGTTCGATCTATCTGCTTTCCTAGCGTTCCTCACCCGCCCCCCACCCCTCGCGTGTCTTATCTCCCCTTGCCATTCCCCCTGCCTGTATTCCATCATGGCTCAGTATGCGCGAACCCCCTGCCTGTATAGGCTTCTGCTAGCATCGAGCAGCTCTCCAGCGCCCTAGGGAGTAAGGACGCGGAGAAGGGCTCGAGCTTCAACCTGGGGGGCCGGGAGGAGGACTGCATGGCAGGGGGAGGAGAGCCGCAGCAAGTGGGGAAAAGCTGGGGGCGGCGTGCTGGGGCTAACAGGGATGGGACATGGGAGGAAACACACAAGGGGAAAGGGGCTGCTGCTGCGCGGCTACCGGTTTTGGAAGGCGTTTTGAGGACCACCGTTTCATGAGTGCCGTTCCCAGTTGCATCCATGGCCCCTCCGCGGTTTTGTTCGGTCTTCTTTGACCCCCTCCGTCACCTCCCTTTTCGCTAGAGCCTTCCGCACATGCATGCCCCCTCCGCAGGAGTGGTCCCCCGTCATTGTGGAGTCCACCTCGACTGCCATTCGCCGGCATCACTAGGCTATCGGTATAGCTGTGAATGCCCTCCTTGGGGTGAGACGCCCAGCCTCACAGAACCTCTTTGCAGCAACGGGGGCCAGTCCTCGGGGTCCACCCCTTCTCTTGCGGAACTGTAGGAGACCCGGGCTGCGTGACCCATGGGCCAGTCCGTGAGACAGGTGCCCCCGAGGGCACCAGCTCGCTTTACGCAGGCTGGGATTGCAGGTGGTGTGGAGAGTATGCCATTCTTACAGGAGAGTGAGAGCGAGAGGCAATGTTGTGGTTGAGAGTGCATAAAGTTTGAACGCATGGGGAAAGAGAACGAGGGCGTGCGTGGCGTGTTAGTGTTTGTATTCTTTCTTCCAGATGGCGGGGTAAATTGGAAAATTTTTGTGGTTATCGCATTAAGACTGGATTTGTTGCCGCTTTCATGTGGGGGTGGGGTGTGATAACCCAGTACCGAAGTACCTCTAATTGCTGCCTGGGTTTGTTGGGGAAAACAGCGTCCTTTGCGCTTACGGCCTTGTGTTTGCGCCATGCCTCCGCAAGGTCCATCATTGCGCACTAACGCCCACCACTATCTTGTTAGATATTTCATTTGCTGTTCGGTTACCAATTTTGACATGCCATTTGCAGCCTACGCTGCTTGCAGCTTTCCTGCACGTGGAGAAAGGAACAATGCAGTACAAATAATGGCCTTCTTCTGGCGACTTTTGCCAGGATTCATAGTCGGCCGCCTGAACTAGCATAGTCACAACATCTGTGCAGCGTCGCCTGCTAAATATCGCTGCTTTGCGTATCGTTTTCCGTTGTCGTAGTCCCTGCTACGTATTCCGTTGTTCCGTAGTCCCTGCTACGACAAGGAAGCTGCGCGAAGGTGTCAGCACGCTTGAGCGACTTGGGCTGCGAATCACTAAGCTGGCAAGGAAGATCAGCTATGCCTTGCTGATCCAGCGTCAAGTCAAGTTTCCCGGCACGGCCAGGACGGAGAACGGCCTTGCACAACAAACAAGGCACAAACTCCAACATCGAGCAACCTAAACATCCCATGCATCCCTTGCGCCTTATGGCACATCGACAATTTGCGGAACTGAAATCACACAGTATCCTTATACAACACTCCGTCCCCTCGCTTTACGCTACTGTACACAACCTGGGCGATCTTGCCGCCCAAGCCAAGCACCCAACGCGCCTACAGCGCCTAGTGGCTTCTCCCTCCAGCTCCCTCCAGCACCCTCGCAAAACTGCCCTTAGTGCTTGGGGCGCTTGGGCTTGGGGTTTGCGCGCACTTGGTCGGTCTTCCGCTTCTTGACCTTCTGGAAGCGGGTGGCCTCCTGCTGCAGCTTGGCGTACCGCTTCTTCCGCACCGCTGTTACCACCGGGTCGGCCAGCAGCTCCTGCGTGATGCTGGCGCCGCGCTCCCGGCCGGTCAGGCGGCTGCTGTAAAAGTCCTGCGGGTTGTCCACCACCGTGCCGATCTGGAAGCGCTTTGGGAACTTGGTCTCGTCGAAGCTCTGCGTAGGTAAAGCACACAAGAGGTAAGCGTTTGCAGTATGGGTATGGTTTGATCAGGCATGGAGTCTACTAATTCTGCTGACAGAGCCAAGACTGCTTGTCAGGACGCAATATGTCACGCAAGAAGGCCCATCAAGACAGAAACTGCACTGCAACACACCTTGTAGAAGCGCTTGGGGTCGTAAGCGCCCCTCAGCCGAAGAAGCCGCAACTCCTGCTTGACCTCATCCGTGATCTTCGTCGTAGGGAGCTCAAACCAGCGCTTGCGATCCGCCTCGGACTCCTTCTCCGCCACCTTACTCCGGGGTGGCGCAAGCAGCTGCGAGGGCACAGGGGTCACACCAACATTTAGGCACTTGGAACCCAATCTGAAAGTAGACCAAAAGAAACACACATAGCAAGAAATCGACAGATGATTTGGATGTAATCCCAATAATAGTGGGGAGCTGCAGTAGAAGCCTGCGGCCCCCCGTGGGTCAGGACACCGGTTGTCAGACCGGAGCATGGCCGGCGGCGTCGCAACGCCACCCCACACAGGTCAGTCTAAGCCGCTGAAGTAAGGCGCTACCCCATCGGTCGAGGGCGCACCAGGCTATGCGGCACATGCTCTGTCATAAATACTGGTAATGCTGTAATCCCAATATTAGTGGGGAGCTGCAGTAGAGGCCTGCGGCCCCCCGTGGGTCAGGACACCGGTTGTCAGACCGGAGCATGGCCGGCGGCGTCGCAACGCCACCCCACACAGGTCAGTCTAAGCCGCTGAAGTAAGGCGCTACCCCATCGGTCGAGGGCGCACCAGGCTATGCGGCACATGCTCTGTCATAAATACTGGTAATGCTGTAATCCCAATATTAGTGGGGAGCTGCAGTAGAGGCCTGCGGCCCCCCGTGGGTCAGGACACCGGTTGTCAGACCGGAGCATGGCTGGCAGCGTCGCAACGCCACCCCACACAGGTCAGTCTAAGCCGCTGAAGTAAGGCGCTACCCCATCGTTCGAGGGCGCACCAGGCTATGCGGCACACGCACTGGCATAAATACTGGTAATGCTGTAATCCCAATATTAGTCGGGAGCTGCAGTAGAGGCCTGCGGCCCCCCGTGGGTCAGGACACTGGTTGTCAGACCGGAGCATGGCTGGCAGCGTCGCAACGCCACCCCACACAGGTCAGTCTAAGCCGCTGAAGTAAGGCGCTACCCCATCGTTCGAGGGCGCACCAGGCTATGCGGCACATGCTCTGTCATAAATGCTGGTAATGCTGTAATCCCAATATTAGTGGGGAGCTGCAGTAGAAGCCTGCGGCCCCCCGTGGGTCAGGACACCGGTTGTCAGACCGGAGCATGGCCGGCGGCGTCGCAACGCCACCCCACACAGGTCAGTCTAAGCCGCTGAAGTAAGGCGCTACCCCATCGGTCGCGGGCGCACCAGGCTATGCGGCACACGCACTGGCATAAATACTGGTAATGCTGTAATCCCAATATTAGTGGGGAGCTGCAGTAGAGGCCTGCGGCCCCCCGTGGGTCAGGACACCGGTTGTCAGACCGGAGCATGGCCGGCAGCGTCGCAACGCCACCCCACACAGGTCAGTCTAAGCCGCTGAAGTAAGGCGCTACCCCATCGGTCGAGGGCGCACCAGGCTATGCGGCACATGCTCTGTCATAAATGCTGGTAATGCTGTAATCCCAATATTAGTGGGGAGCTGCAGTAGAAGCCTGCGGCCCCCCGTGGGTCAGGACACCGGTTGTCAGACCGGAGCATGGCCGGCGGCGTCGCAACGCCACCCCACACAGGTCAGTCTAAGCCGCTGAAGTAAGGCGCTACCCCATCGGTCGCGGGCGCACCAGGCTATGCGGCACACGCACTGGCATAAATACTGGTAATGCTGTAATCCCAATATTAGTGGGGAGCTGCAGTAGAGGCCTGCGGCCCCCCGTGGGTCAGGACACCGGTTGTCAGACCGGAGCATGGCCGGCAGCGTCGCAACGCCACCCCACACAGGTCAGTCTAAGCCGCTGAAGTAAGGCGCTACCCCATCGGTCGAGGGCGCACCAGGCTATGCGGCACGCGCATTGTTACTGGAGTCGACTAGTCCCCTTGCTACATGCTCCGTACCTGTTTGGCGAGGCCCTTCTCCTTCTCCGCAACTGTCCCAGCCGCCAGCCGCTTCTGGGAACTGGAACCTGCTTTGACGCGATCCGTCTCTGCCTGCCACCGAATCGCCTCCGGCTCGCTACCGAGGCCAAGCTTTGGTTCGGAAGCGCTGGTGAGCAGCTGCTCTGCTGGAGGTGAAGGCGAAACATCCCGAACTCCGGCGCGGGCATGTAAGGCTGCCCGAAGGGACGATGCCAATTGGCCCATGAGGTTGGGACCTAAAATGTCATCGTCGTCGCTATCTGAGCTACTGGAGCGGTCGCTGCTTTCCTCACTGCCACTGTCATCATCTTCTCCACCGCTGCTCTCTGAGTCCTGGCCACCACCTGGTATGGCTTCGGCTTTCGAGACGCTTGGTCCTTCACCTACAACATAAATAATAGCTGAAGACGGCCTCAGAAAAGAGCAGATTGCTGGGCCTGACTAACCTCAACTACTGACCTCCAGCAGCAACGGGCTCAGCTGCAGGTTCTGTCTCCGGTTGCTGGTTGACCTGGGCTTCTTGTACATCTGGGAGCAGGTGCGCAGTATTCCGGTCGGCAAATGCCGGTGCAGCAGCTAGTTTATATTATAGCGAATCTGCTATAAACGTACCTTCCACGACCTGCTGGCTCTGAGCAGCCGGAGCAGCAGCTTCCTGGACTGGAGCAAGTTGCGGTTCTTCGTCCACTTGCGCCGCCGGCCGACCTCGTGCCCGGGCTCCTGTGCGGCCTCGCTTCAAAGTTGTGCTTGTACCTGCCGCTTGGGAGGTTTCCTTGTTTTCGCCGGCCTCCGCGGCACGCTGGACGCTGCGGCGAGTCGACACCATCGTCCAAAGCGATGCAAACTATGAAGACAGCAATTTACTGCGGATCAACTACCAAGAATGCATCTTGAACACTATGCTGGAGTTGTGTAAAAGCAATATAGGTTTCTACACTTGGATTGGGCCACATCAACGGACTTGCCGTACGGACGCTCTGTACACGCGTACGCGCTGCTGGATCATTAAGACCTTCCCCTTGGAAATGACCTGATCCTGTCAGGTTACCAGCTCCAAGGTAAGGCGCGGCATCCCACGGGACAAGGGGAACCGCGACCTGCGCCCATTTGCACATTACACCCCGACGTTCATGCGCGTGTCAGAGGATTCTTGTAATGTACCGCTCCTGCCCTTCCCCTGGCCAACCAACCTGGATTAATTGGGCACTGTTGCCTGTGCCCTGCTGGCATGTTGTGGTTTGACATTACAGCGTGTTCCATTCCTCATCCATGAAGTAACACTACTGGAGCCAACTGCCAAGATCAGTTGTCATGGGCCAGTATCGGCACGACATACAGTGCAGTACGTCGATACGTACGTAAGCCGCTGCCAGTATCCACGCACCACTAGCTTACAAGCACGGGTGGTGACCTCTGGTGAGGGCAGCTTGGTAAGGAGTCCAAGGGCTGGGATGTCGCCGCCTGGATCCCTCACAGAGTGACTGCTACCCTGATCTGAGCAGAGCACACAAGGTTCAACGCATAACTAATCCTTAAGCGCCTATCAAGGCAATTCACTAAGCACGGATTCCATCGCAAGCCGTTCCCACCAGGGACCTATACCCCCCAGGCCACAACACGTCGTGGAGTACGGATGTCGGCTCGTGTTCCGTACACGTGTCTCATGGCGTTGCCTGTCAGGCGCCAAAACCAAAGGAGGTGCCCAGTTCTCCACTTCACAATTAGTTTGGCCGCCAGACGGGACATACACCGCGGGTGTAAGTACCGGTAAGCATGGATGGTGCGAGTTGTCCTAACCAAATGCCTTGGTGGCCTTGTAGAGAGGTTGCCTTGTTCAGCTCATGTGCCATACGACCCGCATGCACGACTTTATTGCGCGATGACTGCTGCAGGTGGATGGATCCCATGGATGCATTTGGCAACCACACAACTGTAATCTCTCAAACTGGAATCTCACAGGTATACTGTGCAACGTCGTAAGGAGAAAACACACAGATCACCATCTTATGGCTCACACCCTTTATTCCACTTCACGCTGAAAGCAACACCCTGCACCGAAATCACAGGTCGGACCTATGCATACGAGTCCGTTGCAGATCATACGCACATCCAATGACACGGTTTACTACAAATTGCATGAAGGGGCACTCCCCATGTGCTGCAGAGGCTTCCTGCTTATGATGACATGCACACGATAGTAAAAGCAAATAAAAGGCATGGGCATTTACACTCAACTTAGTATGCGCCAAGATCAAAGGACGCCGTACAGTCCCTAACGGTCATGCGTAGAGAGGTTCGACCTCCAACCCTACGGCAGCACCTGCAGGGCTGCAGCCCCCGCCTCGCTCTGCCGCGCGCTGCTTGGAACGAGCCGCAGTTCCTCCCAGCTGGACATGGCCTCCAGGATTTCCGTAAACGACGGACGGTCCCCTGGGTTGGTTGCCCAGCACCTCTCGATCAGCTGCTCCACCCGGGGCTCCACACCAGCAGGCAGCTCCAGCCGCTTGTTGTGCCCAATCGCAAACATGACCTGTCGGAGGCCGTGGGGGCGTGGAACTGACTGCAAACCTCCGTTTCCTGGGTGCGCATACGACAAACGCAACAGTAACGGGGGTCCCTTAGTGCTCGGAGGCTCGCTATAAGGCACAACAGCCAAGCGTGCGAACCCCAACTAACCCTTACCTGCATGCTATTTAGGCCCTCCCATGGCCTCCTCCCCGTCACCAGCTCATACATGATGACCCCGAAGCTATACACCTGCGGAAGGGTTTCAAAGAACACCGTAAAGACCACTTGGCCCCTTAAAAAGCCACCGCCAAAGCCTTTTGTTACCTAGGCCGCGCGTGCTGAGCATAGAAGCAATGGTCAACAGTCGGCCATATCAATTTTCTCACACCGGCATTACTAATCCTTTCTGCTAGCACCGATTTGCGTTCTTCAGGTGCGGGTTTTAGCATGCAGGGCAACTTACGTCGCACTTCTCGTCAACTTGCTTCCTGCTTCGTTCGCAGTCCATCACCTCCGGCGCCATCCAGCCCACAGTCCTGAACGGCGGAAAGCGTTAAACGACCGAAATGCAGGGTCACTAAAAGCGGGCCATTACAAGCATGACGGTCAATTGATGGTGGTCAAGAGATACATGGGGTAAGGCAAAGGCTGCGCTCCCACAACCCATGCCGAGGGGTTGCCGACCCATGGGCCGCTGCCGTGCAACTTGATGTCCCAGGCGCCAGGCAGCCACACACATGCACTCGCACGCCTGCCTGTCAGGAGCGGTTGCCGTACACCTACCCGGGGTATGTCCCGGTGGACATGTAGCTACCCTCAAGGTACTTGGACAGCCCAAAGTCGCACACCTTGACCCGTAAGTCGTTGTCCACCAGCAGGTTTTGCGTCTTGAGGTCGCGGTGAACCACCGGCGGGCGCAGGCCGTGCAGATACTCCATGCCTGCGGAGGTGAGGTTGTACAGCAGCACGCAACGTGCAAGGGAAGAGTGAAGAGAGAGGGAAAGGGTTAGGAAGTGAAGTTCCTCCTTGAGCTTCCTTTTCTTCCTGTGCTACGGAAACCGGTACATCCCCTAACCTCGCCGACTGCATCCTACACCTCCAGCCTGCGGAGAAGCCCTCCGTGCACGGCTCACCCCTGGCGATGTCCCTGGCCATGCCCAGCCTGCGCGCCCCGTCCAGCCGCGCGCCCTCCTCACTGTGCAGCAGCCGGAACAGCGAGCCGCGCGGCACGAACTCCGTCACAATGGCCAGCTGGCCGCCCCGCGTCACGGCGCCCATGAGGAGCACTATGTTGGGGTGACGCAGGCGGCTCATGATGGTCACCTCCGCCTTGAACTGCTGTACACGCGCGGCGCCGACGTCCATGTCCCGGAAATACTTGATGGCAACGTCGGCGTCGCCCCACACGCCGCGAATGACGTCGCCAAAGCTGCGAAGAGTGAGGTGGAGGGGGAACACCGGCGGGGAGGCACGTTAGGATGCTGGAAGCATGCTGCAGGATGCAGGTCGGCTTTGGAAAGCGGAGGGCGTTTCACATGTTTGCAATCCCCACGGCGGACGGGACGTGCACCCAAGTGGTGGTTGCGTCATGCAGATCCCGCTATGACCGACCCAGGCAGCTCCCCACCTGCAGGCAGCGTAACCCCGGTAGGCAGGCTCCACCGGACACTGTGAGCCGCAGCGGCCTACTTCCCAACCCCCAGTCCTCGGCAACCCATTCCTGATACCCGATGCCCTAATCCCGCTGCCGCAGCCTGTATGCATTGTGCCCACCTGCCCCCGCCAATGCGGCTGCGGCACTTCAGCTCGTCTGGCGCGATATCCTGGTACCCGTGCTGCGCCGCATGGCCCGCCAGCCCCCACGACATCGTGCGGTTATATCTCCTGCTGCCGCTGCGGCTACTGCCGCCGCTGCCAGGTGCCGGCACCTCTTGGGCGGGCCAGCCCCTCCCCGCCAGCCAACCCGGCAATTGTTTGGTGCAGCTCGCTTGGGTTCCGCTACCGGTGCACGCCGGCGTGCTTACTGGTAGGCAGGGCGCCTCTCCTTGCATGGGTATGGTGCACCCGGACACCGACATGGAGGGCAGGTTGGGGAAAGCCCCTGCCAGATTGAAGCCTCTACAGAGCTGCAGATCCTCGAAGGGAGACATGCAGGGAGTTGGCACTGGCCGGGGTGCGATCTGTGGATACCTCTCATGCTCCACAGCCGGCAGCGGTGGGGTTACAGGTGCTGCTGGCACGGACACGCCACCGGTGCTGGCAGCTGCTGGCAATCTGCCAGCACCTTCATTTCTGTTTGTTATCATGCTGGTAACCTCCGCGACGCCCGGCGGTAGTGCCTCCGCACTGGAGTTTCCGTACCCATACATGTGAGCATGAGGAGGAGCCATGGGCAAGAACATGGGCAAGAAGGTTATGTTGCTCGCGCTGGTTGTGACCCCAGCGGCCCCTCGGGCCCCAACATGGTCGTCCAGATGTGCGCTCATGCCATGGCTGCGCGGAAGCTCAGGCATGGGCGGTATGTCTGGCTGCACTCGCCCTTCCTGCAAGTCAACGCCGGCGCCGCAACACCCTGCCGGACTGGGCTGGTGGTTGTCAGCCGTTGACGGCAGAGGCACCAGTTCGTCTTCATCAAGGCTGGCTGCTAGCTTGGCTATTGTATGCCTGTCTCTTGCGTTGCACCTGCACAGTAAACTGGGTGCTGGTGGTTCCAGGCTGGGACCACTCGCAGGTTGTTGTGGGGCTGCTGGGGCGGCCGACCCTGCGAGGCTCAGCAAGGGTCCTGCGCAGATTGTCTGGATACTGGTGCTGGGGCCGGGAGTCACGGCGCCGGCAGCTCCAGCAGTTGTGCTTGTTGCAGACGCAAGGGTTCGAGTGCGGCCAGGACAGCAGTTGGGATCATTTGACGCCCCTGCGGCCGCGGTAGCAAGAGCAGCGCCTTTGTCGATGCAACTGTTTTCGCCGTGTTTGGGATCTGCTTGAGAAGACAGATGACAGCTTTGGTCTTCTGGATTGAGAGTTGAAGTTGAGGTTGCATCCATTCCGTCGCAACGGTTCGTTGAAGCAGTTAAGGAGCCGCGCTGCGTCACCAGTACACATTTGCGTTAGTCAGGATCAGACCTAATTGGCAGAAAATAATTACAGCTCACGTTTCTCTCCCGTACAACAGATGTAGACTAGTAGAGTTTGGAGCAGTCGAGGCAGTCGGGCAATTTACAAGCTTCAACTATTTTGCTTGTCAAATAACAAGGCATAATTCTTGTCCAACTAATCAAGGGTAAAGCTTGAAGGCATCCGGCTCTGGATTGGAGGCGCGATGCGACGCACGGCTGTGCTAAAGGCAACATTAAAAGCCCTAATTTTGCAAGAACCTATTACGAAGCTGGAAGTCCCATCCTATGCTAAGAACTGACCTGCTTACAGGTAAGCCTGGTAGATAGCCCGCAGTAGCCAGCCAGCTCTTGACTAAACCTCGTCAAGCCTTAAAATTATCAAAACTATAGCGAGTAACATGATCAGGGCATTGGGTATAGATTCTAGGCAAAGAATCACCGCGAAAAAAGTAAGTCGCCGTTCGTTTTGTTAGGGAGTGAGCAAACGCGAGAGTCTAGGACCTAAATAAAACTAAAGATTTACGTATGAGCCATTTGCACCAGTAAGACCAGACTGTTGGGCCTAGTGGGGCCCAGCGGGGCCTAACGGTTCTCGTCGTACGGGTACCCTTGCCAATTTTTTTCTAGGAACTCCCTGGGGAAGGCTGTTTAGATAGGACACGCGAATATATGACTGAGATAAATCTAGCTGGCAGGTATACAGTGACGCCTTCTCTTTCACTCTAGATGCTTGCTTGTGTGCCTCAAGTGGAACCGCGCGGCGACTAAGGTCTTAGTTCACCCGGCGCACACGAGGGTTTTCTTGTTTCTGCCAATTAGCAAACAACCTACATTTGGACGCACATGTTGCTCAGGAAAGCAAGAGCGCCTGAAACTGCAAGCGGGGTACGGTCATGCGCTTATGGTCGGGGGCAGGGGCTTAGGAGGCACGAGTCTTGCCATGTTGGCATACGGCACTTCTTCCGGACTGCTGTCCCGTCAGGCAGAGGGGTGACGTCAGCGGCATGATTGGTAGTTACCCATACTTCCCCTCTCCCCTGCCTTCCTTGCCTCACCTATACCTATAAACGTACAACCAAGCCAACCTGGGAAACCTGTAGCAGGTGCAGACATAGCTTCCTGTGGCTGCGTCCCTGGGAGCTCCCCGCCAGCAAAGGCCCGGCGATACTATAGATATATGCGCCGCATCGGGAAGTTGCTGTGAACGTTCCTGAATCCATTCTGCCCTGCAGCTCCTTGCTGTGGTTTGCCTTCTAGGCAAACGCGAAATGACTTTGTAGCATGCCGTACTGTCGAGCGTGTTGCATGGCTCAACGGGCAAGGCGTTGCCCTTCCCCCCAGAATGAAACACCACGTGGCCCAAAGGACATGTGAAGGAAAGCCATGAGGTACGCCTACGGGTAAGGCATCACCGCATCCTTCGCTCCCGCCTGGGGGCTGCCGGGCTGCAGCGGCCTCCGCGCCCCCGGCCCCTCCCCCGTCGGCAATTTCCGCGGCTCAGTTTATCTAATCCCCCGCCCCCTCCCCCGTCAGCAGCCCCATGCGCGGACTGAAGAAGGGTGCGTCCATCTGCGACTCTGCAACACGTCCAGGTTGTCCACGCCGAAGGGGAGGGGCGGCCTCCTTATGTTGCGCCGATCCGCCGTTCAATTTTCACCGTGACTATCTGTAATAACACAACGGAAGGCTACGTTCTCTGGCAGTGATACGCAACGAACATCGGAACGCGTTGCCGCGTAGCGGTCGAACAGGTGGCGCCTTATACGCTATGATACGGTGCCGAGTCCTGTCTAACACTGCCGACACCTTGAACCGTTCCATTTGCGCTGCAATCTATGTGTTTGCCGACTCGCTATAATGGTAATGTAACGCATACGCTTGCGTCACGGCATTTCCCAGGGGCTATGCTGCACACCAGTGTCTTTAGGTCGCTAATCCTATAACAGGGTGCGACGTTCAGCAGAGAAGCCAAGGTGTAGTGCCACAAGGCTTGACCAGATGCGCCAAGACATGCCAATCCAGGTACCGGTATACCACCCATGGCAAAGAGGGGCCCAACAGTCAAGCAGATACATGAGAGAGTGCAGCGCAGGTTAAGTGAACCTGTCGGTGTCCCCTGATTCGCACCCAGCTATTCTGACGGCGCGGTCGCTTACGGTACTGCACCAAAGCGCGTATGCTATGTACGTACGTTAAAGAAGGGTTGTTCACGCGCATTGGCGACGGCAAACTACTTGCCTATGCGACCAAAAAGCGACCTAGAAGCAACAAAGGAAATTTGCCTCAACCGTATGCACTGCAAAGGCAAAATGTGCAAAACACCCAGAAACGTGCAAAGAGAGCATGCGCCTTCACAGCAACACGCAACACCACCACTGCTAAAGTCAAATCCGTAAGGCCATACATCCACGCGAAGAACTGTCGAGCCTAACCAAATTATACAACCAACGCGGGTTGCGAAGTACCAATTACTACCCATGTAACTCTGAAAAGCTGTGAATACGAGCGTTCATCCTACTGCCCGGCCCTAGTGGCCGCCTCCTGCTATTACAAGTCCGTGTTGAGGACCAGCCGCAGCTCGGTCCATGCGGCCATGATGGCCAGTATCTGCGTGAAGGACGGCCGCTCCCGGGGGTCATTCGCCCAGCAGCTCTCTATGAGCGACCTCACAGTCGGCTCCACGCCTGCCGGCAGCGTCAGGCGCCGGTGCTTGAACGCCACCTCCGCTACAACCTGAAGTCGCGCAGCAACAAGCAGTACGGTTGGTTGCTTGAACATCAAATGTGTGTCTTCTTATTATGCTAAGCCGCATACAGGACGGATCATACCCAGGACATGGTAAGGCGATGGCACAGCGGGAAGCCTTGTTCATGCACGAGGTGGAGTGCGCATTCTGCAGCGGTGCTCAGGTTCACTTCACACCACACCGCACACGCCTCTCCTCACCTGCCCTACGTTGAGCCCCTCCCAGGGCTTGCGCCCCGTTACCAGTTCATACATGATGACCCCAAAGCTAAACACCTGCGGAGGAGGAGAGGTACCCAATTAAAAGTTCAGCATGAGGCACACAGCTGGAGGCCTGCAGCTGTACGGTACGTGACAACTCCCGTAGGGGTGCAGGGCGAAGCCAGGTGGTGAGGTGGCGCCGCACTTACATCGCACTTCTCGTCGCACACCTCGCTGCGAAGCACCTCCGGCGCCATCCACTCAGCCGTCCTGCACGACGAGCACATCGTAAATGGAATCAAGCGGTGACAGCTCGCACCGCTGCATATAGCGGCACTTCTTCCGTGCTGGGCCCAACCCATCGTCGCACACGTAGCAGTGCAGTACCTGTAACAGTTACTTTATAACTTCTGTGACCAGCGCTGTCTCAGCAAGACAGTGACACACTGGCTCTCTCAGCCCCTGCACGGCAGCCCCCCCAGCTCCCCTTGCTTACCCTGCCTGGGTACCCGCTGTGAGGTAGGTGTTGCTCAGGGTCCGGGACAGCCCAAAGTCGCACACCTTGACGGTCCATTGCCGGTCTACCAGCAGGTTAGGTGACTTGAGGTCCCGGTGCACCACCGGCGGCCGCAAGCTGTGCAAGTACTCCATGCCTGTGGAGGGGAGGTTGTACGACAGCACATGCACGCGGATTAAGAGATGCTCAAGTCCAGAAGACCCGGGCGCGGCACTGCTCAAGGAGCGGGGCACAAGCATGCGCGACGGCGTCCCAAAACGCCGTCGTAAGGGCACCCAAGCATTGCTTGAAGGCGCGCCGCGCGGCAATTGTCATCACACGGGCCCCCTACCCGGCTTCCGGACCCTGATCCTTACAGACCATACAGGTCCTCATGCGTTCATACACCCAGCTCCCACACGCGCGCCGCTCACCCTTTGCAATGTCGCGAGCCATGTTCAGCCTGCGCCTCGCATCCAGCGTCGCATTGGGGTCGTGCAGCAGCCGGAACAGGGAGCCGCGCGGCACGAACTCCGTCACGATGGCCAGCTGCTCCCCCGTGGTGACTGCGCCCATGAAGAGCACGATGTTGGGGTGTCGCAGGCGGTTCATGATTGTCACCTCCGCTTGGAACTCCCGAATGCGCCCCTCGTCCACGTTCTGCTCGCCCAGCAGCTTGACTGCCACCTCGGTGCCGCGCCAGGTGCCGCGGTAGACGGTGCCGTAGCTGGGGGAAGGAAGAGGGAAAGGAAGAGGGAGAGAGGAGGGAATGAAGGGCGCAATACAGGGTTTCCGAGCTCGTCCGGAGCAAATAGCCGTTTTGCGTGCATGCAAGATCGGAATTTGCTTAATCGTCGGGTTCCGAGGCACCCTTTCACAGCTCGAGTCCGAGCCGCTCGACAACCAGCCACCAGGCCGCTGCACATCCACCCAAACAGCGCCAACACCACCCTAGCCACCCACCTTCCGCCGCCAATACGCCTGATGAGTGTCAAGTCCGTGGGGCTGATGTCCTGGTACTGAGCAGCCGGCTCCACCACCTGGGGCACAGGCATCGGCTGCTGCGGCTGCGGCTCCGGCGGCAACGTCACGGACACACGGCCAGCAGGCTCCCTGCCGGGTGCTGCTACAGCCGCCAGCGCTGCCTCCTCAGGCTGCTGCTGCTGCTGTTGCGGACCGCCGCTAGACGTGGCTGAGCTGCGGGTCTGCTGGCTGACAAAGGGAGACAGGTCCCGGAAGAGGTCACCGTCGCCGCCGGCAGGGGCTGCTCCCGGCGGTGGTGAGGGCGCTTTGCTGCCGTTGCCGCCCTCAACAGGCTTGGGCAGCTGCGCGGGCTGGTGATGCATGCCCGGGGCGACCCTGCCGTTGCCAGTAGGGACCGGCATCACACCAGCCACCACGTTTGCGTGCGGCCGGATGGGCGGCTGCAGTTGCGGCTGCGCTTGAGTGCTGTAGCCGGGAGCTGGCGGCACCACGGTCGCAGGCATTCCCACCAGCGGACCGGCTCCCGGTGCCTGCTGCACCAGCGGAGACAGCCCAGGACCCAGGGGCTGCGGTTGTTGCGGGGGCATCTCCGGGAATGCCGCAGCCAGGCCCTGCAGACTCGCACGTGCCGGCGTCCAGAACGCAGACTGAGGCACCCCCACAGCTGCATGCGGAGCAGCGACATGCGGCTGCTGCGGCGGTTGCGGTTGCTGCGGCAGGTTGCCTCCGGGCGCCGAGGTCCTCCCGCCGCCAGCGCCGCTGACCACCACGCTCCAGCTGACGTTGCTGCTACTGCTCGCCGCACCCACACCGCCTGCCGCTGCAGCCCCGGCACATGGCAGCTGCACGTTGGCAAAGGCGCTCTGCTGGAAGCCCGGCGGCGCCGCCCTCGCATCCCGGCTGCCGACAGTGTCTAGGACGGGTGCATGCTGTGGCGGCGGGTGCGCTGCGAAGCCGCCTGTGACGCAGCCCGACCCTAGCGCGTTCGGTAGACCCAGCGGACTGGGCCCCGGTCCGGCCGCATGCACCCCCGCATGCACCGCCGACTGGATGTCCTCCGCAACCCGACCAAAGCTGCCCCCGAATTTCACCCAGCCGTTCTGGTCAAAAGATTCCTGCCGGGTATGGTTGTTGTTGGTGCTGCTGCCTTGAAGTGCATGCGGATGCTGCGAGTGCGAGTGCGGCGGGTGCGAGGAGGGGGGTGCAGGAGCTGCGGGCGGCGCAGTGGCGGGCGTCACCGGCGGCCTGGGCACCGACCCCGCGGGCTCCAGTCCGCTCAACGCCAGGTTCTCAGCCAACGACCCCGAGTCAAAGCGTATGAGGTCGCCTGCACCCGATCCCGTGGGGGTGATCGCCCCCTGCGAATGCGACTGCGACACCCCAAGATCGTTCATTGAGTGCGCCTTATTGGGCAACATCCCGACATGGCTCTGCCGCCCACTGCTGCTGGCACCCGCTGCCGCGCCGCTAACGGAGCTGGTGTCGCGGACAGGCGGAGCAGACAGCATCTTTGCTACGCCGCCGCCGCCAGAGGACGCGGGTGCCCGGACCGACGCCGACGCAGGCGCCCCAACCGCCGGCAACGGCAGCGCGCCTTTCCCAGCTGCTGCGGGCTGGCTTGCGGTTTCCGCGGTGGGTGCTCCAATGGCGAAGCGAATGCGGCTGCCTGCAATGGCGGGACCGCTTCCGGAGCCCGAAGAAGAGGAGCCGTGCCCCCCGCCGCCGACCATGAAGCGGCTGGCGGCGTGCACATGCGGCGAGTTGCCCACCAGCGGCGGGTTTCCAAACGCCCCCAGCGGCGGGGGAACCGGCGGCGCCAGGGGAGGCGGCCGGAACTGCAGTGCGCGGGGGCTGTTGTGTGCTGGGAGCGCTGATAGGTCGGCGGGAGAGGCGATGGCGGCGCCGAGCGGACCCGAGGGGAGCGTGGCGCTAGCAGTGGGGGTGATGGTGCCAGTAATACCAGCAGCACCGCCGCCGCCTGCCACGCCGCCGGTTGACAGGGAGCTACCTGCTACTACGTGGTTGCTGCCGGAGGAGGTGCTCTCGGGCATTGCAGCGGCGCTGGGGATCGCGGCTGCGGAGGCCTCCGCGTTCCCCATGGATGTCGACCGAGGCAAGCTGTCAGTCGCTGTGGGGAGCATAAGGCACGCATGGGAGCACACGCATGCGGTGGTGAGAGGAAGGTCGGAAGGGCGCGTGCCCTGACAGTGTCATTGCTGGCAAGGTGAGAGCAGGCGTTACGTGCAAAATTGTCCCCAGGCAAGAAACACAAGCCACAGAACTGTTCTCGACAAGACGCTCCTATGGAGTTTCTGGTAGCAGCACGCGGAAGCTTCATCCCACGCCTCGGCCCCCACTCCGCCTCACCCGTGCGCCGCTGCTGCACCCGCACCGCGTACTGCTCCATCGTCATCAGCCTGCCGGGGTGTATGACCAGGTCAACCACGTACTCCACCCCCTCCACCTGCACCACCGCATCCGCAGCGCTGTCGGATCCGCACAACGTCGCGCCGCGGATGAGCTTGCACGGCAGCTTCAGCGCGTCGGCCAGCACCTTGAAAAGCAGCGCGCGGTGCCGGCCGGCGCCCGTTTCGAGTCCGCACAGCGGTAGAACCACCGAACTGTCCGGCGGGATGAGGAATAAGGAGGAGCAGGGATGAGAAAGTGATGCAAGGCGCCGGTGCGGCATGGTCAAGACGTAGGTTGCAAGTGCCGTACACCGCAGTCATCCCCAGCACCCTTTGGCAACGGTTGAAGCAGCGCCCAAAGCCTCACCGGTTGCGGCGCCTTTCATTCGCGCTGTTCGCCCGCCAGAGGACCTCCAGCGTGCGCTCACTGTCGAACACGCCGCCGAAGCGCTCGCAAACCACGCTGGCCAACACCTGCGTGGTAAAGAGGTGATGGCCGTAGGAAGTTGTAACCGACCCAGAAGAACTCGATGCTATGGAACTCTCCCTCTACTGGAATACTCCGTTAACTGGCACAGCAGTCGTTGTCCTGCCCTACAATCCCTTATTAAACCCCCGTCATGTCCGAACTCCCCAATGGGTAGGGAATGGCGGGGATGGGCCGCGTGGCAGGGTATACCTGAATACGAGCGACTGTGTCCTGTGGGCTGGCCTCCCCCATGGCCTCCGAGAGCGTCTCCTCCACGCCAAGCAGCCCGCTGTCGTCTTCGTGGTCCACGACGACGACCTAGTCATGGCCAGGTTGCCCGGTCAGTACTGGGTGGTGATTTATAGGAGGCAAAGCAGTACTCTCCACGGAGAAGAGAAGTGAGGTTCTCGTTACTGCGCTGAATGCCCCCAAACTGCTAAGCGAAAAAGCGCACCTCTCGCACATCGCCCTCGCTGGTGCGGACCTTCCGCAAGTCCGCCAACGAAGGGAACTCATCGGCGCCTTCACAAACCTCCGGATAGTCGCCATGGATGTCGTAAAAGCCATCTGTAATTACTTCGCCATATCCCAAGCTGCAAGAGAGCGCATAAGCTCAGACTTCCGTGCTGGAGAGGGACCATTTCATCTATCAACTGCATTCTGTATGATTTACCTTTCTTCCTGCCAAAATTTTCGGGACACGACTTCGCCTGTGCTGCGGGGCCTGCCCAGAGACGCGGCAGAGCTTGTGGCCCGGACCTGGCGCACTGCCTGCTCGACAACACTTTGAACCAGCGCATAATCAACCTCTTGCTCCTCCGTGCTCGGTGTGATCGGCGGGTGTGAGGGTGAAGGAATGTTCTGCATTCTTGCCGACAGCTCTGACAGGGGCACTGCTGGCAACGGAGCACCTGACGCACTGGGCTGTGGTTTGCTGTTAAGCGATGCCTCCTCTCGGGCAGTTCTGCCACAAAGTAACACTGTCACCGCTCTGCGAACAAGTTCCCTCGCCTGAGCGCTCATCAGCAGGTGTCCCCACTATAATCGTGCATTGGCTACTGCAGTTAAGGCTGTAAGGTGCATCAGGGCCCCAGACGAGCAAGGTGGAAACCGTCTGGGGCCGACGTTATACTATAGTGAAACGACGCCAATGGACTCTAGTCCTATCTAGAGGGGAAGCAGCCTTCGTATGAAACGAATTTTGTATTAGTATCAACTTGCGTATGAGCAGACCCCCCATCAATCATACAGGATCGGCTCAGAAGCTGGTACTGCCGGACAACTGCACTCTGCCGAAAGCATTTTACCACGAGGCATGTTACCTGCATAGCATTGGGGTAAATTTACATGTGTAGAACTTGTCACCAGGATTGCGTCCACAGGTGCGTGCCCGAGTGCTACCACAACAGCCCAGTGTCATCCCGAGCCAACCTTAGCATTTGTCGCGTCTGCGCTGCACACTAAAGTTCAATGAACACCACATGTTTGGGTCATCTATTGCGATGCAGAGCAAGCAGCTCAATGTCATGGCCTCATAAACGCAACTGAAAGGCCCCTGACGTTACGCTTATGCTGGCTTGCGTAGTAAGTTGCTAGCACACGCATGACACATATTGCTACAATATCAGACGCAATTATCGTGTCCTCATTGCAATTCACTCACTAGCACACGAGGCGCAACACCCGTGCGCGTACGATTGAGTTCAGGAGGAGTTTCGAAGCAGCCACATCACAAAACCAACGTCAAAGCTATGCCAGCAACACCACTACCCGCACCATTAGGCCGCAGCGGAAGCATCCGACAAAGGACACACTTCAGCCATTCGTTGCTCAAACTTGCCCCGTTTAACCAGCCTTCCAGTACAAACCTGTCGTAAATAACCCAAACAGTTAACACTAGTTCAATCAAGCTGTCATACATCGGCAGCTGACCCCCACCCCAATGTCACTAAACCATGTACACACCCGTACAGCGAACCCCACTCATAGCAGCTCATATCCTGCCGTCCCTGTCCCCCCAGCGTTGCTGCCGTCCGCGTCCTTCTGCGCCTGCATCAGCGCGGCCAGCGGGTCGTCACCGCGCCCCTTCTTGATGCGGTACGCCTCCATCTCCTCCGGTGTCACGTGCTCGCCGCCTGCGCCCTCCAGGCTGTTGAACTTGCGCTTGGCCTTGTCGCCCTCCATGGCAACGCGCTCACGCTCCTCCAGCTTGCGCATGGCGGCATCCACCTGGGAGGAATTGCGGGGTGGCGGGGTAGGGGGGAGAAGAAGTGAGGCACTGGTTGTGGGGTGAGGAAGCGGAGGGGCCGCGGGCGGTGCGACACACAACGACACAAGGCAAGCACGCGGTAGAGGGTTACGCGGCGTTCATGGGCACGGAGATCTGGACACTAAGAAGGATGGTGTGAGTCACGTGGCCATCCGTGTCATGCTAGGTCAACGCCATCCATGCGACCCGTTCCGCCTGCGCCCAAGGTCTCCCGCAACCCAGGCGCCCCCCGTCCGGCCCTTCACACCCTCCCTTCACTTGCCTTCTTGGCGTCCAGCTCTCCGTCCGGCCCGTCCGTGCCCCACACGTCTGTCTGGAACTTGTAGTCATTCAGCTTGGACTCCTGGCGCCGCTTCAGCTCCGCCGCCTCCCGCTCCCGTGCGGCCGCCTCCATGTTGGCGAGCATGGCCTCGTCCACCTGCGCTGCAGCCGCCTCGCCGGCCTGCAAGTGGCAGGGAGAGGAGGAGGGGAGGAGGGGATAGGACTTAAGAGAGGAAGTCAGGAGGTACCCATGAATGCCGACCCGCCACCGCATTGCTGCACCATGCCACCGCCCCGGCTTTCAGCCAACCCCAACCCAACCCAACCAGCCCGCTACAGCATCCACCTACCTTGCCGGTGCAGTAGCTGTTCTTGACGGTGGAGTGGCAGCACGCGTAGCCCCACACACCCTCGCGCCACCAGGAGCCCCACACGCAGGTGTGGTTGTTGACCAGCACGTCCTCCTCGTAGCGGCTCTTCGCCTTCACCTCCACGCCCTTGATCACCCGCCCCGTCCGGTCGTACTCCACATACCGCTCGCTCCCCGCCAGCACCTTGACGTCCTCCGGCAGCGGCGCGGCGGCACTGCCGTACTTCTCCATCACATCCTCCTTGGTCTTGTTCTGCAGGGCAGCATGAACAGTGCGCCAGGGCGGTATCAGAATAGCGGTAACGAAGGGGGGATAAGCGTTGTGACAGGACTAACTAGGACGTTCCGATGCGCCCTTTAACCTCCCAGCCGTGCCAGCCGTGCCAACGGCGTCTCCCGCCTGATCATGAGACACACGGGTGCTAAGCCCCATCCCTGCCCATTCAGCACCCGACTCCCTTCCACACCACCCACCTCCAGCTTCTCCTTCTTCTCCTTGAACTGCTTGTACAGCATCTCGGCGAGCGAGGGGTTGGCCTGCATGTGCACGTCCAGCCCCTTCTCGTGCGCATTGATCGAGTGCAGCTGCAGGCTCTGCCAGGCCGCGAACTCGCCGCCGTTGCGCACGAAGTTGTCGCCCTGGAAGAGCTTCTCGCTGATGGGCTTGTCGGGCTGCGGGTCCTCGCGCATAGACCTGAGGGTGGTGGTGGCGGGGGTACGTGGCGGACACCAAGGTTTGGCTTTCAAGCTTCTCGAACACCGACGTTTGGGCTGCGACCATGCGTTTAAGTCAAGCAAAGAACAGGATAGTAGCCAAGCTTAACTGCTTGCCCCAACTGTGCCACGACGGGCACCCAAGTAGCCTAGCCGATGCCCAATGGAAGGCGCTGAACACTGAACTGCTGGCTTGCTGGATGTCGTGCAACGCTGTGTGAAGTAGGAACGTGACATAAACAGTATGCCACCCACGACGCACCTGGACTTGGGGTCGTAGTAGGCGGAATTGACGTCCAGGTTCAGCAGGTACTTGGCGATGTCCTCGCGGATACGCAGGTTGCGCACCGAGCCCGTGGAGCCACCCGCGGTGGTGCGCACGCGCTTCTTCACCTCACCAAAGCCTGCATGGGGACGCATGCGGACGCAATGAAGCGCGTCGCGTTGAGTTAGGTGCACAGGGCGACGCATTGTCGTACGCCCAGTGTCTCGGCGTGCAGCATATTCTCTAGCGCCATGGACAGGAGAAGATTCACTACCCGCAAAAGGAGGACCTAGAAGGCTACAACCTATTAGAAGGCCATCGTTGGTTAGGGTGCGGCTAACTCGTCCAAGCAGCGGCCTCCCGCACTCCGCCGACAGGGAGCGATTACCCCAGCGCAGCGGCCTACCCCAGCCCACCCACCCGCTTCCTCCTCCTCCTTAATCTTCGTCTCATCCTCGTCGATGGCGCCATCAGCTGTGGCTTCCGCCTCCGCAGCCTCCTCAGCCGCCTCGCCCTTCTTGTGGATTGCGGCCAGCTGCGGACCGTCAAGGGCAGGAGGGCATGACGAGAAGACACACAACACCGTTTCTGTGGGGACTTCGTCTTCCGGCAAGCACAGCGCGTCCCGACTCGCGGCCAGTTTTCTTAACAGCGCGGGTACGGCCTCCACTACCAAGCCGCGTGGCTGTGAGCCTTTCCCAGAGCTCTAGGGCGCACGGCAGACGGCACCATGCACCCGCATAACCCTCAGCAACGCATGCCTACACGCTACACGCCAGCGCCTCGTAACCCTAACCCGACCCTTAAGCCAGTATCCAAACCTCGCTGAGCACCCACCTACCCACCCCCCACCTGTTCCTTCTTTTTAGTCTCCTTCCTGATCTCCTCCAGGTGCTCGAAGCGGTCCACGATGCGCGCGTACTCCTTTGCGTCGTAGCCGTTCCAGCGGTCGCGCTTGCTCTCAAAGCCGCCCAGCTGTATGTCCTCCACCTTCTCATCCGGCGCAATGTTCATGTTTGTCCACTTTGCACCTTTGCTGCGTGGCCGCTCTAAGCAGTCCTTTGTTTTGTGCGTCATGGCCCCACAACTGCGGAGGCGTCCGGGAGGGGGAGGCAGCGCGGGGAGAGCGGGAGGGCGCGGTCAGCGGGATGCATGCCGCAGGTGGAGTGAAACCCCAACAAAAGCCAGCCCCTACCCTTCACCCTCAGTCGCCCACCACGTATGGCCTACTTACTTTTCGCATGCCCCTTTCCGCCACTTGGTCGCTTGGAAGACCTTGACGCCACGATCGTACCACTGGTCCGCATCCTTCCCCTTGTCGTTCCAGTTACGCTGATGCTTAAGGGTGGGTTTGTCCGTGTTCAGGTACCAAGGCGCCGTGGCCATATACTGAGGGATGTGGGGGTTAATTTCCCTGCCATTCTCATCGACCTCGGCCGGCGCCAAACCGGCCTTACGGGCCTCCTCCAGCTCCTTCTGGCGACGCCATCTGCAGGGTTGTGAACAGAAGTCACATCGTCGCCCCTACCTTAGCGCGAACACCAGCTAGCGCTACGTATCAATCATATTGATTACTTACTCGTCGCCAGTTTTGAACGACATCTTAGGAGCCTGCTAAGGTTCAGTGAGATGCACAATCGCCAAGCTCCTGTGTCGCTAGAAGCGGACTAGAAATGACACACCAACTCCGTATAGCACGTAAGCAGTAGGAGTACCGGAAACAAGGTAATTTTGCGTCTTGCTATAGCTACAAGCCCAATGATGCTTCTGCCAGCGTTAATCCTCCGTGGATGTAAAGGAACTTTGCTTCTACAACTGAATCTTGTTATTTCTATCTTGGGTGTGCAAATTATGGAAGGAAAGAGGCTCACGGTAATAGAACCTATCAAGCGCCGTACGGCTGGTCCCAATTTTCTAAACATTACGTTGCGTAAGAGCTCACGCAGTCAGAAGCAGCTAGCCTTTGGACAGAAGCGGCGCGGTATTGCAGTAGCAATTGGAATACACCTGACGGTATACCGGACCCGCGGTTCAGTTGCACCAGCAGTTCCCGATGAACGGTAAACGCTTACTACCTTTGCAAGGACGCTCGCCGGTTCTTGCACCGAATATTAAAGGCATGAACGGAGGATGGCAGGGGACTCCTCGCCAGCAATATTGGGACCGGATTTCCGGTCCTGCTTACAAGGAGGGCCCCTACTACTTCCGAGCTGCTTGCTCGAGGGCCCCTACTGGTATTCCGAGCGGCTTGCTGGGCACATCTGCCAACCCCGAGATCCCCGACATACCGCATGGGATAATCCTGGCATGAAGTTTACCGTACAAACTAGGGTCGTTGTGGCTTGGGGCTACCAACGTGCCTACAGTTCGCATAAACCTGCTCCAACGACTGCTGCCATACGGGCGCTTCAGTACCTTTAGGGTGCCGGTACCGTGGACACGTCAGACGTGCGCATGGTCGACTCAGCCGGTCGCAGCACACATGTGAAGGTATTGCTGCTGTTGGGTTGCACTGCCCGAGGTGTAACACAGGCCCTGGGTGCGCCCTGTACGCTGATGCGTTGCACTCTGCCGTGCTGACACGTGCCCATGCGCTGGCCTCTAGAGGCGAATATCACTCCGTTTTAGTTCCGGCGCACATAATATGGGTCATAGCTTTCACTTTAACTTGTATCACGTGCTTCCTGTCTTGGAAGGCCTGCCATCCATCCACCGCCCACTGGATTAGTGCAGTAGACCGCACGCATATTGAGATGGAGAACACGTGATGGTTCAGAGCCATGCAACAACCTTGCCAGCCGTTAGAGCGCGGCAAGTGTGCCAAGTGTGCTGGAGACCGTGTACTTGCAGCAGCCAGTTGCAAGAAAGCACTTACCAACTCCAAGGTCTTGCCAATACTTCCAATACTTAGTTGTGTTTTCGTAGTCATATTGCATACGATAGCCCTCACAGATGCACATGGAGACACGGCTGACCAGACGCACGGCTCCATGGCGTGTAGGCAGGATGGCCCAGGCCATGCACATCCATCCCGCCGACTCGTCATAACGACAAGAAACGCCTTGCTATATGTTGCACCTCCAAGATCGCTGAGCACATCCCGAAATGCGATCCCCCATTCCGCCCATTGTTCGACTGACCCTTGCTACTACGGTACCGGTACACGCACAGATGTCGTATTGGGCAAACAGCAGCAATTTCAGCGCCTAGCAGACAGCTCGCCATTGGCAGTGCCATTTGTGGTAATATCTGGGTGCTTATGCAGTATATAAAGCACGGATGGGAAAGAGATAGCATAATGTACGGCTTTGTTGGAGGCCTCCTTGACCCTTTCTAAACTATAGGGTCACATTTACATCGCACCAGGCAAACACAGAGAACACCTTTGCATTATTGGTTAAGGGCAATCTACAAAAATGATGTTGCGCGCCTGTCCATCGGCAACCCGACCGGCTGCCTGCGGACGCTCCTCTCGTTCGCTTGTAGTAGTGCGTGCAAGCGCCGGTAGGATGCTTTTTTACCAGCTGCTTTTACAATCTTGATGAGCGCCGTGGATAACGTATCAGGCTTGGGATAAATCCCCTTCATACCCTGGCTTGCAGAGCCTACTGACAGCAAGAACTTGGAAATTATGCGCAAATTCTCAGAACAGTATGCAAAGCGGTGGGTTGTGCTTACAGGATCTAAAAGCAACCACTCTTTTGTCGACGTGTGGTCAGCTGGATGGCATAGCCTAACGCCTTGCCCTCGGCGCAGGTCCAACACATATTTCTGTGTGGACAAATCGGTCACAGCGGTGGTGATCCAGGGCCTTGCCGAGCATAAGGATACGCTGGGCGCTGCGCTCTGTCCCTGCCGGCACTACGACGATAAAGAGGCTGAGGCAACCCAGGGCTACTGGAACTGCCCTTGCGTTCCTATGCGCGAGCGCAAAGTAAGTTGCACTTGTATTTTCTGGGCTATGAGCAGGTTTGCGCGAGCATACCTCCCACGTCTTGGGCTTTGCGGGCTAGTGCCATGTCGCATTGGTGAAGCTATATTCGCTGTCTTGTAAATGCTAGATTTAAGCGCGTATGGGTGCCTCTCGTGCAGGAATGCCACTGCATGTTGTTCTTGACGGAGGACAACGACTTCGCTGGGCGAGAGCAGACAATCTCCATGGAGGAGATTAAAAACGGCATCAGCGGAATGCGCTAGAGCAGTATCCTTACAGCGGAGGCCCTGAGCGGCTTGTTGCGCCTTGGACCTACGGCCTGTTGTGAAGCGCCTGCAGCCGCTCACAAGCATCCCTGAGCTGCCGTACTTGGTCAGCTAGCTGGGAGGTGTGCATCGGCCGGGCTTGGAGTGCGTCGCTAGCAGCAATGAGCCGGGACGTCGAGTTCTCGAGTGGGGCCACAGAGGCCTGTATCAAGGGGTTGTAGGACATACAGTAATCCACACATTTTAGCGATATCCGCGCTTTTAAAACCTGTTTCATTGTTTTGCTTACCTCCAATGTGGAAAGCACGGTGTTGAGAGCACGCTGGTGCTGGTGAGTTAGAGAGACGAGTGCGGCAGCTGTGTTTTCGTTCGTCGCCATGCCTTCGGTTACTGCTGGTTATAGCTTATTGCATAGGGTCTGTTACAACTGTATTGTATGTCTCTTTGTCTCCAAAGAAGTTCACAAAAGGTATTGCATGAGATGTACGGCAGTACGACAAATGATCATGACGAATTTTTGCGCCATTCTTTAGTAATGGTGCTGTTGCCAAGTGTGATGGCTGCTACGGCCCGGTATGGGGTCTAACATCGAAATGCACAATCCACGCCGATTGCGGGATCTGTGCAGCAGTTATGTAAAGCTGTAGTACATGATACATTTCCGTGTTCTGTGTACGTGCACGCGAAGTGCAGCCTGTCTGCACGTATAGAATGTATCATAGCTGCAAAACCCTTTATGAAAGGCAGCACACATGGCATGTATACAAATTGAGTCACTGTGGGCGCCGGTGTTGTCATGCATGCGGGTCATGCATCCTGCGCAACACTATACTACATGGCAGCGCCAAAACGACATGACAGTTGCAACCACCGTGACAGCACATCAGGTATGGCATGCCTTGAGCACCCTAACAAGTTGTCGTGCATATCTTTCGACCCTCCATCGCTGCTCCTGAACTCTTTAGACCTGCTTCGCCCCGCTTTTGGCACACCCGAAAGCCCTAGTAACCAGCCAACATCTATCTGTGCGTGCCGGGAAGTTCCTTCCGCTGCACAACCCGGACACCGTGCACTACGAACCTCCCTGGGGTTGCCCACGCAACGGCCTGGAAGGCCCACCTATGCGAGACCAAAGGCGCGCTGGATGCTGTTGTTGACGGCGACCGGCTTGTCCAGTTTGGGCTTCTTGCCCGGCGGCCCTGCTGCTCCCTTGCCCTCCTCGCCGCCTGTTGCCGCTGCAGCCACCATGTTCATCACCGCCGTCATGCCCACCGAGACCAGCCGCTTGTCGCCCCGCACGCAGCGCTCTACGTCGTCCAGGCGGACTGTTCGCCGTTTGGCACCCGCCGCGGCTGCTGTAGCCTTGCTGCACATGGCTGCTAGGAAGACATCAGCTGCGAGGGACAGCGCCAGCACGGCGTCCGCAGAGCAGCGCTGGATGTCTGGGTCCACGCCCACTAGCCGACGCACCCATGCGCCAGGAATGGTGTTTGCCTTGAGGTCGTTGAGGACGTCTGGCTTCTGCTGCCCCTCGCCAGTCTCCTGGCCCTGCTGCTCATCACCATCGCCAGCCTGCTGCTGCTGTTGTTGCTGCTGCTCCTCGGCTTGAGCCTTGTACTTCGCCTTTTCTTCGTCGCTAAGCGCCTTCCAAAGCTGACCAAGCTCCTTCGCAACTAGGGTGACAGGGATTTTCTCGTGTCCTTCTGCCGCTAGCTTTTGTCTTGCTGCTTCACGATGCTCATTGCAAAATAACATGTACGCAGTCGGAGCCATCCTTAACCGGGTTGCAGCCTAATGAACCCAGTACAGCTGCTTGCGATAACTCCCTCACTATGGAAAAGAAGCTATAGCCTATATCAATATTAAATGCCGGTGATGGTTGAGGGTAATGGCCTGCGGCTTACTACTCAGGGTACTATAGACAGCGAGGGATGTGGCAGCAAGTCACCGAACGGTACCGAGCGGTGGAAATGGTTGTAATATGAAAACAAAAGTAAAATGAAGATAGGAAAAACTCAGCGTGCAGTGCTGTACGCGAATTCTGAGAAAATTCTGTCCAAACGGTTTCCCGCGCGTTTCTACGGCAATGTACGGCAGCGGATCTCTCCGTGATAGTAGGACAGGTGCGCGGTGGAAGTTACCCTAATTGGTGGAGTTCCTAAATACCTATCTCTCGCTTCCTATCTGATGGCGTTGCACCCCCTTATCCGTGAGTCACAGTCATTTTCTTCTGGCGCCTCCTCCTTGCTAAGCACGCGGTCCATGTGCGGAACATCTTGGCGAGTAACCTGGCGTGAGGCTTGGTAGCTGTGTCTCAAATGGAGGTTGCCTTGGTCACGACGTGGGTTACAGAATGTTTGCAACACCAGGGTGGTAAACCCAATCCGACCCAAACCCGCACGCGTAGCGAGAAGTGTCCGTAAGCACGAGCATTACCAGTGAAGGTATTTTTACTATTAATAATTATTCGAAGCATAAGCAGCCACAGCCGACAGGTTCATGGCTTGAAAGCGTTGCAGAAGTGGGACCAGTGGGAGCAGTAGCACACCTAAATGCTTCACCTCACAGTGATGAGCCACACAGGTAAAGCCGAAGCCCACTACCGCTTAACCCTCTTCCGCATACGTTCCGTCCTCAAAACCTGCGGCACATTCATCCGACAAAACAGTCACCACGAGTTATTCCCGACCACCGAACAACCGAACACCGAACACAGACCACATCCGAATGAAGCTGGTGCCCCCATTCCCCGCTGCTTTCATGCACGCACGCGAATGCGCCCGCCCCTTTAGGCGAGGCCGCGCTCCTTCATCACGCGCATCATGGTCACACCCATCTGGGCAGGGGACTTGGTCACGGTCACGCCCGCGGACTCCAGGGCCGCGATCTTGTCCGTGGCCGTGCCCTTGCCGCCCGAGATGATGGCACCGGCGTGGCCCATGCGGCGGCCGGGGGGAGCCGTCAGACCTGCGGAAAAGAGGGGGGTCGGATGGATGCATGGGGCACTTAAGGACGAGGACTGGCGACAACCGATAGCTGAATAAACGACCACTACAAGGGTTTTCCCTAAAAGGGAACGCGGGTGTTGATGGCTTCCTGTTAAAAGGAAACAGCCGTAGTAGGGCAGGCGGGAGCGTGACTTGGGTACATGCACGGCGCAAATGACAATGACAATGGTTCATTGTGGGGTTCGTGTCCCTCACGCGCCCGCATGCATGCGCCCATGGACCCCTCCGTTCAGACCCCAACCAGCAGGGGCATCCGCTACGCACCGGCAATGAAGGACACGACGGGCTTCTGGGTGCCCGAGGCCTTGATGAACTCGGCGGCCTCCTCCTCAGCGGTGCCACCGATCTCACCGATCATGATGATACCCTCGGTCTGCAGCACACGGCACAGGGAAAGCAGGGCCGGAAAAGCAAGGCATCAGCTGCGTCCGCGCAATCCAAGGCGGGGATAACCCCAACAACCCCTTCCAGCAGCTCCTCTCGTAGCCCCCTTCCCCCCGCACCTGGGGGTCCTTCACGAAGCGCTCCAGGCAGTCCACGAAGTTGGTGCCGTTGAAGGGGTCGCCGCCAATGCCCACCACGGTGGACTGGCCCAGGCCCTGGCTGGAGGTCTGGAACACGGCCTGCAGAGGTGAGCAGCAGCAGCAGCAGCGGGGACACAGGAAGGGATGTACGCTTCAGACTCGACTCCCAACAGGAGGCAAGCAGGAGGACAGACAGGAGATTGCAATCGTGTAGCATGCATGCGCAACCAAGTGGCAAGCAGGCGGCACTTGCAAAGAGCTCCTCAGGCAAGGACGGAAGTTGTTAGTAACTTGTAATACTGCACACGTACCTCGTAGGTGAGGGTGCCGGAGCGGCTGACAATGCCGATCTTGCCGGGCTTGTGGATGTAGCCCTGTAGGGGAGGGAAGAGGCAGGCCAGGGGTACGTCAGCCATGGCCATGTGACCAAGGGGTACAGACACAGCGCAGGGGCACAATTAAAGCGAGGTACCCAATCAGATCTATTGTACGTATTGGCAGTTACAAGCTCGAGGTAGCTCGCAACTTACGGGCATGATGCCGATCTTGCACTCGCCGGGCTTGATGATGCCGGGGCAGTTGGGGCCTATGAGGCGGGTCTTGGTCTGCTCCTGCATGGCCTTCTTCACCTTGACCTGTAGGGGGGGGAGTCCAGCACATGAGGATAAGTCGAAGCCGCGAACCCCATCATCCCCGACACACGTCCACGTCCAACCCTCCCACAGCACCTGACACTCAGCACCGCCTGCTACCCTCCTCCGCAACGAGTCAATCCCCAACTCCCTCACACAAGCGAGTGGCCCCTCTCCCGAACGCCTCTCCTAATCCGTTACTCCCCGCCCCCATTCTGCCGCCCCTTACCATGTCGTGCTGGGGGATGCCCTCCGTGATGCACACCACCAGCTCCAGCTCGGCCTCCACAGCCTCCAGGATGGCCTTGGCGGCGAAGGGGGGCGGCACGTAGATGACGGTGGCGTGGCAGCCGGTGGCCTCCTTGGCCTCCCGCACCGAGTTGAAGACGGGCATGCCCAGGTGGGTGGAGCCGCCCTTCTTGGGCACGACACCGCCGACCATCTGGGTGCCGTAGGCGATGGCCTGGGCAGGGAGTGGTGGGGAAAGAAGGGTACGCATGTGGTGGTGCGGTGGGAGGAAGCGCGATGAGTGGTAACGGGGGTGAGGGGAAAGGCGTAGGACATGGGAGGGACAGGGCTTCAGGAGTGGTAAGGAGGATAAGTTGGTATGGGTTGTGCCATCGTTTGGGTCTTGTAAATTGACAGGTAAAAAGGTGGTGGAGGGTTAGGCAGGTGTCGGAGGGCGACCCCGGCAGAGGAGCAAAGACCGTGCACCCGGAGGGACAGCTAGGTGATATGCGGGTTCTTATTATGCTTAATTTTTTGTTACATTTGTATAGCTACTTAAGAACCTCTGAACAAGGAGAGGCCTTCGAAGTTGCGCCATGCTACCAACCTGCTCGGTGTGGAAAGTGCCGGTCTTGCCGGTCAGACCCTGGCAAATAACCTTAGTGGTTTTGTCCACGAACACGGCCGGGTTGTGGGCCTGCGTCCATGGCATCCGAGAACCTCGTGAGTGTCGGGAAAGGCGCGGCACCGGAAGGCGCGATGGCGGCAACAAAGCTTAGGTCCTTACCGCCGAGGCGAAGCCACGGACCATGCCCACGGCAGCCTGAGCATCGGACTTGGCGGCACTGCAGTATGGGAACCGAACGCAAGCGTTAACGCAGTAAGCCGAAGAGGCGCGCCGACAGTAAAGCATTGCATGGACACGACTTGCAGATAACCTTGCCGAAAGAACGCGTGATGATCGGTCCACTTACCCAGCCGCAGCAAGGACGAACCGCCACATGGTGAGTGTCTGGCCTCTGGCTGACTGAATGTGTCGGAGATGACCGGAGTTCCGCGAAAATGCAGAACTTCACCGATATCTAGTGTCCGGCAGCAACACGTGCACCGTGTGGAATAGCCCGGTAAAGTACCGTAGCTCGGAGAAACAGGGCAAGCAGATGTTCGGTGTACCGTTACTTCTGCTTACACAGAGGCTGCTAGTATACCAGCACCTCTTCGCCTATTCCGATTGCCCTGTTAACTCAGAGAAAATGTCCGTCTTCTGCTAGAAAAAGCGTAATTTGCTGCTGTACATCATGTGGTTGTTGGACATGGAATCCAGCGCAACACCAATACGGCTCACAATGGCCTCTTATGAAAAGTCGATTTTCCACATTTAACCATTTGGCAGCTCGGACTAATATGCGCTTGTTCCACGCCTCACATATTTCTAGTATCACTAGCTTTGGGGCCCGTTCACAGCGCAGCACACTTGCCGCTGTCCTTCGTAGCGCATCCTTGCCCTCCACCTTTTTGAAAAGCTCTGTTCGCTGCCTGGCAACTACGACGACTATGGAGGCCGATTCTGTGACATCCAGCGCCGGCGTGGCTGCTGAAGTCGAGTCGCTCCGCGCGCAGATTGCTAAGCTAGAGGTAAACTTCTTATCGGGTTGAAGATCTGACAGCATTACTCCCTGCCTGTGTTTTACACGACATGCCCAGCGGCTGCCCGATCATCGCTGACCCGCTGCTTGCACCTACACAGACTACCCTGAAGCTGAAGGAGAAGGAGCTGGACACGGTGTACCCCTACTCTCGCAGCTATAACAAGACATCTGTCGGCACCATCCTTGGGTCGGAGGACGGTGGTCGCAAGCTGGTGCGTGCGGCGTGGCCCTGGCGGGGGACCCCACTCCAGCCTTTGTGCAACCCGTTAACCCCAACACTCCTACGTTTCGTGTCACCTGCAGATTGGGCAAACACTGCGCGTTGGTGGCTGGGTTAAGACCGGCCGTGAGGCCGGCGCTGGCGCCTTTTGCTTCCTTGAGGTCAACGATGGCTCCCTATTCGAGAGCCTCCAGGTGTGGCAAGGTCCCCAATCGCAATCTTAGTGCGGGTGTTATCCGTCCTGTGCGTATGCGTCCTGTGCATATGCGAGACTCTTTGGTAGGCTGGGATTTTGTCAAGCAAGCCCGCAAAGGCTGAGCCTGGCCCCCCAGGCGCTTCTTTCCTAAACTCCTGCTGATGCGTGTGGCATCCTCCCCTGCGCAATGTGTCAGGTGATGGTGCCCAAGGAGGTTGCTGAGGAGTTCGGCGGGCTGAAGACGCTGGTGCCCACGGGGACCAGCGTGCTGATTGAGGGTCGCCTGGAGGCCACGCCGGAGGGCACCAAGCAGGTGGGGGGGGGGCATGCAGCTGGGGTGGTAAAGAGGAAACAACTGACAGCTGGGGTGGGGTGCGGTGGCGAACGATATGCGTAGAGGGGCGTCGCATGGGCGGGATGGGTGGCCGGTGGGAGAGATTGCCAACAGACGCTAGTCATGTTAAGCCAGAGGCACGGATCGGGGTTGTGGATAACCGGCGTAAGACGCCGTTGCAGGATGGCACCTTACGTATGTTCCGCTGTTCCCATCTGGTTTCGTGATTTGGGTCAGGGTTAGACCGCACGCCCAACCTGTGACAAGTTAAGACGTGGAAAGGCAGAAGGGGCCACGAACAAAGATGGCTTCTTTGGCACCCCGGTTGCGGTTGCTGGGGCGCCACCGCGGCTCAGCCACAGCCCACGTACGCTACGCGCGCAGCCATACGCATGCTTGTGTGTTTAAATGACGCTACCAGCGGGGAGTTCGGGGCGCTCGGGACTAAAATCTAACGACAACCCAAATTATGTCGGGCTAAGGGACGCTGCAGCCAGCAGCATTGGTGGGATGGGATGGCACAAAGGCAGTCTGGCTCAAAACACGTTTTCGCACATCGGGAAAGCTGTTGCACGGAGACGATCCGGGTCGGCCTGTTGCGGCCCGGAGCGCATGTTGGGTTGCTGACAGCGGGCGACGGCCAAGGGAGGCCTTGGTGGCGGCAAACCAGCAGCCTGGCCGGCGCAGCACTGCAGCCTGGCCCCCGGTGTGTCCGGGCAGCAGCAGCAGCATATCACACACGCGATGACGCGACTTACCTGCACTACATCCTCCACTGCTCCACCCGCTGCCCCAACTCCCTTAACTTCCTCTCTCCCCCTCTGGCTAATTCCCTCCCCTACTCATCCCCTGCGCCTACTGCACCTATCCACCCCGCCCCACCCAGGCCGTGGAGCTGAAGGCCACCAAGATCCACCACGTGGGCCCCTGCGACGCCGCCACCTACCCCATCGCCAAGAAGAAGACCTCCTACGAGTTCCTGCGCGAGAAGATGCACCTGCGCCCGCGCTCCAACACCATCGCCGCCGTGGCGCGCATCCGCAACGCGCTGGCCTTCGCCACGCACAAGTTCTTCCAGGAGAACGGCTTCCTGTACGTGCACACGCCCATCATCACCGCCAGCGACTGCGAGGGCGCGGGGGAGATGTTCCAGGTGGGTGGAGGGAGGAATACCCAACCCGTGTTGAACGAGGCTGGCAAACACGCCGACGAGCTGGGTGGGTGGAGGGTGGGCTGCGGAGGGGAGGGCAGGGAGGCGCGGGACTCGTAGGGCGGGGGATAAAGAGGAGTCAACTAACCAACTGAGGGAGAAGGCGTCAACAGGGCGGGGGAGGGCTGGGAGGGAGTGATGTGACTCGAATTCCTGTGGGGGGATGAGGACCGCACCGAGGGGTCTAAGAGGAGCAGTACAAGGTGTGGTTGTGCCGTGGCCAGGACGCACGTGCACCAAGTCGTTCACATTTGTGTTGGTGTTTAACGTCCGTCTGGCACCCGCGCCTAACCAACCCCTGCCTTGTGTGCCGCCGCCGCCGCCGCCGCTGCTGCTGCCGCCGCAGGTCACCACGCTGCTGGGCAAGATGAAGGAGTACGCGGGTGCACCGGCCGTCAGCGCGGAGCAGGTGGAGGCGCTGAAGGCCCAGGTGGCGGCGCAGGGGGAGGCGGTCAAGGCGGCCAAGCAGGTGTGAGAGGGCCGCGGGTGCTGCCCGGGAGCTTGCCTACATCTACGGCCCAGCCAGTGGTTGGGGTTCTCTCACACGATGAAGCCCATACCGCCCACCTGCTGCCCTCCTTCCCCCTCGTCCCCCCTTCCCCCCTGCAGGCCGCCGCCGCCAACAAGGAGGACAAGGAGCTGGGCGCCGCGTCCAAGGCGGCGGTCAACGAGCTGCTCAAGCTGAAGGAGGAGCTCACGAAGGCGGAGGACGGGTGAGCAGCGGGGGGGGGGGGCGGAGGCGGGGAGGCACTGGGCGCGTTTGCGGTGGTCTCACTTGCATGCTGGCATGTGCGTTGTGAGAAACAGCAGCAGGAACATGCTGTCCTGTCCTGCCTTTACCCCACGACATCCCTAACGCCCGGTGTCCATAACCTCCCTCCCTCCCTCCTCACCGCCCCCGCAGCGCCCGCATCGTGGGCGGCATCAAGCGGCTGCCCGACGGCACCCCCGACTACAAGGAGGACTTCTTCTCCAAGCCCTCCTTCCTCACCGTGTCCGGCCAGCTGCAGGTGCGGGCGGGGCGGGGGGCGGGGCCGGGATGGGACTGGCCCGGAGCAGTGCAGTGCACACGCGGTGGCACAGGCCATCCTTGAAGCTTCAAGACCTGGCCTGGTTGCTCTGTATAGCTCACATGACTCTCCTCACCCTCCCGCCTCCCCAACTTCACCGCATGGGTCTTCTTCCTTTCCCTCGCCTCACTTCACCTCCCCTCCCCTCCCCAGGGTGAGTTCTACGCCTGCGCCCTGTCCAACATCTACACCTTCGGCCCCACCTTCCGCGCCGAGCACTCCTTCACCGCCCGCCACCTGGCGGAGTTCTGGATGATTGAGCCGGAGATGGCGTTCTGTGACCTCAAGGACGACATGCAGTGCGCCGAGGACTACGTGCGCTTCTGCTGCAAGTGGGTGGGGGCGGGGTGGGGGGCGGCCCGCGGGGTGGGGGGTGGTCCGGCCCAGCTAAACCAACCAGCCTGTTCCGGTGTCAGGTCGTGGAGGCCAGGGCATGGGGATTGTGGAGCCTACGAGGGCCACAACAACTGTTTGAGGGGAGGGGAGGGGTGATGGCAGCGGCAGGAAGGATGCAGAACAGGAGCTGGAATGGCGTGCGCGAACGGCCCAATGATGAGAACATTTAAACGAAATCACCTTGGAGAACAGAACCCGGTTGTGCGACTCGACACGCCGGCCGGATGCTGAGACACAGGCTGCCGAGGGCCCTTGACGTCCATTTATGTGTGTTCAACTTTGTCGAAGCCAGTGCATGCTGTCCAATCGGTTTTGTGCGAGGTCCAGTAGACACTGCGACTGCTCAATACCATTCGTGTTACTTGCAACCCTTGGTCATTCAGCCTAGTCCAGCCAACAACCCTATCCCTTAAGCTCTGCAACGCGGAGGCCGCCATTTTTTCGTTTCCTCATTCCTTCCGGATATCCATTCAACCTTATCCCGGTTACACTCGTCCAACCATTCTTCACCATCCATCCCTCCCCGCCTGTTCCCCACCCTAGGCACCTGCTGCAGCACTGCCGCCCCGACCTGGAGTTCATCAACAAGATGGTGGACTCCACCGCACTGGCCCGCCTGGAGCAGGTGGCCTCCACGCCCTTCAAGCGCGTGTCGTACACGGAGGCCATCGAGCTGCTGCAGGACGTGGTGGCGCGCGGCGTCAAGCAGTTCGAGTACAAGGTGAGGGGTGGGGGTTGTGGATCTGCGGCTAAGGACGTCGGGATATGGGGTTGGCATTCCAATGCTCGCTTCACTTCTTGATAAAATAATCTTCTTCTGCCCTTCGCGGCTCTGTTGAGTTGCCCCCATCTCTCACCCTTACCACCCCTTCCTTCCCCTCCTCCCTCCGCAGGTGGAGTGGGGCATCGACCTGCAGACGGAGCACGAGCGCTACCTGACGGAGGAGATCTTCAAGCAGCCCGTCATCGTGTACAACTACCCCAAGGACATCAAGGCCTTCTACATGCGACTCAACGAGGACGGCAAGACGGTGGCGGCGATGGACGTGCTGGTGCCCAAGGTGCTGGGCGGGGATGTGGTGGTGGTGGTGGAGGGTGGCGCGGAGGGGAGGGGCTGATGGGCGGGCAGGCGGGTAGAGACCCCGCATGCATGTGTACTAGAGGGCAAGGAGCAGTCCGAATTGTGTTCTTCGGGGCGTTTAGCAGCCATGCTGCACCGCTGCTCTCACACCGGCTAGCTAGTTACCGGTGTATACCTAACACACATCATGTTTTGCCTGTACTCGCGGTTCACATGCGAACCTCTCCCAATTGCTTGCTCTTGTCCTACTCAACTACACATCCCATTTTGCACTCCCATGCGCTCACCCCCGACGCACCCCTGCTTCCCCCCCTCCCCGCCCACACCCCTCCCCCTGCAGGTGGGTGAGCTGATCGGCGGGTCTCAGCGCGAGGACCGACTGGACGTATTGGAGACGCGGCTGGCGGCCAGCGGCATGGACCTGGCGGCATACGAGGGCTACCTGGACCTGCGCCGCTACGGCACCGTGCCGCACTCGGGCTTCGGACTGGGCTTCGAGCGGCTCATCCTGTTCGCCACGGGGCTGGAGAACATCCGCGAGGTCATTCCCTTCCCGCGCTGGCCAGGCAACGCAGCGTACTAAGCGCGGCGTTGTGGAGGCGGTGGCGTGTGGGCTGCGGAGTCACGGGGCAGCGCTTGGATGATCATGGTTGGCGGGGTGTGGGATCGGAGGTTGGGCTCTGTTGTGGGGGACTTCTGCCGAAAAGGGGTCGGGAGGGAAAGGGTGGATGTCGTGCAGGACCGTCTGTGCGGGGAGGGCTAGCGGAAGTGGTTGGGATTTGGGTCGGCTTGAAGGAGGAGGTGGAGGAGGCCGCGGCTGGGATGATGATGGGTATGCGGCACTCGACAGGCGTGCGCGTGACGCAGCAGGCAGTCTTGGCAGGTGTGATTGCGCGTTTGTACGCGTTATGCGCGTCTACAGGCGTGAGAGAGAGACAGAGAGGGGCATGACTGGTGCGAGTTGAGCGATGTGTGAGCTGCGGTGTGGCCAACTGAGTTCGCATGGTCACACCATGAGAGTGTGAGCACTGACGAGAGGATAAATTTGAAGATGAGCCCGACGCCTTAGGGCGGAGTGGCTGTAGCACCCTACATTGGGGAACGCAAGCGCCACTGATACCGGAACAGACATCGTTAGCGGTCGGGGCGCTGCGGCTTTCGGCACCATGACTTGACTCTTGGGATTCGCAGTGAAGTGGGTGCCCCGTTGTGTTAGCCTTGTTACTGGTGGCAGGGGCGGCACTGTCGGGTACAGTGACAGGTGCGCGACAGCACCCGGGGTGGACAGCCTGATTTTCTTCCCCTCAAGTGCTGTATGTCCCTTGACATTGGTTGTGCATCTGACTGAGAAGTGCCGGCTTGGACATTTGCGGCTGGGTTTTGTAGAAACTCCAGCAAAGCCTGTTACCGATACGTGAAGGCTGGGCTCGGCGCTCTTGATGACATCTTGTTTGCCCACCACGCACGACTTCTGCAACCTTACAGCAGCGGCATCTCTTACGGCAGCAGGGGCAGGGCTCCATCGCACGGGAAAACGCAGAGCCAGGCATTGCACAACCTATCCGTCACAACCTGTTCGAGATTGCCCTCCCTCAAGCCGCTACGCCCTACTGCCACTACTTAGACATCATCACAGCCATGGACCAAGGAATCGTCTAAAGCCTAAGCAACCTGCAGCCTCATCCCCCTCATCCATGTACGGCACCCCTCATACAACGCCCACCCCGCCGCCCCCTCATACAACACCCCCCCCTAATCTATAGACGACCGAATGGAGCCCAGTATGAGGTATCTCCCCGGCAGCGGCCCCGGTGCCGGCGAGGTGAGTGTGATGGTGCCCCGCGCCGTGTCCACATCCTTAACCAGCACGAAGCCCGCCACGTTGGAGTTGAGGATCTGGTCGGGGGTGGCCGCGTGCGACACCGCCAGCAGGCACTGCAGCAGCTCCAGGTTGGGCGGCAGGTTCTGCAGCCGCAGCGGGTCGGCCAGCGAGACGGCGCCCAGGGGCAGCGCGGTGTTGGGGGCGCGGGGGCCGCTGCCTGCGGTGGGGAGGCGGAGGGGGGGAGGAGGAGGAGGGATGGGGGCACAGCACTGGGTTGCGGTCCCGTGCCTCGGGCAGCGGGAAAAGGGGGGAGTGATGGAAACATGGCCAAGGAACGTGCAAAGGCTGCCGTACAGTGGAGACAGGGGTGTATGGTGACAGTATCGCGGGTGCAGGAGCGCAAAGCGGCGCCACGACTGAGGCCTCCACATTGGACAGCATTCCGCGCACGCAGGTTTCCTGCACCCTTACAAATCCCTCTTCCCCAGCCATCACCCCCCTTCCCTGCACTCCCCTGCCGCACCTATCCGGTACACAGCCAGGTCCGCCGCCCTCACGGTCTGTGTGGCGGGCTGCAGCGGGCAGGCGGGGCTGCCGTAAAAGTACTCGCGCACTCGATGCTCGCGAGCGGAGCGGCGCTCGTCGCCCTCGCGCTTCACCGCGCCGCCGGACTTGGGCAGTTTGAGGATGGTGGTGCGCGGACAGGTGGCCTGGGGCGGGTTGGTGTGGAGGCGCATGCGAAAGGGTTGGCGCCCTATACACAAACGTGTTTTCCCACTAACTCCAGGGGGGGGCTAATATTGTAATATGGCCCGGAGGCTGCCCAAGGGTGTCCGTCCCTCCACCTTGAGGTCTTGTTGCAGGGTGGCGTGCAGGCGGTCCTGCTCCATAACCAACACCACGTCGCACTGCGGGGCAGCGGGGGAAGGGCACATCGGGGGAATAAATAGAGCTCATTACATGGGGGGCGCATGGGCCCAGCACTGCCAGCACTGTCGGGGGCCGGGGCGGGGGCATGCATAGGAGCGAGCTCTTCCTTATGTTACGTGCTCTTCCTGACCACCACTTGCCTCCATCACAACCCAAACTCCCACCCACACAACCCCTGTTCATTGCAGCAACCATATCATCACCACCCCCACCGCCCCACCCAACCCCCAACCCCCAACCCCCTCGTCATTCAGTTTGTCAGTGTTTCTTTATTTTTACCCAACCCCCAACCCCCCACCTGGAATGCCTGTATCACGTGCTTCTGCAGCTCGTACCCAAGCCCGTCCACCCAGCCGAATGTGTTGATGAGCAGTCCCGACGCACCGGCCCGCGGGTCAGCCTGCGCCCGCCGCTGCAGCAGCGCAGCCAGCTTGTCCGTCAGGGCCTGGGGAGGTTTAGGGGGCGAGGGGAGGGGGCGGCGGTGGTGGTGGGTGGTGGTGGTGGTGGGGTGCTCAGGGCTGCATGTCCTGAGCAGGGAGGAAGCACCGCTTGGGATGCTGGGGTACACAGGCTGCCAGTGCTTACCATGCAACTCGACTGTTCGCGCAAGGCAAGTCCGTTCACAGGGGATTTACAGGGGGGGCCTGCACTTCACAGCCGTGTCGAGTAACCCCATTAGCCAGCCCCTCCCCCACAAGCCTTGTCATGCAGCTCGTTAGTTGCCTCGTCAGCTTCCTTACCTCTATCCCCCCCCTCCCCCCACTCCGGCCCCCCTCCCACCTACCTTGAACAGCGCTGGGTTCTCCCCCGGTGAGGTGTGTCCGTAGTAGAAGGCCAGCGGCAGGTCGGCCAGGAAGCCCGCCTCCACGTCCACCGGCTGCTCCAGAGGCACCGCGGACAGGCAGCCGGGGGCGGTGATGGTGCCCTGGCCTGGGGGGAAGGGGGGGGGGAGTAAATTATATTATAAATGCAAACAACTAGAGTCCCAATCCCATAGCCCGACTCATGCAGGGAGGGGGGGAGGTGTGGGGGGGAGGTGGTGGGGAGCATAGGGAGAACCATGCGTGCGGGGTGGGGACGGAGTGGCGAGAGGGGAGGACGCGGCGTGGGAGGTTTTGGAGAGGGGGCACAGGTCGGGGTGGTGGAAACGCAGCCACAATCCAGCCGTCACAAGGACCGCGATCTCGGACCCCATCGGATCCACTGCCCGACCACCTACCGCGCACTCACACCGCCCCGACCTTACCAATCCAATGTACAATACGACCCCTCCCTGCCCTGCCCCTCCCTGCCCCTCCCCGCACCCACCCACGTCCAGGTCCACGAACGCCGGCTGCCAGCCGCTGCGCACCGCCCAGTTGCCCAACATGCGACACAGCGTGCTCTTGCCGCTGTCGGTGGGACCCACAACCGCCACCACGGGGCCGCGGCAGGCGGGTGACCCGTGGGTCGCTCGCTGCGCCTCCTGGCGGCGCTGGTTGAGCACCTGGTGCACGTTGAGGTAGGCGGGCATGGGGGTCTCCTCCGCCACGTACCTGGGGGGAGGGAGGGAGGCGGGGGGGGGGGCGCAAAGACCATACCCAAGGCGGGGAAATAAGGAATACCCAATGAACACGGAACACGGGGCATGTGTTAAAATAGCTGTGTGTTCAGAAAACAGGCCGCGAGTGTGCATAGGAGAGAGAGATGGGAAGCAGGAGGCATGGGGAGGAGAGGGGGGCTTGGCGAGACTAGGCAGCAGGATAGGATAAAGAATTGTGGCCAACACGACACGGTTACCGCGTGGGAAAAGAAGGAAGAGGGCATCACCGGAAGCAGGACGGGAGGCAGGCTGCGGGGGAACCGCGTGTGTCTGCTGGAGCAACGACAGTGGTGCGGGGTGCCGCGCGTCGTCATCATCCGAGGCGCGGAGACAGGGCTCTCCAGGGACCCTCCACTCCCCGGATGCCACATGCCCCTCACTCCCCACCACCCAGCCGCGCTCCCTCTTTGCGCCCCCCCCCCCCTCCCGCGCCCTCGCCCGCTCCCCCCCCCCGCCTCACATGACCGCCGGCTCCCCGCGCACCACCACCCGACACCCCTCCCAAGTGAACACCTGGGGGGGGGGGGAGAAAGCGGGGATTAGGGGCAAGCTGGAATGACACCAACCCATGGTTGGGTGGGGCGACAGGGTGGGTCAGCGGCTCGGGGTCAGGCTCGGACCCGTATGTGCAGCTGCTCGCAGCCGCTCCCAGCTACCCAGCTACCCAGCATCAGTCCAAGCCCGCCCACCCGCCACTCCGCCCCAGCCAGACAGCACTACAACGGGCACACACCCGCCCCCATGCGGGGCCCTTCCCCTCACCGCTACTTTCTGGCCTGTCAGCGACACCGCCCGGCCGCGCTGCAGCTCCGAGCCAAACACCTCCGCACTGCCCTCCTCCAGCTGGGCAGCATAGCAGGGGGTGATGGGGGAGAGGAGGAGGAGGGGGGGGGGGATGATAAGTGCAGCAGGGGGGGAGAGACGGTGGTGGGGCGAGGGCGAAGACAAAGCAAGGAACACGGGGGTTAGGGCTTAGGAGGGTTTAGGGTTGGTAGGGGTGACGTGTACGGGTTGGATGGGGGGAAGGGCTCTGGAGGCAAAAGCAAGGTAAATCAGGTGAAAGAGCAGGGTGCGTGGCAGGAGCTGGCGGGAGGGGGCGCAGGAGTTGAATACCATGCTGGGAATGAGCAATGCGGACGGGTTCGGCGCGCTGTTGGGGTATGCGGCGCATGCATGGCTCGTGTTGGTATCCCTGCCGAAAAGCAGCACAGCTATCACCCCCCCAAGCCTTACCCGCAGTGTTACGGGTCTCCCATCGGGGCACTCCAACCGCAACTCCTGATTCTGCGCGTGTACGTGAAGGACCGAGGTTGCCGCCAAAACTCAATTGCGCGGCTAAGCGGGTTGTAAGTACAGCATTTACCGCCTGGATTGTAAAAGATTTTTCTGATGATCCCGGTTCCTTTGCCATGTCTGCGACCTAACTAAAAATGGTAAATGTCAAGCCACGCAAAAAGCAATCAGCGGATCAAGGAAGACATGATAAACTGCGTAGATCAAGATGTAGGTTGTGGCTTGCTGTGTCAGAGTGGCGCCTGGACTCTTCGTGCAGAGTAAGGCCCGGCTGGACGAGCAAGTTCCATTACCGTTACAAGACCCTTCCAAGTACATCAAAAGGGTTAAGCCTGCGAATAAAGTCACTTGTGTTGTTACGACACCTTGCGAAAGTCTCCGACAACATCTGTCGTTACCGACACCCAACTTCGACAGGATGCTTCTCGCTCAGCGTCAGCTCGGTACGCAGTGCTGGGCTTCCTGCGCATTTAGTCAAAGTGGCTTCTCAATGCAACAAAGTAGGGATAGTAATGATGTCGGTGTTATGCAGGTGCCGCCCGCGTGAATGGCCGTTCGGCAGCGCCGATGGTCGCGCGCCCCGCGCGTCGCAACCTGCGCTGCGAGGCCCGCAAGGTGGCACTTCTGGGTGCTGCTGGTGGCATCGGCCAGCCCCTGGCCCTGCTGCTGAAGATGAACAAGTTCGTGACGGAGCTTGCCCTCTACGATATCGCTAACGTTGTTGGAGTTGCCGCTGATCTGAGCCACTGCAACACGCCCGTGAAGGTGCGAGTTTCGTGTGGGTATTGGTATTCAGTCTGGGCTCTTTCTTGGGTAAAGTTGGGTTGACGATTGTAACGCATCGGATCCTTTCCTTAGTGACACGACACCATTGCTGTGCGAGCTTACCCCATCCACCCAATTGTACTTCCAGGTGTCCGCCTTCACCGGCGCTGAGGAGCTGGCTGCTTGCCTGAAGGGCGCCGATCTCGTCGTCATTCCGGCCGGCATGCCCCGCAAGCCTGGCATGACCCGCGATGACCTGTTCAACATCAACGCTGGTATCGTCCAGAACCTGGTTGAGGCTGCTGGCAAGAACTGCCCCCAGGTACTTTCGTCGATTGACACACCGAGACGTTCAACTGATGGCCCGTTCGCGAACAATATGGTCCCTACCACTCTTTAGACGTTCAAAGGCTAACAACATGCTTATTATAACGCATCCTTTCAGGCTGTGCTGGCCCTCATCACCAACCCCGTCAACTCGACGGTGCCCATCGCCGCCGAGACGCTGAAGAAGCTGGGCGTCTACGACCCCAAGAGGGTCATCGGTGTTACCTCGCTGGACGTTGTCCGCGCCAACACCTTCGTTGCTGAGGCCCGCGGCCTGGACCTGAAGGATGTGGATGTCCCCGTCATCGGTGGCCACGCCGGTGCTACCATCCTGCCCCTGCTGTCTCAGGTGATCCCTCCACGTGATTGGCATCTGCACATAACTGAACAAAAAAGCAAATCTCCATGTTCTCGCCAACGAATGCATTTGTACGAACGTCCCAGTTGTCTGTCGCCTTCCACTTCCACGCATCCCTTCTGTGCCCCGGCTATGTCCCTGTCTTGCTGCCGCCGCCAAATCTTCCGCAACCCTCCACCTCCCCCCCATCTAACGCCTGTGCCCTTCCTCGCCCCGCCTCCTGCCTCTTCCCCAGGCCACCCCCGCTGTGACCTTCACTGACGAGGAGAAGCGCGCCATGACCGACAAGATCGCCAACGCGGGCACCGTGGTGGTGGAGGCCAAGGCCGGCAAGGGCTCCGCGACCCTCTCCATGGTGAGTGATCGTGACGTGGGAGCAGGCAGCTCCGTACGACATGGCTCTTGGCTCGTACATACATGTCTGATTTGTGGCATGTGAGGTTTTTCCTTTCTTCCTCGCTCTTGACCTGACGTGCCATGCTCACGCCCCCGCACCCCGCCCCACCCGCAGGCCTACGCCGCCGCCCGCATGGCGGAGAGCACCCTGCTGGGCCTCAACGGCGAGCCCAACATCTACGAGTGCGCCTTCGTGCAGTCCGAGGTGAGGCGGGAGGTGGTGGGGGAAGTGCTTGCTGGGGGCTGGCGCTGGGGTCCCATGGCGGTGGCGTTGTGTTGCGTTGGCGATCTACACCCGACGGTTGACGCTTTCCCGTCTTTACGCGCCCCACAGCTAGCACTCCTGCCTAAACTCACCCACCTTCTTTCCCCTCTCCCTCCCCCCCCAGGTTGTTCCCGATTGCCCCTTCTTCGCCAGCAAGGTGCTGCTGGGCCCGCAGGGCGTGCAGAAGGTGATGGGTCTGGGAGAGCTGGACGCCTTCGAGAAGGCCGCCTTCGACTCCATGCTGCCGCAGCTCAAGGCGGAGATCCAGAAGGGTCTGGACTTCGTGAAGAAGGCCTCCGCGTAAGCGGGCTGGCTGCTGCTGCCGGGCTGCTGCTTAACGTCAGCAGAGCGGTTGGCGAAATGGGTAGCTAGGAGTGGGGCGTGATTGCTGCCTCTGCTGCCCTGATCGCTTGGCGTCGTAGCCCTCTTTTGCAGGGGCTGAATGTAGCTGGGGCGGGTTCCGTGCTGCGAGGGCATATGGGTGTTACCTTCCTAGGTTCGGGAGCCAGCTGCAGTGATGTAGGCGGGAGGAAGAGGAGAAGTTTTTTTGTCGTATTATGTTGGTTGATGGTGACAGGATTTTGTTGTTGGTGGGTTGTAAAGGTGTCAGAGCCATTTGAGGAAAGCGTAGATGGTGAGGCAGCCCCTTGTATGTTGGATGTGGGTGTGATGCTGCTGCTATAACAGCGGCGCAGCAAGAGCGTTGGTAAAATCTCGTGCAAACTCCCCAAGAGCATGATCATTTGGAAGTGCGCCCTTGATAAGTGCGCACTGCCGTCTTGGCGTGGGGCTTGCTTCTGTATGTTTTCGGGACGTTCTTCTCAATTTTTTATCTCCTGCAGTGAATTCCATCGCAGGCTTCCGAGCGCGTTTTTGGACTAGCGAAGTGTGATATAACCGCGTTGCGAGTTCCATAAATGCCCTAACGGACCTGCGGCTGATATAGCTCAGGCGGTGGTGGTACCAAGCGAAATAAGACCTTCGGACGTGTCGGCAACCCTGGAGGGCTCTCAGCGCGAGGCCCCCCGGGGGTTCCGCACGCTGTGCCCGCCCGCGGGTCGGGGCGCATTGCCCGTCTGAACCCCGGAAAGCAGGCCAGCCGCCAAGCACGGACTTTATCTGTGCTGAGATGGATGTAACGGCGGAATAACTTGTCTTGAGAAGAAATTCGCCAGCAGGGGGTTCCCGAGGGATACGCTTCTACACGGTGGTTAGTGCCGTTCAAAATGGTCCGTACTGACTGGATTCAGGTGCAACCGCACTGGCAGATGTGTGAATCCAAACATGTGTCATTACAAAAGCGGCTTGCGACCGCGTATCAGGGTAAGCAGGTAGTGTGACCCGTGGGTCAGAAGGCAATGCCAGCATTCCAGGTCCGTGCATCGTGTATCTAGCTTGATGGCTTGCCTTATGCATGCACATGCGAAGAGCGTATACCGCTTGTTGTGGGTCACTCGCAACCGGTTGATAGGCGGCTGTCGGCACTAGCCGGCACAAGCTCTCCGTCAGGCCGCAGACAATGAGCATGTCGCCCTTACTTGGCGTGTTTGTATACAAAATACAATCGCAATGCGGTGTAGCCCCCATGGAGCGCAGAGTAAGGACATGTACGCGTTATCTCTGACCCATGGGTCTCTAATGCAGCGGAGTGAAACGCATTAATACTTAAAAAGCTCCATACATTACAATGGGCGGTTACATGGACTTGTAGGCATCTCATCAGGCGCCTTCCTGCTGCCGCCGACTGTACTGCAGCGGCTTTACTGCACTTGCGAGCGTCCCTCGGACGGTCCAATACAGCGCTGGGTGTTAGGAGGTTAACATATCCCAATTGCCTTTGCATTAAGCCGTAATGGCGCACCTTCCATTCAGTCGCCAACCGGCCTGGACCAAGCCTCGTCTCCTGGCCGTCCATTGAGCAAAGCAACTTGAAGCTTGGTTTTAACGTATTTTTAGCGAATGACTGACCCTATTCGAGAGCCTAGGCACCGAAAAACCCGCCACCTCGTTCGTAGTTGAGTCAACCAAATTACTAAGAATCCTGAGCAGCAGCCGACAACGAACCATGGCGTTTCGCCGCCATGCAATGTGGCCAGCAATGCTGCTCCTAGCCCTCCCGCTCTTCGTCTGCGTCTCAATCGTTTCCTCGCCAGTACATAAACGTGGCGGAAGACAACATCCTTCTCAGCCCATCCCAATCCCATGCGCCTCCCGCAACATGCCACCCACCATAACCGACATCTACGTCATCCACAGCTACTGGAGCCCCGAGCGTCGCGAACACGCACCCTCACTCTGCCGCTGGCTGCAAGCAAACGGTGGTGAGCTGCTCTCTAAGGTCCCCTGCACGCTCTTCCCTGGCGTCTGGGCCTCCGCCGCCTCGTACGAACAGATCCTGGATCTCGTCGCCCGGCGCATTGTGGCACCCGAGACGCACGCCAAGCCGCAGGGCCCACTCACCCGGATGTTGTACGGCCTGGGGCTCAGCGCCGCGCTGCCGCTGTTTGACGAGAACGAGCGGGTGCCCAACCCCTCCTACCTGGGGACCGCCGCCTCACACCTGTTGGCGGTGCAGAACTGGACGCTGGAGATGAGCCGGCGGGGGGTACCGCCGCCTCAGCGTGCCGACCGGCACCTGCTGCTGTTTGAGGTGAGGGGTTCGTACGTGAGAGGGTGTGGGGGATACTGATGAAGGGTGCAAGCACGTCTGGAGGTTGAGGGAGGGTGAAGACTTTGGAGTAGTGTAAGGGAGGGTACTGCTGTCTAAGCACATGCACTGCTCATCAACAACTGTACATCACATACTGCACCCTGCATACTTGCACCCTGCGTTCCACATTCCAGATCAGCAGTCCTTATTACCGGAATACGGCCCCCTTACCGTCGCGCTTTTCCCCACCACCATTTTTCCACGCACGCAGGATGACGCCGTGATGACGCCGGAGGGCGTCGCCTCGCTACAGCGCGCCATCACCCGCCTCGACCGCTGCTACGACCTACTCGGACTCGACTCCGCAGACCAGTTCTGCGCCTGCAGTCGCCTGTGGGACAGACTGCTCAGTTGGCTGCTGCCACGAAGCCTCCTGCGGCGCCGCTTGCCTCGCCTCGTGCGCGCATGCTTGCAGTACAGCCGGAACACTGGCCTCATGGTGTCGTACAAGGGCGCGATGAGGCTGCTGAGTGGCTTGCCAGTGACGCGGGAGATTGACATGTGGTTTAGAGACTTGATGACGGATGGCTTGTTGAGGATTTATGTGGCGTGTCCGCGTATTGCGGGCAGTCAAGGCTTGGCTACGGTTCAGCGTTGACAGAGGGGAAGGCCGGTGGGGAGTGCCGAGGACGCCCATGCGAGAGTGGAAGGTATCAGTAATCGTAGTCGCGATCTGTAATCATGGGGAACTGTGCTGGGCGGCGCATGCCACAGCATGCCCCCGAGGATTGTGATGATTGCCTGGACTCATAACCGGAAGGAATGCGGTACTGTATTGGGACTTGTTTGCTTGGTTCTAGAACAAGGCCATGCTTGCAGCTGCATAAAAGGTTGCTACCGTTCTGTACGGTCGGCTGGCTCTCCCGCACATCATAATGCAACGTACGGGCGCAGCCTTTCCCAGTCCCTGTAATGCGGGCGCAATTCTTCAGTGCTTCTCGCTGTATGTGAGCTCTGGGCTGCCCCCCTCACGGTTTTGGTAGGTTCGTTCTGCGGTCTACAGGTATTGAACCCACCTTCCACATGCTGTACAATGCCGTCACAGTGTACGGGATGTCGGTAGTGCAATACTGCAGTAGCAGTGCATGGGAGGCTTTGCATCAAGAACGAGAGGCTGCGACAAGGCCCACATACTAAAATGCCGCTTGCATGACGGGGCTTGTGTTGCAGCTGCCCTGCATGAGGTTGCCTTGCGTGCGTAGCAGCGCTCCAGGTAATGCGAGGACTCGAAGGCTCCGGCGCCTCATTAAGCATCCAGCAGCCATCCGTTCCGATGTCGGGCCATGAGACCATGCGAAGGGGGCAGCGGGGCAGCAGGGGGGGTGAGCAACATGCGCCACGCGACAAGGACGGCACACCGGCAGGACAAGGACATGTCACGAAAACACAGGACACGCCCGCATGCCCCAACCCTGCTGCGTGCTGCTGATGGGCTGCTGCTGCTGTTGCTGCTACTAGCTGGCCGGCTGGCTGACTGGCTGGCTGACTGGCTGGCTGTACTGCTGCTGTTGCTGCTGGCTGGCTGGCTGGCTGAGGTGTGAGCTGGCGCTGTCGCGCTGACATGGCTCTGAAGCCCTGGTGCTGTGCTGGGTTTGGGCATGGCGCTAATTAAGCAAACCCGCCCTAAAGTCCCCTCGTGGCTGGGCCCCTACTTACGTGTGCAACGCGTCTCTTTCTGCAACGCCGACTCGCGTGCTGCGTGGAAGCCCACGCGGGGTGACCTTGTGACACCACGTGGAGGGTAGTCCTTCGTCCTTGTCTCCAGCTACCTTGAGATGCCTCGGTCTCGGGTATCCGGTCCTGCATGCAAGCGGAGCAGAAAGAGTTGACAAAGGATAAGGCACGAAGCAAACCAAGGGCCAGGAGGACGTAGCAGCAGTAACTTGCTATCAAGTGACAAGGAGGCACCTTGTATATAACCCCTCGGGGCTGCCTTCGGCTTGTAAAGCCATGCGGACAGACCCCTTTCTCATAACCCTTCAGCCATGCGGACAAACCCTTCTCATAACCCCTCATCCATTTCCCGGACACTATCCCTTGGTCCCTACGTGTCCTTGCCTTACGCACTCACACATGTATCCCCCGCCCAGGTATGGAACCGCACTAATCAGTCCTTTCGAATAGGGCGATGACTCCAAGCATCCGCATGCCCACGTGCCTCCGACGAAGAAGCGGAGGCCTTGACACCGCTGACGCTCGCCTCAAGGGCCGTAAACAAGCTGAGGCCGATGACTTGGCCCCTCGACCATACCTGCAAAATACAGTACAGCGTCACGCAGCGAGACAAGGAAACGCAGCTAAAGCAAGAGGCATCCCAACCCAGTTACCGTCACCACGGGCAGGAAGGCTGGAAGAGACACCGGGGGAGGAGGGCCGGTAAGGCTTATCAAGTGGAGATCCGAACCGAGGCGGGAGAGCGAGGGGGGAAGGGCGGGAAGGGCAAAGGAAAGGGGGCGGGTGGTTTATCACGTTGAGGGTATAAGGCAGCAGATATGCACTGAGCCTTTCGTACAGCAAGCTTTGCCCACGCAGCCCGCCCAACAGACATGCCACATGCAGCGGTGGCCAGCCGCTGCATGTGGCATGCCTGACAAGCCGGCTGCGAGAGCAAAGCTTGCTGTCCCACGCACTATCCGAAGGTTCTGAGGTGGCAGGGGCGAGGGTTCTGAGGTGATAGGGGCGAGGGTTCTGAGGTGGCAGGGGCGAGGGTTCTGAGGTGTCAGGGGCCGCTGTAGCTCGATTGAGCTTATCGAACAGGGCTATCCAGCTCTGCACAGCATCCCACCCTCAGCCCTCGTCGACCTCTACACACGTCCCTTCCACGGGCTATCCCTCGAGGCGAGGCAGCGTATCACACACCTTCACCTCCACCAGTACTTCCCGAACGCGTCGTACAACATGGAAGAAGTCGTGCGGAGGCTGGCTGAGAGGTTGCCAGGGCTTCGGCAGTTGGAGCTACACAACGTGGCAGGAATGTCGTACCAACCGCACCAGTTGCAGCTCATGTACGACAGTCTGCGAACTTTTTTGCCGTACCTAGAGCGCCTGTCGTTGCCAAGCTGCCGCGCTCTGGAATGCCTGGATGTCTTGGGAAGCGGTGCCGGCGGCAGCAGCAGCAGCCTGAGGTTCCTCGAGGTTGGAAGCGAGCAAAACAGGAGTCGCGTGGAAGCCAGGGTGCTAGGCGGTTTAGCGTCACTCCGAGGGCTGCTTGAGCTGTCTTTGACTCACTTTAAATTCTGCGGCGCGGCCCGAGGAAGCCATAAGCCGGATACGCTTGAGGTGCTGCTGCGAAGCCTGCCGCCCTCCGTGCAACGCTTGCGACGTAACGACTGCGGGTATAAGAATTCGCATTTTGGACTGGATGTTTGCATGGGCCCCATTGCCAAATGCGTTTCATCCTTGGACTTTTACACGTCTGTGAGCCTGCGGGGGCTGGGGAAGATG